CGTAGACTTACATTTGGAACTCGGCATCGAGGATCTCCATATTAAGCCGGTGCTCAACCACTTTCTGCTGGCAAACCCGCTTGGCTTTGGCTTCGTTTCCTTCCTTGTCATGCAAAGTGAGGATCTCATGTTGCTGTGCCAGCCGCTTGATGAGCTTTGGTTTGATGTCTGTCGCGGGTTCTTGCGCATTGTGAGGACCATGGGGACCCATGCCACCTGTGGCACTTCGAGTGTTCAAGCCCGTGTTGGGGTTGGTGAGGGTGGACCCCTCAGGCTGGCCACCGTGTCTAGAGAAAATCATGAGGGTCTTGTAATGCTCTTCCGCGTAATGCTGCTTTAAGTCCCGAGCCTGCTGCAGCGATATGTTTGCATGAATGACGGTGCCCAGATCTGTTCCTCGATCTGCCTCCACAATGACTAGATCACCATTTTTCACCTGGAGACCGGTATCTTCTTGGATGTAGAAAACGTCTGCGCGGCTGCATTTAAAGGCGACAATGTACAGAAGCTGATTTTGATGAGCATGGGACAATGCGGGCTGACGACCATATACATTCGACATCGCATATTGACTGAGAGATGGCGGGAGACCCGAGGAGCCATCTCCACGCAAGGTCTGCTCACGGGAGTAGTAAGGTTCTGCAGAAGATATTAGCTTTGAGTGATAAAGATGTAGTAAGTAAATAGACTCACGGTTGGAATAGTCACTAAGGTTACCATATCCGTCATCGCGGTCTCCCATAGTTGCGCGAGGAGTAGCAGTTGTGTGCGAGTCCACAGGACCGATTGAGCCATGACGCATCGGAATCTCAGCGAAAGAGTGTCGGCGACTTTGAGGCATGTCAGGCATGCCACCAAAGCCTAGAGACGTTTGCCAATGAGCCTTGCGGACATTATCCAGAGCACGATTCTCCAGCGGGGGCGTGAAGGACGAGAATTGCGCTTCCGGGTGCGCCAAATGCTCAGAGAAACGGCGACGAGAATTGCCGCGGAGGTTGTTGTATCCGGTAATATCACGTAGTTCTCCTGGATCCTCTCCAACCAAATCTCCATCTGGAACACCGCCTCGGATGCGATGCAGTGAATGAGCACCACCGATTGATGCAGCTGATCCAGCTCGCTCGCGGTATCTGTTATCCATCTGACCGGCCGCAGCTGCTTGCCGTAATAGTGCGTTCTCGCGCGCCAGCTGCTCGATCTGCCGAGCCTGACTCACTGAGTAGCTCATTTCGCTTTCCGAGCCGTTGAGACTCTCGTCGCCATCATCATCCTCGCGGACTCGACCAAGCATTGCAGTATCGTGTCCTAATTCACCGAGCATACTAGGACGTGATGCTCGAGGCTGAACAGCAGACATTTGGCCTGGACCGCGAGAACGACTTCCTGGGTATTGTGCACCGGCAGCAGGAGCTGCACCGGGCTTGCTAGCAGCGAGGCTGAGGAACTCAGGGTCCATCTGACCAACAGAATATGACTGAGAGCGATAGGTTTTGAGAGTTGGTTCTAACGGGATGGAGAATGGGATGGCCGATTCACCAGAGATGGTACGTGTGATTGGGCTTAACATTTCGTCCGTCATGTTGCCGCCCGCAGGAGGTGGGTTGGTCATGGTCGGAGAGGGTACCATTTCTGCCAAGCGAGAAGGCGGTTCCTTGCGTGATTCAGTGTTCCAGATTCCTGTGCCTGTGCCCCAAGGAAATGAACTTCCTCCAGCTTGATTCCAATTGAAAGATCCGGCAAGACCAGGGCTCGTAGCTGTCGCCCATGGTGCCTGATCACTAGCGGGGCTTGTAGGGTTAGATGGGGAGGAAGAAAGGTGCCCTCCAGGCAGCGAATGTTTACGCTGCGCGGAAAGAGGCACTTCATTCAACCACGAGGTGCGACGGACTGGTGGCCTGGTGGTAGGAGGAATGATGTTTTGGGCTGGCGCTCCATGGTCTCCATCATCATCAGAGGAAGCCAATGCATCCGAGTCTGGGGTGGAACGGCGCACGCCTGGGTGCGTCTTCTCGAGGATGGCAGACGCTGTCGCCGCAGCGGGTGGGGCAGATGACTGAGCCACCGGGGCCGATTTGTTAGATGGCGCTGCCATTGTTGTAAGAGGAACACTGTTGCAATGTTAGTATGGGATTCCCAGTATAATATGTGTGACAAACGCGATTATTCCCTGCAGACTGTGTCACCGTGAGCGCCACTTGACACCCAGTGAAGCAACACAACGAGAGCGGGACTGTCTGATCAAGGAATAGCCCAAAGCCATGGAGGAATGAGAGGTGGTTCACTAACCTGTACGATCTTTGTTAATGGCAGAGCTGTACTGTATTGATGTCTCTTGGCCTAAGAAAAGAAAATGAACACACGCGATAAAGCACCCGTCTTTGTTCCACGCGCTCGATTAGGTTGAAGTAAAGGGTCGATCTCTGCTTCTTGAAGGGACGATGGATGACTGGGTAATGCGTTATGTTCAACTCTGGCTAAATTGAAGTCAGCGATTGTTCCCAAATTGAAGCCGGAAAGCAAAAGAAGGGGGGAAAGGCACAAATGAACAAATATATAAGCAAATGTAGGTGTGGCATGACTGAGAGCCGCAAGATAAAAGCGGAGATTGTGTAAATATGCATATCCTCGGCCCCTCTTGTGAGAGGGTCCAGAAGTGGGGATGATAAAAAACCCCCCCCTCAGTCAAGAGACAGCTGTGCGCAATCGAAACCGAAGGACATGGATATGAAGTAAGGACAATTGCAAGGAGAGTAAGGGAAGAGAAATGTCCACAGAGAAGAGAAATATGAAAATGTCATGCAGGCAGATAGTGCCACAGAGAGACGCACATTGCTCAAGATGTAGGAAATCAAAGCGACCGAGAACTCGACTCGTACGTACCTCAGGTTGGCGTCAAATACTTGAGCGAATCCTTTTAGCTGGCCTAGCTGGCGCGTGTAGATCACCGGACACCTCTCAAGCAAAATAGTATCCACGAAGAAAAGAGAGTCGAAAATCAAAAGCAGTCGCGTGATCGCAATTGTGTCTGGAGAATTATCCATGTATCAGCCCAGTCGCGTTCAGGACAAGGGAAACTCGACAGAAATGTTGCGCGACTCACCACTCTAATCGCCTCTCTCCAAATGTCTATTTGCAAGGTGCGCACGGTAATCGTAGGTCTCGTCAAGATTGTGTCGTTCTTCCTGTGCCCGAACGGGGGAACGAGGGCGATGGAAGAGGTCAGATAGATAGGACTGGCGAGCAGCAGAAGTGCCTTATTTGCGGGGATGAGATGAGGCGCGCGTCAACGAAGATGCTGAATCTGAATGTTCGATGATCGGTCTATTGGGAAATGGAATGCGCTCGGAGGGTTATCGAAGCTGTGATCACAGATGACGTGAAGGAAGCCGGGGGGACTAGGCTGATCCCCTTAAGGATGGCGCATCTTGCGATCGAAGAAGAGTGTGTGTATAGATGGGATGAAAGTGGGAGGAGAAGGGGGGGGGGGAAATGTAAAAGATGAGGGGGAACGCAAAGAGCCTGGGGTAACTTCTGTGACGGATCTGGCAACGTTGCCCCGGAGGACACGGACCACTATGGTTTGATCTTCGATTTTTAGTCGATTTTTGGGTCGTTTTAGTCGGTTTTTTTTAGTGGGCTTTTCATTTATGATGAGACATGGAAATTATAAAGAAGAAGATATTAAATGAAATATAATAACACTACAAAGATGTATGGAATAAAATGAAATAAGAAGATCATAAGAACAGGGAGCTCTCCATAGGTTTAGACCAAGTGGCGTAGGCCCCCATCCAGAACCGGCGGGTCCCTTGGAGAAATAAGCCGATCATCTGGGGTTGTGGTTGGCACTTTACCTTGGAAGACCGAGTACATATTATAAAACACTACAATACATATATAATATTGTATCTATATATCATCTTGTATACTCTAATAGTAAGAAAACCCTCGCACGGCCCTCGGGTCGCACACTTGGGCCAGACCTCCCTCCCACTTTTACCCCGGATTGATATGCATTTCTGACACTTCATACCCCCCTCTAATATAAAATGAGCTTCAACCTTTTACCCCTCTAATATCCTATTTTTGCGGGGATTCACATCCCCCCCAGCCAAGACCCACAATCCTCTCTCACGTCTCGATATCCTCGGGCAATGCGCCTGGACCGTTGAACAGCTCTGTGCCACACAGTAATGTAGTACGATAATGATATTGTCAACGTGACTCTTTTGCCCCTCAACCCCTCAGTGGATGGATTCCACATCCTTGTGCAATATATGATAACTACTGTCAATTGGGACTCCATCAATTTCCAAGGTTCATCTGTAACTGTTAGGACGAATCATATCCTGCTCCGGGCATCCGACCGGGTTTAGCTGCAACATCTAACCATTAGCTTATGGCTCATTTTAGTTGTTTGCTAGTGTACGCGCTATTGTTACGTTCCGCTATGAAGTGCATTTGGAAAGCTGTCCTCTGTCCTCTTCCTTTTATTTTCTTTTCCTAGAGTGGTATACCCCGCAATTTGGCTCCTAGGGGTAAGGCAATGTTTCCACTATGGTTACATATATGTATTATAGCACTTCTGGAAATCAGTCATCAACTACATAGTACGATGTCCAACCTTAGAATGTATATACATTCTTCGATTGTTTCTCAACCCCTAAAGCCAAGACACGCCAAGCTAGGATAGTACTACCGCGTACTCTTTGGAATTGGTCAATTGATACACCTGTCTTGTATTATGGAATACCAGTTAATTGTACATACCACTACTAGTATGTAGTATGTCGTCACACTCAAATAAATGTCTTGGATGACCAATCATTTAGACTAGTAGCATGCAAAGCAAAGCGGAAGGCCAAGTGGTCCCGAGGTCAAAGGTGGGGAGCTTCCAGGGTTGAAATGAGGACCCACTAATTGGTTGCTCAAAGCTAAAACCGTGGCACACAACGAACCACAGCTCCTTGCCCAGGTGTCTACGCGTGACACTTGCCGTTATGCTGGATGCTACTGCAGATTCTTACACACTCGCATGGACTCATGGCGATTCCCTAGACAGTCATGCAGTTTTGTATCGAATCAATTCCTTGTCCAAAAAACAAGATCGACGTCCACACTCACCACCGGGAAGCCAGATGACATACGCCGGGATACAGCTCAATCCAACGAATCTTCTACGCCGAATAGAAGAGCTAGCATCTCTCAGTATAGGCTGATTGAAGACGTCGAAGACCTAGATAGATACCGCCCCGGAGGATTCATATCATCCTCTACAGATCGGCGATGAATTAGATAATGCCCGCTATCGAGTGATTGATAAGCTTGGGTATGGAGGATACTCAACCATATGGCTAGCCCGTGATTTCCGAAAGGCCCGATATGTGGCAGTGAAGGTGATCACTGCTGATGCTAGTCTTATAACTTCTCTTGGGAACACGCTATCTAGATCTGGAAAAGGATTTATCCCACCCCTCATCGACGAATTTTGGATTGCAGGTCCTAATGGCAAGCATAAGTGTATCGTCACTCCGCCTGCACTGATGAGTTTGTTTGATGCCAAAGAGGCTTCAACCTTCGGACTTTTCCGACCCAAGGTCGCGCAGTCGATTGTCGCTCAGCTTATTCATGGAGTCGCATTTCTTTATAGTGAACACATTGTATATGACGGTATGTAATGCTTATAGATGAGTTTAACTGGATGCCTAGCTGACAACAATTATCAAACCTTCATTTAGGCAATATCTTAGTCCAGTTTCCTAAAGCGATAGATCATCTCTCCACATCGGAGCTGTACGAAAAATTCAGAAAGCCAGAACCAGAGGCCATTGTCCGTCTCGACGGAAAGCCATTCACGAATGGCGTACCCACTCAAGTGTTTATTCCCGGCTAGTTTGGTGTCCGCAGCGAGGACATTGATTTTAGCGAGAGAATCATCCTTAGCGATTTCGGAGAATCTTTCAACCCACATATATCACCCAAATTCTCCTCGAAGACCCTCCCTCTCCTCCAGCCACCTGAAGCCAGATTCTCGGACGAGCCGCTCTCCTTTGCGTCAGACATCTGGTCACTTGCCTGTACCATCTGGGAGATTGCTGGGTACCGCCCATTGTTTGAGGCGTTCTTCCCAACTGCAGACCGCGTTATCGCAGAGCAAGTCTGAGGTCCTTGGCATCTTACCTCCGGAGTGGTGGGAAAAGTGGAGTAGAAGACTGGATTGGTTCAACGAAGAAGGCGAATTGAATTTGAAGCCAGGGATATCTGCGCGCAGGGCCTTGGGACAGAGGTTTGAATACTCTATACAAGAGCCGCGGGCTGAGACGGGCCTAGAGACTATGACGGGAGAAGAAAGGAGGGCGATTAAGGTGATGCTTCGGTCGATGCTGGTCTATCGGCCGGACAAAAGAGCGACGGCTCAACAAGTATTGCACTCGGAATGGATGAAAGACTGGGGACAACCGGCTTTGGAACAGAGCCGGAGTACTTCCATGAATGTAGGTAGTTTACATTTCCATAGAAGCCGCCATAGATCGATCCCTCATACAAACCAGACACATAATGTAATTTATATTTGTACAGTACTGTTTTGTAGAGCTATCGGGAATCTTAATATTCCGGATGAGTTCTAAATAGCGAAGTGGTAATAACGATTTCTGGAAGTTGTAATGTAATCCAATTACTCAAAATTTATCCTCCCTTTCAAGAACTAATGTACAAGATATATGCTCCCAAATGATCTATTTTACGGCGCACTATCCAAGGGCGCACCAGCCGTAGCAGCAGCGCCTTTCTGCTGGCGCAGCTTCTCCTCAAACTTGGAGAACTCATGCATGGAAATAATCTCCTCCTCATCCATAGCCTGCTCAACACCCTTGACCTCCTCAATCTAAAAACAAAGTCAGCAAACAGCCCATATGTCAAAACCAAAGGAACGGGAAGGCGGGGAGGGACATACATAGTGCATAAGCATAGACTCAATACCATTCTTCAGCGTAACAGTGCTGGAGTCGCATGTCCGGCAAGCACCACGCAGCTTCAGCATAACGATACCATCCTCAAACCCTTTCAATTCGATATCACCACCGTCTTCTTGGATAGCAGGGCGAATGCGAGTCTCGAGCAATTCCTTGATCATGCTAACAACCTCGTCATCATCCTCGTTAAAAGAGAGCGAATCCTCGCCACTCTCCTGCTGGCCGTCGACGGCACCCTCGATCGTCGTCACGATCGTCTCGCCGGATGTCACAGCTTGCGTGATGATGCTGAAGACTTCCGGCTTGATGTGCGCCCAGTTTGCGTCGCTGCCTTTCGTCACTGTGATGAAGTCTGTGCCGTAGAAGACGGATGTGACGCCTTCGACATCGAGCAGTTTAGCGGCGAGCGGGGATGGGTGTGGCGGGGCGAGGGTTGATCGTGGTGACATGTACTCGAGGAATGTGCTGGGGAAGCCCTCCGGGAGGACGCGGTGGTTAGGGATGAATTTCAAGGCCTAAATTATCGGAAATGAGAGGTTAGTTCGGTTTCTTTTGTCAATATGAGATAACTGAGCTCTGAGAACTTACATCGGGGTTGGGGGTGTTCTCGGTCTGGATGAAGATGGTGCGCTTGCTGGTTGGCGAGAGGCCGTTAACTCCACCCAGTGAGGCGGGCTGCTGGTGCGGTTGCACTGTTGGTCGGCGACGGGTCTCTGATGCTGTGAGGGTCGGGAGTCGGGCTGCGCTGGACACATATCTGTAGCGTGCGAACGCAGGTCTGATTGTTCGGGCGGAGCACTCGACGGGAGTGGCCAGACGGCTGCTCAGCAGAGCGCGGCGGAACATTGTTGTAGATGGAGTGCTTAAAGACATTATGTTATAGAATCAACTGTGCAAAGATAGTTGATAACAGGTGAATTGTAGAAAAAACATTCGAGGGTCTCTTCGGCTCCCGCTCTGACGCAATTTGATTTCACGTGATCTGAGATCATAGCCGGATGACAAATGAAGACAGTTTCTCGACCAATGAGAAGAGATGTTTTGCACAATTACAACTATGGATGTGCCGACTGTCGGAGGTTGAGAAACCAGTAGTTTATGGTCAATTGTCATCCGAAATCATATCGAACCGAAATTTTGTGACTGATTCTACATTCAGATAGAGAATCATCATTAATTGCCTCCTTACTCGCAATCAGGAAGTAAGCTTGCCTATTCGCCTCGTAGCAAAGGCTGTCTTTTAGAAACGTGAAATTTCCGAAGTCTCATGACAGAAGAACAATGAAGTATGGAACTTCGCCTCACATCAGCTACAATTATTAGGAGTAGTTTGGCCAAATAGAATGCAAGTCGCCGGTATAACGGCTGTGATCCAGCCCTGCCCAAAAAGGAAACTCGACAGCGTCCGAAAACAACCTTCAATGTTTGAAGGCTTGTGCTATGCAATGATAGACCCCAATACAAAAAGAGGAACTGACTGGGACAAGACCACGCTGTACCAATCTTCTCTCGCATTTCATAAACACAAGGATGACTTCATCCTTCAAGGATAGCCAACAATATAACAAGCGCTCTTCAGTGGACCGATCATGCGCTAGTTCAGGCCAGGGAGTTCTCTCTCTTTTCCATAGTGGATAGATATACTTATATGCAGAGCTCCGCTTTCCTATCCCATCACACAACTGATAGACCGGTGATCAGCCCAGAATCCCCGGACAGCAGCAGTAGGCGCCGACTTTGTGATTTCTTTTGCCAGGCAATCCTGATTCCGCTTTGCAAGAAATATGGATCTGAGAGAGGTGGCTGCATTGGTAGCCCAGGTTGCTTGTAGTGTTACCTGGATGGTACTTGCAGCGGTGGAACAGATCATTGAGCAAACGAGATATAATACGTGGAGCCGTCAGGGCTTCACTGATGGGTTGGATCCAGTAGGCTGTGATGGCTTAAGAAGGGTAGCAAGAGAAACAAGGTACCTTACCGAGTCCCTTACCCTATTAAATAAAAAGTAACCCAGTGCAGCAATCACGCTTTGCATATTTGTGGGATGGGGGCATCTAGTAATTAGGGCTGCTCGCAACAAATTGGTGGGCGCCGACATGATCTCGGCAAGTCATGAATCAACCCGTGGACACATCAGCTAAAAGGCAACTAGCAGTTTCCAATGTTGCAACCAAATACATTCGCGTCCAGGGTTGACATCGAATTGAGGGGAGACCAGGATCCACCTAGTATGGCCGGGTTTATATCCCCGCAAGTGGCTGTCGCGGCCATTGTACGCATGCCATGCTTTGGTTTTCCGAGTGGTGGATAAAAACAGGATCCCTTGCATATACCGTGTGAACGTGGCTCTTGATGTATCGCATGCATTCTGGCTCTGTTTCGTCACACTTGACAGGGGTGGGATTTTGGACGTGGACGATCAGGCTCCAACCAGGTCCCGGGGCGAAAATTTGACATCCCCTTTGCGCTTTTAGCATATATTGTGCAGCCATTCGACCTAAATATACAGCACGTCACCTATTTATGGAATTTCTTGTCACGCGTGTTCTGTATATATTTGGTGCCTGAGGCAGAAATAGATGACCCGAGCTTCTTAGATTTTCATGCAAATCATGCAAATCGGGTAGCTCAACTTCCCTGGCCTTTTCCTGCATCATTCTCGAGCAGGACGTGGACCAGTGAAAAATGAAGGAGCAAGTTTGATCGCTGTGCAGCTGATGGATTCATTGGGAAATCGACACAATGCCTGGTTCCTGTGAGGTTTGCTCTTTAGAGCCCTCAAAATATCGCTGTCCCACATGCGCTCTGATGAGGTACTGACTGGATTACGATTCCATCCCTATCCATACGTGGACCAGTTGCTAAGTGTTATTGATTTAGTTGCTCGCTTGCATGCACCCAGTCACATAAGATATACTGTGCTCCGAAAGGACCATCGAATGAGGAACTGAGTAACACCCCGGCGCCCGATGTCGATCCCACACCCGAGAACGATACCAGCGGCCCTGAACCTACAGAGCCAACTGGCACCAAGGCTCCCGCGATCTCCCCCGCAGCAGTGGCGGCATCGGCGGAGATGAAAGAGCTTCTCAGTCAGCACCCCGAACTCCGCAGTCAGCTACAAGATATGTTCCAATCGACACTGGAAGAAGAATGGGTTGAATCCTACACAGCCCCGGCACGAGGGCGTGGCCGCGGTCGCGGGCGAGGTCGGGGAGGGCTCACTCCTCGTAGCCGTGGCCCATGGACGTCCGAGAAAGGCTTCAACCGCGGCCTGGGCAGAGTCCGCAAGCTGAGGCAGGATTGTGAGGAAGGGACGGAGACTGGCCAGGCGGCCGAGGCTTTCATGCGGTTTATGGCGCTTGTCAAGAAGGGCAGCGACTCAGCCTGAGTCATCTCTATTTTCTTCTGCCAAAAAAAACAACCGCATACGAGTTGGACGGTCGGCACATATAACTTGATTGCACCACATTTATATGCTGAGTCCGTGTAAGTGAGACATATCGATTATACGAGATGGTGGGGCTTTTTGATCTACCTTCACTGTTCCAATAGAGTAGCTGTCAGATCTGACAGCTTCAGCCATAGTCAGCCTTATACAACCTAGGAATATTCGGCGTCCTTGGTTCTCTATATGATTCTCTATTGCATACTACCATCGGCTCTTGGAGCTGCTGACAAGCACATTTGCCGGTCCACCTGTCCACGGGTAGATCAAAGCGATGTGCATTGGCCCTAGGGTGCTCGGGCTCATCAAGTGCAATATCGCACCACATACAACGTTACCATGCGAGCCAAGACCAGAAGCCGAAGTCTTACATAGTGTTAGATTAGCGGCGCTTTTAGCGCCCCCAATAAAGCGGAGCATATGCCAACGGCCCAGAACTCCAAAGACCGAAATTTTCGGTGGGAAAAGTACCAAAGTACTGAAAACTCGGAATCTGCATGTTTCTGACAAGTCACATGGAGCATCTCAAGGCAGCAGATGAGCAGTACTCTGTACTCCGTAGAGGGCCTACTTTGTAGGCAAAGACAAACAGCCCTTTGTTTCCGAGAGCTTAGGACACGCGGCGAGGCAGCTCCTGCAGCTCCAGTCAAGCAACAAATACCAATTAAGAAATAATGCAACATCGTAGACCTGTCGACTAAGCGAGATCGTCCTACTAGACCCAGCCTCGGTTCTAGTAGCCACTCATTTTGAGACCTTGGAGATTACCATGTGTCGGGTTCAGCTGAGCCGCTTTCATGAACACGAAGATCTTTTGGGCTTCCAATGAAATGCGAGAATCCCATTTTAAAAAAAAGAGGATCTCAAACCAATTTCATCCCCCAATATTTGTGATCTGTCCATATTCTGTTTGCTTTATCTTCCCCGTTACCGCCAAGACCAAGATATCCGACGCAGCTCCCGGTAATTAGGGTAGTTTTCAAGTCAACTCCCCGAGCAATTCTGATCATCTCGGATGGCTGCCTCGCTGCTCAACCGAACTTGATCTGTCCCGACGATGGATGCGCTGCAGTGCCCGTTCTCTGAATTTACACAGTAATCGGAGCGCTGTCACACCGATCCATTCCGTGGCCTCGAGAGTTGCCGACCGCTTCCGTCATGATCTCGCAGCAATCTCGCCGAGAAAGAGCTCACAGCGACAGAGCTCAAGCAATGCCCGCTACAGCTTCACAACGACCAGGCATGGGAGGTCGAACTTCTTCAGCCCCGGCGGGGGACCTTTACAAACTCGATGTGGTGCGGAAGTCAGGATCGGGGACGAAAATCGAACACACATTGCTGGAGGAAGATGAAGGGTCGCCAATTACGGGCGAGGCGATCAAGCGCACACGATTCAGTCAGCAGGAGGTGGTACGTCTTGAATTGACCCGGGACTCTGAGTGGTTTATGGCTTCGGTGTACAGGGAGCTTCAATTGCTGACGGTTTCTTTTCCCCCTCTATAGGAACCCACCAAGAGCGGCTTCCCCGAAGTGACCATTGCAGTTGCCGGCGAAGAAAACGCCGGCAAGACCAGCTTTGTTAAATGTGCGCTGGATATGAAGAACCCGCCTGCCTCCCCTATGAACAAGAAGAAAATGTCATTGAACGGATCGGTCTATATTGTGCATCTGATGGAAGTCGACTTGACCCACGTTCAATTCGACCAGGACAAGAAAATCATCTGGCCGCGTGCAGGGCACGACAAATCGCCAGTCATTGACGGGGTCCTGGTTCTACATGATGCCACCAAGCCGGATCGACTCTCCTTAACAACGAACCTCATTGGTAGGTTTTTGTCTAATAACCGGGATGTACCTAGTAGGCTGATTTTCCCGGAATTTAGACTCATTGGCTGCTTCGGATCTTCCTTTCTTGCAGGTTGCCTGCAAATGTGATGTCAATCCTGAACCTTTGGAAGACAGCGAAGTGGATGCGATCCATGACCGATACGAGATCTATCGAACATCGTTTTCATCGCCTCGATCTCAACGCATGTGTATAGCGTTGGTTTTGGGGGCAGTGATTTCCACTCGAGAAGGTGAGCAATTTTGCCTTTCTTTTTTTTTTTTCCTTTTTCCCTTTTTCTTTCTTCTTTCTTCCTACAAAACCATTGTCAAGTTGGAAGTTGTGCCTTGACCCCCCCAAACGGAAGCGGGCGAAGGTGGGTCGCGGTAGGAGCGTTCGCTACCTTGTCTTTCCCCATAGAACTCTTCTTTGGTTTTCCCCTAAAAACTAACCCCTCCCTTTCTCTCTTAGATCTCTCCAATAATTCTAATATTCCTCTTGCTTCACCGAGGATCAAATCCTCGCACGATTGGCACCATACCCGTTCCAACTCCGAAAACCCCTCAGCCGTGTTCACAGCCGCCGGCGGCACACAAACGGCCTCAGATCAATGTGTCGACGGGGATGGTGAGAACCGTGTCGCAACCGATGGAAACCACTTGCAGCATACGTCCAGTCCCCACCGTTATGCCCGGAGTAATTCGCAACCGGTGCGACCGCAAACTCCGCCATCCGGAGCGCGTTTAAATACCCGCAGACCGTCAACACAAGAACTAAACTCCCCCAACCACGATAGCCGTCAGCAACGATTGCATACCGCGTGGCGACACAGTGGAGGATCAGACGCTTTCAACAGTTTCTTAAACATGGACGACGAGGGAGACGATGAACAGAGCCGGCCCCCGAGCCCTGGCGCAGTTGTGCGCCCAAAGCCGAGCAGCGAGAGCAACTCGAGTGCAGAGACGGGTCTATCGTTCGACGAGCTAGTCGATCGTTTGATTTCCTTGCCGATGTCGAAACAAGACCAAAAGTTCCGTTCTATATTCCTATGTCTGTACCGAAAGTTTGCCGCTCCTGCAAGTCTTCTAGGTGCCTTGATAAGCCGATTCGAGCGAAATGAGATGGGCAACGAGGATCAGCTGGCCCGCATGGCGGATCAACTGCGATTACTCGATGTCATGGCTCAATGGGCCTCGGACTATCCTGGGGATTTCGCTCATCCCAAACTTCGCAAACGGATCATTGAATTTGTCGCTATACTCGAAAAGAGCCATTTCTACATGTTCGCCGCCAAGGAGATCGGGTCACAATTAGACACGAATGCAGAAGATGATGATGTTGGCTGGGCATATGGGGGTGACAGTGATTCCGAGGAGTCCCAATTGGTTGAGACATTCTTCGACAACTCCGGCCGAAGTTCTCCAGCAGCGGCTCTCACTGGTGCTAGCTCTGGCACTACCACTTACGACACCGAAGAAGAACAAGATCCTATCTATAGTATGAGTGCTCTGGATCTCAGTAGTGGCCCGCATGACTCGACATCACGACTCTCGGGCACTCTTTCAGTCACCTCGACTACCGACAAATCCAACAGCACTACCAGCCAGTCATTCACATTGTTAAGCCTCGATGCAGCCCAAAAACAGGCTTTACGTCTTGAATTAACACATAAGACTTTACTTGGCAAACTCCAGTGGCGGCTTTTCATGGATACCCCAGACGAAGAGTTCGCACGAGAACTGACGAGGGTTGACTGGATCATGTACAACTCATTCCGGCCGCGTGATCTTGTGCGTCATGTCAGCCTCTCGGGCATAGACAAGGATAAGATCAAGAGCTTGACGAATGTCAATCGGATGATCAAGCAATTCAATCATCTGGCCTTCTTCGTAGCCAGCTTGATTCTGTTGCGCGATAAGCCTAAGCATAGATCGCAGGCGCTAGAGAAGTTCATGAACATCGCAGTGGTAGGTTTTCTCAATTCATTTACTATGAGGTCAGCAGCAACTAACACCTGCCAGAAACTCCGACGCCAAAACAACTACAACTCCTTGGGTGCCGTAATTGCCGCCATCAACGGCACCCCCGTCCACCGCCTCACGCAAACTCGAGACCTGATCCCCATCCCAGTTCAGAAAGAGTTTATGCGTTTGGTCATTCTGATGAGCACCCAACGAAGCCACTTTGCCTACCGCCTCGCCTGGGAGAATTCGTTCTCAGAGCGAATCCCATTCCTACCTCTCCACCGTCGTGACCTTGTCTCTGCCGAAGAAGGCAACAAGACATTCGTCGGCGAGAACAAATCTCGCATCAACTGGAAGAAATTCGAGGTCATGGGTGAGGTTGTTCTCGGCATCCAACGAAGCCAGAAGACCCCTCATCCCCAGGCTCAGAAGTTCGGGGATGTTGAGCGACTGATCCTGGACTCGAAGCTCTCTGGAGACGAAGAGGTAAGGTCTCCAATATCGTGAATCATTGTTCTTCTCATTAACATTATTTAGGACTTGTATGCTCGTAGCTTGCACGTCGAACCGTCTACGGGAGCTGAGGGACGAAGGAAGTTCGGCTGGTTGCGCTCTTAAACCCAGTCGATTCTTCGGCCACTCTGACAACCCGGGACACTCATCTCCGTCAACCTCAACACGAATTGAGGCTGCCCTCCCACACAAACATCTCATCTAACACCTTCACTCCTACCTACCTTCCTACCTATCCCCCCTACTCTATCCACCCTACCTTACCCCTTCCCTCCACTTTTCTTCCTTCTCATGTCGCTACGCCCCTATATGATTGATAAATACTGTTGTTGTCTTTTGCCTGCTTTTCGTTATGAACTTGGTCCCCCGTGGGGGTCGATATGACGCTTGTAAACGGTGATACATCGTGGGAAAAAAAATAGCACCGTTACGGCATTTTGTACATATGCGTGCTGAGGTGTGGGTAGTGATAGTCATTGACTGTCTTGCAGATAGCAGATTCCTACCCTGGTATATATTGACATGTTTATGTATTTATTCCCTTGTCTCCTCCATCCATGAAATAGAATCGTAGCCATATAACAAACAACATTGAACAGTTATAAATCCCTGAGATACTAGTAGCGTTGAAACTAGTAGCACTAAATAGCGGACGCCGCATACATTTCAAATCACGTGAAATCTATCCACCCGGCTATCTCAACCTCCGACCAGCTCCAAGACCCAATACAAACTTACCTGCAATCCCCCGGTGCACCAGGGTCTCAAAACCACCCCAATCAAACCCACATAAAACCACAAATCCCTGAATCCCAGGCCCTCAAAAAAATGTCCACAAAAATCCAAGCGCGCTCAACCTACCGCGCCATCCTCCGCGAACTCCCACGCCGCCACCTCGCAACACCCTCCCCACTCCACCAACGCGTACGCGCGATCTTTCGCTCATCACCGGCCACATCTCCATTGCAACCGGAATCCCAGTCCAATGCTCTCCCCTTCTCAATCCCGAAAACAGAAGAGGACCGCACCCTCCGCGTCCAAGAAGCAGATCAGTTTGCGCAGTATGCCCGCGCCCAGCGCGTCTACTCTGAGCTTCTCGAGCGCTATAACCCCGGTATGAGTATGGATGAGGAGGAGAAGATTCGGCTTACGGCGAGACGGGTTGGGTTTGATTTGCCTGAGTTGCATGTTCCTGAGGGGAAGGAGTAGATGGGTTGAATTTGTGAGGGATTGCGAGGCTATAAGCTGGTGCGGTTTGGCTGAGCAGAGCAGGGTTGTTAGTATTGCTTTGCTCGGTATTTCTTGGCTTTGCTTGGTTCGTCTTGTTCTGTCTGTGGATTGTTGATTGTGGATACGATCTGCATTCGGATTCTACGGAAGAGGCGGGTTGGGATAGGCTTGGTTGGAAGTTGTCTGTGTAGATAGTGTGGTTTTGCTGGGATGCATGTATTCCATGGAATGGCGTTGTCATTGTTTATTTTTTGGGATTTGTATACTATGGTTTATGTATAAAATAAAATAGAGAGCATTGCCAAGTAACATGAACTTGTTGTTTTTTGACTTTCTCTATGCTATGTATTGACTCTGGATAAAGAGGCATTTGGACTGAGGTTCTAATCGTAACTTGGGGTATCTGATATTGAGATCCTCCTGGATCTGAAAACTTGTTCATTGCGAACCACATGGGTTGCCGCACAGTGTTTGGGGCACCGAGAATGGACACCTGATGTTGACACTGGGTGTTATTGTGTTGCAGAGGTGGCGGCCTGGCAAAAGGGTCATGGTGGAGATGGCCCAGAGCCGCGAGGACGCTGGCGCTGAAGGTTGGGCTTTTGAATAGAGTGCTTCCCTGATTGACTCTTCAGGTAGCACTGAGCTGGGCGCGCTCCATTTGTCTCATCAAAGTTGAACTGCTTTCTTCGTCTTCCATGCTAACACCAACTTCGATCGCAGTCTTGGGTCGGTTGCGGTTGAGACCGTCGAGCAGCGTGCACGCTTTACAAATCCGCTGGCTGGAAATGTAGTTACAGCGTTCGCAGTGTTTGATAGTCTGCGCCTTGACCGCTTTACCGGTCGGGCCGCGATTCGCCTTCACGCGTGAGCCGTTAGGAAGCTTGATTTCGGTCTCGAGCGACTCGGCCTCGTCGTTCTCAGTGAGCTGCTTCTCCATTGCAGCCATCTCCCCTCCACTGGTTCGGCCATTTTGACTACCACAGCCACCAGCCGATTCCTCCTCCGCACCGGACTGCTTGGATTTTCCAACACCCCGGACTTCCACCGGCACAAGCGCGGCCATGTCCTCGCCACTCTTGACAATATCGAGGATCGAACTGGGACGAATCTTCTCAAGATCTTTGATCAGGGTACGCGCACTACCGCGGAATGCCTCAGGCGAGTAGATACATTCAGTAGTGAAATAGTCGAGCTGACGGTGGTGGGCGTAGAGAACGATCTCCTTTTCGTAAGCGTACTTGAGAGGCTTGCTGCGCTTGATGTCCGAAGCATCGGAGCTAGTGACGATGCTAGTACCGCGCGACAGACGGGGCAGATCACCACGCAGGAGATTCATCATAACAGTCTCCGCAACATCGTCCGCATTGTGGCCCGTGACAACGTGCTTGATGTCCAAGCGGGCGGCGCCTCGGTCGAGCGCCTGCCGACGGAACACACCGCAGTACGTGCAGTTACCCTTCTTGCCCACTTGTTCCACCACCTGATCCATCGTCCAGCCGTATAGCTCGCTGTATCCAAGGATATCAAGCGGCATCTCGTATTGCACGGCGTTGCGCTTCACGGTCTCGAGACTGTCATCGCGATAGCCGCGGATGCCCTCGTCGATTGACAGTAGACATAGGTCCAGTCCGTAGTTATATCGCTCGTTGAGGGTTTTAAGTACGGCTGCTAGTACTGTGCTGTCTTTTCCACCGCTGGCTCCGATCGCTACTCGCTCGCCGGGGAAGAAGAGGTTCGCGCCAATGATGGTTTCGTGTACTTCGGTCTCGAAAATATTGATGAAACAAGCACGGCATAGTTTGTGCCTATTCTTAGGCCGGATAATGACGGCTCGCGCCTCTTTGCAGTTGAAACACGCCGTCGGTGCCATGATGAGTTGGTTAGGCCTGTGACTTGGTAGCGGCGAAGAATTTCTTTTTCCCCCGCGGTCGATCGAGTGGTCCGTGCATGGGGCGCTAATCCGTGGGTGCCAAGGTTAGATCTATATCCACGTTTATACTCGGTCTTTGGTCTTTGATATTCTCACATGCATTTACATTTCTTACATATTGTTGTCCTCTTTCACCAAACAGCTCCCCCATCCTTAGTGGCTATCAAACTTGGGTTTTATTACCCGAGCGTCAGAGGAGGCTCGGCTCGAACAGTATGGGACGTCAATTGGGAATCCGAATTCCACTGCGCAAATGGTGCAGCAAGTGCAGCAATTGAAGATTTCGCTCTTGGGCATCTTAGGGGCCAAACAGGGGTGATACTTAAGCTTTCTCTCCCTGTTTCGGATAGCCATGTCACCCCTAACCCCCAAGAGAAACCACGAAACAATGGGTCAGATGAGACCCCAAAACTTCGCCAGCAAATCTTGCTTGTCTACCAGTTTCAGTTTTGTCAGCCGCGACGGTCCCTGGGAACTAAAATAGACAATTTTATGAGTTCAAGGATAGCTAATGGACTCGGTTTCATTGTCCTTTGCGGAATTTCGGCTATATTCGACCTTGTTGGCGCCTGTGGAAGCGCTGCCCTCATATTTATTACTGCAACCTCCAGACTGGTTGCCTGGGCCATAGTCATTCCTCGAAGCGCTGGGTATTTGAGCAACAATGAGAAACCTGATATTGCATACTTTACCGTTGGAAACTTTGAGACGATGGGAAAGCTGCAGACTGGCTTGCCCGAGAGGGTATTGAGGTCAAAGTGAAGGGCTATGAGTTCGGCTGGCGAACTGCTATGCTCGGTTGCATACAAGTGTTCAGCGAGTCCGAGGTGACTCGTTGGATGGATCGATGGTGGTTCTGTTTCTGCGGCGTGATGCCTTTCTCAGACTTATTCAAGGAAAGGAATTGGAGAAGAACTTAGAAGTCCAGCTTAATGAGCATGATTTGAACTGGATTAATAACGCAGCGTCGCTATCTGTTCAGGGAGGGGGATACTCAAACGTGATTTCGATGTTTGCAAGTGAACTTATTATTGTAAATTAGGAATTGATGTTCCGTCATCTTTGAAGCTTGTGATTTCTAAAGAACTTATAGTGTTAATAAAAAGAAAGCTACCTTAAGGATTCCGCCCTACAATTGCGATGCACCGCACACCCAACCACTAAATTTATGCTCTAGCCTTTACATTCTTATCTAGGTGTGCCGCAGGCTTTCCCTTCCGACAAAACAGCCTAGCATAGCACACAGGCCATTTCTTCTTCTTAGCCACCTCGACAGCCTGATGATGAATATGATGTCGTCTCAAATGTAGAGAGTAAGGCTTCGACCGATCAGCAAACAACTGAAGATTCTCTTTCTCCTCGGCGCCTAGCTTCTCTGCAGCCTTAACAGTCCGCTCCTGCGAGAACGCAAACGAAGTACCAATAATCTTGAACCGCCGAGCCATTTGGTGGAGATTAGGAGAATGCCAGTCGTCAGAAGTCCAAGAGGGCCTCGCATTCCAGGGCAGTCGTCTCTCTTTCTTGAACGCACGCCACCATTCCTCAGTCGATAACCGGCCCTGTTCCCCACTAACTGCATGGATGCATCCACTCGTTCCCAGCGCCACATGGACCAGTGTTCGATCCACTACCACATCAACCGGTACCTCGTCGATCGTGGATTCTTGATTTGGATTTTCAAATCGTGTTGAGAGCTTGATTCGTCGACCTGGATGTAACATGTACGCTGCTGCACAGGCAGTCGAGGGGGCTCCGTCTGAGGTCGCGAACCCGGGGTATGGGAACTTATCGGCTGGTCCGAGGACAGACGGTCTGATGATTAGGACTTTATCCATTTTGTTACGCTCGGCTGCCTTCTGCAGGACTAATCGTTCAGCCAGATGTTTGGCGTATGCGTATGGCCATGGGAAATCATGGGCGTCGTATTCGTCGGATGAGCCGGTTTTCTGTACTGCGCTCCATGCTTCAAGTGCAATCTTGTAGTAATCTTCCTCCTCCCTGCCGAGGGGATATATTCTCTCGTCAACTGATACATCAGTTGATTCCTGGGCTTTCCATAGATGGGCGTTGGCATATGCAGTAGAGAAAAATACGAAGCGTTCGAGGTTGGGGAATTTTAGGGCATATTGTGTGAGACATATGCTTGGTGCCAGTACAGTATACGCTAACTCTCGCAGAGAACTTTGTAGTTGGGCTGATGATGCGACGTGGAAGACAATGTGCACCGTCCGTTTCAGCATCTGTAGTGTCTCTTCTGATAAATTCATTGTCGCTGTATTTCCCAATTCGCCGTCAAGGATAGTCATCCGCTCGTTTTGGGTGAGGATTTGTGCGGCAGACGGAGGAAGCATGCCGGACCATTTTGCTTTCGCTTTGCTGGTCATCCAGGTCAGTAAGTGGTATGTTGACATGACCTACATGTATTTGGTCACTTACTCGGAGCCACCCCGACATAGCACATATACTCGTTTCGGAGACGACTGACTCAAAAGTCGGCACAGAAGCGCAGTTCCAATGAAACCCGTGCCCCCGGTGATGAATAGGGTCTTGCCATTATAATAGTCCCATATCATGATGAATCCATGCGAATTGAATCTACAATGCCCGCCTTCATGGGTAAATGGAAATATGCAGGATCAAAGGGTGGATGTAAAGCTGGAAAATCGTACGAAGGGGCCTCAGGTGGGTCTACGGGCAGAATATAGAACAGGTTCAAGCAGTCCTTTATTGGATCTCATGCCCAGATTCTTTCTGATGACAGTGAAGTCCGATTTCGGGTGCATGCATATTTGCAGCTAAGATGAGGTGCATGCAGCCGTGTGACCCATCACATTAGGATAGAGAGCCTGACCAGCCATTCGAATTTCAGAATAGTGAGACTATAGATATGGACAGAGAGTAAATGATCACAATGTACGGAGTCCTGTCTTGAAGTTACAATAATAGGCTGGGGCGGGAACTTGAGGTACAGTACGGAGTACTCGATGGCTAAAATAATGGGGTTGATTAATATGTCGAACGATCTATCTCAAATATTGAAACACTAACTGACCAACCTCACTTAATACGTCAGAACTAGTGACAAAATGGGTGGGATTTAAGTTTTCCTGTAAATAAATGCACACCGCTTCATGCAGCACCTAGCCAGCCATGCATCGATATATTGAGAATGCATTAGACCACCCAAGGTCTTGGATTCTATTCGTCAAGTTCTAGGGTCGAGCCTATGACGAATGGATCGCGATTACATCTGCTTCCCAGATACATTTATCTCACGGGCCGAGCCCTAGTGGATCAACACACAGACAAGAAACAGTGATATCTTGTTTCTGTTCTCACTCTAGAGCCAACGCTTTGCCCTCCTTTAACACCAATTCAAGTTTAACCTTCCTATGATGCCATTCAATTTGAGACTGACTCTTTTCAGCCAATTTTCGGTCAGAATCACAATGTGAGGTGTGACAAACAGCAAGGGGAGATGCAGCTAGGGTAGTGAGCGCTGCTAAAGGCAGAAACTGTCTCAATCCTATCAGTTCGCAACTTCTTTTATCCATAGTTCTCTCGAGCAGTCTCTAGCATATTTCTCAATACGGTAAAGGGAAGCGCCCCATCCGGATTAAAGCTATAAAGTCCAGCTTGGGCTGCTCATGCTCGGCTCAAATGCATCTCATCAGGATCCCACTTCTAAAAGGTCAAACTTGGCATTGAAGGGGTTCGCTCGATCTCCATAAAGAACTCGTGCATCTCGCTGTCAAACCAGATACCAAATCCTGCCCGGCGCATTGCGTCCCCTATACCAACAATGAGTTTGGGTCTTGATCCCTTGTCTCGCTGATTCCAGCATAATGTATCACGTATTTCATTGAGCAGACTATGCCAGCTGTGATCGAGGAATTCTAGGAAACTCAGTTCGATAGAACATACGGTCTTCAGAAGTGCAGCGAGGAAATTTATCGAGTCTGACTGCTTTACTAGGAAACCTGTTAATTTGAATGAACAGAGTTTTGGCCACTCCTCCACAGGGGGTATAGCTTTAGTGGTGTGAAGTGGGTGGGATTGTGCTTGATGTCACGTATGGTGTCGGTGGTGACTGTTGTTCCAAAACTGAAGGACCTCATATTCTTTGCCTCGGACGGAGCTTGCTTAAGATAGCCGCTCCGAAATGAGGACCAGTCTTTGTGCTCTTGCCCTCCCACAAGAAGTGGAAGATCTAGACGACAAAAGCCGGGGCTCCGAAGTATTGTAAGGAGGTTTTCATACCTCGCACGGCTGATCAAAAACAGGACAGTTAAGCCCGGTTAGAATGCTCGACATCGAAAACGAATTCCGAGACATGGTGCTTGTTTTATTCGAGCACAGATGTCACATTTCGGAATCCGCGCTATTGGTTCTTCTGGGCCTCAGTGGCTTCTTCCCACGGATGGGCGTCTGGCAGCGTCTTCATACCTCTTGATATCGGCCATCCCCGTGGAATCGGGTAGTTAAATCCACATGGAAAGGATCGAATCATAGGTGTCTCATATAATGAGGCATAGAGCCACCCGTGTGTTGCGGGAGTGATGGCAATTCGTTTCAACCTCGGAAATCGCGTGACTCCGATAAAAGCGTCCACATCGCTGTTTAAGAACAAAACGTCTTCCTGCTGCTGGAACAAATTCTGATACAATTGCCAGCAGATTTTCAGTGGTGCTTGTGCAATAGCTTGTTTCCACGGTGCGATATGACCTAGTTCATCTATGTCGTACCTCTTTCGTGCTTTTATGTTTTCAATGTTTTCTTTACACGCCGCAACAAACTTGTTGGGGCATCCTTCATCAGGGCCTGTGTCTGCCTCGTCAATCTCCCAAGCGAGGTGAGAATGCGGCTTTGGGCCCTCGATGAAGCGAGCATCGTCCCATATGATTTCGGTGACATCGTACCGGAAATCTCCGTCGTCTGCGATTGCGCTAAAGACTTTGATGTTGCGTGGATTGGCGGAGAAGAAAACGCGATTCAGACGAACACGAGCGGTTTGAGCCAAAAATTTACATGTCAAGCGTAGAGACTTGGTGTCACGATTGGCTAAGTGAGAGCAAATAATTATGAGAAGCTCGGCGGGAAGACTGGAAATGCGGTCAATGCTTAAGTCCAAAGTGGGTGGGGACAGAGATTGAGAAGCCATTCAGAGGTGGTGCTGTTCTTGTCAAGCTTGATCGAAGTTGCCAGAGTTGTTTTCGTCCGCCGTACTCTAGTTACTGTTTAGTTGCTCGCTTGGGTCTTCGTGCGGCCTGGGCATCCAATTATCCCCGGGTATCAGACAATCGATTTTGCTGTTCGAAACCCCATGCAATGTAAAATAGCCGACGTGTATTCAGTGATATTTTTATTGGCCTTGACACGAGGCCAAATACGCCGAATATTGAGATAATTGTTGTCTTGGAATGTCTTGGTCGTTGCCGGAATTGCTACTGAGTATTGGTTTGTTATCACAAGGATAAGGGTCCAGCATCATACTTGAAGTTGGAACAAGCTGGAATTTGCGCCTTGCAGTCAAATAGGGAATGAGAGGAGTTGATATTTCCGCAAACATCAACTTATAGCATGCGATTGGTGCAGAAACACCTGCCAGCACATTTCAAATCTCATTTAACGAGACTTCTGTTGGGTTTTGGGCAATTGTGAGCGACAGGTAGGTCTGTGTGGGGCCAGAATTACCGTACAGCATTCCAGAGGTAGTCTTTGCCATGGTGCAGAATTCCCAACTGTGTATGTCAACAAGCTCATTCGAGGAAGTCCACAAGGCGCGCATTCCAGTGGGCAATTATGTGGGGAGGGACGTCAAAGTTGGGATAAACATACAGATATCATCATGTTTTTTTTTTTTTTTTTTTCCGTGACGGCCTCATCCTGTCCCTTTTAATCATTAATATAATCTGGGCCGATTTCATAGAGCACAATTTTGCATCTCGTCTTATTTTACTATCTTTTGTGAAATATCGTCTATCCTTCACCTTTGTCAACATGAAACCAGGTCCACTCGATATGGGCTATGCCCGACCTCTCGAGTTCAATCTGTCGGTCATCGTGAGGACCAATCCTAGCCCGCTCGACTTTCAATTCGCTGCCGATACCCTTGTTTCACAATGGCCCGTACTAAACTTGCGAATGAACCCGTTGGTATGTACTCAGTATTTAATATCAACAACTGTGCAAAGACTAACATTGAACAGAAAACAAAATTCTTGCATCCAAAGGACCCCGGTGACCTGGCCGAGGTATGGCAAGGAAAAAGTCTTAAACAAGACCTCAGCGAGATTCTCCAAGTTTCCCTCAAGCCGGACTGCCCACAGATGATTGACTCCGAGGCACTCGATAAGGCATTGGATTTTGGGTATGGAATTTCGCATGCATGGATGCAGCGGGTCTTCTCCATACGAACGGTATTCTTGAACGATTCCTGCATAATAGGGTTCAAGTTTCTGCAGCCCCTCTGTGATGCAAATGGTAATTGACGTCCCAGAAAGCAATAAAGCAGTGCAGCTAACAATTTTGTTATAGGTGCGCATCAAATAATCCAGGCTTATTGCACTCTCCTCGGGGGAGAGAACATTACCCATACCCTCCATGCCCGACCACCTTTGTCATTGAAATCAGAAGTACTCCAAAAATGCGCCGAGAAGATTGAGTCTCATCAGATTGCAGACCTGCACAAATATTCGATGCGTCGCACTTGGGTAGCCGGAATCGGGGCTCTCGGGAAGCAGATCGCGCGAAACATATGCTACCCTTCTGCGAGACGGATCGGCAAGACCTTGTACATCCCCCGAGGGCAAATCCAGGACTGGGTAGAAGAGGCCGAAATCTTAAAGGCCAAGGTAACTGAGCATGATCTCGTGGCAGCCTTTATCTACAAGGTTAGTAATCCCGTTTTCCATTCTGCCAACGCAAAATTGAACAAGTTAACTGAGACCATACCCTGCACAGGCTTCTTTACATCCACCTACTGCCCACAGCTTCGGCCTAGCCATCGACATCTCAAAACAACTCCAGTCGGAGGCAAATCTCTCCAACCCTTGGTACATGATGCCCCTACCAGATCCAATTCCAACAAGCGAATACAGCACTCCTTCATTGGTTCGACTCGCAACATACATCCGGCGTGCGGTTCACGAGGGCCAGCGATCAGAATGCATTGGAGAGATCGTCGACCAGCACAAGAGTCTGAAGAAAAGCCCCATGGTGCCAAAATCATACGGTAGCCGAGCAGCTCAACCGCGCATCGCTTCTTGGAAAAATCTGCCGCTTTTTGATCTCGATATCCAAGGGGAAACTCCGCTCTTTGTACAGGGTAGTGTTGACTACTGTGGGCTTCTGCGCGAGACCAAAACCCGCTTGGATGATTTGTTGGTGACGTGGAAAGCACAGGGCCGGGATGGGGAGGATGGTGGTTATTGGGTTCATGGGAGACTGCCCGAAGCTGTTTGGAGGCGTATGGCGGATGATTTGGACTGCTGAGGTTGATTTGTATTTTTTTTCTTTACACGACTGGAGCGTGTCTTTTTTTGAGTTTTAAAGTATATCTTTAATTAAAGGGAGGTGATAATCCTACGTTACAACAGCCTGATCTTCAATATTCTTGCAAAAGAAGGATGACTGCCTGGCACGCTCGGCAGTGCCTCAGCTTTCCCTCTTGCAGAAAAGAGAAGTAAAAAGCTATGCATAGCTTGAGGTAGGCTCTTTCATAATTGAGGAGAGATTAGTTTCATTATATTGTGTCTGCCTTGAGCAATGCGGTAATAATAGAAAATAAGGTAGATTAACCTTTCCGAACCCGAGTCCGAACCCGAACCCGACCCGAAGTCCCACACAATTGCTCTACCCTGAGAACTGAGACAATGTATGTTGTAGAAATAAGATTTTCACAAGGGTCCTTAGGCTGCCATAAAAGCTCTGTTGTGGATTTCTCTGTTGGGATCTGATCTGCATTGATTTGGTGGTCGCCTACTATGTATCGAGACGGCTTTTCCACACTCGAACGAGGGTCCTGCTATAAATGCCATCGGGGATCTGGATTTTCAATGATGATTGCTTTCATTACTATTCACATACATCTCTATAAGCAAAATTGGTCTTTGTGTTTTATAAATTCTTCCCAACAGGATGCCTTCAACTGCCTACTATGCCTATACGCCAAGTTTGATTCCCGCGGTCATTGGAGTGGGTGTATATTGCGCTCTCTGCGCAACCCACGGGGTGCGTATGCTTCGCACTCGAGCATGGGATGGTAGCTATATGCTCATAGGAGCCCTGGGTAAGGAACAACTGAGTCTGATATTAGAATATCTTCCCACTGACAACTCAATAGTTCAAGCAATGGGTCTGGGGGCTCGAGTGTTCTCCTCGGAAGATGTCAATAGCTTTGGAGCCTATGGCGTTCAAAATATGTTTCTCCTTCTCGGGCCAACACTATGCATGTTGACCGTCAATCTCACTCAAGTGAAAATGATGCGCTGTTTGAAGTCCGAGAACTTGGGTCTTCTCCCTGCTCAGTTTCGACTCCCTATCTACCTTACTTTCAACATCGTCCTTCTTTTAATTCAGGGCATCGGAGGCGTGATCCTTGCTCTGACCCATAAGCCTGGGCTGATTGGGTCGGCAACGAAGATTCTCATAGCGAGCTATGTATGCCAGATAGTATTCTGGATATTCACACTCGCGGAGAATATCTTCTGGAGTATTCGATTTGGACGATCTTCGTTCGCCAATACCCAACTCATGATGCCTCACTGGAGACGCTATAATCAGCTGTTTAGTCTCGCAATCTCGATTATTGCTACGGGCCGCAATTTAATGCGAATGACACAGCTTGGGGTGGGATCCGGTGGCTTTTTGACAGTCAATGAGTGGCCTAGTTATGCATTTGACTTTTATCAAACGGCGGTTGTTCTCATGGCGTGGGGGATCTTCTACTTGCCCGGGATTTGCAAGGAGATCGAGTTTAAACATGTGCATCAGGCGTTGCAGAATTATGAGTGTTGAATATAAGTGTGGAACTAGACAGGAATATAGAGCGATCATAAGCTAAATATGGGGCTTGGGCGCAATAGTCAAGTCCACGCGACCTTATCGTATGTGGCGACTTGGTATTTCTTTGTTGTACATTTAAGCTTTCATCGGAGATATGAGAATGCCTCTTCCACACCCACAAACCCACGCTGATGTTTGGTATATTGGGCTTAGCTCGTCGCCTTTTGCTCATTTATATGATGTCTGCGATACTAGCCATTTGATAAAAGTTACTGGTGGGAGAATGTATGTTGAGATGGTTGAACGATTGGACACGATACAAGATTCCCTGGAGCGATGGCAACCCTCGCCACCACCGGACTTTATTGAAAGATTTACTCAATCTGAGGTTGTCGGAATGCTCGCTCAGGCCAAGATCCTCCGCCTTGCGGCTTTGCTTATTGTACATCGGCTACGCTATCTCTATGGGCAATGCGACAAAGAAGCACTGCACTTTGTCCAGCGCTATTACCGCGGAGGTCGATATGGTGTTGCAATCGATAGGGCGCTCAATACCATGCATGGGACTTCCCTATATGGTTGCATGCTTTGAGATCACTAAGATCGAAGCGCGAGCAGCAGCCATTGGCAAGGCGCCTTCTACATAAACACACTTAGAATGGTATCGTCTAGAAATTATATTATTTCAACATTTGGCTATGAAGCAGTCGAACCAGCCTGACAAACCCCAAATTTTATTTATGTCCCATCATTGCAGCCCAGGTTATTCGAGACTGCTCGTCATGAATCTCGGGCTTTTCAATGAAAAAGAAGCTTTTTCCTGAAACGTGAACAGCCCGGGAATGCATCTCATCGCCAGCGACACGCATCCCCTTGGCATCTACCATATCCGATCCAGACAGTAGCTGTGATACTACACCAGTCACAACGTCCATAGGAATATATATTTCTCGCGGGAAAATCGCGTAAAACGCCTCGTCGGCAACAAGGGGCGTTTCCACCACCCCAGGGCAAAGAGCATTAACCCGGATTCCCTCTTCCCAAAGTCGCTCGCCAACAGAGCGAGTAAATCCAATAAGCGCATCTAGAAATCCGTTAGCCATACCTTGTGGCAAAGGGATTCAACTTGTTTATTCTCAACCCACGTTTAGTACTAGAGTACACCGGAGTTAGCATGCAGGGGTATAGCCCTCCGATACTCGACGTGAGTATTAAATTTCTATACCCTTTCGTCGACTCCGGAGAGCGGCGGAAATAGTGCATGGCGAGGTAACTGGTATATAAAGCGCCGTTCACATTGATATCGACAAGTTCGGAACTCGGTTCGGGGGGATGCCGGTCTCAGACTTAGCAAAGAAATCGGTGTAGTCTGCTCTTCCGGCGTTCGCGAAGACAAAGTCTAATCGGCCAGTGGAATTGAAGATCTGGTCAAATATAGTGGCTAGTTGTTGGTAATTTCGTACGTCCGCTTGGTAGAATGTGGCATTGGGGAGGAACGCTGTTGCTTCTTGGCCTCGCTCTCGGTTGGTGCCGATAACGTTCACCTGCCAGCCACCGGTCTGTATCAGGTCCTTGGCAACTGCAAGCCCGATTCCACTGGCTTTTTTTTTAACTTTGGTCAATGAATGATCCGAGGATGGTGGAAGGGTACATACTGCCGCCGGTGATAAGAGCGACCTTGGTCATATTCACGTAGGATTTGCGATCAAAGAACGATATTTCAGTGAAAGAACTTCGGGGATGAGAATATTTTGGTGGGCATTGCTTTGATCGATCGCGTGGCTTGACGCTAATCGATGGTATGCGTCAAAGTATCGCGTTTCTTTGATTGGAAGGGTCCATGCGCAGTCCGTTTGCTATCCGAGTCAACAATTGGACCGGAAGGACATTAATCAGTTTACCGCAGGCCCATAGTGGAGCCAGATGCAGCAAACCCTTGCCTCGGTTGGGCACCTGGAAAGGGTTGGGGGACAGTGTGGATCTTCCCGAGTCATGGAGGGCAAAGCGCAAGCTTGGAAATGACACAATGCGGCTCTGAACGTTGGCAATCGTCGTCCTTGCGGATATATAAAGCTGCAAGTCGGGATCCGAATCGTGACAGCTGCAAGATATTATGTATGACCTTTCCTGGAGCGGTTCAGGTGAATGTTGTCCCCAGGGAATTCGGGCTATATTCGGAGCTTTCTTGTTCGAATGGAATAGTCCGTGTGTTATAGATGTGTACCATGCTCGTAGTGTGGATAGCTTGAAAGATGCTAACTGTTTTGGATTATCCCTAGTTCTAGAGTCAACAACTGGGGGTGATATGGCACGTCAGGTCGATCAAAGTATACATACACTTGGGGTATTGCAAGCCCATTGCTATTGGGGACATTAGACCTTGCTTTGAACTTTGTCGAGGGCATTGGGCAGCAGAACGGCAGGGGCGAACAGAAACTTTGAAGACAGAAGATATCCAGGTGGACCTTCCAATGACATACTTTGAAGAGAGTCGGGGGAGACGTTGTAATCTCCGATGTAACCCCTTGCGAAGATCGGGGATCTTCAGTACAACATACGGAGTACAAAGTGGATTAGACGGATTCATGACATTTCCCATCGCGGACAATTAAGCTATGAAGCATGTTGCACAAAGCTGTGCATAGAATATCTATTAAACAATTCCAATTAAGATTGTATTTGACATTGCATTTGTGCATTTCTGTGCAACAGTCCGGGAAAAGCAACTAGAGATAATCAATCCAGGTGCAACCGAAATGCAACCGAAATGCAATCCAGCTGCATGAGACGTATTACAACGTCGTTATAAATGACAAAGACGCTGTCATGTGGATCAAATATAACGGCTAAATTCCACTAAGTTCCACTATGTGGGCTGCAATCGGATGTGTCCGCTGTCCAATGGACATATCATATCGGGGAAACCCCATACCTCAACTGTCTCATTATACGAAAATCTGCCAAAACGGCGCCTTCAAAAGAGTATTTGATAACCCGCACCGTTTTCAATTATTGGACGATCATGGCGTTTTTCGGCGTTTTGGCTACGTTGTGCGTTGTACATATGGAGACAGCTGTCAGTGAATTGAGATATTCCGTTTATGTATCTACTTCTAATTATTCTCCTAGAGCCTGGGAAACTCTACCCCGGTTTATCCCTATGTCAAAACCGCGTGGACTTCTTCATTGATAATCCCTTGCTTGGAATATAGGGATGAGTTCCGAATTTTGTTCGTTAATCTTCCGGTGTCAGAACTTAACTGCAAAGCAATGAACAATCATTCTTCGCTGTATATTTCCAATAGTTCTGTTATCTCAATCAAAAGCAATGTGCCAGCATATGCTCACATTCCGTTCAGCACGTCCTATCCACTGAGTTTTCGGGAAAAATGACTTGCAACAAAGTGGATCTCATAAGTGTCAGATCCAAATCTGATATATCCACTCTCCCAAAATGACACGTCGGGAAAGGGTTCCTGTACCGCCATATGATTGGTGAAATCTCTACGGCCAAGGCACACAATACTTCTTTGCTTTATGATCTGACGGGCCGTTGATTAACAGCATCTTGCTTTTTCAAGGCAAAATAGTCGCATAATGCAATATGTAATCGTTCGCATTGGACCGTGTCAGAGCTGAAATGCCATCTGCACCTAGGCCATGCCCTGTCATTGATGTGACCGGTAAACCTTTGATATCATCTTTGCGGTATTTTCGTAGATCTGGAAAGATATGACAGATCCAGGCTACATACATAGATGGGGTTGCCCCCCCCTTCCCCCCTCTTTCTCGTCTTCTCGAAGTATATTAAACACCCCAAACGCAGCCTTAAATGATTCCAAATCATTCAAACCAACAACTTTCTTTCGTTTAATTTACCTCGTTGTTGGAGTTGATCCACCACACCTGCCTGTCATGTCTTCTACGGAGCATTCCTCCACCCCCACGTGGACACCAGGAGACTTCGAGCACCCGAATCAGGACCTACGCCGGTCGATGATTATTGCACTGGTGTTTGCTTACACCTTGTCGACTCTCTCCGTTGCTCTGAGGATCCTGGCGAGAAAAGTGACCGGTAGCAAGCTTTTCATGGACGACTATTTGATTATGGTTGCTCTGTTCTTTAAATACGCATGCTCCAGTGGAGTCGTTGTCCGTGAGTGATAGCAAAATGCTCCATCAAACCAACTTGATACTAATACCAATATTAGTCCTGTTCAATGGAATGGGATCACATATTACAATGATCCCAGCGAAGAATCTCGTGGTTTACTTCCAAGTACGTATACGTAACAACGTCAGCCCTATATCAAGTACACGCATTAACTCAAAATAGCTCGGATTTGCCAATGCCTTTATCTACACCGGCTGCATCGCTTTCATTAAATTCTCTATACTGGCGCTGTACAAGCGACTCTTTGCAGTCCGATACATGACAGTTGCAGTGAACATCATGTTTGGATTCGTCGCTCTCTGGGTCGTGGGTGTTTACGTTGCCGGTGCTCTTCTGTGTATTCCCACCAAGAGGTTCTGGGACCAGTCGGTTGAAGGAGCCTGCCTTGACCCAGCCAAGTTCTACTATGGCATGCAGATCCCCAACATCCTCTCCGATATCATCCTCTTGATCATGCCTATGAGAGTCGTGTGGACATTACCGATTCCCAAGTCCCAGAAAGCGCTTCTTTCTGGAGTATTCCTCGTCGGTGGCCTGTATGTTTTATATCCCATTCATGCTGCAGTGGAAAGATACTGACACTCCGCGTCTAGAACCTTGATCTTCAGTATCTTCCGCCTCAATGCTATGATTCGACTGGTTGATCTGGGTCCTGATATTACGTGTGAGTATCCACCGTGTTAATATTCCTTTGAATCTCCTGATCTACATCACTAACCACTTCTCCAGACAACCAAGTTCCCGTCATCGTGTGGACCTGTATCGAAGCAGCAGTTGGAATCACAGCTGCTTGTCTCCCCAACCTCCGCCCTCTGTTCAAACTGGGTTATCGCAACTTCTGGTCTCAGATTCGTTCGTCAAACAATGTATCTGAGATATCCGAAACGACTCTTGTGAGCTCGAGAAATGCTGGAGGCACTATCACTTCCAATCATAAGAAAGGTGACTCCTATTCGATTCGGCAGACTTTTGAGATGCCTCGATATGAAGACTACAAGGATGAGAAAGCGGTGGAGAGAGTCTAGGTCTCCGTAATCTTTGATGAATGGAAAGGCTCCGCGCCCATCGGATTGCACAGGTGGTCGGGAGGAGTCAGGCGAAACAGGAAATTTTGGCACGCTCATTTATATTCTTCTTTGTGATACCTTCATTAACACTATACACCTTTTAGTCTTTTTTTACATACTTTTATGAGCTTAACTCAAAATATTATACCATTTCTTAATGTCATAAGGCTGCTGTTTCAATAGGTATACGAAGGGAATTCCAATTCATCGTACGTATATTATAGTTGTAGAAGTTTATGCTGCGGTCTACAACTTAGAGGCCAGAAGAGTAGAAAGAGAGAGTTGATTCCCACAGGAAGGCGAGCTTCCGACTATCTAGCAAACTGAGGTGTTGCTGCCTCAGGCATAAACTACGGCCTAAGGCCACCACAACAGTTTACTGAAAAAGACTACTAAAAAAGACTTGACAAGGCCGCATAAGTGGCCGACAATTCTTGTCAGATCAATAAATCCATTCCAACCTTCCTCTTTCCCTCCCCAGGTCGGGTTCAATGCAGACTTTTATCATAGAGAACATTCCAAACCTTGAAAATGTACCATCTACATGTCAGCTTCACAAATAACTCGCTCATAAAAAAACAAAAAGAAAGCAATGACCGCGATTCGAACGCGGGACCTTGAGATTTGCACTATTGAATGTTAGTATTGGAAAATGTCACTTTAGGGAGCAGAAATACATACATCTCACGCGCTACCACTGTGCCACCACTGCAATGGGATTGGATGAAGTCATCCTATATAGCAATCTATAGCAGTAAAGATTTTGCCTATACTAGTAAATTTTGACCGCCTGGCTCACGCTGGATCTTCATCCGCCGGCCTTATATTACTTACTATTGAACCTTTGAATTAACGTATTTCACTACCGAGCTAGCCACCCCACCCAAAACGCGTCTTCAAATTTGCACTTAATTCTTCAACCACCTACCATGCCACCAATTCGCTCTCGAAGCTCTAGAAATTTAATAGAGCAAGAGGGTAGGATTAGTCTTCCGCACGACCCAGTAAAACCCAGACCCAACCCAGACCCAACCCAGTCTGGGCCCAAATTGGGTTACAAACTATACAAACACACTAATTATGTGTATATAATTCTGTTTTGCAGGTTTATGACCGCTAAGACCCCTTTTTATGCAAAAACTGGGTTTTCTTGGGGCCCTGGTCACTGGGTCCGGGTTGGGTCTGGGTTGGGTTTTGGGTCGAAGGTTTCGATCCAAAATGGGTTCTGCGGAAGCCTAATAACGCTATAAACTAGGTTTTAAAGGCATACTAGATCACTATATAATCCGCCACTCTTCTTAAAAAAGAAGTAAGCGAATTACCCGCTTCTAACTAGAAGTAAAAGTAAAAGCGTGCTAGATCCCGAGGGCAGATACCAGCTAAAGTAGGGCTCTTAGTGTAGGAAGCTTCTTAATTAATTACTACGCTAGTAGGAGCAATAGAAGCACCCCCCTAGGCCATAGAAGCAGCCCTACGCCGGCTTTACCCCCACCTACACGGCACCCCAGCGGTACAATGGTTATAAAAAGCCAGGGCATAAAATTAGTAGGTGCCCAGAGAGAGAGATAGCTAGTTAAATATTAATTTCATGGCGTTATGGTTGAAATATATGCATTTAAATTTGGTGGGTTGAATATACTGCATAGCTCGCTTGTGAAATATGTTACTAATTGATCCAGCTTCTATACACTTCTTTCAAGAAGTGTGGTTGTCATGCCCTTACAAGCCTAAAAGAACTCTCTATACAAGGGTCCTAAGGCATCAAAGGAGTTACCTCAGATTGTAAACGACCTCATCCTTTACACTAAATTATGAAAGTTTGACAATTACATAACGCAACACGCCCCCCAGCTTCTAGTCTTCTTGTTCTCTCTCTTTAGCAACTAGCTTCGTTTCTTCAGTTCCGTGCCTTTTACTAGTAGCGTCAACAACATTGATTACAACGGCTTCTATCCAGCATTTTCTTCCTCCACCGCACTCCACAATCATACTCTTCTAGCTTCCACAACTAGCCACCTTGAAATTCACAACTTGAGGTATTTACCTTTGTTTCTCACACTGTGTCACCGGCCTACAACATGCCTCGCCGCAGTCAATTTCAGCGAAAACTTGCCAATGGACCTGAATACGAGGAAGAGAACGATGTGACCAAGAACCGGAGAACGTACTGCAGTGGCTGCGGGAAATTCGAGACATCTAGTCATCCATGCTTTCCAACCTGCCGAAAATGCGGTAAAAAGTTTGCTGGCGGGACTGGATGCGAGCCTATGGCCTTTTGTGGTTCCTTCCCTTGCTGCGGTTGCTGCGCCCAATCTCCCTCTCCTAGCCCAGAGAGTCATACCAATCCGGCTCTCGGTAATCCAGAGCCTGCCCTTAATGGGGTCGATTATCCAGTCTTAAAGGTAGCAAGGCAATTCCAGCTACTTAACTATATATGCTAATAAGAAACTATCATTCTAGATCACATTCCCTAACTTGAAAATCATTATGGGCCAACTTTATGATTTCCTTCTATCGGACCGTCCTCTAGAGATTGACCTGGATCGCAAGCACTATCGTGCCGTCTTTAAAGCATTCCATAGTCGAGACTCCTTCATCGATATGGTATATAACACGGTTCTTCCCGAGATCAGAGATCTACAAGACAAAGTGCTTACTGTCGATCATCTCCATATGATTCGACAAGAACAAATCAAGCAACTAGGGATCTGGGATAGCCCCCATGGTGGATACCTGGATTTTGTTACAAGTCGACTTGTTTAACACTACTGGCGACCTTACATAGGACAAGCTGGAATTCCGAAATACCGAGTTTCTACACACCACAAAAATATCCAAGGGGGTCACCAGAATTCCCTACACTACTGGATTATTACCAAAGGGGAACAGAGACAAGCGAATTTTCTTCGGTTATGGGCAATCCCCTTTCCCCCAAACGTTGATAATCTGGTGAAGGGGGTGTTCGAGAACTTTCTGGAGACAGTGATGTGTCGGGCTTTTCATTCTCTTCCACCGTTAACCCTAGAGGAGCTCTTTGGATCTTGCCTAGAAGGTGAATACTCAGGAATGGGTCTAAATGTGGTATCCCCTCTATACCAGGGCAAGCGCCTAGCGACAATGACCCGCCATATCATGTGTCAAAAATGGGATACTTCGCCGGACCCTGACATCTGTAGATGGTCAATTGTTCGAAAGGTAAATCGTGAAAATCAGTCAAAGTGGTCTCCATCGAGAAGACCCTTTTTCATAAGAAGGGACTACTGCAACCTCCTCCGGGAGGCGATGTTGAAGCATTCTCCTTTGGATCTGGATCAAGCTCTTCCGGAAGGTACTGACCAGATACCCTGGGGAGTCTTAGGAGGAGAAGAAGACCCTGAGGACCCAGGATATTGGTTCAAGACAACAATTGCCAGCCTTCAAGGGGAGGACACATCATCAGACAACCTTACACCAGATGACTTCATTCGCCCAGTAGGGACTTCAAAAGCTTCTATTGGCCTGGTATTTGGATGTGTAACACCACATACGTATAAGGCGGACGATCGCCCTGGGTCTACATCTTTCCATCATTTGCCCTGGGGGCTGAAGGAAAGCGGCTTTGATGAGTCTAACTCATTAATTTGGTCATACAGTCTTCAAAAGTTCGCGCTTATCCCTGGTGGCTTTCAGTCCCACCCCCCAGACCCTCTTAGGATCAAATTCCTAAAAGAGGCCACTCAGAAACTGATTCTAGAAGCAAGCTAAGAATCATTATTATGTGTGGCAAGGAAGTTGAGCAGGTTGTGCTTCCAGATAAAATATATGTCTCCGCTCACTCCTACATAACTTTCATGCTACATAATGTGGAATGCCGCGCCTGGGTTGAGCATGATGGTAGTAGGATACTACGTCTCTTTATCCAGTCACCATCACCTCTATCCGAGCTATGGTCAAGCAATGGACGAACCGCTCATCGAATTACAAGCATCTTTCGCTTCATCTCGAGGATCACTAGGGTGAAACTCTGCCCTACGTTCTTCGAGTCGACCCTAGTCGTGACCCTAGTTCTTATAGGGTGGTATGATGAGAAACTTGGGCGAATACCCCCAATCGGTCCCCAGGATCTTGATCCTCTGCTTAGGATTTGGCTTGCAGAAAAAGGGTTCCAGAGCGAAATGGATCTTCTACGCCTAACAGAAGCAGCTGGAGGCTCTCTCCGACGTGGGATTCATATCATGTGTTCAAACCACCCTAATAGGGCGGCACGGAGACTCGGAACTCCTAGTCGGGGGGTTCGACGATCTCAAACAAGGAAAGAATACGACCACTGCCCCCCTGAGATTTTTGGTCGGGTTCTCGCTCTTTTTGAAGAAAAGGCCCCCCATTTATTCCTTGTCAGCCGGATTAGCTCATATCCTAGGAAGCAAGACCTTGAACCCATAGGTGAAGCAATGGATGAAGCAATGGATGAAGCAATGGAGGACTCATTGATTGGTAAAGCTATGGGCCTGAGAATTTCTCCTCCTGAAGCTCAGGAGACTCCTAGTATGCCGGAGCACCTGATCCAATTTGATGAAGCTCAGACAGAACTTGATGAAGCTCAGGCAGATTCAATAAAGTTGATGCTAGGGTCAACGCACCAAGGGTGGCGAAGACCAGAACGCGGCTATGACTTTACCATCCGCCACGTGGGATTTAGTATCAATACCGAATCTCAGCCAGCTGGGGGAGCCAGCTGGTGGTTTTTGGGTTAAAGCCGAGCTTTCTTGTGTTGGTGAGAGACATCCCCATGTATGGGCCACAAATGCAACCCTCGAAGACCCCGGTTCTCGTTTGGCGATTCGTATCCGCATAAGAGACTCGGACGGCCGTGAGATAGCTACCGAGTACCCCTCTTCTGATACCTGGCAGGCTTGTTACAAAGCTAATCGAATTGTTGATGAGCTAAATGGGGACAGCTGCCTAGAAATTTCCAAAAGGCCCCGGAGACACATATTTGTTGATGCCCGCCATAAAGGGTTGCTCAGAAGACACCCCGAGCTTGAAATATTTGTGGGAGGGGCATTTACTGGTAATAATGGAGAGTTCATTAGCACCAAACGACCTAAGCGACCTAGGGAGGGCAAGGAAACCCCTAAAGAGAGCGACAAGGAAGGTCACAAGAAGTTCAAGCAGGAAGAGACTGAGAGTGATGCTTGAGTTACGCCTGGATTACCCACAATCAAAAATAGATTTTGACACTTTGACTTACTAGAATTTTGGACAATAAGTACCCTGTTGTCAGGAGAGGTCTACGTGGTGGACGTCGAAGTGCATGGTGCAATGTGAGATTGTATTGAGTAGAGAGTTGTAGAAGCTACCTAGATAGGTTCTAGACTAAGAAATCTGACACTTATATATGGTGATCCCATATGAAAGGTACCTATATCACGAAATTTGCATTTGACTAGTTTTTGCATTAGCCATGCAGACCAACTCCTCTAGGGGTGATTGGGCCGTGCGTTGGGTCGTTGGGTCGAGTAATGTATAATCAAAACTGTCAGCTTCACAGATAACTCCCGAGGTCGCTTATAAAAAAAAAAACGCAAAAGGAAAGCAGTGACCGCGATTCGAACGCGGGACCTTGAGATTTGCACTATTGAACGTTAGTATCGGAAATGTCACTTTAGGGAGTAGAAATACATACATCTCACGCGCTACCACTGTGCCACCACTGCAAGGTGATATGGCAGTATCGTTATACGCGTACAGTAGCCAGTGCGCCAGTAGAGATCTTGCCTATAGTAGATTTTGACCGCCTAGCTCACCGCTGGATCTTCATCCGCTGACTTTTCATTACTTACTCCGCATAGAAGCTTTGAATTAGCTCTTAAATATATAGTTTTTACGCTACTTTTACTAGGTAGTTGCTCTATTTCTTTAATAAACTAGACTTAGATGGATATCTTGTTATATAAATTAAATAAAAGGTCAAACTATAGCGAATTTAAGTATCAAAAATTCAAGTAGTATGAATTAAAGTGGTAAGAGTCAATTGTATATATCGAAATTCAAGCATCAAATTCAAGCATCAACCGTCAGTAGTAAATGTAAGTAGTAAATAACTATAAGTAGTAAATTCAGGTATCAATAATTTAGGCATCGATAATCCAGGTGTTAAGAATTCAAGCATGAAGACCTCGATTATCGAGAACTAGACTAAAGTCATATAACTTGTATACAGAATTGGTGCGACATTGATGTAACTATAGAATTGTATAAACTCTTGGGCTCTACGCTATGTAGGGACCAAAGGAGAGGAGGGAGAGAGTTGATTCCTACTGGGAGCAAACAGCCCGACTATCTATCTAGCAACGAGGGGTTTATGCCTGAGGCATCAATGGCGGCCTAAGCCACAAAAACATTAACTCCCTCATAAAAAAGGAAAAAGAAAGCAATGACCGCGATTCGAACGCGGGACCTTGAGATTTGCACTATTGAATGTTAGTATTGGAAAATGTCACTTTAAGGAGCAGAAACACATACATCTCACGCGCTACCACTGTGCCACCACTGCAATGGGATTGGATGAAGTCATCCTATATAGCAATTTATAGCAGTAGAGATTTTGCCTATAGTAAATTTTGACACAGGATGTGCAAAGAGGATGTGCTTCTTTTATACCGACGCGTGGGGCATAAGCTCTGTTAACTTACCTATAATACTACCTACCTACTCTATCATAATTTGGCAGATGCATTTATCTGTGCAGTAAGAGGTTTGTATAGAAATTGTATTGACTACCAACTCCTTAGTCATCCTCGACTAACTCCAGGGCTATTATGATATAGCCTGTCATGACAGCGATTGCCAAGCTCCAACCAGACAGTGCAACAAACAAAGATTCTCGCGGAATAAAAAGCATGAGTATGGAAATATTGAAATAGCCCATTTTGCTAACATCATAACAAGAAGTAAGCATCATGTAGGATTAGCTATAGAACATAAAGTATCCCATTGGAGAGCAGTATGTACTTTAACATTATCTTAAGTTCGCAGTTATTAGTTAAGTCCGATGGCTAAGCTAATTTGCCGCCATTTCCCTATAACTCGGCGCCGTCGCAATTCTAGCCTTCTTACCCCAGATGAGAAGTGGGATAGGGAGCAACAGGACCACAATCGCAATAACTGCAAGCAGAATATGCAAGTCTCGCATGCCCATCCCTTTAACCCAAGGTGTCAGTACGAAAAGCACAATCTCCGAGAAGATGTTTCGCATAAAAATCACTCCGATTAATGCGTCACTGACAATCTAGAAGCCATTAAGTCAGCAATAGAGCCCGAGTGCTCGAAAAAAAATAGGTACTCACATCTTGATAACAATCCATGAGATATGAAAGCGTGCTACCGCAAATTGAAGCGAAGAAAACCCGAAGAAGCCAAATCCCACAGCAAGAAGGGCCCAGTGCGCACCTTAGAAAGAGTCAAAAACGTCCAAACTTCATACTTTGAATGCGCTACTCACATAGGCAAGGCCCAAACCGAACCTTAGTATTCCCGCAGGAGCAATAATGGCAACAGGTAGAGCAAGCCGAAGAGGCATCTCTGGTTCGTAAATACCGCCATTGCGCTTGGACAACTACAAAATAGATTTACCGCTCAAATATCCACCAAAGGGGAACCCGAGAATAGCGCCAACAAACGGAGCCAGATTCATCAGCCTAATCCTAATAGCGTCGAAGTTATAAGGTGTCAAAATCATGTAAGACGCCTGTAGCGAAGTCATGATCGCGGACCAGCTCAGCGTAGACCCGATTGTGATAGCCGCATACGAAACAGCCGGGGAGGTAAAGAGCGCCACGACTGGTTGATAGAAATGCGGTCACAGCGCTTCGTCCGTCGGGGGTCACCAAGGCCATCCGCTGGGAATACGTCTTGAACGGAATGTCCGGGTTGGTACGTATGCGTGTAGCGAGCGTCTCACTGGCACTCTTTTCATCTGCTAGGTCTGCATCTTTGTGTGATTTAGGCGGTTCACCAGTCACCTGTGCCTCCGTGGTAACGTTGTGAAAGGGGACATATTTCGATTCCTCGAAAAGGAATATCACACAGAGCAGTGTGACCCCGAAGAAAATCACACACCACCACCACATCCACCTCTACCCTTGTGACACCACGATGTATCCCGATGCCACGGGACCAAGGTATGCGCCTGTACACTGGATGATGACATGCCAGCCGGTCATCGTGGCATGCTGGTGCACGAAGAACATGTCTGCAATGGTAATCAGCACGATGATCTCGCTGATTGCGCTGCCGATGCCGGATATCAGGGCGCTGCCCACTATATCGCCGGTGGTGTGCATCTCGGCTTTCCAGATGCATAATGCGAACTGTAGGACCAAGCTCAAGATGTAGATTGGGCGTCAGCCGTACTTGTGGACTAGCGGCATGAAGAATATGCAGCCTACGCCCAGATCGCTGTACATGACGGCTGCGTGGGCGTTTAGGATTTCGACTGTGAAGTTGAGCTCTTCTCGCATGGGACCCCAACTTGTGAAGCCGATGTCAAGTTGTACGAAGGTCCATAGCACGAAGAAGCTGACTAGGGTAAAGTTGAGGATTTTGCGGGCTGTTGACCAATTGAGGGGGTCATTGGGGTCGGCTGATGGGATTGGGAACAAGACCAGTTGGTCTCTGGATTGGTGGACTGACTTGGTAAGTCAAGTTGTATTGTAGTACTATGGATTGCAGGTGTAGTCACTTACTATCTTCCAGTCTGACTGTTCCTGGAGCCCAAATGGTCTCATCTTGATAAGTGCCGTTCTCCATAGTTGAGAGGATACTGAAGGAAATGGTGAACTTGAGCGAGCATGATGGCCATAGTCGTGTGTCTATTTAAACAATCTAGTGCCTTTCGCCCGTGGACTTGTGGAGATTTGACCACAGTCTTATCAAGTGTCTATACCTATCTAGGTAGGTATATAATGCGAGGAAACTCTAAGTATACTCCAAGGCTGTCCCTCTGCCTCTGATACTGACCACTCAGTAGAATCAGGATGCGTTAAACATACCGGCTTAGCGGACTGACTTGACAGGAAACTTGGAACTTTTCTCCGCTCATCCTTTGAGTTCAAATGTTTCTTTGTTCTAATCCCTGACATCCATTGATGTGACTCCACTCATGACTGGTATCTTCGTCAATGTCTTCCAAGGTTGTCAATTGTTAATCTAAATTTCTAACCCCTGCAAAATGAAAGCACCGCGGAGCACTGATAAGAGGAAAGCGGCAATTGACTAGAACTATATACCGAGCAACAATTCAAGCAACCTCCTTTCAAAGCAAACTCTTCAGGCTACTAGCAACTGCAGGAGAGAGAGAGAAGGAAAAATCATTCTTAATTCAATCTATGAAAAGCAGGAGCTTATACCCTGGGACTAGCAAACCGCTCAGCAAGCAAGCCTGTATAATCAGGCATCAATGGCATGATCCAACACAAACGATTAAAGAATCCTAGTCAAGTGACCAAATATAAGCACGAAACATCTCTCGACTATAATCACTCCACGGATAAACAGTAAGATCGAAGTCCGGCTGCAACATCCTCCGATTCCTCTCAGTCAATCGAAAACCATCCTCAAGCTCAGCATTACAACAAGCACACTTAACCGTACAATGACCCCAACCCTTCCTCCTATTCGGATCAGGAGGATTCTCACAACATTTGCATTCACGACCACAGCATCCACCCCGTCTCGCACAATCCTGGCGTAGCCACTCACTCTTAAGATACCACTGCGGCTGCTTTCGAATCCACAAATATCCACTCTTGATAGGTCCCACAGGACAACCCGCTAGAAGCGTGTCGTATATGCGTTCGAGACGCATATACTCGTGGTCCAGGGCTATCAACTCTTCGATGAAATCCGGCAGAACGTATTTGGCTGCTTGGTCGGAGTCGTGGTGGAATTTGTGGATACACTTCTTGAGGAAGTTCTCGTGTTGGGTGATTTCGCGAAGACGTTCTTCGGTTTCGATGATTGATTGCGCCCATCGTGAGAGCACGTCCCAGTCCGTCTCCCACCATACATGTCGCATGCCCCGTATGATCTGCCAGTTGACCCATCTGCCGGAGGTCTCTGCGACATCTTGGATGAAGTCGAGGGTGTCTTCGAGTGCTGGGAATAGCTTTTGCTTGACTGGGTTCTTCATCTTGTGGTTTGCTATTTTGGAAATGCATAGAGGTGATTTTGAGGTTATTCAAAGGGTAGACATGTTACTTACATCACTTTTTATCATCCGGTCAGTTGGTGTTGTGAATATGGTTTACGCATCCATGGTGAAACATTGGGTTTGAGTTTATTCCCATTTCAAGAAGTGTCACAGATTCGATAAACAACCCAATCGGGGTATCCCCATATTTCAAAGGTTTTTCGGCGTCTCCTTCCAGTGAGGGGAGAATGTCGATAAGAGGGGAAGGAGATCCCGAGCTAATCAAATGCAAACCCCCGAGATCGGACTCCGCATTGCATAATTCGGCCTTGGTGGGCTGTTGACTGTAATTGGAGTTAAATAATTAATTACTGAAGTTCCTGACACTGCTTCCTCAAGAGACATCACCACGAAAGTCAATCAGGCCAACATGTTCAACGATACTACCGCCACAGCAAAGCGCCGAGTGTTGGTAATTGGATCAGGTGGTGTGGGGACGATGGTCAGCGTCGCCCTCGAAAGATCTGGACAAGCATCTGTCACTTCTGTTCTCCGATCCAATTATGAACAAGTTGTCCAGCACGGATTTGAAATTGAGTCCGTCGACCACGGGAAGCTATCATGCTGGAGACCAAGTGCAAGTATGTAACTATCAAGAAACCCACAAGCGAAAACCAGCTAGCCAGTTCAGTCCGAAGCTAACACATAGATAGTCGTCAATTCTGTCCCCCTAGCCGATCCCAACACCCCATTCGACTATGTGATCGTCACAATGAAGAACATCCCTGAAGTGAACAACATCCCCAAGATCATAGCTCCCGCTATAACCCCAGATTATACAACGATCGTCCTGTTCCAAAACGGTCTGTACATCGAGCCACCAATCATCGCAGCATTCCCCTCGAATGTGGTATTGTCAGCGCCGAGTTTCATCGGCGCACACGAACACAACGGGCACATTGTACACGACGACCATGATAATTTCCACATCGGCGCATTCCGCAACCCATCCGTGGATGCAGCCCTCGAACGCGCTAAGCTCGAAGAGTTCGCGACAATCTATAACGGCAGCAAAGTCGTCGATGCGAATATCGTCGACGATATCGTCTTCTATCGCTGGCGGAAGGTGATTTGGAATGGGATTTTCAATCCCATATGCGCTATCACTCAGCTTGATAGTGCTGCGGTCCGGCGATTTGGCGGCGAGCATAGTCTAATTAGACCCGGTATGGCGGAGATGGCGGCTATTGCCAAGGCGGATGGATATGATCTCGGCCCCGGCATTGTGGATGAGATGGTTGATGTTACCCCTCTTGAGTTGAGTTTCCGGCCTAGTATGCTGGTGGATGTGGATAAGGGGAATCCGATGGAGGTGGAGGTCATTCTTGGGAATGCTTTGCGTGTTGCGAGAGAGAAGGGTGTTCTCACACCGATCTTGGATAATACGTACCGGTTTCTCAAGCTCACTCAGGCGCGACTGTTGGCTGCAAGGGGATTGATTGTTGAGCCGAAAGAACTGCCAAAAGTAGATATGATATAGTCATTTGTCTAGACTGTATTTCAGTTCAAAGATATATGGTTTGCCAATCTAGCTTGTTGGTTTCATCGTTCCACAGCATTGGTAATGAAGAACGAGGAGTGGTAACACGACACGTATTAAAATGTTTTTGTAGTTGACCTCGAGTCGGTAAGCAATAAGTGACTCTGTTCCATGAGAAAACGGTGAAGAATACGAACTAGGAATGCCGATCTCAATTGCAGGGATACATGAACTCATTAATATCAGCAACAACCCCCCAGAAAATACTCCATACACTCACAAAATCCAAAATGGAGAGAATCGATGTTCACACCCACTGTGTTCCACCCTCGTATCGCGAGTATTGCCTACATAGCGACTTCGCAGGCAGAGGCCATCCAGATGGAATGCCCGCGATCCCAGTGAGTCCCTCAGAAACCGAATACCACACACCAGACACTATCGACTTCCTTGCTAACAAGAATCCAGGAATGGAGCGCCGAAGCACACATCGAACTAATGAACCAGCTAAACATCAAGAAATCAGTACTGAGCATGTCCTCCCCAGCAACACACCTAACCCCGGGCAACGACTCGGAAGGCCGAACCGTCACCCGCAGCGCCAACATCGACATGTCCAAAATCTGCGCCGATCACCCAACCCACTTCCTCTTCTTCGCGTCTCTCCCCCTCCCAGACGTAGAAGGCTCCCTTGCAGAAATAGATTATGCACTGGACCATCTTGGCGCAGTGGGGTTTCAGATCCTGACCAATTCGCATGGAATCTACCCGGGTGATCAGCGCTTTAGTCGTGTTTTTGACAAATTGAGTGAGCGAAAGACCATCGCCTTCTTTCACCCGACTACATGTCTCATCCGGCACGATGATGACTCTCTGGATAAGGTGATACCGCTCCCTGATGTCTTGGCGCCGATTATGGAGTTTATGTTCGATTCGACCCGGGCGCTTATGAGTCTGCTTACTTCTGGGACTGTGGATCGCTGTCCTGGAATTACGTTCGTGGCTTGCCATTGTGGTGCGACGTTTCCTCCGATTATGGAGAGGATCGCGGAGTTCTCGTCCATGGTTCCCGGTCTAGGGAATGGGATCAGTGGGGAGAGGATCAAGCAGCTGTTGCAGACGCGCTTCTATTTTGATCTTGCGGGTGTGCCATTCCCGGATCAGATTCATGGTCTTCTGCGGTTGATTGATTCGTCCAGGTTGCTGTATGGGAGTGATTATCCTTATAGCCCTGCAGCGCTGGCTGAGTCTCTGGCTAGGAGAGTGGATGACGGACTGCAGAGTCTATTTGGATCGGAAACAACGAAGCGAATTTTGTTTGATAATGCGCAGGCTCTTCTTGGGGAAACCCGTGAATAGCTTACCGCCGAGGAAACCCTGATTTGCAGTAGAAGTATTGTTTCGAGTGAAATCAACAATTATCTTATTAAAGCTTAAGATATGTGATCTAGGTATTTGATCGGACGAACATCTAGACAATAGAAGCTTCTAGCTTGGAATCCTCGCTCTAGGTTAACCGGTAGCTAGAAAAACTTACCTAGCCAACGGGGAATATATTCGAGACTCAACTTTTGAAAACCGATAGAGGAATTTACACCGCAAGGGTGCGATAGGAGTCATTATATATTTCGAGACGGCCTGTAACAAATCCTCCACAATATAGATATTTATATTTAAGTATAGCGGTATATCCGTGCGGTCTATTTATCTATAGGAGCGCACGCAAATCGAGTGGCCATTCCGAGGTCTCGGGCGGGGATCACCATATACGAACTCGTCGATCTCTAGATCAGCCTGCCTCGCCTACTCGCCCCTTAAGGCTGCGTGCCGGAATAAGCAAATGCAAAAAGAAATGCAAAAAGAAATGCTCACACTCGGAGTCGAACCGAGGATCTCATGATTACTAGTCATGCGCTTTACCACTAAGCCATGCGAGCTGTTGATGAAAGAATCGCGTATCTTTGCATTATGGACTTAAAAAAGTAAAAGAGTGTTCATACCTAAAAAAAATATATGCTATGGAGTATCGTTTTTGTGAAGGATCTCATCCATGGATGACTCCAAGGTTATCCGTGGACAAGTCGCGCTTAACCAAGCCAAGCGATCTACTACACGCACGGCCCGGGTTGATTTCTCGAGAGTATTGTGTTCAAAAGATCCATGTGAGGATTTTGAGAAGCTCTGAGAAGCGGCCTGTCCTGTTTTTGGAACGCCTAAAATCCTGTTCATCCTCGTGGAGGAGCTCGATGGATGCGATACTGGCTCCAGCATCTAGGAACTCGTTAAAGAGAATCAAGTTTCGCTTCCGGCTGCAGATAGTAGTACCGGATAAATATAGTACACCTGCCTAGGTTTAGTACCCGTTAGACAGTGTTACTCCGGTGCCCCACTACATGTATCATTTTCCTAAAACTCCCCAGGACATCACACACCCAGTGGTCCGATCAACATGGCTCCTAATCTAATCAAACCTACCATCGTAGTACTTATTCATGATATGATATCATAACTAGTGAAGAACAATCACCTCCTTGTGTTACCTCAAGACCGGGTGTCACTAAAACATAAGACCAAAGTCTCATGCATAAACCAAAGAAATGCAGGGTATCTTACAACTAGTTAGTTGCTAGTGGTAAATTACCACTCTACCTCGTTGTATAACTGGTGTGGCTCTAGTCACATGTGCACTTAATAATGACGTTAAGATTAGATTGATAAGGATTACAACCCCCTCTGCTTGTGAGACTAAGATTTTCATCAGGAAGAAAAGTAAAACGGTCGAGGACACATCACCAGTAATGAGCGAAACGATGGCGAAGGGTGAAATACTGGCAGAAATTCTCTCTGTTACATCTCTGTTCCTGTTTCCCGTTCATATCAAATTGCATCGGATGATTAACCTAGGATTCTGAGTTGACTTTTGAATTTCTTCGCATCTAAATATGATTCCCACTACGAAGCCTTCTAAGAAGACTCCCTCGTCGGAAGAACCACTTCGTCAGAAGGAAGTGGGTTAAGATGAAGCTTGCCATCAGTGATCTTGCTTCCCTTGAAGATATTGTCGATCGTTCGAGCACCATGCTTATAACTATCTGCGATAAGAATTTTATTGAGCATAGAGTCATCCAACGTAGGAATCTCTTCTTCCTTCAGTTCTTCTTTTCCCGTCAACTCTAACCCCCTTTCTTTTAGCTTGGAACGAATTAGAATCGCCCGTCGAATAATGTACACAGGGTCTTGGTCAGAAGGCTTGTCGTAACCCTGTATATCGAGATGCCGATGCAATCTGCTCACAAAGTCTGGTAATTTGACAGCTCGAGCAGCCTTTTCAGCCTTTTCCTTTTGACTGTAACTATCTCCTCCTGTCGAAGGCTCAGCGGGAGTATTGATGGATCCGGAAGGAATAAATTGAATTTTGTCATTCTGAAATTCCTCGTACGTGAACCGAGTGCCTCCGATAAAGATGAAAATGGCGTGGCCAATAGGCCGGCTTTGCCCTTGGTCAAAGAATTCCCCGTCTTGCATAGGCGCGAGAAAGAACTTGAGCCATCCGAGTTCTCCATTCAAACTCGTATCAAACTCGTCAAAGCAAACAATGGGAACCTGACCCGATACTGTCTTATCACGGACGGTCTGGAAGGCAACCAGGAGATTAGAGTAGTCCAGAAACTGAGAAAGATTCCAATATAAATCTGGATATTTGTTGATCTTTCCATGTCGGATTTTTTTAGTGATCTCTTCTATGATCTGCTTGATCACAAAAGATTTTCCAGACCCTGGTTTACCAAAAACCCCAATGGACAGTGGTTTTTTCCGCGTAGTGTTGAGATCCGACTTCTCTCCGTTTGAAAATGAGTAGAAATTCTCAGCCTCTTTGAGATATTCTTCTACTCGATTTGAGATTCGGTGAAAACTTTCGACCTCCGATTTATCAGCCGTAAAAATATTGCCAAATTGGGCTGTTGGGACAGTTGACAATGCAATTTTGATTCCTTCTTTGGCAATCTTTGTACCGAGTTCGAGCATTTTTGCAGAACTAGTTTCATTTTTCTCCTTTGCGCCATGGGTATCTTTCAAGATAGACCATTCATCGAAATTGGATCCAGGGATGACGGAATCCTGAAGTTGAATTGCTTCTCCAAATGCCAACTTGGGGTATTCAATAGAGTCATTTGTATCTGAAGCTTTAACAGTGCCCTCATTAATAAGATAACGAGCGCAACACAAGCCTGCTTCAATCGGGTTCTTTTCAGATCTCTCGTTATTGTGGATTTCCTGCATTGCTTTGAATACAAGTCCACCCAGGAATGCTGCATCGAGCGCTACCGGATTTGGCGAGTGTTCCTGGCTGAAATCGCTTTCGCCTTTCTCCGGGTCAAAATAGAGGTGAGCATTTGTTTGCTGTGCACTTTTCTGTAATACAATCACACCTGCGTCGCCGAAACGAATGATCCACTTAATTTTCGTCCACTTGGTATCGGGAACGTTTTGTAGGAATTTTTCCGGTTTGAAATTTTCCACTGTATCAGCAGCAGCTTTCTCCCAAGATAAATTGCGGCTGATTGATATCCCATTATTCCGCAGGTCTTCAACGTCAATGATTATGAAGAGTTCTTTCAAGCTGTCTTCATCGGAGAGTTTCCAGAGAGCTGGGCTTTCATCTGATCCCAATTTTTCTGGACACCTAGTTTGGTAGAAGACAACAGAGGAATTTTTCGGGATTTCTGGCGTCGTATTTTCGGATCGGAACAAGGCTCCCTCAGAGTCATCTATAACTAGCACATGGCTTGGTAGTTCAATGCCTGCCTGATGATCAGGATCTGAGTCGCTTGAGCTTCTTGAGCTTCTTGGCGTTTTTGGCGTTTTTGGCGTTGTTGATGGTTTCGAGGTGTCTCGATCTTGTTGCTCTTCTTCCGGATCTTTCTGCCCAGTCAGGTCTTGTTCCTCTTGCACTTCTGGCTTAAAGTCAAGTTTGACCTTGCTCAATTCATTATTGACTGTATAAAGTGGCTGTTGACCCCGGGCCTGGTATCTGCCCTTCATGTCAAACAACTCGGTCACCGAGAAGAGAAAGTTGGTATCGCCTTTGGGGCTGATCTGAAGCTGGCATTCCTGGCCTAAATCGCGCAGGAATTTCCATAAAAGCCACGGTCCAGCCTCAAGACCTTGAAGGTAGTTCTTTCCTCCGCATTCGAACATAAACAGGTCAAACTGATCCCTGCCTAACACCGTGACTTTGGGTGGTATTTTCATCGTGAACGGCAACGATTCAGGGCGATACGAGGCTTGAAATAATAACTGGACGAAATGTAGCCTAAGGCAAGTAGGTATTATTTACATTATTCCTAGGAAAATAGCCTCGCTTTTATAGGGCAAATGGGGATTTCTCGCTCCCCAGACCCGGGACCTGCTTCACTTCGCATTCATCGAACACGCCGCAAAACTACATCGGTGGCAACTGTAAAGAGCAGGTGACAATAGATGGCCCACGTCATATATCGGATCATAAGTCATATGCTGAATGATGTTCAAGGATTCTTCTTGCATATAGCACTTCTCTGTCTGTTTCATATTTCTTTGTTTTTAAAGTGTATCATCTTTCATATTCGCATTGATATTGCCAAGGCTCATTCCAGGCATTACATTTATAACGCTACTTGGCATTTTCTATGCGACTACAGGACTACTGTGTTCCTACGAAGTAGTTGGGCCATTTATTATGGAACGGTATCGGCGTTGAAGACAGTGATGCTATCATCTAAACACTAATGTGAGGGTTCCAAGAAGCTGGATTTCACCTTCTACAATGGTTTGCCAGAGCTATCCTTCTGTGGGGAATCCATGGGAATGGGCTGGAACTCTAGAAACAAGAAAGTCTGGAACATTCGGTGCAACACCCCATAGGTTCAAGGTCAGTTTATTTAGCTCAATATAAGCTTGTTATTTAAGCTCAGCATCGCGAAGGACATTATACATTAGTTTTCAACTATTTGGGTGACAACAAAGGGCCCAGAGGTATAGATTTTGCTAATGACTGTATCAACAATTCTCAGCATTTTGGGGCCAGGTTTCCGTAGAAAAGGGACGGAGCTTTGCCTCTCGATAAGCAGGGATGCAATGATGCCGCTGGCGGCAGTCACAAGCATTAAGGTGAGAGAGGAGCATATTGCCCGGATTAAGAAGCGAATGTTATCCTGTGGTGACGTACCATGAAACGAAGACATTGTATTTTGGGACATTCGACTTCAATATCTTGGGATGTCTTGAATGGCCCAGCCTAGAACTTTGAAGGAAGGATTGGGAGATCAACGGAACATGTTTCACAGCGTTTGATGCAAGGGAATTGTCAGAACCAGCGATTCAGTCCGCGGAGATTGTGACATTGACGACAAAGCCAAGATTAATCTAAACAAGGTTAGCTCGTAGAATTGTTCATCCAATGAATTTTGCCACCTCCATAGTCCGCCTGATCGATTGGTGAAACCTGACGCAGCTCCACTAATTTTGTCCTAAAGCGGAAAGAATTTATGAGAGTCATCTGCTCCGCGTCTCGACCACCCCTGACCATATGGTTTCGCATGCGTAACGCAATATGCCATATTTTAGCGCGTATTTGGAAAGCTTCAACGCCACTGACAGTAGCTATGGCTGCTAGAAGAACTATTTTTAAGTTATATTAGCCGCGCATGCAACGCTAAAATGAAAGGATCACGTACGTGAGCCGGCTCCTAGGACAAAAGAAGCAATGGTAAATCCCGTTTGCGTGTCGTCTTTGACAGCTGCCCAAGTAATACCTAGCGCTGTCGAGAATACCAATATAATCGAAACGGCAATCAATATTCGAGGGCACTCCAACCTTCCACAAACTCCAGTGAGTTCCGCCGGCTTGGTTGACGGAGATTGAAACCCATTGAATCCACTCGTCATTTGATAGAAGTTTTTCAGAGTACCTATAAGCGGACAGAATATCTTGCTTCACAGATTCAGGAACTAAAGCTGGCACGGGACGATAATCAAAAGGGGTGAACTATCAGACTCGGTCAATAGGGTATGGATTACTATAGTAGAGAGCGAAACTCACTGATTCAAGTCGAATCTCCCTCAAGGTCTTCAAAGAGAAAAGTTTTCTCCAAATTCCGTACATCTTTCTCTCATAAGTCTTTTATTGCTCGCAATCAAGTTCTCGAATTGGTTCGGACCTGAGCACCGAGCTTTACTAATAACTTGGATCTGGTATTTTTGCAAGATTCCATTCCTGTGGGAGAGCAGATTGATGGAGCACTTAGGCTTTCCGATATCAAATGGCAGTTCAAGTGTGTCTTCGTCGGGTATTAGACGTGGTGGTTTTAAAAGACCTTTTAGCACCTTGACTAACTCCCAAGGCTATACTATAGTCGATATACAAATGCCAGGGGAATTCTATTTAGAGCGGACAATTGTTATAGGAAACTTTGCTCGATGAACACCTGGGAACGAGCGACGGGGAAACTTCATAGCATGCATTTGAGGATAATTTTGGGATAAAACTGTTGTGCTATATGTTGTGATATCTACAGAATTCATGCCAGTTGACCACTTACCACATTATAAAGCCACCTAGTTGTATTCTCCTACTTAAACCTTTAGTTTGATCGGGCTAGTTAACAAACTAGCATTAAAGTCGCTCCCTAAGCTTCCAATACTGCCCGAAGGTATAACGTAGCTAAGCTGCCCCATCAGCAAGGCCATTCTAACTATCTACTATACATGTGCCTTGTTTGCCTGCCTACGAGCATATTTGGACCGGCAAAGGACAAGGATAAAGAGGGAAATCCCCAGTAAGTCAATAGAGGGTTCGAAAATTTTGGATACAAGACAGCTACAAGGCACCAGTTATCAATCACTGGAAGTCGACTTCCGCCTTCCCTGATCCTAGCCTCCTTCCTTGATAATGAACTATGAACTCGTTAGAAGCCCCGGAAGGCACCATCTCGAGTTCAAAATTCCATTTCTTCGAGCGCACGCCACTATCTCCCACAAAATCAGGGAGAGAGTTATAAGAGATGTGCTGTCGGTTGATGCGAATTGTGCATAGTTTCTTGACTCTCGAACTGCGCCTAGATGGCGGGTTTTCATCGTCGCATTGGTAAATGTTCGTCTCATGGCATTCCCCGAACTCATCCTCGTCCTTATAGCAGGTGTAATAGTCATGTCGAACAGGTTCCGCTTTCAAGACATCCTCGCCCTAAGTCGAAAGTCAATACGGACTTGCCATATAACTCTCATGAAGTGGGATTGGCAAGAGACCTTTCGCATATACCACTCCATCTGATTCTTGGCCATGTATTTGCCTTCCACTTCGTCGTATTCTTTATCCTTTTCCTGGTGTATGGCAGCGTCATATTCTATGGAATAGCCAATACCTAAGCTTTGTCGTGCGATGGTTGACACGACAGTAAGATGGGCGCCAGAATTACCGGGTCCATCTAGAAACCCTTTAACAATCGCACCACGACAGATAGCCGTGCGCCTAATAGAGACAACAACTCAGTATACTTCCTAGATATCATATCTGAGCAGTATAAGACTTACGGTGCCATTCCCGCGGATTGCATAATTTCTATGTCTTCTGGCCCGTATTTCGCCAATAGCTGATCGTAAAGGTAAGGGCTGCAGCCGAGCCCACCAACGAGGATTATTTTCTGGAGATCTTTCAGCATCAGTCAATAACCAAAGGCTTTCTATACCAACCTGGACTGAAAGACCTTTCTCCTGCGTCTTGCTGATTTGCTGATCAACGAGCTTCTCGATGTCGGAGAAAACCGAGGTAAATGCCTTTTGAATATCGGAGCTAAATCTATCAGCCTTTGACTTAGAGAAGGGTGAACAAGTGTGAACCTTGAGAAGTGGATTCGCCCATTCTTGATGACAGGCTTTCTGGAACTATCATTAAGATCATGGCCTTGAAAAGCCTCAGCAGGAATAGGAACAACGTGTTCTTCACCATCGGTGTTCGGTGTGTATGTCGGTTTGATACCGTATTCCCACTGGTCCTTCAGGATGGCCTTGACGCCTGTTGGGCTAAGCTTGTTCCATTGCCTGCCAAGACGGTCTTTGCAGATGGTCTCGAACGCCTCGTCGACGAAGATGCCGCCACAGAGGCCACCTTGTCTCAGACATGTTAGCCATCGGGTCCTAACATGAATACTAAGAAAGTATAGAGATAGTACTTACCGGTCCCTATCACTGCTTCGTGTATTTCGATTGGACCCATGTCTCCAACTCGATAGGTGATGAGATCCTGCAAGAGTATAGTTCATCAGCACGTAATATCCAGCCCCGCGCCTGCAGGTTCCAACATCCACCAACTTACCACAGTGCCTCCGCCAGCGTCGCAGATCACGTAGACATCATCAGTCTCAATATCACGCTCACGCCCACGTTCACAGAGTGTAACAAGAGCAGCTGCCTCTGGCTCCGGGACAAAGGAGAGGGTCGTGGGGCCAATAGGACGGTCTTGTAGAATGCCAGCGTTCCGCGCAGCCTCTTCCATACCCTTGCGCGCATAGTCCTTCCATATAGCAGGCACGGTAATGACAACATGGAAGGTGAGCGCAGAAATGACCGACTTACTACGAAACCTGTGAATTGTTTCCATCGTATGCTGCCACAACGGTCGGAGGTAGTCCGCGACCAAGTCCGTCGCCGACATACCCGTCTCTCGCATCAATTTGCGTGCGCGCAAAAGAGGTTCAGACTGACGCTGCTCTTCGGTCATGTCTTCGTCCCGTAGAAGTAGCAGCTTGAACCAACGCACAGGGTCCGCGTCAAGTGGGATACCATATCCCCACATCACTTTTCCACCCTCGTAGAATAGCTCGGTGGGCGCTTTAGGTTCCTCTCTCCCGTGCTTGGGCCAATTGGTGATGATATTAATTTCATCTCTCTCAAAATCGTCCACCGTTGCCCATGCCACGCCTGAGTATCTACACTTTTGTTAGTATCAACTAATATGGGGATTGTACGGCCGGTGCTAACGTGGTTCCAAAATCAATTCCGATGACCAGAAATTCGTCTAGATCAGATTGCATCTTCTTCTTAATCTTCCCAACGAAAGCTTTGAACCCGCGTCGCTCATTACGAACTTCCGAGGTCTTTCGCAAAAAGCTCTCTTTCTCACTCGCCTTTGGTTTGCCCTTTCGGAGGAACATCTTGTGCACTCGGGGTACGGAGTAGTGTATAAAGGATTTAGAGATGGCTTGGATTGAGTATAATGGAGTTGAAGTACTAAATGGAAAATAATAGAATATCGTGAGAGTCGACTATAGACTTAAGCACCGGAGGTCACAACCTTTATCACATCTACTTGCCAGGCTCGGGTCAGCTTGCTCAATCCATTTCTTACTGCATTATACTAGCGTAGTGAGGCTCGTGTATGATTTACCTGAACTACTACAATCCATACTCTGTACAGAGCTCTGTCTGCACGTGCATATTTACCAGCAGCCCGAATTGCAATGTCTGATGTGGTATACGCCTTGGGCAGGATCTTGGCGCTTCTCTCCGTCAGTGATTGGATGTATCCTGGTTAGGCTCTAACGAACATCCATGCAGGGGATTTCTTTTCAGTGAAGCTACTAGAGTTTACCTGAATATGGAGTCGTATTCATTTTTGGGGGCCATGTTCACCCGGGTGAAAGATGCTGTACGGAGTGGCATAGGATTGATTGGATGCCTCATTTCACGCCTCGGGAACGCTAGGCAGACAACACGGACTCAAAGGATTTATCTCCATTGGATACCAAGCTGCCATCGCCTACCTTTTTGATAGTTAGCCGCATGTCCTGAGTTGTCACATTCTCTCCATTACAGGCCTTGTGAATTATTCGGCTGAGTACGGAGTACTCCCCGCACTCCGTATGTACTGACCAAAGTCATGCTCTACTGCACCCTTTTTACAAACCAAACTTGTTCACATTTAGTATCCTTATAGCTACCACTCAACAATTTCGCAAATATGTTGCCAAAATTACCAGAAAGAGGTACAAATATGCTCGCACCCGTTTTGCCACAAACGGGTTCACGCAACGAGGACACCTTAACGACCAAGCAAGAAGAAATTGCGCCTCTCAGTAAAGGAACAGCCGACGATGTATGTCCACCTACCTCGCATTCCGCACCCAGTGCGACTCCGCAACCCCCAGATCAGCTTCCTTCTGTTCAACTCGGGGTCCTCGCCGAGAGACTAGCAAAAACAGAGCATGACCTCAACGAGGAGATGCGGACACACCAACAGACAAAATTGGACTTGAAACAGAAACATCAGGACGCAGTCGAGTTCCGCCGATCTTGGCTGGACACGGTCAATGAACTGAACCGATATCTGCGTCTGGGTCACGGTCACAACCAACTGACTGATGATGACTTGATACGGCGTGTAACTCATCTACGGCAAAAGATAACAACATTTTCAGCGCAGCACTTCAGCGACGAGCTTCATGACCCCAAGGCTACGAAAACTGGGCATGGCCTCTTCAAGGACCACATGGCAATATCGCAGACTGAATATGAAGGTTATATGCGTTCCGCCAGCCTGCGCGTGAACTTGATTCAGGCTTTTCTATGGGCTTTCTTCAGAGACGAGATATTTGGTAAATTTTGCTGGATGACACAGAGATCGGGGGCAAGCGCATATCAGATATACAAATCGTTTGGTCAGTATTATGCAGCTTGAATCCACGTTGTTCGTACACGTTGGACATATCCCGTGTACCAAGCTAACGTACATGGTCCATAGACCGGCTCTACGAGGAATCGAATGACTTTGTTCCGGATGCACGACAAAGGTGTAGCATGTGGCGAGCAAACACATGCAACCTGGTGCTCGACACTATGAGCTTGCAAGGAGACAAAGCTCACGACTATCAACAGAAATGGGTGGAAAGGATGGTTCAAACTATCATCAAGCGCCTAGCCCCATTCTCTCTATCCAAACCGGCCACGATAACAGACAAATTGCAGGACTTATTTGAGCTGAGTCTAGAGCTGGACCAAGAAATTCACAGGCAAGTCGCCATGGTCACCTGGGACTTTGGTGCGCAACTACCCAGCCCATTCGACCCGACATATATGATACTCGAAGCTGGATCTCAGCAAAATGACAATGAGCTGGTCGCGACGCTGGCACTCGCACCAGGTCTCTACAGGCGTGGCCGAGCGTCAGGGGACCGGTTTGATGAGATAACTACACTCCTAAACATGGTGGTCTCTTGTGAGCGTCCAGTGTGCAGTGTATCCAATGGCCGACCCCGCGCAGGTACAGGGATTAAGCAGATAATTCAAACCTGGTATAGTTAGATAGGCACCGGGGGTAATCAAGAGGATACGTCCTTCGAATGTTAGTTCCCGAATCTTGGAATTCAAGAAGACTCTGAGATGGAAACTTTAAACGACTCTTCTCTACAAACAAACTGAAGCCAGCTGAGTAGCCTGTAGAAACCTGGCAAACAAGGTATAAAGGCATCTAAACACAATTCCTTCTTCTTCTTCTTCTTCTCTCCTCTTTTGTCACTTATCTCTCATTCTTCTTTCACTCTGCTTTCGGTCTTCTTTCAGTTTTTCTTTAGTCTTCCTTCACATATCTTGATCGGCACACCTCGAACCATAGCTGACTATCATCCTGAAATATTCCTACATCTCATGCAGTTTTCTAAAAGTATCACACTTGCATCTCGAGCAAACCCCGCCTCGACAAACACTCCACTGCATCACTTGAGAAGTCTCATCACAGTTGGTCAAAATGTCGCTTCCCATGGAGATCCAGCTCAACATTTTTCAACAAGTGGTGGACACCCTCCCCTGGAAAGACGTGTGGAGAGCAAGGCTTGTGAGCAGTATGTCGATTCCTTCAGTTATGGCAATACAGAAATCTAACTCTTCTAGCCTCCTTCAATCATGAGGTTACAGCACTCATGATCCAAAGCCCCCGCCTCGAAGTCGAGGGCTTATGCTTCGAACCTGGGTTTGGCGGGCCTGAACAGCAGGGTCACGAAGCTAGTAGGTGGACTTGCTTTCCCATTCGCTTGAAGCGCCTCTATCTCCACCAGAAGATTTGAATGCACTCTCGCAGCCCATGTGTGTGCTCGACCTTTGTGCAGGGCATCCTTGACCTCCCGAACGAGCGCAAGAGCGCTGAAGAAACAGACACTTTGGTCAATAAGCTGATTGATGCTTGGTTATGTGGCAGGACCCGTGTAATGCGACATTTTTTTGGCCCCAACCATCATCGAGCCCAGATGGAATGGGCTATCGATAGTCCATACGGAAGCTATGTCGAGTGGGAACCACTCCACGAAACACTAAATCTTGCGCTCGCAATGAGCGCCATTTACCGCAATGATTGTTCCGAACTGCGCACTCTGCTAGATCAAGGTGTTGATCTGGCACAAGAGAGTGTGCGGTTCGGAATTCTCCCGCTCGCAGAGGCGGCTTTTTTTGGGTCCCAAGAGATTACAGAGATCCTTGTGGCCAACAACTGCCCAGTGATCTTTGGCGGGATTACAGAATTTTACCCTACTACCAATGCGATTTCCATCCATATGACACGGAGGAATAAAGAGGGCTTGAAAGCGTGGGTTGACCATCTCAAAAGGTCCGCACAGGATATCTCTGAATACTTTGACCCGTGGGAGATCGTGACATTTGCAAGCCCAGAAATGGTGGAGTTCATCGATGACGAGTATGGGCACGAACTGGACAGACCTCTATTACGCGGCAAAATGCTCAATGATGCCATTTACTCCAAAGATGTGAACGAAATGCGGCGTATATTGGATCGAGGTGGAGTGGATATCAACAAATTGGAGGGTGACGATGGCATCGCACCGCTTTATGAGGTACTGGATATCCGAGAATCTGCTGACGTGAATGAGATCCATCGTCAAATGGAGAGCAGCGTCCAAGCTGTCCAGTTTCTTCTCGAAAACGGGGCTAACGTAGATGGAGATATGAATGGAGGAGAGACGCCATTTGAGTACGCAGTCTCAACTGGAAACATCGAGGCTGCCACAATCCTATTTGAGTTGGGCGCTACCGTGGATGAGGACCGCATCATACCATTTTTGATGCACAGTCCCCATGATTGGACCAATTTGTTGCGCCGGTTCGGTGTCCCCTAAGGGAGGATATCAATAGATTGACCACTTCGTCAATCCATATCTAGCAGCTTACTCAAAATACAAACTTGTCAGATAAGAAAAGAAGAAATGACTACTTAGCATGGCGATAGAAAGTGATCATATGCCATTTCCTCTACTGTTAGAAAAAGAATGGTATGATTGTTTTCCTTCCATTGCAAAGCTATCCAATATTATTATTGTTTTTTCTTTCTTTTTTCCCAATTCCAAGCAAATATCCTCATTCCATGAGCAATCTTGTAAGCAAATGTGTAAGAACCAATATCAAAATCAACCTTCTCCACCGAGCTCGTCTCTTAGATCATATGAACAATCTCATCCCGGATTGACGCAATGATGGCACCAGGTGCACCCTGGTTCTGCATCTTCTTCAACTCGAGTCGAACCCACTCGGAAGCTTTCGCGTGCACGAGTTCCCAAACACCCCTCGAACCCATGTGCTTCTTTAGCAGCCATCCCATTGCGAGCAGAGTCGCGAGAACCGTTGCCTCGTCGCCATGCGGAAACCCATTCTCTATGTCTCGATTGGCACTGTCGTACAGTGTGGCCAATTTCTTGATTGTTGCGCTCATGTTACACTCCAAAAGCTCGAAGAGTTCGTTCGACCACTTCCAGCTGCCTTCGAAGGTTTGCAGCTGAATGAGCTCGTGCATTCTCATCTGCGGAGATTTCGTCAAAGTAGGAGTCGGGGGCATTGCAACTGCTGTCATTTGGGGTAGGGGATAGCTTGGAGCTGCGGGTAATGCAGTTGATTGACACAGATAATTCGAGCCTGCATATCCCATGGGTGCAGAAGGTGCTGCTTTGTAGCTGTGCCTCTCGTCTCTCTCGTCTCAAAAATATTCACAAACCGCCGGGATCTGGTAATACTGCGGGCTACGACGTACACCACCAGTGCGTACGCGTGGTGCATCTGAGAACCTAACAGAGGTTGCAGCACTCAAGAACCTAGGAGCACTCAAGGGCCTAGCAGACTGTTGAATAGGAGAAATCCGCTCTACAGCATGTTCCATCGGGGTATGTTGTTCATCCTGTTGTTCCGAAGATGAAGAGCTGCACTCTTCCAAGGCCACGAACGAGCAGTATTTTCCAGTAACTTGGAACTTGATTCCCAGGTTCTGGCATTCACGCTCTGCAAGTCGCTGCTTTGTTTCAGTGTGGAACTGCTTGAACTTGTTTCCATTCTCATCCTTGGCATGGGAGAGCCAGCCGTGTCCCTCTTCGAGCTCGATCACGGCCTTGCGCGAAGCCAGTTGATGGATTGTTTTGCCAGTCCCGATGTCACAGATTGGAATTCGCTGCTCCAGTGGACCGTCGTTGGAAGTAGCACTGAACTTCAGGGACTTGGGAATTTTCTCGGACGCGTGCGGGTCCGTAAGGAGAAAGACATTTCTCCTGATGAATGGGTACAACGGTGGGATGCTGTAGGGAGCTTGGATTGCTCTTGGAGGGGTGAGAGTGGGAAGCTTTTCAGCCGCTCTCTTTTCGGCATCAACATCCGTGTTAGGTTCCTGGAAGTTCTCGTCGTACAATGAGATCGGCTGCGCTGAGTTGCGTGTTGTTCCTTCCATGGGAACATCTCTATCTCCCTCCTTGTATTTCACCTCCGTCTCAGAGTCGAGACTCTCAGTCTCGCTCACAAAATCAAACTCCTGCTCCGTCTCGGTGTCGTATTCAATTTCGAGCTTGTAGTCATGGACATGGGGGGTCAGGGCGCCCTTCAGCATGCGGACGACCTTGCGATCGAGTTCTTCATACTCGGTAACGGATTGGCAGAATCCATTGCCAGCTCTTGCAATTCCTTCGATCAAAGAGTGAGATGCTGCTTTACCAATGCCAAGGGAGAAGAACCGAGCGGTATTGTCAGCAGCCTTTTCGCGGACGAAGTCGAACAAATGGTCCTGGTGGAAGATCTCTCCATCAGTGAGAATCAAGACATCCAGATCTTTGAAATTGAGTCGATTTTGCACTGTGGCGACGACTGCTCGTTCCATCTCCGTGCCACCCATACGCGCCTCGATGGTGTCAACGAAAGCCAAAGCCTGATTCAGGCTAGATGCATCGTACACCTGGCTCGTTGGCCACATGAAGGAATAAACACTCCCAAAAGAGCAGATATTGAAGCAGATACCGACAGGCAGTGACTTCAGGAAAACTCGGAGTGCAGATTTCAAGGTTGGGATTTTGGGCTCCATACTTCCACTTCTGTCAATGACAAAGACCACCTCGGGAGTAGCCGGTCGGAGGCTGAATTTTGGCACGAGGGTAGCCATCAGGGCTCGCTGGTTAGGAATAGTGGGGTGTCTTTCAAGCAATGCGCAGGGTGTATCAAGCCCATCCGCTTTGATAAGAACAACAAAGTCTTGTTCCAGCACCACAGATGCATTGTTCTGCTGGGAAACCACAGAGGCAGATGCTTGCGATGGTTCAAAGGCAGTGGATGTTGCTAGTGTAGAAGACACACGTCCGAGAGAGACCTTGACCCGGTGGCTTGGGGATTCCAGTTCTCGGAGCACCAGCCCCTTCTCCATCTGAACATCAACGGTGATGGACATCCCTTGGAGGTTACCTGGTAGGCCGAATGAAGATAATGAAGATAATTGGGGTTGATCGTAGATCGCTTGTCCATAGCGAGGAGCGATGGTACTCGGTAGTGTGTAGCGAATACCGTCTGTCTGGGAGTCTTGTTTCAACTCTCCCACGAAAGTGATGTCGACGTTGATCTTCTCGCTAGCAGGGAAATTGCCGAGTCGAATGACAAAAACATCATTCATGGAGGTGTGTTCCATGACAGCAGCAGTCTGATGCTGAGCCACCGCATTTTGGTAGTCCGCATTGGCTTGCGACTTGTTCTTCACCTTACTGTGCAGGAGACGATCTCCCACTTTGCATTCGAACCCGACGACACTGACGCCATCGTAAAGTGGGAATTGGTAGGATATCTCTTTGATGACCCTGTCGTATGGGTTGACAAATGTCTGTTTTAAAGTTGTACTAAATGACCCTTTTCTAAAAACAATTGTTCAAGCCTGCGCAGGCTTATCCGCATCGTTGCATTTTATCTGTAATGATCCTTGGCCACGAAACAGAAAGAAAACCTGACGTAAATACAATTTCATTGATGCGGTTTCATAGAATATCCTATAGTAAACTCAAGGTCTTTCATGCGGACTAGCAGGAACAAAGCTGATTCCGGGAGCCTGGCTTTGGTGTTCCCTAAACTACTTGAGGGTAGTGACGGTATCTGAATCCTAATCTATGGCCAATAACAACTACCAGACGAGTAGTAAGGGTTGCAGCCTGCTATTGACCCGTACCGTAGCTCTCAAGCACAAAGTCAACATCTTTGTCACCACGCCCCGAAAGATTGACCAGTATCCTTTCTGATGAAGGGCGCTGCGATGCCAATCGGATCGCGAACGCCACCGCATGCGCGCTTTCCAAAGCCGGGATTATTCCCTCGACTTTTGCCATTCGGAAAAAGGCACCGATTACCTCCTCATCAGAAATCGCTGCGACGGAAAGCTGACCAGTTTCATGAAGCATCGCAATCTCCGGCCCGATGCCCGGGTAGACGAGCCCCGATGCCACGGACGAGACGTTTGCAGTCGTACCGTCAGCTTGCTGCAGCACAATCGATCGAGCACCATGCAACGTCCCCGGTCTGCCGTAGGACAACGTCGCCGCGTGTTGGCCCAGTTCATCGGATTTGCCCAGCGGCTCTACTGCGTGCAAAATAACATCTGGGTCGTCAAGAAAGCCTGAATACATACCCATTGCATTGGAGCCACCAGCAACGCAGGCAACAACATGCTCGGGCAAGCTACCATTCGTGATGGAAAGAAATTGTTCGCGGGCCTCTTGGCCAATGACACCCTGGAAGTCCCGAACAATCAGGGGGAAGGGGTGTGGGCCAATAGCAGATCCGATAGCATAGAGAGCATACGCATGCTGCTCTACGTACGCGTTGAAAGCCGAGTCGCTAGCCTCCTTCAGGGCAGACTGGCCAGTGGTCGCTGGCACTACGCGTGCGCCGAGCAACTGCATGCGCCCAACGTTCGATCTCTGTTTACTGATATCGATCTCGCCCATGTGGATCTCGCATTCAAGACCAAAATAAGCAGCTGCAGTTGCGAGTGCGACGCCATGTTGGCCAGCGCCGGTCTCGGCAATCAGCTTCGTCTTGCCCAATTTCTTGGCGAGAAGTGCGAAGCCAACACAATGGTTGATTTTGTGCGCACCTGTGTGATTTAGGTCTTCTCGTTTGATGAAGATCTGAGCGCCTCCGACCTCCTTCGAGAGATTTTCGAGATAATGGATCGGTGTTGGCCGCCCTTGAAGCCCGGTGCGCACCTTCTTGAGATCGCGCTGGAATTCTGGGGATTGACACAGTTCCTGGTAAGTGGTGGCCAATTCTTCTAGGGCTGGCCGAACCCCAGGTGGATAGTGATTGCCACCAAACTGGCCGAAATAACCTTCGGCATCAGGGTAGCTTTGGGAATGGGAATCCTTGACGCTCGACATTGTGACTAGTCCTCTGGGAAGAAGAGCAGCGATGATGATTATTACGGTTGGTCGCTATCGAGACAGATCACTAACTCAGCATCTAACTGAGCCTGATGACCATCGCGACAAAGAAACTGGACCTAAGGGAACGACACGTGTTCTGGCCAAGACGATTAGGGGAACGACACGTGTTCTGGCCAAGACGATGTAAACCCCGGGGGCCGGGGCTGCAACCGCATATGAGTCACGATTGTGCATCTTTCTACTCCGTAAGCAGTTGTGCAAAGCTACTTACGCCCATGTATGTCTTCTATTCCGTACGAATTGATGGCCCAATCAACATGCGAGCCCTGAGAGGGGGTGTGTCGGTCGCGACTCGCGCGACGCTAGAGCGGCGCTCATGATACCACCCCGTTTCTTTCATTTTCTCTGCTCCTGTACTGGGCTCTTGGGAAATGAGCACTGAACAAAAAGCCCAGTCTCAGAGCTCGCGAAACGAAACTAACAAAGGAGCTGCAGAGTGAACATGTGGTCGACAAGCCCGCTTAAATTGTCCGATCGCGGTGGGGCTGGGAAGCCGAGCCTCAATCAGTTTAGGGCTTATGCTTTACAGTATGGATGGATGGATGGATGATTTCATTTACCCCGACCCCTCGCAAAGTTGGTTTCTAAACCATAAACCACTAGGCCGAGTACGGATTCGTATTTTAGTCTAGTTGGGAAATCAACTCGCAAAGCGATATGCAGGCTACAACAACTATATATATCCGTGTACGTACATGTAGAGTGATCCACTTCCTGAAAACGAACTTAGAGCCTCGTCAAGGCCTATCGTGGCCTAGTTGCCGCTCACGTTGTTAGGCTGCCCTCATGGCGCGCGACTTTGGAACCGTTGTGACGCCTTAGTGAAGTCTAGCACGGCCTTGACTGCCCTAGCCCGCGAGACGGTGTCTGGTTTACCTCACTTACCTTCAGTTGAGCCCCCCAGCAGGCTCGACATACTGTTAAACGCGTCCCCAGCTTCACTTCTTAACTCCCATCGAATGTCCCACAGATTTGGGCAGTCCACCAGCATATGGGTGACTGTTTCTTGCGCGCCGCACACGCACCGATCATCGTCGCGGAACCCGAAGGTCTTGGCATAGGTGGATAACCATTTATGGCCTGTGCGTAGCTGTATCAGCAGGTACGCCCGGCCTCTGGGCAAGTTCCCATACAGCTTCCTGGTGTAGGCCGTCCGCAGAATGCTATCAATTATCCGCAGGTGACCGCCTTTGGTAGATGCTTTCCATTCCCGCTCCCACTGAGCGCGGATGGTGTCTTGGATAAGCGCCCTCTTCTTTGTCAGTAAAGGGCGGAAGGGGTGTGTTTTGCCCGGGCTTGCCGCGTCCTTCGCCAGTCGATCTGCTTTGTCGTTTCCTGGGTTGTTGCAGTGTCCAGGTATCCATTGGAGACGAAGCGCGATTCCCTTTGCTCGGTCGGAGCCCATCCGCTCATTCTCCGCTGGCTCGGTTTCCTAGCTTCCTTGGCCGTTTGTGGGCAGGCCCATTGTGGGCCGGTGAGGATCCGTATGGCTGTTTCCTCTATGATTTGTTGAATTCGTAATTTGATCGGGGTGATAAAAAGTTCTGTATCGAGTGCTGCCCCCGCATCACGAGAACCTAGCTCGTGAGCCATGGTAGGTGAAATGACTGACTTAGTTGTCCTGGAAACTGGGCTCGGGTTCCTATTCTGGGCTTTCCAACAAGGTCTAGACTTTTTGATTCTCCGTCAAAGAATACAACCAATACCCTGGATTTGGGAGTATGTTCATAGTGTCTGTACCGACAGGTAGGAGAAGTATTAGTAGAGGCAAGATCAGTTGGTTGCGAGCAACACAGAAAAGTACCGTTAGCGCGAGGCTAGGCAAAGAGGATTGTAGAGGGATCAATGGGAGGCACGTCTTATGGCCAACCACGGGTACAATCGAATGTGACTTGTCTGCCACAAAATCTCCAACCCATTATTGCGGCATCTGTTGAAGCACTTCAACCCTCATGAAAGAGACGGTGACCGTGGCTAAAACGGGCAGATGTAGAGTGCCACCGCGTTGAGCGATTTAATTGCAATTTCAATGATATGTAGGAATCATATTTTTGCGGCGTTACTTTCTTCTCAACAGGTGAAGAAAGTGGTTCACCACACTCAACGCAGGTTTTTGAAAGCAATGAATACAGGTGGAAACTTGAGTCTGTAGGCCACAAAGACTCCAAACACCAGTTCAACGTCGTTTATCTCGCTTCAACGCCTATCAACGAGACAGCGATTCTCGCTACCATCTGCGCAACTGGTTCCTTGGTAGAGACGTAGCCGAAAAAATATAAAAGGGGGCGGATTCCCAACCCAAAAAAATCAGGACTTCGGTCCTCACACTCCGATGTGTCATGGTGCCCTCTCGTGCCTACGGGCTTGAGAGCTTCCGTGACCACGGCTGGCGCTGCCACGAGCCCAGCGATGTAAGGCTTGCGCTCCCTCACAGCCAATGAGCCCTGTGTATGTAAAAATGTGCTTCGCAGGATGGGCTCTGCGTCAACAAGTGTGCTTCGCAGGATAGGTCTGCGTCAACAATAATCCTCACAGGGGGGGTGCTACGAAACCAAGGACTTCAGAGCTTCCGTGACCACGGCTGTCGCTGCCACGAGCCCAGCGATGTAAGACTTGCGCTCCCTCACAGCCAATGAGCCCTGTGACTGTAAAAATGCGCTCAGTCATGGCAAGACTTGGCTCGCCAAGGACTTGTCATCGCTCCCCAGCGATGTGCAGGCACCTCTCCGTGGTGCTGGGGACTAGTATTCGAGTAGCCCAAGGGCCTTCGAAGAAGCAAAGACCTGCACAACATCTTCATCTTCTTCGTATTCCGAAGTATCATCATTGGAGAGATAGAGTGAGCCCTAGATAGATGCCTATCAATCACCAGAATCGTAAATTCACGACTAAATCTTCTTCGCTATCTAGCGCCGTATTTTCCACCCTCCTGCCTTGATAGTTCGCGGTCTGCTAGTCCATCCGCCGCAATAGAATGCATCTGCCATCAGAGCGTAGAGCGAATAGAGACTTGAGTGTTTGGGTGCGTCGCGGATGTGTTGATGAGCGTTGATGGTCGTTGGTGGTCGTTGATGAACGTTGACGAGGGTGTTGATGAGCGTTGATGGTCGTTGATGAACGTTGATGAACGTTGACAAGGGTGGTATATGCCCGGGTGGTGAAGGTGAGTGGTCAACGTCTCACGGCCTTAGCGCGAGCCCTTTCTTGCCATCTCACCCGCATGACAGCAGATGTATCAATTTTGTTGTTGTTTCAATTCTGCGTTATTTCTTGTTCGCTGGTGGTCACTCAGTGAAGTTCGCATACAGCCTTCAATTCGATTGAGCTGGTCGAACGCAAACGCCGGATTTTCCTCGATGCGATAGACTGTTCCTTGCGTAGTCAAATTTATCGCTTCAGGCGGCTTGCAAGTCACTCAATCCTACTCTACCCTAGAATGCCTACATCCTAGAACGGTCGCGATAGTCAAATTGGATTCGCAGCAAAGACAACCAAATTATTGACGGTTTTGGCTCAAGAACATCCGATCGGCTCCTTCTACATATGGGAGCCGTCGTCCCCTTGTAAATAATCCCTGGCAACAACTACGATTTATATTGTGAGCCCATCGCCCATGTAGTAACCACACTGCACTCAAATTGGCGATCACCGCTTTTTGGGCGTAGTACCCGAGTCCATGCGATCAAGCATACTCTGCTGCCCAGAGAACATGGTTGCAGCCGGATCGGGGTCTAGCAAGCGCCATCTTGACCAGATCTGGTAAAGACGACTCCACCAGCATTTACGACGGACTCTTGTGGTGTGATCTACTTGGCTTGGAGCCGCATACATGCCCCTATTCCATCCCCCCCGAACGCAATCACATGAAGGCTGATTAGGGGTAGAAACTTCAGCATAGGTTGTCGGAGATAGTCAAAGAGGTCGCACAGCAGGATAACTCTTGGTGGTGTTGTTACGGACATCAATGCCACCTTCACAAAGGATCTGCTTGAACAGTGATATACCAGTCCAAAGCGCAGTGTGTCTGACCAACAGTTGGTGCTCAAGGACACTCGACGTGGGGACGTAGAGACTCGGCCATTTCCTCGCAAGAGCTGCTCGCGCGCGATATGTTAGAAGACGATTTCAGTGAGAAATGAGACACACGCTCGGCTTGACTAAGCTCCAGCTGCAGCGACCTCTAGGGTGAATAACCTTTGCACATGTTGCTCGGGCTTGGGTAGAAAAGAGCGTGCTTAGACATCAAAACTACCCAACATTTGTCCAAAGACAACACAACATTTCTGACAGCGCCCTCGATGCAGCGTCGTGTATGTCCGGTTAGTCCATTGCCGCTCGTTCGTATACATCGAGCGGCTCAGCAACGCGGAGTAGGATCAGGTAGAACAGTAAAGGTCACTGATTCGTAGCTCGTGGCTCTTGAGTCGGCTCGGCTGTGACTCGGGACTAGATGGTCTCCTTTCTCAGTTTGTAGCTGACATGGCCATTGTTAATCTGTAGGCTCGAAATGACGGGACTTTTGCCTCACCTTTTCCTTGCACACAGACTTGGACTAACAATCTGGCCGTCCGCGAAGGCATTGCTCACCTGCCATGATGCAAGACAAAACCACCAGCATTCCTCGGGTCTTTGAAGTTCCAGGACTGAAAAGACGCGAGATGTCAATCGAGGACAATGAGGATCACCAATTGGACGCAAGTCATTCGATCCACAAGGAGGCTATTCTTTCGCGACGTTCGAATGCCGAGACAGACGGTGGTTTAGCCCATTGTGCCTTGGACTTTGTATCGGGTAGAGACACCAGCACATGACTGATGCACAGAGTCGACTGAGAGAAGGGCCGAGGTCGGCGATCTAAACTTTACATTGACTCATCATCGATGGCGCCAGTAGTCATGAGGAAGTGATAGACAGCGTGCGATCGCATCGGTATAGGGGAGCTCGAGCAGACAAGACACTTGCTCGCTTCGCATTCGACTCGAGTGACGGTAATATGAGGGGACCTCCTGTTGTACGATCCGAGTCAGCAAGGCTTGAGCCACTTGGACAAGTTGTTATGACTTACCTGTACATAAAGTTCGCAGAGTGTACGCTTGCGACGGGACGATCAATTAGCCTCGTGATCATGTCAGCTTCCCGACTAGATCACTAACAGTTCTCTTCGGCAATGCAGTCACCATTTATGCCATGTTGTATTTATGTTCGTCGCACTCTCCGGCTGTCGCTTCGAAGAAGCCGCGCTGGGTGCACCGGGAACTTCTGAAACGTCAAAGGCGCGTGACAAGCCCACCTCTGATTGTACAGTCGTAATGGGATAAGACCTCGCGATGCGGACGGCCAGAGGGAGGTTCATACACTCCACCTTTCATGCGGTGAGGTCGAGGGCGGAAGACGCGATGGAGCGAGCACGCGTCGCAGTGCCACCTCGGTCTTATCTCCGATCCGGCGATAGAGGGACTCCCCACAAGGATGTTTCACGGGTGGCGATGGGCTGCTCCTATGTACAATGGCATGAAAATCAGTAATAGTGTTCGTGTTTTGGAGCTCAAAAATTTGGACAAATAACTGGATATAGCGCAACAGAAGCCGGATAAATCACTTACATTACCAGGAAGAATGGACGTCTCAAGCTTCTATGCCGCGAACCTCACAATCGGATGTCCGCACCCTGTTATTGGCCAGCTCCTTTGATTTATATTCTTCACCTAGGGTAATGTATGCTGCATGGTCTGAAGCGACGGGACCAGGAATGGTGTGTAGGCCATGGCTTTGTATTGAGCACTAACGGGGGTGCTGTATCCTCGGGGGCCACTCTGGTGCGATGTCAATGGTTCACTGTCATTCATTAGCTTGTAGATCAGCGAGACAATTAATGACTCACATGTTCTGGTGGCCAAGATTAGGGACGAAGAGACGGCAAAGAGCTGTTGTCCTTGCGCTCGTGCGTTGTGGTCGAATATTCTCAGTTCTATCGGAATCGCATCGTTTTCAGGATCAGTAGAATTCAGACAAGTCAGGCTAGGATTCACATACCTGCGACGTGGATATTCGCGCTTTTGCCTTGGAAATACACACAGAGGCTGTACAGTAGATCAGCTCAGTCAACTGCTGTGGCGGAGGCCTCTTCCACATTGACCAGCTAATCCAAAACTCGTATCTTTGATCGGCTGACGTGAATGGCAGTGCATCTGGTGGGAATACATCTCTCACATGCGCCGTCTGGCTTGCTGGTCCATGATGTATTCTATAAAAGTCAGCACAGCGGATTTTAGTACTGGGTCAAAGGGAAAGAACTTATCAAATGCCTCGGGCACAAAGCTTGCTCGATTTTGCGTAGTCAAGTGATAGAATCGTAGAGCAAATTGCTGTGGGTAGAGGACGTATTTATAGACTTCTCGGCTCATCCTGTCGCGTAAGTGCTCTGCTTGCGTCGAGGGACCTCTCTTGAGGCCTGTTGAAACCCGTGTCTTCTTTTTGCCGCAATTATTTGCAGCGACATCTTTTGCCTTTGGATGCTCAGCGAGAGAGACGAGTAAAAGTAGTGTTGGGGAAAAGGGATGCTGAGTCGGTCAAGAAACGTTGATTGACTGTTGAATTTTTCACGGCCCTCTTAAATTGAGGCTTTGTAGGAGATATTCAATCCGCAATGACAGGCTCATATTTCTTGTTCTGATCACCTCATCTGTGAGCGACTCAACGTTGAATCACCGAAAAGCGCCTACAATTTCATCCCTAGAAATCATGGACTTAGTTTCCTAGCCTCGCTTTAGTGTTGTGCTGGTTGTGTTGAGCTGTGGGTCTGTCCCATCAACCCGTTGAAGCTTGGCCACACGTTGTCTCAATTTCTGAACTTTGACCATCAAGATACATTGGGTTTATATTTTGTTTTGTTTTCTTAAGATTTGTTTTTGATGGCTGTGAATCCTACAATGTTCCGTTTGTCGGATTTCTGAGGCTTTCAACGAAAGTGGAAGAGGTGTCTGATTGAAATATATCTCCTCAATAAGCGTTCATATCTGAGCCTCAACATCTATGCAGTGGCTCGAGTGATGTTAATCACAACACCAGTGTCTTTCCCATGTCTAGACGCTCTACATCGAGCATAACGTCTAGGCTGGCATTCTGCTGTTTGCGACAAGATCGAATCAGAAATTTTCACTCTTGATTGGGCATCTACTCGTACTCGGTACATGTATAAGCTTTAATAACAAAGAACGTTTTTCATGAAAACTGACCTTTTGCACCCTTGAAGTTCAATTCCTCTTCTTGTCGAACTAGGTATATATCATCCAGGAGCTGAAGTCGTTCAGGGGGAGATATTTGACAGCGAATCGGTCGGTCAGCTTCTCTCAATTTATTGACAGTGATTCCGTGACTTGCTAGCAGACCGCGCACAATGAACCCTAAAAGCCGGATGCGTTCTATTTGTGTTAGAAAGCAAGGATTTTGAACCGACAACACCACTTACCAGCTTTAAGTAGATGGTCAGGCTCTTGATGGCTGACTCCAGATGGCCACCAGGGTGGCTTAGTCGCCTCTGGATCAAGCTGCTGTTTTTTGCCAGAGGTATTTATCCGCCCATTATACGGGTAGACCATCTGCTTCCTCGGTTCAATAAGTTTAATGTATCCTTTTGCAAGAACCCGGCAGTTCGACTGGTTGAACTTTTTGAAGGCCTCCTCGTACCACAGAGCCAGTTGTCCTTCATCTCCAAGAGCAAATGCGGCGCTTTGCTGGCTTTTTCCATCAAGATCGACCGAATAAGGTACGCGTTGAGATTCCAAGCCATTGCAATGCCAGTGGTTGTTTTGTTCCACAGCTAGTTCAACTGGAGTTCCTAGTGGAATGTAGTTTTGCGAGAATCTATCACTTTCTAACAGTCGTTGGTCATGTAGCCCATAGCCCATTTGCAATGAGTGAACGTCTTGCCCATAGTCTTCTTCAGTCTGCACTGGAAGCACTAGTGATGTGCATCAGCCATCACCGTGCGAGGCTCCCATTCCAGAGAGATGTCATAACTTACGGCCTGGGTGAAGTAGGCTTGTTTGCGCCGACCTAGTCGCGTTCAGAAAAGCCTCCATTACCCTGGGGGTCAGAATCGAGTGGCTGTTATTAGTAATTGATGGGGACACCTCGTGATGAAGCGTGCCTTTCGCATCGAGGTAGATGAGAGCATAATACGGATGGAAAAATCCAATATGTCGCTGTATTGTGGCCATCTTTGCTTGACATAAGTTGAGTTTATAGATGAATGCTAGAAACCGTTTCCCGTCAGTGTTTACGAACGGGGCAGTGGACATTTATCTAGCCCCACGCTTATCGCCCGACCCCTTGCGACCGGGCCAATCCAGCTCCCCTTTCTCACACAAATTGACGACCAGGCCAATTTGACGGAAGTAATTGACACGTAGAATCCAAACCCAAATGATCTTCAGGTTGCATATAGGGATTTGGTTTCTATGAAGCTATTGGGCGCCTTCTGGCTGCGAGACGAAGCTAAAATGTCGCTATCGGTCCGCCATTATGGTTGAGGATGCAATTCTCAACTAGCAGTGAAACCCAGTCGAATCAAACATTCCCCTCCCGTCTTATTCTTTTCGGTCGTTCGTGTCCAGGTGGCGCGACGCGAAACTGTTTAAATGGTTTTTTTGACAGCGCAGTAATGTGGCGCGCTTCTCAATCGCGCTCCTTCCTCAGCATCGAACTCTAGCAGGAAACAAGAAGTGGTGGCTCAATTTTTTTTTTAGGGTTTTCAATTAGTGATCAGATCGCTTTTGGTACCTTTGTCTTCAGTGTTGTATTGTGCGTTCGTGTTCCCGCAGGAAGCCCCAGGACCATCAACCAATGCAGTGCAGAGAAATCCCAAGAAATGTGCCTACTGCAAGAAGCGCGGCCATGTGGTCGCAGAGTGCTGGAAGAAACAGCGCGAAATACACCCGCCCAGGGACCATGCCCTGAAGGCTGAACGGAGTGCTTCCGGCTCACCAAGAAACAATATGCAAACATACCATCAAGCCAGAGAGAAGATCGGCAGGGCCCGCCGACTTCCAAGAGACCGAGGATCAATATTGTGAGGGCGAGGGTGACGACCCTTTATACCCAAGCACCGCAACCCCGGTGGATCCTGGACTCGGCCGCCACCAGCCACATCTGCTGGGACCGGAGCTGCTTCAGCAGTCTGCGGCCCCACCGAGAGATTTTGGACACGGCGGGCGATCCAGTGGAAGCCGAAGGGATTGGTACGGTGAAGCTCACGCTCCGGGGGAAGTTCAACGAACCCCTGGTGTTAAAGAATGTGTACTTCGCGCCACGCGTCGGGATGAACCTGATCAGCGTGCCGAAGTTGCTGCGAGACCGCTACTCGGTGGTGGCGCACCCGCAGAGCGTCTTTGTGCAACGCCGAGGACGGACTGTGGGGACTGTTCACCATGCGGAGGAGGATCTGCTGATCCTGCGGTGCCATGTGAGCAAGAGATCCCGTGAACGAGTCCAACTGGCGAGGGCGCCGACGGCTTATGGCCATGCAGATTCCCTGGAACCGCAGGCGGTGGCCATGGACGTCGACGATCCTCCGGAGTCAAGTGGCGCAGAATGCGCAACGTCAACCTCTGAACTCGGTGGTGAAGCTGTGATACTCGAAGGAGATGCGTGCAGAGGGGTGGACCAGGCCTCCGAAGCGCTGTGGCACGCTCGGATGGGACATCTGAATCAGGGAGGCTTGAGGGTGGTCCTCCGGCAGACCGGCACTCCGTACCGACCGCTGACGTGGGCCGAGCTGCTGGCAACGCCGCAGTGTCCGGTGTGCATGTTGGGTAAGCAGCATCAGAAGATAAAATCCCACGCAAGACGGCCACGTCTGCATTCAACGAGAATATTCGAAATGATCCATTCGGACATCATGGAAATGCCAGTTGCCAAAGATGGTTCAAGGTACGTGATCACCTTTACTGACGATTATTCTCGCGGCTCGTGGGCATATGCCATGAGATGGAAACACAAAGCGCTGCAGAAGTTCCGACAGTCCGAGGCATGGGTGTACCGACAGTTCGGCGCTCAGATCAAAAGATTTCTCACCGACAACGGGAGAGAATACTTGCCCATTGGAACACACCTCGAGCCCCAGGGAGTCGAGTTTGACACTTCGCCACCCTACTGCAAAGGGCAAAATGGACTGGCCGAACGCACAAATTGCACTATCCGGGAGCGGATCAACACGCTCCTGTCCGAAGCGAACCTTCCTCCTTCCTGGTGGACCGAGCTCCTGGACACGGTGGTATATCTGAAGCTGCGCGCGCCAGAATCAATACCACAGAAGATCACACTGTATGAAGTCCTTTACGGGAAGCCGCCATCGCTGTTGCAATTGTGACGGATCGGATCCCGCGCCTGGGTGCTCATCCCGAAAGAGCGTCGAGCCAAGCTCGGACCCAGATCATCCGAGTGCCGATTGCTAGGTTACTGTGAACCGAACCAGTACAAGCTATATGAGATGCATTCAGGAAAAACAGTCTTTTCCCGTGATGTCGAGTTCGATGAGAGGACCCCAGTGGCGCCACTCATCGAAGGGGAAACAGGCAACGACCTCCCGGACAACACTCCTCCATCATCTGTCTTTCCACAAGCGGTGCCCCAGTGTAGTGGTAGAAATCCGTGCTTGGAATGCCGAAAACATCATATTGTCTGTGTTCTCGACGAGTGCTCTGAAAAACGACGGAAAATTCATCCAAAGAAAACGGAAGAAGAACTCAGGTACTACCAAGAGTTTTTGGACGAATTTCTGAAGGCAATCCGGGTTTCTAGTGAGGCTGATGTCCAACAAATCATCGACGTTGTGCGGTCGGGATCATCGATCAGTGTGGTCCGGGATGCGGTGACTCGCCTCATTTCCGAAAGTTATCATCTCGGACGTGCCTCCTGACTTGTGAAGGTTGCTAGCGTGGAATTGCTATCTATATAGAGAAATGACGGTTGCCTGCGGCCGTCTTATTATTTGGGCTCTTTCGCTCGGCCATCCACTTCCACTTCTAACTAATTAGGTAACATGATGGCACGTTTGTGCTTACTCGTTAATATAACACTAAGCTATCTGTTATGATTCGGAAACCAACCGCTTAGCAATATACTTAGAGAGAGTATCCTTTGTCACAACCCAAGTAACACCCCACTCGATCTGGTAGTGAATTGAGTTTGTAGATTGTCCATCCCATATTCCGCCGTCCTCCTGTTCAACTACCGGCAGAAACCCCACTTCACTGGACCGTGGTTGATGCAAGGGGGATGGACGTTCATCAAGTATTTCCTCGGAGCTGCGTGAAGGGCAGACATGGATCCACGGTCCAAGTAACCGGGGGTGGGGCGTACAAAAGAGTCTGACCCCATATATCGGTCGATGAGTATCATCATCATCACCAAAAGGTGTGTAGGTCATCCCTCCGAGGCAGAAGATCCAACTGAATATTCTAGTAACATCATTGTGCGTCAGCTTAGGAAAGTCAAGAGGGTGTCAAGACTCAGGAAGCGTCAAGAAAGGGTTGTGGCTGACGGGCTGAATATTGTGATAAACTGCTCTTTCCAAGTGCATCCACAGTAGCCTGCCATGATGGGCTATCACGCTCAAGTAAAACAAGAGCCAGAAGAATGGAGTGCTTATGAAGAGGTCAAATGGGTAAAGGGCAGGGAACAAGGATAATAGAAAGTAATGTGAGATAGAATACGTCGTGCTGAGTACTGATTTTGATAGATAGCTGAAGGATGAAGGAGAAGAGATGTACGAGCAAATTGCAAGCTTATATAGAGCTGTACATTTGTACTACATTTGTAAAGGCAGCCAGATGCCCGTTGCTACCTACGGTTCAACAAATGCTTGTTTTGACAAACAACTGACTCTAGATAAGATTTTGATTCACTGACTCATTTCATTCACTTGGGTCTACCTGGGTAGGTTTGGCTATGATGACTGAATTACACCTGGGCAGCTCTAGATCCCGACGTTTAACTACAAATTCCGCGTTGTATATGGCTGCGCACGTGTTATTAGTCAAAGAGGTTTCTGTTTCCAAGGTTAAAGTCAATATATCTCTATTTGCAGTAGACCTACGAGATTTCTAGGTATGAATAGACAGGAAGAGGCTTCCAACCCGAGGGAGTGGCTGCTTTTCTATGCGTATGCATTTGGCTCCAGGTCATTCAGAACTACATAGATCTCTCGCAGTTTAATACTAACCGTGGGTGGTACGAAGTTAAAATATTCCGAAGGCCTCAGGTTTTTTTTACTAGTTGGTTATGGACGGCGAAAGCAGCAGTTTGGTGTCCTAAACCAACCACAGCCCAAGTCCAATGATCAGTGTTATAAAAGCAGCTTGACAACCTTAGCTGATGATTTCATTAAGAAGGGTGCTCGGTACTACCGATTATGTATCCATGCCTAGTAACTTTTAGAACCAAAACAGCACCTCGCCAGGTGCCCAACCAATGCCCATATCGTACATTCCACGTAGACCTCATGAATCCAACCGAAGCCTGCATATCAACAAGAAGCAAATGGTATGCTTACAGCTTGCCCTGCATCAAGTTGCCGACCATCTCACGGGCAGTGATGCGCGTGGTAGCCCACAAAGTAGGGAAGTCCAGAGTGCTGGAGAAGGTATCGGCGTAACCGAAGAAGAGCATGGGAGGGATCCAGCCACGGGCGTACTCGAGCGCGAAGCAAGACTCATCCATCTTGTACTGCTTGACCTCGCCGCGGACGAGGTGGTGCACGCTACCGGCCGGGTAGACCTCGGGCTTGAACTCTCCGGGAACGTAGGCGAGCTGGGTGCCCTGGAGGATGTTGAAGTAGTCATCGGCGGTGTGGCGGCCGGTGTGGCCTTCGGTTCCGATGGCGGTGCCTGCGGAAATTAAATGTGGTTAGAAGGGGAAATAGAAATGGTGGTAGACCTTGGTCGCGGACGCAAAACTCACCGAAGATGATCAGGTACTCGGTGATACTGGCGTGGATCACGTACATGGCGCCCATGGCGCCGCCGGCGTTGTTGAATACCCACTCCTCTTGGGTGCTCAGGTACTTGGGGCCGACTGTCTGCTCCAGTTCGGCAACAATGAAGTTGACGATGGAACGGGTGTCCTCGCCGTGGGCGCTGATAGCGCGCTGAGACACATCGTGCAGGTGCTCCGGGTCGAAGAGGTAGAATCGCTCAAGGCGCGCATCGAGGTATCGGTAGACGGCGGAGAACAGGGCCAGGAAAATGGCCAGGTAGCTGAGGGTCTTCAGGGAGAAGCAACGACAGCGGCAGCCGGAGCTGGAGCTGGAGGACTTGGAGGATTTGGAAGGCATCTTGGGGATTGGGAAAGGGTCCTGGAGTAGGAAAGAAGGCAATCGAGCCTTTAAATTTAAATTTCACCCCTGGCGAAAACCCCAGAGTTCCACCCGGTGGGGCATCAAAGCAAAACAATTGAATAATAGTCACACCCTCGCTTTTGTTCAATTTACTATGTAATACTCCGTACAGTATAATATATAAACAATTCCTTGCTCAAATATGTCTCATATCTTAATTCAATACATGCACCTCCCATGTACTGGTAATATCTGCCCAGTGCAAATGGTTTGCACTGTTTGTATGGATGTGTTTGGATGTGTTTGCATTGTTTATATTGGACAACAGGCCATGTCGGATGCTCACAATCCGAATTATCGTCTCTTCTATTGGCCAATTGTCTTCGCTATCTCCTCTTGTCAATGATGTTGCCTACTCCATACATTGTACTCTGTACACTGTTCCAACATAATCCAGTCAAGTGATGGCTCATATCGGATTGCCGTGATCCGTAACCGATATGCGGAAACTACCGCAGACCGCGGAACCCGATGCCAAGAGATATCAAACTTTATTCTTCTGTTATACTCCCTGATTTCCAGGTCCTGGTGCCTCCAGCGATTTATGTAACCATGTACCTATCCATCCATGGATGGATGCGTGCCTTCCTTATTTGGGTGCCTTCCCTTATGGTCAAAACTCGTCACCTACCCCAGTTTGCTCATCGCCTTAAGCCACTGGGAAAATATAAATACCCTCCCCCCCCAACTTTCTCTCTCTTCTTCTTTGTTCTCTCCTCAACGCTCCAGGTCCACATTGCACATCGTGTTCCTGTTGTCCGAAGGGTATCCTGAGGGCACTGATGATCTTTGATGCGGTTCAGGTTAGGCTGAAATGAGCTGGGGCTTCGGTCCTGGCCCAGGCACGAAACATGTGAGGCGGACATGTCGAAAGAAGCTCCTGGGGAACCCACCCTCCCTTAGGAACCAATCGGCAGTCTTACCCTTACCTCTGTGGATACTGACTGTACTTTCCTGGGTTCTCCATTGACATTGGGAGCTGAACACTGTGCTCTTTGAGCCAATTTTTCGTGCTTACCTTACAGAGATAGCTCTCTGTTGTCCACGGGTTCCCGTGGACGGTTCTTCTTTTCAATGCTGTTTGTTGACAGCGTGGTTGCCTAAGGCCTGGCTGTTTGTTTACTCCAGAACTTGCTTGATTGATCCTTCTCCTTTTCGTACGTGTTGTGTTGTCTGTCAGCTATGAATGTTTTCCCATTGCTTGCTGTTTGATTCTTAGCTATTTAAAATTCTGAATTGTCTTTTTCTTTTCCTTCGCCCTCGTCCCTTTTTCTTGTGTCATGCTTATCTCTAGTCCCTTGAAGACTAGTCGTCGGATACTCTATATATGACGGTTTATTGGTGTTTAGTAATCTTGTCACATATGGGAGCCACTCTGTTTCAGATAGCTAATGCTGCCTAAAGGAAATGATCTGTTCCCACAGGTCAGCCGCACAGTAGCCTCCCTATACAGCACCTTTTGGGGTACTAGCCATAACCTGTACCACGGTCCCGTACTCTATAGACACATTAGAGTTAGGACACGAAGTGATTGTCATTGGAAACTCATTGGAAACTACGCTTACAATGAGCGTGGATTCCACATATCAGTATGAAATACTTCCATCAACACCCATCTGGTGTATCCAAGATCAAAGACAGCTGCTCTTGCTGCCAATTGCTCACGGAAGTAGGCGGGTTGGTACGCGCACGATGTGCTTGACTCCTGACCGCTACTGTCTATTCCAACGGGTAACTTGAGGGTGGTTCGTGCTTGTTGGGGCTTTGACTTCTGTCGTCAGCAACCTGCCGTAGTCGATCTATGTCAAGGATTTGAAGCTAGCAGGCTGAATACAGGCTAAACACAATTATTGTGTGAATATCCCAGGAGATGACGACGATTGGGATGCATTCATGCCTGAGCCAAGCGCCTCAGGATCAAGGTGATCTACTGTCAAAGGATGTCAAGAACCATTTGACCCCTGTAGTGGCAATGGATTTGAAGGTTTGAAGGTCAAGATGTCGATCATGACCCATTGAAAAACGGTCGGATTTCCGCAATCTCTCTGGCTTGGAACAAATATCCAGCCGAGGTATCGGAGTTAGCATTATTTTTCCGAAGATGTCTTAGATTTCGATTATTGATTTGCGGGGTGCTTGCATATGCATGAAGAACCGGCAGAAGTGACGATGTGGCTGGTTCACCATTCTCCTTGCGTAACTCCTCTTGACTTGACCATGTTTTTGACGGATTTTGACATTGCACAAATGCATACAATGGCCTTTGTGCCAGGCAACACGAAAATATCCAATCAGTTTACCCTCGGAGAAATTTCGCAGATACTCTAAGCTCAAGTTTCTTCAGGGGGAATCCCGAATAAAGCGGGTACCTTCCAGTAAACAATGTCATATTTGACCGCGTTTTCTTCTGGAAGCAGCAATCCTCCCCGTTCTGCGACGCCGTCGTCCCACATTTGCTGCCGACGCGGCGGAGATCTTCCCGAATCCACAGGAAAACGGATAAGACCTTGCATAACCACTGTCTTCCCCAATCTGCAGTGAAACGGATAAACTTCTGCATGACAAGGATCCACGATGGGTAAAAAGGTGCACGTTGTGGCTACGGCAATCTCTTTCCCGGTACTCCGTCCCTGCCCCATGCAAGCTTTTTAGCTTTTGGTATTATCCGGATGTTGTGGAGTCCCGGTCATGATCTCGTTGGATAGGGAATAGCACGCCCAAATATCGAATGTGAGACAGGAGTACTTGGTGCTCTATACGAAACACGAACCCACCCCCGGTCTAGAATCCAAGTTATTCCCTAAACGGACGACTTCCGAGAGAAGAGAAAGCGAAGATGGCATGTATAAAGCAGACCGGAAACCCGACTCCGTGATACCAGAACAAGTACCATTTCCAATACCAACACCTCCCATTTACCCAGAACACCAGTTCCAACAGCCACAATGAAGTCCTTCATCGCACCCATGTCTCTACTTGCCCTGGCTCTGTCCGCCATGGGCGACGCCGCCAGCGTCCGTCGCGCCACAGAAATCTGCGACCAGTGGGGCACCACCACGACGGACACCTACATCATCTACAACAACCTCTGGAACCTGGCCCAAGATTCCAACGGCAAGCAGTGCACCACACTGGACTCGAGCAACGGCAACAAGATCGCGTGGCACACCTCGTGGTCGTGGGGCGGATCCGCGACGAACCAGGTCAAGAGCTACGCCAATGCCGCGCTGAAGTTCACCCCCAAGATCCTGAGCACTGTTAGCAGCATCAAGTCCAACTGGAACTGGAGGTAGGTCTTGAGTGGTGGATATGTGGTCACTTTGGAATGAACAGCTCCCGCTAACCATCTCTGGAAATAGCTACTCGACCACCAATATCGTCGCCGATGTCGCCTACGACATGTTCCTCAGCTCTACTCCTGACGGCAGCGAGGAGTTCGAGATCATGGTGTGGCTTGCGGCTCTGGGCGGTGCGGGCCCGATCTCGTCCACTGGCAAGGCCATCGCTACGGTCACTATCAGTGGTTCCGAGTGGGATGTCTGGGTCGGTCCCAATGGTCAGATGACTGTGTACAGCTTCGTCGCTAAGTCGACCGTTAAGAGCTACAACGGTGACCTGTTGGACTTCTTCAAGTACCTTGTCAAGAACCAGGGTCTGGATAACAGCAAATACTTGAAGACTGTGCAGGCTGGCACTGAGCCTTTCACCGGCACTGCTGAGTTGACTGTTTCTTCTTACTCTGTTGCTGTTGTTTAAATCAGCATTTAAACGGATTTAGCACAAGGGTATAATTGGGACTTGGATTGCTCTTACTCTGTTGCTGTGATTCAAACAGCTAGTTAGATGGTGGGATTGGACTTGCGGAGATGGTACATTGGTTAAGAAATGGAAATCAATTTGAGATTCACAAAGCATCGGAATGAGCGATAATCTGCACTACCAAAAATAGAATGATGATAAGACACATGGACAAATTGTGTACCTAGGTACTATCAACCTGCTACTCCGTACATACGGTCGCATTTCAGTGTTTCAACCCAAGACCACACCAACACGATCTCTAACCGCCGACCAACACCTGAAACGAGCCCTACCATTCTGAAACCGCCCCATCCCAAGCGCCTAGCTCCCAAGCTCTGAGAACTCCAACGGCCCCATAACAATGATGGAGCCTGGTCCACATCTGTAGGAACACCTGTGGGAACACCAAAACATCGCTAAACCGGTATCGAGCACTCTCAACCAACCGCACAACCAACTCACCAACAGCGAGACGCCAGATCCTGAAACGAGGCGCAGTCTCACACATCCAACACCAACATTCCAAATCGCCCACTGATTCGGCTCAGGCGGAAGGGCGGGTGACGACCCGCGCATGTGGTCTGGGGTAGGAAGAACGCAGGAGTAACGCGCGTGGAGAAATCTAAGAATAACAATAACACAGTAGTAAAGACTTAAAATTAGAAACGCGAAACGTCGCAGCGCTTCCACGATGTTGGGATTGTAAGCGCTGGGCGGGAAGGCGGGAGGGGAAACCAAAGCCCTGGAGGGTCCTGGAGGGCCCTGGTGGGGGACGGGCGCTTATATAGATTCATTTAGATGCATATGCAGTGTGCTTCTGTCTTTTTTTAGTAAGTAACGCAGTACGGATAACTAAGTACACGCTAAGAGTGCTATGCACGGAACATTGCATGCATCCCACGGCCTCTACTGCATCGGGGAGAAAAAAAAAGAGGTTGGGAAGAGGACGAGGTTGGTAAAAATCGATAGATCCAACGGGAAGGAAAAAAGGAGATCGGGAATGATGTGACCTGCCTTATGTGAGGTGGATTAGTCGGGTAATTCCATTTGAACTTTACTTTGGTATTTCTCTTTTCTCGAGGTCATCGGGCATGTTTGAATCCCCCTCGAACACGCTTCGCGCCATGACAGGGGGTTGGGGTTGGGATACAAGGGAAGCAAAGTACGGAGTACAGGAACATTTGACAGGGATTCCGTGTGTCTCGCCCCACGGTGATCAGATCGGGAACTGACAGGTTTCGAGTGATTGGGCACTAACGCGAGTTCGCGGCGCCAACCTGAAATCGCCACCTTTTTTTCTCAGCTGAAGTCTGTTTTTGGTGATGATTGACTTGTTGGTTTGTTGGATTGTTGGTTGTGAGTTGGTTTATGGGTTTGATTTGTAGAGATTAGGCAGTAGAGTAACATCGATAGGTTACTAGATGCTAGATACTGGATACTGGATACTGGATTCTATTTTGGTACGCGTTCAAGGAATGGAATGACCCGCGCATAGATATGAGACGGTCGTGAGTTTCATACTCCGTAGTTCAGGGTGAATAATTGAGTGGAGACCTATATTGTATGGCGATCCTGGATCAGCTGGCTTTGCGATGTTGGCGATGGATGTTCCCAATATGCTCCTTATTTTTGTTTTTTATGTCGAACATAGAATACTATCGCATTAAACCGAGTAAATGAAGTAAATCAAGTTAAAGTCAAACCTGGAAAAACCAACCGTAATACCCATTGAAAATGAGGCACAACCCTCTATTGGATGAATCTAGGGATAATAACGCACAGGTACAATAATAGTCTATCAAGTGTACATCATCCGGGCTCTCTCGACAAATCAGCTCACTTTCCTTCTCTCAGACTCCGCGCGCCAAAAAGGTTGGAGCATCTTAGATTCAACTATGCAGGTTCGCTCTATTCTACCCCTGTGCTTGGCTTATTCTCTCTTCTAACTGGACCCGTCCTTGCAGGGGGGAAAAAAAGCCGTACCCCCCTCTACTCCCACTCTGGCGCATACCAGATACTATAACTAGAGAGGTATTCCGCCCAGATTCTTCACGAGATTCATCCACATGCTCAACGTCGTCATCCTTTCCTTTTATAATTCCCTTTTCTTTTGATCGTTCGCCTTTTCTATAATAATTTTGTCACCGAAACATTATTTCCAATCTATTGCCTACTTGCAGTGAACTGTGGATTGTGTCTCGAATAAATATCCGGTCTCAGTTGATTTGAAGACTCAGTTAGGGCTATCGATAGGCGTTGACACGACAACCCCAACTATCCCATCCTTACTGCAACATTCTTTTTTCTTTCAAAAGAGTACTTCATCTGAAAGGTATCCTGCTGGCTCAGGAATTCACTTTTCTCTATTCGACATTGTGTGTGGGTTCTTTGATCTGATTTTCGCTTTTGCTTCACTTTGTGTCGACTCTCATCTGATACAAACATAAAGACCTTTGTCTTGCGTTTGCCTAAAGATCGTTGAATTGGATTGTCCGAGACAATCGATTTGTGCCTTGAAATATTCTTTGATCTCTGCCCGTTTGCATATTTAATTCCCATCCTCGACCTCTCTTCTCCTCCGACATCCTCTACCATATCCCTCTATCACAATATGGATTCATTGTCGCTCAACCGAGCAGCTCTCGATGAGTTTGTCACTACCCGAGTCACTCGGGAAATGGTGTCACACCTGGCTCAACAGGCAGCTCAAGTCATCCGCTGTGAGGCGCATGTGACCAACACTGTCAACCAGAACGGCCAACCTACACCACCATCCACCCCTCCAATGGAACCCTCTAACCTGCCTGCTCTCCCCTCACTCGAGGCCTTCATTGCCTCACTCGTGGCCCGGTCGCAGGTGCAGGTGCCCACTCTCATGAGCTGTCTCGTCTACCTCGGTCGTCTTCGTTCTCGTCTGCCACCAGTCGCAAAGGGCATGCGCTGCACTGTCCACCGAATCTTCCTCGCCTCGCTCATCCTCGCCGCTAAGAACCTGAATGACTCCAGCCCCAAGAATAAACACTGGGCCCGTTACACCGCAGTGAAGGGATTCGAAGGATTCGGCTTCTCTCTTCCCGAGGTCAACCTCATGGAACGCCAGCTCCTCTTCCTTTTGGATTGGGACCTGCGTATTACTGAACAGGACCTCTTCACCTACCTCGAGCCCTTCCTCGTTCCCCACCGCCAACGTCTCATCGCCCAAGAGCAAGAACGTCTCGCCGAAGAGGAACACCGCCACAAACAGCAACAACACCGCGAATGGTATGGCATCCCATTCTTTAGCCTCTTATAATAATCACTAACCCACCCCTAGGCGCCGACTGCACGCATCAGCGGATCTGCTGGCCAGCCGCCTCCGCCGCCAAAAGCTCGAAGCCCGCGGCGAGACCCGTCGCGCAAACGACAATTCCATCCGCCGTCTCCCAAGCCACGTCTCCTGCCCAACAATGCACAACACCCACTACGCTACACAGAACGCCGCCGAACACGATCGCTACAACCCCTACCAGCGCCAGCGCGCATCCCCCACCCGAACCAACCGCTCTATCTCCCCGCCATCTGTCCGCGACGTGCCACCCCTCTCCCACGCCGAGACCTTCAACTCTCTCTGCTCGCGCTCGTCCAGTCTCGCCCCAAGCTCAAGAGGCACACCGGCCTCCATCAGCACAGTTTCCTCCCAGGGTGCCGATGACCTCATGCTCACGGATTCCAGCCGCAGCCCGTCATCCCTCTCTCTCAACTACAGCTACGTGAACGTCGCACACCTCGAATCAAAGAAGTCTCTCGAGCCTATCCGCCAGCCGTCCAAGAAGCTGAAGACCAGCAACCACGCGCACAGCGGCGGCTTCGTGGCTCGCTTCCTGGCTTCCGCAACAAACTCCTACATGGGCGGTCGTCGATCTCACTAAATCGAGCTGGCTCTCGGTTTCTCTTCTCTCTTTTTAGCAATCTGATCTTTACTTAATCACCGATGCTATTCACGCATCTCTCATTTTTCCTATCTCTCTGATTGTTGACTATCTCACACATTCCCATATGACTTTTATTTCCTTTTCTCATTTCATATTCCTGCTTTGAAAAAGCTATTCCCCCCGTTGATACGCACATGTGCCAATACCCCTAGCTCACTGCCATTAGATGTTCACATATATCATCTAACACCGGTGTATGAGCCTGATTCCGCCAGAGTTGTGATCCTCTCTGCTTTTCTTTTTTCCCCCATCTATTCCACTCGCTACTGCATCTGCCTCGTGCACTTCGGAGTTTGTATGCCATATGGTATTTCTTATGCTTGTGGCCTTACATTTCACTCGTTTTTCACTCTGGATGCTACCCAAGAATCACACGCTTAGACTTTTTGCTCGCGCTCGCGCTCGATCGACGTTGTACTTTTGATGTACTTACCTCCTACTTGGACAATGAAACTTAACACCGATTTTAGACTTCGTACAATACTGTAATGTATAAGCTTTATTGTAATCTAAAATAAGAACCTAGTACATATGGTGCTCATATGTACCGGATAATGCCTGGCACTCGAAACCTTTCCCTTTGCGTTTTAGCGCTCACCCCCTGCCGCTCTTTGATCACTAAAACTGAGCATGTCTCGAGGTCCCTGAGTATTCTGACTTGATCACGGGCCATTATATAATCAACGTGATCTGCCACGGAACATTATCTGATCACTCTGATTTGCTCACTGAGTGCTCACTAAGTGTAGGAGACTCTTTCAGATAGATGATGTCATTGGCTCTCAACACCCAAACCTTTTGTCAAGTTCAATAGCTACGTTGTACACTAGCTACGTTGTACACTATTCATGTTCTTCTCGATCTCCTCTTTTTTCTCTAATGGCTACCTAGGTATTAGAGAGAAACTGCACAAATCGATACAATATTCATCTTCTGCCCATCATGCGCGTCGCAATCGCCGGTGGCACTAGTCCAACACTAGGTTTCTCAATTGTCTCAGCTCTTCTCGCCACGGATGGTCGCTATACCCCAGTCATTCTATCAAGGGAAACTACGATCTCGAAAAAGCAGAGCCTTGCTCAAAATGAAGTTGAAGTGCGATGCGTGGACTATCATTCACAGACTTCTTTGGTCACTGCGTTGAAGGACATTGACACAGTAATCAATGTTTTGCTCATCCCAGGCCCCGAATGGGTGACCGTGCAGCTGAACCTCCTTCATGCAGCAGAAGCTGCAGGCTGCCGCCGCTTTGCCCCATCTGAATTTGCCCTCACTTCTTCAGCCCACTCGATGGTCGACCTACTCGATGCCAAGAATAAGGTCTGGGAAGTTGTTCAAACGTCGGTAAATCAACATCGAATCGATGCCGCTCGTTTTCCATGCGGGATGTTCATGAACTATCTCGGCATCGGATGCCCCGATTCGGGCAGACGAAAAGATGCCTTGGCTGGGTTTCAAGAAGGACCGTTTCTCATTCACTTCGAGAACCCCGAGTCGCCTTGGATTGAAGTTCCCCTCCGATCAGACCAAACCTTTCCGAGACTCACTATGACTGACATTCGTGATATCGGTCGATTTATTGTTGCCGCTCTGGACATCACTGAGCCATGGGCTGGTCGAGAGCTTGGAATGGTGGGGGATACTCTGAGCTTCGAAGATCTGATCAGCATTTGCCAAAAACATGTTGAGCGCCCTATCGAGATCCGACCCTTGACAGAGTCTGCCCTTCAGACAAAACTTTTGACCATTCCACAAAGCGAAATTATCGCCCGAATGGAATGTCAATTGGCAATCGTCTGCGCTAGGGACATGTCTGTGGTACCGCCCACGCTCAATGAGTTATCTTCAGTGCAACCCACGACCGTCGCCGAATACATGCGGCACTACTGGGGACCAGAGAGGTATCAAAGTTAATACGTGATCAAGAAATCTGGGTTGGAGCCTTTTGGTTTATATTGCTTGTCTCTCGGTCTTGCATATAAGTCACTATAGCTATTATAGTATAAACGACCCTATAGGGGCTAATCCCTTCTAGGTATAGTCTGCGGTGGGCTGAGTGCATCAGTGTTGTTCACTGATTGGACACTAAGCATCACTGAGTAATCAGAGAGCATCTAATGAGCACTCACTGAGCATTGGTCATTCTGCTCGTGACTGAACTGAGCATGATCACTGATCTGAGTCCGTGCTGACATCTGAGCCTGAGCCTGAGCATCCTCATAAAAGCGGCGGCAGATCAAATAGGAAAGCCCCACACGCCAGGGAAAATCCGGTACGGATGTACTATCTACACCCCCTTGCGCAACTATACAGGATCCTATATTGCATACCCCTTCAGAACCCTAACCCCTCCTCCCCCTCTCCCTTGTCCTTACCAATATTCTTATCCTTATCCTTCACCTCAATCCTCGCCTTACCCTCCTCCTTCTCCCTAAAAAACTCCCCCATCATCCTCCCCGGCTCCGTCCCCCCATCCTCCCCAATCTCAAAACACTCCCCAAAAGCCTCAATCCCAGCCTCAATCCCACCCTTCAGCGAAAGCTTCTCCCACCTCGAAATCAAAGCCTTCTGTCTGCGCACAGCAAGCGGCCCATTCTTCCCTATCTCCCCAACCCACTCGGAAACAGCCCCGTCAAGCTCCTCATCCTTAACAACCCGCTCAACAAGCCCCCAGCTAAGCGCTTCCTGGGCAGAAATCGTCCCGCCAAGTAATAGCAGTTGTCTTGTACGACCCCAGCCAATTAGGCCGGGGAGAAGGGCTGCTTCGACGACGGAGGGGATGCCGAGGCGGACCTGAGGAATTTGTTAATATCATAAGCTTTGAAAGTGTGTGAGCATCTAATCATCCCACATATACTTCCCATATTCGTAGAAGTCTCGTAGAAGTAGAAGTATGAAAAGAAAACAAACCTCAGGCATCCCAAAAACCGCCCCGGTCCCGGCAACACGGATATCACAAGCCGCTGCAATTTCCAATCCCGCGCCCAGGGCAAACCCATTAATGCGCGCGATGACCGGGACGGGACAGGTGCGGATAGCGGTGCATGTTTCGTGGACGGATGTTATGAACTTGCGTGCTGCGGCGGCGTTGGGGAGGGTTGATAATTCTTTTAGGTCTGCACCGCCTATGAAGGATTTGGGTCCTGCGCCGGTTAGGGTTACGGCGAGGAGGTTTGGGGTTTTTGAGATTGAGGATAGGGTTTGGGTTAGGGAGGTTAGGGGAGGGGGTTGAGAGGGAGTTTAGTTTTTTGGGACGGGAGATTGTTAGGTGCGCTATTTTGGAGGTTTTGTGGGTGGTGTAGGTTGTTAGGATTGACATTTTGGCGTTTGGAGGGTGGGATTATTGGAGATTTGATGATATTGGGTGATTGGGAGAGGAATGGGATATATGTTTCTGTTTATACTTCGAGGCCGAGAAACACCGAGGCGTGGGGAAATGTACTAGTAGTCTTCCCCGCGTTTATGTATCCTCGGATAGGTTTAAGCTATATTATAGGGGAAGTATGTATTGATATTGATGTACGACAAGAAAGTGCGAGTCAAAGGGTCAACACCATTCATATGGTCGTCGCGGGGTGAAGCTAAATCAAGGACCGTTAGATTTGAATCCGAGAAATGATCATAGGTGCTCCAACCGGTGTCTTTTAGGATCAAAATCACACCCCCAATGATGCTGGCAGATACGATCGTTTAGGGAATTGCATCTGGAAAAATACCGTAGTTATCACCAGGAACAAGATGTGTCATCGTCTGGACGAGAATCCATATGGGTCCCGCGGTGCTTGCATCTTCGATTTCTTTAGCCGTGCTTGAAATAAGATTCATATCAGTCGGGTGACATTTGAGAAATAGTGGCCAATGTTGTTGGTGACCAGAGTGGCCTCGTGGCTCGAGTAAGGTCCCCCGAGTTCGTGGCAGTAGACCACGCCGGCCGTGGTGGTAGGTACACGTGAGTCAAGGCTTCCCACTGGTACTAGAAATTCAGACAAGCGGGTGGCATTATCCATGAGAGTGGGTGTGAGCATCCACATGTGGGGGTAGTATAACAGTCACCTATATTTAAGATCAAGATCTCTTTTTGTAAGTTTGTAAGTTCCTTTTTATATCCTTTTCATATCGTCTCATATTTGTTTCAGGGTCTTTTATATATCTATATATGTATTGTTTTGGATCTCAGTTTATAGCTGAATATGCACGATGAAAAAAGGTGTAAAATGTGCAAACCAACCTTTCGATATATAACATAGCATATGATTGACATAACAGTCACTTGCGCTTCATGTGGCCTCGGCTGTAATAAGTCACGCCCTCGTCATTCGTCATCATCCACAGTTGTCCTTTAGGGTTTGAATTCTCTCCGTCTTAGACAGTCAACCGATCACCTTCCCACGGCTTGCAAAAATGGTGGGAATGATTGAAGCAAGTGCTGAGCACTTCACAACTGAGTAAGCAAGTTGTATTTCTCCGTCAAACGTGAGTCTTAACACTTTCTTATCTACCTAGTGTGCTCCCGCTCTATCACGGTCCTTTCATCAAAATACGACTCCAACCAAGCGAAAGAGAATATACAGTTTCGAAGACCCTACTCTGCGCAAAGTCACCAGTCTTTTCGGCCATGTTCCACCATGGATTTCGAGAGTACGAAGAGCAAACAGCAACACTGCAAGAAGAGGGAGGTATTATCTCTATACGGAGTATCCAAGCACTCATTCAGTGGCTCTACACCAGGATCATCAATTTTGATATCAGCGACAAGGAAGAGCATGTTATAGAGCTCGCAAGGCTTGCCGACAAGTACAGTATTACCGGCATCGAATCCTATGTGGCTCAAGATATCAGAGATACCATTCGCAGCCCAGGTATCAAGGTTGAAGCATTTACCTTGAACGCATTTTATCCCTTCCTAAAGACAGCACCTCCTGGCTCACATCTGAGCACATTATCTCGGGGACCTTCTTGCCACGTGGACATCCGGTGCGCCGTACATTGGCTGCAGCTTGCGTCTATGGGTTTCTGCAATACAAGAACCACAAATTTGCCCGGGAGGCTGAGGATTATCCTACCTCTGGAGCTGATCTCCTCCGAGAGGTACAACTAGCCCTGAATACATCAAATGAGCCCCACAGGGCTGTTACCTTCACAGATCCTCTCGACGACGTAACAGTTCACCTTCGCAGGGCTTGAGATGCACTGAAACATCGAGGAGGAAATGGAGTCTCGGGTGTCTTTCGAGGGCTAGACTAGCTTCACGGCATGGACGGTTGGATGGGGATTGCAACTATCGGTATTGCTACATAGCCAAATCGAAAGAACCGAGGTAGAAAGTTGAAGGTCTAAATTACACGTTCAGACTCCCTGCAAACATCTCTTTTAGTCAATATAGTACACTAAATTACGTTGGGTTGGCATTTGTAGTCACTGTATAGCAGACAAACAAATGACAATGGAAGTCATCATATAAAGCCATCCCCATAGCACTCATCAATCTTCTTCTTTACAAATCACAACCAATCTTTCCAACCCGTCAACCTATCAAAGTTGAAATGAGTGAGACACCTGAAAAGAGTGCCCAGCCCTTCGCAATAGCGTAAGTAAGCTATTACCCGGGAATGGCGTCCACTTTCTAACACCTCGTTACCTAGGAGGCTTCCACTCTATCATGGTCCCGTAGTCAAAATTCGAATCAAAAACAGCTGTGAATACACAATTTCCAAAGCGCTGCTCTGCGCAGAATCGCCGGTTTTCACAGCCATGTTCAGAGGTCATTTTCAAGAGGCCCAAGAGCAGACAGTGGACCTAGAAGAAATGGAAGGCGTTGTCTCTAAACAGAGTCTTGAAGCACTCTTTCAATGGCTTTACCTTCGATTTGTCAAGTTTGATATCGAAGACCCCGGAGAGCATATTTCGGCTGCCATAGAGCTTGCAAGACTTGCGGACAAGTACGAGATCACTGGCATAGAATCTCAGATTGCCCAATACATCAAGGAAATCATTATTGCTAATCCAAAGCCCAGCAAGACTAAAAGTCTGGTGCCTTATAATAGCAACACCCATTGCCTGGGCTCTGAAGACATTATTTCGGGAATTCTCTTACACGATAAGCATCCAGTTCGCCGTGTTCTAGCCGCAGCCTCCGTTAAAGGGTTTCTTCAAAGCGCGAGCCACGATTATGCCGCCACAGCTCAGGAATATCCTGAATTTGGAGCTGACCTCCTCCATGAAGTGAGGCTAGCCCTGAATACTCTGAACCCCCATCGCAGTGTTAAATTCCAAGACCCTATTACAGGGACAAGATGGTATCTTTATAGCGTTAGCCGGTGATAGAGCGTTGGGGTGAAAGTGTGAGTGCATCTGGGGAATCTATTTTCGAAATTGGAGGTATGGTTGGAAGTGTTGCGTGGGACAATCGTTAGATGTTATTTGGGGCAGGACTGCTATGCATCTATGGGTCTAGTTCAGAGTCCCCGATGGGTTAGGGGTATCTCTATTGCTAAGCAATCATATCGACCACAACCTTTGAGATTGACCTAGGAAGAAATATTCCAATGAGCACAGATTGCTTGTTTGTTTGGGCTATTTGACAGCCCCCGTTGTTTGTAGCTCTTAATACCTTTGTTTCTCTATTCCCAGTAACTGGCTTCATGGCAGTTAGTTCTCTCTGTATCATCAATCAATCATTCATTTCACTGCCTTCAAAATGAGTGGGACCTCAGAAATGGAAACATCTGAGCCAGGTGATGAGGGTTTTGCAACATCGTATGTCCGCCATATTCCTCGGGAACGGCATGTTTAACGCATTGATATCTAGCATTGTTTCGCTCTTTCACGGCCCTCTCGTTAAGATTCGACTTGAGCCAAGCAACCGGGAATACACGGTTTCAAAGAACCTCCTCTGCGCAGAATCGCCAGTGTTCTCGGATACGTTCGAAGGCAGTTTCTCAGAGTCCAAAAAACAAACGGCAATACTACAAGAAATGGAAGGCGTGGTGTCTGTCCGGAGTGTCGAAGCACTTATCCAATGGCTATACTTCGGCAACATCAAATTCGATGAAAGCTTTGAAGAAATATGTATAGAAGCTGCCGTGGAACTCGCCAGACTTGCGGAGATGTACGAAATCACCCGGATCGAAGACCCGATAGCCCGATACATCAAGAGGATGTATACAACAACTGGAAATATCCACGACGAGTACAAAGAATACCGCAGGTATCTTGAGCTGGAAGATGAGGAGAAAATCTTGGGAACCGTTTTACGTGATAGCCATCCAGTACGCCGTCTCATGGCTCAAGCCTTCGTTGTATCGTATCTCCGAAGAGACGCACACCCAAATGGCTTGATGACCCAGAAATGTCCTAAATTCGGAGCTGACCTCCTTTACGAAGTGAAGCTCACCCTGGATACTCTGAGCCACTATGACAGTGCTACTGTCAAAGATCCTATTACTGGGAAAAGAAGGCATCTGAAGTGGGAGGACTAGTGAGTGGATCCGGGGGATCTATGAGATTTCGAAATTGAAGGAATTCATTGGGAGTTGGCGCGAAGGCATTCACATCTGTTTTACAACAATCGTTGAGGGTGATTGGGAGCAGGACGGTCTCGTTGAGAGGCTGGGATGAGTTAGGATCGACCTAGGAAAAAGAGCCTAGGTAGAAAATAGGAGATTGGTGAAATCAAACGTCATCCAGTCCAATAAGTAATAACCAGACCGGTTGTTCTATTGGGCTAATCGTCGCCTATGGTAAATGGCCAAGACAATGTTTCAAGTAAGTAAAATAACAAGAAATGTCAAAATCCAGGCAATACTAGCTGTTTCGTTACTCGTGATCTCAATGCAAATCGCCACTGTGGCACTCTATAGAGCCGGACTTTCCCAGTACTCGCGCTTGATCCTCATGATGGCAGAGTGCTTATGCGGGAAGCTGACCTCGCCTTCTTTATAGAAGCCTGCTTTTTGGAGGTAATTAATGAGTCTGCGAGAAGTTAGAACATTGATCTTCCTTTCCTCACTTCCTCAACTTTGCCACCGTAACTCACTTGATATTATCAATCCGCGGCTCCAAAACCACAGATTCAGTCCGCATATCCGACAAGAAGCAATGGTGCACCAAGGCACTCAACCAAACCGCAACCCGATGCGCACCGCGGAACTCCTGTTCCCCAACAAGCAGATGAATACCCCGATCATAATTATCCACATGGTCCACAAGTCGTCCCAGCCGATCTTCCTTGACCCAGTAGATCTCAAAATACCCAAACGGCTTCCCGTCCCAACACCCGATAACAGGGAAACTGTGTCGGCTAGTCAGAGTAGCCAACAGGAACTTCTCCTGCACAGACTTGGGTCCGCCTTCACCCCACATTGCCTCCACCCGCGGGATATTCATCCACCGATGCAGCGTGTCCAGATCAGAGCAGATATCCTCAGTGAGATGCTGCGCGATGCTCGTCACAGCCGTGGTAACAGGCGTCCCAGGTCGACCATCAGTAGCACCATCCGCCGTCATCGGCACAAACGCCACGCGGAATGAGAGATACTGACTCATACTGGGGATGTAGCGCACGTAGAAGACCTCGCCCTGGTGCGGCGGTTTCGGGCGCACGGGGTGTCGCACCCCGTTCGTGGAGGTGAACTGCAGCGGCGGTGGGGGATAGTATGTTGGTAGATGGCTGCCGGAGGTAAACGGTCCTACCGAGGTGAACGGGCCCATATTCGCCGTCTGGAATGTTGCCTCCATGGGCGCCAGCGCGTGCGGCGTTGTGCTGGGTGAGCCATCGGGCGCGGGCGACACATTACGCGACCGGTACGGAGGTGTTGATGGACGGCCTCTGTTGGGCGTGAGTGTGAAGAGGAATAGTCGTGGGTCGAGCTGCCAGAAGCTGCGGCGGCTTACGAACATCGTTGACCAGCTGCTTGAGTCGCGGGTTTCCATGGGCTGGAGGCCAACGGAGGAGTCTTCGGTCGCTATTAGGCCCATCCGCTCCAGCTTCTGGAGCAGGTTCCGGCCTTTGAAGATCCCTTCCCGCTTGATGTTTACCCGCCAGACGCCCTTTGGGCGTCCGTCGCGCGGGGTCATGCTTGACTCCGCGGTCTCCATGTGCAGGTCTGGTTCGGGCTCGTGGAAGTACCACCATAGAGTTGCCCACAGCATCATGGCGATCTGGCGCGTGGGTGAGGTCACGGGCTTGAAGTCGCTTGATGGTGGGTTCACTATATACGAGATGTAGAGGGAGTCGCGGGTTAAGGTGGGGGTAGTGAAACGGGTAAATCTGTCTTCATCGTCGCCGGGTTGCTCTGAGTCTGGTTCTTCTTTCTGCTCGTCTGTCTTGTGAGGCTTCTCGGTGTGGATTATGATTGTCCATCCTGGGGGGAAGGTGGAGTTGCGCTGGACGTTGAAATCGGCGGATTTGAAGGTGACCCCACCGAAAACGGGCGAGACGTTAAAGGTGAGGCCATTGGGCAAGTAGCAGGTGGTGTTTCTCATGGCGAGAATATCTTTCGGGGTATTCTGGGGAGTCACAAGACCTCTTTATAGGATAGCAGACTTTTTATCTCTGCTTTTGCCCCTCACTGCGCGGGGTGGAAGAATCGTGCGTCAACTGAAGCTAAATCAGCAAAGTAGAGATCCAATACCAATAGCTGGATTGGTAATGCGAAGCTGGAGATTGCTCAGAGAAAAAGAGAGGGAGAATTGTCCGAGAGGTTACATACCCGATGACGCAGACCATCAGCCCACTACCACCTATCTCTATAGTAGATATCCATGGATTTACAAGCTTTTACTTGATCTTTAAGCTATATTAAATAGAAGATATTGTTTCTTTTTCTTATTTCTAGCTCTAGAATGCCATCTAATGCTCTAATCAAGGTCATACTCGCTGTATTATTTCAAGTATTTCATATTATTTCAAGTTTCTCATAATTTAAAGATATTGTGGCTCGGGGAGATCTGTTGATCTTTGAAATTTCCCTGAAACAAGACAAGTCCAAGGCAAAAGATCAGCCAATAGGAAGCAATGTAAAATAAGCAAAAAAAGGTATCGAATGAAAACTCGCCAAAGCCCTTAAAAAGTCTCAGAAGTCCTCCACTGTGGTCCCCAACTTCCGCTCTCGCGCCAAGCGCACCAAATCTCCGCCAGTCACGAGATCCATTAGTCCAAGCCCAACCGATTTGTAGATGACATTCCCCCGTTGTGACCACTCACGCAGACTCTTTTCCTCATCCACAGTGGCCGCATCACGGGTGGCATCACGGACCATCAGGAGCTCGCCCAACTCGACAACCTGTTTCGGCTTAATTCCGGCTTGGATAATCTCGCCCGCCTCTTTCATGGCCGCGTCTAGACTATCCACTAGAATCACACCACTACGGTGGATATGCTTGTGCCAATGGCTATGTGTAGCCTGCAGATTGACCTCATCTCGGAGGATATCCGGGTGAATCTCGGCCATGTGTGCCTTGTATGATCCAATCGCACAAATCAGCCGACCCTTTTGACGGCCTTCGCCTGCGGTGAGGTACTCCGCAGGGAAAAGTGGCTCTGGAGAGGGAGTACAACAGAAGATCGCGTCGGCTTTGCGCACATGATCCTTCAAAATGCGACTATACTCGCCGAAATCCGTGCTGACGGCGGAAAACTTGACGTCTCCGCGCCATTTGGTATTTTCGGGCTGATAGATTTCCTGAAGAAGCTTGGCTGCGCGATCGAAAGAACGATTCACAATGTATACCCGGCGGATGTCCTCACCGCGGAGAACCAACGCCAAGCGGATGTGCCAGTAAGCCTGGGTGCCCGCTCCGAATACGAGAAGAGTGCGCACCTTCTTGCGCCTGTTGAACATCATCAGCGAAGCCAAGGCCGTGCGGAATGCCGTCAGCTCATGGGCGTTGATCAAGGCAAACGGCAGACTTTCGCCATCTAGGAGTGTCACACTGCCGCGCGGTGATGTGTCACGAGTTCCTGCGCCCGGCCAAGCGCCAAGCGTTCTAGAAACGTTCGAGGTGACATTTTGCTGATTGACACAGCCAGTGAGGAGGGTGGAGCTATCCGTACTCGATCCTGCCGTACTGCTGTCGTTGGTGGTGGTGGTGGCGGGGCTGAGCGAGTTGCTGTCCTCTTTGTCTTCTTGAGAGCCTACAGACAAATCGCTCATGTCGGAAGATATGGAAGCCACCGAGTTCCGGAAAGAGCCTCCTCTGCGCTTGGCAATATGTTCCTTATCCTGCATATCCACGGTGTCCCGTTCAATAGTACAGCCGGCAGTGCCCCCGTCCTGCAGGGAAATCATCTTGATGCCGATTGTCTTGCCCGTGCTGGCGGGCATGAAGATGGTTGTGGTACCATTCTGACGAGTAATGGCTGTTCGCTGAGGTTGGTAAGCTGCCGAGCAACCCTTCTCCTGAGATCCACTGGAGTATTCTCGTAGAGCCTCGGCGAGGTTGCGCTGCAGATTAAGAATCTCGTCGCGAGAAAGCGCATGTAGCAGTTCGCGGAGCTGGGATCGGGAGAGGATGGTGAGAGGCATGTAGGCGGTTCGTACTGGGAACACAAAAAGGAGAGAGGTGTAAACGAGTAGTGGAGGAAAGAGAAGAGAAAGTCTGAGATCTGCGAAGAAGGTCCAGGTTAGCCAAGACAGTCCAAGTCTAAACCACGCCTCTGCCAAGATAAGAGTGAAACAACTTACAGCCTATTATTGTACACACAGGTTATCCGACGCCAAGTCCTAATGGAGTAAAAGACAGGGGACTTGGACTTTTGACCGAAATAACTCGGAAATAGCCAAGTCACCCTTCTCCGAGGATGACGACGGCTGCGACTTGTGAGGTGGGGGAATAGCGGGGCGATCAGCAAAGTTCATAAAACGACAGGTGTTGTTAATTGAACAAATCAAATCACAGTAGAGTTTATATCTTGAGAAGAATAGAAGGTCTATGCGGTCAAAGGAGAAAATGTAGTCCAAGATCGAAGATGATAGCGGGAATCCCTGCTGCATTCGGGGATGCGAAGCCAAGCCCAATGCGGAAATTTGTTTTACGCCACTTGTAGGGCGGATTGGCTGCCTGAGGCAAGAATCAGACACACATCACTTGTAAGTATTCGTATTCGTTTGGAATGAAATTAATTGATGATGTTCATATTCCAGGCAATCTTGAGGGAAAATCTAGAGAGGAATTCACTTATATTTGAGCCCTCGTCTAGGTGATATTCGGAAGTAATCCATGTATTCACCTGTAGACATAGAGAAAGAAGCCTGGAGATCATTCGATAAAGGCAATTAGCGTATCATCTCAAATACAGCTTCAGAAAAAGATACTAGTAAGTCTTTAAACACCATACTCTTCTAGAATATTATAAAACGCCAAAACAAATCTCGGCATCGGCTGCCGCCAATGTCGGACACCTCACCCGAGATCCATATGAGTCAAATCGATAACCAAACCCCTCAACTCAGAACACAATAGACCTTTCATCTCTCTCTGAGTATCTAGAATATCATCATGGCCTCAGGACAAACCCTCGGATTTATCGGATGCGGTAAGTAAACATAACCTCCATCCACAGTAGACCACCACTAACAATTCCCCAAGGTAACATGGGAGGCGCCGTTCTAAACGGCCTCCTAAACAACGCATTCTCGACTACAAGCACTGAAACCTCAGCAAACCCAATCACGCACTTCATCGCGTGCACAAAAACAGCCAGCTCCGCAACCCGTCTAGAAAAATCAATCGCACCCGAGCACCACCAACTAATCAAAATCGTCTCCAACCAAACCGTCCAAACAATGCAAGAATCCGACATAATAATCCTCGGCTGCAAGCCCTTCATGGCTGAATCCGTTCTCACCGAAGAAGGCGTCCGCGAAGCCCTGGCCGGAAAACTCGTCATCAGCATGCTCGCAGGCCAGTCATGCGAAACCCTAACCCGCCTCATCAACCCAGACTCCAGCGCCGCAGATCAACCGCACGTCATGAAAGCTATCCCTAACATGGGCGCGCAGTTCGGGCAATCGATGACGATCATCGAGACGCCTGCTTCGAAGATCCCGGACTCCATGGCTGCGGTCACGGAGTGGATTTTCAAACATGTCGGCGCTGTTAAGTACCTAGGAGCTGAGCAGATTGGGTTGGCGACTGTGCTTGTTGGGGCGACGATGGCGACGTTGACGCTGCCGATTGAGGGGTTGTTGGATGGGTGTGTTGCGGAGGGATTTAAGCGGGCAGATGCGATGGAGTTGGTTTTGCAGGGGATTCGGGGGTTGTCGGCTGTTTTGGAGTCTGGGCAGCATCCGGCGGTTGTTAGGGAGAGTATTTCTTCGCCGAGGGGGTGTACTATTCAGACGCTTTTGAGTCTTGAGAAGGCGGGGACGAGGTCGGATTTTGCAGAGGCTATTGTTAGGGGCAATACGCATTTGAAGGAGAAGATGTAGATAGATGTAGAATCTAGATGGGTATACGGGCTATGCACGTGGAGATATTTTTGAAATAGAATTATACAGCCAGTGTATATATGTGTGAACATTTCTCTGTAGATATATGATAAAATAAAACCGATTGCACTCGAACGCCTGATTTCCATTTCCATACTGGATTATCATCCCCAGATATCATCATCATCCTTGACCAAATCATCTTCGTTTAATACTTGCAGTCCATTCCCACGCTCCTCCCGCTTCCGCTGTCGCTTTGTTACTGTGCGCCCGGGGGTAAAGGGCGTCACGGGAGTAAACGGCATGTACGGACTATACGGCGTAGCCATGCCCGTAACAGGACCAGCCCGGTTTTTCACCGGCCGTTCCAAGATAGTAGTCTTGGTAGCCGGGGGCACTTTGCGGCGGGTACGCCTCACGGAAAGGCAGGTTGGACGGGATTGAGGAAGAAGGCGAGGGAGTAGACAGGGTTAGAGGCGCGGGTGGACGGGCACGCCCAGGAGCGGGCCTGATTGACTCACTCGCCTGCAGCCGCGGCACCACTGGAGGAGGACCGGGGTTATAAATCCGCGGGGAAAGAGGCGGGTTTTCAGGTACATAAGCTTGAGGTGTGGCCACGGCTGGCGAAGCTAGTGGAGAGGAGATGGGCATTTTGCGGATAGCCAGACGTGGCGAGCGCACTTTGTTAGGGTCTGGATTGGCGCGGGAGCCTGAGTTGAAGAGCTTGGATAAGCGGGAGCTGTTGAATCCCTTCGTTGGGGACTTCAATGGTGCCAATGGTGCCAAGGAGTGATCTGAGGCGTGGGAGCCACGGTCAGTGAATGGATTTGTGAGTTGACTGTCCGGTGACCGTGCTTGGAGGTCTTGTTCGCGGAGAGGCAGATCAGCTCCTGAAGCTTTCTGGGCGTCATGTTCCATGACTGCCGCATAGAGCATCTCCATATCATGCTGGGCTCGTTGTCGGTCGTTTGCGACGATGGACTCGTCGACGGTCACCATGCTGCCGTTCATGGATGGTTGAGAGGGTCTGGCACTCCTGTTAAGTGACCCCCAGGACTTAAATCCACTTGACTTGGGACTGGGGAGGTTGTGTGACATTGGAGAGACTGGGCTGGGATCCATGCTGATAGGCGGTCTGACAGGCTTCAGAATTTCCATATGCAGTGTATAGTTGGAGGACTGAACTGTCCGACGCAGGCGACGTCCGACGAAGATAAGTAGAGCTAGGAGGACAGCAACGAAGATCACATAGGCTCCCACAATGCTCCCAATTTGAATTGCTAGCAATGGTTTGTCCACTGTTGGGGGCGCAGCCGACTTGGATTCACGTTGGATATTCTGGGCCTGGACTGGGGCGCTATGTACAATCAAGAGAATAAAAAGGACAGGCAAAAAGAAGACAACCGGGGGAGTCATTTCCGGCGCCTGGATTATAAAAGAGGTAGAGAGGGAAATGAATTTTAAATGTACGTGTAGTCACTGATCGACATTCCGAAACGTCGAATCTCACACGAGGATTTGGGGTGATACATGTTCCAGAGGTGACGGGGGCGGCAGGGGGAGGGGGTACGTATAAGAAGCAAGCATAGGGATGTGATGAAGTGAAGAGAAAGTCAGTGCAGGTCAAGGCATTCTGGTTAGCCTGTCGTTGGTCACAAATACGCGCCCTCATGCACGACCGTCACTTGGCGGCGGCCACTCACAGGGGAGAATGGGAGAACCCTAACTCCCCGCCAAAAGCCATTTGGACCTATTTTAGAACATTTCCATCTTACTATTTAGGGACTACATAGTTATTAGAATATTTTCATGTGCACTTCAATTAGTCTAAAATAAAACTCATTATCATTGGAATATACTAGAACCTCGAGTTAGAAAATACTATTCCTCGTCAAACAGCATCCCAACAAAGTATACCCGTGCATAGTGAGAATCAATTCGTATCACCTATAATGACGAGCATGTCTGAGAGAAAGCTTTGAGAATCCTAAATAGGAGTGACATTGTTCTATTACAATTCGAAATTAAGCTATAAAACAATTTTGTGGGGCATTTCTTAGTTAAAATAAGATATCTCCTCTACTTCATCCCAAAGCAAAGAGTTGATATTTTCGAGAACTTTCTCGTTAAAGCAGAGAATATATGCAAACCACTGAGGAACAAGTCAATCCGAGAAGATTCATCCCTCTCACCACAAAAGAAACACCCCAAAGCACCTTCCCTCTTTCGCTCCTTCCAAATGATATGACTCCAGGATCACCTTCCAAAGTGGTCAACCAGGCAAGATGTCCAGTGAACTCATCTTCACCATCCATCACTGTCTACCTTATACAATATCGTCGCATAAAGAAGCATTCCTCATTTGTTATATCATAAGACACATCCACCAATTTGCCTGAAGACCCATGGGAAACAAGGTCTCTGCAGTGCATGGCGTGAAATCAGACCATTTCTACGACCAAGGCAACGCGGTCAACGAGATCTGGGTGGGCGACGTTGAAGTCATCTCGCGTTTACCCTTCGGCGATTCCGACCTCGAGCAAGCCGGCTGGCCCCCGGGGGACTTCCCAAAGATCCCGTGGCATCATTTTATCATTCCTATGCACAAACGAGACGAAGCCAGCAACATGACTGCCAAATTCTCCTTGTGGGATGGGTCGGGGAGCTACTGTGCTTGTCATGACTGGTTACCGAAGCATGGGTACCTGGGCATGTACACGAGAATCCCCGCATCGGCTGCGTATATGATTGGATTTTTGTTCCTTACCCTCGCTGCCTTTCTGTTGATGTATTTTACATACAGACTCGCCCATGCTTTCGGGGCCTGGCAATATCTACGCGAGGCATCACGTCTCCACCCGGATCCGGCCGCGGCCAGACGTATGGCTAGGGATAACCTTTGGATTCGCCTCGGCCAAGCATTCCTTGTGTTCGTTCTCTTTATTTTCTTCTTAGTGATGGGCTTGCCTGCCTTCGCTGCTGGCGCAAATAAAATGGATGCTGCGAGCTTCATTTTGTATCATGGGTTTTGGGGTGGCCTCGGTGCCATTATCAGTGGCCTCGTCATTTCGCCCTTAGGCCTGCTGTGGGATGCAAGAAAGCCACGTCCGGAGATTAGGAACCTTTCGTGAGAGAGCTGCAGATTCCTATCCAATTTTGCGAGGAGAAAGTTGAAGGACCAGGAGATGATATTGAAAAGATCGTCTTTGCCTGTTTTATTTCGAGTGCCATTGCTCGTCATGTTTTATGTCACATTATTGGTGTATTATTATCTCCGATATGGCCCCACACAGGATGAACAGAAGGAGGGTGGAGAGTTCTCTGTTTTGTCGTTTGCTGTCTTCAGGATTTAGTGAATAAATCGCGCCACAGCTCTTTCATACCGTATCCCTTCGACTGATCTTCTTCATGAACCTGTACAGATTGCGCCATGTCCAGTGACCCAAACTTGCTGGAAGAAACCGGCGGAACGATTGATGATGGACGCGCACGCTCTGTCGCTCGGCGTTTAATTTCCTCCGCTAGCTCAGGCGCTACCGCAGCATAGCATGCGTTGAGCTCTCGACCAAGATTGATATATGGTTTGTGGGCGGAGGCTGGGGCTTGGAGGTTGTATGAGCGTGCGAGAGTGTTTATTTGTTTCACGGCGAGTTCGTGATAAGAACGCTCGATTGCGAGGTAGCCGGGGTCTCTCAATGGTGGGAGATGGGCTAGATCTTCCGAGGTTTCCTCGCTGTCATTCTTAATTGCAGGTGATCCTTGGGATGTCTCCGACTTGGGGACTATCCGGCCATCAGTGTTGATCTCCGAGACAGATGTATCTTCTTCAAACGAAGCCTCCAGCTTCGTTTTGTCTGCCAGCCGAGTCTCGGCCGCAGCATAGGCTTTTGCCCGCTTCATTTGTACGTCCAAAGACCCACCCTTGCTCGCAATCAACATCGCAGCATGTCTCCGCCAGTCCGCTCGAAGACGTTCGCGGAATCGATTGAGCTCCGAACCAAGCTGTTGTTGCTTCTCGATCCACGGCGGCACAATTTCCTGCTGTTGGATAATCTTATTCATAAAATATTCGGTTGTATCAATGAATGCGCTGCTCGCATTGTGGTCCGTCTTGGTATTTACGCCTTTCCCACGACGTATCTTCTCAAATTGTCCACGCGCAATCGCATCTTGGATTCGCTCATCTGCCAGCGACGAAAGACCCGAGATCGAGATTGGCATGGAATGCGCCCCAGGTGTCAGGTTCTCCCTCATCTCACGGCGCATATTCTCTCGCTCCTCTTCGGAAAACCCAGGAGCCTGGCTTAGTGTGTAGGTAGAAGTGCGCTCTTTCGCTTCGGCAAGTCGTTCTCCACGAGACTTTTTGGGCTTCGGGGCGATTTTGAGGTTCACGGGATCGGGGATTTTGTAAGGCATTCGGATTGGTTTGCTCGCGTCATCTAGCATGCGTAAAGTCGTGTCCTCTACGCGCTCTGTTCCTGTCCATTTGGGAGCGGCGGCGTTCTCTCGTGTGCCCTGTCCTGCGGCAGACTGCGATAAGGGAATGCGGGTTAGTAGTTGTTCGACAGTAGGACATGATAAGGATCACATACGGGCATTTCGACTATAGAATGAGCAGCAGCATACTCGCTCCTGAATGAAGAAGCAGCAATGCGCTCTGCAAGCTCATTTTTCAGTTCTTCTGAGAACCCTGCTTGCTCGATGTTGCGACGTGCAGATCGTCCACCTTCTAGCATCGCATCTTCGGTCATTTGAGCCAAACGGCGTCCCATCGGACTATCCTTTTTGTCCTCTTTTGAGCCATCTTTGCCATGATTATCCTCCGTCTTGGCCGTAGACGAGGGCGATGTTTGATTCAGGTGGCATGCTGCGGAGAACCGCCTAGACGTGGGAGCTATGGGAGCTCTAAAGGTGCATGTTGAAGAAACACCACGGAACTGCGTTGACAAACCGTATCTCCCAGACATATCCAATAACCTTGTGTCAGATTTAACGAACTTGCAATATCAAAAAGAGTGTACAGGACTTTTTAATAAGGTGGCAAGCCCTCGAGGTAGATAAAAGTGCCCGAGGCGCGACCAAGATTAGTCATCCACCTCCGCGGAGTCGAAACTTCGGATTTTGTTCGATGATCCGTCGCTGGCGCCAGTCTACCATCGTTAATCCCGCACACGGTCGCTTCAAGGCATTTTGCCTCTTCTCGCTCAAACTGATACCTTTGTTGCCAGTTCTACGAATCTAATTATTGCCCACCATGGCACCCAAAGGCTCCCTCTCCACCCGGCTCAACCCGATGCGTCTCAACACCATCAACCACCTCCGTGTTCGCCGGCCGAATCAGAATGAGCAGAACCCCTGCGTGGTAGTGATGTCGTCTATGCTTAGTATGTTTGCTCCTCTTCCCTGGCGAGATTGACGCTGTCAATATCTCGTCGCCCTGGATTCGCATTTCAGATGTCGAATATCGAATACCTTGAATCTCCAAAGCATGAGTGTGTTGCTGACAATATTGCGCTGCAAACAGACTGCTGGGCTTCCGCTGGATACGGCGCAGAGGGCTGCGCTGCTCTCGAGGCTCAATTGCGGAAGTGCATGGATGCACCGGTACGTTATAATCCACCGTCATTGTTTTGATATATTGTCAACATCCTTCTAACGAGTTATTCCCGCATATAGAAATCCAGGGAGCAGAAGAAGAACACCGTCAACTACCACCTCATGAGAATGTACCCCAAGGTTGTTGGCCCTCGGAAGAAGGATGGTGTTCTCGGTTAAAATGTTCTTTGCACTGGATTGTTCGCGATTGTCTATCCGGACTTGGCAGCAGAAGCGAGTTGTCCACTTGGAGTTTTGGGTTTCTTTTTGATACATTATTACGCGAATACTCGGGCCCTTATCAGGATCTGCTGATTTGGTCCGCGTATTTTGCATCAGAGGCTATGGGAGTTGGCTTTTACTCATATGTACAGTATACAACTATGTGGGATATGGAATCACCTGTCAGAACAATTGATTAACTCTTATTTCATTATATATGCGTATGGGTACTCCGCATAACAATGAGACGGTCGTGGCGCCACGTGTATCTACCACTGCGGCCAACACGATCTAATGCTACTATCATCTGCTGTTTGGGGTCATTCTCCATGAAATGATGACTTGAAATTATTCTCACACCACCCAACTATGCTCATGGATACTGTATGAACGAGCGGGAAGCTAGTGTCTCGTTATTCTTGCCACTTATTCTTTCAGCTGCAATATTGATGCTTTTTGGATCAAATTAGTTCTACTCTGAGTTCATACTACTTATAGCAATAGCTGCGCGTGCAAGAGTCCCTCCCAAGACATCTCAGACAGATTCAAACTTGAGGATCAGTTTATCGCCTGTTGGTTTCACAGTGTAAGCATCGATAGCTTCAATATTGTCATCGTTGACGATGGTGGTTCGGAAGTTGGTGTAAATCGCAGCCACAGCCAATTTCATCTCTGCCAAGCAGTAATCAGCATAATTCCCGAGGTCAATGGTTGGGATTCTTCAATCCATACCTTGCAGTGCAAGATTGCTTCCCACACACATACGTCCTCCACTCCCAAACGCCCAGAACCACCGACGCTTCTCTTCCAGATCGGCGGGCGAGTTTTCAGCTTCGAGCCAACGCTTGGGCTGCCAGGTTTCCGGCTCTGGGAATACCTCCGGGTTGCGGTGCAGTGAATATGCTTGCGCATTCACTCTGGTGTTAGGTGGGATATCTGCATATCCGGCCAGAGTGCACGACGGAGATGGCGTTACCCGAGGCTGAATACCAGGGATCGGAGCATGAAGTCTCAAGGTCTCTGTCACGATCGCTTCCAACAGGGGCAGGTTATCAATTGACTTGGCTGGCGGCAGATCGGCTGTCTTTGGGTACGAAATTGGGGGATTCAGAGTGAGTAGCTCCTCTCGGAGCTTGCTCTGCACTTCTGGGTGTCGGGAGAGTTGCCAGAACAAGTATGTGAGGCCAACAGCACTGGTTTCAAAGCCGGCGGTCAGCTGGTCGTACAACTCGCAAGCAATATCGAGTCGCTGCTGGGCCTCGTCAGGCTTTGCTTCTCCATTCTTTGTGGAATGCTTGTCCAGAGATTGTTTCAGCTGCTTGTAAACAATCGGCTCGATGCCTGGCTCGGTCGATGATATTATCTCCTCCGCCCTATCGCATAAGTCTAGAGCCCAAGAATCAAGCATTGCATTGGCATCGTCGCAGTATTTGGGTACCACGCGAAGACCAATCCGTCTAAGCCATCCATCCAAATATGGAACCTCCTGGGCATAAAACTCGAATGGCTTTCGGCACATGTAAAGGTGAAGCCAGTGCTTGCGGACCGAATCATCTTGCAGGTAATTAGTGCCATTCTGCAAGCCAAATAGATAGGAGGAGACGAAGTCCATTGTCAGTCCCTGGTTTAGATCATGGACATCGACGGATTTGCCAGACATTGCCGCTTCTTGAAGAATCGGCAGCAGTCGATCGAAGATGACTGTATTTGAAACCAACCGCATATGAGGGGATGATTGCAGAGTCGATTTAGAGTATATGTTGGACAGCATCCTTTTTCGAGTTGAATGTGTCTTGCTTCCGGTCATGGTAAACATGCTCACTGTTCTGTTTCTCATGGTGAGCTACCTTTCTTATGATGGATCAGTGTCCATACTAACCCAAATGACGCAAAGACTCGTGGATACCAGTCATGCTTCTCAAATCCGCCAGCATAAACTGACTTAATTCCTCCATCAACACAGTTGATCGAGACCTCTGATGGTCCTAACCTAACGATAGGACCAAGTCTCTCGTGTGCGGCCTGAATCGTCCGGTTGTTTCGGCTTGTGAATCGCCTCCATAGCATCCATGCCGGCGAGATGGAAGCACTCCAGTGCACGTTGGGGATCTTCGACAGCGGGGACAGAAACGCTGGGTAAATTAACACTCTGTAGAAGATGAGACCACCAAAAAATGCTACCGCCAGGGCAGTGATCGAATATGCCATTGTGAATGCCGAGAAGCTTGTGTTTGACGTCCTCTGTGGTAGATATTTGGTGGAATTCTAGATGTTTCGCATGTATAAGAAAAGCGGATTGGGAACCCCTCTGGGCCTCGGGGTTGTATTCAATGGAGATTGCCGACGCCCGCTGTGCCACTAGCTGTTTGACTAGATAACACCCATCCGTGTATTACAGGTGGTGCCGAGTGTGATCCCTAATTGCAAGATTAACCTATAGGCCCCATACCGTTTGAGTTCCACTGACTCTGATTCGTTTTGCGTTTGCCGACGGCGAACAGTTAGGTAATGGAATTACCCCGAAGATTGTACCCCAGTGGTCAATGCGAGCTACATGCGCATAGCTACATCGATGTAGGCTCGATAGGGAAACTGTCTTGTCCAACGACCTCGGGAGACCGACACTCCTTCCCCGCAAAAGCGATAAGGCGATAAGCGTACATAATGGAATGCTAGCTGCCCAGATGCCTTTGTGCCTTCAGGCCCTTTTTCTTTGGAGTTGAAAATTACCATACACTTTATTTTAGTCTTGCTATTCCAGTTCAAATCATCAGAGTCTGTGTAGTTGCTTTTTGGGCGCAAAAGAAGAGGACAGCCCTCCAGAGCTGTCCAAGCGAGCCCCTGTGCTTACGTCATAAGGCAACTGGTGCCCACATGGGGCAATTTGTGTATGAAATTGTGGCTCTGCAACCTATTATATGAATATATCAATATCACACGATTGACAATTGTAGAATAGAATAGAGATCGAATCTCTAATCTGCTTGTCATTGAGCAAAGGGGCAGTTTTTGCAGAATTTCCCTTTCCAGCACACTCAATGAACACCAAAACATATGAAAGTGGCGGGAAACAAAGAACGATGGCGATAGCCTGAAGGCCCAAAACAATTGTTCTTTTCACATCCCTGTCAATCAGGGTTCCGCTTTCAAGATGCTCTCCGAGCTCCCTTCAGAAATCATATATCAAATCGCGACATATCTCCCAACTGCCAATGCATTAGCCCATTTGTCTCAGACCTGTCACCGACTGCACGACATTGTCACAGCTGAAAATTCTCGGATCTTCCGAGCATTTGTGCGAAGCAGATTTCCATCTATCGAAACACCACCATTCTGGAGAGATGCAGCACAAGCTTTGACCTCCAGGTCCAGAGCCTTGGACAGAAAAGCCATCATCGGACGATTTGTTGTGCCACCTGAAACTGCGACCAAAATCGGTTCTCATGAGGTGACTCGCCGAGACAACCCGACTCTCGGGTACAGACCTTCAATTGATTCTTATGAGATCTGGAATGGCCAGCGTTGGGCTGACAGGAAAGAGGTTCTTGCCTGGGGTGCTGCCAACCAGCTTGTGATGAGGATCAAGCAGACTGGTGCTCGCTCGCAAGAAGACTGGCTTGTGTTCAATGACCTTGATCATATCAGCAGCTATGATGACATTTGTTCTCTGCATCTTTTGTCCTCGGGGAATCAATACAGCAGCGATACCGATGTGGAGCATTTGATCTTTGGTCGGGTTCGAGGTGATATTGCTCACCTTGCCATATCTCCCAATGACGCAACCTTTGAGTACAAGCAGAAGTTCATAGCACATGGGCTCAAACTTGGTAAAACAGATTTGAGCAGTGACACAGACTCTACTTTGGCTGCTCATTTTGAAAATGGATCCATCGCTTTCTACCATACCGAGACCGACAAAGAAGAAATCGAGCCGTTCACATGGCTTCTCCCGGAAGGCTCGTCACGAACCAACTACTCCAAACTGCTATCCTCATCACTAGTAGCAGTGGGAACAGGAAACGTGGAAAACTCCCTGTCTATCTCGAAAATCACACCAGACGGAGTCTCCGCATATCGAAAAATCGGAATCTGTTCTTTAGACACCGACTCTACAAGCCTCAAATCAAAAGTCAATATCGGCGCCATTGAACCTCTCAATAAACACAACCTAGCAGGCTCCCCAGGCGAAGTATTCCTAACCGCCTGGGACGACTACACCGTCCGACTCCACGACCTGCGCTCCCCAAGACCCTCCGAAGTCTCCTACAAAGACGCCACGGACCTCAACCCCATCTACAGCCTCCACGCCTTCGGCCACGAGCGCTTCCTAGCCGGAGCCGGCGGCGAAGCCGTCGTCAAGATCTTCGACCTGCGCATGTGCAACACATACAGTTACCTCGACGCACAAGTACCCACCTCGCAATCGCAGGGCACACAAACGACAGCAAATACCAAAGCCAACAGCACACCCAGAGCAAAAGCAAAAGCCCGTTCTAAAAAGGGCTTCTCCATATTCCTCTCCTACCCACCACCCCCTACATTCCCCCAACAACCCCCTGCCCCAGCCCGCAATCGCCAAAGAGGGCCCTACCGAGGCCCCATATACACAATGTCCTCGCCCTCGTCCTCCTCGCCAACCGTCTACACGGGCATTGTGGACGGGGTCGTCCAGCTCGACTTTGCGTCTACGGATGACCTAACCGGCCCACAGAAAGAGTGGTACGAATATAATCTGGACCTGGGTGTGAACACGGGTACAGGGGTTTTACCGCGCTGGAACGCCGAGGCGTTCAATCTGGCTGGATATGAGCGTCCTGATGAGGATGACTTCGCTACTACGTCTAAGCTGAGGAATCAGCGCGCGTTTGCGGAAGTTGAGCCTGGAGATGTGGCTCGTGAGACGCGTACGGGTTGGGATTGCCGGTGGGAGACTTTGGAGGAGCCTGGGGCTTGGAGGAGGCGGGATGGGTAAGTTGTGGATTTTGAATTTTCTGTTTTTGTACATTACACTGTTTTTGATAGAGATTGGTCGGAATAGAAGGAGTTTGGTTGTGTTGGTAGGTTACGTCCTTGGCCTCTTTCCTACTTCACAGAGGATTGAAAATACTTCGAGAGTTCGTCGAGAACTTATCCCAAACTTTTGATTGATGTAAGCTAATCAGCAAAAAATTTCTATGGCAAATCTTGGGTCTAATGACCTTGTCCATAGCTCCGTGTACGCCGTGCTGAGTGAAATTGGTAAAGTATGATGCGGGATATGAGAGCCTTATCTCTCCATATTCATCTATTGCAACGAACCTGAGTTGTACTGCAAAGACTGCAGCAACAAAAAGATAGCGATTCTTCCCTTCGGCAAAGCGACATCCAAGACAAAAAGCCTGGGTTTGGTGGCAAATCTTTTTCATTAGATGCTGACGATAGCCTGATATTATGGACTAGCGAATACGTTTATGTCGCAAAAGCAAGAGGAGTCGTTTAGTCCTCGAACTTGAAAGAGGTCGTGCCGGGGGCAATGTCGATGGGACCGCCGCGGTAGGAGCCACGCTTCTTCTTGTTCTTTTCCTTAGTGAATCCTTTGCCGCGGGTCACAGACAGGTCCTTCCAGGCGCGATCGGCGTAGGCGTACGACATGTAGTCATTCGAGGGGTGGTCATGGGGCAATTCGCTCAGGAGGGCCAGAGGGGTGGGGCGAGCTCCGGTGTGCTTCTTCTTAGCAGGTCCGTTGCCAGGAGCGGGGCTGGCGCTCGAGGAGGTAGTCTGCACGGCCTCCACGGCCTCCACGGCCTTCGTGGCGGGCTTGGTCTCGGTCTCCGGGGAAGCGGGAAGGGTGTTGCTGCCGGATGAGGAAGCTTCAGAGTCAGAAGAAGAGTCGGACTCGGGGAGAGGAGTCTTCTTTGCCTTCTTCAGGGCCTTCTTGGATTCCTTCTCAGACTCGGACTCGGACTCGGAAGAAGAGTCGGAGGAAGAGGAAGAGTCAGAAGAGGAGTCGGAAGAAGAGTCAGACGAGGAATCGGAGGAGGAATCAGATGAAGAGCTCGACGAGGAATCAGAGTCAGAGCTGGAAGAATCCGAGGACGAAGATGAAGAGTCGGATGAGGACGAAGAGGAAGCCTCTTTGGGGGTGGGAGAGGTCTTGGCCTTCTTGGCCTTAGGGCTGTCATCTTCGGACGAAGAGGACGAGTCAGAGTCGGAAGAGCTGCTAGACTCGCTGCTAGACTCGGCCTTGCGCTTCACACCGGCAGACTTCTGAGCCGGGGCGGCGGTGGCGGGAGCGGGAGCCGCAGGAGACTTGTCATCATCCTCATCATCCGCATCGCTGTCGGAGCTGGAAGAAGACGAGGACGAAGAGGACGAGCGAGTGGCCTCGCCCATCTCAACATCCGAGTCGCTATCGGAGCTGCTGCTTGAGCTGGAAGAAGGGCTGGGGCTGGCAGACTTCTTCACGCTGGATCCCTGCTCGGAGGCTTGGAAGAGTTCCAAAAGAGAAGGAGCATTTTTCGCATCGCTCTTCTTGCCCGACTTTGTCACTTCCTTGGTGAAGGCGGTGCTAGTCTGGGGGAAATTGTCCGACAAGAAAGCCGCGACTGAGGCGATCAGCTGAGGGGGAACGGACTTAGTGGTCTTGGAAGACTCGGTCTAATTAGGGCATTGTCAGTCTGATCCTCACTCTGGTATGTTTGTAGATCATGCCAATCGACATGCCAGGCGAAAGTGAATGAAGCGTACCTTCTTGGCCGAAGTCTTCTTGCTGGAAACCTTTGCCATAGTGACTGAACGGTTCGTTTCGACGATAGCGAAAAGAAGAGAACCCGGGGCAAGGAGAGACTATTTAGAAATAATCTGCCAGGAACCAAAAAAGAAAGGGAGAAAAAAAAAGTATATAAAAGGCGGTAAGCCATCGGCTTCACGGTGATTGGCGGAGGTTGGTGATCGTTGATTAGTGGAGATAGGCGGTGATTGGCGCGCAGTTATCGGCATTATAAAATTCCAGCCCTCTGATTGGTTTGTATTTTTCACCGCCCCGTTCCTGCCCAGGTGGGATCTATTTGCGCTTTCTCGCTTTCTGACCCAGTCTCCACCAACCTTTTTCATCTTTGTTATTCTCCAGGGCTATCATACTCGTTGCTTATATTCTATTTAGTGTCCAGATTTTAGCTCTAATCTAAAACAAAACAAAGCAAAGCAAATTATCAACCGACTATCCAGACGACGGTAGCTCTTTGGGATCAAAGGTGGACAGTGTAACTAGAGCTTCTCTACGGAGTACTTAAATGCAGATCACATTCATATCTCCGAAGTTGACTATGTACATATGTATCCATCCACATAACTTTTATCCTGGAGCCAGATATCTCTGACGCTTTCGAAGCTCATACAACGATATCTAGGCCTGGTTACAGTCCAGTCATACTATATTCCTTTGCCAGTTCTGCAATTTCCCCAGAGCTTTGAACCTCTCAGAAACCATATTCTGTTTGCTTAGATTAGTGGCTAGTTACATAGTGGATTCACGAGATGGTTATTTGAATCAACTTACCTTGTATTCAAAACTCATTTCTGCATAGGTTTGGCCTTCAACTTCAAAGATGGGGTCAAAACCTGAAGAAGGATTACGCTTGGTCTCTCGAGAAACATGCAATAGTCGATTGGAAAACATACCAAACCCACCTTCTCCCCTTTTATGAACAATCTTGCCTTCAGTATGTCCCTGGAAAAGGAGAGGCTCGGATCCTGGGCCAGCAGAGAAGGCGAATGTGCACACGGCCGTGGCTGCTTTGTCGTCATACGCTGCGAGTAGTTTGCACAGGCCATCATTGCCTAGAGCAGAGTAGAACCACTTTCTAGGAGGTATTAGAAAAGACAAATAGCAATGATTGATATGGGACACACATATATGGCCCAGGTAAACCCTTGAGTGCCCTGAATTCAAGGGCACTATCCTCTGTCAGAACAGGTCCGTTGACCTATAGAAACAAACATCTATATTTAGCCTGATGGTGGTATGGTAGCAGGGAAAGTTTCAGACTGTACTGCTATAGCTGCTTTTTGACACTTGTCTCGCGCAATATCTTCAAGCGAACCCTGGATTTCAATGATCTCTATGTTTTAATTTCAAAGCTGCACCACATCACCCAAAATTGCTCTAGCTTCAGCAAGCTTGTTCTTATTCCCAGTGATAAAATTGATCATGGAGGACACCATTAACTAGAGAAAGCGGACGCAGTGCATATGTTGTATGTAGTGACTTGAAGGTATGGTACATTGGCAGCTTCTACCCCTATAGAACTGAAAGCATCTAGGCGCCAGGACTAGGGCCCTGGGGCCCCGGGGCCCCGGGGCCATGGGGATGGATGACTAATTTTATGATGGCACCTGGGCAATTAAAGGCCAATAGGATCAAAGTCATGGATGTCGCCATGCACTGCGATAGCACCTCAGTATGTCAGTACGCTAAAAAGCAAGTCAGATAGTGAGACTTCAATGTGCAACTGTCATGAAAAAAAATGCGCTTAATCCAATGTTAATCTCGGACATTCCGCACGTTTGTTTACAGCTGGGTAGCCTCCGGATCAATTCGATACTCCGCTCCAAGCTCTCCGCCTTCAAGGTTCCACCCATCGAGACACATTGATGAGCTAATTTGAACTTCAGCGCTAGCCACTTGCATTACTTTGGGCCACAACGTGTACTGCTTTATACCTCGTCATATTCTGCCGGCTTAAAATCGCATTGTCGCTCAACGGATTTCAATTCCTTCCGCGCGTGGTGCGTAGTGGCGTCGCCCAATCCCGACAATCCCGACCATGTCCCCTTGATCTCGCGCCTACCTACACATGAGCTCTGTGTCCCTCGATACCATGATGAATGGCAGAGACCGTCCCCGCGGGCCTCCGCCAGGGCCGCTACCAAATCGTGGAGATATGCAGTCTGATTCAGGCTCTAGCCCAAGCACGATGACAAGAGGGGCCGCCTTTGAGGATGAGAAGAAGCGGATCATTCATAGTTGTTTCGCAAAAAAGGATGAAGATGGTCTCTGTACGTACACGATCGACGTATTTCCTCAGCTTTGCCCTCCCACCGAGTCCAGTCAATAGTGGTGTGGTTGGCAACACATTGCGCAAGTGACGTACCGGGCCTAGATGGGATCGCAACGCATTTGCTCCGTCGAAATGTTTTGCCCGCAATCTCTGCTAACCCGTTCTTTTTGCTTCCAGTGCTCGAATCCTATATAACGCACGTCCGCATCACTGAGGATTCAGCGCACCCCTCCAGCCCTTCCCCGCCAAACGGACCACCAGAGAACAAGAAACCCCGTATCATTATCATATCGGTTCGAAAGTCAGGCAGAGTCCGCATACACAAAGCTCGGGAGAACAATGAGGGGACCTACTCTATCGGCAAAACTTGGATGCTTGACGATTTAAGCGCAATTCAATCATTTGCCTCTTTTGTGCCAAGAACACCGGGAGAGCAGCAACAAAAGGAGTGGGCGGGCAATGTAGGATTCACGGTCACAATTGGAAAGCCATACTACTGGCATGCCAGGACTTCTAAGGAAAAGGAGTTCTTCATCGGGAGCTTGGTCAAGATCTACAGGAAATACACCAATGGAAAAGTCCCCAACCTCATTGGTTTTGACGACAAGGAGCGACAAATGCTGGCAAGGCATGGACAATCGGCCCAACCAGGACAGCCAGCACAACCAGCGCAACCAGGCGGTCCTTCAAATGGTCCACCACCAAGGGGACAGCCAGCACAACCAGGCGGTCCACCGCCAAGGGGACCCGGTCCAATGCCTTCAACATCGGACAGCCCGGTGCCTCCTTCGCTACAACCGTCATATAGAGGTCATGATGCCAGTCGCGATGCCAGTCGCGATGCAAGTCGCGATGGGCCCCGGGAAGTCAAAAGGAAGCCTTCCGAAGACCCCATGCTTCGCACTCAAAAGAGCCGCGAGCAAATGTCTCGGCCGTCGACCGGTTCTCGGCCATCTACAGGACAAGGCAGACCGGCGCCATCTCCCTTTGATCTACATAAATCTCCTCCTTCGTCATTCCTTTCTGAACCACCTTTGAACCAACAACCGCCGCCACGCGCAGCGGAGCGTAGCGCAGCAAACGCAACCCCCCGAGTTCACTATCAGAGCCGAGGGGAAGAGATAATCTGACCGCTGCAGCACAATCCAGCAGCTATGCCGATATTCCAGAGTCACTCCGCCCATCTTCTGCTCGCAGCCAGGATCGCGGCCCCAAACCCCCTCCTCTTGCTACCCAGCCAGCCCCGAACATGACACCAGAATTCATGCGCAGCAATGAGGCCCTTCGTCCTACCACTTCCGGTTCTTCCAATAATGAGAATAAGGACACAGCCCCACGTCCCCCGCCTAGCTTTGGGCCAAAGTCTCCCCAACGTGGTGGCGGTGAGAAGGCATTCACGTTTAATCAGCCCTCGCTGCCTCAAGAGAGAAGTGCACCAGATAATTTGTCGGCTGGAGCTCCCGCACCGCCCCGGGAACCGTCTTCGTCACCGGCAATTGAGGGACTGGCTGCAGAGCCTGCTGCTATTATGGCTGCGAATATGCCCTCCGTAGAGCCTATTGAGCCTTCCAATGAAAAGCCCAAGACCCCTGTCGAAACTGTTCCTGCTGCGGACTTACCACCTCAAACTTCCCCAGAGCAGGTTGAAGAAACCGGCGAATTCGAGCCGCATCGCCCGGGGCTCGGCCCTATGGTCAAGAAAAAGGAAGGCAAAGATATTGCAGGTGCCTGGAAAAAGGCTGCACATGCTTATGCTGGTTTCAAGCCCAGGGTTGGTGGGGCTGGTGAGCGACTGCTGGCAGCCGCGAAGAAGTCACAGGCCGAAGTCGCTGGGGGCCCTGATGGCATCACCAGCGTTATTCCGGCGCCGTCCCTTTCCCGCTCGGCAACTGATCCCCCGCAGAGTCCAGTGGCAACAAAGTCGGAACAAGATCTACAACTCCCCGCACCCGCTGCAGAGCCAGAGACACCAACCGTCGAGATTACAGAGCCAGCACCCGAGGAGATCGCGGTAGCCCGTGTCCAAACTCCTGAGGTCTCACGGGAGAACCTCTCTGATGTTGTTATAAAGGTTGAAGATCGTTCAAGATCGCCATCCCCGGCAGCTCAAGGACGTCGTCGCAGACGCCGTGAAGACCACACTATGAAATATTGCCAGGCCCTTGGGATCGATCCCAGCATTCTCGACGGACGTGGTATCGACTTTGATGACATCCTTACTGATTTGGGCTGGAACGGACGGTTGGCCGATGAACAGAAGATTGAGGATCTGGAAGCAGATGTTCGCCGTGAAATTGGCCGTGTCGAGGCTACCAGCTGGCTTGGCAACCTTGAACAACAGGAAGGAAAGGTGGAACAACTTGCGAGCTTGATTGACAGAACGATTGAAGAGTGTGATGAGCTGGATGGTCTTTTGACCCTTTACTCTCATGAACTGAACGTAAGTTTCGGAATTATGGAATCGGGATTGATCTCCAGTCGGCTAACGAGACTACATTACAGACTCTTCACGAGGATGTTGCCTATATTGAAGCTCAAGGTCAAGGTCTGCAGGTACAAACAGCAAATCAGAAGCTCCTGCAAAACGAACTCCAAACCCTTTTGAAGACACTTTCAATATCTTCATCCGAGCTTGGGCCCCTCAAAGAGGCCTCTCTGAGCAACCCCGATGGGTTGAAGGATACTGAAAGCGCTCTAGCGACGTTGTACAAAGCCATGCTCACGATCGACTCTGACATTGGACAAAACAAGAAACGTCAAGTCGATGCAAGTGTCGGAGTGTATGCTGATACAGAAATCGGCCAGATGCGTGCGATCAAGCAAAAGAAGGAAGAGTATCGCTCTATTGCAACAATGTTCCTCAGCCGACTACAGCAGTTCATGGCCCTTGCCTTCAAAATGGCAGAACAAAAACGCGTTGATTTGACCATCGGTGCCAAGGATTCCACGAAATTAGACAGTGCCGCACGAGGGCATTTCCGTCAAGAAGTCTGGCGGTATAATGCCCTGATGCTATTTGCTAAGGAGGTTAGCATGACAGAATGGCATAGCCTTGTCGGTCTCTACGAGCAGCAGTCCAAGCCTTCATATCAGGGCGACTTCCGCGACAATAATCTGGCTTGGAAGAAGACCGCGCGCAAGCCAACGGGAGATGAGCAGGAACTCCTCTTCACACACCAAGAGAAAGAGAAAGAAGCCGAGGGTCTCACTATGGCTGCACGAAAACTGACCGTTCGACGAGGCAAGACGGTCCGGGCTGCCGCCGGGCTTCGACTGGCTTCGGGCAGCGGGAAGAAGGAAGGAAAGTCTGAGCCGTCTGAGGCATTCTCAGGGACGCTGCGGGAGACACTGAACATGGTGGCTCAGGAACAGAACTTCATTATCCAATTCTTCCATCTCAATTCTCTTGAGAGCGCCGATTTTCCCGACTTGGTGTCTGCGACCATTCCGGAAAATCGCTCTTGTCCCGATTTCTCTGTCAACCAGCCGCATGATCCTGATCGGGGAATGGCAAAGAGAGTCGAGCAAATCATGGATGATGTCTACTCATTCTGGCCGAATGACATGCAGAGCATGGTGGACTGGGCAATGCAGGCTGACCCTCTTCAAGGAATTGGTATTCTCCATGCCTTGGAGACTGCCATGAATGACTTTGATGACACGAACCAAGAGTTCATTCTTCACTCACTGCAGAAAATCCATTCCCGCCTGATGGGACTGTTCAACCGATTTGTAGATGAGCAAATCCGGGGCATTGAGGACACCAAAGTCAAAGTGAACAAGCGGAAGGGAGTAATTTCCTTCATGCGGGTGTTCCCCAACTTCTCCAATGCGGTGGAAAGTATGCTGTCATCCCCCTCCGGCTCCTTCTGTGACATTCGCGTTAGCGTCAATGACGCGTACGACCGCATCAACCGTGCGATGTGGGAGTCACTCAAGTTCATCGCCAAGGAAGCGCCTGGCCAACCTCCGGGTGTCACTGCGGGTGCGGGTGATCCGGAAGACAAGGAGATCCTGAACTACCACATTCTCCTCATCGAGAACATGAACCACTACATCGAGGAAGTAGATGTGCACAACATCCCCGCACTTGAACGCTGGACCGACCGAGCCCACCAAGACTTCCAAGAGCACATGAAGCTCTACCTCGACGCGGTCATTCACCGCCCACTGGGCAAACTGATTGATTTTGTACAGTCAATTTCCAACCTCCTCGCTGCGGGCGGTAACCCGACCGATATTGCAGCCCGCGCCAGCCACTCCCGCATGGTGGCCAAGAAGGTTCTCACCTCCTACGATAATAAGGAAATCCGCCGTGGCATCGAAATGCTTAAGAAGCGTGTTGAGAAGCACTTTGGTGACGCCGACGACCCTGGTCTTAGTCGCAGCCTTGTTATCAAGGTGCTTCGGGAGTGCGAGAATCGGTATGAGAATACTTATGACCTCACCCGGAAGATTATTGAAGATGTCTACGAGGGTCAATTGGATCTGGACTGGCGCAAGGAAGAGACCCTTAGCATGTTCCGGAAATGAGATGTACTTCGTATTGAAAGTTAAATCTATTCCCCTTTGTTTTGTTTTTGCTTTTTCCTATGTATTCTCTTATAGGATAGGATGTATGAGATTTCGTTTTCTCGTTGGCCATCTTGACCCACCGGTTCGGGTTCATGGTTTCAGGGGTTTCAGGTGATTGTTGGGTATAAAATATGGGTACGTAGTATGTTATAGGAAGATCTATCACATTTGTATTGTAGATGTTGATTATTTCAGGCGAATGGGAATAAACTGTGGCTGTTTTCTCAGCGAGCAAGCAATGCTTTAGTGCAACTGAGAAGCATAAGGCCTAGATAGGCAAATATCTACGTGCATAGTGGAATGTGAGAATAGAGATGAATTGTTCAAGCAAAAAAAACAACCTAGAGATAAGACTATGAAACAGGACAGCAACTTTCATCACGAAAAGCCCGTCTGGGCCCAACTATATATTCATTTCCACCACCGCCAGGGAACTATTTTGCCTCTGGGTCTCCAGAAATAAGCCTCTGCCATCCTGACGACATATGCTGGATTTCTATCCTCAACTATCCTTCTAAGTTCATTAATCGTCTTTTACTTCTCGCTTATCGTATAATCAAAACCTCGCACAATCGGGCAACAGTAACACGATGTTGTGCAGTGAGTGCCCTATCCCCTTACTGCGTTCGGTAGTTGACAGGCGATTTTTGCAGCAGCCACAGCCTCGACCACAACAGCCCCCTCTTCTAACACAGTCTTGGACCAGCTCCTTGCCAAGATACCATGTTGGCTCTTGTCTTAAGGAATCGTAGGACTTCTACATAGGAGCTAAAGGAAGCATCGACTCGAAGAGGTAGAAGCTCTGCTCTGTCTCGCTATGTTTGTGTCGAAGGTCTTGAGGCTCGTTCTCGTACTGACATAGCTGTCTCTTTTGATCTGCATTCACTTCTCGGAATATCCTATTAACGGTCTCCTCCTGCTGAACGGTTTCTCTGAGAAGATAGTCGGTGATAATGATATTCACGAAGATCTTAGTATCACACTGGAGGGTGTGGCCGTATTTGAGTGATTTCATATTTTCTCCCCATTTTCCCGTCTCTCCGTAACATTCGATAGGTCTAAGCTCTCTGTTGTTTTTGAACATGTGGGAGACTGTCCAATATGTCCTGGTTTGGATGGATTGATAGTTGGGGCTTGAAGGCATAGTGCTTTGTATTGATACAGATAAAGGTGCCACAGAATAATGTCTGTGTAGAGAGGAACTTCTAACAGGTTACAAATATTAGCCTAGAGCTTGTTTGTCTTGCATCAAGGCCCGGGAGAAACGGTAAAAACATTCTTTTTATATTGGATGACTATGATGAAAACCTTGATACTAACAATTTTGGTATCTCTATAAAGTCGCTCTGCAGATAGACTACTTCTTGAAGCCCCCAGAAGACCCAACTCGACCTGTACTGGACGTGAAAAGGGTAGGACATTCCTCCTAGACACGGTATCTAGAGCTTTGAGATTTTAATTCTATTGAAGCATATGCAGCCAACCACACCAGACTATTACAGAGCTTAAACAGTCCAGCGCCAACTACTAGACTACTAGTGAAGGACCAGCCAGAGACCCAGAATACGAAGACCCTGGCTATAGAATGGAAATGAGATGTTACTCTTGAAAATGAATCCTATGTTTTGTTTTTGCTTTTTCCTATGTACAAGAATAATCGGCTTATGCGGCCTCTGTCTTTGACCCGTGGACCACGTAAGACTTTAATTAAATCTGATCTGTTTGGCCCAAGATGATATTAGGAATGCTCCAGGGCTATATATAAGAACACACGTGTTTGTGAATGTTCTTTTTAAATGTCTTATTAGATGTATACAAAGCCGTTAAAAAGCATAAACCGTACAGCGGACTTTCTATGTGTAACCCTTAATTAAAAGATCCATCTTCCCATTGGCCATGCTGACCCACGGTTCGGGGCTTCACATTGTTTCAGGGGTATGGAGTGTTAGTGGCAGTATGTATGGAGTACGGAGTAGTATGTTGGAGGATCTATCACATTTGTATGGTAGATACGGACTATTTCAAGCGAATGGGAATGAATTGTGTTCAGGAAGTTTTCAATTATTGTTTTACAAGCATATGTACATATGTTAGGAGATGTAATCTTAAATGTTGAAATTATGCTAACGGCAGATGAAGCAAGGTAAAGGCAACTGAGTTATCCTCCGAAGTCCCAGCTTCTGGCTACGAGAGATGATGTGGGGGGTGATCTTCGATCTTCGATTTTTAATCTTCTTTCTCCTTTCAAGGTCTCTTGAGATATTCCCATTCCCTTCCTTTTCTGTTTTTTTTTTTCTTTCTCAGTCTGTGTGTGTTTTTCTTTTTTAATACGGTGAGTCTCTTCCCCACGCCTCTAAGTGGTGGTCTCCACCGAAATGTCGCTCAAGGGGGGCACGGGTACTTTCAATTGCAACACTCCAGACCCCGTCCGTGTCTTTTGTGTATGAGAGAGTCTCTGTGCTCTCTTTCCTCGCTTTCCGACAGGGCGACAAATCCTTTCTTCCCGATTGCACATCCCTAATCATGTCCCTTTAGATCGTTACTTGTCGCATTCCTCGAATTCCCACATTCCTCTCATTATTCACCCGGGACCGACGATTTGATCTCCCACTACATGTGACCTTGGATTGACCGAAACGAACATTCCTCGAACTGATCCACACCTTCGAAATCCCTTCCCGCGAACCTTGCGATCGGAGACCCATCTGCGGGGACTGGCACGCCTCAAATCGGGTATTTCGAGCTCCAATCGCGTCGAGCGATACACAGCACAGCCATGCCCTGGCGGCCGCTGCCTCGCATCGCCTTTGCTGTGGCCATATACCCTTTCAACCCGTCTTCCCCCGCAGACCTACCATTGGAGCTTGGCGATGAGCTCTACATAATTGAACAAGGAGGGACGGACGGTGAGTGGTGCCGAGGCTATCTGGTCGCGCCACCGTCGTTGTTGGCCGGCTTGACAAGCACCAAGGGCCAGACTCTCGAAGCTCGCGTGTTCTCGGGTATCTTCCCGCGAAACTGCGTTGAGATTAGAGAGGTGCTGGGCGACAGCGATGGATATAAAGCACTACTAAATGCTGATCGGAAAAGCATTGATCGACTGACCTTGTCCGGCTGGGATGGAGAATTCCTGTCCCGAAATAGTCTGGCTTATTCCGTCAATGACTTCCAGGGTGCTGGCGAGGTGTCTGATGTTGTCTTTGCGAAAAAGGGGAAGCCTTCCCAGATCGTTATTCACAAGACCGATGGCTCAGACCAGGCAAGTCCGCGATGGCGAACGGGCTCGATCCCGCATACACCTGTCTCCTTTGCTCCTCGCGACCCTGACGCGCCCAAACCTGCTGCCCCGGTCCCCATGCTTAAGATCGGTGATGAAACTCCGACTTCTCTCACAGAGCCACTAGTCGATGAGATCGCATCGTGTCTGCGCGAATGGCATTCGACTAATTTGCATGAATTGCTTTTGGAACGTCGGTATGATGTGTTGGAGGAAATGTCAAACATTGTACAAGAGCTGGACTTTGCGAGACGACAATTACTACACAACGTTCTGACTGGAAAGGAGAAGGAAGCATTGCGGGACGAGACAGTCTGGAAACTTGTCAAGGCAAACAAAATGCTTAGCGGGGACGTGATTGTTCGCGATCCGGAGCAGAGAGGTCGTTTGCTAACGGGTGACGACTCTGCTATCCAATTGGCAAAGCTGCAGTCCGAGATGAGTATGCTCGACTCAAGTCCCACCCAGGCATCCGATGCTACAGCCCTTCATCATTTGCTGCTGGAAATCAACGCGGTATCAGGGAATGCGCCGGGCCAAGTGACCATTGGAATCCAGCTGTTTTCCCGATCGGATGCTGGTTCACTCAGCCCATTATCTGAGACCTTTAGCTTAGATATTCCGTCTCCTGATAAGTTCGTCAACATGAGTCAAAGCAGTAAGCTGAAGACACTGTTCACCGAATTGGCCGCAACAGACATCGGAGATGGGTCCGCGAATGGGCGGCAGCTCTATCTAGTCGCTTGGGTTCGTGCTCCAGAGACGCGGTCCACAGCCGATACCACTCCCGTGTCGAGGTCATCAGTCTCACGAGAAAGTCCGACCCCAACCAAGGCCACGGCAAACGGGGGCATTCAACCCTCGGCCAAGGGAAGTTTGAGAACGCGGCGCAGCATGATGTGGACGCCCAAGCAACGCGGACCGAGCTTTGATCAGCCATCTAAGCCCACTAGTCAAGGAATTCCACGAACATCGAGCAGTGCGTCCAGCGTCAAAGAGGCAACCACCCCTCAACCCGCCCCAACAAAGGAGGTCTCGGCGATTCGCACTGTTGGCGTTGGGATCTTGGAGGTCTCGCCGATTCTCCGACAGGAAAAGGACGCTGAGCAGGTGATCAATATTTGGTCACCCCGTCGAGACGGCGAAGACGGCGAGGGGCTGACGGATGGCTTTGACAAGTTGATCCGGGCCTTGCTTCCTAGTCCCACCGGCCGGTATGTGCGTGCTGACCCTGCGGCACGTTTACACCTCCATCTACGCCCCTTTGCCAGTTGCGACGCCGAGTTCCTGATCCGTCAGAATCCTACTATATTGCACGATGTCGTCCAGACACAGCGCATTGGATTCTCCAAGGCTCCGACGAAGCCAAGATCCGATATCTACGTGACGCTCTCTCAAGCCGTGTTTCCCACAGATGCTCTCCTGTCTCACCCGCAGGCTGGTCAAATTCCTTTGCAGGCGACGAGCGGACTCCATAATCTTCAACTTACTCTCGAGGTGCGTGATGCTAAAGGGGCTCGGATAGACAAATGTGTCTTCCCTTCGTCATCCAATACTTCGAACACCGCATGGCGCACTACAATCGCCCAGCGGGGCACGCCTTGGAACCAGACCATTCGCCTCAAGATCCCCACAGAACAAATCCCTGGCTCGCACATGGTGATGAGTGTTGCAGATGCACCAGAATTTCCCTTTGCTCTTGCCTGGATGCCCCTTTGGGACCAACAGGCTTTCATTAGAGATGGGCGTCATTCTCTGCTTTTGCATGCTTATGACAAGCAGACATCTAGCATTGAGAATGGAAAGGGTGCTTATCTGAGCCTCCCATGGAGCGCGCTCGGCAAGAATGAATCCGCCAAAGATGAAGCTGTGACGGGTCCATTGGCCACTTTGCATCTCGAAACCCATCTTTGCAGCACAGAGTACTCCCAGGATCAAGTCATTCTGAGTCTTCTCAACTGGCGAGAGCGCCCCGTGGACGAGGTCTTGGATACCCTGAAGCGTCTACTCTTTGTTCCCGAAATCGAGATTGTCAAACAACTCAATGGTGTCTTTGATGCGCTCTTCGGAATCCTGGTCGAGAATGCTGGCAACGAAGAATACGAAAACCTGATCTTCAACGACTTGGTCACTGTTCTGGGAATTGTTCATGATCGACGATACAACCTAGGCCCGCTGGTCGACCGCTACACCGATGAGCAGTTCAGCTTCCCATTCGTCACCCCATGCCTCATTCGAAGCTACCTGCGCCTCTTGAATGCAGCGACCGACGGTACACAATCTCGCAATCTTCGCGCAGCCTTCAAGGTGGGACGTCATCTGTTGAAGTTCATCATCAAGGCCCGCGAGCAGCAAAAAGCCAAGGAGGAAGGTATTGGCATTACCACGGTGCAATCCACCTTCAACAGAGACATGCATACCATTTTCAAGTCTATGGAGACTTTGATGAAAAACTCCTCGCCAGCTTTGGTGGGCAGCAAAACACTGGTGGTTCAACATTTCCATACGTGGCTACCTGAACTCTCCAATGTCCTGAGCAAAGACGAAATGATTATGATCGCTCTGAGTTTCATGGATTCATGCAAGGATGTCACCGGCATGTTGATCCTCTATAAGCTTGTTCTTATCCAGAACTATACCATATTTGAGCTTTTCGCCTCTGGCGATGATAGACGAACCTTGATCTCCAGCTGTATTGGCTGGTTGGCTCCATACTGGGGTTCCACCTCGGGCGTCTCGGATTTGTATCGTGATCAGGTGCGACTGAGCAGCTCAATCGTGGCTCAATTGCTCGGCCAGTCTGACCCTCAGCTTTATGGGTTCATGCCAAGCATAGTCGCCTCTTTCTGTGCTATCTCCACTGAGGGAGTTGATGAGACGGAATATCTGTCTTTGCTTTTCAGCAAGGCGTTCCCCTTCCAGATGAAGACCGCCAGGATTCCTCAAAGATTCGATGAGTCTTTGGTCGAACTGTCTGCGCTCATGGCTGCCATTGCCAAGATCCCGTCTCCCAAGCTTCCCAACTTGAAAGAATTGGAGCTTGCACTATTTGTTGCTCAGACCCTTGAGGCCCACAACTCTATCCTTGACTGCGAGGCTTATCCCGAGACCTGGTTCAGTATTCATGTGTACAACCACCGCGCGACTATCAAAAGTCTTGAACATATTGCGGTATTGCTCATTGATAATCTCCTTCCGGCACCGGATGATGCAGACACATTCGATACCAAGCTGTGGGAGTCATTTTTCATGACTCTGTTGAAGGTGATTTCTAGCGATGTCCTTGCACTCGAGACCTTCCCCGAGCAGAAGCGCCGCGCTGTCTGGAAGATCGCCGGCGATGTGCGCGAGCAAGGTGCGGACTTGTTGCAGTCTACTTGGGAAGCCATTGGATGGGAGACCACGGACGACGAGAGGGAGCGTTTCAATTTGAAAAAGCTGGGCGGTTATCAGGTCCAGTATGTTCCCGGTCTGGTTCCTCCCATCATTGGTCTGTGTCTCAGTGTGCACGAAGGGCTGCGACATGTTGCTGTTCAGATACTGCAGACGATGATTCTAAGTGAATGGGATCTGAACCAGGATATCTCCATTATTGAAACAGAGATCATCTCTAGTCTGGATGCCTTATTCAAGTCCAAGCAGATGAATGAGAGCGTTAGCCAGAAGATTTTCATCGGCGAGCTGTTGGATCTGTTCGAGAGTGAGACTATATCCGATGATCTATTGTCGAATGCTGTCAAGAGTCTTGTCGGGACGGTCGATGAACTCTTGGATCTCTTGGTGGCTTCTCAGGGCGGCGCCTCACTCCAGAGTCTGCACGCTCTGAAACTAATGGAATATATGAAGGACATGGGTCGCGAGGATATCTTCATTCGTTACGTTCATGAACTTGCCGAGGCTCAGGCTGCAGCAGGCAACTTCACTGAAGCAGGTCTTGCCCTTCAGTTCCATGCCGACCTCTACGAATGGGATCTCACCAAGCCTCTGCCGGAGCTGCTCAAACCCGCATTCCCACCTCAAAATGCTTTCGAACGCAGAGAGGCTTTGTACTTCTCCATTATCCAGCACTTTGAAAATGCCATGGCCTGGGGCCCCGCGTTAACTTGCTACAAGGAGCTCGCAGTACACTACGAGCACACGACAATGGATTTCGCCAAGCTCTCCCGAGCCCAAAGCTCCATGGCTCGAATTTACGATCTCATTGCCAAGGGCGGCAAACAATTCCCGCGTTACTTCCGTATGGTCTACAAGGGTCTCGGGTTTCCTCCCGGCCTGCGCGATAAGGAGTTCATCTTCGAGGCGTCCCCGATGGAACGCATGGCGTCTTTCGTGGATCGCATGCAACGGGAACACCCTACTGCGCAGGTCATGTCTACTAGCGAGATTCCTGACTACGAAGGCCAGTTCCTTCAGATCAGCGCCGTCAGCGCATACCGTGATGTGTCTCATCCTGTCTATCAGCGCCCCAAGGTTCCGTCCTCTGTCCGCGAGCACATGCTGATCTCGGATCCGTCTCGTTTCTCTGCCACATCGCGACGACACACGAGCAGCTCCGATGTCCGGGAGCAATTCGTTGAAAAGCTCGTTTTCACTGCCTCGGAAGCGTTCCCGAATATCCTCCGTCGTAGTGAGATTGTTTCTGCTCAGGAGGTTGCTCTGTCGCCTCTGCAGACTGCCATTGAGCGCACGTGGCGCAAGACACAGGAGCTTCAGCTTATTGGCCGCCGTGCTGCGTCGGGTGAGGATTCTAGTCTATCTAATCTGACTGAAGCCCTGGAATCACTGCTTGAGCACAGATCGTCAACCTCTAATTGTGTGGCATCGTACCGTGTATTCCTAGCCGATGCGGAGATGGCAAGGAACAAGCTACTTGAGGAAGTTGATGAAGACGGTGAACAGGTACAAGCAACACAGCAGCCTGTGGACCCAATGGAGACTGCGCTCTCCGTTGCACTCGTCGACCACGCTTTGGCTATCAAACACGCACTGTCTCTTTACCAGCGTCCAGCTCAGCAAGCTACGCAAGCCGAACTGCTTCGACGCTTTGAAGATGTCTTCGAGCCCGAGCTAAGTTCTCTCGTCCCAGCTCCGCTAGAATACTCCTCACCTACACCCACACAAACAGCGCGGCAATCCCCCTCCTTGAGCGACAACCGCCGAATGCCACCTATCCATCGAATTGTCAGTCCGGAACAAGACCTAAACCGCGCAACCCGAGGCAATGCCCACACGCGCAAGCGCTCTGACAGACAATCCGTCAGTCACCGGATCAGCATAATCAACCCCTTCAAGCGATCCCACGGCGCCACCAACTCCATCTTCACCATCCAGCAATCCGACAGCAAGGGCCAAATAGTGGGTGAACAAGACGAAAACATCGACGACGACACGGCCACGATCCACAGCCGCACAACCAGCCACTCACGCGGCGGCCGAAGCGAGAAACGCCGCAGCTTCTTCGGCGGTGACAAGACATACAAGCACGGCTCTACGCCGTCCGTCGCCCATGAATCCCAGACCTCGTTGAGCACGCACAATGTCACCCGCGACACGGCGGCACGCTCCCACGACGGCCGCAGTCGCGCCGGCTCCCAGCACCGCGGCCCTACTGCCACCGGTGCAGCCACGGACCGGGCTGCGCCCGCCTCTAGTGGTGGCTGGTCGACGCTCCCGTCCACGCGCGATTATTCGCGGCCTGTCACACGCGACAGTAATGCGGTGACTCTGACGACTACAAATGGCACGGCCCCGTTGTCACCCGTGCTCAATAATAGTAATAGCGGGATGCGGGACTCGGTGTTCCGTCGTTTCAGTATGCTCAAGGGTGTTGGACGCAAGAGCAGTCGGATGGATTTTAAAGCTAACGGTGCGCTGCCGGAGGAGTAATGACCACCCCCTTTACTTTTTCTTTTTTTTGATTCTATCCTTTATACCTCTTTTTTTGTTTTCCTCTGTGTCTTGACCCTCCTTTTAACTTTATTTTTCTTTCACTTCTTGATGTGACTTACTACCCTGATGTATTCTTGCCTTACCTATTTTTTTTTTTTGTTATGTGGACTGGGGTTCTCCTTTTACTGGTGTTAAAAGATATATACCATGTGCTAGTTATATAGTTCCATAGTTAGTTCCAATCTACATAATGTTATTTCCCTATACGTATACGACAGAAAGTCTAAGCCGTCAACATCCATGGATCTCCGAAACACATTGTCCGTGCATCCAATCGTCGAATGTGGCAGTGCACAGTCTTGGTATTGAGCCATAGCCAATCAAAACGTCGTATGATGTAGTATGTGGAGAGCCAAGTCTGGTGGGTCGTCATCTCAATGCTCCTCCCCACTGACTGGGCCACACCCACCTTGGCAGCCACCTAACGTTCCACTTTTGCTCTTCATGTTCCTAACATTGAAAGGCTGTGCTAACCTTGATTTTCCACCTGTGGGCGGAAATTTTATGTCACAGTGAGAAAGTAACCTTGGAAGTGGCTTGAAACCCCATTATTCATTCCTTTAACTTCTTTGCAAGCTTGGAAATTATGTGTGGGTTGATATACTTCCCTTCCCCTTCTTTTCCCATTCCCCATCCGCTCATTTCCGGCTTTCTGTGAAAGCCTCCCAAATTATAATCCGTTCAGGCAACGGATGAAAAATTCTCCATATTAATTGCGACGTTATATCTAGCTCTCCCAAACTTCCGCTCCCATTTCCGAAGCCACAGCTTCGGTCCACGAAGAATGGCCTCTGGCAACAACGGCTCCCTGGACGCCAATGAGCGAACAGGTCTACTCGGCGCACACCGTGACTCCTTCGCTGGCCTCTCGCCTCACCAGCACACTGACCATGGACGGCACCACCACCACCCTAATGATCACCGCGTCTGGGTGCGCTGGCCGGTGCACGTTGTCCATCTGACCTGGAAGACACTTGTCCGCGACTATGTCAATGTCCTGCTTATCTTCGTGCCATTGGGCATCATTGCCGGTGCCCTCGGCTGGGACTCCACCGCTGTCTTTGTGCTCAATTTCTTTGCTATCGTTCCCCTCGCTTCGCTGCTTAGCTTTGCTACCGAGGAGCTGGCCGCTACTCTTGGCCAGGCGCTTGGCGGCTTGATGAATGCCACTTTTGGAAATGCTGTTGAACTGATTGTAAGCTTGCCAATCCTCAGCCCGGAGTCAATGGTGATATGTATAGGTGTCTGATGCTAATTTGCTTTGTTCCTTGATAGGTCAGCATCATTGCCCTGAGACAAAACCAGATTCGCGTCGTCCAGGCCAGCATGCTGGGCAGCATCTTGTCTAATATCCTGCTGGTCCTGGGCTGCTGCTTCTTCGTCGGTGGACTCCGCTACCGCGAACAGTCTTTCAACACCACCGTGGCATCAACCATGTCCTCGCTCATGGCTGTTGCGTCCGCATCACTTATCATCCCCGCCACCCTCTACGCCGCGATCTCGAATAACACCGTCGCCAAGCCCGACGGTGCAGGTGAAATCACGGACCCGGACCGAGCTGCACAGAAGAACATCCTCATCTTGTCGCACGGCACCTCCATCATCCTCCTAATTATCTACGTCATGTACCTCTACTTCCAGCTGGGCTCGCACTCCGACCTCTTCGAAGAGACAAATGGCAGCGATACCGAGAACATCGCTGGCGCCGAAGGGGAGGAGGAAGAGAAAGAGGAGCGCATTCTCAGCCCCTGGGCTGCGGCTGTTGTTCTCGTCGTCGTGACCGTCCTCGTCTCTATCTGCGCTGATTACTTAGTCGATGCTATCGACCCCCTAGTAAAGACCACAGGCATGAGCAAGACCTTCATTGGTCTGGTGCTGATCCCGATTGTGGGTAATGCCGCGGAACATGTTACCGCCGTTGTGGTTGCGTACAAGGATAAGATGGATCTTGCGATCGGAGTTGCTATTGGTAGCAGCTTGCAGATTGCGCTGTTTGTCACGCCCTTCTTGGTTATTCTGGGCTGGATCATGGGTATCGAGATGACTCTGCACTTCCAGACTTTTGAGACGGTTGCTTTCTTCATTTCTGGATTGGTTGTTACTCTGCTTATCCAGGATGGAAAGTCCAATTACCTGGAGGGTGGTATGTGTCTCGGCATGTATATCATTCTTGCCTTGGCGTTCTACGTCTACCCTGATAACGTTGCCAACTAAGCTATGGCTTGGGTTTGGGGCTTTATCTTCGGGTTTTAAGGGTGGTTGTCTCGTTGAGACTGGGTCTCTTTTTTGTTTATCTGATTCTGCATGCCCTACATGTAGCGTCTACCGTGTTTTCTTGTATTCTATGTCAAAACTGCTTGTCTATAGTACATTGGTAGTCAAAATCACATGTGCGAGCATATTTATATAAGTCTTTATAAAAAGTAGCCAAAAAGGAGTCAAATATGCTATTAAAAGTGAATTGGTGGATTTCTATATCGACATCTTCCAAGGTTATACCTTGCGGAAATATATCTGCGCTACATACCAACTTGGAATCACCAGAAAAAAACTTAGCTTCACACATAGACTCGGGCAGACGAATTAAAGCTTATTTTATCCCTCAAATCATAATTCAGACTAATTATCCACCTGCATCCATGATCTCTCAATCCTGTTTCCATCAGCCGTACATTTCATGACCTCACATCGAAATCCTTGGCGCTGACTAAGCCATCCCGGAAATTTACTCGAGACCGCAAACTTCCCAAAATAGGCCGATTAATCTCGACCCCCCGTCTCAATTATTGCACAGGGGCCAATTCTCACAACCGCAACCATGGCGCCTCGACTTAACCTATTCACAGCCAACAAGGCCGTCTCGGCCCTGCGCCAATCCACCACTCCCGCACTCTCTTCCCCTCGGAGCATCGCCAGCCCCATCCGATTCCGCGCCGTTCAGTCACTACCCATCCAGCGCCGATGGAACTCCTCGCGCGATGGCTCGAAGAAGGTCGAGCCCCAGCCCGATGAGCAGACTTTCCCGACTGCCGACCAGCTGCCCGATGTTAGCGAGGAGGCCAACGAGATCTCCCGAATTATGGATAAGGAAAAGCGTTGTGATGGTATTCCTTCTACTCCGGAGTTAGATCAGGGGACGCCTGTTGAGGAGGTGAGCAAGAATGCATAATCCGGCTTGCTAAGTCTTGGCCGGAAAGCCGAATTGGGTATGGTTGTTAACCGTGTTTCGTGGAACAGATCCTCAGCCGCGATGAGGACGCTATGAAGCACATGCCGAAGGTTATGCGGGACGCATTGAAGAAGTCCGGTGGCTCGCGCTCGTTCTCGACTTCCGCTCGGAGCCTCATGAACGATCTGCACGGCGTCGAGCCTAACAACGAGGCTAACCTTATCCCCAATGTGCCTGGTCTCGAGGGCGCTAGTGACGAGGCCGCTGCGGCTCTTGCTAGCATGATTGAGCAGGTGCAGGGTCAGGCTCTTGAGGAGAACCCTGGGCTCAAGTTCGATCCGCCTGCCGTCCCCGAGGACTTGAAGACGTTGAACTTCCGCAAGCGCTACGATACCATGCAGGATCAGTTCACTAAGATGATGATGGAGAGTGGGAAATTGACCAAGGCGCAGAAGGTATGGTTTTCTTTTTCCCGTTCATGTTTGGTTGGGTGTGAGAAAATTGACTGATTGAATATTAGAACATGTCTCTCGTTCTGGATCACCTCCGCACCGCCTCTCCTCCGCAGATTAACCCTCGTCGCCGACTTCTTGGAGCTCCCCCAGCATCCCAGCTCCCCCTCAACCCCGTCCTCTACCTCACTCTCGTCGTCGACTCCGTGGCGCCTCTCTTCCGAATCCGCCAGCAGAAGGGTATCGCCGGTGGTGGTACTGCCGTGCAGATCCCCCACCCGCTGACTCTGCGCCAGCGCCGCCGTACTGCGATCAAGTGGATTCTTGATGCCTCGGATAAGCGACGGGATGCGCTGTTCGCGAATCGTGTTGCGGCTGAAATCGTGGCCGTTGCTGAGGGTCGTAGCGGTGTTTGGGAGAAGAGGGACCAGCAGCACAAGATTGGTATCTCTGGTCGTGCGAACTTGAGTACTAACGTTCGTCGCTAAATTGGCCTTATCGGCTTGTATTTCTTCTATCTGGGTTTTGGGGTTTGTCTTGTATCTCTGAGCACTTCTGCATATGTACATTTATATAGTCTGGTCAAAAAAATTGACTTTTATTCTTCATGGACTTATGGTATTCTCTGAGACAACTACTGCACAATAGTAACCCTTGGAATTTAAGACGGAGTTTTTAATGTGGCTGATGATCTCTCGATATCAATTACAAGGTTGTCCCTACATAGTTATATATAGAAAAGGCGTTTTGCACATTTTAAGCTGTTTCCACCGCCTGTATGTATTCTAGCTATAAAACCAATAAGGTAAAAAATATCTAAACGAAAGACTACTAAAAAGACTACTAAAAAAGATATCATAAGGCCGTATAGGCGGTCAACTATACTTGTTCTATATAGGTATGGCGGCTTACTTCTTAGTGATACATTTTCTATAATTGGAGGCCACCTGCCCTGAATCAAACTTACTTGCACACCTTGCATATCAATTGCTCCTTATACATATAATCTTGTTCCCCGTGGCGGCTCTCCTAGTGCTTTGTATAGAACATCGTCTGCCCCGCCAAGCAGCCCGATTACCTAATATACAGCTTTAGCTCGAGCGCAACTATTCCTGGAGTCGGAGAAAAAAAAAAAGGCCAATACGTTCACTATTTTACATGTCTACAATCTCGGAACAGATTCAAACCAGAAACACAATACACTTCCGATCAGTGGAGTGCCGCGTTATCTCATTGCCGACTTGACCATTACCCAGTGCAACCCCAAACTCCATCCAGGTGACCCGGACTCTCGACCCTCTTCGCGCCCCCACCCACGATAGAGGCCACTCCTACATTCCCCTCGGTCTTGCATCTCTCTCTACTCCTTGAATGACCTAGGCCGACTACCCTCCGGCCTCCCTCGACGGTGGCTCCTACCTCGCGCTCCGATTCCATTGAACTCGTCGACTACCACCCTCCCTCCCACGCAGCTACCACAAGCGCATCTGGCCCCGCTCGCTCAGACAATTATCAATATAGCGCTGGGCGGTTAGACCCTGCCGCCAACTCGCAGCCGCTTGCGGATCTTGATATAGTTGAGGAGTCGCAGGAGAAGACATTAGTACTTGACCAGCCGAAGGGCTCTCTTCGGTTCTGGGCTGAGGCTCTCCGACGTCGCGCTCATAACGCATCGCACGGGAACGTCGATCCGCATTCCAAAGCCAAGATGAAGTTCTCGCATAGTATCCAGTTTAATGCTGTGCCTGATTGGAGCTCGAACTACATCGCGTACAGCAATTTGAAGAAATTGTAAGTTTGTTGGCTTAACTTTCAATCGTGGGCGCGGTAGCTGTGATAGTGTGTACATGCAGATTCGGGGATCTGGATTGGTGTCACATTGCACAGGATCGATGCATCGGCTCGGATAATTGTTTTAACTGCGCTAACGTTGCATCGTGACTAGGATCTACGCCCTTGAGAAACAGGTCAATCGCATTGAAGGACCGGCGACCACAGATGTAGAGTCTGCTCCGCTGCTGGGCGATGCTCAACCGAGTAACCCAGATGCAATCTTCAAACGGTCTCTTGATGTCGAGATGGAAAAGATCTGTTCCTTCTATCAGAAGAAGGAGGCGGAGATTTTTGAACTCGCAGATGAGCTCATAAAAGACGCCGATGTATATCTCTCCGAGACAGATGGTGTCAACATGGACCCCGTTAGCGAGACAATCGTCAAGACAAGCTCCCGCCGCGGCAATGGTACTGCCTCGGTCCCGCGCCGGCGGTCCAGTGCTGTGAGCAATGACTCGATGGCGGACGACGAAGGAGAAGGTGGTGATAGCGACGACGACCGGTCCCCGATGGCCCTCCCACAGCGCCGGAGATTGCTGCAGTCGATCGATGGCGAGTCTGGCACGGACGACCACTACGGTGATATGGTAGACTCTTCCTACTTTGGACCGTCGACCACCCGTGAACCGCACGAGTCGCACTTCAACGACGAGGATTTCCTCGCTCTTTACAATACCGGCATATCGTTGAAGAGGCGCCTGATCGAATGCTACGTCTCACTCTGCGAACTTCGCTCCTTCATCGAGCTGAACAAGACTGGTTTCGCCAAGGCCCTGAAGAAGTATGACAAGACCTTGGACCGCAGCCTGCGCCGAGACTACCTAGCCTCTGTTGTCCATCCCGCGAGACCTTTCACCGAAAGCACCATGGCTGAAATCGATCGGCGTATTGAGAACGTGGAGGGTGTGTACGCGGGCATCGTCACGAAAAACAACAGGCAGTTTGCTAGACGCGAGCTGCGTCTGCATCTGCGTGAGCATGTCGTCTGGGAGCGCAACACCGTCTGGCGTGAGATGATCGAGATCGAACGTCGTGCGCAGGCCGCCAATGTTGGTATTCGTCACACCCTCCTAGGTGGCGATGAGGACCCGTCCACTGCACGGCGCCAGGGTGACAAGAGCGAGATCCGCACTCAGGAGATGTCAACGCCACTTGGTCGGTTCCAGTTCCCGTTGTGGCTCTGCAGCTTGAGCTTTGGTACGCTGGTATTTAGTATCGCCGTCTTCGGCGCAATGCTTTCCATCAAGGTGATGGACACTCCCGAGGAGCAGAACTGCTTGGCTATGTTGGTCCTCGTTAGTATCTTGTGGTCCACCGAGGTATGAGATACTGTTTGTTTATTTTTGCTCACATTGAATGCTAACATCGAGTGATAGGCTATTCCGCTGTTCGTCACTTCGCTTCTTATCCCATTCCTAGTCGTGACTCTAGGCATCATGCGGTCAGACGAGGAGCCTCAGGTGCGATTGGGACCCAAGGAATCAGTCGGCAAGGTGTTCTCGGCGATGTGGACTCCTGTGATTATGCTGCTCCTAGGTGGCTTCTCAATCGCAGCGGCGCTGTCCAAGCACGATATCGCACGGCGCATGGCCATGTTCGTGCTAAGCAAAGCTGGATCGAAGCCATCTGTGATGCTGTTGACCAACATGTTTGTGAGCATGTTCCTGAGCATGTGGATCAGTAATGTTGCGTCTCCCGTGCTCTGCTACTCGATCATCCAACCTTTGCTGCGCAACATGGCTCCCGAGTCAGACTTCGCCAAGGCACTCGTTCTGGGTATCGCGTTAGCCGCCAATGTCGGCGGCGCAGCGTCCCCGATTGCCTCGCCGCAGAACATCATTGCCTTGCAGAACATGCAGCCGAACATCAGCTGGGGCACATGGTTCTTCATCGCACTGCCCGTCTGCATCATCTCCATCCTACTAATTTGGGTTCTGCTGCTGGTGACATTCCGCCCGGGCCGAAACGCAACCGTGATACCCATCCGCCCCGTCAAGGACCGCTGGACCGGCATGCAGTCCTTCATCAGCATCGTCACCCTCCTGACGATCGTCCTCTGGTGCGCAAGCCACCAGCTCGAGCACATCTTCGGCGACATGGGCGTCATCGCCATCATCCCTCTCGTCATCTTCTTCGGCACCGGCATCCTCAACAAAGAAGACTTCAACAACTTCCTCTGGACAATCATCATCCTCGCCGCCGGTGGTCTGTGTCTAGGCAAGGCAGTCACCTCATCCGGCTTGCTGCACACAATCGCCATGGGAATTACCGCCCGCGTCGAGCACCTCAGTCTGTACAGCGTCCTCTTGGTATTCTGTTCTCTCATCCTTGTTATGGCAACCTTCATCTCGCACACAGTCGCTGCACTTATCATCCTCCCGCTTGTCCGCCAGATCGGCGTTAGCATGGAGAACCCGCATCCTAACTTGTTGGTCATGGCCAGTGCCTTGATGTGCTCTGTTGCGATGGGTTTGCCCACAAGTGGTTTCCCTAATATGAGTATGTTCTTGTTCTTCCTTCAGCTCGTTTGTATTGAGTTTGAGCTCTCGGCTAACTTGTTTCTCTTAGCTGCTATCATGACCGAAGTACCCCAAACCGGCCAACGATATCTCCAAGTTCGCCATTTCCTCACTCGCGGCATCCCAGCCAGTCTCATGTCCTTTGTGGTTATTGTCACACTTGGATATGGACTGATGTATGTTGCGGGGTTGTAGGGTGTGGTATGATGGGATGGTCTCGTGACCCGTTTGGGAAAAAAGTTCAGTTTGTAGCTTTTTTGGTTAGATTTCGTTCATATACACTCGGCTTAAATAAAGAGAAGAAAACATATGTGGGTTGGGTATATTACCTACTCTTTTCTCCGTTTGTCAGTGTTATCTTGATTCTTTTGTATTTAATTTTGCTTTGCTTCGTATGTCTGCATGTTTTCTGTTGGGATTGGATTCCTTGTACAAATGATAACAGACAGCTAGATGGCTTGTCATGCACATATCTTTCATTCTAATGCACAGGTGCCTTCAATCATGTATGTGGATAGTTACACCTGTCCGACTTCCTCTTTAAAGAAATATGGGCGCCTGAATGACGTCCAGATTTATTCTGTGTAAGGTCTGAAAATCCTCTTTCCCTGCCTTGATCTTTACTAGGTACTTCTTTCAATCTACACATCGCATTGGAGAGAAATAAACACAAAAGCCTAGTTCATTATTCCAATTCTCCAGACCCAGATACTTTATAAGACTAAAGACTAAAGGTACTGTACACCACAAAGACACCAGGACAGTTGAGGCCAGATTTAGAGAGATGGCCTAGCTGTAGACCAAAGACCAAAGACAAAAGGAAATAGACATAAAAAGGAAATAGACATAAAAAGGAAATAGACATAAAAAGGAAATAAGACATGAAAAATAAATAAAAACCAACCCAGGCATCGTGCATCACGGTAACATAACCCATAAACAAGTCATTGAAGGTATCCGTAGGCACACCCGATCACCCGTACAACGGGCCCCGGATGCTCATCGAGATGAGATAGGATAAGCAGTTATAGAAGCGAGGTATATACTCTTTTCTATTTGCTGAAGAGCGGCAAGATTAATTACTAGATTGTCAGTCAGTGAAATGCACCAACAATATTGAGTCAAGTTAGAGCCACAGCCACATCGGCGGGTTAGGGTTCGATGTGACGGGACAACAAGACAATCATAAAAAAGAAAAGGGAATACTAACAGCAGACCAATCGTCAAATCACCATGGATCTTCGCCTTGAGCTGAACCTCAATATCCAGATTCAGGTCCAACCGCAGACGAAGCTGCTCATCACGACCACCATCATCTTCCTTCTTTTCCTCGCCGCCACCAAGGATCCCGCCAACAGCCTTGCCCGCACTACCAGTCGCCCCACTCAGGGCATTGCCGGCTGTGTTCTGCACGAGCTGGCCGGCCTGATCGACGCCGCCAACGCCCGGAAGCCCTTCGAGCGCACTGCCGCCTTGTTTTTGTTGTTGCTGTTGTTGTTGTGGCTGGCGCTGGCGACGGACACGACGGGGTTTGGGCTCTGGTTCCATTTCGCTGCGGGCGATGGATTCGGTGTCTGATTCTTGGGGGCGGGGACGAGGTCTGCGACGACGACGTTCGGGCTTGGGTTGGGGTTCTGGTTCGGGTTCAGGTTCGGCCTCGTCTTCTTGCTCGGGCTCAGGCTCTGAGTCTGGTTCTTGGTGTTTGACGGGCTCTTCGGGCTTGGACTCGTCTTCTTTAGGTTGTTTGTCCTGGTCCTGGTCTTGTTCCGAGGAGGGAGGGGTTTGTTCTTGTTTGGCGGGTGACTTTTTGCCTAGCTTGGGAGGAGCACGTTTAGGCTTGTTGGGGGTTGCGGGTGTTGAGTCGGGATTAGGAGTGGGAGGTTGTTCTTGATCGGACATGGTGGAAGTAAAAGAAGAAGATTGTTCAGGAGGGGGAATGAGGGGAATATGAATTGATTCGAGCACGAGATGATAAAGGACAATGCGTTATTAAATGAACTATGTAATCGTGCTTTTAGTATAATGATGTAGATTGTTCAACCGTTTATATCATCAGAGGAGCCACCAGGCTTGAATAAAACCGGGCCTCGTAAACAAAATCCAACCGCCTCCGACGTCAGATGGGAACAATGCTATGGTTCTTAGGTCCATCGGTGCCAGATGTCGGGCTGAGACTCTGGTTCAGCAAAGACTGCATACATGACGGGCTGGGGGAAGCCCTATTGAAAATAGGTATGACGTCTCGGACAAGGATCAAGACGTGGAACGCATATGGAGTAACCTGGTATAAAGTGTGCATCCGAAAATAATAGTGGCCACCAAGTTTCACGCGCCAATCAGACGGGATGTCGGTGAATTTGGTGCATTGACGTTCTCCACTGAAATAGATTAAGTAGACGTAAGACCTGACAGTGAAACGGGTATGACGCCACTCGACGTCAAGGTCTTCACGATAAATTGTGGTAAATTGCCTGTATACCGAGTCAGCCAATGAAATCGACAAATAACAGGCCATTTACTTGTTCCTGGTTTTTCTTTTCCTTTGGTTCAAGCCACGAGTCTGCCTTTGTTTCCACGGATCGTAACAGGATGAGGCGGACATCCTGTTGGCCACTAGGGAGATTCTGGACATTTACTGTGGAGTTTTCACTGTGGACACGGCCCATTGTCTACAAGTGTCAGATCCTGGCCCGATATTGTCGTCCAACCCTGAGGATGACGGTTGTGCAAGGTTAGAGAAGTTGGAGAGGGACACCTGGGCAGCCTCCAACGTCATGTCCCGCACTTTGATATCGATGATGTCTGTGCCGTTTTTTCCCTTGTATCATATCATATCCTTGCTTTCCTTTTTGGTTTATGTTTAGCATATCCTTCTACTTTTATACATTTTTCTTCTTTTGAAATCATCATCTTCCCTACCACTATACTCTTAATCTACTCCCATCACATCAATCACATCCATTATGGCGACCGTTGAAAAAACCAAAGAGGCACCCAACAAGTTCCAGCCCAAAAAGCTCCCCGTGCAAGAGGACCTCTCCGACGGCGAAGACTATGACAGCGCCGACGATTACACCGACGAGGAGGAGGAAGTACCACAAACTAAGACCCAGAAGAACAAACAACTGCAGAAGAAAGCACTGCAGAAACAGAAAAAACCCGTTCAACAATACGACGACGACGAATACACGGACGGATCTGAATATGGCTCAGACGAGTACGAATACTCCGATGAAGACGAAGCCGTGCAGCCCTACTCGAACGAAAACTCAGACTTGAAGCCCTCCGGCGGCATGGACGTCCTCCACAAGGAGGAGAAATCAATGCTGGACGAGGAGGGCATGAAGTTGAGATTGGAACTGAACCTGGAAATCGAGGTAGAGCTCAAGGCTCGCATTCACGGAGACCTCACTATAGCTCTCATGTAAGTAATAACTGAGGCATGCAATCCCTCCCCCCAAACCCTTTGAAGAATGTCTGCTCAAAGACCGAATTAGGAGTTGATCGCGTTTTATCAACAACAGGGCTTGATCACCCATTTTCTTTTGGTTCCATTGCCAATCCTATCACGAAGATCCAACGTCGTCACGAGTGATCCTTTTTCAATGTTTCAATTGCTTCGGTGCTGCTTTCCATAGAGCCATGTTTTGATTTAATATCTTTCCATTTGTCTGTTCAGGGTCTTTTTTTTTTTTTTGGTAATGGTTTTCTTGGTCGGCGTGCAGGGCCAAGGGGATGCAATATACCGGAGTGTATACTGCTATGTATATTCCTTGGGCAATCACTTGAATGGAGTTGAATTCATTTTTCTTGAATGCAGCAGTGCAATGGTGTAGAAGTGTAGTTAGTAGTGTGGTGTAGTGAGGAGTGTAAAGTGTCAGACCTGGCGGAAAGTATGAAGCCGAGGCCCGGGTCTTGGCGCTGATTTCTCCAACTCTCCTCTTTACATTGTACTTGTATTCTGTACTCGGTTCAAATCCCAACTCTCAAGTGTTTCGCACAAATCCAAATCAATTGACGCTGTACGCCTCGCCCAATACAACCGCCACCATGTCGTCCAAAGACTTCATCATCAAGCACATGAACGCCGACCACCAAGACTCTCTCATACTATTCCTCCAAGCTTACTGCGGTATCACATCCACCCAAGCCAAAAACGCCACACTGGAGGAACTCAGCACCTCAAACCTGATCATCACCGCCCACGGTACCCGCTACAGCGTCCCCATCGAACCCGCGATGAAGGACTACTCGGAGGCGCGCGGCCGAATGGTCGCCATGCACAAGGAGAGCCTAAAGCGTCTGGGCCGCAGCGAGATCACACTCACAGAGTACCGTGCTCCGCGCGGCATCCATGCCGTCATCTTTGTGCTGTGTTTGTTGTTCTACGTCCTCTGCTTCCAGCGCAGCAACCTGCAGCCTGGCTCGGATCTCTACGAGTACTTGGGTCTTCAACGTGTGTCCTGGTTTCCGCGTCTCGTCTGCCTTCTCCAGCCGTACGTTGTGGGTATTCATATCATTGAGACCATCGCGCTGGTTGTGACTCAGTTGATGCCCCTGAATGTGCCTGTTATGTCGGGTTTGTGGTGGAAGTGGGTTGCGTCGTGTTTTGTCGAGGGATACGGTTCGATCTCGCGCATTAAGCAGTTCGTGAAGGAGCAGAAGGCGAAGAATGGCAAGAGCCAGTAGAGGGTAGTATTAGGCAGCCAATGATGACAGGTGCAATTACTGGTAGATATTGTCGATCATCTGTATATGTATGATTTTGGGTAGCTGTAAGTATAACTGGAAATAGGCAATTGGAGGTTCAATGTTGTACAACGGTTGGAATGTAAATGACTTGAATGTTCAGATCGTGGTTCGATGGCCCCTTCCAGATCATAGATCAATGCAGTAGCACGTGACTATTTGCTGAGTCAGGCCCTAAACATCACCTGACTGATCCAGTGACTGGAGCCACTAATCCCAATTTGGCCTAGTGTCGGTTAGGGCACTACACAAGCGAGCGACACAGTGCGCCCTGCGAAATTCAGCGACTCCACGACCTCAAACTCCCACGACAACCCTACGACAACTAATCTGTGTTTCTGGTGAAGGGCTGCACATTTAGAGGTGAGTTATCGGTCTATCTCAACTCCTGCAAGGTTTCTTTCGAAAAATTCTGTTTCGCTCGCTGCGCCCATCAATTTCGATCATCGGTATTCAATTCCTCCACATCGACTTTCGATCCTGTCTCGCTTTCAACGGTCATTCAACCACTCCGCAACCACTGTCGCCCAACTGTTCGATATTCGAAGATTGATTTTGTACGACGCTCGCGACGAAACAGAAGGATTGAAAGGAAAAAAAAGAAAACTTGTTCAGAGGTCCACAATCAACAACATCTAACTTGTGTCCGTCGACTTAGACCCCTCCATCAATCGCAAACATGGGTATTTCTCGGGATTCTCGCCACAAGCGCAGCGCCACTGGTGCCAAGCGCGCTCACTACCGCAAGAAGAGGTACGATTCTATCAACCCAGAATGAGGTCGAATGTTTCTTTTGGAAGGAGAAAAAAAAAAGGAATTCGATATACCAGTTGCAGATTCTTACATGTCTTTGTCCTACAGAGCGTTCGAGAAGGGCCGCCAGCCCGCCAACACCCGTATTGCCACCAAGCGCATCCACCTCGTCCGTACCCGTGGTGGTAACCAGAAGTTCCGTGCTCTCCGTCTTGAGTCCGGTAACTTCTCGTGGGGCTCCGAGGGTGTCTCCCGCAAGACCCGTGTCATTGGAGTGTCCTTCCACCCCTCCAACAACGAGCTGGTCCGCACAAACACCTTGACCAAGTCGGCCGTTGTCCAGATTGACGCTGCTCCCTTCCGTCAGTGGTACGAGGCCCACTACGGCCAGCCCATCGGCCGTAGACGCCAGGCTAAGACTGAGACTACCGAGGAGAAGAAGTCCGCCTCCGTCGCCAAGAAGCAGGCTGCCCGCTTCGCTGACTCCGGTAAGACTGAGTCTGCTATCGAGCGCCAGTTCGAGTCCGGTCGTCTTTTCGCCGTTGTTGCCTCGCGCCCCGGCCAGTCTGGCCGCTGTGACGGTTACATTCTGGAGGGTGAGGAGCTTGCTTTCTACCAGAAGGCTATCCGCAAGTAAACGAAAAAATAAAATATTCGGTTGTTGCAACGGGTGGATCGGAGTTTCAGCTATGTCATGATCAGAGCATTCACAGGATGCAATTTGTCTGTAGAGCTCTGAGCCTTCAAATCCATGGGAATTGTTCCTAGTTTCATCTCTTCTATGGTAATTGCATTTCTTGCGTAGTGTTGTGTAGTGAGTGTACAAGTATCGAGTACCTGACTCTTGGAATAGTATATTGCGGACAATCTGCGGTATGGGGGAAATCTATCTATTGTTGTACGTTGTACTTTGGAACTTCGACACATGTAGTAAGACTCAGCGAGAACATGTTTCAATTTATTTCTTTTCATATAGACCTTATCGATGAACCGTACCCAGTAGGGGTGTTGGGCAGAATCTCCGGGGTTCTTTCTGGGCCCGAGCTCGATGCTTATCCATCTCTCCCCCACAGCCCAATCTTCCCTCAATCAACCAACATGGCTACCATCAAAACCCGCATTTGCATGATATCAGACACCCACACAAGCACCCCACATCCACCCCAAAGAACAGACAATGCCTACCGCTACCCCCTCCCAAAATCAAACATCCTCCTGCATGCCGGCGACCTCACAAAAGTGGGGTACCGCGTCGAGCACGAAGCAATGATCTCCATGCTCGCCGACGCAGACGCAGAGCTCAAGCTTGTAATAGCAGGCAACCATGACATAACACTAGACGAAGAATACTTCACAACCTTCGGCTACACCCGCCACCAACGCCCAGAGCAACTAGGCGAAGAATCCATCCTGCTATCAGATGACCACCTCCAGACCACCCTACGCACCTCCACAACCAAAAAAGCAAACCCAGACTCCCTGAAGGCCTACGTCCGATCCATAAAATCCCTCTGGACAAGCGAATCAGCCCGGAAAGCAGGAATAATCTACCTAGAAGAAGGAATCCACTCCTTCACCCTCTCAACAGGCGTAAAATTTACGCTCTATGCTTCTCCATATCAACCGGAATTTTACAACTGGGCATTTGCATACCCCCGCGACCAAGACAGATACAACCCCGCCCCCGCTACGCACCCACAGCCGCAAAATCCAATCCCAGATTACCCAGCCATTGACATCATGCTAACCCACGGCCCGCCCGCCGGAGTCCTGGATCAGGTCCCGCCGGACTTGAATGTTGGCTGTGAAAATCTGCTCCGCGCGGCGCGGCGTGCAAAGCCGCGACTGCACCTGTTCGGTCATATCCATGAAGGGTGGGGTGCGCAGCGTGGGGTGTGGGAGGATGAGGCGGGTGGTGATGGTGGGGGCGTTAGGCTTGAAGATGTGCCGACGGATACGGAGGATATGCTGGAGAATCGGTGCGCATTCTATGATGTCAGTGCCGGGGCGGATCGGCCGCTGCGGGTTGGGAAAGAGACGCTTTTTGTCAATGGAAGTATTATGACGGTCGCATATGAGGCGAGGAATGCGCCGTGGGTGGTGGATTTGGAGCTTCCTGTTGCTGGGGGATAGGTTCTGGTGGTTATTGTGTTAGTATATCCTATATCCTGCGAGAGGCTCTGGTTACTCTACGGGCTTCTAGGTATGGTATGGTGCTGGGCAACTATGGATGCAAGTTGTATCCGTGGATATATATTTACCAAGGGCAAGGATAAAGATGTATGCATCCCGAAAGAACCACCAATTGAGTATTACTACGTCGATGGACGAAACAAGTTAGGATCATGCAAGGAATTATACCCTCTAATTGTTGTATTGTTCTATATATATACGCAGTACAGCATAAGAAATAGCTACGAAGAAACTCTCTGAACCAGCACAGTAAGACCACCCGAGAAAGACAAACAGAAGCAAATACAAATAAAAACCAAATCACCAGGCCAAAAAAAATAAACATAAAGATAGCAAATTACTCCCCTCCATATCACCAAGAAATAAGACCTGAATCCGCCCTAAGGAGCACCACCAAGACCTAGCATATTTGTTAGCTTCTGCAAAGACATCACACTCAAACCAAGAGACTCACCAGCAACAAATGCCAGGTACCAAGTACGCGTAGCCCCGCCATCAATCCAGCTGTAGTCGAAATTCGGCTGGGCAAAGAATTCCCACGCCGATTTCGGATCGATGAGGGCCAAGTTGGCGTATAGCACACCCCTCCATCCGCCCTCGACCTTGGAGGCCGGGGTTGAGGCATTTTCAGCAAACATTGCCTGCCATTCCTGGTTCACGAACTCCTTTCGTCGTGTGAAGGGTGTGTGTGGCATGAGCGGTAGCATGTGGATACTATGGTGCTTGTTAGCAATAGTTCAGAGTGAACCAACAGCGGGACGGTGGTATACATACCCTTGGATGAATTCGAGGTTGGCACCGAAGTAGGTCGTGTGATCGACCTTGTTCTCGAATAACTGATTTGGTATGTTAGTGTCGAGTTTGGATTAGACATGGAATGAAGATGGCGGGCGGTACTTACAATTCCAGTTACCCTGTTCGCAGTAAAGTTCGCAGGTTGGTTGACATTATCATCCTCCATCAAGAAGTAGTTATTAAGAGACCGGCCCAGGATGCCCAGCATGATATTACCACGAGCTTCCATGCTAGCATCACCGGTCGTCTGTCCCCACATCTTGATCGCATAAGCGAACATGGTATCTTCCGAGGTCGATTCCTGATCCTTGCCATCGAAAGACTCGAACAAACCCTTCGCCCACGAGTGACCGTTATACCAATCGAACGAGCGCGAGAATGGGAAGTGGGGATCATCTGCAACAGAGTTACTAGCGTCCCGAACAAGCATGTTGACCCACTCCTTGTTCGCGGCCAGCCAGCTGGGATCAAGAGAGCCGATGATGGCGGCTGCTTGGATGAAGTAGCCGTAGTGGAAGTGGTGGTCGTTGTATGCGGTGTTTCCGAAATCCTGGTTCAGGTCGCCATCGTAGCCGGCCGTCGACACAACGCCCTTCCAGACAGCGTCGTAGGCGAGCGGGTATTGCTGCTTATTCTGCACGAATAGATCGAAGGATTTCTTCAGCTGTTGGAAGGCGTCTGTTGCTAGATCGACGTTGTTGCCGAGCTGGTTGACTGTATAGACGAGCGTTGCGAACTTGCTCAACGCCTTGCCGCTGTAGTACATGCTATTGAGATCTGTCTGGTCTGAAATGTTCTGCTGGAGCTCGCTGGGAGCAGCCTGGAGAATGGCGTGCTGGGCTGCGGCTGAGAGCTCGTGGACACTGCCATGGGTGGTGGACCACGGGGCGAATCCGATATCGATGGGGAGGTTTTGTTCGACCATAGTCCAGCTTTCTCCGATCACGGCGGTGGAGTTGCCCTTGGTCGTAGTGCGAAGCTGAATATCGGTGATACGGCCCTGGGTGGCATTATCGAAGGAGTGGACGTGATGGGGTAGGGCAAACATGATCAGAGGAGTACCATTGATGTCCTTTCCGGCCTTGGTCCATGAGAGAGTGTAGCTGCCCACATCATCTGTGACAGAGCCGGAGATCTCTCCTGCCACTGGGTAGACACCAGACGAGTTATCATAGAACTTCTCGCCAGACTCGCCCGCGGAATTCTTCGCAACTTGGATAGTACCGGAGAAGCCCGTGGGACCACGAAGAAGGGAATTTGAGACTAGTTTGAACTTCGGATCATTGCCATCAGCCGGAGTGGCATATACAAGCCAGGTCATGTCATCCTCAAGGAAAACCTGGTACTTGAAGATGCCGGGCCTAGGCGAACCGGCGCTGACGACCTTGCGGAAGAAAACACCACTTTCAATCAGGGGCTGCAGATCATTGTACACAGCTGTTGCGTAGCCCATGCCTTGCACAACGGGGAAGGTAATCTGCTGAGTCGAGCCAGCGGAGCGTTTGATCACAGCGTGGGCCGAGAAAGCCTTTGGCTGTTCAACGTTCATGATAGAAGACTGATCAAGCTCGGCGGCAGACAAAACCAGATGTTGAATACCCACTGGATTGATGTAGTACTGCACTGGGTTTCCAGGGATCTTGTTGTTCGGAGGTCCGTATGCGAGCATGTGAGGCTGGACATGGGAGACAGTCATACCCCAGCTCTTCAGGGAACCGTCTCCCCTGGACCATGCCAGAGAGTAGGGCTGAGCGAAGGTAGCATTGGTCTGAGAGCCCAGGAAAAGCCCGGCGTAGAACTTATTTGTCGCAATAGGGTCCGTGGTATTGGCCTATACCATAATGTTAGAATGTTTGATTCGAATCATGCTCGAGTTTGGGGTTATCTTACGTGCTGGTTCTGCACAGGGTGGTCATTTCGAGACTTGATATTAGCAGGGACAGGACCAGTCGCAACCGGCTGGAAGATATCTTGGCCGTGCATGGTTTTGGGAGGATCTGATGCAACCGGGGGTGAAGAAAGCGTGTCAACGGACTCTACTAAGCTTTAGAATGTGTGCAAAGTGCTACAATAATTCATGTTCAATCATACCGTGCGCCACAGTAGTACTTGATTTGGTCTGCGGTAAGTCTGTCACAGATCCAGCTGTTGGAATTGGCCCTGAGTTTGCGGGATGTTCAGGTGAAGTTGTCCCCTGAATAGGATCCGATTTTCCTGTACCAGTAGGCTGTTTTGTTGTAGTCGGTGCTGGCGTAGTAGTACTTGGTTTGGTCTGCGGTAAGTCTGTCACAGATCCAGCTGTTGGAATTGGCCCTGAGTTTGCGGGATGTTCAGGTGAAGTTGTCCCCTGAATAGGATCCGATTTTCCTGTACCAGTAGGCTGTCTTGTTGTAGTCGGTGCTGGTGCAGTAGTACTTAGTTTGGTCTGCGGTAAGTCTGTCACAGATCCAGCTGTTGGAATTGGCCCTGAGTTTGCGGGATGTTCAGGTGAAGTTGTCCCCTGAATAGGATCCGATTTCCCTGTACCAGTAGGCTGTCTTGTTGTAGCCGGTGCTGGTGCAGTAGTACTTGGTTTGGTCTGCGGTAAGTCTGTCACAGATCCAGCTGTAGGAATTGGCCCCGAGTTTGAGGGCTGTTCAGGTGAAATTGTCCCCTGAATAGGATCCGATTTTTCTGTACCAGTAGGCTGTCTTGTCGCAGTCGGTGCTGGTGCAGTAGTATTACCACCTGAGCCCAACAAATCTTCTAAGCTGCCAACGAATTTGACAACGTCAACCTGTGGAAAAGGCTGCTGGGATGAATGACCGTCCTGTTCCAAAGCTACTCGATACACCTAGTCCAAAATGTTAATACCATGCTTTATACCATGCAACACATTTCTCCGAGACGTACTGGGTAGGACTTGGGAATAAGGAGCCTCTCTTCACTGTTTGAAGGTGGATATTGAGTCTCAAAGGCACTTGCAGGCTCGGTAGCTGTGTTTTGCAGAGTAGGTTCTACCTCACTTCCCACCTGCGGGAGACAGTGGGCTATTTCTGTGGCTAGAAGCCAAGTCAGCAAGCCTGTAGCCTTCCATTTCAAGCGTGAGTCCATGATGCCAAGCCAGATCTCGTCACGAGTGTTAAACACGTGGAGATTGTAGGAAGTCTGTGTGCTATTCCTCAATTCAATCCAATTGGATATGAATTACTCGAGGGCAGACGACTTCGGAGGGGTCCAAAAGGCAAGGTGAAACTGGCAAAGGAGACAAATAACTCCAGAGGAAAGCAAACTCACAAGTAGGTCCTATAAATTCCAGGAGACGGACTATACCCCCTCGGAGCTCAAACACTCAGGTCCCGATTGGGACAACACACGGGCCGGTTTGTTGTGAATGGTCTGCCGACAGATTCCTCAGACTGTCGATCTTCATAGATGTCAGCAATGTACAGCCATTAGCCAAGGGGAATGACTGGAGTTGGGTATCGTGTCTGGCTCAGCAATGTAGGGCGCAACAGGTAACACGTCCAGCCCGCGTGCGTTCCCCACCCCCAAGAATGTGTGCGGGAATCACTGCAACGACCACTTACTGGATTAAATTGGACTGTATTACCCAGGTAATTGGGGATAATTGCGAGATGGGTGTGAATATTACTCCGTCAGTTAATTGAAGATGTCAACTCCAGGCAGCACCTGCCAAGAGATCGCCCACGTGGAGTAGAAATCCACGACAAGATGCAAAAGGAAGAAAAACATGAATATATTCGGATTCAAATTATTAAGAGAACTCGAGGATGACTCAATATGAATCACCAGATGATCCATGGATACTTTTTAGTTACTTTTTATGGAATCATGGGACAGGTTCTAATGGTTTATCCAGAGTCTACGTTAATATTCCAAGTCGAGGCACCTGGGCACCTATGCTGTATGCTATCTACTTTGTCCAGGTAACATGTGTGACTAAAATAGCTATAATTCTGCGTGATAACACTAAGTCCAGTGGAGATATGGTTGAGAGGTGACAGGGCGTGTGAAGTATGATTTGTATGAACTATATGAGCTATACTGTGCACATGGGCACCTGGCACCTGAACACCTTGGGTACAGCAAGAATGGAAATGCTTTTAATTCAAAAGGCGCCGCAAAATGGGTCGCATTAGGTGCTGACATTGGACATGGCATATGTGAAGTGAAATAAGATATTTACATTCATTGCATGGGCTTCGACATGGGCTTGATGACGCCCTGCTTGATCATGACACGAGGCTTGGTGCCACTCTGGAAGCTTTCTTTCGTAGACCACTCGGGGCCCAGGGGCAACCGCAGGGACCGTTCGTACTGCTGCTTGGTCTCGAACTCATGCGGCAACTGGCTTGCCATGTACTTCTTGTTCTAGAGTAAAAATGTTAGTGAGTTGTTCGTCGTTGTGTGTAGGAACAAGACTTGGCTTACCTTCTGTACTCGCTTCTGGTTGATAATGACCCGATCAAGCTTTGCGTCCTTGCGTTGCTGGGGCTTCACACCCGCCACAGTAGTCAGGTCTCGCTTCTGCTTCTTTTGCTGTCTCTTGCTGACACCTTCGCCGGCCCAGCTGCCCCAGCCCAGGAGTGTGTTGTCTATAACCTGGTCGCCTTCGTCTTGAATGGTGTCCATCTTGTCTTGTTCGAATTCCTGGATGACTTCATCGCCGGCAAAGGCTCTCTTCACGAGGTCGTGGTTCTTAAGCAAGACGGGCACCTTCTCCTCATCATCGCTGTCGTTCTCGTCGAATTGCTGTTTCGCGAGGGTTGCCTTGGCGTTCTTTTGCTTCTTGCTCTGTTGCTTCGCCGGAGCAACTTCTGGTTGAGTAGCATCGAGTGAAATGTCAATGCTCTCTTGGGCATCTGGGCCGGTTCGGCGACGGTTTGTCCGTTCGGTTTGGATCAACCAAGGGTTCTCCTCCTCTGTGGGGGTATCCTTTTGCTGATCGGAAGAGTCGCGTGAAGATTGTGAAACCTTCTTGTTGCCGGAAGCTCCTGATTTGTGCTTGGTGGTACCGTTGACAACAATGTCAACATCATCGTCTGATCCTGCTGCCTGTGCAGCTTCATCATCGGAATCTAGCTTCTCCTCAAACTCATTCTTGGGCAGCTGCTTTGCGTGAGATTTGGGGTCGGTCTTCTTTGATTGACCAAACTTTCGTCGACCGACCTCCGACTCTGCCTCAGACAGAGCCTCCTCTCCGTGGAGTTCACGATTGAGTTGGCGAAGCTCCGCATCGTTCTGTTCTTTGCGGGCGGCGTCCGCATTTTTCATGAATTTCATTTCGAAAAGGTCAGCATGGCGCCCCTTCACGCCATCCCCAGCATCATCACCGCCCTCGAGGGCCTTGAGCTTCTTCTGGATTTTCTCTCTTTCCACATCAGAACCCTGCTCGTTCCAAGGGTCCTCATCTTCTGACTCGGAGCTTGAAGAGCCCAAGTAGTCATCGTCTCCATTAGAAACACGCTTGCCTTCGATTCTCTTCCGTAGCTCCTCCTCTCTTTGGGCCAAGTCGGCTGCGCTGTTACGGGCCTCTTCGTCCCAGGCAGTGCGACCGGTCTGTTTCAAGCCCTTGGCCCATTTGCTTTCACGATGCTTGGAGCCCATGCGAGCTTCGGCTCTCAAACGCTCGTTCTTCTCCTGGTCCATGTCGTCCATATGAACGCCGGCTTCCATGAGTGCGTTTTGCTCCTGTTGCTCCATCTTTTCGCGCTCTTTCCGGTGAACACGGCGATAAGACTTGCTCTTGATCTTCTTGATGCGCTTGGCGCGCACTTCCTCTCGGAAAAGTAGGTCACGTCGCTTGCGTAGTTCTGCGCGCCGAGCCTGGATCTCCTCGATGGGAAGATTGCGGGCCTGTAATTCTTCGAAACTCTGGATCTGGTCCTCGGCTGACTTGCCTTCAGCCTCAGCCAGCCCACTCTCCACAAGGATGTTCTGGATGGCATTTTCGAGGTCTGTCTGCGGCTTGGCAGATTCCAAGCGGTGAGTCTGCTCAGCATCAGGATCACGTAGCGGGAAGGAAAGGTGTTCGGCTCTGCGGTTGGCCTTGACGGTTTCGAGCCATCGGTTCAAAGTCTCCTTGCTCTTCTCGTAGGCAGCAGTCCGATCAAGTCGGTCCTGTTGGCGTTTTGCTAGAGGAGCATCTAGCTTGCCCGGAATGCCCGATTTTGATGCCTGGACAACAGAGTCAATGTGTTTGAGCGAGTTTTTGAGGCGAGAGTCGGTGATTGAGGGTAGGAGATCGGCGACAGTCAATTTGTTGGCGGTCGTCAAGCCGTATTCCGAGTGCTTGGCTTCTTCTTGTGATTTTTGAGTACGTTTCGTAGGTTTTTCGGTCTCCATAGACTGGACAAAGTCTTGTAGCTTCGAAAGTCCGTGCGGATCCGCGTCGGCATCGTCGTCCGAGATAGAAAGCCCGTCATCGCTGGCATCGCTTTCACTGTCCCCCTCTGACCCAGAATCCTCGTCGCTATCATATTTCGCAGCCCGCTTGGATTTCGCAGCTGCTTCCTGGGCTTCTTCCTCCTCGGCCGCTGCATTCATATCCCAGGCGGTCGTGAGGTCAATAGCGTCTTCTCCAAGGTCATCGTCCTCGTCATAGTCTTCACCGTCAGATTCCTCATCTGACTCGTCGACATCCTCAGACAAGCTGATCTCTGTAGGCTTCTTTGGCTTGGGTGCCACTTTCTTCGGCTGAGATTTGGACTTGGATGCGCGGAAAGTGAAGCCCTCGAACCGCTCTTCGTCGCTCTCACCGAGAGCTTCGTCGCTGTCCAATTCGCTGTCGTTATCGCTGTTCACTTGTCCGAGAGTCCATTCGTGTCCCTCACTGTCGCTGCCACCGTCAAGGCTTCCGGTGTCCTCGGTTCTGCGGCGTTTGTATTGGGCGGAGGTATCCTCCTCGTCGTTCTCGTCGTCATCGCCGCCGGTGTTTCTCTTGCGGTTGAAGGTGCCATCATCGTAGGCTCCAAGACGACTGCGTTTAACACCCAATCTAGTGTGAATTGTCTTCTCTGCAATAGACAGTGCATTCAGCGACCGAGTGCTTTTCCGCTTCGGCGCTGCTTTCTGCGCTGAGCGGTCTTTCGGACCCTGCTTCTGAGTCTGGCTGCGAGGCATAGTGGCGTATAAGTCAAGAAATCAATTTCTTGACCAAGAAAGAAGCTTCAGATCAGTACTAAAAAAAAGTACCAAATGATCTGATGGCTGCTTCCAAGAGGGGTGTAGATGGTGTTGAACTTTTTTTCTGCCGGGAAAAAAAGTTCTCGGCGCGGAGATTAGCGCGACCCGTTCATTCGTCGAGTTTTGTCTCCCAACTCCCTCCGGGACAACTCGACTCGCTCTATCCCCCTTCTGTTCCAACTTCAAGGCTACAGAACTGTCGCTATAATGTTCAAGCCCACGCAGCCAATGATGGTGCGTTTGCGCTTGACTACCAAGCAGGTCAATGGTGGCTACTACAAGGGAAACCGGACCGGCTCCATGGGTCACTTCGACAAGAGAGGCACATACAGACCCGATCTGTCAAAGCACCGTGTTTATATGCCTGCAGAAAAGCTCGAAATTCCCGGGAGGCGTTACTCCGCTGAGACTGCGAAGGAGCCATTCATGGTGAGCATTCAAAACCATTCAGACACCAGTTGGCTGAAATGTCGGATCTGCTAACATGGCTATAGCTCGCCCCCTTCATCACAAAACACATGCGCAAGACACCGTCGAACTATGTCCAAGATATCGAGAGAAATGGTCGACAGATTACCGTGATCAGAGGATTTGAGGGCAAGGACTATTTGGAGAAGTGGGCTGAGACCGCTGAAGCCGAAGACGCCCGACTAGCACAACCGTACACCGAGAAGATCGAGAAGATCGAGACCAAGCCGACCCCGAAAATTGAGCAGACTGCGCAGATTGTGAACCAAGAGCTGGCCCAAACGCCCAAGACGCCCAAGCCCTCCAAGACCCTTTTCTAGAAATTCCAAAAGATGAAACCGCATAGCGGGGATTGTCCGTGTGTTTCCAATTGAATGTGAGTGCGCAGCAGCCCAGGTGCTTGGGAGTACTCCCTAATCTTTATGCCAGCGGCCCAGCATACCATCCACAACCACCTTCGCTGGGCATCATTCAACAACTTCATTGATCAACCTTCTCTCCGCTGGTTGATTGAATATATCCCATGTATTATAGTCTCTACAACATCAACTTGATTTGGCTCGCGGAGGATCCCGATGCATCGGTGGACGTTTACCATTTGGCATCGAGACAGGAGCAATTGTGTACTATTTTGACAAATTCCATGAATATCAGATTACAAAGAAAGTTCAAGTAGTTCTCGCCTCTTTTGATGTTTGTTGTTGGCATATCTTTTCACTATGTATTTATTTTATCTTTTACCTGGAAGGCATACAAGCTCCATATAACCTGCCAATACCACTTGGGAACTCTGCTCACATATGTCAGCTTGAAAACCAGAATGTTCCAGTGGCAATAGAGCGGAAAGTACAGGTCCCGTAGAGATGTGGTCCGTGCTCAACAAGTCCGATAAGCCCGCCATGCTCTCCCGTATCGGCACCCGACAGCGACGGCGATGTCATAGTTCTTCACCTTTTGCCTTTCCTTCCCCCACAGTGATGCGGGCTTGTGTTGATTTGCTTCTCTGCATTTAGAGGGTTTATTTTATCTAGCCTGCTGACCATTTCCCCACCAGGCAGCTACTCCTGCTGCAACCATGTTTCAATCCTTCACGGGCAATTCTCGTCGCCCGCGGCAGGTGAACCTCAGTGGCCGGGCCACTAATCCCTTCGCTGCATTCCCCGGAAACTCGCCGAACAGACAAACTCCTCATGCTGCAAACCCCGAGAGCGCAGTCGCCATTGCCCAACGGGAGCGAGCCCTGAGACAACATGAGAGAGATCGACAGACCGCATCTCGCACCGTTCAGCGAGTTTGGCGGGGTCATCAGAGCAGAAAAACAACATATAAGGGCTGGAAGTCCGAATGGGATACCTTTGAGTGGGAGAGGGTTATTACTGCCCTGGGATTCGACGATGATCGGAGCTCAACGACGGAGGTTGAGCGTCTGGAGTACCTAGCACGTCTTTCCGCGCCACCATATCCCACAGCGGAGCAATGTTTAGACCAGCTCAGGCTACTGGTTCAGTTTGTGGGGTTGGTAAGAAAGAAAGAAGACGTTCTACGTCTGGTATACTTCTGCAATGTCTTTGAGCAGACCTTCCATGCTCTCCCCACTATCGCTACGGAAAATGACTGGACTGAGCTGCTGAAACGGCTGGGAGTCGCTATCCTCCATGCCCTCGGTTCAGCAAGGGCCAGTCCGACTCATGAAGCTGCAGTTTCGCCCCTTCTTCGGACGATAGTCTTCCTGGTTGACTTGATACCAAAGAAGATGGCAACAATTGCCAAACACTATTATCAAACGATGGCGTTCTTGACAAAGAACATCGCCCTTTGGCAAGGTACTCTGTCACCGGAGCATGTCGCGAATGCTGTTCTGGCTCTTTTGAGACCAATCACCTCAGAAACGATGACAGCATACGAAGCTCTTGCTATGTCGTATCTCACTATTCCGAACCTACCCGCTTATCTTGGTGAGCTTGATGGATTGGCGCACCAAATCAACTACAAATTACTGGCGCCTGCAATCGAATCATGTATTCCCCTGACCAAAGAACGCCTTTCTACCGACGATGTGGAGGGTATCGAGGGTCGACTTTGGCTGCTTGCGTACTTGATCTTCTTTCACCGATATGCTCTTCCAGGACAGGCCAACCTGCAAGCACCTGATCTCGGATTCCTGAATGTGGTCTCTGGGTTGCTTAACTCAACCTCTATCTATCTGACAAGGTGCTTGGAGGCAGACGAAAATGGCCCGGATCCAACCAGAGGTCCTTATTTGGATCAGTTCGTCACAGATCAAGTCAGTAGCCTGGTCAACCAAAGCAGCATCACGGGGTTACTTTCTCGCATCAAAACATCCCATCTTTCTCACACAGATTTATCAAACAACGAATCCAACGCTTCGAAAGAAGCAAAAATTCTTGCTACCTATGCTCTGAACTTGCTCAGGGTGTTCCCTCGTCGTGGAGACGACATTCGAATGTGGTTATACCTGGGCTCGGCGCCTTCAGCAGGTCTGACTTCTGGCCAGCCAGGTGCGAAAATACCGGCGATCAAATATTTTTGGCAGGCATCAAAATCCAGTCGGATCTTTGACACTATTAGCAGGGACTCGACCCAAGTTCTTCCATTGTTGCAACTGCCGCAAGATGGGGATAAAGAGGACCAAGAGCAGGAGTGGACGATTATACTCCTCTTTTTTGAGCTTTACACGTTCCTGTTGAAAGTCATGGATGACGAAGAGTTCTTTTCAAGCGCATCACCATTTGCAGCTTCACCAAATGTGCTGTCTTCGTGGACGAAAGAGAGTGCGCTGCCCCTTGAAGACATTAAAGACATGACCGTCTTCCTCAAAAACCTCGCATTCACCCTCTACTGGAATGTTGCCGACTTGACCAAGAAAGGGCCTGTTCCATCATCCGCTGTGGATCTTAGAAGTTATTTCAATAACACGGCCCAAGTTTCTGGACAAATTGAGCGTTCTGAAGTGGAGGTCAAGAAGGAAATCAATGATCTTCCTGGTGTGACAGGTATCCCACTTGACTACTTCAAAGGTCTGGTTACAGGTTTGCTTAGAATGCTGCATGAGCGAGAGTAAGTCGAAATGTTCCATTTGCCATGATGTAAGCAGTCCAGCTGACACGCTTTTAGTTCTCGACGCAAATTCCTCCCTCAAAATCATTGGCTGATGACAGATCGATTCGACATGGAAGGCTTTATCCCGGCCGTTGTGGCAGAAGAGGAGAAACGCCATGAATTCCAGGACGACGATGAAGATTCTGAACCTGATCTTCTTGACGAGGAATACTCGGAGCCTGCTCAGCTTGTCGGCAATAGCCATGCGCGACGACTAATTCACATCCAAGCTATGCGGAATAGTCAACGAAGACAAGCTCAAAATAATGCTCTAGCCGCCATTGCGCCACGGCTAGAGATCCTTCGAAATATGCCTTTCTTCATCCCATTTGCCACAAGAGTGCAGATCTTCCGTCAATTTATATTTAGGGATCAACAGCGTCGTCGGAAAGGCTTCGTGGATCCTGAGTCCTGGCGCTTGTCTGTGGCCCAAAACGCTATGATAAATGGACCTCCTGAGGGTGTGGCGGATGTTTTGGCCCGACACCACGCCGACATCCGGCGTGAGAGTGTGTTTGAAGATGCATTCTCTCAATACTATGGCTTGGGTGACGGTCTCAAAGAGCCAATCCAGATCAGTTTTATCGACCAGTTTGGAGCAATGGAAGCCGGCATTGATGGTGGCGGCGTGACAAAGGAGTTCCTGACCAGTATCACTACCCAAGCTTTCAAGACTGATGACTATGAGAGCATGTTTGCAGAAAATGATCACCATCTGCTGTATCCCAGCCCGATAGCGGTTGACCAACTCAAAAAGGTTCTCAGCGAGGCTGGACTCACAAGTTCAAGCCCAGAGTGGCAGGATGACGTGCGCAGTCTTCTTCGACGATACGAATTCCTCGGCCGGATCATTGGAAAGTGTCTTTACGAGGGGATCTTGGTCGATGTCAACTTCGCACCATTCTTCCTCTTGAAGTGGGCCTTGACAGGAGGCTCTAGGTCTGCGGTGAAGGAATCTTCCTATCGGGCCAACTTGAACGATTTGAAGGACCTTGATGAGGGGCTATACCAGGGCTTGGTAAGTAGTATCGCCTGACAAGATCGGGATTGTGTTTTTTTGAACCTGCAGCTGACCAATTTGTTCCACCAGTTACAACTGAAGAATTACCCCGGAAACGTGGAAGACTTTGGTCTCGACTTCACCATCAACAACATAATTCGGATGCCCAGTGGAGCCAACCGCACTGTCACAGCAGAGTTGAAACCAAATGGCTCACAGACCGCTGTGACAAACAAAAACAGATTGGTCTACATTTCCTACGTGGCTCGTTACCGTCTACAGTTGCAACCTGCTCTACAGACAAACGCCTTTTTGCAAGGTCTGGGCCAGATCATTCAACCCGCCTGGCTATCCATGTTCAATCAATCCGAGTTGCAAACATTAGTGAGCGGAGACAAGGCTGATATTGATGTGGAGGACCTGCGACGGAACACCCTCTACGGAGGCGTGTATGTGATTGGTGATGACAATTTAGAGCACCCGACCATTGCATTGTTCTGGCAGGTTATGCACGAGATGACCAACGAGGAGCGGCAAAAGGTTATCCGGTTCGTGACGTCTACCCCTCGAGCTCCATTGCTGGGATTCAGCCACCTTCGTCCCAACTTTAGCATCAGAGACTCCAGTGAAGACCAGGAACGTTTGCCGAGTACTAGTACTTGTGTGAATCTTCTCAAGCTGCCACGGTACTCTGATGCAGACACGTTGAGGAACAAGCTTTTGTATGCCGTGAGTTCGGGTGCAGGGTTTGACTTGAGTTGAAGAGGGCGGTTTTCATTATTTCGTGTACATTTCCGGTAGAAAGCGTGCCTATGATTAATTTTTGCATGCATCCATCCATAGCATGGGCATATTCTTTTGAAAAGCTCAATATCATTTTGAAAGTAATATGTTCTTTCTCATAAGGTCCATCCGAGGTTATACTTAATAAGCCCTTAAAGCGGCAACCCCCTCCCAAATAGGACTAGTGTCCCCATCTCGTGCGGCCTCTGAGTTTTCCAGAACCAATTGCTTTTGAACGGCTCAGCTTTTTTTCTTTCCTTCTTACAACCTCTCCATCTCCGTTCTCTCTTTCTTTCAGGGAAAAGTCTTCCTTTTCTTTTCGAATCCTTAATCGAAAGATACAAAATCTCAAAAAAACACGAAAAACCCAGAAAAGACTTTTTCCAGTTATCTTATCTCATCCCCGATTGTGCGGTGTGTTGTGTGGAAGATTTTCTTTCAACGCCTCCATCGTCTTCATTTTCACCTGGTTAGTCATTTTTGCTTTTTGTCTTCCCTTTAACTCTTTATTGAAAACCGTGTCATCTCTGCTTCTACTCTCTCTCGCGCATGCAATACACTTCGATTCTCCCTTCCCCGCTAACCCAGCTGCCAGTGCTCTCTGCTCAAGTGAAATTTCTCTGAACACTTTGTTTCGTGGATACTTTGCTGTATGGCGCCCCTCCCTTTTCATTGATTCACCCCTCGTTTTTCTCATTCCCCATTTGGTTGCTTGCCAAAGAGACTGCATCAACTGCCGTGTAACCTTATCTCATATACCTCCTTGATTCCCCCTCCCCCTCTCCGCGATAGGCTCGGCATGCACATGCTAAAACTTTTTTTCTTTTCTCAGTGAAAACAGCCGCCATCATGTCTGCTGAAGCCCCCACCACCGCTCCCGTCACCGACAACGTTGTCGCCGCTGCCCCTGAGGCCAATGGCGCTCCCGTCGAGGAGGCCACTTCCGAGGCCGCCGGTGATGCTGCCAACAACCAGCCCCACTCTGCTTCCCTCTACGTCGGCGAGCTTGACCCCTCCGTGACTGAGGCTATGCTCTACGAGCTCTTCTCTTCCATCGGTCAAGTCGCCTCTATCCGTGTCTGCCGTGATGCCGTCACCCGTCGCTCCCTGGGCTACGCCTACGTCAACTACAACAACACCGCTGATGGTGAGCGTGCTCTCGAGGACCTGAACTACACTCTCATCAAGGGTAAGCCTTGCCGCATCATGTGGTCGCAGCGTGACCCCGCTCTGCGCAAGACTGGCCAGGGCAACGTGTTCATCAAGAACCTCGACAACGCCATTGACAACAAGGCTCTCCACGACACCTTCGCTGCCTTTGGTAACATTCTCAGCTGCAAGGTTGCCCAGGATGAGTTCGCCAACTCCAAGGGATACGGTTTCGTCCACTACGAGACCGCCGAAGCTGCCAACAACGCCATCAAGCACGTTAACGGTATGCTGCTGAACGACAAGAAGGTTTTCGTCGGTCACCACATCTCCAAGAAGGACCGCCAGAGCAAGTTCGAGGAGATGAAGGCCAACTTCACCAACATCTACATCAAGAACATCGATCTCGAGATCACCGACGACGAGTTCCGCGTCATGTTCGAGGCCTTCGGTGAGATCACCTCCGCTACCCTCAGCCACGACCAGGATGGCAAGAGCCGCGGCTTCGGTTTCGTCAACTACGCCAACCACGAGAGCGCCGAGGCCGCCGTGGCTGAGATGAACGAGAAGGACGTCAAGACTCAGAAGCTTTACGTTGGACGTGCCCAGAAGAAGCACGAGCGTGAGGAGGAGCTGCGCAAGCAGTACGAGGCTGCCCGCATGGAGAAGGCCTCCAAGTACCAGGGTGTCAACCTCTACGTCAAGAACTTGACTGACGACATTGATGATGAGAAGCTCCGTGATCTCTTCACTCCTTACGGCACTATCACTTCCGCTAAGGTTATGCGTGATGCCGCTGAGCGCTCTCCCTCCCCCGAGGGTGAGGAGAAGGAGGCCGACAAGGAGACCAAGGACTCCGAGGAGAAGGAGGTGAAGACCGAGGAGACCGCTGAGGTCAAGACTGAGGAGACCACCGAGGAGAAGAAGACCGAGGAGGAGGGCGAGGACTCCGACGAGAAGAAGGCTGAGAAGAAGGCGTTCGGCAAGAGCAAGGGCTTCGGTTTCGTCTGCTTCAGCAGCCCCGATGAAGCCTCCAAGGCTGTCACCGAGATGAACCAGCGTATGGTCAACGCCAAGCCCCTCTACGTTGCTCTCGCTCAGCGCAAGGATGTCCGCCGCAGCCAGCTTGAGGCTAGCATCCAGGCTCGCAACACCATCCGTCAGCAGCAGGCCGCTGCCGCTGCCGGTATGCCCCAGCCTGTAAGTTACAAATTTCTTGATCAGTATCTACTCAGTTACTAACTTGACTAGTTCATGCAGCCCGCCGTCTTCTACGGTGCTGGCCAACAGGGCTTCATGCCCCCTGGACAGCGTGGTGGTATGCCCTTCGCCCCCCAGGGCGGTATGCCCATGCCTAACATGCCCGCTGGTCGTCCCCAGTACCCCGGTCCCTTCCCTCAGCAGGGTGGCCGTGGTATGCCCCCCAACCAACAGCTTCCTCCTAACTTCCAGGGTATGCCCATGGGCATGCAGGCTCCTGGCGGCATTCCTAACGGCATGGGTTACCCTATGCCCCAGGCTTTCGGACGTGGCGGCGGTGGCCGTGGTGTTCCCGGTATGCCCATGAACATGCGTGGCGGCCCCGGTTTCGGCCGTGGTGGTCCTCAGATGGGTCGTGGTGGTGGTCGTGGTCAGCCCGCCCCTGGCGCTCAGCCCGCTGGTGGCGAGCCCGCCTCTTCCAACCAGGCTCTCCTCGCTGCTCCCCCCGCTCAGCAGAAGCAGATGCTCGGCGAGGCCCTTTACCCCAAGATCCAGGCTCAGCAGCCCGAGCTTGCTGGCAAGATCACTGGTATGCTTCTTGAGATGGATAACGCTGAGTTGCTTGGCCTGTAAGTTACACTGCCGATTGTTTCCGTTTTATGTGTGAGATGATTTACTAACATTATTTCTTTCAGGCTCGATGATGAGGAGGCTCTCCGCGGCAAGGTTGATGAGGCCCTTAACGTTTATGATGAGTACATGAAGAACAAGGGCGATGGCGAGACCACCGAACCCAAGCCCCAGGAAGCCGCCAAGGAGGCCCCTGTTGAGGAGAACAAGTCTTAATTGATGTGTTCACTCTTTGTCTTCTCGGAAATCTTGGACGCACGTTTTTGACGACTTTTTCTTTCTCTTATCATTATTTGTTCCCATTTTTTTACCCTTTCTACCCCTACATCTCCCTCTGATCCTGATATCCCTCGGTTCGAAAAGTTTGTTCTTAGGCAGTCACCTTCCTGGTGTTTAGTGAATGCGGTATGACATTCGGATTTTTTTTTTGCTTTTCCGGTTTCCCTAGTATGCACTATTTCTCTTTACTTTCCACTCGGACTGGGTTATATTGAGTGTCTCTAGGCATTGGTAAAAGTCTTTTATTCTAGGCGCTGGGTGTGGTTCCTTTGACAACCTTTTCGCTATCTTCGTTTCTATTTCTTGATTCTTTTTTCGACTGTGAGGGATTTGTGAAGTTCTTATGTTTCCACACCTCTCCCTTCCTGTCCCTTCCTGTGTTCTCTGGGTTGTGGTTCACTCAATTGAGTGTCAGATAGATTTATGAATCCTCACGGAAAATGTCCGGTCGTTCTTGTGTTTATTCTCAGATTCGGGAGAACAGCGCCAGACAATCAATGGGATGGCCTTGGCCTATTTGCTTCATCAAGTTCCTTTCGTAGACGAGAGATGTATTCTTTATTTCCCGAGACACTTGACATTGTGCCCCAGATGGCCGCTATCGTCCGCCTGCTCTGGTGACTCAGCAGGCCTCCATCCCGAGGTCACCCCCCGGGGTGATGGATTATTTGTGTGGAAGCATCGTACTTTAAAGAGAACATCTCATTCACACGAGATGGTATACGCACAATGGCATCGGAATTTGTACCCGAGACATCTGAAATTGGTTCCTTGACGGCACACTCGAACGAGGACAGCCAGTTCGTCGGTAGCTCAAGCGGCGTCTATTTCATCAAGACAGTGAAACGTGCATTCAACGGCCTAGATGGCCCGGGTTCATCCGAGTCCAACTTCCCCACGGCAGAGGAAACGCTCGTAGGTGCTGAAACCTCACCTCGTGACAAGCGCCAGCGCACCTCATCTGTCAGAGACACTGCTTCGTCCTTGGAGGTGGTCGAATCTCCCGCAGAATGGACCTACGACCCATCATTGACGACGTCTCTGGGGAATCTACCACCCCCAGATGTGGCCAAGAGCCTGATGATGATGTATTTCAAAGTCTGGCACCCTTTGTTCCCGTTCCTGCATGGTCCCACCTTTCTGCAGGCAATGGAGAAAGTTTACTCGAGTGGAAATCAAACCCAGCACACGCAGGAAATCTGCATAGACCACCGGAGTACATGCTGGACAACCATTTTCCAATGTGTTTTCAATCTAGGCGGTTTACTAGCGCCAGACTTAGATCTACCGTCCGAGTCGAAGATCCAATCACCGAACAGTTTCAACTCTTTACTCGGGACTCTCTCTTCTCGACACGATATCGTTTCCCTGCAAGCGCTTCTAGCTATCCAAGTCTATCTCGTTGCGACCATGTCACTTCGACAAGCATCGACTGTCGGAGGCTGTATCCTACGCTCAATGCTGCATGCAGGTCTCCACCGGTGTCCATTTCGATACAAGCAACTCTCCACCCACGACCGACAACTACGGAAGCGAGTCTTTTGGTGCGCGTATGCGATAGATAGATACCTGAGCCAGGCTTTGGGCTTGCCGCTTGGTATACAGGATTCTGACATCGACGTGTGTCTGCCTGCTGCCCGGGAAATGCATTCCCCTCGAAGCCAGGCAACTCAGTATGTGAATGGTAACTCTGCGTCGCAGCACGACAACAAAGAAGATCACGGCAAGGAAAGCGTTCTTGCTAGCTACGTTGACTCGGGGACTCTGACGGGCCGGGCATTGGAGCTCTTTCATAAATCAATATTGGTTCGGTCTGTTCGTCGCAGTTCGGTGTTGTTCCTCGTGACGGACGTGCATAAGTGGTGGAATGGCCTTCCCGCCGAGCTTCAAAGACATCCGGCGGTATTTGGACAAAGGGTGGGATCTGCGATGGCAGACACTGCGTTTGATTTTGCTCCTTTTTTCACTGTGCTGTATCAGCATCTTATTCTGATCATTCATCGGCCTTCGCTATCGCTGGATCCGTCGACTGCAGAATTTTGTTCTGGATTGCAAACTTGCATTGGGGCTGCTCGGGCTATCCTTTCGGCACTGAGGTTGCAAGTCGATAGCCACCAGGATTTATTCTGGCCCGGTTTTCTGTCAGCTGCGTGGATGTCTGGGTTGGTTTTGGCTTTGGCTTGTCAATTGAACCAATATGTGTTGACAAAAGGTCTTCAGTACGTTATGTGTTTGTTCTTATTCTGCTTGATCTTTTACTATATACTAACTACCCGATAGGGAGATTGAAGAATTTTCGGGATTCCTGCGTTTGATGTCCACTCAATGGGAGACAGCCAAACACTGCCACATGTCGCTCTCAGTACTGGCCGCGAAAATCCAACAGTCGGGAAGCGGCTCTGATCCAACGTCAAACTCCCAAGCATATGTGACAAGGGGCTCTGAGGGAAGTCCGACTCTTGTGGAATCTTTGACTGCCCGCGAGGAGAACAGACGGAGACTTGGTCATCTATCGCACTTTCAGGAAGATCCTGGCTTATCCGCAGAGCCGTCCAATCTTGAGCAACGGAATAACGTATGGGGAGAATCTGCACACAGGGGAAATGATCCCACGCTGGTTCCCTCGGCGTCGATGTACCCGTCACAAATGAACGAGCAGGGCATCCTCGCTGATACACCCTCTTCACTGCAGATGGATTTACAGGACACGAATACCACACACCTTGAGGGGATATCTAATTTCGACTTGAACATGGTTGATTTAATCGAGGGTGCTAACTTTGACACTCTATTCGATATGATTGGGCAGCAATTCCCAAGCTTCTAAGACCAAGATATTACTCACTACTGATGAAAAACCCAAAACAATCTACAATCTGGCAACGAATCTACAAGAATAATACTAAAGAAGCCAAACAAAAACAATGCATATTGTTCACTTGGTGTGTATGTGTATTTCTCTCAAACGCCTATGTATCATGAAATCCCCCATCGGGGCCACAAACCCGCCCTCAGCGGCATCAATTCCGGTCTTGCACCTCACGTCGGAAAAGCAAAGCCCGATTGATGCGCACTCTCCCATTCCGAATCTCCTGGCAATAGTAGTCAGCCTGCAGCTCGGCCGCCGCGAGAATAGACGCCTTGTTGGAATGGTAGTCTCCGGGCACCTTGATAGAGACGCACAGTGGGTAGTCATGATGCTTGGCATGGACAGAGATGGAAGCGGTGCTAGTTCGGATGTAAGCGGCGACGGTGCGCATCAGAGTCTCGTCGTCGGAGTCCGAGTCTCGCGCCTTGATGAATACGTTCACCCAGTTGCTGACCTGCCGCGGATCGTACTCGGGCTCTGGGATTAGCTCCCCATCGAAGTAGAACATGCTCTGCATCTTGTTGAGGTTGGAATTGAGGATGACCATGTTTTGGATGTGGGGTTTGCTTACCTTGTGGATTTGTTTGCTGCGGGTGGAGTGGTTGGGAGGAAAGGAAGAAGTTGGGAAGGAGGTTTCGAGTCTCGTTCTGAGGTTATATGGGCTCTGTTTATATACTCTGCCTGGTAACTGTCTGTTTATAGTCGGCTCGGAAGCCTACCTATGTTGGCAAGAACAAAGGAGTTATGATACAATGCCATTTTCAAGGCTTTCATATCTATTCCAGGATGTCTTTGTGCTTCTGTGGTTATTGAGTCTTTGGGAAATCCCGTAGTTTGAGGTCTGCCTAGTTTATGACTCGAAAGAAATCTATGTATTCTTTCTGCCTACTCTATTATGACAATAGATCTTTCATGGTTAAGCTTAAAAATACACTATGTGGCCTTAGTATGCTATTTCAACTATAGCGGCACGGCATAACAGCAGGAAAGGCGATGCTATTATGACATACTGTCTCAGAATCTCAGACGCAAATGATCGAGAGGGGGCTACCCAACTGCATCAATTTCATCTGACTGTAGCCAGTAATATCAACGCTTGTGTTTATGGAAGGCTCTACTTAAGTAGGGCTGCCTATACACGTTAGAAACCGACCGAACTTCTACCGCATGGATATTGTTGACAATATAGAGAACAAAGATAATCCAATTCCCCAATTCTATCAAAATAGCCAGTCTAAATAATCTATAAGTCGTTTCAATCATCAGAAAACAGAGACCCTAGTCCAATATCAAACACCCCCTTTCTCATGGAGCCAAAACCTATCTCCTCCGAAAAAGCAAAGACCGATTAATATGAACAGACCCCCTAGCAACATGCACACGAAGATATTCCGCCGATAGCTCCGCAGCAGCAAGAATCGACTCCTCATCACCGTGTTCTCCGGGCACCTGGATTGAGATGCAGAGCGGGATATCGTGGTGCATAGCATGGCCAGTGATGCTGACGACTCTTGTGCGGATGCAGGTGACGACTGTGCGCATTATGGCGAGGTCGTCGCATCTGTGGTCGCGCGCGTTGAAGAATACGTTCACCCAGTTGGTTATTCGAGGGTTGTATTCGGGCTCTTGCATTAATCTTCCGTTTTGGTAGAACATTCCTTGGAGATTGTTAGTTTGTTGGTGTTTATTTATGGCTGGAGGGACTAACCTTGTTTCTTTTTGATGATAAATGAATGATTGGGTGTGGGTAGATGGATTCGAGTGGCTCTGGTTTGTTTGAAGGCCTTTCTGGATGCTTTCTGAGTGACTGAAGTCTTGATATAGGGTGCTAAAGTCCGTTTAAATGTTGGACTCTAAGACAAGAGCGTACTGATGTTGTTTCCATTCCTTTTATATGAGGAAAACAGGTGTCATATTGCTATAATGGCATTTTGGGGTTTCTTAGTTCTTGGCCTCCTGATCTGTTCCATCTTGTGCGAGATGACTTTGAGATTCTCTGTATGGATATTCATACAAATTTGACAGGTAAATAATTTTCTGGAACTATTCTTGAAGATGTGTTGCTCATTACTCCAAAAAGGGCCTTCTACAGATCAGTATCTGTAATCATCACTTGGTATCTCGTGTCTATTGATATTCAATGTAGTGTCAACTACTCGTTTATCCAAAGTGATATTTCAGATGGCATGAGACGAGAAAGAAAGACAAAAAGAAACAAAGAAAAGAAGGAAAGAAGGAAAGAACAAAGGACAATGAATTGTCTCAGACTATCTTTCAGGCCAACTTCTCAACCTCCAGACAAACAGCATCCACAACCCCTTGAGTGTCAGACGCCCCCCCAAGATCAGGGGTCAGAATCCCTTCGGCACAAACCCGTTCCACACAGCCCATCAACTGGGCAGCAGCATCCTTCTCCCCAATCCAGACAAGCATCTCGGCCGCCGACCAAAAAGTAGCAACCGGATTCGCAACTCCCTTCCCCGTAATATCAAAAGCACTCCCATGAACAGGCTCAAAAATCGACGGACTCTTGCGCGTAGGATCCAAGTTACTAGACGGCGCAACACCAATCGACCCGGCCAACGCAGCAGCAAGATCCGACAAAATATCCATATGCAAGTTCGTCCCGACGATCGTATCAATCGACTGCGGCTTCGCCACCATCCGAACAGTCATCGCATCAACAAGCATCTTATCCCAGCTGACATCGGGGAAGTCCTTCGCGACAAGTGCCGCAACTTCATCCCACAACACCATCCCGTTGCGCATGGAGTTGCTCTTCGTGACGACGGTTAGGAGCTTGCGCGGCCGTGATCGCGCTGTCTCAAACGCGAAGCGCATTATCCGCTCGATGCCCACGCGCGTGAACACGGCTACTTCCGTCGCGACTTCCCATTGCTGTCCGACGTGAGACCGTCCACCTTGTCCTGCGTACTCGCCTTCGGAGTTCTCACGTACGAGCATCCAGTCAATGCCCTCTGTTGCGGTGTTGAGCGGGCATTTGGTTCCTGGGAAGGTACGGACTGGTCGGACGTTTGCGTATAGCTGGAGTGGGCCGCGGAGGGCGAGGAGTAGGCCCCAGAGTGAGATGTGATCGGGTACGTCTGTTGGTGTTAATATTGCTGTTTACCAGTTCGGTGGTTGGTATGATGCTATGCAGTATAGAGAACATACCGGGTGATCCAACGGCACCGAATAATATAGCATTGTACTGGCGTAGAGTGTCGAGGCAATCTTCAGACACATATCGTCCGGTTTGCTTGTAGTACTCGGTTCCCCACGGGATATGCTCAAAGTTGATATTGAATGTACCGAGGGTCTTTGCGAGTTTCTCGACGACCTGGATAGTAGCACTGACTACCTCGGGACCAATGCCATCGCCTGGGATAGAGGCAATGCGGTATGAATTCTTTGAAGCCATATTGAAAGAGGAAATATGTGTGGAACTAGATAAGATGTAATGAGTATTTCCGGAAAGCCAAATGCAGATAAACATCCAGACTATATATAAAACATGTCTGCGATCAAAGACGGCTGATAGTTCACCCTCCTACCATATATAACTTTTGACCGAATGGCCGCTGTCGCGACAAGCCGGCTTTTCGGCAAAACTTTCAGGCGATAGGATTTGCCGTTTGCCACTGTACCACACTGTTTCTCAACACGTCTTGATCTGCCATACAAGAAAATAAAATGCCATCAAAATCAAAAGAAAGACGACCAGCGCGTATAACAATCGCATGCAACGCGTGTCGCTCAAGAAAGCAAAAATGCAGCGGTCGAAAACCCGTGTGCGTACAATGTCTCGAGAACAATCGACCGTGCAACTGGCCCGAACAGCTTCGAAGAGGACCAGAGAAAGGATATGCCGAAGCACTGGAGAACCGACTCCAGCTCACTGAGGGCATTCTTTTGAATTTGCTTCCACATGTCTCGGATGAACAGCTTTCTACTGCGATTCCTCACCGAGAGAGCAGCGGCTCGTATGTGCCATTCCCCAGACTTGAGAAGAGGGGGATTGAGAGTTGGTCGCAATTCCCTCTTGACACTTCTCATGGTATACGGATGTGGCAGCGAGCTTGTACTGAGTCTGAAAGGGTGGGTTCGGAGGTACAGGGTTCTAAGAGAAGGCATTTGCAGAATGAAAGCCCCGGTGTTTCAGTTCAAACAGCTACTCCAATTCGAGAGATCGATGGAATTTACAATGAAACACCGATCCGTCCGGTTCTCGAGTCGGCAGGTAATGCACGTGAAGAGAGTGCTCCGGTGGACAGAATGAGCTCTTGGCAGGGAGCCCCTTCGTTCGAGTTTCAACGTCAGTTTCTGTGGTGAAACAGAAGTAGACTCTTGCTTCAAGTCTGTTCCATATCTTTGAAATACCCCATTTTGTCCTATAGCCCGCGAGGCCAGCCAATAAAGATGAATCTCTTGAATCGCTACCCAATTTTACGCCGTGTCAATTAATTAAATAAAATATCAGACAACGAGTGCAAGAATAAGTGTTAAAAAGGGCCATCATTGCAACTGCGCTGGCAGATTGTTATAGCGCCTGAGGACATTGTTTTGAGGAAACATCTCTCCAGCCACAAATCAATAAAGAGATAAAAATCAAGGCTCGTCCACTTTTGGCGATGTCTTCCCTGGTGGAGGTCGTTTGGGGTTGCATTGGCCTATAGTGGTTGATAGAAGAAACACTGTCGTATTGGCACACCACCGGCCTGATTGAAGACACTTCTCTCTTGATCACGGTCCAGTGAAAAGTCCAGCTTGAGCAGACTTTGCACGTCTCCCATATTGCGAGGAGGTTTGCCAATATAGATAACTCATATTCTTCGCCTTGGATCGTGGAAGTAAGATTTGCGATCGAAGCTTTCGGTTGGGTGAGGGAGGGCTTGTCTTGTGAGCCTGAATATCAAGGGCACCTTTCATATACCGCTAGCTCTGGGTGGCCGAGATGTTTGCCTAAGCGCTAGTAAATATAGCCGAACGAAGGGACCCAGTGCCAGCGGTAAAGGAAAAACTATATAAAACGTAAGCACCGTATATTGAGACATCTTGCTAGAAACTTGAGATAGAGATCTCACTCACCGAAAACCCGAAGAGGATAACAAAAGCCGGCAAGGACTAGTATAGGAAAAAGTTGGACCAATGCCAAAGCGAGTAAGCGGGAAGATCGCGCGAAAGCTAAAAGCCCGCGGTGATAAAGAACCCGCTAATATCGTCCAGGTATGTTGCCACGGCGTGTTGATCTCACCAATCATGAGAACATCCTTAACACCAGCCCCAGAACTGACGAGCCCAAGGCACACATCTGGAATGACGTCGGCAGTGTACGGAACCGCTTGAACATCAGTAAATGTAAGATTGTCCCATGCCGGCGGATCGCCTCGATAACCGGGGAAGAAAAAGCGACGGACGCATATCGAAATCCACACGTTCGCGAAGCTCCTTCAGGTCCGCATACAATTGGCTGGCACCGGCCGAATCACTCGCTCGGCGAATAGTAGAATTGGCCATTGTACCTAGGGCCACGGCGCGGGGTGACACGGGTTGGTGTCGCGTCACACACGTTCTGAACGAATCTTCCAGAGAGGCCCAGTTCGTTTCCCACAGTGTATGGCTCTGGTTCATTCAGGGGGATCTGGTGATTGAAAGTCCTGTTATGGAGTAAGGAATAGCACGTCGTGGATGAAAACTAGCCGCCGGTGCATATACGTTAAAGACAAACGATCATTGCCTCGTGAAGGATGAGGGGTGCCCTTGAAACTGCCTAGGGATCCATATGGCCTGGCACTCGCGTCAGCTCTTTGCCTTTGAAATCCGTTTGATAAAAGAATAGTGGCCGAGGAAAGGAAGGACCGGCCTTGGAAATGGCCTTGTAAGATAAGTGGGAAAGTCAACCTCACACCTTTGAAAGGTCTTTTTTTTAAAAAAAAGAAGACACCCATGAAAAGGTGGAAGAGAAAGATTGATATTTGGGAAGAAAGTCAAGAGCATGCAGTACGGGCACCGCTTTCACTTTTGGTGAAGCGGAGGGTCGACCGACGAACATAAGTTAGTTCTGACGGGGGGTCAGCAGATGCTCACCCACCTCCCCATTCATGCGTTCGCCGTAGGGCCACGCACCTGTGGGGGCATGGTTTTCGGATGACCCTTTAGATATAGGACCATTTCTTAGCCCTTACCTTATTTACACCTGTTTACTCTCATCTAGCACTTTCAAGTGAACTACTGGTCTACATTTTCATGATAGTCAGTGAGCTTTGGAAGAAATCAGAATGTTATTCTATGGGAAAAAGAAATATTTTATATGAGGAGAGATCTAGACTATGACTGTTCTCAATCTAGTAGTTTGGCCGAGCGGTTTGGCGGCAATCCTCTCGAGTGCAGTTCCTAGTTAGATATGTTAGTTAGGTCCCTCCCAACAGAGACGATGATATCCCACATTTGCCATTTCTTGAATTGGGGATTACCGCATCTCGAAGACATCCTAGAGACCAAAGAGGTGCAATTTATCCTCTTGGGTCGCTAGAGTCTGGACCTTGGCACCATGTGTATCGCTTTCCCGACTCTTGGATAGTTCGAGCCACATTTTCATGGCCGACATTTGATTGAGCGGTCAAGTAGAGAGAAGTTGTTTGAATTCAGTGGCTAGATTGTTGGAATTTGTAGTGGGAGAATAGGATGGAAAGGAAGCGTGGAAGCGTGTGGATAATTGACATGTGTGACATGAGACATGTACAAACAAAGAAAATCCAAAATGTGAAGAAAATTGCAAAAGAACTATGATTTCTATCAAATTAATATCTACAAGAGTAGTCGGCCGCTTATGCGGCCGTATCAAGTCGTTTTTGCTAGTCTTTTATAATAGTCTTTTCAGATGGTCTTTTATAATAGTCTTTCAGATGGTCTTTCAGATGGTCTTTCAGATGGTCTTTCAGATGGTCTTTCAGATGGTCTTTCAGATGGTCTTTCAGATGGTCTTTTAGATGTCTGTTTTCATAGATATTATTTCCCCCTCACCAGTTTGCTAGCTAGACGACAGAAAAAGGGGGGAAAAGCATACTTTGTGTTTGAGACTTTTCTATGTATAACCTTTGAATTAGACAGCTTTAGGGAAGATGCCCTGCATCTAAAGTCTAGCCTCTTTCCCAAAATTGAAGACAATCTTTTCACCAGTAACCAAGCTCTTCTGCAAAGCCGAACCAATAACAACTGCCTTCACTGAGCTTGAAAGGGACACTGGCGGAGTCGTGTTATCCAAGCAGCAAGCAGTGAACTCATTAGCTTCCGTAAGGAAAGCCTCTCTGAAACGCTCATAATAATGCTTAGGAAGATCACGTCTGGCTCCCTGGCCATCGTGGATCTCAAGGTGGTTTTTCCGGCCTTGCATATTGACTCTCAACGAGCCCTTCTCGCAGATAACCTCAGTAGTATCTTCCTGCCCAGCAGCCATCATACGCGAGCAGAAAAGGGTAGCAATCTTGCCGCCGTCAAACTCGACCGTAGCTACCGCGTTATCACGGTCCTTGCTCGAATCCAACGCAGTGTGGACGGCAGTGACTCCAACAGCTTGCAGACTTTTGATATGAGTGTTTTCCCCAAGGAACCATAGCATCAGGTCAATATCGTGGATGGAGCAGTCGAGGAAGATTCCACCGCTTGTCTTGGCATAATTCACGAACATCCCGGTAGTGTCGAGCATATCTGCGGTCTGGGATCTGAAGACCACTGGTCGGCCGTGTTGGCCCGAGGCCATCATGTCATAGGCTTCGCGGTAGGAAGCGTCAAAGCGGCGCGAGAAACCACACATGACTTTCTGGTTGGGGTGTGTTCTGAGAGATGTGTTGTAGGCGTCGAGAACGGATTGAGCCTGTTGTACTACAGTTAGCATGTGTTTCCATATTCGGGTTCACATAGAAAGACCTACAATCTTGATGTCAAGAGACAAAGGCTTCTCGCACATGACATGCAGTCCCTTCTTGATAGCGGCAATAGTATGATCTGCGTGGACTGCAGTAATACCAGCAACGACTATAGCATCCAAGTTCTCTTTTTCGAGCATTTCATAGTAATCTTCATAAATTCTTGCACTTGTGAGGTTGTCTACTGCCCACTGGTGCTCGTTGAGGTCAGGAGAGCTTGCTGCTACCACTTCGGCACGAGGGGTAAAAACTTGGTAGTTCAATGCATGTCGTTGACCTGTTATGTGTCAATTGAAGACCTTTATGAAATCCGATTTGGGAACAATGCTTACCCATTCGGCCAAGACCGGCGATACCGACGCGCAACTTCGGGGCTGACATTTTGAGAGGAAAGGATGTTTTGTTTAGGGGAGTAGTAATGGTTGGGTAGCTTAAAAAATGCTTTCCAGGAATAGTCGCTTCAACAATAGCTCAGCCGGGGTTATATACACAATCGTTGTTCGGGGTGGATACAAGGCTTGGCCGGGAAAGGGAATCCGAGTAGAACTAAGACTTGCTAAGCGAGAATACTACTGCAATTGCAGGAAGTACCGTCGAAGTTGTCTTCTTGCTGAGCTTATTTTGTTACACCTTCTGTACATATTTTTAATGCATCTGACAAGAGCCAATGTGAAGGTAGGTATATGCCTTCCGAGTTCAATACGAAGAAACTCTAGATTAAGCAGCTCAAATTGACAAACTGCATTGAAAGTTTTCTAAGTAGGCCCTTCAATAACAGCTAAGATACTCTAGGATTTCATAGACAAAAGCACTTTGCCCTAGGACGAATGGGGTCCCCGACCTCGGGCGCCCCGGGGGCCGCTAGTTATGGTACCCGTGGACATCTCTTCATCTATACATGTAAAGGGACCTCGGATTCCAAAGTCAAGCCACAATCTCACAATGCTCGGCGTCAAGGTTTTCCTTCCCAGTATGCGCCAAATCAGAAATAACCTCCGTGCGAGCTATCATGGTTGCCTCCGTCCAGCTAATTGCGTTCCCGGCCTCGTGTTTGATTTCAAAGAGTCTGTCAATCTGCTCAAGAGACAAGTTCGCGGTCTCCACATAGAAGTACCAGATGATTGGCAAGAAACAGAAGTTGAATATGGCAAAAAGCATGTAATACTTCCACTGGATGTTTGCGATGGCTGTTGGGGTAGCAACGACGATAACATAAACGAACAACCAATTCGTAGTCGTGGCAAACGAAGTGCCAATATTGCGCATTTTCTGGGAGTTGATCTCCGCCGGATAGATATACGGGATCGATAAGAGCGACGTGCCGTAGAAGACGTAGTAGACGAAGATGAACACCACGGCTAGAACAGACATGCCCTTGTTGTCGGGTCCACCGTATCGCAGTCCAACAGCAACAAGTGCAAAGCAGACGCTGCTTCCCGCGGCACCGAATAGCATCAGTCTCTTTCGGCCAATGCGATCAATGAGCAGAGCTGCAACACAGCCCCAAAACATCAGCGACATAGAGTCAACGGCTGACAAGATCAGGGCCAATCTGTTGTCTAACCCGACCGATCGAGTCAGAACCACTGGGAGATAGTATGCAATAACGTTGGTTCCACCAACTTGTTGGAAGAAGGCAGTTCCGGCCCCAAGAAGGATCCTGCGCAATGTCTGTTGCTTGTTGTTGCGCTTGAAGATTGCCTGTAAAGGCTTCGATTGTTGGACTTCGGATTCATGGTTCACAGAAATTTCCAGACTTTGTATCTCGTCCACCACTTCCTGGTCGTCAATTGGCTTTGCAAGGAGCCGTGCTAGGATTTCACGGGCTTCGTTGCCACGGTGTTTCATGACAAGCCAACGCGGTGATTCCGGGGCGACAAGAACAAAAGCAATAGTGACGAGCGCGAAGAAACATTGGAAGCCTAGCGGAAAGCGCCAGCTCACTGGAGAGTGAGGAATAAATGTGAAGCCATAGTTCATCCACTGCGAGAAAATCAGCATTGCCCCAAGGTCTCGTTTCGTAGATGAAGTAGCTTACGTTTGTGATGACGATTCCGAAAATATTCGTCACCAACTGGGCAACGATGAGTTTTCCACGATGCTCTGCACGTGCAGTTTCCGATTGCCAGATAGGAATTGCAATTGTGTTCATTCCATTTCCGACGCCTGCAACAACACGACCGACAATCATCTGCGCGAGGGAATAAGATGCGGTTTGGAGAATAGCGCCGACGATCAGGATGCAGCACCCGATCAAAATTGTTCGTCTTCGACCGAGTTTGTCTCCAGCGAACATCGTCACCAGAGTGCCTATTATGCAGCCAATGTCATAAGTCGCAACGATTTGGCCTTGAATGGTCACGCTTGGATTTCCAAAGGTCTCAAGAAACGGTTTGTTGTCTAGAAGCCCGCCAAAGACTCCCTGGTCATAGCCAAAGAGGAGAAATCCGGCACCGCATGCAGCAGTTATTCTGTATTGAAGCCATTTTCCTTGCGCATTCTGGAAAAACATGATAAGTAGGGTCTTTACAATGTAGCCAAGAGGTATGATATTAACACGGACCACTCGTGTGCGATTTATATTGGTATTTATGTGAAATCTACTTTCTGTGATAGGACTACGCGGTAAACCAATTAACCAATATGAAAACCTGGGGTATTGCAGAAAACGTGGGATATAGATCCATGTGCAACCCCCCACACCGGGTTATGATTCCCGTAGTGGCTGTCTATTCCCAATTAGGTTAGATCCAACCCCGGTTTTACCAGCGATTGGTCCAGCTCCGGAAGAAGAAAAGAAATTTGGACATCTCCTTCGTCAACGAGGCTGTCAATCACGCTACCTGATGTCATTCATCCTTTACATATACGAGTCTCTAACCGCCGATGCGGCATAACCGATTTTGTCTGCAGTATATTTTGTAATATGAGTATCTTATATATCTGAATCACCAATATGACACCAATTCTCTATATAAGTTCAAAATCCAAGTTCAATGCTCGATAGTCAAATTCTGGAGGCATGAATTCTCGGTGCCTGATTCTAGTTATAACACTAATAAGGGGGGAATATCCAAACAAAAGTCTACTAAAAAGAATACCTAAAAGAACATCATAAGGCCTTACAGGCGGCAACTATTCTTGTAACTATATACTTTGCATTCTTAATACTTGAATTGTTTATACTTCTCTTCGTCTAAATAGATCGGATTATTCAAGTCTTAGGTCGTCAAGGACAGAGGCTAAGAATAATGATATGCAAGTAATAATAACCCCGTAGAATAAATATACATAAAGTATAAGAGATAAAGTATGGCAAACAAATAGCATGGCAAATAAATAACATGTACTATATAAACCTTCATGACCTTCATTCTCCTTCTTCTTCCTTCAACCATCTTCGTCTTTCGCGTCCCCTGTCTTCAAGAACTTGCACAGCACTTTGACTATCACTCCACGGCCTTCTATAAGCCCTCAGCTGGTATGTTTCCCGTCCATCGCTATCTATTACTTTACTTCCTCTCATTTTCCTCTCTTCATCATCGACGGGAACAATCACCTTTGCTATCGCCACTGTAGGGCTGCCTCTTGCCAACTAGCATAGTGTGCCGATGATCTCCAAGTTTCATCCGATCGATAAGGTAAGGATGACGAGTCATTACTCCAAACCTTATCCGAAACTTACTAAGATTATGTGGATAGTTTCGGACGCCAGAAATGTCAGCACCTTCTGTTCTGGTTGATTTCTTTTCGTAAAACCCTATGTTAACCACGAAGACCCGATCAGATATTTCCGATGACTCGGACTCCCCAGAAGTCGAGCACTCAGACGTCGAGTGCTTCGAGGCGCTGCCCGACGACACAGTCGAAGCCATCGGGTCGACGGCGAGTGCCATCCGGAAGATCATCAGAGAAAACAAAGAAACAACCGACGTGGTGAAATATATACGTTTCACAAACGTCCCACCAGCTATTGCGGACAAGTTTTCTTTGCGCAATACTCGGCAGATGTTTAATCGCAGCACTCAATATATGATAATCAAGCTCTTAACTGGGGCCCATGAAACAGCTGCACGCGGCCTGGGTGGTGCAGTGCAAAATGAGATATACAATACGGGGCTTGACGAGTTGATTCGCCCGTTAGGGTCGAAAACCATCCAAGGTGTGTTTTGCAGAAAGGAGGCCAACGCGGCGTATGGCCCTGCGCAACCTGTTCCAGGTCGCAATCCAAAATGGCCGACCGTTGTGGTCGAAGTGGGAGTATCAGAGTCATATCGAAAGCTGCGGGCAGATGCAGAATGGTGGCTCACGAACTCGAGGGGCGATGTGAAGCTTGTAATTATCGTGTTCGTCAGTCGAAAGACCCCAAACATCAAGTTTGAGACTGTTGCTTTGGACCCGACCGTCAACTCCTTACGACTGCAGCGGCCCCGCTACGTCGCAAAGATACGGCAGTCCATTACGGCATCCCGCGACGCAAACCAACCCAACTCACAGATTACCATCAGGCCAGCAGTACCTTTGAACATTGGGTTTGAAGAATTGTTTTGTCGTCAACCAGTCCCGCCTGAACACAACATTGAACTATCACCTGATCGGTTGGGACGGATCTCAAAACACGTGTGGGGGGAGCAAGAATTCTAGGTTATTCTTACCTCTGTACCTCTGTTAGTTCTCTTAGGTAGCTTCTTCAATAACACAATCTTTGCTACAATAATCGTGGAGTGATAGTCAAAGTGCTGTGCAAGTTCTTGAAGACAGGAAACGCGAAAGAGGAAGATGATTGAAGGAAGATGGTTGAAGAAGGAAGAAGAATGAAGGTCATGAAGGTCATGAAGGTCATGAAGGTCATGAAGGTCATGAAGGTCATGAAGGTCATGAAGGCTTATATAGTACATGTTACTTATTGCCATGCTATTTGTTTGCCATACTTTATCTCTTATACTTTATTTATACCCCACGGGGTTAGTATTACTTGCATATCATCATTCTTAGCCTCTGTCTTTGACGACCTATTAGACCAAGATAGTATTAGGGATTTTATATGTTAAAACACTCCGATTTTTTTTTGGATGTTCTTTTTATACGTTTTTTATATGTCTTTTTTGATGTCTTCTTAGGTGTATACGAAGGCGGTAACAAGCATACTTTGTGCAGATGACTTTTTATATATAATCAGGGATGTAATCTACTTTCTGTGATAGGACTACACATTAATTGTGTTAAAACCTGGGGTGTTGCAGAAATCGTGGGGTATAAATCCATGCCCCCTCGGGTTATGATTCCCGCAGGAATTGTCTATTCCTAATTAGGTTAGATCCAACTCCGGTTATACCAGCGATTGGTGCAGCCTATGGAAGAAGAAAGGAAATTTGGACGACATCTCCTTCGTCAACAAGCCCGTCTATCACGCTACCTGATGTCATTTATCCTTTACATATACGAGCCTACCCCGCTTGAAGCTGCAGAAATACAAATGCGCGAATTGATAGTGGTCCCCTTTTAATAGAGCCAATAAACGGCCGTGGAAAGTTATAGTTCGGATTAAACATTTCCCCTTAATATTACCCCGCAATGCACTTGGATCTTTCTAGCCACCATCGATTTGCGAAGGAGCTAGGTAGGATATTGCAACGTTGCAAGCGCCACATAGTCTCATGGCAACCAGAAGAACGAGAAAAACATGCCAAAGTCCAGTGTTCCCCCAAAGAGGAGACACCATGCCTCAATGGCATGCGTATCATGTCGGGAGAGTAAAGTCAAGGTGACTATCAATTACCCCGTGGGGAACAAAACAAGCTAATGTCAGCAGTGCGATGGCGGTAAGCCCAAATGCTCCAGCTGCATGAACAAGCACCGCGAATGTCGATACCAGGCCGTAGACAAGAGAAAGTAAGTGACCCATCAAGGTCATTCCATAAACAGAGGTTGTTGGCTAGATAATAGTGCTGATTATGCGAAGACTCCCCCTCCGCGTTGCCATAGAGCTTCTATCAAGCAGAGTCGAACAGCTCTGTCTCTTCATTCGCGAATGTGGATTAGAGGCCCCGCCTATGCCGCAAGAAAAGGACGCAGCTTTGGCTACAGTCCTTGATGTTCTTGGCTTGACTGGAATCCATTCATCTGCAGGAATCAATCAAACTAACATCAAATTCCCTAATCCCAATTCCCCATCCGCAGTCGATGATCTGCCTTCTGATCTGCCTTCTGATGTGCCAAATTCTGTGCCATTATCCGCTCCTGGTGTAGCGAATGATTTAATTAGCACTTGGGCTCAGACATCGACATCCCCGGACAACACATCGGAAAAGTCTCAGTCGAATTTTACAATGCTTTCAGACCCTCATGCCGTGTCGACACTCCCCATGGTCCTCGATACCGAAGATTTGGATATCTCCCTTGCAGAACAGTATCCACCAACGGATGATCACTCGGATAATTCCTTGGCCAACTGGGACTGGACCTTAGAATTTGGAACATGCATTACACCACCATCCCCAGAAATCCACGACATTGGCATAGAACCACCACAGCTACCAGAGGGGCCATTGGAAGGGGCAGCTGAGCCCTTTGGGCCTGCCGTCGTTCAAACCCCATCCAGCCTCGACAACGATACCAGGAGCACAGAAGAAATTGAAGATCTTATTGACGAGCTTTCTGATCGGATGGGCACATTGCGCTTTGGCCCTGGAGGAAAAGCCCGCTTCTATGGCCCGACATCGACCTTCAACCTTGCCGATGCTCCAATATCTATCAACACTCGGACACATCGTACCCTTGATTATCTCGACGACACAGACTATGACAGACAAGTCCCATTATCTCTCGAGGAGCATCTTCTTAATCTCTATTTTGCCTGGCAAGATCCATCGTTCCATGTCGTCGACCGAGAATTGTTCGAGAAAGGAAAGACAGCCTGGGGTGGGAAAGAAGAGACCCCGTTCTATTCCGAGGCACTCTGCTATGCAATGTGAGTTCTTTTTATTTAGAGGAATTGGACATGTGAAATGACATGGAAAACAGGTGCTCTCTCGGCGCTGCTTTTGAAACCCGTTATCACCCATCCTTTGTGACGTTCCCGAAGTCTCTCGGTGAATTCTTCGGAGACCGTGCAAAAAAGCTACTTGAAGTTGAACTAGACTCACCATGCGTGGCAACAGTCCAAGCACTAGTCATCTTAAGCAGCTATGAAATTGGTGTGGGCTCAGATACACGTGGATGGCTCTACAGTGGTACGTCCTGTCGAAAGTTACTTGTTTGCTTAGCTTACGATTCTAGGGATGGCCCTTCGACTTGCTTTTGACCTTGCCTTGCATATTGACCTATCTCCTCATGTTGCTCGTGGGTCTGTTACCGCTGCCGACGCTGAACTGCGTCGGACCGTATTCTGGGCTGCTTATATGGTGGATCAGTGAGTTCCCGGTTTTTTTCCATATGCGCTCAGGATATCTCTAATCTGTTGAAATTCTAGTCTTGTCGGCTTCTACCTTGGTAGACCTTTTTACACCAACATGGAGGATGTTACAGTCAAAAAGCCGAACAATGACGTCGACTATCGAGAACCTTGCAAATGGACACCCTACGCATCTCCCATTCCATTTGACAATAATTCGGGGTTATTTGACTGCGTCGGGGCTGTCAGTCAACAGGAAATCTCACTATGTGAGCTTATGGCACCCTGCGGCTACTTTCTGTAAGTTTCCGTTTTCGTTTGTTACCGTCTCTGCTAGGCATCAGTTGGGCCCAAGTGAGTTGCTTTGGCTAACCTTCACCCCGAAAAAGGTATGGAACATCATCTATTCCAAGAGCCTTGCTCCAACAACTCAATGAGAATAGTGTTGCCAAGCTTCTCAGTTGGAAATCTCAGTTGCCTTCATATTTACAAATCGACCTCAACGATCACACTTCTCCTTATCTCCCGCATGTGTTGCTACTTCAGTGAGTTGCTATTATACTTCCAAAGTTTCCTTCACAAGTCTGAAGGAAGATGTTTACTAACTCATCCTAAAGCATGCAATATTACCAGAATCTCATCTACACCCATCGACCCTGGATGTCAAAAGGCTACCTACAACCACAACCCCCTAAAGGGCCTGGCTCCACCCACGCTCGAGAGATGTGCATCAATTCCGCCATCTCGATTGCCAAGATCCTTGTATTATACGAGACCAGATATACCCTCCGCCGCATAAACATCAAAGCAGTCTCAATTACCTCCTCCGCCGTGCTCCTACTTCTCTTCGCCGCCGTTTCCCAATACCAAACCTCAGAAGAAGAGAATATCATAGCTCATCTGAGTACCTGTGTCAGAGCCCTCGATGAGTTCTCTCTATCATGGCAGAGTGCCAATCGCGCTAAAGACCTCATGATAAAACTACAGCATAAATGGGAGGTTCGTACACGTGCTACTAAGCCGGACCGCGGATCCGATGCAGCCGGTTATCCCCCGAGAAAGCGATCACGAACACTTAATGGATCTGACGCCATAATTCCAAATCATGGAAGGATTCCGAACACACAGCCTGAGACGCGTGATTTCCAACTGGAGTCTGGATTGGGATGGATGCTCATGCTCAGTGGTCAGCTTCCGTCAGATGGGGATGAAGATCTTTATTCTTTTGTTGCAAATACAGATAATCTAGAATGAATATGAGACTAGATAGGCAGATCTGCAAGGCTCCAATTTATTTTGTCTCAAATAAATATTGAAAAAAAAAAAAAGCTTCACTGCATCATTGATGAAAGGTTAAACGCCTTCAGGGCCTCTTTGTATCTCAAGCCTATCTCGGGACCTATCTCGGGGCTACTTCGGGGCCTGTTTCGGGACCTGTCTCGGTGCTTGGCACGGCATGGCGCAGGATAGGGGTGCGGGAGGGGCTTCGAGCACGATATCGGGGTCGGAATCGGAGAGTAGATATACTCCGTGGCTGTAGAGAGGCTGTGGTGATGAAGCAGTGGATGAAGCAGAAATGGGGTGAGAAATGAGATGTGACAGAAGTGGCTTATTTCTATTTAGTGGTTTACATATAAAGTGCAGGTACCCTGTCAAGGCAGGAGCGGTACCCAATTAAGAAGATTCATCTAAAATTTCAGGCAGTGGGGGGGTTCGCTGTAGCACTGAACTCTAAATATCAAGTTATGTACTTTGTACGGGCGCAGGCGCCATTGACTCGAATTATGCAGACCTCCATCAAATGAGGAATGTGGCCATATTAGATCTATTTTAAATAAAATGCCAAATCCGCACCATCTTCTCTCTCCCACTCTAGTTCTCCATTTCCAAGATACAAAAACGGATCCGAGCTGTCGTTGTGTCGGATGTCGAAGTCTTCTCCCCGAATATCCTGAATAGCCTCTATTCTCAAGTCAGTATAATATCATGAGATATTTCTACCATACCAATTGTCACTTGCCTTTGTAATGTAACACACTACCTGGGTACATCGCCGTAACAGCTTGTCCGTTGTTATACCAAGCATGACAGCCCTTGCTCCAAACAGTGCGTTTTAGACTCGCTTGCGCATGACGGTTGTAGTTTCGAACAGCGGATTCGTTTACTGCGACGGACCTCTTTAGATGTGACCTCTTTAGATGTGTCAGTCGGAGATCATGTATCTTATCTCACAAAAATACACACTTGATATCCTCCTGAGCTATCTTCTTCATCTATTTCAGCATGTAATCAGCAGTCCAACTGATCATCTGGGGTACGCTGCCCTGGCCAATGGGACAGTTGGGTCCATTGAACATAAAGTAGTTTGGTATTCCTCCGGCACAAATAGAGAAGTATGCCTCGGGTGTCTTCTTCCACTCCACATCAAACCGTCCACCCTCTCGAGCCACCAGCTCCCACCCGGGAATGATTGTGGTATCAAAGCCAGTTGGGCAGACAATCAAGTCAAACTCCTCTTCACCCGCTGCCGTGCGAATGTCGGTCTTGGTAAACTCCTCAATTCCTTCAAAGCACCATTCAGCATTTGGTTGCTGCAGCGCTTCGAGATATCCATCACCAGGACTCAGTCTGCGACATCCAATTTCGAACTTCGGGATAAGTTTGTCAATCAGGTCGGGATTCTCACTCAGACGCTGGCGCATAAGCCCCAAAATCGCGTCAAATAGCATTTGATTGTGCTCCGAGCCAGATAACGTCAGTCGGTAGACGGTGTTGACACTTCTCATAATTAGTTTGATTTAATTGCACAAAGTAGTGAGCAACCTACGAGCAGTCAACTCGTTTCCTGTAGTCCAGGAATGACTGGGGATATTCTCGGAACTTCGCTTTCTCCTCCTCGCTATATTCGAAGTTTGTTCCACTTCCATCCTTCGTGATGTCGGGACAGAGATTGACCGACGCCCAGGTCGGATGACGAATATAGTTGACAATCCTTGCGGCCTTGGGCTGAAGCACAGGAACAACTTAAATACCAGATGACCTATTGCGAATGACAGCAATATTCTTCCCAGTCCAGTCATACGTCTTGTCCCAAGCAGCCGTGTGAACAAGCTTGCCAGCAAACTGATCCAAACCGACGATGTTCGGCATTTTCCACTGATTGAGAATACCAGAACCATTGATGAGAATGTCCGCTTCATCATGTATAGCCTTGTCATTCTGTTTGAGCTCGAGCACCCATTTTCCTCGCTCCTCATTCCAAATGGACTTGACGAGCTTAGTATCAAACACGATCGGATCTTTCAATCCATACTTGTCTACAGTGTCGACAATGTATTTCTCAATCTCGGCACCACCAGCATAGCACTTGGACCAGTTCGGATTTGGCTCGAATGGGAAGACATAGCTGTGGGCAGGAACATCGCATCCAACACCCGGATAAACATTCTCGAGCCATGCGCCTCCAACTTCACAATTCTTTTCATAGATGGTAAAATGCACAAAATCAAGCGGATCCTCATGTTTCAGTTTATGAGCGAGGATTAGGCCGGAGAAACCGGCCCCTATGCAGACGACTCGGAGCTTACGCTCCTTGAATGCATATTGACCGGGGTCTATATTGATAGTCACATCGTGAAGGGATTCGTTGGATGGCATGGTGGGTGTTGATCAATAGTGGAGGTTTTGTTTTTTTTTTTCCCTATCTGTTTCTCTTCCCACTCCCCACTACTGCAGGAAGGCGGAGGACTTCCGGGCCACTTCCGGGCCTGACGAATTACTCCGAACTCAGGGGCTGTCTCCATAGGTTTAGCCTTGAGATAGAACAAAGTACTAGTAGTAGCGCGACCGGCGTTTGAATTAGATCCGAATCCTTCTCAGTGAGGATTGAAGAAAACCACGTCATAGGTCGATATCATTTGGTGGGTTTCAACAGGGACGGGAAGTGGAGGTCCGATTGATATTGTCCACGGGTGGTATGGGGGCCGTTTCTTGGCCTTGCATTTCAAAGCCTGTGAAGAGATTTAAAGTATGAAAGTATGAAAGTATGAAAGTCTTGATTTTGGGATTAGATTTAAAGCTAGCTCATCCTGTACTCACCTTATTTGTAGTATCGAATGTGAACCTCTCTCTAATTCTCTATATGTCGCACAACCCATTGGGGGAGCCTCCACCTGGGACGGATCTATCCGCCAATCACGGCTCACTGAACATTGATCCTGTGATCGCAACCTATGCACTTGCAGTGACAGCTGTCGGACTTCGGTTCTATACAAGAGTTCGAGTGCAAGCTGTGCGAATAGCTGCCGATGATTGGATGATCGTGGCTGCCTTGGTATGTTGTCGAAAGAAAAAAAAAGGAATCCTTCGACAATGATTTGTGTTTCTGACAAATATATACAGCTGGCTGTCACCGCAGGTTTCGCTTTGGTTGTGATTGGTATGTATAAATCCTAGACGGCGCAAAGCGATCTTAATTCTGACTTGTTGATAGTACGTGGATATCCTAGTCTTGGGAAGCATGTATGGAGCGTCCCTCACGCCGAAGTCGAGGAAGTGATGCGCATTCTCTTCGCCTTCGTCCTGTTCTACGTGCTTACCGCTCCACTCATGAAATTATCTATTCTTCTCTTCTACCGCCGTATCTTCGGCATGACATATCCAATCTGGCTCTGTATGTTTATTTCAGTTGGATACTTTTTCTCTGGCACGATCGCCTTTCTGGTTTGCTGCAGACCAGTTTCGTACTACTGGACACGGTTTACAGAACCCAGTGGAGGAAAGTGTGTCTACAACCTCTACCCATTCTATATCAGCCATGCTGCGATAAATGTGGCCACAGATTTGATCGTCCTGTTGGTTCCAATTCCCATTGTGTGGAGGCTGCAAATGCACAGGACACAGAAACTCTTGCTATCCGGCATATTTTTGGTTGGTGGATTGTTTGTCACCCCCAAGCTAAGTGTATTTGGCTCAAGCTCATATATCCCAGTGTCTGCATCGCAAGCCTCATCCGAATTTATTACATAACCTTCCTCAGAACCGAAGATCTCACCTGGATTGTCGGCGAGGTCTTCATCTGGTCCAGCATTGAGCCCTGCATCGGCATCTTATGCGCCTGCCTTCCAACATTGCATCCACTGTTCCGCTCCATTGTGTCTCGCATGTTTGGCAGTAGGATGGGGAGGTATGTTCAGGCTTCAAGGAAACAAGAGGCAGCCAATAAAAGAACACTTGTTCGCAGACCAAGGCCACTTGACTGGGACGAGACCTTGTTGACTACACATAACATACAAGTCGAGATGAGCGGAATCAGGAGGGATCATGCCGATGATGGGCAGATTACGGTGGACATGGACTTTCGAATAGTCGAAGAGAGCAATCAACTGAAGTGAGGTGACCTTACCGGACGGGTAATGGATTAGCCCTAAGGCACACATAGCTTGTGCCTGTTCTGTAAGGTATCAACATTCCCACAGTGGAGTCAACCTTGGCACCCCCGGACTTGATGACTAACATATTTTTCCCCTCCAGGGCCCGGAGCAAGTCTTCAGGGCTACATACTTGTACCGTAATCATCCATCTTTCCGAGAGTGCCGTGATGGTGTTGAAAAAATGCTCCATCTGTTCGCGAGTGTTCAAAAAAACTGAACATTATAAGAGACATGAGCGGTCGCGTCAGTCACGTCGAACCCCTGCAAGAATAGCAACCTAACGTCCAAAACAGACACCAAGGAACGGCCATATGAATGCAATGTCTGCTACAAGCGTTTCTCTCGAAGGTAAATTCCGTTGAAGGCGCATGTGAATTGTAACAATATTCAAAATCTTATGTTCAAATCCCTAAATTTAATGAGCACACAGCGATGTCTTGAGCCGACATGCCAAGGGCCATAATCAACCCAATGCGACAGTCGGTCCATCGGAAGCGCCAAATCGACAGTCATCAGTAATTGCGGGTGCATCATCAATGGTCCCCGGATCAGGAAATAGTTTTACCAGCGCAGAAGCACAGATTCCACCTCTATCTACCACTTCGCGAGATGCGCCTCTCGCATCAAGCGGGTTCCCATCGTCACTAGATTACCTAGCCGACATCTCAGCCCACCATGGCCGCGCCGAGCCAGACCTCGGCGCGATAATGATCGACGACCAACAGCAGTACTTTGGATGGAATGCAGTCACACCGGCAGATCAGGTATTGCACCGAGCTGGCTTGGCCTTCGACCCTGGCCCAAAAGACATGCTGCAAATGTGGCTTGAACCTCGCACAGATTCAGTTTCAAATGACTCGCTAGATCTGATGCGCGATAGTCATTTCCCTCTGATGGGTGACAATTTGATGATTACTCCAGACCAGCAAAATCGACATTCAGTCGACAGCAGCGATAACATTCCCAATGAACGCTTTGCTAGAGTCCAGCAGTGCTGGCTAGCGCCACCGACCACTGGGCGTCTCATCAACAGTTTATGGAGGGATATCGCCATGTCGCCTGTTGATAATATCTTCTCCGTTCAGTCATCACATCTTCCCAACGAGCCAAGTGTCGTTCAAGGATCGCGGTGTGGATTCGACGAGGATTGCAGACGGCGCCTGCAGGCAGCTTTTGGAACTAGGAATGTTTCTGCACATATGCAATCATCCATAAATAGGAATATTCCTCCACCCACGCCTACATCGACGTTGAATCATTCTGATTTCCCTCCTGCTGAGATCTTGGATATGGCATTAGACATGTTTTTCCGCGTCTTTAATCCCCTCTTGCCGTGTGTCCATCTGCCGACCTTTTCGGCAAAGAAGGCACGACCATCTCTCCTATATGTTATGGCGCTGGTTGGAATGACATTGCTTGGCACTAAAGGAACGACTGCGTTTGTATCCAGAAATTTCTCAGTAAGTCAAATATTGTTAAGCATATCATATATGCAGGGAGCCTACTGACAGTCATTAGGGCGCTTTGGACAAGGTAACAGCTGAATTTGCTCGATGCTCAATTGGACTTGAGAGCGCTTCCGGCACTATGACATTATTCGCGACAGTTTTGCTTTTATTGAACCTGGCTGGTTTGACCGGGGTATGAATCCCCCAATCCGAGTTTGTTGCCGAGGTACTAATCGATATCATTCTGCAGGAGAAGGCACATCTGGAACAGTGTCAACCTCTTTATATCAACGTCATGTCTGTGAGTTTGAAGAGAAGTTTTTTATTTTCCTCTATCGCTGTGATTCTAATGGCAAATACTGCAGGTCGCCCAAAGACATGGGTTATTTTCAGCCACTGAGGGGCAAAGCCTTGACATGACTTTGTTCGAAACAATTCCCGATATTGACCTGAGATGGGAAGCCTGGAGCAAGGTCGAATCAACCAAAAGGTATGTCGCAATTCCCGCTCATATAACACATCACTAATAATCTCCCCAAGAATAATCATCGGACTACTGCTTCTGGACTCTTGGTACTCCTCGTTCCTCTCAACAGGTCCAATCGCAGTCCCAGACTCGATCCAACTCATCCTCCCTTGCAGCGACTCTCTCTTCTGCGCCCACTCCTCCACCCAATGGACACACCTAATCCGCGGCGGCAAGCGCATCCTCTCATCAACAGTCCTCGCCCCATCCGAAAACATCCACGTCCCCGCCCTAGAATCCCCCGCAGATGACTTCTGTATCCAAACAATACTAGCAACGGTTCAACTCCGCCAGTTAGAATCCTACCACCGCCTCCTCTCCAATAGAGCCAGCTACCCCTTTGCTCCATGCCACACCTACGCCATGGACGGCCGAGCCAGATGCCTCCCCTCCCTTCAATCCCAGCTCATCACAAACTACGGCGAAACCCTCGACCGCCTAAATCCCAACGCTCTCATTACGTGGCACAACATGTGCATGACTCTCACGGCCGATATTCAAATATTCGACCTCGCAGCTGGCCGTGCAGGCCCGGCTCCCGCGCGCAAGGCCCTCGACGATATCCGCGAGTGGTCGCAGACACCTGCAGCCAGACGCGCGTGTCTGCACGCTGCGCATATCTACAAAGTCATGACAAATCGCAAAGCTTCTGACCACCCCACATTCCAATCTGTGTTTTCTCTCTTCTCGGCCGGATTAGTGCTCGGTCTGTATACGTTCATGGTGTCGGACTCTGCGAATTCGCCGCCTAATGTTGGGTCTGTGGAGCTGGTGGATGATGTCGACTGGAGATCGGTGGGGACGGAGGGGTTCACGAGTTTCATGGAGCCTAGGGGAAGTCAGACTCTCGCACCGACTGAGGATCCTGCTGTTAACTTCATTCGCAATGGGGCTACTATCTACTTGCGAGGCCAGCCGTTCCACGGTGGGTATCAGTCTGCGCGTCGAATCCTGCTTGACTATGCCTCCCTTCTCAAGGACTCTGGGAAGTGGAATGTCAAGAAGTTCTCGTATATTTTATACATAATGAGTGATGTTCTTATGGATGTCGAGTGATAATGAGCCTGCCTATCACTTCCTTATGTGAAATCAAGATAACCCATTCTTCTTACGCTCTACATGTTATCATACTACGTTTTTATGGATTTGAATTGATAATAAAACAACTAGATTGACAGTATCATGTTCTCTCAAAATCTAATCCTATGATCGATTGGGTTGAAATGAACCCAAACAACCCAGGTACACACTAGGCCCCGTTAACTTTATTACGAGACCACCATGGAGAATCACCCAGAACGCGCTTAGTATCAAGCGTCTCCTTACCGGCCATAATCTCCTCCCAATGCCAATCAGCAATCTCAGCTGCACGCCAGAGAATATGAACACGTACGAGCTCAGCATCTCCCACAACGGGCAACGAGAGACAGCATGGCTGACTGTGATGCTGAGGCGCAGATGTAATAGTGGCTACTCCGGATCGGCACTGCTCGGCCATAAGACGCATCATGCTCTCACCGCTGTTGGGCCTAGTTCGTCCCCCAAATCTGATGAAGTCTACCGTCACCCAGTGGACAAATTCCTTCGTGTCGATCTCGGCGATGTTGGAGCCATCGGGGCGAGAGAACATACCTGGTTGGGGCATCTTGGTTGAGATGAGATGGGTGGATTTAGATGGTTGAGTTGATATGTGCTTGAGGTAATTGTGATGACTGGCTCGGCTCACTATGCGATGGTGAGGTTAATTGATGGAATACATGGTCTGTTAAATAATAACTCCAGTCCATGTTGTCGAGTCTTTGTTGGGAACAATTGCCTTCACTTTCTTTCATGTCTATATCCGAACCTTTGGGAGTTTCCCTTTGCCTCTTTGTTCATATTTAGCCAGAGCTAGGGTCCATTTGAACTCTGCCTTGCTTTTCTCTTTCTATTTATATATGTGAAAGATGAAAGATGATATTATATACTTCTATATTTTTATACTTTTATAGTTGTAGGGGTCGGATACTTTTGAGTTCAATCTAAGTTCTCCAGGGCTTAGCGTGATCCGGTCTCGGGATCGCGTCATTTCCGAGGTTATTCCCGAGGTCGCGGGGGTGTTCCTTCCAAATTATCATTCCTTCCTCGCATATTGCTGGTCAATTGCGCCTTCCTGATATGTCCGCACGTGCTCTGCTTAAACAGCATTTTAAGCTTAAAAACAAGCTTCCCACTCGCTGCTTTTCCAGCACCCGACCCACCAATGCGGACTTCACCCATGCGGTAAATTACACCCGAGATCCAAGACAGACCTGAGGCTAATCTGAACGAAAGGTAATTGGCGCAGGCGTTGTCGGCCTCGCGACCGCGCGGCAACTCGCAGCTCGCGAAGGTACCTCAACCATTCTACTAGAGCGACATGACGCACCAGGGACAGAGACGAGCAGTCGCAACTCCGAGGTATGCATGCTATGCGATAAGCCCTCTTAAACATTTGGCAACAGACCAACACAACCCAAAAAATCTAACAACAACCTCCCACCAACCAGGTAATCCACGCAGGCCTCTATTACCCAGCAACCTCTCTCAAAACCCACCTCTGCATCCGCGGCCGCAACCTCCTCTACGACCTCTGCGCGCAAAACAACATCCCCCACCGCAACACGAAGAAATGGATTGTGGCACAAACCCCGACGCAATGGGAAGCCTGTCTGAAAATACACGCACACGCACAAGGACTAGGCGACGCGCCGACACGGCTAGTGGGACGTGACGAAGCGCAACAGCGCGAACCAGACGTCAAGGCAGACGCAGGCATCGTCGAGAGCGAAACATCCGGAATTGTGGACAGCCACTCTCTGATGACCTATCTGCAGGGTGACTTTGAGGACCGCGGCGGCGATATTGCGTTCAAGACGCGCGTGACAAGCGTGGAGGCTATCGACGGCGGCCGCGGCGGGTATAAGATTACCGCTGTCTCGGATGAGGATGGCTCTGTTACTTCCATTACCGCCGAGACACTGGTTAATAGTGCTGGCCATGGCGCCTGCGATATCAGTAACATGCTCCTCCCGCAGGAGCGCCATTTTGTTCCGCATTATGCTAAGGGCACGTACTTCTCGTATGCGGCGTCCAGGCCTAGGACTTCGGTTTTGGTTTATCCGGCGACTTTGCCCGGTACTGGTGGGCTGGGTACGCATCTGACGCTTGATATGGGCGGGCGGGTTCGCTTTGGGCCGGATGTTGAGTGGGTGGGTAGTCCTGATGATTTGGTGCCGAGCGCTGCGCGTTTGGAGCGGGCCTTGCCGGAGATCAAGGCTTATCTGCCTGGTGTCGATATCGATGCTATTGCGTTGGATTACTGCGGTATTCGCCCTAAATTGGGGAGGGGCGGTGCTGTCAATGAGGGTAAGGGGTTCCAGGACTTTATCATTCGAGAGGAAAAGGATCTGCCTGGATTTGTCAATTTGTTGGGGATTGAGAGCCCGGGCTTGACGAGTTGTTTGGCAATTGGTGAGATGGTTAATGGTATCTTGTACCGTTAGATGTCTCTTTCATCTTGCATTTTGGCTGAATATACTTGCTTGAGGTGGTAAGCAAATGGAGGTGCCCAGGTGCTGACATGGGAATTCACAGTCTGTGTTGTTGATATTTCTGTATATTTGTCTCTAGAAGGAAATGGAAAAGGACATTTTGCCTAAACCTAAGTCAGTGATCTTTAAAACCATACTATGTTGGGCGCTTGGCACAGTTCTGTTCACAAGGCATAAGTAATTTGGCTATAGCTCTTTAATTTCCGATTGAAACTTGTATTTGTCACAGCTACAAAATATTGTGTTATCGCAAGGCTGCGGGACCAGAGGTTTCCTTTGTTTTTTAAACACTACTCTCTACCTAGGTAGCACTACTATTACTAAGGGAATAAAAGACGGCCGTTTCTGGCTCCAAAAGTGGTCATTTTCGGCGGCGTTTTCACAGGTCCTCATATTCTAGTTGTGATACATGATTTGGATGGTATATAGAGAAAACACATTGAGGAAAATAACATTAATAGGCCTTTAAACAAACCATCCATCATTGTTTTACACTGTATTTCAGAAAGAGCATGGCCTTCGGCTTTCTAACTTTAGAAACAAGAAGTGAGCACCAATGACACCGGGAGACATGAGGTGAGATTTTAGTTCAATTGCCTATATCAACGACCCCCAATCCCTACCTACACCAACTCCCACTCATCCCCAAAAATGACCTCCCTCCTCACAACCCTGGGCCTCCGCGCCTCCCTCAACCCCAACCCAAACCACGGCCCCATATTCCTAACATTCAACTTTATCCTCGCCTACGGGCTCCTCTCCTCGCGCACCCTAAAACAATGGTACGGCCTCGACCACCAAGTCTCGCCACGTGAAGACCTGACCAAATACGGTGAGGCCGCTGTGCGCGAAGGCAAGATCACGCGCAGACAGCTGGACATGCTTAAGCGCAATGAGTCGGCGCATGCTAACGCGGTGGAGAATTTCCCATTGCTGGTTGCCGGTGTGCTCTTTGCGTCGTTGGCTGGTGTCCCCGCACGGAGGATTAATGCTGCGGCGTTGTCGTATACTGTTGCGCGCGTTATTTATGGCGCTGTTTATATTTTTGTGGATCATCCTAAATGGAGTCAGGTTCGGGGGTTGGTGTGGTGGTGGGGGAATTTGAGTTGTTTTTTCCTGTTATGGAAAGCTGGGGAGTTGTTGGCTTGAGAGGACGAGGGATCTATGGGGTTTAGTGTATGTCAAGTGTGTTGTATTCTTAACAGAGTATCATAGAGCCAGAATAAAAACAACATCCAAGAAGGCAGGTGTGAAAGAGACTCTCTCAGTCATCAAGACTGAATCAATAAATAAGACACAAACCCTCATGTGCAGTCCGCAAAGGGAGAAATAACAGCACCAGTACGCCATGACAGGATGAAAAGCAAAATAAAGCAATCCTGACGCAAAGTATGAACATGCAAAGCTCCAAAGCCAACGTCCAGCGTCTATACAAAGTATCAAACACCACGAGCAACACAAGTTCTGAGCAATAGTAAACAAATCATTTCAAGCCAAATCCTTCGCTATTTACAACTGCATCCCAGAGCAGCCGCTGGAACTTCTCCCGCGTGGGGTAGCGGTAAAGGCCCAGCGTGTTGAAACATGTACGCGCAATCGGGTAACGAGGACAGTCATCTCCAAGACAAGCAAGCCGGATGATAAGGCTTGTAGCCCCCATGGCTGGGATGCGATCACTGCCAGTAATGAATGACAGGATCTTGCGCTGCTCTTGGGGCTGTGATTTCTCAAAGAAGTCCCAGAACCATCGCACCACGGGGACTGACTCTGGTCGTGGGTGTGACCAGTTGTCGTAGGTGGCCACGGCCCGGAGAGAACTGACATCAAGTGGTTCATCTGAGCCGCGGACTAGCATTTCGATCTCTTCTGGTCGGAACAATGATAGCGCATTGCCACCGCAAACCGTGAAGAAACCGCGCTTGAAGGGTTCGAATTGTCGAGCCACGGCTGTGTCTAGCAGATATCGGACATACAAATCCACAAACTCACGCTTGTTAGAGTTGGTCACCGGCCGGTTCTCGCCATTTGCACAGAGTGGCACACTGATGATTTCGCCGTAGCGATCGACCTGGGCAACGAAATCGTAGCAGAATGTCTCGGCAACATTGCCTTCGAATTCTAGTAGACCCCGGAGTCCTTTGGCGAGAGCTGGCCGGTACTCGGCAAGATCTTCTAGAGTGCATTTGAAGGTGGAACGCATGGAGGTAGCCGTTTGTGGGCCGTTGGCGTGCGGCGCCGACGACAGCAATTTCTTGAACGCAAACGGCGGGAGATCAACATCAAGGATGGTGGAGTTGTAAATGGCAAGACCTAGAAGGACCCCAACCAAGAAAAACTGTTCGGATGACTCAAAGCAATAAGGATTGAAGTAGCAGTATTGCGAATCATCATCGTATATGAAGAGGCCTATTTTGAATTAGCGAGTCACTTAACTCTAAGATCAGAAAACGCGTACCATGAAGCGGGTCAAAGACCTCTCGGACGAGCAGAAGGAACCATTCCTTCCGCAGACCGCCAGCGTCAATGCCTTCTTCGCCCGAAAATTCGATTCGGAGACCCTTTTTGATTTCTTCTTGGCCAGTACCAACAACTTCGCTCACTCCCTTGAGGCTGTCTTCAATCAGGCATTCGCGCCGTACCTTTAACACGAGGTACTGACTAACTGCCGTGTGGTTGAGGACGCTGTTGAAAAATGCATCGCGTGCTTTCACTTCCATTTGACGACGCGCATCATGCTCCATGATATGGATTTTGGCCCAGATGCTAAGGAGGAACGGATACTGAGAGAACGAAAACTTCGAGACTTTAGCTTCCCAAGTTTCGAAGTCCGTCACTAGATCCGAATAGTCCAGCAGTGTGTTGTAAAATGTACTGATCGGAATCATATGACCCTGGCGAGGGCCTGGGTTCTTGGGCATTTCAAGGCTGCGCGGGGTTCCATCGGATTTTCTCGTTGCAGAGGAGATGTTAGCCGTAAAGAACAGCGACATTACTCTTGCCGCCGCTTTGACCTGCCAGTCCTCGGCGTATACTATAGGGTCTTCGGTCTTTTTGCCAGGCTTCTTGTTCGTGCTACTTCGGTTAATCGCAGCATGAAGTTCCGCAGCAGTGTTTCCCGAAGCACTGGCGAAGCTCGGTATTAGGTCATCTCCATTTTGAGTGTTTTGAGGGCGTTTTCGCCCATGCTGGCGACTCAAACGGTAAGTGAGAAATCCACCGACAAGTTCTACCAGTCGCTCGAAATGTCTGACAGAGAAACGGGAAGCCCAAGACACGATGTAGTGGTGGCAGTCATTGGGCAGGTTAGACATGAGTCCCAGGATGCGTTTGATAATTCCATAGTGGTGACTGGAGCCTTCTAATCGAGCAGGGGCTTTGGGCGACTCTTTCTGCGGGGATTTTCCGTCTCGGGTTGTCGACTTCGGGTGGTCTTTTGGATGCGAGGGGCGCCTTTCGTCTCGATGAGACGGCGAGGTGGTCGTATGCTGGCAATAAGACGCAGGTGAAGACAATAGAGGATTCGCTAACAATATGAACAAGAACCTAGTATCGTCTGGTTTCTTCAGAACACGGCGGGGGCGCTTGAGGAGGCCCTCGGTAGCTTTCAACAGTGCCCGTTGTAAGTGCAAACGAGACTCGCTGATTTGTCTCCCGATCAAGGACGGATCAATAGACGCCCATTTCTTGGCTCGGATCAAATCCGCTTCTGATCGCGTGGGGTCAGGTTTTTTGGCGGCCCAGAGCTCAGTCCAAGAATTCCCCGCCGACAGAATCGAATGATACCACTGGGCTAACTCGGTCCAATTGATCCGAGGACTTCGCGATGATACCATCCGAGACTTTGGGGTGCTCTTCTCTTTGGAATACGCGGGATTTTGGCCTTCAGCTTCAGCCCATTCATTCATCCACCAAGAGGAGTTCTCCGTCAAATCTCCCAATAGAAGAGTTTTGGCATCCGGTTCAAAGACAGGAGCGTCCTGCGCTGGTTCGGGTATTGTGGTCGGTTCCATCCTCATTCTCGGCGGATTACCATTACTAGCTGATCGGGCTGATCGAGGAGGTGGGTATGTAGTGAAAGATTCGTTGAGGCAATCACAGCCTTTGAAGGCAGTGGCAATGGTATTTTCCAGCCGTTTGAAAATGTGTGTTCGATTGTCGCAGCTTTGAAACTCCGGATTCCCAGCTTGCGAGACATCTTGCGGGCGGGAGTCTAGCTTTGAGGTTGATCGGAGATCTGAATTTGCTCGAACTCTGACGGGGGTGTCATTGCCCTCCCAGCGAACGGATTGTGGTGTCAAGTAACCTGAGTTCTCTTTTGACGCCGCCAACTTTTCCCGTTCACTAGAATGGGAAGCACTACGGCTCCGAGAATCCCCAGTGCGCGGGGGTGCGAGATTGTTTGGACCAGAGGAATTGGCCTGCATTGGCGGAAGATCAGGCAGCGGTTTGTTCTTTCTGTCGTCGTCCGGCGACAACCATGACCGAGAGCCATTGTCCAAAAGGCTATCGAAATACATGTTGAGACACCCTCCGATCATACCACGAGTTTGATTGGCCGTCAAAGGAAACACTGGGGTAACAAATCAGCATTTTACAAAAACTATGAAGCAAAACCAGTATTGGTGGTGTTACCTTTGCTTGCCAACTTGGACGCTCCACCCTGAGGCCCTTGTGGGGGTTTGTCTTTTGATTCATGAGAAACCGGCTCGAGGTCTGTGACCATCAAGCAGTCGGTGCATCTAAACACCTTCAGGTGCCGAGGCCACCGGACAGTAGCGTCACAAGTCTGGCACTTGCCCTCGGCGATATCATTGGCAGGTGCTGCACCTTTCCGGGGACTTGATGACTCGGGCTCCAAGGGATAGGTTACCTCATCATCATCCTCATCTTCAGAGTCCCAAGTCGCATACTTGGGAGCTGTCTTGTCCCGTTTTCGCCCAAACCCAGCGAACGGATTACTGATCGAGCGTGAATGTCCTCGGTGGTACGAACCCTTGGGCGTACTGCCGTTTAACGGCGGCATGACGGAAGCATCTCGAGGCCGAACTATACGGCGTGGGCTGACTTCCAGTCCGGGGGCTTGGGAAGGGTGTAGTCCAGGGATGGCGACGTTGCTAGCAGTTGAGGTCGGAGGGATAGGCGGATGACGTTCAAACCGGGACGGCATAGAGGCGCATCAATTTGATTTGGTTTGATTTAACCGATTTCAACCTCTCCAGTATGGGATCCAGCTCGTGGAGCTTGTTCTTCGTGCCAGACACATGCGATTAGATCGTGGAGGACGGAGTGGGGGGTAAGGCAGTCGGGTAAAGCGAGCTTTGCTTCTTTGTTTGGTAAACGACAGGTTGGTCTATTGCAGGGATGGACCTTCAGTAAGCAAGTCAAGTCTCACTGAATAAAGAACTATCTCACCTCGAGGTCCAACAGAACAGTGATGGATCGTTACAGCAGCATTTCATAGTCTGGGGACGGATTGGGAAAGCTGCCGGAAGGAAGTAGTTCATGCCTCAGGCACTAAAGTTCTATTTATGGATTAGCCGCCTGAAATCGCAGGCGAGAGATCTATTTTTGTGGGACAACGCACATCCCGATGATCGTTAATTAAAGACAGCAGTTAACGTATAGAAATCCCCAATTTGCCAAAATAGTATGTTTAAGCTCCTAGCCACAAGTGCACTAGGCCACTTGCTAACGATCCGCTAAGGCACACTACTATCTGACGGCGGTTGGCCCCCCGCAAGTACGGCACTAAGAGATGAAATCCAGTCAGATCTCACAATAGGCATACATATATCCATAGAACTAGTAAAAAAATGACACGAATTCAAGTTTACGCACTCTACGATACCAGTGGCATGGAGTTGAACCAGTCATACTTCGTTAATAGGGGAATTGAAACATAGAACAAGATGGCTTTTTGGCTAACAACAGAACCGGCTGGTCTGCATTAAAGTTGAGCCCAGCGTGGATAACACTGTCTGGGAAAGAAGTGCCTGAATAAATGACCACATGCCGTAACCAACATTTTCCAACCGAGACCACTGGGAAAGTGCACTATCGCACTTAACGGTAACGCCAGTAGCTCTGGGTGTTCTGGCGCTTCCAGGTGTGGCGGCGACCAGCCTTGGTGTTGTTGTAGCGGTGACCCTTGTTGATACCACGGGACTTCTTGCCAGTGGCGGTAAGGCCACGGGACTCGCGGTGCTAGAAAGAAAAACCTGGTTAGCAAAGCTCTCGAGCAGCACAGTCGGATTTCGAGCCAAACTCACCTTGTGAACGGGGTTACAGATCCAGTTGATACGGGCATCACGGCGGATAGCCTTGTGCTGGGGATCGACAAGGATAACCTCGTAGTACTTGTAGGTGGAGTCCTGGTTGATCCAGTAGGAGTTCAGGACGCGCAAGTTAGCAGCGCGGCGGCCAACACGCTCCTCAGCGGTGGACTTGAGAGCACGCTGGTACTTGAGCTGGTTAACACCGTGGTTGGTGGGCTTGCCTGTTCACACAATCGCACATTAGCCAAAAAAATTCCTTCCAATTCCCACAGATCTCCAGAAAATCTGCTTTCGATAGGAAAAATTCGTACCGTAAGTGGCACCCTTGGAGACAGGGCGTTTGCGGCCACCGCGGCGGACACGGGCACGGTAGATAACGTAACCCTGCTTGGCCTTGTAACCGAGACGACGGGCCTTATCGGGGCGCGAGGGGCGCGAGGCACGGTGGATGGCGTTCAGCTGGCGGAGCTATATTATGCACTCTCAGCAATGTTCAACGAGTGTATAGCAAGACACATGAAGCCCATAAGGGTATTCTTGCGTGCCACAATCATTTCCGCCGAATGACTTTTGTTCGAGCCGCCTAGCAATACCACATGAAAACGGCATATCCTAAGGCAACACACACCAGTGCTCGGCGGAGATGTCAGGCAAACGGGGGCGAAGGGTTTTATCTCACCTCCCAGCATCGGACGCGCAGCAGGAAGCGAATCACATCGGACTGCTTCTTCTTCTGGATTTCTTCCACGTACTTGAGGGCACCCATCTGGACGGTTGTAAGTCAGAGAATGCACTGGCGGCGGAGATTGGATAAAAAGAGAGATGATAAACGTACCTTGTCGGCTGTACGAGGTCGTCGGTTGTCGTTGTCGCAAAAAGTTCGAGGAGGAAAACGTCTGGAGGCAGAGGTTGTGTGTGGGACGCTAGCGATTAGCGAGTTGACCCACCACGGCCAATCACGGGATGAGCAATTTTAGTGCCTTGAACATCAGGTGTCGATACCATTCTCTGCCTCAGGCTGCAAGTCTAAATTGGTACGCATTCGTTCATTTTCTTACTTAGGCAATGTTGAATGAAAATCAAGGGTTAGAAACAGAAAGTCCCTTCTTCAAGGATTAGTTATACTTTCCTACGCTTAGGTATTTATTGTACGGTTTGTGTTATAGGCCAATGGCCAGAAGTGAAAGAACACATACTAAAAGCCTCTTCAAGTCTTCGTCAAGGACAGAGGCCGTATAAGTGGCCGACTGATCTTGTAATTCCATGAATGGATAATTTTATTCAAAAATGTTTGATTTTGAGATACATTTTCCAGATACTCAATCACTATCACAATATCATACAAAAACATTAACATCATCAAATCACCTCGCTCGGTAAATGCAACTAATAATCCTCGCTCTCTCCATGCTGGCATAAAAGACATAGTCTTCCAAAATCAAAATTCAAAGAACTAAAAGCGAGCAAAAGCATTCACATGTGTTGTATTCAAGGGCGCCTCGAAAGATGCTCTCGTTCGACCATTTCATTGGTCACAGAGATATAGTATGATCCCGCTGGCAAAACGCTCTTCTTGCATAAAGGACAAAGGCAGCAGTTCTGGGTCAGGAATGGATCGATACACGCTGCGTCAAATATGTGTCCACAAGGCAGTTCGCGGACCGTAGATGATCCAACAACAAAATCGTCGAGACAAATAGCACAAGTCGTTTGAGTATGGCTCAGACGGTACTTGCTTCTGCAAGAATCATTCTGCGCAGGTTTGATCATCGCTGCTTCGGGTTTGTGGATGCCAGCATCGTCTTGAGCATTGTTGTCTTCGTTGGGCGATAGCGAGTTGATTTTGTCGCCAGAATCATGCTCGATTAGATTCACCGATGTATTATCTTGTGGAAGCGTTGCTTCTGTTGGAGGGCTGATCTCCAAGTATGTATAAAGCGGCATTTTGCTGACCACCTCTTGAGGAGCCGTCATTTGGTTCAATGCCAATGCCTCGATGTCGACCTGACCTGCATTAACACGTCTCTGGAGCTGAGTCCGTCTCTTGCGCAGGACAAGTCGATAAATAATGATTAGGAGGATACTGAGTATAAGGACTGTTCCTGCAATTGCAAGTACGAAGCTCCACACGCTCGTCGACGCCCCTCGGGTTTCTTCACCTGCGATATGTGAGTACAGATTTCGATAGTGACGCATTTTTGTGACCTACCAGTCTCAATTCTGGCAAACAATCTGTTAGTCTCGGTCTGTAGCGCGAAGCTTTCAGTCGAGCTGTCTCTCTTCTCTTCGGGTGTCTTGTTTGAATACCACGAAAGATCATTGATCAATGTGGTTCCAGCTGGGCCTGAAATGGCATACACTGGGTAATTGTTGTCCATTCTCCATTTCTCTCCATCGTTGGTTGCCCAGCGAGAATCATTCGAGTCAGGTGGTATGTCGGTCTCATGGTCTGATGGCTGGAAAAAGATCATAGCATGCGTGCCGACCTTTTGGGCGGCAGAGAGGAACGATAGCGAACATTCGGCGGTTACCCATGGAGCAAGGCCAACGAGGGAGTATCCGAAGTCTGACACATCTTCATAGCGGGTCACGTTTGATGGCACAGACGAAGCTGTAATGCCATAGCACGGATCATGAGGCTCCAGACTAGGTACAAACAAGAGGCCTGATACCAATCCATCCTCAGGAATGCTGTTGCTCGATATCGTTTGAACCTTACGATCGAGAACAAACCGATAAGCGACATTCTCCTATGTAATTATGCGAGTTAGGATCAGCCCCGGAGGCTGTTGTCAAATTCTGAATGAAGAAGGCATACTTACTTCGACTGACGAGGTGGAATTCGAGGCTTGCCCTGAACCTGCCCAAAGTGTAGCCACTTTACCCACGGAGCCATTTCGCGTAGACATGGTAGCAGCTGACATGACGCTTGATATTGGGGCAAGTGAATAGTGAGGATGAATGTGAAGTAAATGATCTACTATGAGTATAAATGCTCGAGACCAGTGAGGAAGGCGTGTGCATAGGGGAAATAAGTTGAATATGAAAGAGGTTTAAAAATGGCAACTACTGTGGTTTTAGGCAAAGACATTTAAGACGACACTCAACCTCGAAGCATCCCATACATCTCCATTGCTAATTCGAGCTCTACAGCGGAAGAATGCGAGAGTCAATCGGGACCGTCATAAGAATGTAGAATAAGCCTGGTTCCAACCACGAGGCAAGAGGCAAAACACTCTTGGCTAAAATACACCGAGTTTCACATTTCGAAACAATCTCCGTGAACGAGTAAACAAATAAAAATGGCCGAGCGCGTGGTCTACATCGTATACTTCGCTAAACATGGCCGTTCACGGTAGACCGTTTGTGGAGATGATCATCAATAGGCAACTTTTCAAGCTTTTACACTTGACATTGGGATTTAGCGAGATTGTGTTATAAATAGTAATTATTCAACGCTTGCAATTCATAAAATACCTGATTTACTCTCTGATGGCTCATACCTCAGAATGTCGGAGTAGCCGACATTGGGGTTTTCTCCGCAGAACTTGTAAGAATGTGATCAGCTTTCAACCTTAACCACATTTTTGGGCGCTAGGCCATGTGTATGACTTCAACTAGTGAGGCGCAGGCTGTAAGTGTGGCACATAGCGCAAACAATTGAATAATCTCAAAGCCATACCTATAGGTAGGTATGTTTAGTGCCAAGTACTCATGAAGCAAAGAATCGAAGATGCTGCACGTGATGATAGGAGTCGTATCGCCATCACGTGCATAAGCTCTGGCCGACCGCCAGCGACCGCCAACCATCACCACGTCTGGAAAGTCGTAATTCATCCGTGAGAGGATATCTTGCTCTGTATTTGCTTTAGCTCATGATCAGGCAACTTTGAGGGGAATATTCATCCTCCTTTCATTCTTCTTCGCTCGCAGTGCCCAACGACAGCATGTGTCTGTCTGGTCCCATCCACACCTCCTAGGATCCTTTCTATCGACCAATCTCTCTTTTCATTGATACTGTCTTTCGCATCTTAATCATTTCATCCCTTCTTTTTCCTTCGTCTGATCATCGGTCTGAAAGAAACACCATGCCGTCCGCATACAAAGGCAAAGGCAAAGGCCGCGATGCGCGCCAGTCGCATAGCCGCAATACCACCCCGTCCAGCGCTAGTGCTCCCGTTATCCCAGCACTGCCCATCCAAAGCTACTTAGAGAACGATGTCACCAAGCACATTGACTTGGCTAGTGTGCAGTACTCCGATGTGTTGGACCTGGTATCCGCGCAGAACATTCCAGATTCAAAAACACTGGAGACATTGGTGGAGCACCTGAAGGGTCTTAGTGACATGGCCGATATGAGGGGCGAGGTTTGCAATGCTGGAATGCGCGAGATGTCTCAAAAGCGCAAGGAAGTGGAGGATCAGGAGCTTGATCGTGAAGTTCGAGATCGCTCCAAGCTGAAACGTGAAACCGAAGAGGATGACGATATTCATAAGGGCGGGAAGCTGAAGAAGCGGAAAGAGCGGCCAAGTGCAAAGGAGGAGCGCCCATTAAATCATGGCGCACATGAGGTAGCGCGACAGGATGGAGCTGAGACTAAGGTTGAGGGAGGTAAGAGATCCAACTCGGCGCTTTCTTCCCACTCTTTGTTTTTACCGACCCATCTCCACAACTTCGATCTTCTTTCACTTTCCCCACCGTTCAACCTTCACTAACCACCAACAGCGGCTTCTCCAGCATCGAAAAACTCCAAGAATGCGATATCAGATGAAAGCTCCTCGCTTTCACCTCCATCAATGATGTCCCCCAACGGCACGACCACTGCTGGCGACGGCCCCCCCCCCGGGACCCCCGGGTCTGAAACCAGCGCCGATTCCCACCAACCTGAACCCCAACCTGCGATTCCTCAAGTGCAAATCTTTGGCGATAACCCGCTGAAGTTTGACGACCCGACCATTTACAACATTCGAGATGTTCTCCCAGGAATGACGGACGATGATAAGAAAGAGATTTACAGCGTTGCCCACTTCCCCAAGACCGATCTTGCCCACATGGCAGCTGGTGTAGCACCTGACAAGGACTTCAGCAACGCCAAACCTTCCAACCAAGTCAGCGCGAATACTTTCCAGACTTACATTGAACCTTACGTCCGGCCTCTTACCGAGGAGGACATTGCCTGGTTAAAAGAAAGGGTAAGTCAATTGCAGCTACTTTAATGTCAACTCAAGCTGACCTGTCACAGGGTGATCGCACTACCCCGTTCATCATGCCCCGTCGCGGAAAGAAAAACTATCGTCAAATTTGGGCGGAGGAGGATGGGGTGTCATACGACTCGAGTCAAGATGACAAGGACCAGCTGCCTTTGAATCAAGGCCGTGGCAGCATTGAACAGCTGACTGACGATAAAGCTGAAACCAATGAAGTCTCGGTTGGACCTCTCCTCAGCCGACTCTGCTCTCTCCTCCGTTACGAGCACCGTACCTTCCCTGAAGATTCCAACCCAACCGCAAATGGGGATACTGCTAGTGTGACTGGACTGGGTGGAGATGCAATGGACATCGATCAACCCACTGTTGAGAAGGAGAACAAGAGCGAAACCAAGCCTCTCCCCGCTGCAACCACCTTCCGCGACGCAGATCCAAACGACTTCAAAACTTCGGTCGCAAAGCTGGATCATGCCCAGCTTGATGAACGCGCCAAAGCCGAACTGCGATTCATCGGTTTCCTCGGTGCAGATGATAATCCAGACTACGACGCTCACTACGATGATGAAGTTGCTGAGCGACTCCGCCTACTCCAAAGCGAGCTCAAGAAGCAAATCGTCACCAACAACGCGCGCAAAGCTCGCATTCTAAAGATTGCCCAGGAGCACATGGCCATGCTTGAGTTTACTACCATCCAAGACGACCTCGACTCTCAGGTTCAACAGGCCTATCTCAAGCGCACCCGCACTATGGGCAAGAGCAAGAAGGGCGCTCAGCCCAAGCACCGGCCTGGCGGCGCAGGCGGCGGCAGCCACGTCGCTGGTTCTGCGGGCGTTTCCCGTCCTGCTGTCGGAGATGCTGCAAAGATTGTCATGGACCGTCGTCGTCGCTGGAACGAGGCATTCCTGCCTATCTTCGACGACATCAAGACTACCATTCCCTCGGAGGGAGACTCGATCTTCGACCCAGAAGTTATGGCTGAATACGAGAAAGCCGAGCTTGAGAACTGGGACGAGGAATAAATTCTCCGCCTTCTCCGCTCTCTTCCGGGATTCTACCACTAGACTACCCGTCTTCTCTCCTTTGGCTGCCTGTTAGCCACCTCAACCCTTTGATTTATTTCCCGCACGACACGATACGAATGCATGATGGACTGGCGTGGCGTTAGCGGATACCTCTTTTTTTTTCTCTGTTCCACCACATCGAATGTTGAACCCCGTGGCTATGTTGCAGCCCGCTAGCCCGCTTGAAGATACACACTGGATCTTTTCCACAACATGTATCTAGCTAGTTAGATGTGACTATGTCCGTGTATTCTTATTCTTAAGCTCTAAGCTGTAGGCTTTCAATGAAACCAATTTCTCCAATTTTCAAATTTCCAGTAGTACCTTAGTACCTCATATATATTTCCGGTCACACCAACGCCAAAATGATAAAAGTAGGGTATCGATCGATTCCAGCAATCCAAAAAAAGAGACAGAAACAAAAACGAAACCTCACCAAACTCATCTCTCATCTATGAAGAATCAATACCTCCCAAGGATATCTCTTCAATCTAGCCGTCAAGTCCCTCTCACTCATCTCCAACTCCGTACAAATCTGATCAAAACAATGCGTACCATCAAGATACTTCCTGAGAACCTCATCCCCAACAACCTCCTCCTCATCCTCCCAAAACGCCGACGGCGCCCCCGCACTCCCATTCCCATATCCATTCCTCCCCCCACTAACCACCGACCCAGCCCGCTCACGACTAGACCCCCTCCTAGCAACCGCCGAGATAGGCGCATCCTCTGAGACACTCGAGACCGCATAGGGCGTATTAGTACCCGTAGTGGCACGCGATGACAGCGCCGTCGGCGTGAACGATGACGTGCGCGGCGGGGGCGAAGGCTGGCCCGTTGCACAGGCGTATTTGTGCACGCGGTACAAGAAGCCCTTTATCACGCCGAATGTGATGAAGCGACGGATGTCGATGTTGGCCAGCGAGCGGCTGTGCGCTGCGTACCATTGCTTGACGCTCTGGCCCTGTTTTAGGCTTGCGTAGAGCTCAACCAGACCGACACCGTCGACGATCGCGGGTTTGTGGAGTGTGTTTGGGGTTGTTGGGGAGGTGGAGGGGTTTTCTTCGGGGCCTAGGAGGGGCCAGATTTCTTCGGCGTCGAAGCGGGATTCCTCGCGTGTGAGGCTTGATGCTGGGTCTGTGAGGGAGCTGGAAAGAGCGGCTGTTCCGGTGCTGCTGTTGGGACTTGCGGTTGGGACTAGGGTTGGGGGGAGAGGGGAGGAGGGGCCGGTTGGTGGGTGTGGTGCGAAGCGGACGTTTACGTAGCGGGCACATTCTAGTTGCATTGCTTCGTCGGAGCCTATTGTTGTGTTGAATTGGGCGGTTGGGGCGTAGATCGCGGAGAACGAGAAGATGTCGAGGATAAATAGGCAGCCGTAGTAGAGGAGATGTCGGAGGGCGCGGCAGGTGAGGGAGAAGTCTGTGTCGGCTAGGACGGAGATGATGCGGACGCTGTTGACGCCGTTGATATGTGGTACGATCTGGCAGGGCTCAGCTGGTGTGTTTGTAGTCATGGGGACAGTGTCATCTTTGACATACCCTTTGCATTGTCAAGTCCCAGTTCTCGTCCATGAAGGCCTGGTATCGCAACGTGAAGAGTGGCACTTGCCAGGCCTTGACGGGCGGGGGAGAGGGATATATCGGGAAAAGCTTGATGTTCAGAGTATTTAATTCGTCTGGATAAAGTAGTTAGCAGCGGAATCATGCTAAACAGGTCCATGGGCTTACCAATGGGAATCATGCACTCGCAATAATTGTTCAAGTCCTCCATCAACATCTCACAGAGACTGTACACCTTCCCCTCACCACTCTTCGAGAAATCGCGGGACAAGAAACCATTCTGCTCTTCCAGGCCATGCATTAAGTCTGCTAGCTTCTGCACCACGCTCTTATACGTGGTGAAGTCGTCCTCCTCGGCGAGGACTATGCAGAAGTTGAAGATGAATTCATTCCGGTCGTACCGCACTGACTTCATGCAGATTGGGTAGCCCAGGATACGATATCCGTTTGTACAGACTTGCAAAAGGTTTCCACAGAGCTCCTGGCGGGGGATCACGAAGAAGGAGACATCAGAGAAGGTGAGGAAGGGTGGTTGTGAGGGCGCAGTGGGGGAGGGTACAATAGCTCCGTCGGGGACTTGATGTACGACTTTAGGCCCTGCATAGCAGTAGTCAGTATGTAGGTAATTGAAGGTTTATCATGGTATTGAAGGTCCTTACCCTCTATCGTGTCGAATTTACTGTAGAAGATTGCCTTGATCATCGCGGGGATGCTGTAAGGATGGGAGGAATGCGCGATAGCCAAGCTGAGTATGAAGGAGCGCAGTCTATCAGCCAAATTTAATCAAACACAGAGGTGAAACCAGGTTCATGTTCATGGCATGGAGATCAGTTGCGGAGCGGACCTCGGAGCGGAGAGCTTATCGAAATCAATATTTCCCAGCCTATTCCAAATTGGGTTAGGCTATGTACATCTTCTTTGTTTGATTGGCTGAACCTGGCTGAACCTGGCTGAAGCTAGAGTCACGTGGTCTATAATTTATAGCTATCCCCGCACTTTGTCTACCAACTCACATAGTATGTTGTACGTCTTGTTTTCCCCTATACGAAGGTATTCTGTTCCTCACTTTTTACACAAGAGCCTCTAGTGGGCAAGTATCTCTGGTCTCCCCTCAAAAAATAACTACCAGATAAATTTGGCTAGCCTCGGTCGTAGGGACATACCAGAATCGTGTCCGAGATCAAACCTAACAAAAAAGGAAAGAACAGTCCCTCCATTTTAGCTCTAGATCGAAGAGACGATGTCTTCCAGTACTACAGAAGATGGAGGATGCGATACACCCGCTTGCAGTTGTGTTTGCAATGGATCAATAAAGAGTTTGTCCTTGAGTGATTCAATTGCGACGCAGATGGGGGTTCCTGCCGATGCAGTTGGACGGGGGCATAGTGACCGGCACTAATAGAGACGAGGGCAGAGTATGGGAGATTATTCGTGTCAAACATGAATATGCTACTTGATTTCGCCTTTTTTATTTCCAAACACTAGCTTTTTCAAATAATGTTTAATATCAAGGAAGATCCAGTCTGATCTCGAGCTCTACAGTACCCATCTACTAGACGATCATAAGTGATATTTCATAAATATATTTCTGAGTAAGTTAGAATAACTTTTGCCGTTTGCTGAAGATCCCCCGATTACCACGTTGAATATGAATATCCCCGGCAAAGCAAACAAGGAAAGAGCTAACAAGTCAAAAACAAAGCAAGTATGGTGAGGAACAGGAACATGAGGGTATTAGAGAAAATGAAACAGGAGACAATGAAATCTATGCGTAAGCAAGAGACTCTTCTGAGGCGTAAGTAGAGCAATGGATATAGATAAATAAAAGCAAGGGGAACCTCGAGAAGAAGGAGCCAGTCCACTTCAGACAATGCGAGAGAGGTAAGATGCGCCGTAAAAAATGCAAAACACGAATCATAGCAGGGCCCTATTCAAAGGGTCTGATACCCGAGTAAATAGTATGCAGTCATTGAGCCGTGCCGGAGGCCTGATTGGATGTAGATGGAAGAGCAGTGTTCGTTGTGATAATGCTGTCTGGCACGGTGAACAAGGTCGCCCTTGTCACCACACGGGCCGCACCGCGACCGCGTGGGAGTCGGACATTGTCGGCGACAAGAGTCAAGGGCTGGTTCATACGAATAGCATGCACTATCTCGAAACCGCCACGCTCTCCAGCCTCCTTCAGCCATTGTTCCCAGTCTTCATCCAGCGGCACATCAGTGCCTTGGTCGCGAGCAGCCATCGCAGCAAGGATCCGGTTGTTGAGGGCTACGCCACAACTTTCCATTTCCTCGTCGCTGAGTTCGTCTTCGATTTCGTGCTCCTCCTCGGCGGACCGGTAACTGGAGGCACGGGAATCGACGGCACGGACCGTATCATTGCTCTGAGTTTCGATAATCTGGTCATCTTCCTCTTCTGTCCCGCAGAAGTCGCAGTCGTTGAAGTGGATCTCGATCGAAGGCGCGGGTTGCGGGGATGCCGGTCGGACTGAGTGGGCTGTGGTGTCCCGCACGATAACCCCTTCTTCTGCCTCGTATCGCTGACGCGCGGACTTGGTCCCTTCCCACCGACACAGATTGGAGATCTCCTCCTCTGTCAGACCGAGTTCGTCAAAGGTCCGGAACAGCCTTCGGTGCCATGGGAATCGACCCAGTCGCATGCGATGCGGTCCATACGAGTAGTCTAGCCCCGGGTATTGTGCTTCGATGCAGTCTAGCGAGCCGTAGAAAAGGGAAGTTTCGACACGTACTTCTGGGACGAGGTTTCGGGTAATGTGAGCACCAAACGAGCCTGGGTCGTTTGTGCGAGGTCGTGGAAACGTGGCGTTATACACAATCTGGCCGACGGATGGTTTACGCATGATGAAGGTCGGATGTGGAAGGAGTTAAGAAGTAAAAGAGCAAATTAAGGAGGTAAGGTCGTCCCAGACACCTTGGAATGTGATGATTCAGGATATCCAGCCCTGAAGGGTCCCCCCTTGCCCTTTGTCAAATTCCCGGACGTTTGGACGTTTTGAATGTTTTTGGGGGTGAGGAGGGCGTTGGCAGTGGGGGGTAACACGCTAGAGAGAGCGCGCGTACAGTAAAATCCTCGAGAATATAACAGAAAATGCTTCTTCAACCTGGATGTCCCGATATCCAGGTCAATGGATATAATAATTAAGAGAAGAAAAAATCCCGATGAGGTGCCCAGCTGACGTTTCGGCTCTTTGACCCTTGGAAAATTGAAGGTCTCACAGGCGTTCCATTGATAGAAGGAAAAAAAGGAAGGAAAATGGAAAAGGGAAAGAAACAAGAAAAAGAAAAATCGAACAATAGTTTTTGGGAAGAGACAACAGGGCTTACAAGACTTTATAACTCAGAGTCCTTAGCTAACGTGTGCGTTGGCATGGCCACGATGCATGGCCAGCTGTTAAGTAGACACATTCCTTTTGGGCTTGGACTTGGTTCGCATATTTAAGGCAATATAGTTCATCGAATCATAATGCTTGAAATTATAGAAAGATTCGATGATTTGACAGATTTGGACATGTTTTATTTCCCTTTTGGGTTTTATGTTCGCATCACGTGCAAATAAGTAACAGGTCCAGAAGTTCAGCAATGCAGCACATCTTCACCTGGGCAACCTTGGACATGCAAATCTGACCTCAGCTCTAGAAGTGGTCATGTCGACCTTCGATGGTATCATAGAAGGTGAGACCGGCACTTCCCACGTCACTTCCACACTAATCATCCGAAAGAGTTTCCGGACATTCGCAGTGAGCTTTGCCTATGAGATCAGCCAAACTTGCAGCTAAGAAAAGCAGTCGACTACTTTCGGAAATGCCCCGAGCGGCCGGCGCCACTAGCTTGCTTTCTCAGCCATGTGCATAGCGATCATTTACAGGGCCTGGAGTCCTTTCGGACACCGTTTATCTTCTGCTCGCCGGCCACGCGAGAGGTATGCTCATGTTCATCCTATTGAAATGCATTAAACTGACCATTTGCAGCTGCTTCTCCGGATTGAAAAGTATCCCCATCGGATGAACTTTAATAAAGGCATCTTGGAGTCACGCCGATTGCACTATAAGCATCTTGCCAAGCTTCTGGTTAGTTTTGTGATCTAAACTTTGACTATGTTGATCAAGAGCTCACCCTGCACAGCGCCCAATTCCACTGAATACCCCGACGGAAATTGAACTCACACCCTTACGTCGTATCAAGGTGACATTGTTTGATGCCAACCATTGCACCGGGGCTGTGATGTTTCTAATTGAAGGGGACGGGAAGGCAATTATCTACACAGGTGACATCCGAGGTGAGTCGATGATGTCTCGTCTTGGTTGAATTGCTGGCTGATCATCTTCAGCCGAGACATGGTGGGTGAACAGCTTGGTCCGTCACCCAGTCTTGATACCGTATACTCTGGGCCAGAAACGGCTGGATAAGTTGTATCTTGACTCTACCTTTGCAAGCAAGACAAATCCATTCTGCGAGTTCCCTTCCAAAGCTGAAGGACTGTCTGAGCTGCTGCAGAAAGTCCAGTCTTATCCTGACGATACAATCTTCTACTTCCGTGCGTGGACATTCGGCTACGAGGATGTCTGGATAGCGCTCTCAGCTGCGCTGAATACAAAGGTGATTATTATCACGCAGCTCAAATATAGCACTGGCTAATATAGAGTAGATCCATGTGGATCGTTACCAGATGGGACTTTACAGGTCTCTGGTCCAGGTTCCAGGCAATAGGGGGGTTAGTGAAGCTCCTGCTCTCTGTGGCTTTGAGCTGGGAAACATAGCTGTTACAGGCTGCCTAAGCAACAATGAATCAAGTCGAATCCACAGTTGTGAGCCTGGAGTCTCATGCCCGGCAGCTCGCGGCACTAACACGGTCTACATTGTGCCTATTGTGAATCGCACAACCGGTGGTGCGGAAATCCCCGAGGTTGGTGCAGGCGGTGGTATTGGGGATCTGTACCAAACGCATGAACTCGAGCTGCCAGATGAATTTGCACTGGCCGAATTGGAGAAGCTGTGTCTCAAACACGTCCATGACAAACAAGCCCTTTCTCAGATGCGAAATGCCCTTCTGGATGCCTTCCGGTCGAGAAAGAAAGCACTCTCGCTTGAGACGTACGGTGTGAAGGAGGAGGGCGAAATTTCATTGAAGAATCTGGTGACCGCTCTAAGCCATGGTCCATCTGATACCTCTACCAGATCGTCCCAGCCAGATCTGCCTAACACGATAGTAAGTGGCACCGCTGTTTTCATTCGATAATCTTCACTAATGGCATTATAGCGATTCCCATATGCACGGCACTCTTCCTACTCCGAACTATGTGAGCTCATAGCTGCCTTCCGGCCCAAGGACATCCATCCATGCACCGTGGATCCAACGACCTGGAACGAAAACGTCTCCATCAGACATTTATTCGGCCACCTCTGTTCAGGCAACAATTTTTCGCACGACACTCACATGCGGCAGACTGTAGCTAATGACGTCGATGATGAGGGAGATTTGCGCGCAAGAAAAAGGGCCCGGTACGACATAGACCTCTCCACACAGTCCACACAAGAAACCAGTAGTGGCATTGAAGATTTTAGTCTTGGTACCGCCGATGCAAGCCAGCATCATGATCAGAAGCAGGACTCTCTACATCATTTGAGTCAATCTGAAGAGGCAGCCAGAGCTAAACGTAACGAAATCCGTCAAGCACACCGCTATCTCCAAGAGCATGCAGAACCTGGGCTCTTTCAAGTCAATCCTCTCCCGTCTACATGGCCGACAGAACAAGAAGACAGGTTCGATCCGGCCAGTGACGAGAGAAGTGAAGAAGAGGATACGCTCATATCTGACCAGCCAGATTTAGAATCTTCGGCTACAGGACTCCGATTCAGGTCCGACCCAACCACATCTACAAGAATCATTGACCTAACTGGTGATGGTACTACGTCTCCTCGCCCAATCACCCAGCAAACAGACAGTCAACACACAGACGCACTTTCTCTCTCTGTCTCCGAGTCGGCGTTTGACTCCTCGGACCGAAATTCCGTTGAAAATGGGCTAGCGGACCCAGCGCGAAGAGAAGAAACCCTGAATCGCTCACGCCGTGCGCGTGTTGCTGCTTACCTAGCTGCGCGAGAAGGTACTTTCTCTGCGTGGACGGATGTATCACTTGTTTCGGCGGATAATCATGGAGAGGAGGAGATTGAGCTATAGGCTTGATCTTTGTTTCATATTGGTAGGCGGGTGGATCTGTTCCTCTTCTTATTTTTTATCTCTTTCTTCAATTTTACTGTGTATGATACCCCTTTCTACTATCTTGTTATCGATCTTGCCATCTGGTATTTCGCCTATGGAACTATGCCATCGTGAGGTTCTGTTCCTTTCATAGGAATGCCCAGGTGGATCACCGTCTTACAAAAGAATTTTCGTGCTCCAAATCACCACATCACTTGGTAGGCACTGCTTTCCCTAAATATCAACCCCCCGGGACTATACAAATAGCAAGGTTGGTCCACCATTGAGGCTCTAGTTGGCCGAAACTAGACTACATCGTCGAGACAAACCCTAAAAGCCTGGCGAGTAAACCATCGATATCATCTCTTTGATGGTTAACATTGCCGCTCCCATTTACCTAGTTTATAGAGAACAAAAAAACCAAACAATGGCCTTGCGAGGCTAAAATTATAACAAAGCCTTAGTGAGTTTACCTTGGAACCACCTTCGCCTTGTATACTAACTTCTTTCAATGTCATGACTTCTTGCAGATATCAAGAACAAAGAGAACAAAGATTCCCACTCATATGTCTTTCATTCCTTTCTTCTTAATGAAGGCTTTGTCTCCAATCTGATCAACCAGCGAGACGCAAATGCATAAATAGGCCCCGATCCCTTGACCATTTCGAGGTATCATCCGCTTCACAGTTCTTCTTCACACTCCATCAGTACAACCAGCTTACTCTACTCTACTTAGCCTCACAGCTCCGCCACACAGTTACTCCCCTAACCCTAACCAGGTAAGCGATACATCCCATTCAGTTACTAATCTCTCCATTTCATACCACCAGAGGATCACAGCCCCATCATCCACGATGCCTGAGTCTATCGCTAGTCGACTTTTCCGGGGTACTCGAGCCATCCTCAAGTACCGGAAGGAGCGCGGTATCCTTGTGAACAACATCCGCTCCTATATCGCCACTTTGCGCCAGATGCCCGAGGGCAACTACCTCGTTGAGATCGCCCTCAACGTCCAGTCCCTGAAGATTCAGGCCGACAAGGTGAAGTGGGATTCCCAGGCACTCGCTGTTGATGCCGCCGACATGAAATATGTCACCTCCCAGGGCGTCTCCTACTTCGCCCACACTGTCCCCCAGATCTGCGACGAGGTCGGCCGTGATACACGTCGGATGGCTGAGACCCTCCATGACCACATCCACCGACCTATTGCCAACACTGAGCATATGATCGCACTCTACCTGGAGCATGCACTGGCTAACCTGGAACACATCTAGATCCGAGTTTCCCCATCGAGTCGCGGACTCATATCAGCATCAGCATCAGCTGGAGCTGTGGCTGAATCTTATTTCCAGCATTCAGGTACGTTCCAATACATTCATTAACATTAACATTTCCATCTCCATCTAGATCTATAGCTCCACAATCTATCATTTACATTACCATGGCACATATAAACCAACCCACCGTCTCCTTCTTCCGCAAAGCGCGCGACGACCTCGTGACCCTCCTAGAGCAGCAATCAGCCTTCCTCCGGCGCGACATCAACAGCCGGGCCTACGTGATCCCGAACCTCCGGCTACAGCTGATCCAGCACCTCGACATCGTCGCCTCACTCTCGATCAAGATGGCCGTCGACAGCCGCCACCACCCCTACGTCCTAGTCCACCAGAGCGGCTTCTACGAGACCGTTGTTCCTATGCATTGCGCCGCGCTGAAGGGCCAGTGTGCCCATCTTGCGGATCGACTACGCGATAACCTTTGCACTGACGTCCCTGTTGCTGTGGCGAGATTGATTGATCGGATTGGGGCTAACTTGTGTTTTTAGATAGGTTGGGAATTGGTTTTTGTTTACTACATTACTGGTTTGTTTATCGTCAACGTATCGTTTTTTCTTCAACGTACCCTTTTCTTCGACGTTATGCCTATTATACCTCCCCGACACGGCCCCGTATCGACCTTCAAACATGAGCGCGCGGCTTTCGTCTTCGATTTGGAGATGCAGGCGAGGATTTTGAGAGCGAAGCCCCAGGCTGGTGAGACTGTTGCTGAGAGGCTACGTGAGCTTGTTGGTAGTGTTCATCGGCTTAAGGGTGCCTCTATGGCTATGGCTGTTGATGCACGTGGCAATGCCCATGTCCTGGCGAAACCGTACGGGTTTTATAGCTATAACGTGCCGCTTATGTGCAATGGTATTGTTGCCTCTTTGTTGCACTGGGCGGATATTCTTGTTAATACTGATGGGCGGAGGACGGATGGTATTGTTGTTGATTCTATTGAGGGAATGTTGGGGTCTTTAGGGTTTTAAGAAAGAAAAGAATAAAAAAATGGTTTACTTATTGACTTCGTATATGTGCATCGTTCTACCTAGAGAAGTAGATTTAAAGGTAAAAGTAAGATTCTTTCGAATATAGAAATCCTATATCACGCAAAAACGACCAACTCGAAAGCGCAACGAGGTATATAGGAACTGTAAAGACCAAAATGAAAAGCTAAGAGTATGCAAGACAGAAAGAAGCCACCAAACACCTCAAAAGATGTAATACGCCTGCGTCAAAGGCAGCTCCGAAGCCGGCTCTGCATCACAAAGCATCCCATCAGCCTCAACAGTATAACTCTCCGGATCAACCTTCATCTTCGGCATAGCATCATTAAACTTCATATCCTTCTTCCCGACAGAGCGACAATCCCTCACAGCCTCAATACGCTTCTTCAATCCATACGTCTGCACAATCCCGGCATCAATAGAAGCCTGCGAAACAAACATAATAGACGTAGCCGGGACGCGCGCAGCAAACATCGGCCGCATGATCATCGGCTCGACAGTCGGGATCGACGCATTCGGATCTCCAACCGACGCTGTAACAATCATTCCGCTCTTCAGAACAGATACAGGCTTCGTGCCGAATGTCGCCGCATTCCACATCACCAGATCGGCTACCTTGCCCACCTCCACGGACCCGATAAGGTGCGACATTCCCTGCGCCAGAGCGGGGTTGATCGTGTACTTGCTGATGTATCGCTTCACGCGGAAATTGTCCGCGCCGCTGTCGGCGTCGATGCCGAGAGGTCCGCGCTGTGTCTTGTTCTTGTGTGCTGTGTGCCAGGTGCGGAGGATTACTTCGCCGCAGCGGCCCATTGCTTGCGAGTCGGAGGACATCATGCTGATGGCGCCGAGATCGTGGAGGACGTCTTCGGCGGCGATGGTTTCGGCGCGGATGCGGCTTTCCGCGAAGGCTACGTCCTCCGGGATATTCTTTGATAAGTGGTGGCAGACCATTAGCATGTCGAGGTGTTCGTCGAGGGTGTTGAGGGTAAAGGGGCGGGTTGGGTTTGTGCTGCTGGGGAGGACGTTGGGGTGTTCGACCACGGAGATGATGTCTGGGGCGTGGCCGCCGCCTGCGCCTTCGGTGTGGTAGGTGTGGATTGTGCGGCCTTTGAAGGCGCCAATGCTCTGCTCGACGAAGCCGGATTCGTTCAGTGTGTCAGTGTGAATCATGCACTGCACGTCATATTCGTCGCACACTTCGAGACAGTTGTCGATTGCTGCTGGGGTGGAGCCCCAGTCTTCGTGAAGCTTGAGACCTGCTGCGCCTGCTAGGATCTGCTCTCTGAGACTCTTCTTTCCGCAGTCGTTGCCCTTGCCCGTGATGCCTAGGTTGATCGGTAGGCTGTCGCATGCTTGCATCATCTGGCGCAGGAGGTTCGGCGACGGTGTACATGTCGTCGCGTTTGATCCAGTGGTAGGGCCGGTGCCACCGCCGAGGAAAGTGGTGATTCCCGAGGCCAGAGCTTCATCCACCTGCTGCGGGCAGATCAAATGGATGTGCGTGTCGATACCACCAGCGGTAACAATCTTATTCTCTCCAGCAATCACATCAGTAGACGAGCCCACCACCAGATCAGGATGCACGCCGTCCATAACATCCGGGTTTCCAGCCTTGCCAATACCAGCAATAAGCCCGTCCTTGATACCAATATCAGCCTTGTAGATACCAGTCCAATCGATAATCAACGCATTTGTGATAAGAGTATCAACACACTCGGTATGAGATCGACCAGACGCCTGTCCCATTCCCTCGCGCAGCGTCTTTCCGCCACCAAAAGCACACTCATCCCCGTAATTTGTCATGTCCTTCTCAACCTTAATCCACAAATCCGTTAACCCAAGCCGCACCAGATCCCCCGTGGTAGGACCAAACATGCGCGAGTACGCCTCGCGCTCCATCGAGAACCCAGAAACAAGCACACTATCCGCCTGCGGCTCCGGCACATGCGCAAACCCAGCTACCTGCAGCTTGCTCATAATCTCGTCAGCACGACTCAAATCCACCGGCCCATTCGCCAACCAATTTCCACCACGGATCACGCGGTGTCCACCGATCTCGACAAGCGTAACCGTCTTCGTATCACCGGGCTCGAATCTGATCGATGTTCCCGCAGGAATATCCAGTCGGAAACCGTACGACTGCAAGCGATCGAAGTGCAGCTGCGGGTTCGTCTCGATGAAATGGTAATGCGACCCGACCTAGCAATCAACAGTGTAATTAGCACCACTCGCTTCCAGTCTTTTCCTTTCTCATTTCCGCTCTGTATATTAAACACAATGTACACACCTGAATCGGCCGATCTCCTTTACTCATAACCTTAAGCTTAATACGCCTCTTCCCAGAACTCAACTCCACACGTGCATGCTTAGCAGGAATAACCGCGCCGGGCATTTTCTCAGGCATGAAATCCTCCGGGTCCGGGTCTGGGAATGCCTCTGGCGCGGGGACGGGCAGGAAGCTTCCATACAGGGCGCGCTCGAGATCGCCCTCATCGCTACTGATCGGGTGGTGCACGGTTACCAGGTAGGTACCGGAGATGAAAGTTCCCTCGACTTGGAGCTCGACGAGGGTTGCTAGTACGGAGGGGAGGACGTGGCGGCGGCCGAGCATTGTTTTGCCGATGGACATAAGATCGGCGACGGAGTAGTGGCCATCGCGGATTAACTGCGGGGCTTTGTTAGTTTGCGCGTTGGATCAATTGGGTATTGGTATATGGTGTGTCATGATGCGATTGTAGGGATTGGGTGGGGTTATCGTACCTCGTGTAGCACTGAGGCTATCAGGGCCTGTTGCGCGATATGTCAGTGGTCGTGTCCTACACCCCAGAAGATACACATACCACAGCTTCTGCATGGTTGAGCCGCACTCCACGTGCTAAACGACGCTGTGCCAAGAAGCCTAGGTGGGCGATGGTAAGCTTGTCAAGCTGCAGGGGTGTTAGTTGTGTGTGTCTCGGGGGATGTATGTGCGACTTACCTCCTTCGGAATAAGCTGCATGGTTCATGTGGAACCTGATCCTGGTAGTTCTTGGCGTGCAGGATAATTTGGTTTGGAGGCAGTTTTGAAGCAACTTTGAAACCTCAGAGTAAGTGAAGATGTGAAGGATACAATTCAGTGAGGTCCAAAGAAAGTCAAAAAGGCAAGGAATGTGGGGATGCGGTACATTTCAAATGTTGTTTCTCCTCTGATAAGGTCTTCGCCCATGATAAGTGTCTGTGGAGGCCGATTGGGTCGGGGAACGGAGGTCGGCGGCATTAGTCAAGGCTTTGCCAAATTGATAATGCACTTGGATTTAGTGAGATTTAGTCTGTTATTGATTTTAATCTGGTTCTATTCTTCAGTTTTATACGGCTTTATAGCTCGAGGCTGTATAGCTCTGGTGGAAAATGGACCCGCATGTTTTCGAACTATACGACGTATACAATCCATGGATATAGAGGGGTAACTATTTACCTAACCTGCCAGGATACTAGGGATATCTAGAAACCACATCCCATGATCAGTCCATTTCACTAATTCAAGCTAAGTAGGTACAATTTTTCCCTAAACGCCGCTGAAAAACGCAAACCGGGGGGGTTACACATCCAATCCACCAGACCGAGACCCATATCATCTGACCCTAGAGTCAAGCAAATCAGAAATCAGAAAGCAGAAAGCACCAAAAAACTCATTTACACCTCGCTCTTGCGCTTCTTGCTTCTGCGCTTGGTCTCGGCGGGTGTCTTGACAGCCGATGTGGACACCGGCTCCGCAGCCTTACGGCCGCCCCGCTTGACAGGTGACTTGGCAGGAGTCTCGGCCTCCTTAGCCTTGGTATCGCTGCGACGGCGCTTGCCGGTGCTGCGCGGGGGGGTCTTTTCCTTCACAGGAGAGGGGGACTGTGACTCGTCGGATGACTCGGTAGACTCCTCGGCGGACTCTTCGGGCTCAGCTTCAGCCTCGACCTCGGGCTCAACCTCAGCCTCAGGCTCGGCACCGGCAAAGTCCTGCTGCAGTTGGCTGGCGGCAGGATCGTGGTCCTCGTCAACCTTGGTGCCGGCCTTGTAGGCTGCCATGTCGCGCTTGTACTGGTCGTAGTTGGCGGCATACATCTTCTTCCAGACCTATGCGAATGCGTTAGCTCTGCATACTTGCAAACAATATCAAGCTGGGCCTGCTTTGTTCACTGCCAATACATACCTCCTTCTGGGTATCTTCCATGCTCTGCCAGCGGCGGGTGCCCTCGTCGGCGACATCCTTGGGGCGCGCGTCATTGCCCAGGTCATCGGCGATCTTGCTGCGGTTGTGCTGCATGTACAGGAAGTAGGGGGTCAATGCACGCTTGGGCGCATTGGGGTCGACGGGCGCGCGCTTGCGCTTCTTGGGACCACCGGCCTCGGACTTGGCGCCGGGGCTGCCGGCGCGGAAGGGGATGTCCGGGCCCATGAATCCAGAGGGACCGAGGGGGAGCTCAATGTGGGCATCGCGTCCTTCGGTGATGTTGTTCACGTGCTGGACGTAGGCCTTGCCCAGGTCGGCGATGTAAGACTGCACCTCCATCAGGCGCATGACGATCTATAAGGCATTGTTAGCAGTGTTATTTCAGGAGCAATTGCGCTTAGTCATTGGGCCTATGTATGGGTATAGGGTTAGGGAAGGGAGAGGGGCAGTCAAGCAGCGCGTTAGTTGGCAAGAAGTGTGCGATGTCAAGATAGGCCCTCAGGTCTGAAGGGAGGGAAAAGGGTGGGGAATGTTCTTTTTTTTTGCACATGAAGCTTCCCATCATGATGCTGAAGTATTTAATAGTATAGTTTAAGCTTCAACAGCTTAATGGGTAGCTTTATAGATCCTCGAACGCGACGCGCAGCAGGCGCGCAGTGGCGATGCGCACAAGAAAACAGAAAAAAAAGAACCGAAACAAAGAAAATGCAATAGTCAAAAGGTAAAAAAATGAAAAGGGGAAAATTACCAAGTCGCCAGCCCGTCTAAGCTCATCTTTGTTGACCTGAACGGTCGTATCATCTTGATTAGAAGCCATTGTTTTGAAGCCGAGGAGAGTGGTTGGGGTGAAGAAAAGAGAATTTTATCGGGGAAGGGGGGAAGAGGACCGGGGGGGGTGGAAGGGCCGAGTACCCACTAAATAGCAAAAAGGCCACCCCGAAGTGCCCCGGGCATTTTCGCTCTGCTTTAGGCTTAGGCTCTGGGCTCTGTCATGAGACACAACCCCCCCGGGAACCCTAGGCAACACGGTGCACCACCAGAGTCCTTTTCACTGATATATTATTCTATTTAGGTATCAGGCTATTAAATTTCATTTCTTAAACTATATCATTCATATAGATCCTTCTATAATAGTCTACAATATTGCAGGGATTGCTAAATTGATACTATATACGTAACTACTTTGGATGAACGGGCGCTTAGGGGCCGCCGAGGGGTAACCCATGAGCCACCTGGGCATAACTATACTTGCATACATAGTACTTGTTAGGAAGACAATTACATACATAATTTAACAATTTATTTCTCTATATAAATTTCACAGATCTTTTTGTTATGTCACACATCTATTCCTTCGTAATATTCCTGTTCTTCCTGCTCTTTATGATTTTCTTGGGGGGCTGGGACATGTTCAAGTGTGGGCTATGCTACCCCGCCGAAATCTCAACCTCAGGGTCGCCCGCGCCCTGTAGAAGAGGGGCTCAGCTGAGCATAAGATGTCAAGCTTGTATGTAGTACGAACGCCTGTTCTGACTTCCTAATTCAATTCATTAGCTGCTTTTTTGGTTCTTTTCACTCCGGTGCAATGGTTTTAGTGTACTTCTATAGTCTAGTGCCTGGTCTTGTCGCTTATACCAGTAGGTACTGTACGTATACTTACATGGATGTAGGCTTTGGGGCATCTTATACAGCTTGTAGGTAACTATTTAATACATCTTGGGTGTAGAATCTGTTGTTTTACTGCTGTATTACTGCATAGATACTGATTCGGTGCTATTTTCGCTAGTTATATCGTATTCTGTGAGGATATTGGTATTGAGTGTGCACATATATATATCCACCACCCTCGCATCTTCATCACGGTTCCTACGCTTTTTTTTTTCGAAATAAATATTTAGTTCCTACCATTGTCCATGCTGCCAAGACAAGTAAAGCTATCAGATACGCACGATTACATATTTAGAGGCAAAATGTATTTCAATCAAATGATGTCTAAAGCCAGCCAGAGACGCGCAACACGCTGAAAACAAGATGCACCAATATACATGGCTGTCCTGCCGCATATCCAACTAGCGACATATTCTAGCGACATATTCTAGCTACATATCTTACAATAACCTAGAACTTGAAGACCTGGTCCTTGCTGTAACCCAGATCCTTCAAGATACCAGTGAGCTCACCCTGGTCCTTGGGGCTGATCTTACCACCGGAGATAGCCTTGTACATGGGGGGAGGGCCACAGATGAAGAGCTTGATGTTCTCCTCCTTGGGCTCGGGCAGGACGGTCTTCAGCAGCTCCTTGGTGATGAAGCCCTTGCCACCGGTCCAGTCCGCAGGGGGCTTGTCCAGGACATAGAAGGCACGGAAGCGCTGGGGGTAGGTGTTCTCCAAATCATGCAGCTCCTTCTTCAGGAGGATATCCTCCTCGGTGACGTTACCGAAGACCAGAGTGACCTTGGTCTTGTCCTCGGGGTTCTTGAAGATCTCACGGGCGAGCTGGTACATCGGGGTGATACCGGTACCACCGGCGATCAGGCAGATGTGGTCGTGCTTGTTGGCCTCCCAGGGGTACTTGACAAGAGGTCCCTTGAAGGACAGGCGCTGGTCGACGTTCATGGAGTGGATGTGCTCAGACATGGGGCCGCCGGGGTAGGCCTTGACGACGAGCTCAAGGTAGCCGGGGATATCTGCCATGTGTTAGAAATTGAAAATTAAGTGGTGGTTCATGCTGATCTTACCCTCATCACTGGTGGGGGTGTAGGGACGGAGGACGTTCTTCTCAGCACCCTCGGGCTTGAAACGGGTCAACAGAGCAGCTATAAGCCTGTTAGTGATTGATTGGCAACTTCCCTTGGAGACAGACTACTCACAGGCAACAGGAAGGCCAGAGACAGCCTCCTTATCATCGTACTCGAAGCGAAGACGTTTGGTGTTGGGGCTCAGGACCTCAATGTTAGCCAGCTTGAGGTCCACCCAGTCCTCGCCGTTGAAGACCTTGGGGCGGTCCTTGGGCTCAGCAACCGCGCCGGTGCTGTAGCGGTACACACCAGCAGCGAGACCGGCGAGGCCCACGCCAACGTAGACGGGGGTCAAGTTGGACTTCTTGGGAGCGGCCTCCGCAGAGTATTTGCGGAAGCTCTGATTGAAAGACATTTAGTATGGGAATTGAATCGAGGACCTATTTCAACTAACCTGCTTCAAGGGCTGCGCACAACGGAAAGATTGACGAGCAAACATGATTTGTAATGAATTGTGGGGGAAGTAAGAGGGAAATGAGGAACGTGGGAACCTTACAAGGCCCCGAAGAAATCGGATTACATATGCGAAAGCGGACAGCTCCCTCCCGACCTGATTTCGGATGACGCAATACCGGGTTCCTGTATTGCGACCTACACAGCCCAATGCTTTCGGTAATGACTGTTTGAGTAAAGATATTCAAGATATCTCAAACAGCCTTTATTGACAGGCCAAAGCAGACACTTGCAACTAAAATGGCAGTTGAAGATAACTAGCCGGTTGATGCCTGATTTACAAGGCATAAAGGTTTAATCTCGGGCGGCTGAAGAAACTCCGATATCCGACACTTACTCCGTCGGGTAATTGAAATTGTAATGTACAGGGGGGATGGGATCGGCCAGTATTTGATATGATATTGATCCTAATGGATCTATATGTATGTAGTTCGTAGAAGAATATGACCAGCAGTAATCGATTTGCAACGGCTACCTTGTGAACATCCATACGACCACATTGTGAATGGACCGACTTGAAAGAAATCGGAAGGCCAAAGGCCCATTATTTCAGGTTGATATCTCTGATAGGATGCCTTAGCATCTATCACATCGGCCTACTCTCCATGTATGCCCATTGTCTTACTAGGACTCGAATAATTCAAGAAACCCGATGATTTTTTCAAAATAACCTAAGATGCCACCATACGGGGGACTAGAGACATCCAACCATCTCGCCCGTCAACGGGGCGGTGGTTTCCACGCGACCATCTTTCATGCATGCTATGGCCATAAACAGTCATTTCATCCACACACTCCAAACCCAACACCCAGAACATCACATTTAAGCAAAGGTAGAGGGGCGAGAGTAGGCGAAGACCTTCTTGCCGACCTTGCCACCGGCGCGGTGGGGCAGAGGGAACTTGAGGTCCTTCTGGAGGAGCTGCTTGATGTAGGGGCGGCGGATGCTGTCGTTGTTCTCGATCTCAACAACCTTGAGGATCTGCAGGGAAATAATAATTAGAACGTGGTCATGGTCAGAAGGTTCGGGTAGCGTAACATACGTGGATGGAACCGAAACGGGAGCGGTGACGGGCAGCCATGTCCTGGTAGAGGGCCTCAACAGCGTCGGTGCGGCTCATCTCACGGAACTCCTTGTACATGTTGTGGGTACCGGAGCGCGAGTCGTAGCGGATCCAGATACCGAAGTTCTTGACCTTGAGGGGACGCTTCTCCTCGATCTAGACACAAAAAAGATAAGCACCATTCCCATATCCTCGGATATTCAACCCCAACATACCACGTTCAGGGAAACGATCTCGCCGTTGGCCTTCTTGAGCTTACGGAGCTGGGACATGAAGTACCAGAAACGCGACTTGGCCACAACAGTGTTGGGCGCAAAGATGCGCATGCGGTACAGCTTGGGCGTGGGGTTCGCCTCGTTGGGCAGGTGACGCCCGATGACCTGGTACTCAGTAAGACGCCCTGGGAATCCGTCAGTCATTGTTCGTAGTGGATATTCCAATTGTCCAGATGTTCAGTTCGAGAGATGAAACGGTGCGCGATGCAAGTTGGCGAGAATTCGAGAAGACCAAGGGTGATTTGTGGATATTGAAAAATTCGAGATTCAACCATGCGTAGCCCTGATCGACAGCGTTGTGCGTTCCTTCATAACCAATTCCAAGCGACGTCGATTTGCCATTGCATCCTCCTCTTCTGTGATTGTCTCATGTCGATATCGTCGGGGTCTTTGCGTCTCGAATTTCCTCCAACCAAATGCGCGCACCGTTGTCTCGAAAAAAAGTCCTGGGGTATCGGAAAGGGAATAGAAATCACTCACCCATCTGGAAGAGTTTGATGTTAGTATAAATCTCCGATAAAATCGAATGGTAGGTACTCACTGTGATTGTCGCTGTGGTGGATGAGTCGTTAGTGTGCCGTCGATGGAAAATGAGAAATTGTGAGGTTCCAATTGTGCTTAGGGTTGCCGCCCTTGCCCTAAGCGAGTGGAGGCTTTCAGTTTTGCGCTAGTCCCATTTGGTAACATAGCTGCGCCACTGTCCTTCCGCCACATTGCACCAGCCACATCGCCTTGCCTTCCCCACATGTCTTTCTCCAAAAGTATGGCGTTCCTTCCTTGTTTGTCTTTGTCGGGTCGGATCTCAACCTAAGGCTTACCCCACCTCGAATGCTTCTTTTCAACTCATAACTTGCAATCAATCCAACCAACTCGCTCTTCCGCTAGAGGGCACCTCACCATGACTTCTCTTGCGACGGCGTTTAAGAACGCATACCTCAACGGGTCCGGCCCGGAATTAGCTGCAGTCCTCACCCCGATCGCGCCATCTGAAGATCGCAATCGGCTGCGCTCCTTCTACCAGTTCTCCAACGCCGAATACATATCCAAGGATCTCAGCTACGCTCTCTTCCACGGGAAAAGTCTGAAATTGCCAAAGGCCGAACAGGCTGCCTGGGTTGACATCTTTGTTGTTTACTGGGAAGCTATAGGCGAAATACTTCAGTGTGAAGATCGCCTTCCGGGTGCTAGCGTCGTTACGGTCTTCAATGCCTGGAAGAAGGTCGCCAATGCCCTCATCCGGGGATACTCGGGCTCTGCTGGCATTCCGGCTTGGACATTGCCATGCTTGTACACAGTCGGGAAGTACTTACGTACTTTTGCGATCAATGCCGATCTCGAAGCAGGATCTCAAGGCTCCGCTGGGTTTGGGTTCCAGGATGACATCGCAGCTGATGTTGAGAAGAACGCGAACTTGGAGGAGGCTGCTCGGGTCATCAACAGGATGTTCACTCTGTGCCTGAGTGATAGGTAAGGATATGATTGGATTCTTTGAGTTGTTCCGTTGCTGACAAGACCCAGAGCACCGCTTGAAGAATCCCGCAAGTGGGGTATCTACAACATGACCAATCTCCTATTCAAGACATATTTCAAGGTACCAAATGTCGACCCCACTGTCGCTAACAAGATGCTAATCTCTCTCCTTTAGATCAACTCCGTCGGCCTTACCAAAAACTTGCTTCGTGCTATCAAAGCTTCATCGGCCGATCTTCCCCCTCCCGAAGTTTTCCCCAAATCCCATATTGTCACGTTCGAATATTACGTTGGGGTCATCCACTTCTTGGATGAGAATTACACAGAGGTATTACCAAGAGCTGTGTTTGTGGACTATTACTGGGACTGATTATTTGCAATATAGGCCGAAGAACATCTGACATGGGCTTGGAAGATGTGCCATCGAGACGCAATCAAGAATCGAGAGTGAGTAACCCTCCAGCCACAGATACGTTTCCACTGACCACCATTAGATTGATTCTTACCTACCTTATTCCCTGTCACCTCGTGACCACACATACGCTCCCCAGCAAGGGGCTTCTTGCGCCATTCCCACGACTCGAGAAGCTTTTCCGGCCTCTTTCGAACTGCATCCGAACAGGTGACTTGGTTGGATTTGACCAGGCCATGTCTGACGGCGAGGAAGAGTTTGTCAAGAGACGTATCTACCTGCCGTTAGAACGTGGGCGCGACATTGCCTTGCGCAACCTGTTCCGAAAGGTTTTCCTCGCTGGCGGTTTCGACGAATCCAAGGAGGGTCAATCTCCGGTTCGACGTACCCGTGTCCATGTGAATGAATTTGCGGCAGCTCTCCGTGTGGGTACTTCTACAAGTGGTCGATCGCGCATCGATATTGATGAGGTGGAGTGTTTACTCTCCAACCTCATCTACAAGGTAGGCTGACAAGTATTGTCAATCCGCAAGTGCTTACTGACATGTCACTTCCTCAGGGACTCATGAAAGGATACATTGCACGTGATCGAGGCATTATTGTGTTGAGTAAGGGAGGCAGCGCTTTCCCGGGTACAGGTGTCTAAAGACGCTTCTGGGTGGCAATGCACTGCAACGTGTTTGAACTCCATTTCGTCTAATGCCCATCAACAACTCGTTGATTGCCAGAACCTTCAGAGTAGTCAGGTATGCATCCGCCTATGACTTACATTCATATAGCTATATTATTCGACACACCAGGATACTCAGGCTGATCAGGTAACGCCACTGCCGAAGGATTTTGGCCTGACGCGATACACATTGCACACTAGCAGCATGGTACTTGGTCATCGCTCGGATCGAAGTGCCAGCTTCATCAGTGTCCACGGGTCATCCAGTCCACGCTCGCCTAATACATGATGTATCAAAATTGGGCTGGCTGGACTATATCAGACCATATCTTTACGAATTTACGAATCAATTGCTTCGACAACTTAACCTTCAAACATTCTCTTCATTCTTAGATATAGAAACATAGTAGTACACGGGTATAAAACACTGCCAGCAGCGATATAGAATGTCAACCGCGCAATTAGTAAAGAGCCAACAACCAACCTTCCAACATACCACCTAATCTCAGAATCCCAACACATCCCTAACAATGAGTCGTAACAGCCGAACTATCAACCGACTGACCAGTATAGTCATCCTATCGAAAACCAAGTTAGCACCTCACCCCTCCCCAAACCCGAGGAAAGTAAACTCACCATATGATTACACAAAGCAACAAAAAGATCAAAGAACAACTTCCCCCCACGCTCCATCTCCGCCTGCATAGTCCCACTGCGCATAAAAGTGCCCCGAGACCGCACAATCAACGCAAGGTAATGCGCCCGCAGCTTCGACTCCGTATCCGGCGTGTTGGCGTACGCGAACCGCGCACTCGCAAGTATCGTGCTGCACTGGATCCCGGTGTGCAGGCCCTGCTTGCGCAGCGCGAGACGCTGGAGATGGGGGAGGTTGTATTTTTCTGCTGCGCAGCTGTTGAAACATACATTAGTACACACACACACACACACACACACACACATATATTCATAACCAAATGAAAAGAGCCAAGAAAAAGAGGAAGTAACCACTTACTAAATAGCCGTATCCCGCAATATAACCCCCCGCGCCCGATGATGAAACACCGTCGCCGTCGCCTGTCCCAACTCCCCACTAGCGCCGGCGCCAACGCCCGCATCTGCGTCCTCCAGCTCCCACGTCTGGGTCTGACTGTTGTGTTGCAGGCGCGGGTAGTAGTCGCCATTGTATAGGTACTCGAGGACGCAGGAGAGGACTTCGGCTTGCTCTTCTGGCAGATCGATGCGCTTGCTTGGTGGTTGGAGGGGATGTCTGGGCCGTGGCGCATTGCGGTTTGGGGTTTGCGCTGTGCAGTGCGCGGCGAAGAAGGGGGATGCGCGGAGGATGGCTTCGTGCGCGGCGAAGAGGCGCTTTTCGGGTCCCACGCGGAGCATTACTATTGGGCTTGTTGGGGGTGTTCTGTTGGGATTGGATTAGTGGTTGGACTTATGGATTGGTGGTGTAGATGATGATGCTGATGTAGGAGTAGATGCAGATGTAGATGGAAATGCAGATACATCCATGTTGTGCGCAGGACTTACGTTACGTCTGGGGGTTTATCGAATCTTCGACGCTGCTCGACTCGTCGAGTCTTACTGCCAATCGAGCCGGAGCCCGAACCAGAGCTATCTCGCTCTTTGTCTTTGGGAGCTCGGTCTTTTGTTCTGTCGCGAGGAACCCTGCGCGACTGCAGCGTGAAAGCTGAAGCTTTTGCTGCGCGATACCGGCCAGGAATTGGAGTCTCTGGGGTTCTCCTGGACAACATTGCTATTATATTATGGTCTGAATAGGAGACGATCTGGATAGAAGACAGGATTGGGGAGAATAAAGAGGCAGCCGTGGATGGATTCAGGGGGGCAGATGGGGTGCTATTTATAAAAGACAGAGAAGTCTGCAAGCTCCCGTTTGTTACAGAGACAAGTCACATCGTACATATCTTGTATTTTGTGGAGATTACAGGACATGGGACGGTTTGTATACGGATGATCTGCTGGATAGGCCCAATTAGCCTGCGCAGAGGGGTACAGCTCGAGGAAGGACGCGTCACAAACAAGTTTCGACCGCGTAAAGGGGTTTTTTCGAGTCGCCAAATGGGCGCGTGGTCACGGGCCTCGATGGGGCCAATCAGATATCGCCATTGAGACAAAGGAAATTACGATTTCCTATTTGGGAAATGGTTGTGGATTGCGGTGGATTATTGTGTCGCAGCTGAGGCAAATTCTGGTCTTTTCTCTTTGTTGGAATTGATACGTCCATTGGGCAACAGCCTTGGAATGGTGAGGTTGTTGATTTACCTTTGAACTTGCTTACATACGAATGTCAGGTTTGAATTAAATTGCAGTGCTCCGTACAGCTCCGTACAGCTTTGAATGGACCTGCATTGCAATGTCGCAACAGATGAGCCCCTGAACGCCGACGCTAAACGCCCTTGACAAGACCCGGTGTTCCCGAAGTGACCCGTCCTACCGCCGAAAGAAAAAATACCCAGAGATATGAGGACAAAGAAAGAGAAGAGAAGAGAAGGAAAGAGAAGACCTACATTACAGGAATACTTTCCTGGCATCCTTGGGGTGGCTTTCGCTAGGACAATACGGGCATTTAAACCGATTACCCTTGCCAAGGCGTTTCAACGATTCCTGTGCAATGACATGTCCACATGGCATCATCATAGGAGGGTTCTCATCGGTCGCCTGCTCCTTTGACACCGGACAGACAAAGATCGAATGGAAGAGATATTGGGGAGGGAGGGGTATTTCAACCTGAGAATACAAACATTAGCATTGATTCGTACACAGAGTAGCGGGTTCCTTACCGGAAGCTCGTTGTCGGATGTCCACTCCGTCCGCTTCGACTTCATAATCGTCTGTAACTTCAATAGCGTCGGCAGAGCGATTGCGCCCGCCGTAGCAGCAATGTATAGGGGCGAGTCCGCCGAAAGGCCCAGCAAAGAACAAAACTCGCGAGTGAAGAAGTGAGCTACGTCATCCCAGGCCGAGCTGTTATTGAAGAGAGCTGCATACGGCGACCCGCCGAGGTTGGGCGAGTACGCCATTGCTCCGACCAGCTGCTGAACTTCTCTCAAATATCGAGGCACAAAGACATGGAATTCCTGCCGCGCATACTCGAGAGCAGCTAGCCATCCGCTCGCGGTTCCCTGGCTGTTCGCTCCGCCATGGTACAGCCATACATATTGAAGTCGACAGAGCTCAAATTCGAGATTGCTGCCTCGGGCTTCCAGCGCCTCGCGGTTTTCTCTCGACCATTCGATTGCAGGCAGTAAGTTCCTGTTCTCTTGTAGTTGTTGTAGGATATAGTACATTGAGGCGAATTGTTTCCGGATCTCGGTCGAAGGGACTTCATCGATATCGAGAAGGCTGGCGGGTGGATTGGTCGGCCCACGCCCGTTTTGCGAAACTGGATGTATTGTCTTCTGCTCGGCGATCTCGGAGAGGAAGGTGGCGGCCACGCCGAACTGGCCTTCGCGAAGGAGATGCATGGCGATAGCGCGGTTGATCAGGTGTTCGTGCGAAGAGAGGCCATCGTCGTCGGTGCCAGGCAGTGGTCGATCTTTGAAAAGCTGTTCCCGATGTTAGATTGGTGGCAAGGCATGGATGATCAGTATTCTCGATACCTTATCTAGAGATTTGGTGTACTTGTTGAGGCCACTGTGAGTCTCTTTCAAGCTGTCATTGATAGAGTCAAAGGACGATTTGACCGAGTTCTGAAGGGTGGCTAGGGTGGCAGAGGCAGCGGATGGATCTATTCGGGGGAAAACCGGTGTCGTCAGTTGAGGAACCTAGCGGGGGCACGTTTACAGGCTACTGACCAGCAGCTATGGCATCGCGAGCAGACTGGAGTGACTCAATTGCCGACTGAACATTCTTGATGCCTTGAGACCCCTCAGTCCTCTTGAGGAGTCGGCTGTGTTCTTTCTGCACTACTTCCATTGCGGATGGGTTCCGGTTGACAGGCTCGGAGGTGACTGAAGAGGTTACCGAGTCTCGCCATGTGGAGAACTTCAGATAAGAGCTCTTTATCTCGGCACCTTCCAAAATGGATACAATATACGATATATTGAGGCAGTCCTGGGATTATTTGCTTCAAATTGATGAGACTGAATGAAGACAATAGCGAGAGGAAAACGGTCGAAGAGAGACCAGTTGTTCCGGGTGATCTTCCACGTGATTCAACCCCTCCATCCGGAAGGTGAAGGCTTGCCCAGACCTGTACATACATGTAGTAGTAGACGAACATCCATCGATGCATATTCCTTTCAAATGTTGGTAACGCTGAAAGTTATATCCATGGATATCCATGGATACATATGTATGCATGTATACAAATTATCTTGTCCATTTTCAATAGTATCTGGTACACAGCCCTCACCTTAACACCATAATCTCGCAGGAACCACTCCTTGGAGTCTCTGCTCCATAGAATACTAGGTATAGCATACTACGTATTCTGGCTATACAGCCGGGTGAAAAACCTTCAAATATTAGTCCAGTCCTTATTTCCGCATCGTAGCCCTGTAATCCAAGAGGGCGATTCTGGTATACCGCCTTCCAGATCATGGGCCGGCTTACCTACTGCTTCGGCTAACTTCGGCTATCAACGGTTAGTGTCTAGCCCGGAATATTAATTAGCCGAGCTCGTCACCTACCTTTGTTTGCTGCGGCCTGCAGCCCACAGAAAAATATAAATACCTGGTCCCGCCCCCGAACTTCCTTCTCTTTTCTTTTCTTCTCCATCCTAGTGCACGGGTTTTACACGTATCAGTGAGGAGACATCCGAGATCGTGTTTTTGCTAGTTGAAAACTACCAAATTGACTACTTCAAGCGAGCCTAACCGCACGCTTGGGAATTTTTGAAACAATACTGCCTCAACTCCTTGACTCTGAGTCCTCGAGTTTGAATTTGATTCTTCGATGGGAGACTTCCGTCACCCTCGAGTATCTTGAAGTCTTTTCACTACTTGTTACCCATGCTGGTGGCTTTTAGAGAAGAGGATCCTCTTCAATTACCTTATATAATTACTCTTAGCTAGCTTCTAGTTTCATCGTAAAGATTTTTCTGAAAGTGAGAAAACCTCTCGCGTCCCAATGTTTTGGTGTGTCGCGTCCCTCGGTCGCGTTGCTGGAAATTTTCCCCCCTTGTAGGCCTGTTACCCCTTGCCCACATGCAGTTTTGATTGGAGCTATTTTTACGATCAATTATTCCCTTGGCATCCCTTGCTGTCTCTACCTGTGTCTCCTGTCGGATTTTGGTTCGAAATTCGCCGTATCCTCTCGCCACATTATTTTTCACCCAAAAGACCCTGGGACATGAGTCTCAGCACTGCCCCACTGATGTAATATACCTGAGGTCTGAACTGGAGAATGTCTCAGGGGGTCTACTGAGTACCCCTTGGTTGAATCGTTCACCACGGACTACCGTACATATTCGGCAACTCCATGCCGGTGCCTATGTCCTAAGCTGCTAGTGAACTACTCCGTATGTACTGTTGTAGTGGACAGCCGGTTGGTTGATGGTCGAATACCACGCTATCAATAAGTCTCACTCCTTCATTTCAATGGAGCTCTGATCTAGCCTCCAACCAATCTGTCATGGGATTACAGTCACTGACGTATCACAAGAACACCCAGGCACGTCTACTGACTGCATTCCCGACCGACTAACAAAGCAGCCCGTCCTCTTCTCCGACCGTGAAGTTGCCGTGTTGTCGAACCAGGTCGCACCAGGTCGAAACAGCGTGCCAGCCAGACACCTCATCATGAGCATCGAACTAGTGGGGAGGATCCTGGACTCCATCTCCCAACCCCGTCTACTTCCTCGCACATCCCCCTATGACACGTCCAATATCGAAGTGACAAATACTCCGTGCTTATTGATTTCTCTCCCATGAAATCGGTACCTGAGATCATGCTGCAGGTACGGTCACAGTCCCGGGAACGCCGGCTATCCTGGTCTTACACCTGGATTCGAGACCGGCCAAATGCCCATGAGACATAACCTTTCAGACCCCAGTTCATTGGAGGCTTGCTAGGATACGTATCGGCCTTTGATGCAACTCTGATACACTACAGGTGATGGGTACAATGAGAATACAACCTTTGATGATGCACGAGAGGATTACTTCCACCACATCTGGGGTATCTTACTCCGTACGATGCTTTGCTTTTCCGACGTTGACGAACATATCCCCAGCCAGCCCGCCCCGGCCCCCACCAATGGTACTAAAGGATATGTAACCAGTTTCTCGATTCACCGTTTTATGGAGATCGGCGGATCAACAAACAATCAGATTTTTCATCATGCGCTCAGACATCAGTCAAAGCATGCCAATATTCATTATCTACCTCTGGGTTTCAAGAAAGCGCCATAAAACTACATGGTCTTTGTGCTAATTTTGTAAACGGACTCCTGCTATCTTTCATATACGGATACGAAACATAGTACTTTTTACACGAAACAACCATCAAGGGGCTACCAATTCCTTAATAGACCCACATACCATAACTGATCATCGTCATAGGGGCACGAGAGCAGGGATCGACAGGCACAATCTCTCGTTGCCTTATTCCCAACGTAAGGATCACTTTCTCTCTTTGTCAACTGCTCGAGTAAAGAGATGTGGCTGGTATCCAACTTCACCAGCCCACGCTCTTTGATATCATCACTATAAACAAGACTATGACTGCTGCTCCAAAACACACTCCTTAGCTATACGCACACACCATGATGTCGCCCCCTTCCTGGGTCTTTCCGGCCGTAGCCGCTTCCACCTGGCTAGGTGAGCTTTTCAATTGTCCACGGTCGCGTTCGATAATGATCTAACACTGGATTTAGCAATGCTACTCGCTATGCTAGGCCACTGGACGATGATCGGTGAACCGAGATACGGCTTGATGAAGCCTGGCCAGAATATCCCGTGAGCACCTGCCGAATTGCCTCCTTTGGACATACCCAGAATCATGCCAAGATTTTTAACTAACAGCTTCGAAAAGATTCATTTCAGATATTGGAGCCCAGGAACTCAAGCCGTTATTCATGATCGGATGTATTACGACTGTCCTACTTCTCAACCTCTCTTTCTACCAACATGTTCAAAACAAATCATATATCAACAAAGCGTGCACGCACGGTTCATTCCTTTTCACAGTCGTTGGGAGTATCGGCTTGATTATGCTCTCCGTCCTCGATAACATCGCCCACCATTTCATGCACGATGTCTGCGTGACGATCTTCATGTATGTGGCTCGCCAAGATCGATATACCTATGCGTTACAATGTACTGACAACTCCAGTGTCGGGTTTCTACTCAGCGCGGCCTTGATGTGCTTGGATTATATCTACCTAGGAATAGCACATGCTCTACGAGAGCCTATGCTCATGACAAGTTTTATCATCAAATCTTCGTTCATTGTCGTTGAGCTTGGCCTCATTATCGTCTTCCGCGTCACCGAACACACCCACTACCAGCATAACAACATGGCGGCTACTCTGGAATGGGGTAAGTATATATATGGTCTCCACCTCCCCACTGCCTTGCATTGTACTAATTCGCCCCAGTCATCGCTTTTGTCTTCACTGGTTATATTCTCTCTTTGATTGTCGATCTGATGCCGTCCGCTCAACGGAATCTCCACAACCCAAAGGGATATCAACAACTCGAGATGAGCACGGCCTTGGGCACGGGTTTGCTGCCTTAGCCCGTGGCTTGATTCGTCCTTTTTGTATAGGCGCTTGGCTGTAACTTATAGCGTTGGTTCGGTTGGCGACCTTTTAAAATGTACATATATATTTCTGTGCTCGTGAAACGAATACCAAGACTTGCTTCCTTTTTTTCCTAGCTTGTGGAAATTCCTCTATGGAAATAGACTTGATTGACTTCCCAAAATATAGTAATATCCGTTAATGATTTATTTCTCTTCGGGATTATTTTATTCGATCTAAGATAGACTAGATAGACTAGTTGAAATAACCTTTCGAAGCCGCAGTTCCACTTACCGGTTACGAGGCTTGAGACCAACCCTCGACCTAAAAATAACGGCAATTAACTCCGAGAACGGCCTTGGCTCTCAAACCCATATAATCATTAAGCGGTAGAATTTTGGCAATAAGATGGTTGATAGGGCTGGAGCTGTGGGGTGGTATACGTACGCATCGACGTATAGCCTTAACGCCAAGCCCAGCGGCGGAAGACCAAGCAGCAATCGACGCCGGATTCGTAGGCCCTAAGAAAATCTGCAAATGCTAATATTGTGTTGCAAAGCTTGACTGCGTATATTGGCATCGAGACTGTAGAGCTGCAAGCCCAACCTCAAAGCAGAACCCCACAGAAGCTCTGATATATCTTGTGATGATGGAATTGATCAGAGCAACTAACGATGGCGAATCGATCCACGATTTGGTTACGTTTTCATTGATCGATACTCTTACCAAGTGGAGGGAGTACACAGCTCGTCCCAATAATAGGCTTCTGCTACTCCACATCGACAGTCGTACGTGATGCCATTATGCCATCTAAGACTAGGCGCAGTTCATAGCACCTTAGCACTAGTTCTGCGTTCTGGTCGGTGACGCCACTCAGTCTTTATAAAGGGAAACTTGGAACCTCTTCATCCTTTCCTCCCTGATTATACTCACACTCGAATAACCACTCGATCTTACTGTTCATCAATCTATCACCTCCCAACTTCCTCTTACAATTATCAATCATGGGTCTCTTCAGCCACCACCACGACAAGCACGAGAACCAGGGCCACCAGCAAGGTCCCGGGGGACCCCACGGCGGACCCCAACATAACGGCGGCCCTGGAGGCCCCGGCGGTCCTGGATTTGGAGGACCCCAGGGTGGATTCCAAGGACAGCAGCAGGGTGGCCCTGGCGGTCCTGGCGGTCCCGGCGGTCCTGGCTTCGGAGGACCCCAGGGTGGATTCCAAGGACAGCAGCACCAGGGTGGTCCTGGAGGCTTTGGCGGCCCTGGACAACACCAGGGTGGACATGGTGGACCCAGTGGACCTCAAGGAGGAGTATGTATAGCTTGTTAATTCATATGAGTATTTTGCTGACGTTTCTATAGCACGGTGGACGCTAAATAGACCAGTACTGATATGATTGGAGGTGGATATCCTGGGGCTTTTGGAGCAAACGTTTTGAATTGATATGCTCATATCGTGGCATAGTTTCACTGACGGGAATGGGGTGTTGATAGGTGGTAAGTGATGAATCTCAGCTGGATAGAGATGACTTCGGCCACTGATAGCAATGGAATCTAGTAAGTGGTTAGTAGGACTTTCGAGTCACTAAGTCCACAGTTTGAAATAGTTCATCGATGTAAGTATTAAACAGGATCTCTTAGAAAGTACTTCGCTGACATTCTTTGATTCTATCATTTTTAGTCTGGGCTCTACGTACGAATGGTTCCTTTTACTTTCTATCTGCCTTGGTATAGGTTTTCCCTATTTTAGTTTTTCCTATACCGTTATGCGAATACAAAGCTCTCTATCTCCAAACTTCCTCCTATATTTCCCTCTTAGGACTGTTTTCGACTTAGATAATATCTACGTCCTACATACATAATTTCGTCACGAAGTTTAAGGAAGTCGAGGAGCGAAGTTACGGATAGATAATAGAAGAAACGAGGTGCTACTATTAGTAAAGTTCTTCTAGGAGCAAGCTATGATTGGTATTTGAAGCGCCGAGTACTCTTTGTAAATGTCTCTCTAGTAAGGATGAGCTTCGTAAGTTTCATGGTTAATAAGATCTTTACAAAGATTCATATTTTGCTTTTGTATATAGAAAATTCAAAGTGGCAAATATCTTCCAATAATAGTATTTTTTTTGGGGAGCCAAGTTGGGCCTGAGCGGATGGGCTGACAACCTGGGCGTGAGATGAGGTAGCTCTAGAGTTCTGGCCAGCAGGACCCGTAATATTGGCACGCTCGGTGAAATCCTCTGGGAATGGACTATACAAGGGTCTAGAAATGGCTTGTGGACTATCATAGGCACTTATCGCAATTTGATCAGACATGATAGTGAGGAGGTTAAAGGTACAGTGTTTTAGATTATTCGGTAACTCGGTATATCCCCATAAAGATCCCGCACTTGACTATTCTGGCGGCTACCTGATGGCTTCCCCAGATAAATTCCGCTCTGCCAAGGAAAACCCCCCACTTTGCTCTCTGGTAGGAAAAGAGCTCATTCCCCGGGGGAATCAGATATGAATGGATATTTCTACTGGAAAGGGCATTTGTAAGGTCCTCGGATGTCGTCGGAGGACCTAAATACGGGGTAATTTGTTCTAGATTACGGTTAAATAACGTTTGGGTTCAATGAAGTTAACCTTGGAACGTATCTTTTAGGCGTAGACTAGGGACAATGCCCTTGTCCGAAGAACGAATCAAAACTTGTAACCTTCGAGTAAAGTTTAGGGGCTGATATCGTGGTTAGATCCCCACATAACTCCCCTACAAATCCCGCACTTATTCCAGGAGAACCCATATATCTTTTCTAGATGAACCCTACACACTCTCCCTTTCGCAAAAAAAAAAAAAAAAAAGAAAAACAAATGCGGGGATGGAATAAAGGCGGAGGGGAATTTTGGGATTGGACTTTCCGCGCTACCAGCTCGTAGTGACCTGCCGTCTGAGTCCGCTCAAGTGCGGCCCACCTGAAGCTAATGCTAGTACCATTCGGCATGCCAAGATCGTGGGGGTAAACCGAACGGACAACCGGACGAATTAACAGGCCACTCCAGATCTGTAGTTGTGGGCCATTATTCGAACATGAACTCTATAAAGAACCGAGCCCCTTCGCCATTCAGGATCATTCCCCGCATAGTAGTTGTGGTCCACCTGGGCATTATTCGAATATGAACCCTATAAAGGACCGAGACCATGCCCCGTTGAAGATCATCCCCCTCAATTTCCTTTCAACTTGGTAAATATTTTCCCTCTGGCTTGGCGCCATATGTTCAATTTTTTCCATTAATTAACAGGTCTCTCCACAGGTGCCATTAATAACTAGCCAAGTCATGATGGACGTCGAGAAACCCTCAACCCCCGTCGAGATCGACAAGGTTAAGATGTCGGACATCGAGTATGAGCGTGCGGAGCTGCTGGCCAACCTGTCGGATCCGGACGCGGGTAAGAATGACGAGGAGCGTCGCCAAATCGTGAGTTGGACTTTTTCACTGGACGTAGTACACTTGAACATTGAACTAACGCGAGTCTCGCACATAGGACAAGAAGCTCATGTGGAAGGTTGACATGGCCCTTATTCCTTGGCTTTCCTTTTTGTACCTGCTGTCCTTCCTCGATCGAACTAACATTGGCAATGCTCGTCTTGCCGGCCTCGAGAAAGACCTTGGCATGATCAAAGGAGATTACAATAATAACTTGACCATTTTCTTTGTCGCTTACGCCGTCATGGAGCCCGCCACCAATGCCCTGCTCAAGATGATCACCCCTCGTCTGTTCTTCACCATGATCATAGTTACGTGGGGCGTTATCATGACTCTTATGGGTCTGGTCACCAACAATTCCGGACTCCTTGCTGCCCGTTTCTTCCTCGGTGTGGCTGAGGCTGGCTTGTTTCCTGGTGTAAACTACTATCTTTCCTGTTGGTACAAGGGCTCAGAGATCGGTGTCCGCTCTTCCATCTTCTTTTCGGCTGCTGCACTCGCCGGCTCCTTTGGTGGCCTGCTCGCTGCCGCTATTGAAAAGATGGATGGACTCGGCGGCAAGGACGGTTGGGCCTGGATTTTCATACTCGAAGGTCTCGCTACTGCCGTCGCGGGTTGCTTTTGTTGGTGGCTTGTCTTTGATTGGCCCGAGACAGCTCGTTTCCTCAGCGCAGATGATCGAATTCGTGTTCAGCGCCGTCTTATCATGGATCGCCAGGGCCGTACTGCTGAGGACTCAGACAAGAGGCATATGTACGCTGCTCTGAAAGACTGGAAGACATATGGATATATGTTCATCTATATGGGCTGCCTCACCCCTCTGTACGCCTTCTCTCTTTTCCTCCCCACGATTATCGCCGGTATGGGCCACCAAGGAACCAAAGCTCAGCTACTATCTGTTCCTCCCTATGCTGTCGCCGCCGTGTTAACCGTCTGTGTTGGTTTCTACGCCGATCGCACACGCCAACGAGGCCTTTGCAATATTGCCACTGTTTTGCTTGCTATTGTTGGCTTCGCCATGTTGATTGCCAGTTCCAATCCAACTGTGCAATACGTCGCTGTCTTCCTCGGTGCAGCGGGCATTTACCCCACCATCCCGAACACCCTCTCGTGGCTGAACAACAACACCGAAGGTTCCCTGAAGCGTGCCTTTGTCTTGGGCGTTGTCGTCGGCTGGGGAAACCTGAATGGTGTCGTGTCTTCCAACATTTATTTGGCCCAGCAGAAGCCCCGCTACTACACTGGACACGGTGTGATTCTTGGCTTTCTGACTGTGTTTTTGCTTGGCGGCTCGATCTGGATGCACCTTGGACTTCGCAAGATGAACAAAGATCGAAGAGCTGGTAAGCTGGATGAGAAGTGGAACGCTCTGACGGATGACCAGAAGTGGATTCAAGGTGATCTTCGTCCTGACTTTACGTATGTCTTATAAGAGTGACGACGCAGTACCGACAGCACTATTATAAGCGACCTGGACATAGCTCCACTCGTTGTTTATGAAAGTCAGGGTATCGCCGTGGTGACTTTTACATCAAGGTCGTCAGTCACCCTCGTTTGATCGCTACTGCAAACAACTTCTATATTCCAACCGCTGGCTCCTCGGAGACAAGCTAAGCATATATGATGACCAGCAATGTGATACTTAGACGAATTATGTATATAAAGCGAGATATATCGGACCAATTGAGGATATCAACATCATTATCAATCCATGGATGTCTCTATTTGTTTGCCCCATGTACCTTCCCAATCGGGTAATATTTTCGTATCCGAACGACGGAGTTATTGAAGTCATCAGCTAATTAACAAACTCACGATTGCCCCGCAAAAGGGGATCTTATTTTCCCTTTAATGTTAAAAAGATATTTCAGTAAGGTCATCGGCAAGGTTACTGGAAGCGGTGCTAGTATTGGCAAGAATTTGAGCTAAAGCATCATAGCTTGGAGACCAGCCTTTAGAGCTCTTGAATTTCAATCGTAAGAAACGTCATTGATACCGACGAGATAGGACAAGCTAGTAACCGAAATTTCCCATACACAAATAAAAGCCCTTTTGGCCAAGTTCAGCTATAAACAAGGCCATGTTTCCGATGAACTTGAACCGACGATCATTGATGTTGTAATGGCGGAGCACACGGATAGATTGCCACCTTAAGTGTAAGATCCGCTGATAGGGCATCGTATTCACGTATACGATAAAGTTACCCAATTCGGCATAACAGTTTGCGCTGCGGCTAATCAAAAGTTATTTTTGCATACGTGGGTCTGAATACATAATACCCTATATAAGTCTGCCAGCTTCCTTTTCTAAATGCAAAACATATGAATATTCATTCTCGTCTCTGACACCATGCAACTTCGCCTAGCTGTTGCTTTCGCATTTCTGTTCCGCAGTGGACTTTGCGCAACGAATGAATGTAAATGTGTTAGTACTTTCTAAGATTCTTTTCGATCTTCAACCTAACCAGAACTAGGCCCCTCACATGCCATGCTGGCCTTCAAACACAGAATGGGCCTCCCTCAATGAAACTATCTCAGGTCGTCTGATAAAGACGATCCCTGTGGCATCAGTTTGCTATCGATCTGAGCCCAATTTCAATGCTGAAACATGTCAATCTGTTCGCTCCGATTGGGCTACATGGCCTTTCCATTCGGCGGATCCTACAAGTGTTGGCAACCCTTCTTTGGATAATGACTGCAGCCCTATTTATGCCAATGGAACCAGCGTCTCTGGCAACCCGCATGCGGGAAAGCAAGGCTGTTCTCTTGGTGTTTACCCTCCATACGTCGTCAACGCGACAGGGGCGGAGGATGTGCAAACTGCAGTGATTTTCGCAAAGAAATGGCATTTGCGATTGAATATAAAGAACACGGGACACGGCGCTGAAAGAAGGTAAGTAGCATGTTTTCGGTCCCCGTTTGTCAAACAACCGAGATTCACTAAACAATCGGATTCAGCATCAATCACGGAAGCCTCTCGTACGTATACACATATTTGAACTTGAAAGGGCACGGTTAACATATGCAGAATTTGGACACATAACATGAAGGACATACAGTATCACGAGAAGTTCACGCCACAGTCCTGCCCGAGCAACAAGACAGGTATGGCAGCTACTTTGGGTGCTGGTGTGCAAGATGGCGAATTGTACGCAGCGATGGCGGAGCACAACGCCATTGCAGTCGGTGGGGAAAACAATGTACGTGTTTTACTATTGGCCCTGTCTCAACTTTTGATTGGCGTTTTATTAACCTTCACAGGATGTTGGAGTCGTTGGGTGGGCTACCGGGGGCGGCCATGGTCTCGCAACTGGTGTGTACGGTATGGGCGCCGATAACATTATCGAGGCTGTCATCGTTACAGCAGGCGGTGACGTTCTGACTGCGAATGCTTGCCAAAATGAAGATATCTTCTGGGCGGTTCGTGGCGGGGGTGGAGGCACGTTCGGAATCATCATCAGTGTCACAGTCAATGCGTATAAGATGCCTTCATTCGCATTGATAGGGATCGACGTATCGCCCAAGAATGGCACATCTGCGGAAGATTGGTACAGGCTAGTCGCACTGATACATAGTGAATTTCCCCGGTTGCAAAATGCCGGGGTCCACGGCTATTATACTATGTCCGGCGCACCTATGGCGTTCAATGTTGCTTTGCTGGAGTACAACACAATGAACAACACATCTGAGGCAAATCTGATGCCTATCCGGGAGATACTAGAGGCAGCGGACGCGACCGTTAGCTTCAACATCAACAAGACATGGGCAGCGTCGTGGTACGACCTTATAAAAGACATGCCTTTGTACGGAAGCACGGGGACAAGGCACAGCACTCGGGCATCAAGATTCGTCCCAAAGCGAGCTGTGCAAGATACGGAGTTGCTAGCGAAGACACTCGAGGCAATCGCGGCTCCAGATTTACACTCACCGGTATGTATAGTATCCGGCTACATATCACGTATGCATATGTGGGCTAACAGACTAAACAGAAAGGGGTTTCAAATCCATCCATATCCGGTACCATGACTGGCAGCAAAAGGACAGTCGACAATGCTTTGAACCCAGCCTGGCGCGAGTCAGTTGTTCATCTCATCACAACCCAAAGTTGGGACGATACACTTTCTCATGCCTCAGCAACGAAGGCCATCCACGACATGACGTTCAAGAGAGGATATGCTTTGCGAGAGCTAGCACCTGATACAGGTGCCTACTTCAATGAGGTACGATCCCACATTTCTTTCATGCAGTTCACATTCAACGTACTTATTGACTTTGGACAGGCAAACCAATACGAACCTAACTGGCAGTGGTCTTTCTGGGGACCCAATTATCCACGACTCCACTCTATCAAACAGAAGTATGACCCTGATGGGCTTTTTTGGTGTCACAAGTGTGTGGGCAGTGAAGCTTGGAGCGAAAGAAAAAATGGTACACTTTGTCGTGCATTCCAGGGGGAGTAACATTTAATCATCGCTTTATTCTGCTTTGCCCAACCCAGGAGATTTCTTGGAGTTATGCTAGTTGAGTGAGACAGCAGAGCTAGCTTATACACGAGAGATTTGAGCACTTTAAGTGTCGACGGGTGCCTTTTGCGCCTGTATATTAATAGATTGAAACTACGAACTCCTGATCAGCAGAAGTTACTTGGATACTGTACCATAAAAATAGACCCACCTTTCCTCTGTGGCGGCCTTGCTAGCTTGGACAAGACCGCCTTATTCGCTTGCCAAGAGAAGAAATCAACACAGTTGAACGGCAGTCTTATTGTCAATGGCCGATCTACTTGGAGAACTTCCAAAAGGGATAGTGACTTACAGCCAAGGGTCATGCCTAAGCAACTTCTACTAGCGGTTGGCAGTCGCTTAAATATGACGTTGTCAGAAGACTCCCCCTTCTCGGACTGGCCCGGAGTTCAGGGACTGTCGAGTTACGACAAGGGAAACTATCTATCAGTCCTTTACTTTGCATGGGCATATATCCTATCTGCTCGATGGGTTGAGTTGCTTAGTCGCTCTGCTGATCATGATGTTATATGGCCTATACTATTCAAGCGGTAAATAATTTATTACCGCAGTCAGATAAGCAATCCTTGATTGAAATTGATATTGGCTGGCGGTTCCGAAGGCATGGAGATTGATTATGAGAATCAATCTATAGAGCAGCTCGAGGCTCTCCTCGCTGCGAGGGAAGCAGGGAAGAGAAAGGAGGAGATCATCCGGAAGCTAAGAGGTCTAAACGAGCCCGGGTCGGTCGGCGAGCCTCTCGACGAAGAGACCCTCCCAAGATGAGCTTACACAAGACTGCACAATGAACCACCCATGCCCGTTCCTCGAGTTTTCAACTTAAAGGAGTCCCTAGAACCCTCTATGGACTGCTTAGCCCTAGAGCACTACTGATTTCCTTAGCTACTTCCGACGTCTTTGCGAAGAGAACAAAGTTGAAGCAGGCCTCCGCCATGATGCATTTCTTTATGCCAATACGGAAGCCATTGATTCAGTGATATCCTCTCCTACAATGCTCTCGCCAGCATTTGTAATGGCCGCCCAGGCGTCCTATGACGGAACCACTGATCCAACTCTTCCTCTACCGCATCACGACTTTGCTGGCTCTGTCCGAATCTACATGAAACATGTCTACACGACATTTTGGGCGCGATTGATCTCAACAGAAGAGGACCTGCAGGAGCATATGCTAGGGAAATCATCACGTATGCAGCACACCTGGGGAGAAATTTTTGCAACAGCACGAATTACTCATGAACAGACTTACCCAGTAAAGTCTACTTTCATGGGTTTTTACCCAGGGCGTTAAGAGCACTACAGCAGTTGGTCTAAGCGAAGGCCAATTTTGGGAACTCGCTCAGAGGGTGAGTTTATTTCGCCTCTTAAAGTTCAGTAGGTGTGATGGTTGTTTTTCACAAGCTCTTCTTCTAGATGGTGATCGGCTTCTTCAATGGCTTTCCTGATCCTCCATTCGGTTGGTTGAAGGTGGTTGGTGGTGATGGTTTTGGGGCTGGAGGGATTCGTGTATTGGTCTCTGAATGAATTGAAGTCATTTTGACGGGATGCCTCACTGAAAACGGAAATATTATCAGGAGAGAGAGAAGGAAATAGAATGCTGTGTTCTGAGTATCACATCTATAAAAACAGTGATGCCTGAGGCCATAACACCAGACAGCTATGGTCACATGATCTGTCCGCCATCAGGTACGGGGATGACGTCGCCACTTCTGCACACTTCGGGGGGTTTATACGGTTTTCAAGGCGTTCGCCCATGTTACATTTGCCTTTCTCCTTTCATTCTAGGCTCATATTATGCCTCAGATCCTGTTTCCTGGATATGTCACAATTGTTTCGACCTGACCAAGAGTGCAGGAGGATTGAAGGAAGGTCGGCACTCCCTTCGCATCTTGAGCTTAGGAGAGGTGACCTGCTTTAGGGTTGAATGATCGGCGCTATTTTGATTTTTGTCCCCTTAGCAAATAATACTGGACAGGAGCCTAGCCATCATGCAGGCCAACGCCCCGAGTGTCACTTCGGTCGATCGCACCGACTCCATGCCATTGGAGGCCGCCTCCTACGCAACTGAAGCCGAACGTCCCTCATCGCAAGGCCACCAGCGAATTGTGTTCACCGATGCGGTTGCCCTACGATACCTCGAAGAAGACCCCTCGACCGATGTGCTCCAGCGACGTGTTACACTGCAAGGTTACGAAATATATGTCGTTGAGCAATGGGCCTGCTCTCGAGTGCATCCGACATTCATCATCTCGACATATACCGGTGACCCTTCGCATACAGTGATTGTGGGAGTATTAAGTGTTCCAACCAATGAGACTACATGGTCCCCTCGCTTGCGGATGTACTTTGACGCCATGAAGCAATGTCACGCCAGAAGGAAGGAAACACCACTAGGGACGGTCATGGTTACGGATCTATCCTCATTCCCTTCTGCCCTGAGTCTAATTTCAATACCCGACGGCGATATCAAGAAACACCGGGAGGACTTTATTGTGAATGAAGACTTGAAGAGACTTGGGTGCGCAGGCCGCGCGGGCTTGAAACTTCAACGTCCCTCAGCGGCGACCGAAGCCAAGTTTCATCAGCTGTACCGGACGAGCGAGAGGGTTCCTTTATACAATGCGGTCATGGAATTGGTCAGACAGTGCCAGATTGCCTTGATGGTGTTTGACAAACTAGCCCCGGAATATGTGGACGGGCTACTTTGTGATGTGACCGAGGCAGCTATTAGCGATTGGTGGACAGATATCGGGACTGATCTGTACAATATTGAGCCAAGCGACAGTAGCTTAGGTCCCACCAGCGTGGCTGCGTTGCTGGGCACGTTGCTCGGAGCTCGAAATCGACTGCACGCCTATGGCGCCCCCGTGGGGAAAGACGCATTCGACTTCCCCAATCTGAAAAGAGGGATCGGTGGATTCCAAAAATCTCAAAAAATGAGGCGGTCGCGAAGACTGGACCGGCTTACGTTGGACCGGTTACACCGCGCCACGGCCAAGGCTGCCAATGCAGACGGCTGGACCGATGCAGTGAAGTCAACCATGGCGGAGCTCAGTGGACAGGGTGGTGAGATGGTTATGGGGATGGTCCGCGGGCGCGACAAAGGTGGCATTGCCGATATCGAAACACTGGATCTTGACACCTTCGTACAGTGCTGCAATGGCGAGAGAGCAAAGTGGCTGTGGCTGGGTAAACCGCGCAAGAGTGGTGTCGAAGACGGGTTCACTCGCGGGACTGGATCGGATATGATGTTTACCACCGATGAACAAGGCGGTTATGTCTGGACCAGCCGCAAGAAGAATTCGACAGAGGATCTGAATGCCGAGCGAGTAACCTCGGGGCTGGATCGCTCTTGGAAGATGCCAGAACCGATTGTTGAAGAAAAAGATCATCGAAGGAAGGGCGTCAGCGGACGAGTTTCAGACGCGCGAGCAGGGTTAGGACGTTTCAAGGATGCAGTCGGACTGCAGGGCCTTCGCCATCACCATCATTCTTCACGAGATAGCTCCGAGTTGACACACGATCTTGCATACCGTCCGTCTATCGACAGTGACAACGAGCTATCGTCAACAAAAACGCGGACTGACTCTGGGTTCCGGTCAGAAAGAAAGATATCAAACGATCCCGAAAAGCTAGTTGAGGAGGAAGAGAAGCCTCAAATGTCTCCAATTCCCGACTCCGAGAGAAAAGCTCCTGAAATCCATATCGAAACTGTACCAGAAGATGAGCCAGAAACACAAGCCCAAGACTGGCCCATTACACAGCAGCCTCCAACCATCGAGGAAGAATCCGATATGGAACGCGTTTTGTCTCGGTCGACGGTAGCATCATCGGATCGCGAACTTGACCGTGACGGTTCGATCAGCGGGATAGCTGTCATGGCCCTGCGGCGGCCGCAAAGTTACGAAGAATTTAAAAGCCTTGAAAGTGAGATTGAACGGCGAGACAACTTCTGCGCAAGACACTTGTCGTTTAGCACAGTTGAAGAAGTGGTATTCAAATGGGAGCCGCTAGGCGGGAAACCAACAGTGAAAGAAACTGATAACCTGGAGGAGGCCATCGTTCAAGAAGATATGCTTGCCTCAGAGGGGCGCATCTTCAGCTCGCGGATCCAAGAGTTGAGCCAGCATACCGTGCCTTGGGTTGAGCGACAAGTGGATTCCGTGGACGGTCTCAACCAACTTCTATATGACCAACACGAACAGCTCAACTCAGTCTACCTGGAACGCTTCGGCGGCTACCAGAGACTGCGTGAACGATCCAGTGACATCCTCATAGATGAAAGCCACCACCTCGCCGATGGCGTGAAACGCGTCGAGTTGCTGGGCGCCAAATTGGACTACGAACTACACGTCCTCGAGTCCAAAGTCGAGGACATGGAATCCGGCCTGAGCGACTTTGACCGGCACATTGTAAATGTCGAGACGAGAATCAAAGCCCTGGTCAAAGGCGAGGAACAGCACGACACTTCCTGGACCGCATGGATAGCGCGATCCATGGGCTTCTCGACCTAACGACGACACTTGTATGATATATTCTTTTTTCATTGTCTGTTTTTTCCTTATCCACCATATTGTACATATTCAGAGATAGACCGGCCTTCCATCCGTGATGGTATAAACGTGAACCATCGTCCCAAAACAGGCCCAAGTTCCAGTAGGCCGAACCAGTCAAATAGCCTTACACAGAAACAAAGACCACTGAGCCCTCTAGCTTCAAGGCTACCAGAGCTCCTTCCCAAGAAATTTCGTTGTCAACACGTTTACATGAAGCCCATGCCGCCACCACCCTGCTTGTTGGCATTGGCCTCGCCCTGCATCTTCTCGCTGACCTTGATGTTGACGTCGAAGAACTTGGACACGCAGCGGTCGAGGCAGACGGACTCGCCCTTGTTGAGGTCGCCTTCGCGGTAATCGGCGGGGACACACTTCTTGGTGCAGGACTCGGTCAAGCTATTATCGTGACGGAAACAAGTTAGAATGGGTTCGGGGTATAGATAGTTCGAAGATGGATTGGAACGGGAGTCGCTGCAGTCTTCTGGTTTCTGAATCGAGATACAGTGCTTGGGTATGCTGTAGAGCTTCAACTTACCGGTTGAACATGTCTGAGATCATCTCGACTTCTGTCTCGGCAGCAGCGATCTTCTCTGCCGAGGACATCTTGGGGGCACCGCCGAAGAGGAAAGACATGATGTATATGTGTGAGTAGATTTGGAATGTAGATGGTAATGAGAGGCTCGATATGTGGAGTAGAGCACCAGAGAGTCCAACGTATTCGGAGCACGGGAGGTCGGAGAAGCTTGGGCCACCCGCGTGGAAAAACTCGGTTCTGCCGTTTCTTTTTCTTTTCTTCTTCTTCTTCTTCTCTTCTCTCAACAATGTGAGAGCCATTAGCATTTGCTATGCTTTCAATTCGCCCTAGATGGGCTTTATCTGGCTTTGGCCTGCAAAACAGGTAAGATTTGCATTTACTGTTTACTGTTTTACTCTCTCATTTCCCACCATCCCCCATCTCCCCTTATATGATGATTTATCCCCGCATTAGAACCGCTACAGTGATGTCCTTTTGGGCACTGAACGTACTGGATTTTATCTGACAAAAGCTTAATGCTTAATTTTGGATCAATTGTGTCAATTTTCTCGAACATTGCTAACCCAAAATCTTCAGTGCAGGACTGCGACTCGCTAGACAATCTCGCATTCAGACTCCCTTTACATCACGACTAACCATACAGCCAATTCGAAAGAATAGCTCTACAGCATCGCCAGGGAAGGCCTTGCAGGAGCGCGTACAGCAGATCAAAGATGCCTGCGCAGACCCATACCCTCGTCTAGCGGTGGACACACGCACAGTGAGCTGCGCCGAGTTTCGCTCTCGCTACGCCGAGCTCGCCGACAATGATTCAGTAGAAGACACAGTCATCGTATCTGGTAGGTTCTGCTTTCTGGCCTTTACAATGCCCATGTACTTAGAATAGTAGGAAGAATCCGTACCTATAGACTCGCCGGAAGCAAATTGATCTTCTTCGATATCGTGCAAGACGGCCATAAAGTCCAGGTGATGTGCAACAAGCGTCGTCTGGACAGTGTCTCTCCCGATGACTTCAAGAAGTTCTATCGACTTCTGCGTCGCGGTGACGCTTTCTGTATGTCTCGTCTCCGTCCGGCTTGACTTGGGTGTCGCCCGCTAAATGCTGTTCCAGCTGTAACCGGTAGACCGCACCGCACTGGACGAGGCGAGCTCACTATCGACGTGAGTGAGTTACCGCAGCTGCTCTCGCCGTGTCTCCATGATGTCCCCGTCCATACCGAGCACGAGACCTCTCCATACCCTCGCCATGTCCAGTTCCTAGCCAACCCCGCGACGGCCGATATCATTCGAGCCCGCGCGGCTCTTGTACAATATCTACGCCAGTTCTTTATCGACCGGTCCTTTATGGAGGTCAGCACCCCGATCATCGGGTCCGTGGCAGGCGGCGCAATTGCTCGTCCGTTTTATACCTCGGCCACTGAGTTCCCAGACCGCCAGCTGTCACTGAGAATCGCACCGGAGTTGTGGCTCAAGCGGTTGGTGGTTGGTGGATTCGACAAGATTTTCGAAATTGGACCTTCGTTCCGCAATGAGGGTACGTTGAAACAAATAAGCAAGACCTGTCTAGCAAAGCTGATGAAATATAGGACTGGACAAAACCCACAACGCGGAATTCACCACCTGTGAATTCTACCAAGCATACGCCAACCTCGAGAACCTAATGACCTTGACCGAAGACCTCCTCTCCGGCATGGCAGCCCACATCCGCGCCCTAAACACAACAGGCACTCTCAATCCCACCACCGCCAACTTCACGGCACCGTTCCGCCGCATCGACTTCCTTATAGGCATTGAAGAGGCCACCGGCCACAAACTGCCTGACCTCGAATCCCCCGACGCCCTAGATAAAGTCCACGCCATCTTCACCGAACTTTCCCTCCCACTCCCAACGAACCCAACCCTCCCCCGCCTCCTCGACGAACTATGCAGTATCTATGTCGAATCGCAATGCATCGACCCAACCTTCATCATCAACCCACCCGAATGCCTCTCCCCACTCTCTAAATCCTTCATCCACCCAACGACCAAGCAGCGCGTCGCCGCGCGCGGCGAACTCTTCATCGAAGGCAAAGAAGTGGTGAATACATACGAGGAGGAGAACTCGCCGTTCGAGCAGCGCCGCAAATTCGAGGACCAGCTGCGGTTCAGCAAGGCTGCTGGTGAACCCGGCGAGGTAGACGAGAGTTACCTCGAAGCCCTTGAGTGGGGTTTGCCTGCTACCGGTGGATGGGGTTGTGGCGTTGACCGTCTCTGTATGCTGTTCACGGGGGCTAAGCGAATTACCGATGTGTTGCCATTTGGTAATCTAAGGGCTGTGACTAGACGGCATGGACAGTCGAGTAGCGAGTGAGGAATCTTTTTGTAATATAGGTGTGGTGGCTTGTACGATATACTACATTATAATGGGACGATATGGAATTCTCGACTCCTATTGGATATGTTATTTATATCCCTGTATCAAAGTAACATCGTGGCGAATTTAGTGCAAATAGGCGAGGGATGCCCTTTTATATTCCAAAAGATACGCTAAATTGATAAACGCTTGGAAGCGGGGAAATTGATTTTGATTTCTACAACATCATGGAGACCAAGGTGGCTGAGGCCGTTACTGTCAGTCTGCAGGAACTTGTAGATGGTAAGTTGTGTGTTCGAAGAACAGAAGAAAAGAACAGAAAAAAAATTAGATGCTAAGCCATGCAGGAACCGTATCCTTCGACACTCTAACCAGAGCCTTCGGACCGTCCTCTCTGGGCATCATCGTCGTCAAAGACCTCCCCTCGACCTTCAACGACCTGCGTGCAAAGGTCCTCTCCAATGCCTCGTATCTGGCGGCTCTCCCTGAACCCGAACTGGGTAAGTCTCCAAACCCAGAGATGCACCCACCCGACTCCAACCGCAAAATCAGACTAACCCCACGTAGACTCCCTCACCAGCCCAGAATCCAAATACTTGGTTGGCTGGTCCTGCGGTAAAGAAACCCTGAAATCAGGCCATTTCGACACGCTCAAGGGCTCGTACTACGTGAACTGTGCCTTCTATCAGGATGCATCTCTAGACAGCGCCCCGGCAGACGATTTCCCCGATCTGCCCCAGTATACCGCGCCAAACATCTGGCCCTCGCCAACCAAATTACCCGAATTTAGGGGTAGCGTGGAGTCACTATGTGGGTTGATCATCGATACCGCGGCTCTCGTCGCCAAGGCATGTGACCGATATGCGGAAGCCAACATCGAAGACTACAAGCCTGGATATCTGCACCATGTCGTGACAACTAGCCTGACAACCAAGGCACGGCTGTTACATTATTTCCCCGGCAATCAGGAAGACGAGGCTGAGGCTGAGGCCAGCGATGACGACTGGTGTGCCACGCACGTCGACCACGGCTGTCTGACCGGCTTGACATCGGCCATGTTCCTCGACGAAACAGCTTCCCCTCCAACTATTGATCCGTCTTTGGGGTCTGCATCTGCCCCTCTCCCTGAACTTCCCCGTTCCCCCGACCCTTCTGCCGGATTGTACATCCGCTCGCGCACTGACGAAATTGTTAAAGTCAATATTCCTAAGGATTGTCTCGCTTTCCAGACTGGAGAGGCCTTGCAGCTGATCACGCGCGGCAAGTTTATGGCCGTGCCGCATTTTGTTAAGGGGGCTAAGGCTAGTCCTGGACAGAAGATTGCGAGGAATACTCTTGCTGTGTTTACGCAGCCGAATCTTGCGGAGGAGGTTCAGCCTGGGTTGAGCTTTGCGGAGTTTGCACGGGGTGTTGTGCAGAAGAATTATTGAGTATATTGAGTTTGTAGCATGAGCTTTGATTGGAATGAGGTTAATTCAAATCATCCATTGGCTTTTCTTTTTGGTTTTTGAGGAATAGTGATTGGATAAAATGATCTCCTGTGACAACAATGGAATTGCTAACCAGAATCCCGGAGATTTCTCGGGGGGCGAATTCAACCCCGATGAATCCAGGGAAATGAGTGACCTCCAAACCCAATGCCCATCTCGGCACATGAATCTCGGCATTGACAGAGTTTCCAAGTCCTGCAGCCAAGTAATTACACTATAATCTAGTGTCTAAGAGTGGACCGAAATCCCCACACACTTCCCCTGGTTAACCCTGTTATGAGCAGATCCAAGATCTAGCACCTGGAGATCTCCGCATTTCCCCAGTCCATAGTTTTAAGCGTGCAATGTGCGTGTTGATCTTCACTCCATCCATCGCTACTCCGTACTCGCAATGTGCTCGTCTACGGACGGACGGAACTGTTTATCTCCCCACTACAGGGTGCAGTATGCAGAAGCCAGAAATGCCGACATTATTCTCACCTTTCTGAGACTTGTTTTTGGGCTGGCCCCTTCCCCGCACTATCGCTGATCTTCCCCAGGAATTGGGGTTCTATTGTCATGGTGGTCATCGTGAGGTGGTGTGGCGGTGTCATGGTGTCCACGACTATCTACGCAGTACATAAAGCAGAATGAATTCGCAATTCATTCAATTCCTTCTTGCCAGACTTGTCCAGAATTATTACACCACCGTCCTGGCCATACTCCCTTCTCTCGAACTATACCATCTTTCCCTCCTCTTTTATACATCCACCCATAATGTCCCACGAAGAAGGAATCAGTGTCAAAGACACAAACAACTCTTCCTCCTCAAATGACGACTACGAAACAGGCCACTTCGGCCCCCTAGCCCACGTCAACACAGCCTCAAGCCGCTACCCAGCCTTCGGAGGTGATCTCCAACCAGGTCTATACCGCGTCCCCAAAGATCGCAAGCTCGCCAACCCAGCACCGTTAGGCCTCTGTGCATTCGCACTCACCACTTTCATCCTGGGATGCGTCAATATGAGCGTTAAGGGCATTGCTGCACCTAATATCATCGTCGGGCCTGCGTTGGCTTATGGCGGGTTGGTGCAGCTCTTGGCTGGCATGTGGTATGTTGCTAAGACATGTTAATCTTATAGAAGTGAAGTGTAGGCATGATTTGCTAACGAAACCAGGGAAATGGCTATCGGTAACACATTCGGCGCAACTGTGCTCTCATCTTACGGCGGTTTCTGGATCTCGTTGGCTATTACTTTCATCCCCGGTGGGTTTGATATTCTGGGGGCTCTGGAAGAGGCGGATCATGGGTCTCATGCTATGTTCTACAATTCATTTGCGCTGTATCTCTTCGTATGTTATTTGTTATTCTGGACAAAAGTTCCGTGTGGACAAAAAGAAGGAAGAAAGTTAACTTGATTCATTTAGGGCTGGTTCATCTTCACTACGCTGATCACGATGCTTACGCTTAAATCCACCGTGGCGTTCTTCTCGCTCTTTTTCTTCGTCGACATCGCTCTTCTCTTGCTCTCCCTTGGCTACCTTTTCAATGTGGACGGAGTGCCGAATGAAAAATTGATAAAGGCTGGTGGACTCTTTGCTCTGCTGGGTGCTTTTTTGGCTTGGTATAATGCCTTTGCTGGTATTGCGGATAACAGTAATAGCTTCTTTGTGCCTCCTGTTATTCATTTCCCCTGGTCTGAGAAGAAGAGGTCTGCTAGACGGAATTCTGCTGGTCAGAGTGAGGTTTGAGGCGTGTTTCGTCTTGTATGAGGCTATATATAATATGTAGTTTTGTTAGACATAGATATGAAATAACAATAGCCATGGAGTCTACTTCTCTTTTGGTATATTGTATTGGACAGACATGTTCGTATTTTGGGCCTATTCTTCTAGACGTCGACATCGACTATCCAGGGCTACTCTATAGGATTACATAGCTGTGGCGATTACAACCTTGGAAGAATGCACTGGATTACCCCACTCTGACTACTTGAACATTGTACATTGCACATAATTTCATTTGGTTAAGATAGAACCATCCCTCCATAACGCCCATGGGTATCTTGAATATGCCGCTAAAAGGAGGGAAAACAAACGGGCACATCTTATCGAATCAATCTACGCAATTGGATAATCATTATCCTCCCCAGAAGAAGGACCACCCTGAAGCCCCAGCGCAGAGATACCACCAGACACTTGATCTTCAGCCAATTCATTGGCATCCTCAATTGCATCCTCAAAGGAGTCATCCTCAGTCTCCGGCGCACTGCCAATAGCAGAGCTAACCAGCTTACTCGTCTGCGCAACGTGTGCAAGACCAGTCTTCGGTCGACCTCGACCCTTTGGAGCGGACGAAGACGAAGACGAAGACTTGAGGGGTTGACCGCTAGAAGAAGGAATCTGAGCCTGCTTCCGGAGAGCGTGACTAACTTCGCCGTGCGACATTTTGATGATCGCCTGCCACTTGCGCGGGTCTTGGCGCTGCGGTGCCGTGAGACCGCATTCAACACCGTTGATTTCAGTTAGTCCGAGAGTCTCCACCCGGCAGTCGCCCCAGAACCATGTGTTGCCTTCAGCCATGCGTGTATCGACTTGGGATGAGTACTCCCGGCCTTCCATCACGCCGGACACGTCGTAACCCAAGGCGTGAGTGCCAAACATAAGCTCTGCCGCGAGCGGTTCGTAGCAACGACCGACGATAAAGTGGGGGGTGACGTTGCAGGTTTTACCGTTGGCCATACGGTACCAGGGACCGTAGTCGCTCATGGTGACCTGGCGGAAGGTAGCGGTTGCTTCTTCCGTAGTGAGTGGGATAGGACCGGTTGATTCTTCGGCGGTGGATGGCACGGGGCTTGTGTCTTTGAATGGGCCTTCTTCGGTAATGCGATTCGGATTGGTGGTGAACATCTTACCGGAGATCAGGGCTGTGAAGTGTTTTGCTAGGTGCTCCTCGTCGTCGTCGATACACTCTGAAAGGCAGAGTGCGATCTTTTCAATAACCATCACTTCTGTCACTTCGCCGACTGTTCCATTTTTGAGCTGGTCGGGATGGAATCCTTGGGGCCTCAGACGGACGGTGTCGTGTACGGCAAGGAGCTCGGCTCCAATGAAGATTCCCTTGCAGTGGATCCTGGCGCTGGGCCATGTGCCAATGATGTGGAACATGTGAACCATACTCCAGGAAGACATGACAGTCATGGCGTTCTCAATAGATGGATGAATATCATCTCGCTCCTGGCCATTGAGGTAGAGTTGCCATGTGTTAAAAGGTTTGATATTCCGCAGCGGAACATAGGCGTATTGCACAGAGTAAGACTTGTCATTACCCAGGGGATCTGGGAGAGTCTCCACCCGGAATCCAGAGTAGCTCAGCCCGCGTGGACTGTCCGGAGCTTCAACAATATCGACCATATGCCCTTCCTCCTCAGGGGTTTGGGTCACCACGCCGGCACGCCAATTGGGCACGCCATGCCACTTGTTGTCGTTGCCGAAAATTTCAACGAGGCCAGTCTCAGGGTTGCGCATCAGGCAGCCGTCTTCAAGACCCTGCCAGATCCAGAGAACAAGCTCACCGCGACGGGGGACGTAAGCGGGATCTAGAACTAGTTTCATGAAGTAATCCGAAAGCCATTCATGCGTCAACACCCAGTCAAAGTTGAATCGTTGCTCAATCTCTTCATCGAGACTCCCCTTGTCTTTCAATTTCATAACCAAGATTCGCCAGTAATCTGGTCCCTCTTCATCGGCGGGTCGACGCTCATTAGTGGCTGAATGTGTGTCAATAAACAATCTAACATAGAGGAATAGTAGTACTAACTTGGCTGTGCAGCACGTCTAGTCCCCTGCGCCGCGGTCCCCTGCGCCGCGGTCCCTTGGCTCTCCTTCATCTTGCCACAGAGCTTGCAAGTACACTTGTCTAGCTCGTTTTTGACCAGAGAGAGGAAATGCGGGAAAAATGTTCTCTGTGACTGAAAGTACTTTCCACTGGGATGGCCAAAGAGGAAAGGATCAAACTTCACGTAGGACTTTAGTTGCAAATCAATGTGAGAACACTGGGAAAGCTCACCATATCAGGGTTGGTCCCACGAGGTCGCTCAAATAGACAGTACCCGTCAGGCAACTTTTCAATGGTATGAATGACACCTGATGTATGTTCTGTCAGTCCGAGAGTAGAGACACGAAGGCCAGAAACAGAGAAGAAAGGACGGAGAGGCCAGCGTAGAGCAAGAAGGAGTGAAGGAGCAACGACAGTTGGATGAAGTGACCGATGCGGTTACCGAACAATGTAGTTACCCAACGAATGCAACGCGTAAAACGATACAGTACAACGCAGCCAGCATGCTAGACACGATGTAACCTGAAATATTTGTAGTTAACTCACCCTCTTCATAAGTGCCCATCTCTTTGAGCCAGTTCTCAGCAAGTAACTGCCGCCAACGCAAGTCAGAGCGTTCAGTGTACTGACCCCCAGGCCAGGTACTCATGTCTCCATCACTGGCAAAGTTCTCCATGGGGATAACATTAACATTGCCATCCTCGCTGGAAGACATGTTTGTCTTCCCCCGCCTGGGAATCCCAGGAAGTGCGGATGGGATTGTAGAAGTGCTAGGACTTAGCAATGCTAGTGAAAATCAGATAAAAAGAATAAAGCACAGGAACCTGTCTACAGGCAGTGAGTAGAGAGTTTGTACGAGAATGCAAGTGAGAAAGAGTTATTGATACGATTAACTATGGAGACCCATCCATGGATGGTTTTCTTTGTCCTGGGCTTATCGATAACGAATACTGCCAGTTTGAGAGGGCGGTCAATAAAGATGAAAATATCCCTTGCCGCCTTAGATTCGAGTCATGATCGTATACATCCAAGAAGACATATGAGAAGATATTGGAGTGTTCTTGTATATAACGTCCCTAATATAATCTTGAGACACCTGGGCAGATAAATCAGATTACTAAAGTCTTACGTCGTCAATGACAGGCCGCATGAGCGGCCGATGTACTACTAGTATACCGAGAAATATCCCTACTGTGGGGGGATGTGTTTGTGAAATATCATTCTAACATTCCAAGGTTGGAGACCCTCAAAATTGTCCATGCTGATTGTGTACATTCAATTTGCAGTTGCTTCAACTACAGCCTCAGAGCCAGAATGCTCTTCTTCCTGATAAGCCGGCGGTGCAACTTCACCACCATTAGCCCAAACCTTCTGAAGCTCCTGATCAATTTCCTCGCGGCGTTGTTTCCACTCATCTACCTTATCAAGACGCTTTCGTAGCTCCTGAAGTTCTTTCTCAACACCCAGCTTCTCCTTCTCAGTACCAATTCTCTCGAACTCCCAGGCCTGGCCTTCGGCACCCATGCCAAGAGTCAGGTTATAGGTATGGTACTTTTTCAAAGACGCCCGCGTCGAAATAGTGATGAGAGTGATACCTCGTTCCTTGGCATTATCGTATAACAAGCCCTCAACGTCCGAGGAAACAGCCGAAGTGCCTTCGTCCATGAATGCATACCGCGGCTCATGATAGAAGAGCCGTGCCATTCCCATGCGCTGCTTCTCACCACCGCTCAGAACGTCTTTCCACTCCTTGCGAGCGTCCCAACCACCTTCACGCTGTGGCAGATAACCAAGATGCGCGTCGTCGAGGATCTTCTGTAGAGCTGCGTCTGTCTCGCCAGCTTCGCGCATATCAACCTCCGTGTGCGGGTAGATCACTTGGTCGCGCAAGGTGCCGACGCTGAGATACGGCCGCTGGGGGAGGAACATGATTCCATCGAGCCCGAAGCCTCGAGGGCGACTAACCAACCCGCGGTATACGGGCCAGAGCCCGGCCACAATACGGGGGATTGCAGACTTGCCTACGCCGTTTGGACCTGAGATGAGGAGGTGGTCACCTGAATGGACGATGAATGAGAGCGACTCGATGAGTTCGTCGCCGCCCATTGGGTGGAGGGATGGTGCAACGATCGGGACCTGCTCCAGGCGGACACCGTCGAAGCCGTTGTGAGTGGTACCTTGGGAATCCGCAAGAGAGTATAGTTCAGGATGCGAGCCCCGTGGGGTGTAATATGCATCGGCATGGACACGGTGCAAGGTGGCAATGAGGCCGTAGACGCGAGAGGTGTAGCCAGCGAGTTCGGAGATGTCCTTAATGCTGTACATCATGCGACCTCCAGCATCGGCGAGCGAAAGCATGAGGCGTTTGTTAGTGATGAACTCCTTCATGCGGCCACGCTCGCGACCCATACCCTCGGGTGCATCGGCCAACTCCATTGCACCACCCGAGCCACCCCAGGCGGGGAGGAAGATGGGCAGGGAAGTGATCAAATAACCAAATGCCGACCAGGAGTACTTTAGGATCATGTCTTCGAGCATGTTGTAGCGGATCTTGAGACTGTAAATGCCCTCCATCCATCGCTGCAGCTCCTTGAAGCTTCTGACCAGGAACACCCTCTCGGTATCAGCTCCGCCGTAGAACGAGATCTCTTCGGCATTGGCTAGAAGTCGAGAATGCAGGCCACGGAAATCTCCTTCCTTCTTGCCCTCTACTGCCTTAAGTTTTCCAAATGGTGGCGACAGTTTCCGGAGCACCACGGCTGTGCTGAAGTACCCAGCCAAAATGCCACTCAGGGCAAGGGGGGCCAAGCGAGCGGTAAAGTTCATAGTTGAATACGAAAAGATCCACCAACGGCTTTCCCATTGAGGAGTATAATGATGCGGCAGACGAGCAGAATAGGGTAAGATCCTGCGTGATAAATTGATCGGGCCCTTGACCGATTCCACCGTCCAAGTTCATCAGCTTATAGTAATTGTTATTGTCGGTTAGGTATAAGTCGTGGATATACCGGGTCAACCGAGTGCGGAAGGCGATGGACACCTTCGATTGGAGGAATTTGATCATCGCATTGGTATATGAAGCAAGGGTTCCAATTCCACACCACTTGAGGATACCCCAAAGGAAAGCTTTTCCTTTTCCAGCGACCAGATCCCTCACGATCTCACCATCAAGCCGTGCAATTAACAATGATAGATATGTTCTCATCAAAAGAAAAAGGCCGTGGCTCATCAGCAATCCAGTCTCTTTGCTCCCCCATCTCGGGACCATGATACTACCCAAGCTCAAGAACTGATGCAGGAATGCCAAATTCAGACCTGGCTTGGTTGTGGGAGGAGGAATCTGGCTTGCCGAGCCATCATCTTTGCTGCGAGCCGATGACGGGGGGTTGAGGAATAGTCGTCGATGCGCGTCAAAGGTAGTCGGTTTGGTGGGATGGATTAAGACCTTCGAGGTTAGGGAGTCCTTGTATGGCACGTAGATAGTACGAGATCCATCTTTACCACGGATACCAGAGTTCCTGCGTAATAGACGACGACCTTTGGCTCGCTCCTTGGCTCTCCCTCGGAACCACTTATAGCCTCCATAACCCGAGCCGATGATGGAGAAAAGAAGAGCTATCGTTGCAATCAAGCGGGTTGTTTTGGACGTGCGGTTGAATTTAGAGCGTACGAGGTCGGAGTAATGACGATATAATGTTAGGAGGGGATCCTCCGGACGCCGAAGGGTTGACTGGACGGCCATCTTGAAATGGCCTGAGACCTCCGACTCACGAGGTAACTGAGGGGCGGTCCCTAGACTCGACCGAAGGCCATGAGGTTAATTTTGAGTATATTCCAAACCATAGAGAATGCATCTCAAGGTAAGAAAGTGAAGTTGACACGGATGTCTTTGCATCATTGCATGTGAACCTCGGGATATGCGGAGAAGCATCTCACGTGGGGAAGCTGACTACTCTCTTTTTTCTGCAGTCCAGCCTTCTTCCAGTGACCTTCCAATGAAATGGGATTTTGCAAAATGGCCTTGGATAATTATAGAAAATGGGGAAACCCCCGACTTTTTCTTTTTCGACTCTGACCCTGACCCTGACCCTGTCGATATTGGGGATATTCCCATAAATCCCATCTCTAGTCTCTACCATATGTACCGAATACTCCTGATTTTCTTTATGGTTATGTTCAACTTCCCCTACATGAAACATTCCAACCCAACGGAGTGAACCTCGAGAACTCGAACCAACACCAACAGCTAGGTATAACCTAGTTTGCACTCTGTAAAACATAGTTTGTAGTTTGCGGCTTGGGGTTTGGACTGGATCTAATTTGAGTCAAATCAAATCAATCACGTTCTAAAGGCCATAGCTCCTCCTACTGGCCATATGAGTGGCCATTAAAGCATAAAAGTGGCCATAAAAAAAAGGGGCCGTATAATAACAATCACAGTTAATATCCACAATTAGATCCCCCCACAGGCCCTGATCGGGATCATCTCAAAATGATTCTGCTTGTTTTGGCTCAGGCCCTGTGTTGTGAAGGCTGTATGAATGATGTATAGAGTCAAAAGAATAAGAATGCCACATTGAACGCGAAAGTAGCATCAGACAAGTAGAGGGTACGACTCTGCACAGCGTGATAGCAAGTCGGCATTTACCGTAGCCGCTGAGGGCTTGTAGTAGCGTGTGAAAAAGGGCCCCTGTGCCTTGCTAGCCTTGTTAGCCCTGTTTAGCGTCAAAAAGTGGAAAAAGGAAATAAATCCCATTTCCTCCTCTGCCCTCCCCGTTTTCCCACACCGTAGGTTCACGTGACATCCCCCCGACTCCTCTCAACTCCTCTCCCGAAAATCCTCCTTAAGACGGTAGAGATATCACATCCCTTTTCTGTTCGTTTAGCTTGTTGTTTTTGAAAGTATAATAGTGGGTGTTGGATCACTCCCGGGGCCAAAGGCGGTACGTGCGAACTTCCCAGAACGCTTGCTTATTATCTAGGAGGCGTGTTAACGTCCCCTATTAGCCGCGCTCTCGATCTTGGAGAGTTCTGGCATTGACTCGGCCGTTCAGACCTGGGAACTGTTTCGCTTCCCTTCCTTTTTTCTATATTTATCTGTGCTGGGCCACCGGACACCGCAGCCACCCCCGATGAGTGGAGAAAGCACATCGCGAGATTCAGCTCTGGAATCCGCAAACAAAACACCTATGAATACCTCCGGCCTTCCGGGCTCAGCCAGTAAGTGAATGCGCTTGTTCCTTTTTCACCTGGTGTACCCAAGGGGGATATGATTGCTGACATCGTTCCTTCCGTAGTTCCTGAGCCCGAACAGGGTAGAGGCACCGATGCGACCGAGAATCAGGACGTAACCTCTGTCGCACCTTCCGACCCGGCCTCGTCCTCCGCTGCACCAGCGGAGAGTACACCGACTGCTGCTGAAGGCGCCACCGCACCGAAGAAACGCCATTTGCTGATCCCCATCCCGTCGCGACGATCCTCGAAAACCAACAAACAGCAGGGGTCGGAAAAGACTGAGGAAGCAGCGCAAGATGAGCCTTCCCGAAGAAGTTCCAAAGTGAGCATCCTGCAGTCGAAACGGGATCATAGCCGGGCAAGTAGCCGACGGTCGCGCCAGACCCAGAACGGAGTGAATCCGGAGGAGAGTAAAGAGGCGGCGACTATGCCCGACGACAGTTCCTCGAAGCCTCCACAGAAGAAAAGTTCATCCAAGTTCCTGGCTTTCTTGGGCTGTTGCTCCTCTTCGGATGTTGATGCAGATGACATTGCCCTGCCTGCAAAGAAAACAACCATGCGGCCACCAACTTCCAACAGGCTGCCTACTCCAGACAAGGCAGAGGCTCCTACTGGTGACTCAAGCACTGTAGAATCAAGGGAGCCATACTTAGATGAAAAGGCAAACTCCACAGTCAGCGCGGATCAGCCTCGCGAAGAAGACCGCAATGTCCAGCCTGCTGCGGCTAGCGTGCAAGGCGATGGTCCTTCTGCGGATGCCCCACAGCCAGAAGTATCTGGCCAGAAAGATCAGACCAATGATGTTATCCCGCATGATCAGACAGGAATTGTGATGGGATCAGTACCTGAAGTGAAAGAAGATGCAAACACTCACGATTGGGAGGGTCAATCAACCTCAACCACCGAGGACCTCACTTCTGCATCAACGTCAACCATCCCTAAAGATTTTGGCACTGACGGCCACGAAGAAGTCACATCTCATCAAGAAATGAAACTCCCCGTGGTGATCCCTCCGCCACCACCACCGCTTCCACCGGCACCCCCGGCTCCCCCTGCTCGAACCCACTATGAGGACTCAGCGCATCCTTTGCTCCCTGCACCTTTACCCCACTTAAGTGGTCGAAAGTGCTTGGTTCTCGATCTCGATGAAACACTGGTTCACAGCAGCTTCAAGGTAAGTCTCCCTCGCTTTAAGTATGCGCCCAAGGCGTATGATCGTATAATTGTATCGTATCGCTCATCATTGATTTGACAGGTCTTGGAGCGTGCCGACTTCACCATTCCAGTTGAGATCGAAGGTCAATACCACAACATCTATGTGATCAAACGTCCTGGCGTGGACGCATTCATGAAGCGTGTTGGTGAGCTTTACGAAGTGGTGGTATTCACTGCCTCAGTTTCAAAGGTCAGTTGATAGTTGATGGTTTTGGCAAGTGAGACACACTGACTCGAGTTACAGTATGGCGACCCTTTGCTCGATCAACTGGATATTCATAACGTGGTTCATCATCGCCTATTCCGAGAGAGTTGTTATAACCACCAGGGGAACTACGTCAAGGTGAGCTCTTTTGTCCTCTTCAGTGATTGAGAACAACCTAACCATTATCCAGGATCTTTCACAAGTCGGTCGAGACTTGAAGGAAACAATCATCATCGATAATTCCCCCACATCCTACATCTTCCACCCTGAGCACGCGATTCCCATCAGTAGCTGGTTCTCTGACGCTCATGACAATGAGTTGCTCGATCTCATCCCTGTTCTCGAGGATCTCGCGGGGGCCCAAGTCCAAGATGTCAGCATGGTCCTGGACTGCACCCTGTAGGTGCCTCGATGGGATCCTTCTTACGCCTGAGATATCCATTTTGAGCGAATTGTTTTCTTTTCTACGCGAGAAAAGCCTTTTCCTTTTGCGTTCCTCCAGCAATGCTGCCATTGATGGGTAGTCGCCCTATTTCCTACTCCCAATCCGATTCCCCTTCTCGACGACAGAATATGGACCCAGATGGAACTGGTATCCTACTGGGCCAAGGCCCCGTCTCCTGCATTTGTTGTCGTTCTTGGATAGCACATTAACCTGACCATCTTCGACCTTCTGCCTTGCAATTTGACTTTGTATCTCACTACGCTCCGAGCGAGCCCATTCCGCCTTTTTTTTCCTTTTCCTTTTCTTCCCTGTGCTTTATCTACACCCCCTCATGTCCTGATCTTCCCTTTTTGTGTATTTTCTCATCATCCCAACACCCAACAAGTCCGCTTTTTATGCATTCTGCAGGCGTCTCTTGGTTATCATGTCCCCGCTGTATCCCCCCTATGTTTTTTTTCTTTTCCCATTTCTGCCTTGCTACATGGCCTTACTACCTTGATCTCAGCTCACCAATACACGAGCATGCATTTCATTGTGTTCTCTCCTTTGCTGGGACCTCTGCCTGGAAGTGGTTTGCATCTCCTCCATAGTGAGCAGTGTCTAATAATTCCCTTTACGCTGCCAATGTACATGATCAGCCACGGCTCTCGATGCTGTATATAGCCCCCGAGACGACGTATCCAGAAAACAAAATGGAGCAAGTTGTATTAGAGTAGAAATGAATTTAACTCATTAATTTTTATCCTTCTATAACTTTGGAATCTACAGTAACAAGTAAGTAAATAAGTAGATAAGTTGAAATGCCTCGGGACCATCCCGCATTGAGACCGCATTAAGCCGATGATGTAGTCACCAGTTGACCTGAACCTACCCGAAACCAAGGTTTCAGTTCCTGACTATCTCTCTCAGTGCAACCTCTTTTTCCCCTCTTTATTACCCGCTTTGTTCTTTCGAGCTAATGTCCTTGGATTTCCCTGTTTTCTGAAATCCCCCATTGGCGATCGTCTCCCGATAAAAACGCCAAAAGCTCCCCGCAATCGCGACTCCCACCACCCACCTCCAAACATCCCACAACTCTCACGCTGGCTGAAATCATGAAGAACAAGGAGGGCTGGGACGGAAAAATGAGGATGGAGCCAAAGGCAGTTATTACAAACCCGGAGGCGCTGGAGGATTCAGATTACTCGGATCCGGATGCACCCCCGGTCGATGAGATTGAGGCTGATGAAGGTACCGTCGCTGGATGATTGATTACTCAGGGCCAAGCGGTCATTGTCGAATCGGTAGACTAACATCTGTTCAGATTTATTGGCAGACGAAGATGTCAATGCAGAGGTAGGCAGCCCTGGACTTTCTGCTGATCGACGCGCGCGCGACGTGATTTGCTAATCGTTCTTCTGCTGCAGGATATTGACCTCGTGCATTGTCGGATATCGTCGATTTCTGCTCTTAAATTGGAACGCTTCCCTAAGCTTCAGGTACATACCCTCAACGACCCTGGAATCCGCATGTGTCGTGTCTGGTAGCGGAGAGGGGCATATTGTACCACTTTTTCCTCAAAGCACAAAAGTGCAACGGCATGACATTCCTTTGATCCACCCAGATGGCTAACGCACTGGGATATACAGAGATTATGCATGCGCCAGAATCAAATATCACGCATCAACTTCCCTCCAAATGTCGCCGCCAGTCTGACCGAACTCGACCTCTACGATAACCTCATCTCCCACATCAAGGGCCTGGAGGAGTTCCAGAACTTGAGAAGCTTGGATCTGAGCTTTAACAAGATCAAGCATATCAAGAATGTCTCGCATCTGACGAAATTGACCGAGATTTTCTTTGTGCAGAACAAAATCTCCCGTATCGAGGGCTTGGAGGAATTGACCGGAATCAAGAACTTGGAGTTGGGCGCGAATAAGATTCGGGTTCGTCCTATATGATACCCGCATACGAGATGAGCAATGGAAAGGCTGACACGGGGTCCGTTCAGGATATCGAAAACTTGGAAACACTGACCGCGTTGGAAGAACTTTGGCTTGGGAAAAACAAGATCGTCGAAATGAAGGTCCGCAATTATCATCCAATATACCTTAACAAAACAAGTAAAGAAGCTGACACCCTCGCAGAACCTGGACAGCCTCTCAAACCTCCGCATCATCTCCATCCAATCCAACCGCCTCACCAAAATCACGGGTCTCTCCGCGCTCCCAAAGCTTGAAGAGCTCTACCTCTCTCACAATGCAATAACCGACCTTTCAGGACTAGAATCTAACGAGACACTGCGCGTGCTTGACTTCTCCAACAACCAGGTCTCCCATCTTGAACATCTTTCTTCACTAAAGAACCTCGAGGAGCTGTGGGGGTCGAATAACCAGCTTGCTAGCTTTGAGGAAGTTGAGCGCGAGCTCAAGGATAAGGAAAAGCTTGAGACTGTCTATTTCGAGGGTAACCCGTTGCAATTGAATGGGCCGGCTGTTTATCGGAATAAGGTGCGCTTGGCGTTGCCGAATATCCAGCAGATTGATGCTAGTAAGTGTCTCCTCTCCTTCTCGGTATCTCTTATAGTACACACATGGTTTCGGATATAAAGCTAATGCGATCCTCCACTCTACAGCGTTTGTCCGAGTTTGAGGGAATGAGGGTAATGCCTTAATGTCTTTTTTATACTCTATCTACTTGAATTGGTTTTTGTACACATAGAATGTGAGGACCTATGAAATTAACGTCGAAAAGACTGCTTCTGAGGCAGCCCATGGCCGGCTGTCCATTCGTAACCTCTCAACCTAGGTAGCAGTGAAGCTGTGTATTGATATTGCTAGGAGATAATCTATTATACCCAATGGGCCTACCTAGCTTGTCATATTTACAAGGATTCACCTGGGTACTAAACTACTTTAGGTAAGTCTCCCACTGCACCCGCACGGGTGGGCAGTTCTCACTTCCGAGTCGTCTAACCAATGTGGTGTGCCTACATAATAGTAGTTAGTACATATTGTAATGATATTAGCCCTTCTACCACAACCTTGAAAGTTTTTCAACATTTGTTGGATCTTGGATCCTCATATTCTCTGATCTGGCTTTCCGAGGTTAAGGACACCTAAATCACAACATACCTGCAAAATATATGCGCGTCAGTAAGAATGAGATCTTTGTGGTGGATGTATTCTCTGGCACACTTTGTGTCTTTTGTCAATGTTGGGTACGGGTTCGTCGACTGTATCGGTCAGTGGTGCGATACATGTCTTCCTGCGAAGGTTCACGATGCGCCTGGGGTTGGCTTCGATCTGACCCCCTCATACGGGTGAGTATCTCATTGGTATTCTTTCTATTACCCAAAGATCTATCTAATGTTTGGAATCTAGGACAGCCGTGGTGCACTACTATAATGGAACTGTTGTCGAGGTTTCCAAGGTTCTTGGGAATCCGGAGTACCTCGAACTCATGGCACGTCTAACTATCATATCGAAGCCATCTCCGGATTCAACCCTCGATTTTATAAGTGAACGTCCATCACGCTTAGTGGGATATCTCCTCCCGGACGTGTCGTCGCCGTGGAGAGACTGGTGGCATCGGCTGAACAAGAAACTCGGTCGACCAGTAAAAGCAGATGACGTCGAAATCATTAGCGATTTACTCCACGAACTGAAAGTCTCCACCGAAAAGAAAATATCCCAGCCTCTCGACAGGGTTGCCGTTACAGATCCCGGCTTCCAGTCGCTTAACACAGCGACAATCAACGCTGCACTTCGGATGTTAGATCTACGCTCATGGATTGGACGCGACAGCATTTATTACACACAGCGGCTAGTGGAAGCAGATGCTGTTTATGGGGCGAACGGTTATGGACTATGCACCAATTACCTGGATCGCTCCGATTGCATAAACGAATTTGAAGAGTCACCTGATAATAACATGTTTCTTGTTTCCTTTAACCGCAATCTCTTATATGCGAGCATTGTGGAAGGTACAGCTAGTGAAGCTTTCAGTCGGTTTGCCTATGTTGAGATGCAGCTTGTGGATTACGAGCTTGGACTAGATCGTCTTCTCGAGAAAGACGAATCCGCATTATGGGACCGTCTTCGTTCACAACTCCAGATCCTGCCTCGGGAGTACGAATATGCTGTTACGCATCTACTTCTAGCCGGTGAGAGCGTAACACATCCTCGCTTCCTGGCTACTTTGAGGGATTCTATGTCTGAACTCTCGCTTGGCCATGTCAATATCAAACTCGCAATCGATCCAACTTTCGCTGCGGCTCGTGGTGCGGCACTATACTCCCGGAGGCGCCAAGAGGTGCAGAGCGACTGCACAGAACGGAGTGAATGCGAAGAAAGGAGGATGCATGAGCGATTGTACACTTCCACACAAGATGATCTGCGCTCCATACGGGAGGATCTGCGCTGAACTGGATGATATGAACTATTTACTGCTGTTCGTGGAAGCCTTGCAATACTTCTCCAATTCATAGAGAAATAAAGACCTGGCAGCCAGCGGCAATCTGATTCAAATCGATATCGCAAGCTCTGATAATTTCCAGTAAATGTCCGTTTTATGCAACTCTCATGGTGTTTACTTTTGTGAAGAAAGCGAAGGCGAAAACTTAATTTCAATTTGGTTTCGGTTAAATACATCCACGCTTAAATATGTGATTGGCCCAACAAGACAATTAGAGAGAATAGTACCCCCTACTCACCCAAAAGTCGATGTGCCGTTGCAATAACTCATGATCCAAAGGAACATATTTGATATCCGGCCGATCTGCCAGAGCCTTGACAGTGTTTTGGGTCTCATAAACAGGAGTATACATACTTGTCTGCATCCGAGTCAAGTCCTTCAAAACTGGTTCCTGCAGCATGGGAATCATGGGTTCCAATGGATTCCCTGGAGTGTTTTGAATCATGTCAATCCATTCCTGGTATGGAACTTCCTTGACTGGATATCCAGCTTGGTTAATCAAGCTGCATGTCTTCTCTATACTCACCGACTGTGCCACATCCGGGGAGACGAGATGGAATGATCGACCGAGACTCTCAGACTTTGATGCAATATGTAGAATGGCCGAGCAGACGAATTCCACCGTCACATACTCTAGTCGCTGGTGAGGAAGATGGGGGAACTGGCCGCTCTGAATGCACCCCACGATCAGCCGTGCAAAGAAATCATCTGCGTTTCCATAGCCCCGTGAACTGTCCCCAATCACGAATCCTGGTCGATAGATGGTCGCAGGTAAGCCAAGGTCCCGCGCCCTCTGGACCATCTCATCTGCTACCCACTGACTCTGCGAGTATCCCATGTCGTAAGGCAATGATTCCAGATGTGGTTTGAGCGGGGCATCTTCGAAGACTCGCTCCGTCTTGTTTATAAGACCAGTTACATTCCACGCGTCTATCGAGGAGACATAATGCAGTGCCTTGCGTCGGCCCAGTGTGGTGAGTCGGATGATATTCCGCGTGCCAACCACATTGGGTTCATAAAGAGTCTCGTAAGGTTCACACCAGTTCACTCGCGCACCAATGTGGAAGATTACGCTCGCCCAGTTGCTGAGCCAGTTGAACTTATCTTCTCCCAGACCTAGGTTGACATCTGTTAGGTCTCCATCAAGAGCGATGATCTTTTGGGTGCTCTCCAGCCTGCCATCCCAAAGGTCATATTTCTCCAACGCTTTCTGAATGCGATCATTTACCGTGAGATTGCCACGGCTTCGGGCTAAACAGGCAACCTTCTTCACACTAGGTATGGACAGAAGTTGATGCAGTAAGTATACGCCGACAAAACCAGTCCCTCCTGTGAGGAAAACGTGTCCCTCTTTGGTAGATTGCCAATCTGGGGGAGCGACTAGCTCATCCGCTAGATGAGAGTCTTGTGCCCACCGCGTTGTCTGGGCAGCATCAGTGCTGTCGTCGTCGGATCTTCGAAGGAGAGCTGTAAGACTCTCCAAGGTAGGGCTTGCATGCAGTTGTGCCAGCGTCACAACCTTCCCACTGTGGTGTTTGATCGTCCCTACAAGCTGGGCAGACTGCAGCGAAGTGACTCCCAGAGCGAATATATTCTTATTGGGATCGACGTGTGACACATTCAACAACTCTTGGAGATGCGATTGGAGCCAGTCGTCTTGGCTTTCCATTTTTGGAGCTTGCTGGGATTTAGGTTCCTCTGTCTTTGGTGCATCTTGTAAATCGCGAACCAGAGCTTTCCTATCAACCTTGCCGCTGGACGAAAGAGGAAATTCCCGGACACTTTGGATCGAGCTGGGGACCATGTAATAAGGCAGATGTTCCTTTGCCCAATCGGTAATCCCGGAGAGCTGAACTTCCGTTTCACATTCAATTGAAATCACATAGGCCGCCAGAGTTTCCGAGTGCTCCTGCTTGTGTTGGAGAACGATACACGATTCCACTTGAGGGTGTCTCTCCAGCGTCCGCTCGATATCGCCCAATTCCACTCGATGTCCAGAGCATTTGACCTGTTTGTCTGCTCGGCCAATATAATCCAAAGTACCGGATGAGTCTTTCCATTGTGCCAGGTCCCCAGTACGGTACAGGCGGATGGATGGCCCATCGTCCTCTCCTAGTGTGGCGGTATTGACATGGATAAACTGCTTCTCGGTCTCTTCGGGTCGGTTCAGATATCCCGCTGCCAGCTGGGGTCCGGCAACACATAACTCCCCAGTCTGATGTGTGCCGGTGATATTCCTGAGCTGTTCGTCCAACAGATAAACTTTGGATTTTCCGAATGCTCGTCCGATGCTGATACGAGGATGTTGTGTCTCATCTAAAGTGACCCGGCATGTTGTTACAAATATAGTTGTCTCCGTCGGACCGTATGCGTTGTACAAATTTGCTGGTGAGCCGTTGATGAGGACCTTCTTCATTGCTTTGACATTCACGGCCTCGCCTCCCACAAGGACGTGGTGCAGACCACAAAACGCGTTGGGCGCATTCAAGGCAATGACATTGAAAAGGGCTGTTGGTATAATCATCACTGTCACCTTTCTGTTCTCCAGAAATTCACTGAGAGCAAATGGATCTGTGACAATCACTTTGGGGATTTGGATAACTGTCGCCCCAGCAAGTAGCGACGCCCAAACCTCAAAGAGGGCGAAATCAAATCCCGGGCTGATGAATCCAGCCATGCGGTCAGATGGGCCCAAAAGTGTAGCCGGTTCAGAGGCTAAGACATGGAGAATACCGCAAGCCAGGATCTGGATGGCTTTCGGCTGTCCCGTGGAGCCAGAGGTGAAGAAAATATGGCTGCGATGGGTTTCCGGACATCCTGCCTGGACATGAATTGGACTGGTCTCATTCAAAGTGATGTTCTCCACAGTTGCTTCTTCAACACGAATAACTTCAAAGTCTGACACCCGATCCATGAGGGCTTCGCTGGTAATGACGAAGCGGGACTTGATATCGTGTAGCATAGCCACCAGGCGGAGAGAAGGCATGGATGGAGCAATGGGAACACAGGTCCCTCCAGCTCGGAGGACAGCAACTTGCGAGATGATCTGTTGATAACCAGACCCGAGTAAGATACAAACGGGCTCCGCGAGCTCGATTGACCTTCCACGCAATTTCTCAGCAAGTACATCAGCTCGTGCAATGAGCTCTTGGTAACTAATGCTGGTATTGCCATCGACAACGGCAATCGCATTGGGAGAAGCATTTGCACGCTGAACAAGGCGATGCTCCATTGCGCTTTATGCTAGTCGAAGCAATTGGTGATGATTGTGTTAAGACAGATATCTGACAAAATCTGATGGTCTAATAATGAATATACCGTTTGAAAATCTTGCTCCAACAGAAACACACCAGAGCACCAGCCATCTTATAGGAAGATCTACCACCTGGAGATATCCGCATTTCCCCATACGTGCTCGGTCTACTTTTGTTGTCTATCCCAGGAAGGCAAAACTGTAGCCTACTGAAAGAGTGGTCTATGTCCATCCTTGGGGTTTGTTACACCGGATGGGGGTTTGTTACACCGGATGTGTGGTAAATCCCATTCGGTCTACCTTCGTTGTCCATCCCAGAAAGGTAAAAATTGTAGCCTATTGAAAGAGTAATCTATGTCAATCCTTGGGGTATGTGACACCGGATGCGTGGTAAATCGCATTCGTTGACGTCTGCTGGTCACATTCATTTTCTCTGAATGGCAGACGATGGCTGATCAAACTGTTTAGGCCTTTTATACTACTAAGCCTTACGTCATTCTTCACCTTTTTCGGCTCGCCATGCTATATACAATAAGTCTTACATTGGATCCATATTACACAGAAGAATAATTTACAGTTTAGCATGCTTTATGCACCCGAAGTCGCATTGGGCATATTAATGTGCACATCTACCTAGGTAGGTATGTATTAGTGGATTAGATAGTCTCTACTACCTACGGGTATGAGTCCTGCGGGTCGTGTCTGATCAAACTATTCAGGCCTCTTATGGTGTTGAACTTTGCGTTATCCCCGGCCTAACACTTGTATGTGACAAAATTTACATTGGGTATATTATTCGTCGCATTAGATTTAATAGAGAATTAATATCTGCACCACTGTTAGTTACTTCGATTAAGGTATCATTTGGACAGCCCTTTCGCTAACGGTAAATTAACTTAATACATAGATCTACGGAAATGATATCCGATGTAGGTCCTAACACATATATTGCATACAGTTGCAGCGTTGCAGCATGCAGAATTGACATAGATTTGCAGAATAATATACCCAATGCAGGTCTTCTTGCATACGGATTTATATCCCGTGGTGGGAGTCAAAACTCAGAGAAGGTGACTGAGCGCCTATGGCTAGCCCCCATTTGGCAAGCAAATATACAACTCGGGGTCAATGCGCTATAACACATTTGGTGGCGAGAGAATAGTATTCAGACTGAAATATTTAACTAGAGCAACAGGAAGCTTGGAAGTAATATATCCATTTATACAATAGGCAGAAGAGCATTTACGCATAGACCGGTCTTTCCTATATTGTCAAATCGTCTCTTACTCTGCAAAGCATGATGGTCTCTAAAATATCTCGTGAACAGATTCAGTTGCTGATATCTCAAATTAAAGAACCGGCATCTGTTCTTTCTCCGGACTCTGAAGGGTACGAAAAAAGCCTGGAAAGATGGTCGGCAGTTGGATGTCAACAGGCGGTACGGCCCGACCCCCTACATAGGATGCCGAACTTTAACTGATCCGCCATATAGGGAGTCATTATACGCCCGACAACCACCGAAGATCTTGCAACTACCGTGCGCTTTTCCAGGGACAACCGACTGGACCTGGCAATCAAGGGCGGAGGACATTCCACAGACACCTCCTGCTCGAGTGATGGAGGTATTTTGATCGACCTTGGCGGCATGAGACAGGTCAGTGTCAACACAATCGACTCAACTGTCACTGCACAGGGTGGAGCACTGTGGAAGGATGTGAACGACACTGCTGCTCAGTTTAACCTGGCCTTAGTTGGCGGCACGGCCAGCCAAACGGGTGTCGGGGGGCTCACTGTCCGCGGGGGATATGGGTATCTGACTCCGAAGTATGGGCTGGTCCTTGACAATCTTCTTTCTGCAAAAGTGGTGACTGCCGAGGGGCAAGTCTTAAATGCATCCAAGAACGAGCACCCTGACCTATTCTGGGCGATTCGGGGTGCTGGAGCGAATGTCGGGGTCGCAGCGGAATTGAGGTTCCAGGCACACACGCAGGCCAACGAGGTCTGGTGCGGCACCATGATGTTCACGCGTGACAAACTGACCGAAGTTGTCGAGGCACTCAACGGTGCGCTCATTCATCCAGAGGGAAATGCGGCAGCGCAATGTGTCTTTGCTGTATCTCCTGATACTGGGGCCCCAGTTGTCACCACGGTCCTCGTATTCAATGGCCCCGAGGAGGAAGGCAGAATGCATTTTTCTAGCCTTGTTAACTTGGAATGTATCAACACGAACATGGAAATGAAGTCCTACAAAGTGGCCAACACGATGCTCGACGATGCAATGCCGCCAGGTGGAAGAAAAAGGATCATTGGAGTGAAACTCGTTCCCCCTATTCGGCCTGAATTTGCCTCGGAATTGTCTGAAGAAATCAGTCGCAAACTCACCACAGCGCCAGAATTAGCCAAAAGTTGTCTCGAGATCGATTATTTTGATCTTTCGAAGGTCTGTGGTGTGCCCGTTGCCGAGACTGCCTTCCCAAGTCGGACCAAGACTCTAAATGGGGCGCTCATCCTTCAGTGGGTCGATCCGAGCAAGGACCAGGACTTCATATCATGGGGGAAACAATCCAGAATATGTGTGAGAGTGAGGTACGACGAGCTGGTTACAAGCCAGATAAACTGGTGTCGACATTCTTCGGCTACACGCATGGTGAGTACCAGACGGAGAATATAGGGCTTGAGAAATATCTACTGACTTTGCCTTCAGATGACAACATGACACCTGAAGATATGTTCGGAGTTAATGCTGATGCCCTGCTCAAGGTGAAAAGAAAATATGACCCGGATAATATTTTCAACAAATTGAATCCTCTTGAGCTATCTAGTTAGTATAGCAAGGAAATTTGCTCACTACGGGTCTTGTACCACTTGTGGACTATGTCTCACGGACTACATTTATGTGTCTACTCTCGTGTATTCATCGTTGAAAATGCGCATTTGGGTCCACTCCCACCATCATAGTCAGGAACTTATTCGTGAAATTGCCAAGCAGATATACAACACTAGCAATATTAGGTATGGTAGTTGAATAAATTTCTCGACAGGAATGGTATTCTTGTAAAAACCAAACATTCTAGTCAAGTGACCGGATTAAGCTTCGTTTACAGATGCCCTTTGTTTGACTGGCTGAAGTTCAATGTTTACCTCCTCGGTCACCAGAATCCGCTGCGAGTTCGTGTCCCAGTCTGCATCGTGCGATTCTGAAACATTGTTTGTACGATGAGCGTTGGAAAAGACCTCCACCGACCTTACGTCCCCAATATCATTATAATACTCTTTTGTTCTAGACCACGGCGTATTGCTTGACGGCTGATGGCTGGCCTTCCCGCTGGACATGCCAAAGATTCTTGCAAAAGCGCCACCGAAGGCTGTCTTCAAGAGTATTCGCATCGTTGGCAGACATGTGCACACAATGCCTGTCGAAACTTCGATAATGGACCACATGTATCCCTTTGCGTAGAGCCATGTGGAGTCATACTCGCCCAGGACAAGCATTGAGAGGAGAAGGCGGGCCATAGCTGCAGCGCAATCACTGAGAGAGAATGATGTATTAGCAAGGTATAAATACTGGCACTTATTTGTATCTTTGAGTGAGATAGAAAAAAGAATATACACATACAAAAGACCCAATGCAAAAATCAGGGACAGAGCAATCTTCTGTGGTTTCGGAAGCTGGATATTCCACACTCTCGGAATTGGCATCAACCAAACCGCAAAATCACTGATAATATTTACAATTGCGTAGCCGATAGCAAATTGCTTAAAGTTCAAGCAAGTTCCCTCCGTCGTCCAGAAGGCGCTAATCGGCTTGCAGTTGAAAATGGCGAGGAAAGTCATGACAATTGCCCACACAGAGATCAGAACGATCATGCCGTCGACAATTCGCAAGAAACTCGAATGCTCGAAAATGCGTCGGTACAGAAAAAGCAATGCTAGCTTCACGCTCGGGGGGCGAGCACGTAGAATATCTGGAAGAAGTAGAGGAGCTCGGCGAATGTAGCGACTTGTTCTGGTGAGAGGGTTTCTCGGTGCTTGCCGAGTCCATTAATTCGACCTGAAAGCCCGTCAGTATTGGCATTGCAGTTCTTTAGCAGGATCAGAGTCATAATTGTGGCAGTACTCACATCCCACGAATATCCCGTATAATAGCCAGTCCCAGAAAAGGGCTACACAGATAATCCAGTCATCTGCACCGAGAGACAACTTTCGCAGCCGTCGAGCCCCAAAGCGAGCAACAACAGCGAATGTGGCCAGTACAATGAAGATTGTGTTCACCACCCATAGCGCTGGTCCGAAGTCCTCGTCAAGATCGGTCATATGTGCCGACAGGAGTTGTCAACTCCTACTTCTCACAAGTCACCTTGATTATATGAAGAGGGTTATCCCCCTGACAAGGTAAACCTTCAAGAAATCTCAAACAGCAATCATCCTGAAATTTAATTTTCAAGAATTCTCGGGTCCGAAAACCAACCGGAGCCACTAAGAGAAATCCCTCTCATCTCAAATTTTGCAAGGATGCTGCAGGACGTTGCCCACATATGAAAATCCTGCGAGGATGGCACCACTCCAGGCGACGATCGTAGATCCACGGCCCGCTATTCGGGTGCCCGACGGCACGGCGGGTATTACCGGAGCTAGTTCTAACCCCAGAATCGGGTTTTTTTGTTCTTCTTGGGGTTGGTCTCGGCTAGACAGCGGGGACATGCCCCACGCAGGAACGCACTGCTGCTGCCCCCCAAAGAGAGATGTAACATTGGGGCCAGGAACTGGAACCTTGTCTCTTCTGGTCGCACATCGAGTGCCCCATGGAACGCGGGGATGGAAGGATGCCCAGCTACCGACTTTATTAGACACAGTGCTGCATTCTACAGAACTCGTTCAACCAAACCCGTGCCTGAAACCACCCGACCTTTTAGCTGGAAAAATGACTGTGGTGCCTCAACAGAAGCTTTCCTGGCAAGAGTCTGCCCGCCAGGTCCAGGCAGCGCGCGATCGTTCTATAGAGCAGGTTGACCCCGCCATCGCTGCTCTTCCCTATACACATACTGGCAGGGTGATTGATTTCCCCAGAAAGCACCTTTCGCAGACAGAGATCGCTATTACAGAGAGTTCTGCTGAGACCTTGGTGGCTTCCCTTGCAACGGGTAAACTAACTGCGACCGCGGTAGCAAACGCCTTTCTTCGGCGGGCTGCGCTCGCTCAGAAGCTGGTGAGTAACGCTGCAGGTTGTGCCAATACCCCAAGTTTTGAATTCTAACTATCACTCATTTGCTTAGACCAACTGTATCTACGAGCTTCTTCCTGACCGTGCCATCTCCCGCGCCAAAGAACTCGATGATTACCTTGCAGAGCATGGAAAGCCCTCTGGTCCGCTTCACGGTTTACCAATTAGCCTTAAAGGACATGTAGGCCTCAAGGGACGAGATTTGTCTGCTGGATTCGTCGGTTGGCTCGACCGGGAGAGCCAAGACGATGCAATTATTGTCAAGATCCTCTTAGATGCCGGTGCAGTTGTTTATGCAAGAACAACCGAGCCACAGGGACTGGTTAGCAGATCTAAATTTCATATTGTGTTGATTTATGGCTGATGCCTCGGTTTCGGGGTAGATGGCTCTTGAAACCTGCAGCAATATCACTGGTACCACCACCAACCCACATAATACCGCTCTCACACCAGGTGGTTCTTCTGGCGGAGAGTCAGCCTTGCAAGCCCTCTATGGCAGCCCTCTGGGAATTGGCTCAGACATCGGTATGTTGCCAGATTCTCTGGATTGATTCCTTCATTGCTAACAATAGATCCAGGTGGTAGTATTCGCTCCCCCGCCGCCAATTGTGGGCTCTACGGCCTAAAGCCATCGACCGGTCGACTGCCGCTAATCGGATGCGCTTCTTACGTTCTCGGATGTGAGACAATTATGGGAACACTTGGGCCTATTTCACCAACGTTTGGCGGTATTGAACTTTTCATGAAGACGATAATCGAATCAAAACCTTGGGTCATCGACTCAATGATGCTTCCAATCCCTTGGAGAGATCAGGAGAGGCACATTCACCAGGATAACAAGAAGCTAACCGTCGGTGTAATGTGGACCGACGATGTCGTTACTCCCGCACCGGCAGTGACAAGGGCTTTGAAAGAAGTGGTTGAGCGTCTTAAATTGGTGGATAGTATTGAGGTCATTGAATGGAAGGCATATCAACAGAAGGAGGCGCTGGAGATTCTCGTAAGTGGTCTATATCAACTCAGTGATAAGAGGAGCAGAACTAACCAATGAACATATATAGACCAAGCTTTATGCCCCAGATGGTGGAAAGGCATTTGCCAGACATGTCGAAGCCTCTGGTGAGCCGTTTACACCGGTCACGGCTTGGACTCTCCGGGATACCCCTGGCATTGAAGAACTTAGCCAGCAGGGCGTGTGGGACTGGACTGGAAAACGGGAGATGTTCCGCTATGCCTACTTGCAAGGTTAGTACATCAATTACCCATGATCGTTCCTGGTTCTGATCTAACTTGGTTCCAATACAGAGTGGAACAATGTTGCGCCCGAAATGGATGTTATACTCTGTCCCGCATTCCCCACGCCCGCCCCCCTTCACGACACTTCGAGATACTGGGGTTACACTTCTTTATTCAATCTTCTCGATTATTCAGCCCTTGTGTTCCCCGTTACCAAGGTGGATCCCGAGAGAGATGCTAAGGACACCACTTACACCCCGAAGAACGAGTTAGACAGCTGGGCATATGAGCATTATGACCCGGTAAAGCAGAAGGATGCACCTGTTTCTTTGCAGCTAGTTGCTAAGAAGTTGGAGGAAGAAAAGTTACTTCAGGCATTTAGAGAGATCCAGGATAAAATCAGCCTGCCGTTTGTCAATTGTCTGGCTTAATTACGTCTCAGGGGAATTAAAATTCATTTGGAAGGAGATTGTGAATTCTTGTCTGGTGTATCTATCATTTGACGTATAGCCTCTTGTGAGCTTGTGAGGCTTGTGCTCTTCGGTGATAACTCCGACATCGAGGACCGCCGCATCCTAGTTGCATTTGGGGAGTTTTTCTAACATCATCAGTCATGTCCAAATACCAGCAAGAGGTGACATACTGCTCGAGCAATTACTATCCGTAAAGTACCCATTGACATAGCACGTCGTCCCCAGATATGTAACTTGATCCCAGGAGCTACTCCCATTAGCATCCAGCTCGTCATAACCCAGTATTAAACCTACCAAACCCCATTGAAGCAATCGCCATGCTTCCAGCACGCGAAGGTGAGTCTATCTCCCTTGGGAAACCCAAAGATTGCGCCTGCGTCTAACTTCGCATCGTACCGGCAGTTGACAGTGTGGTCGACATTGACGATTGTGCAAGTCTGCGCTGATGCGCGCTTTTCAAGATCCAGCTCTCCATCTGCTTCGGCTTCGGGGTCCGCGACGGGGGCAGCGGCGGCCAGGAGGGGGAGGAAGGCAACTGCGAGACCGAGGAACTTCATCTTGTTTCGTTGTTAACTGACACTTGCTCTATCGTGAGAGACCCTTGCAGAACAATGGTGTACTTATACATTGGAATTTTCATATCCTCGTATTGCCCAGCCCGCTTCCTCGTGTTCTCGCCCAATGCTGCTATTCATAGGCAAATAGCGCGATTTATCCGAGGTTGCATTCTCGTATCCAGCCATTTTTAGTATCTTTAACATCCGAGGTTTAACATCAATAACAAGGAGTTGCCCAATGGCAGCTGCAGAACACTTGTTTGCTGATTCCTTGATGGGCCTTTATTTAGTCAAGTCTATCCCCTCGTCCGTCCCGGGAAGGATTTTTAGCGCAGTTTACTACCTAGGTAGTGTATTATAACAACGCGTTATTATTGGCTAGACCCTGTAATATCGCAGTAACCAGAATTATTGTAATTAGTCAGAACTATGGAATTCATGAATGCATTACTCGGTCATGGTAAGACTAGAATTTCAAGCGAAACAGACAAATAAAATAGAAAGCAAACGAGGTAGCAAGTCTCACATCCCGAAAAGGCTGTTCGGCCGACGCCCCTCGGATGACGAGCTCACGGCGCTGGCGAGTCTCGTAGTCAAGGTCATTATCAGAGATGCTAGCCCCTTCGCGCGTGATCAAATTGTCCTAATTGTTGATTAGCTAAAAAAGGTACCAGGATAAAACAATTAATACCAACAAGAACAAATAGAAGCCACCCTTTACATTCTTCCTCCTGCTGTTCTGGTGGTAGAATACGGTCTGGCTGGGGCCGGATGGAGGTGGGGATCCCACCGGGCCAGAAATGAGTCGTTCCAGAGGGCGCGTGTAATTGGTTGCAATTGGTTCTGATAGAGCACGGAGGTGAGAAGGAAAAAAAGGGGAGAAGGACTACACTTCCCAAGGCTCGTCCAAGATTAGTGTTTTAATTGCTGACTGTCCGATAGTGAATGGTATAGGGAGCAGTGTGGGGCGTCAGCAGCCCGCATTAGCGTGTCTTCAGGCCCAAACCCTAAGAAACTCTGGCTAGAAAGCATATTGTCCATATCCTCATGGACATTTTGAACTAGTATATATACAATGGTTAGGCCTCCAACATACCTCTCGCCTTATATTTTCTTGATCTGCCATGATGAAGCTACAAACCGCTCTCACCCAGGTCCTACAGAACATTGCCGCTTTTTCCCTTCTCGCAACTGCCACTCCCGTCAAGCACATCGAGACATGTGACAGCCCGGTGTGGAATGTTGGTCAGTCTGTGCGGACTACCAGCGGCCTTGTCGTAGGCCACACTGCAGCAAACGTCTCCGAGGTCTCCGAATATGTTGGGATCCCATATGCGGCCCCTCCACTTGGGCGCCTTCGTTTCCAGCCTCCAGTCCGCTATACTGGAAATGGTACCATCGACGCAACCGCATTCGTAAGTCCAGTCGTTGCGTATCCCCATCGTCGGTATTCAGCTGGATTTTAATGTCTACCTCAACCGGACGACGATATTCTCTTATTCTGCCACTTGTTAACAGACATATCTACATAGGGTCCAACATGTATCCAACCACCATCAGCACCGCCAAGCATCAATACCAGCAGTGTACCGCCCCAGAATCTTGGTATTCCGCCTACTTTTCCTGCAGCGTTCGCAAGCCAAGTATACCCAGCCAGCGAGGATTGCTTGACCTTGAATGTCTGGACCAAGCCGCAGACTGGAGAGGCGAAGAAAGCTGTGCTTGTCTGGATCTATGGAGGAGGTTATGTGTCAGGTGGGTGTTATGTAGGGAATCCCCTGTATATCACATCCTTCTAACGTGAACGTGTCCTAGGCAGCTCTAGACAGCCGCAATACCGTGGGCAATTCATTGCTGGCAAAACTGATGTTGTCGTTGTCTCGATGAAGTGAGAACTCACCAAAGTTTGCCATAGACATATCATGTACTAATCGGAGAACAGCTATCGTGTTAACACTTTCGGATTCTCTGGTAACCCCGCCGCACCAGCTAATATTGGTCTCCGTGACGTTAGAATGTCCTTGGAATGGGTTCGCGACAATATCGAGCAATTTGGTGGTGACCCAGACCGCATTACGATCTTTGGACAGTCTGCCGGCGCTGGCCTCGTTGACTTCTACTCGTTTGCTTACGCCGATGACCCAATTGCTTCTGGTTTTATCGAGATGAGCGCAACAATTTACGGGTTCCCAGCCCTCACTGCAATAGAGACGAATGACCGCTGGTTCCATGTCACTAACTTGGTTGGCTGTGGAGACGCCACTTCTGACCCAGTTGCCGTTACCGACTGCATGGTGAACAAGACCGTCGAGGAGATACTAGCTGGTTACGACCCTGCCCATGTTCCATTCACGCCCTCTCCATACGGGCCAGTCATCGACAATGAATTGGTCTTCTCGAGCTACCTCAACCGCACTGCCGCCAAGGGAGGCTACCTGATCGGTAACACTCACAACGAGGCAGGTATCTTTAAGCTCGGAGAAACGCCACACAACGAGAGCTATTGGGCCGACTTCAACGACAGCCTATACACGTGTGCCGATGTCGTGAGAATTGAGCAAAGTATCGCTGCTGGCAACCCAACCTGGAGATACCGCTACTTCGGCGACTTCCCCAACTTGGTCCTTACTACTACCCCACCGAGCGGCGCCTATCACACTGCCGATATCTATCCATTGTTTAACACCGTCAATCAGACCTTGCTCGCTAGTACTCCAGCTGAAGTCACTGTTGGAAACTTCCTCCGCGATATCTGGTCCAGCTTTGCCAAGGACCCCCAGCATGGTCTTGATGCTTTCTGGCCTCAGTACAAAGGGACCGAGAAGACCTTGGCCCGTACTGGTTTTAACAACGAGACAATCAGCTTGGCGCCTGGTAACATGTATGATAATGTTTGTCGCTGGACTTACGACGGTGTCAGCGCTCCAGCCCCCCTGTAATAGGTTATTGGAGTTATTTTCGTGTGGTTGAATGTGGATGTGATGTGATGTATATTATCCTTTGCACTTGAATACCGCAAAAGACAAAAATAGAAAATTAAAAAGAATGATTGCTTATCCACTAACGTTGCTGCGCAGACGACAATAACTTCGCGGTGCGTGTGGTTGCTTTTCAGAATCTGATTTTTTGCAGCTCCTACGCGGTTATGATGCGAGCTGGAGTTCCGAAGGCGATGACAGAAAGATACGATGAGGCGATACACCGGCCATGACCGAGATGATCAGACACCAGAGAAGTATCGCCATGGCGCCTTGTGGGTCAATCGATACGCGGCGGCGCTTCTAGCAAATGGCTGGGGGCACAAAGCTAGGAGGTCTTTCTTCTGGGTAAGTTCTTTGATGCTGCCGTGATAAACACCGCTGATACTGATCGCAGAGGACCAGACACCCGCTCAATTCGCTCGTTTCGCCGCCTATGATACAACGAGCTACCAGGTAGTGGTGAGCCACCTGGGACAGGCAGCTATACCACTTTGCGAACGTGGTTGGATATCGTACTGCATTCCCTCTATTGTTTGCTATCTCACGGGTGGTACAGTTCTTCCGGAAATTGGTGTCACCACTTACACTCATTGTTTCCCGAACCCTAATGGCAAGTTCCACTAGTGTGTATTAAGAATGGCCCCAGGAATATCAATATTCCCGCATCGGCGCCTGCGGTCGCAGGGTTCTTCCGGTTGTGCCGTTACACAGGCTGGAAATGAGGGGTAGCCAGGCAGGATCAAACAACCTTGAAGCCTTTGACAAAACCATGTCGTGCTCAGTAAGATATGATCAGGGTTCTCAACTGTCTGCCCCTTCAGACTGACTGATTACACAGAATGCCAACCTCGCGCCGGATGTTGCGGATGTTCGTGAGAAAATGAGATCAGTCCGAAGGTCTGCTTCTGGTCAAGGATTGAGCTGTTTGTGTAATGATGGCGTTTACCGCACTTTCAGCTCGACAAGGGCCGTGGTCGATGCTGTCCCGCTGAACAACAAGGAAATCCAGAGCAGTCTACATTTATTTCCTATTGAGGCCCAGCAGCAGGTTCAGGACATCTTTCAGGGAGTGAATGGGTACACTGTTGCGAAGGAAAAGCTGCTTTGCCCTGATGATGATGTACTTCCCAAGGAGCTACGTAGGGGTTCATGAGGCGTCGGGCTGGCCATGGCATGCCCCCTTAGATAAGAAGTATGAGACAGATAGGTGAATATGACTCCTAAGGAATAGTGATATATTCTAGCCTTGCTATGTCTCCATTCACACTGTCTTGACCGCTAGCATGGCTTCACTCCAAGGCCCACTCTATAAGTCTCCCGCCATCTTCCTATTTAAGCACAAAATAGCCCTGGATACATGTCAAGCGTTCCGCATCCTGAACAACCCATAAACTGACAGGCGGCGTCGCTTGTGCACGTCTGTCCTTCACAGTAGCGATTCGGGTTACTTGGCGGCATGATAAAGAAAGGATTGCCTCGCTTCTCCGGGTTCGGAGACTGCAGCTTCGACTCGTACAGCTCCGGGTCTTGGAGGTTGAGCGGTTTGACGTGGTGCGGTGGCTCCCAGACGTGCTCATCAGCCACCTTGCGACTGTCGACCTTGCCCCAGACCTCCTTGAGGTGGTCCTGGTCTTCCTTCTTGGGCATGTGCTGGGCGATTCCCATTAGATGGGTATTGGTAAGGCGGACTGCATCGACGACCTTGCCCTTGCTATCGTACTTGCGGGCTATACCGTCGTCTGCGATGTGATGGAATCCGTCTCCGTCCCCCTTGAGGCTGTGAACCAGGCTCATGGCTTCACTGTAGGACTATAGTGTTATGAGATCTGTTAGCCTTGGTCTATTTGAAGGGTTGGTTGAGAAGGGGGGTATACATTGTCGGGCTTGGAATCAGCTTGGGCTAAACTGGTAGCGCCTAGAGCGACCGCAATGATTCTAAGGAGATGCATTGCTGTTGGCCTTTGTCTGCAATACTAGAAAGCTAATGTGACTGTGCTAGTAGAGGAGTATAACAGATTGAGGGAATTTAAACGGGATGAGTCGTTCTTGACCAACCTCCGGACATCCTGGTGGAACTAGCCTTTTATAACTCCGATGGTGGTTTAGGCTAACTCAATTATGGTGGTGTATAAACGTCGAAGATGAGCATCTCAATCGTATGGCTATCATTTTGCCACCTCCTGCCAGCGAGCACGTATACTCAATTGTCTCCGCCCCTGAAGATCCCAACAAGCGATGATACAGATACACATATTTCCATAGTATGCGCGATTTTCAATCTTAGAAGTGCGGTTGGAGACGTTGGATAGTATCTAACAGGACAGCCGGGGGCGAAGGAACAGGACAGCTGGGGGCGAAGGATTGATCGCTTGAGCAGTATTTGTCAGTTGAATATTGGCGATCGAATCATGTGCTCTCTCAGATGGGACCAAGCCGGTCGACGCGAGGCTGTGATCTCTTTGATAATCCCTCCCTATGGGTGTCTCGCAACTAGGCCTTGACAAACGGCACCAAAATGGTACCATCTTGGTGCCAAGACCACGCCAAGAAGATATACTAAAATAATTTTAGAGTATTTTTCGATTACCTATTTAGGCAATCCCCTAACCCAAATAGGTATAATCAGGGCACCACGGCTCCAGATTTTATTTAGTGCTGGCCGCCCGGCCCCATTCCTTTGAGAGGGACCCTGCAGAAGATTGACGTCACTTGATAAGGGCCTAAATCCTTCAATGGTTTCCCCGACCTTGTTTAGGCAATCCCGAATCCCGCTCCTGGTTGTATGCCTACATCTAGACTTCGCCATAAACCGCAACCGCACCTGCGGTTTTTCTTAGGCCTTATTGGGGCCCCAAAAAAACCACAAAAAAACTTTTTTGCATAATTTTACATAAAATTCATAACAGTTAATTATCGTATTGTATTCCGCTAGTACCAATTATATTTTTATCACTTTTGACTAAAGATTACTAGTTAATATATGGTATATAAAAATGTATATAAGTATAGGACTTGCAGAAATTACAGAGCCCGTAATTAATAAACCAATTGGGGCCCCAAGGACCATTGCGGTTTCTATATCAAAAACCATAAACCATCGCGGTTTCTGGACCTCGCCCCAAAACCCGCCCCAATTGCAGTTTGGATTGGGGCGGGTTTGCGGTTTTGCAGTTTATGGCGAAGTCTACCTACATCCTGATTGTGGAGTTCTGAGACGCAATGCCTCTTTGCAATGGGACGGACACCCCAAGGAAATGACGGTTGATAACCCCTCTCGGCCCTAGTAGGGGCGGCTTGGTGTTCCTACAGATTTTAGAGGCCAACGTAAGGTTTAGCCAGGATTCTGTTCCTACACCAGAACTTGACAAAATACCCTCAACAATCCTAAAGCTGGTCAAGATCAACAGCAATACATCATCTATAGCATCGGGCAGTCCGAAATGCACACACAGAACACCGCCATTGCCATCAAACATCCGACACGAATCCTGCAATCCTATCTGTGCTCTCCATCAAGGAGCTACACTCTTACTGGCAATGCCGTCAATCCAAACCGCCCCCATACTAACATCCACTCTTACGGAATCAAGTGAGAAGAGTCTGCCTTGTTGTCCAAGCACCACGATCAGCAGACAAGCCCCAACGCAACGTGGAGTCAATCCATAATCACATTTGGTGTAACCTCGCTGGCCCCAATTGTAGCAGGGGTGCTTGCAAAGTCAAAGCATCTTATGGTGAATCCTACGTCATTCCCCTCCATCGAAAGGTTTATATAGCCTTCAAGGGCACCCCCAAAGTCACGTATCAACTCACAGCCTATTGAGCAACTTCCTATCTTCAAGACAATCAAAACTCTCTCTTCAAACCAGCCAACCCCCCAATATGCAATTCAAGCTCGCTGTCATCGCCCTATTGGCCCCCTTGGTCATGGCAGAGAACTGCCAGGATGGCCTCGATTACTGCGCCTACACTCTTGTCGGAAAAGGTACTTCATGATATTTACAAACTTACGGGGACAAAAGAGACAATTAAACCAAAGACACGGTAGCTAACACAGACCAGGCGACTACCACCAGCAGATAGGCACGGCCCTTACCAACTACGGTGCTTTCCTCCGGGCGACCAACCCGGACTGGTTCCTCTTCCACTGCGACGGCGGTGCCAACGGGGCTATCTCTGTCAAGTCCAAGTGCCCCAAGGGATGTGTTGACGGGGGCGACAGCACGAGCGATTTCTGCGCTCCCGATGCTTGAGGTCCCAAATATGTGGCTGGCTGTTCGGGGAGGGACATTGTGAAGTTGTGGGTGAGGATGTTGGTATTTTGAGATCTTTTTGTTGTTGATCGGTGACTTACTGTGCTTGCTTTTGCTATATTGAAGTTGCTGCTTTATATAAGTTTCGAATTGGAAATGTTTGCGTTCTGGATCTTTGTGAGTTGTACTGAAATAGTAGGACAGCAAGTGCAGTCTCCTACTGATAGCTAGTGCGGTGGACACTATCAGTTCGCTATGTATGAGCTAGGAGAGCCTCTTGGCTTGCATTTTGGACTCTAGGTGTGGAGATAGTGTTGGGCAGAATGTGGTTGAGTAAACAAGGTTGATGAGTAGACATCAAGGGGCGATAATATATGGGAACTTAATCAATATGGTACATGAGGTTCCTAGCCTGCCTGGCGTTACGCTTAGAGAACGAAGTTGATCTTTTACCGACGATTACCGTACAGGCTCTTCCTGCTTTAAAAAAATGGGGATCTTTGATCCTGCAGATCTGGGGCGGGCGGTTGGGGCCAGGGGTGAATTGGGAGCCAGCATACTATTGGTGTTCTCCAAAGGAAAGCAACAGCAACATCTCGGCGCAGGCAACAATATTGGGATCATTGTTCCTACAGGAGTTCACAGTAACAGGAAATGAATATTGGCCCCCATGTTCTACTAGCCCATCGGCGAGCATATTCAAGTTTCGCAGACCTAGGAACGCCCCGATATAAGCGCACTGCCAGTGGCAGGATCAACACCCCAGTATGGCCCCATACTCGGTCAACCAACCAGATGTATAGTTTGTTGTTGGTTTAACGGGTTGGTCGTTCTTGGATAACCCGGATGCGCGACGATCTATCGTCCGCATGTACCCCCTAGTAACAATTCTGTCCCTGTGGATTGGCCAAGACTACCCTAATTCTTGCTAGCGTTGTGTGTTGCATATACTACCACTATACTATTACATCACTGCTATTTTTAAGGGGGATATGCCTTTTATGCCACTTTGCAAGCAATGAAACCAATCAATGAGATCATACCAGAAGATCAGGTTATTAATAATTAAGACCAAGCCTTCCTATTTAGGATTATAATTGATCTAGGTAGCCAGGAGAGGAGAGAGAGAGAAAGATCTCTAATTAGTATAGAACACAGTAATCGATTATATTGAAACAAGAAAGATACTAACTAACTAGTAAAAGAAGATCAACATGATCCACATGGACAGAATTGTTACTAAGAGGGGTAGTCTAGAAATCATATTCAATAACATGATTCGATCCTTTGCAAGATTGAGCTAGAACATCTCTATGGAGACGTAAAGAGCTACCTACACATTATCACAGAGAGATACTGGTAGACTTCCAAGGCGACAACGCTGTTTGTGTGATTTTGCTGTTGGTTTTCGAAGAAACGAATAAAATAAGCTACTATAGGCTCTAGTGACCAACCATCGATTGGATGACAGCAGAGAATCTCTCTCCATCCGGCTTGGCAGCCTCCACGATCTCCCGCATCTGCGTCAGCTCTTCTGCTGTCAATTCGATGTCACGAGATGCCCAATTTTCTTCCAAGCGTGCGGCTTTTGTCGTTCCCGGTATTGTAATCGCGCCTTGCGCAGCAACCCAGGCCAAGGCAATCTGCGCAACCGTGCAACCTTTTCGAGTTGCCAATTTCTTGACCTCGCCAACAATAGCCTTGTTGTTGTAAAAGTTTTCTCCCTGGAACTTGGGAACTAATATTTCTAGGAGTTAGTTTATCTTAATCCAACGGAAACTTCGCAAAATCAAAAGGCGCGACGTACCAGTGCGTCGGAAGTCATTGGGGGCGAAGTCGTCAGGAGACTTGAACGGAAAGTCATCCACAAGCCAGCCGTGTCCCAGGGGGCTGAATGCTACAAAGGCCACATCCAATTCCTTTGCTGTCTCAATAAGGCCACTGGTCTCGTGCCATGTTTCAAATGCAGAGTACTCGGCTTGAACGGCATCGATCTTGGCGACTAAAATCTGTTAGCGCGCACACTTATGCTCTGTGGTTACACATAGACATACTCGCATTTGCCTTGCGCAAAGTGTCAGCAGAGCATTCGGATAGGCCGATGTATTTTGTTTTTCCGGCGCGTCGAAGTACGTCCAGAGCACTGATAGACTCTTCCAGGGGGGTGTCTTGAGTTGCACGGTTAGTATACCAATTCGAACCAAATGCTTTTCTGTGGATGTTATGTACTGGGGTCGATTCTGTGGAGATAGTAGAGATCAGGGGTGAAACCAAGCCTGTCGATTGTTCCCTCGATGTATTCCTTAATGTGGGCAGCCGAGTTGGTTACCTTTCGTTCAGGCCCGAAGACATCAAATCCACACTTAGAGGCCACTGCGCAGCGACGTGACATGAGCCAATGATGCAATATAGAGAAAGCTAAGTCAACTTGCTTACCAAAAAGCTTGTTGCGAACATTGTGCTTCTTAATGAAGTCTCCAAGCAGCTTCTCATTTTCGCCGTTTTTGTAGGCAACCTAGGGCGGGAAGAGAATTAGAAACTATCGCACTTGGGGTAATGTTAAGGGACGGCTTACCGCGGTATCCCAGAATGTGCAGCCCAGCTCGATGGCTTTCAAAAGAACAGGCTCAGACTGTTCAAGATCGAGATCTGACCCCATCGCAGAATTCAGGCCCATTGCGCCAAAGCCTGGAACAGGGACCCGCTGTCCGCCAACCGAGAGTGTCTTTATCATATTCGTGGACTTTTGTGGGCTTGGGTGCCGTTGCAAAGTCGTAAATGTGAAGGCAAGGAAGTGAAGGCTCTACCAGGGACGAAACTCGCACTTATTTATATTGCGGCTGACTGGCACCACATCACAATCATGATGTGACCATAAAGACGGTCAATATTGTCATCTCCTGCACCATGATGACAAGTTGCATATGATTGGTCGATTGTTATAAGCATAATTATGCCCAGGTGGGTCTACCGGTAAGTTTACTTTGCGGCCCCACTGCAGTCTTCCAAGGTTTTCTGCAATTGATGACAAGTCTTGTATTATTGGTCGGCAGTATGGAGAATGGGACCTTGGAAACATAATTTAGTATATTTCTATAGCTAAGAATTAATGCCGTTATAGAACTAGTTCTACTAGTTAAGAACCGGTAGCTATACCTTAGTATATTCAAATAGTAAGGAACTATAATAAGCTATAGTGCCTACCGGTCTCCTACCGGTTTCTTACCCATTCGTTCTGGTGGGGTCTCCTATGTGTTTATCGTTTTTACATCTCTATATTCGAGGGCGACCGCTTAGAAACCCGCATTGCGAGTTTCATGGAACGGTCGTCCAGGGGGCTGGCAACCACTTTTTAGCTGTCAGCAGGCCTAACAGCAACTCCCGCATAGCAGCATATCTTTAGAGTAAGCTACATCGGGCAAATGAATTCATCATTATCATCATCATCAAATATATCAGTTTTGTCCTTGTGAATGAATCGGTTACATTGGCTCTGTGTTGTTTGAGTAGAGGGGACTTTCGCTTAATTTTGCTTGAACCAAGGATAGACCCAATGATAGACAATTCCAATCTCAAAATTCAGTGGACTTCAGTCTGTGATGATTTATCTTGCGGCACATCAACAACCCCGCTTCCGTCGCATGTTGGGCAAGTCCTTTGCGACTCGTTGTCTGTGACAGGTGGTAGGCCGCACAATTTGAACACCAAGGTTATGACGGTCGGGGCGAAAACGATATAAATGAGAACGAATATTGCGAAAGTTTGGAAAGGCGCAGCTTGCAGTGAGTCGAGGATGAAAGTGGTGAACGAGCGCATAAGTGTGTCCAGGTATGTCACCGGTGCCATCATTCTGGTGTGAAGGTACGAGAGAATAACGTATCAGAGAAAGCGAATTTGACAGACTTGGACGCTTCGAAGGTTATAAACTCACGATTAGTTAGTATTGGAATGCTTCTGCCTAAACAATCCCTGCTCGGCCAGTTTCAGTTCTTTGTCTTGCATTTTATGCGCATTCTAGATATTGTCTGGCTCTATATATACAATCATCGTGTCAAGTCTAGACAGACCCCTTCCTTACTAGAATAGGCAACCTTAACAGCTACCTTAGTAAGGTTGATATTTCCTTGACAAGTTGAGTTGAGTTAAAGAGCCTACTCCTCCCAGATGATGCTGCTCAAACCGCTCGACGAATTACTAGCCTGGCCAGGCTGTCCAACCTGCAAGTTGGCGACTAGGTTGCCGAGGTTTCCACCCCGCGGATCCCTTTTGACAATGGCTACATTAGATGAAGCCTGGTCCCCAATGGCTACCAGGGTGCCCTTCTTATTGATGACAAAAGTGCGGGGAATGGTGCCATATGCCGAGGTGATTTGGGTGAATCCCACCGTGCCATTGGAGGAACGAACCATGGTCGACATGGAATCATTTGGAGGGAATCCTTGATCAAAGCGAATCGAAGCATAAAGAAAATCCCCAGCCATACCGATCTCCGCTGGCGTAGCCCCAGCCGGTAACTGTCCGCCTGGGTATGGCACAAAGGATTGAGTCTCCCGGAATCCGAGGCAGCCGGAGGGTAAGTAAGAGACAACGAAGGCATTGAAGTGCCCGCCTAATTCACTGACGGTGTACAGCATAGTCACTGAGGCTTGCGCTGAGTTCGAGGAGGTGGATTTCCAGAACAGCCCGTGTCGCGGTCCACTACCAGCGGTATAGTTCAGACTGGGGCACACATTTAGTCGTCCCGAGTGCTGGTTAATGGCGTACACGCGGACCTGATCGGCGCCTAAATCGGGAACAAGGATGAAATCACCGGTTGGATCAAGGATCACCTGATGCGGGTGCGGCGCATCCTGCTGCGGTTTGATACCGGGCTGGGACATTTGGTAGCGTAAGACCTGTAAGGCCTCCCGATCAGGGCTAAGGGGTAGTGCAAAGGTTGAAAGGGCAGATCCACCGCTTATGAATGTTAGTTTGGTTGTATACGGGTCTACACAGCTGGCTTAAGTAGACATCAGAATCACTCACTAATGCGCAATAGCCAAATACTTTTCGCGCCCGTGTTTGCCGCCATAAATAGTACTGTGGACCGCGGCACCCACGTCCACGGTGTTCGCGAGCTCCGTCAGTCTCCCATCCCGATTCACGGAGTAGGAGCTCAACAAGCCATTCATACTCGCATTTCCCGCGTGGTCAGAGCAATAGAGTGTGCGCGTTGACGAATCGAACGTAAGCCAACTAGGGCCATCACCGCATGTTTTCAAGGACGAAGTGATCGAAAGCGAGTTTTCGCCATCAAGAGACAGACTGTAGATGTTGCCGTCATAGTGAGTGGCATACAGGTTCGTGGCAACTACCAGGGTGATAAAGAAAGGAAGATAGCGAATCATGGTGGAATTGGAAATGGCGGGAGAAGGATAAATAGAAAGAGGGGAGTTACGGGGTTAATGAAACAATAGTCTAAAGCTATCCATAGGGATCTAATCTACCCGGTAGTGTCCCTTCTCTCTTCGTTTGAGATTCTTCTTGATTTCGTAGATTTCCCCGCAAACCCCCGCATACAGGTCGGCATTGGCTCCACTAGATTACCCATTCTGGAAATGCGCGCCTTGTCGGAGAAGAGTCAGCCAGTCCTGTATACTCCATACTGTCCATTCTGTTTGATGTCAATCCGACGGAACTCTCCCTAGAACTCCGGTATGAACTGTTCACCGCGGTCAAAGACGGCAGGCAGGTCTATCAGCAGACTTGTTAGGTAAATAACCAGAACATATCTTTTACGGTAGTTGTGAGGCCTCGCCAAAATGCGGGTCGGGTCGGCGTTTGAAAAGGGTATTGAAAATATAGAAGCAGTTAGGGGTTAGACTCTTAAGTCCGGAAAAAGGACAAATCCGGGGGTGATAATCATGTACATAATTCTGACAGAACCGGGTTATGCCACTTAGGGAGTCAGTTTTATGTAAAAAGTGATCGACGAAACACCTGATAAACATTGGATTTCAGGATATATTCGCTCTGGCTCGCGAGGTGGATTATCGTTCAGCAGGTTTAGCGTTACACGTCCTCTCTACTATTCCATGCAAGAATCGCTGGTTTCTATTTTACTTCTTTCTGCTATAACTAGATATTGCTATAAGTTGAGCTCTAAGTTCATGTCTCACACAATATTGTCCGAGGTGAAGATGGGACAAGGAAGGAGATGTCAAAATTGTTTGCTATTAGGTCAGGATATAAATTTGATACTCGATCTCAGTTCTCATTGCTTTACTTCCTCCTCCTCTCCACGAGTTCCTTGATCTGAGCAATTATCTCCCACATTCTCTGCACATCACATTTACATCACATTTACATCACACAAGCTCATATCAGCAACTAGCCATCCATCTTCACCATGGCTTCCAACAGAGTTACCAAGGCTAAGCCTACCAAGAAGGCTGCTGCTAAGCCCATCATCAAGCCTACCGTCAAGGCCACCGCCAAGGCCGCGTCGGAAAGTAGTCGTGAGGTACTAGAAGAGAGGATCGAGTTCCTACTTACCTGTATCAAGGTGACAGGAATTAAGGCGAGTTCTCTCCCACCCATTAGTTACTTTTCGGCACTAATATCACTATCATATTCCAGGTCGACCTGAATGCTGTTGGTCAACACTATGGCATCTCCACTAATGCAGCGAACATGCGCCTTCGACGTGCTAAGGATTATGTCGCTAAACTTGTAAGGGCTAGAGAGGAGGCTCAGAATGGTGATGAAGCCCCCGACACCACAGAGGATGAGGAGGCTTAAAATGACCAAAAAAAGGATATTCACTGCAGTAGACCTTTACCGCAACATGATGTTAGAGGTGTGAATGTCCAACGCATACTTGCCCTCATGTTTGCCCAGGATCTCTCTCCCTGCCAGCTAGATTCTCTCCTTCCATAGTAGGTCGCTGAATGATCATTATCATCTTTCTCCAGACTTTGCCCCCAGATGATTGTAGGGGATAAAACTAAGTAGGCATTAAGATCTCAGGGAAATTGCGCAAACATTCCCTCAACGCTCAAATTTTGCAGACACGACTTGAGATAATGCCGTCTCCTGCATTTAGCAAATATTTTCCTATTGATCTCTGTCATATAGATCTATACACTCTGATATCCTCTTCTGAATTCTAGGTTTCTGGTGCGATTATTGCTATAGGGTGAGGTTTTCTGTTGTGTCGCGCACACCTATTCCGCCCGCACGATACCGAGAGAAAAAAAAAGGGGGGGTATAATTGAGAATAAGTCGTTCAGGAAATATTACAAAAAAGCCTGAATTTCTCAGGGTATCAAGATTCCAAATGTACATATATTTAACGCCTTCCCAATTGAGTGTATCTACTTTCCTCCAACAAGCATCCAAGATATAGCCCCAACCCAGAATATAACGAAGACCGCAGTCAAGATTCCCGCGCCAACTCTATCACCTGTAGTGACAGGTCCAGGCCCCGTGCTTCCCTTGGTATTGGTGCCCCCGTGTGGGTCACTTTTAGATTTCCCACCATTGTCAGCATTGTAAGGGCCCGCGGCCGAGAATGGGACCATGGCAGCATTAAGAACACCCAAGACAGACATCTGCTGCTCCAAGCCCATAGTCCCATCCCATTCTGTCTTCTTCGTCCAACGAATTCCACAATGCTTCCCATCGCTTCCGCCGGAGCATTGTTGACCGGCAGCAACAGCGGAGACCTTGAATCTCCCCATTACGTCCGCCGTGACATTGGCCGGCACTATCAGCGACATGAATCCGAGCCATCCAGTGAAATATGCCTTGAAGGTTTTCTGATTGCGATCGCACTTATTAATCGGCTCACAGGTGATGTCGGATATGATTTGTTTCCCGCCGGATTCGGGGAAAAACTGATCAGATGTCTTGATCAGGCCCGTTACGCCTTCGAGCCATTTGCTTTCAGTGCCGTTGGTCTATAAATCCTGTTAGTTTTGATAGTCAACTTGTTGGGGACAAGGGATAGACGTACGTAGTTGTGCATATAGCCCGCACCTGATATATACGTAGCGTAGTTGTAAGTCCATTGATGATCACCATGATCCTTGCAACTCGCAGCATTAGTAGTGGTATCGGCAATAACCCATGTTTTCCTCAACAGCGGCGTAGACGCACTCCAATCCCAAATCTTCTCGGCCCACTCGGCATAGGTCGCGTTCTTGGTATATAGCGCCAGACGCGCTGACAGCTGGAACAAGCCGCCGTTGGAGATGGCGTTTTTCAAATTATATCCATCCTGGTAAGGCCAGATCTGCCATCGCAAGCCACCACCGCAAGCGGTCATATCCCAGCGAGGAATCTGTCCATTGAAGACACCCTCCGCCAGAGAAACCCACGAGGGTTCGCCGTCTATTTCGGGGAAGTTCAGTTCCCCGGCGGTTATCGCCGCTAATCCCCAGAACACTTGATCGTCGTTACCCAGGTACTGAGAGTAGTTGCTTGGGAAGAAGTCGTTTTCGCCCTTTTGCCAATACATGCCTTCCTGGATGGCGTCGTTGAACTGGGTGTCGCCTGTTAAATACCAGTACTGAATGAGGGTCATAAACATCGAACCACCCTCCCACCAGGTATCGTCCATTTTTCCTGGAATAGCTTTCGAGTCACGGGCATTGTAGAAATCCATCATGGTGGTGGCGACGGTCTTGGCGGCATTTTTGAGGGACGCTGTCGGAAGAGGTACATGTCAGTCATTTGAGGTGCTTAGCCAGCGCATGGAATGAACTCACTCTCATCCTCAGGGTTAACTTCAATCGCGATGACATTTTGTATGAGAAGGCAGGCCAAAAGGGTGGCCAACCACCTAGAAAGGATCACAGGCCTCATTTGACGCGAGCCGAGCGGTGACCGACATCGGAGGAAATGCATAGGACTGGGAGATGGAGAGCAGAAGTCAAGTGCATTGAGATTAAGAGGAGAATATGAGTGTGCATCTCCTGGAACAAAAGGGCAATAAGACAATGGAACCCATCGGATTATATCGAATCATCACGATGAAACCAGTCACTTGGCGGAGAGCCGCCGTACCAGTGGGATTATGTACAGGAGTCGATATTCCAAGACATTGGCACAGCCAATCCTGCTGCCTGACTTCATTCTGGATGCAGTTCTGCTCAGCACTGCCCAGTTTTCAGGCGCTTGGCATTGAATTTTCCTTTGGGAAATGAGAGTGCAGTAATGCCAAGACACCCCTTACCCGGTGTACCCGGGGTAGGCGGTTAGGCGAGACATAACCTCTGCGCTTGAATATCTTCTAACACACCCTTAAAGTCACAGAACATGAAAGTTTCCCGGTATATTTAGGTTGGAAAGTGTCTCTGAGTGTCATTTTCTCTCAGGTAGGGGGCAATCTGCCAAGTTGTTTCCGCTGGCGCGGAGTGTCACCAGCGCCAGATTGGCTCTTGGCGCTACCGTGGAAACATCAGATCCTATTTTTAGTGGCGCCAAGGAATATGCCAAGACCTGGCACTGCCTTCCCCCCTTTTGCGAAAATCACCTGCTTCTAGCCTAATCTCTGAAGCTTTGATAGTTCCATCCACAATTCAGATCCTGGAGAAGTTTCAAAGTCAATGTGAAGGTCCATACAGTAAGTCCCGAAACTGGTGCGACCACCTACACTCTTCGATTGATTCTCTAGCCCCAACGCCAAGAGACACTAGTCTATATTAGGTACTGCCAGCCTATGCCCAAGATGGTATTGTTCTGTCTCGAGTGCTTCAAGGCTCAACCGATGCATCCGTCTTTAAAGATTTTATTGAGCAGCTTCTGTAGCATTGTGGGAAATGGCCCGAACCGAAGTCTGTGTTAGTTATGGACAATGCATCCTTTCATCACTCCGACAGAATAGAACAGATGTGTTCAGAAGCCAGGGTAAAGCTGGCGTATTCGCCTCCATATTCTCCAGACTTGAATCCTATTAAGGAGTTCTTGACTGAGTTGAAAGCCTTCATTCGGCGAAATTGGCAGTCCTACGAAGAATATCCTGACCAAGGGTTTGATGCCTTCCTCGAATGGTGTGTTGACGTCGTCGGTGCAAGAGAGAAAAGTGCAGAGGGACACTTCCGTCACGCAGGTCTGTCTGTAGAGGAGGCGTAGCACAGCTACAGCGAGATTCGAGATCAATTTCACCGGTTGACTGATCACCAGAATGGGTTTCCTGTGGACTCCTTGGGAAACCGTAATATAGTTTAGATTAAAGATGATGACCAGTTCAGAATGAGTTTCCCAGTAAATACAGTACCTCTGCTTCTTGTGAGCACTTTTTATTTGTCTGTATGTAATTGCAATTTCCTGGAATATATAACGAGGCATGTATTTAGGCGGTAAGAAGATATGTCAAGGCTGGCGAAGTTACTACCGTAGGTATATCTTTCCCCTCCCCGCTTTCCTTTGCCATGCATTCTACATTTACTCAAATCCGCCTGACCGTGATTCGGAAGGTGGTTTCTGTTTGTAGCGGAATTTTGAGGTCCCATCTTCATGGAGATGTCCCGTTCCCACTCTCTTTCCATCTGCATCCAGGAACTGAATAGAAATGACCTTCTTCGGGTCGGTCGGATCTTTATGTGAATCATGCAACTCAGTTCCCTGTACAGAGGCTTGTGCGATGCGAGGATCCTAAATCTAACCAGTAAAAGAAATCCACTTGATGTAGGCAATTGACTCACACGCGTTTCTTGATCATTGCAATACTTACAGTATCAACGAGGCCCATGTGACTCTCATCTTTGAATTCGCTCAGTTTAACCCTGCCAACGTAGGAGATGAACCGGCGGATGACTTTGGACATTGTGGAAGAGGTTTGGATTTTGTGCGAAGGAAGTGTTTGAGAGTGGGAAGCTGTGGTATGCTTTTCATCCTGAAATGGGGAGCAGCATTTTTAAATATTACATTCGGCCCTTTTATTCTAACAATCGTCGTTGCAGTCTAAACTTCACCTTCCGCTGCCATCGCGACCTGTCTGCTGGTAAAAACGCGCAGAATGTGTACGCGGTGAATGTCATATCCTTCCATCCCAAGTACTACACTTTCAGCACCGCCGGTGCGGACGGCACCTTTACCTTCTGGGACAAGGACGCGCACCACTGTCTGAAGTCATTCCCTAGCGTCAGGGCCCCCAATCACCTCGACGGGCTTCAACCATGACGGCAGTATCTTTGCCTACGCCTGAGCTACGACCGAACAAGGGCTACCGCTATAACACCCCCGAACATCCCACGTGCGTGGTGTTCCACCCCGTCGGCGACGCCGAATGCAGGCCCAAGAACCTTGTCAAATGATAAGCACAAATGTGCCAAGAAAAAGAAATATAAAAAAAAAACAAGCCCATCCTATTGCCAAGATTGGGGTCTTAATACTTAAATTTACTACATACAACAAAATGTTCACAACTGCAAAGCCTTGGCCACCACCTCATCTGCACTCTCATTCTTCACTCCCAACAGGGGGGAATCCGACGCCTCCCACGAAGGAGCCATAACACATCGGGCCTGTCCTTCATCGTACATCTGCGCGACCACCAATTCCAACACCCAGCTGCCTATGCCCTCCTGAAACTTCCGCTGTCCGCTCTCGATCAGGGTCTGCGCTGAGGTGCGTTGCACCGGCCATTGTCGGCCCGTGACACGCTGGAAAGCCTCTAGCAGCTCAGTTTGGTTGGTGATGATCGACAGGACCTTCACGAACCGGTTCGCCGTCTCGTCGGGGTGCCGCAGGACGCCGGCGACCGACTGTCCGATGCCTGCGAGGGTGGTGGCGGTGAATTTCTCCGTGCCAGAGTCGTAGATGAGGGCCGAACACCGGGCGATGTCGAAGCCCATCAGAGGGAATCGCTTCATTGCCTACAATAAACAGGAAAGAAAAGTGAACCGCGAGTCAGCACGACGAATTCCCCTCCTCTCATACACACAAAAAAGAAAGAAAGGAATAGGCAAGCCTTACCCAATCAATCGGATTCCCCGATGTGATACCAGTGAACGTAAAGTTGGGATTCTCCTGGGCCTTCGCTCTAGCCAGTTCCCAACCGGCGCGACGATGAGCGTGAATGGCGTGGAATTCTGGCAGGTGGCGGAAATCCGGGCCCCAGCCGAAGTCGTCGACGATAAATCGCTTAATGCCGGCGGCTTCGGCGGCCTCGATCATGGTGACCTGTGCACCGATGCCGCCGGGGCCGACCACACAGATGGCGGCATCCTGGCCTGCGAGGGCAGTGGTCAGGTTCTCGATGGTGTAGCTGGTGCGGATAACGGGCAGGCCGGCGGGGAAAGTCGAGGAGGACTCGGTACGGGTGATGATGGTGATGTTAAAGCCGGCGCATTGGAGGGCGGCGGTGATGGGAGTGCCAAAGTTGCCCGATGCCCGTGCGGGGGTCAGTTTCAAGGAAGGGGGATTTTTTGATCACAGAGGGGTAGTAGACATTGGACATACCCCGAAGATGGCAACTTTCTGGATAGTGGTGTTCATGTTTGCACTTTTAGTTGATATGTTGTTGGTATTGATGGCGGGTGGTTTAGGGTTAAATTAATTCTATGAGGGAAAAAGAGAAAAACAATCGAGGGGAGATTGCATTATAGCAGGGTGGTGTCGCAAATTTAAGGCCTGTAATTCTATGGATAGAACATGAAAGAGCATTGGGATAACATTAGTAATCCGATTCGAGTCATAACAAAGAGATTCCTTCGAGGCGCTGCTAAGATTGGCCCCCGGCCGATGTTGACAGGTGCGTGCATGGCTCCGATCCAACATTTGGTGGCGAGCGCGGATGGTTTTAGGCGAATGGGCCCATTGTCTATTTTGATACTTAGTTTGGTCTAGGCAAAGAAGAACACCAGAGTAGATTTGATCGAGTTTGGTTTCTGGGTTGTGGGGGAGATTCGCTAATTTTGAATTTATCTGGATCAGACGGCGTACTTTTAGGCTCGGGACGAGTCCGCAATGGCCTCAAGTGCCTCCTCAAGTGGGTTGGAGACTTATTTTTCCCCTTTTGTGTATGCTTTGCGATCCTACGCAGACTTTTTCTTCCACCTTATTCCCCACAGGTGAGGCTCTGGCGAGTATATCCCTCAATTATCCGTCACCCTCGCCCTCAGTACGGTGCAAAGCTGAACTTGCCGCTATCCCAGCCAAGTATGTGAAGCTGCAACGATGTCAAAAACCTGCCTTTTTCCCACCGCAACTCACCCTTGGAATATTATTGGCGACTGCAATCGTAATCCGCATTCAGACATTAGGTAGCTGAGAGCTACGGATGATGTCTGTAAAAGAATGAGCTTAGTATATATTTCATATATGACCACATTTAGAGTGCATTTGCACTTGCCAGCAACGTTCATGGGCATCTCCTCTATTTGAGTGCTGTAGAACTGTTCAATCCCACGGATCATACGGACGTCATCGGCAGTGACGAAGTTAATGGTGACACCCTTACGACCTAAACAACCACCACAACCAATACGGTGAATATAGTTCTCATGGTTGGCGGGAAGACCGTAGTTGATGGCCAGAGACACTTGGACATCAATATTGCGGGCAAGAAGGTCAGTGGTGATCAGGACATGGGAAGATCCAGAGCGGAACTCCTTCATGATACCATCACGCTGGGACTGCTCCATGTCACCGTGCATGGCAGAGACAGAGAAGTCACGGGCGGTCAGGTTGTGGGTGAGCCAGTCGACCTTGCGGCGAGTGTCGCAGAAAATGACGGCCTGGGTGATGGGAACGGTCTCATAGAGATCGAAGAGAGTGTCGAGCTTCCATTCCTCCTTTTCAATAGCAATGTAGAACTGCTTGATACCTTCCAGCGGAAGTTCCTGCTTCCTGACTAGGATACAGACGGGATCACGCATGAACTTAGTGGTAACCTCAAGGACATTTTGGGGCATGGTGACAGAGTGAAGGACAAACTGGGTGGACTTAGGAAGGAAGTGTAAGATTGTGTAAATTTGGTCCGCGAAACCGCGCTAAAATATTGTCAAGCCTTTGTTCCTTATCTTGTCTAATATAAACGGGGAGGGATTTTTGGACCAAACTTACAGACAACATCTCATCAGCCTCGTCGAGGATGAAAAGCTTCATCTCTTCGGTTTGGAAGACACGGCGCTGGATTAGGTCGTGGATACGGCCCGGGGTACCAACAACTAGCTGAGGGCCCTCGCGGAGGTCTTTCATGTCCTCAAGGAGAGAAGTGCCACCAATACAGGCACAGCACTCGATATTCATAAATTCACTGAGGGCGATGACGTACTTCTGAATCTGCAGAGCCAATTCACGAGTATGAGCGACAATCAGACCCTGGCAGGCCCTGATATTGGGGTTGATCTTCTGCAGAGCGGAGATAGAGAAAGTAGTGGTCTTTCCAGCGCCAGACTGGACCTGAGCAATGACATCTCTGTCTAGGGTGTGTTATTAATACTGCCTTGAGAGCCTTGTGACCGTAGATTGAAGTCGGGAGATACTTTACCCTTGATAATGGGCATGATGGCACGCTGCTATATAGCGGAGGGGCGCTTGAAACCACAGAAATGGATACCTGGGGGACGAGACATGATCGTCAGAACATCTGATCCTCATATTTCCACAAGTGGCGGAGAAACTTGATCACATACCCCGAAGCAGGTCAGGCTTCAGGTCCATAGAATCGAAAGAATCGGTGACCTCATCGTAATTGGATTGGAGCTCAGCTATAAATTTGAAAAGCCTCGGTCAGATCATGTTCTAGTGTTTTGACATTTAGTGGCGTAAGAACCGACACACGGTAGAAAAGATGGGGTGTATTTAGATCAGGATTGCGTTTCGAAATGAACAAAGTAAGCTCATTGAACTTGTGGAGTACTGCGTGAATCTGTTCCAGTCGTGACCAATCTTGGAGAGTGAACGGCGGAAGTTCCTCCTGAAGGTTTAGGAACTTGTTGACTTGTTGCCTTGACTTCAAGCCATCATCGACCATGCGAAATGTCGAGTTCCATCGTGTCGTAACATCGTACGCAACGAATTTGTCTGGGAGATTGTTGAGTCTGCAAATCTCCTTCCATTTCTGTCGGCGCTGAGGACTTCGGTTAATCTAAAGAGCGAGGACCCGTAATCTCCCTATTGCTAAGTGATCGGTGATCGAGTTACCAGTCTGTAAACAGTCGCAGACAACTTGCGCTTATTCTATCGTCCCCGACCCCAGGTTACGGAGGATATCTTTCACAATCAGATTAAGGACATAAGCTAGGTAGCGGACGTAGCTGTTAAGACCTCGATAGAGTGGTGCTGGCATAGCGTCTCTCACCCTAGGTCGGTCGGAAAGAGAGAAGTATAACTCCGATGCCATGGCCTCATTATTACTGGCGTTGTCGCCTATAATAGAAATGAGCTTATCCTCGAGACTCAACTCATTAAGCATTTTTTCCACTATAATTGCCAGATTTTCTCCACTATGAATGCCCTGGAGTTCGGTGAACTCGAGTAATCTCCCGCGATACTCAAATTCGTTAGTCAGCCAATGACCTATTATCCCTAAAATAGGAAGATGATTCTGGCTTATCCAGATATCTAGTGATAAGGCAATGGTTTTGCAGGTCAAAGTCAGCTCATTCTTTAGGTCGGTGCGCTAAGAAGTGAATGGAGGCTCAATCCTAGGAATGTCTCGGAACATTTGCTGAAACTCTGGAGACTCGATAGTGGTGAAGGCTTTCATATTAGTCATGATCCAGCGAATGGCATTCCTTTCTAAGACCTCTTGATAGGTGAGACTCTGTTTACCACCTATAAAACTCCGAATGTCTGGTCCCTTCTTCGCTGGCTATATACTGGAGGTCGGGTAGTAAATGCCATACTTTGCCAAGTGGGTTTTTATGTTGCTGGTTGTGTTTTGCCTTTAGGAATCTGACGTATGCTAGTCATAGCGTGTTCCCGCTTTTTCATCTACATGCATATAGCAAATCTCTCGGTTGACAAGCCGCCTCTTGTTAGTCCTCTTGATAACCTATAGACAATCAACGGCTGTAGTCTCGAAGTGTCCCCAGACCCACTCTGTAGCCGGCGCTGGCCGTTTGCACCATCGAGAGGATATGTGGCTTGTGATTGAAGTACTAGCATCTGTTGAGCTCTCTTAGGATACTAGCACTTGCGACACAGACCGGAAGGTAGGAGCTCGTAATCTGGTATGTTAGCGAGGATCACCGCGTCTTTTTAATAGGTTGGGAGAGTACGTGTGAGATTGCTCGTTGGCTCGCTTGATTCGCTTGATTGGTTGGTTTGATCCTCGGGGAAAGATTCTCCATCGCTCTCGTCATTCAGAACTCGGTAGTTGAGGCGTTTCTGCCGGGTACGCATTTTGTGTTGGATACACCGGGCCACTAGTGCAGTGTGAATGAATACAATTTGCTGATCACAGCTCACTGTCGATATAGATCCGGTGGTTCAGTGGAACCAGGGTTGAAGAGTCATATGTGGAGCTGGTTAGTTTCTGGAAGAGCTTCACTGTCAACTAAGAAGAGGTAGCGGCACGCGTCCCAGTCTCTCAGACGCGTCGCGTCTAAATAGAGTTGAACCATAAAATGGGATTGAACCCTTATGACCTCTGGATATTCTGCCATATAGTATAACGGAAGAAGGAAGGCTTAGCCATAGAATAGAACAGGTAATATGATAGTATGTTGGCAGGAAAAAGCCAATGACGTAAATATATATATACTTATGCGCAGAGGAATGGAAGCAACTTAGAAAGGATTAGACATGTACTTTACAATAGCAGAGTTTGTTGATAGGACGGGAGAGCAACATCAAATATATAAATATCAAGCCATATAGTACGGCAACAACACAACGTAGGACTACACAACGGAAGCGGATTGCCCTAATTAACGAGTATCTAAGCTTATATTCACTTCGTAGTAAAGTCTTCTATATCTAGGACCAGGAGCTATTCTCTTATTGTCCATTTACCGGTGACGATATATCGCCGACGATAATATCATTTGCCGATATCGTATCGACAGTTTAAGAAACCGTCGATGTCGATTGTCGATACGATATCGGCAGACTTCGAAGTTGACGGTGCCGATTGACGATATTGGAAAACAGTGCCGATATCGTATCGTTAACAGCTCTAGTTGGGTGTTTCTTAACCACGCATTAATTATCGACTCTAAAAAATAATGGACTCTTTTTTAAACTGATCCACCGCCAGTTGAAACCAAGAAGCCCAATTGCTCCACAGGATAAAGTCTCATTTCGAATTCCAGTCCATTCAACAGCTCCTAGCATGCTGAATCCATCTTGCATAGTGCTTAAATGGTATAGCAATCATTGACAGACGATAATGTACTGGTTGTTCTAACTATCCTGGCGAAGTGACCCACGGTCAGATAATCCGTAAAACCGGTGCCGCCCAACGGCGCATGCGTGACATCGGCCAGGGTGGAACAACGCGGAGGAGGGACTCGTCGCGGAAATGATAGTAAATAGCCTAGATAATATACAGGGAATGGAATCAGTCTAAGCCAGCATATTTCTTCAATTTAGACACCGTATGATATAATCTTAAGCACCATAGTGAACATACTGCGCCCAGTGCAGCGGTCGTTTTCGATAGTCCTCACTTGTCGAAACCAACACAGCCGCTTTGTGAAGCGCCATCGCGATAGATCTATCAGTATAAAATAAGGTGCCATTCTGACAAAGCTCAGCATAGAACAACTTCGCAATTTCCACGCATACATTATCATCAGACGGCCATAAGGTCCCGATGACATGCCTGAATCCAGCGATCTGAAAACCGCTCACAATGTGGAGCACCTCGTCCACTAAATGTTGTGCCCGGTTCTCCGCAGTCGAGCATGCAGAGAGGTAGGCAATTTCCCCTTGTGTAGGACGATTTTCGCAGAGTTTTAGAACGCTTAGGGTGTCCTGCCTTGGGTTTGGAGTAGGAGTCTGTAGTAAAAGGCCACTTTGGGAAGGATCAAATGCATTTGATATTCCGTGGCATGCAAAATGTGCGATCTGACATTCACGAATTCCGCAAATCACGCTTGCAGAGTCTGGATGGTCAAGGACTTCTATACGAGTCGTGGCTCCAAGAAGTTCCTCGACTGCTGATCTTTCACGTTCGACCCCGGGTAGGTTATTGGCATCGGGCGTGCTTGCCATGGTAACCATCAGTAGCTTTGGTAGGCGTTCACTTGACGAAGTGGACAAGGGTCCCCGCTCTCTAGCGTGTAAAAGAGCCTTGATCGTAGGGGTATGTGAAGATATAACTCGGGAAAATGTGCTTTCAGTCAGTCCCACCGACATATCACACGCAGCATGAAATGGGAAGGAGCTCGCAACACCAGTTCCAATCCACCAGACCCTTGGGAGGTCCTCTGGTGAGGAATGGACACAATATCCTAGCTCATTAAGAATGGGATCGACGCACTCACGCCAGAGCCAGGATAGGAATAGGCGATAGGATTTATTCCCCATACCAGTGGACCCCTGGTCGACCCAAATTTGGGCTTGGACCGCACTGAACTGGGGAATAGAAACCAATTTAAGTTCCTCTGAAGAGATAATAATAGCATCACTTCTGAGGCTAGTAATATTCACCACGATGATGCTGCCCTCATTAGAAGCACTCATCATTTGCTCCACAGTGAGGCCTTGTTGAAAGGAGCCGAAGCCTGGAAGCTGTCGTATATCCTGAATGCATTTTTCGAGCTCCTCGAGAGCCTTTGGTCGTCTTGGAGAAATAGGTTCCCCCATCGGGGACATGGTGCTATCGGTAGGCGTATTTACCTCGAGGCGAAGGCATTCGTATAAGGCACATAACGCGGGATGTGTCTTCCTTAGCTCAGACGTGTCACTCCGGTCATCCATGAGAAGACTAAGTATAACACCGCGCCCAGTTTCTAGTAATTGTAGAGCTTTGAAAAGACGCTGACCAGTTTGAAGGGCGAGAGAGCAGGCTTGCGTTGCTAGGCCCGAAAAGTGGGAGACAACATATTGCTGATCTTGTAATGTTAAATACCTATTATGGACGAGCCGTAGAAGGTCAATAGCCTCAACGACTAGTGTATAGCCACTATCATAATCTTTGCGTTTAACGAGAAGATTTATGGCCAAAGTAGCAGCCTTGATCCGGTTTAGAGGGGGCGCAGACATGACATTTACTGCCTGATGGAAAACCTGGATCGCCTCTTCTAGGTCTTCTTCATGTCCTACACCGTCGTAGCGGATTGCCAAGGCGTTACCCAGAATAGATAGCCGCCCTGTAAGACTCGGATGATCTTCTGGGGTTGCTTGAACAGCCTGGTGAGATACCTGGATTGCCTCATTCAGGTCTTCTGTGTTCCGTCTGTGTTCGTATCGACTTGCAAGTCTCATACCGAGATTGCTTAACCAACCTGCAAAATCAGGGTGATCATCACGAGTAGCTTGAACAGCCTGGCGAGATAAATGAATGGCCTCTTCGAGATCGTCTATTTGCCCTCTAAGGTTGAATCGACTTGTGAGAACAGCTCCGAGATTACTCGAATATCCTATCAGATTAGGATGGCCATTCGGAGTTCTTTCAACAGCCTGGCGAGACACCTGGATTGCCTCCTCCAGGTCTTCTGTGCTTCCTTTGCGTTCGTATCGACGTGCGAGTCTTATACCAAGGTTGCTTAACCACCCTGTAAAATCAGGGTGATCATCACGAGTGCCTTGAACCGCTTGGCGAGATAATTGAATCATCTCTTCAAGGTCTTCCATTTGACCTGTGCGTTCGTATCGATTTGCGAGTCTAACTCCGAGGTTGTTTAGCCGACCTTCAAGGCTGTCATGGCCATCAGGAGTCGCTCGAATTGCCTTGCGAGAGAACAACACTGCCTCTTCCAGGTCGCATATTTGTCCGGTGCGATTATATCGATTTGAAAGCAGATTTCCAAGGTTACTTAGAGTCGCTCGAACTGCCTCCTGGCAAACTAAGACTGCCTTTTCTAGGTCGCATATATTTCCTGTGCGATTATATCGACTTCGGAACATATTTCCGAGGTTACTTAAGCCCGTTGCAAAAAAGAAATGGTCTTGAGGAGTGACCTGAACTGCCTTGCGACACACTTGAATTGCTTCTTCAAGATCTTCTATTTGCCCTCTAAGTTCGTATCGTTTTGCGAGTAAGACCCCGAGATTACTTGAATCTCTTAAAGGAATAGGATAGTCATCAGGGGTCGCTTGAACAGCCTTTCGATACATGCAGATTGCCTTGTCGAGATCTTCCATTTGTTTTCCTGGCTCAGATAAAAGTGGAAGCTTGATTCTAGCTTTTTCTGAAGCGGATTTCAGCGAGGTTCGAGGAAAGGAAAAAGGAGACTGAGTTTTGATACATGTCTCTTTAATGGAGACGCGGCTGGAAACGAGCCTTAGCCTGGGCGGTAAGCAGCAAATACCTGGTTCAGCAAGTTCCCGTCTGGACTCAGCCGCAATGAATTTTTACTGATTTATTCACAACTAGCATAGCCCACTGGCGGATGCAGCCTCCTACCAGAGCCAAATTGCTAACTGGTCCGCGGAGTATTGCGAGATCACCTGTAAATACCTGACAACGTGCGTCATGAAGTTTTCAATTTAAGGATGCAAAGTCATCCTCCCTACCAATTTACTTCCTCCACATAATAGTTGATTAAAGGATTGTTCGTGTAGTGCGCACTTTCTGCTGATCGACGCGCTCTCTAGTAGTGGAGTTCATTTCAATTGCCCGGCAGTACAATTGAATCATGACCCACAAATGCTCATACTGATGAAGGTTTTGAATGAAATATGCCATCAAAAGACTGAGATCACTATTCACTATTCTAGTCAACGCCAATAGTCGAAAAGACCATTTCCTCCGGCCCAGCAAGATACTTGTCACGTTCACCTTCAAGTGACAAATCATCATCCAGCGCGACCTCTACCATGTCTTCCATGTCGCTTTGAAGGTAACGAGGGCGGTCATATCTCTCCCATCTCGCCTCTTTAGCTAGCGTTGCATTGTCAACGCTTTTGCTTGAAAAAACCCGAAATCGGACCTTGCGATATTGCACCGCGATAATTTGTTCGCCTTCGGCAACAAATTGCCGTTGCAAGTCTTCCGCCTGCCCACTACACCCGGCTATTCTAGGATCAGCTAGTTCACCAAATGGCATAACCACTCCAGATGCCAATAAGGCACTCGAAACTGGCACAGCTAAATTTCCATCTAGAAGCTTCTGCTCCCTTGATTGCTCTACAATTTGAGCATCCAAAACAGTGTGGTAACCAACCACAACATATATATCCTCCCCCTCATCGATGGTACGTTCAACCCACTTCCGGACGTCTTCCGATTTGACAACATCCCGGAACCACTGTCCATTATTGTCCAGGTAATAGGTCTTCACTTGTTTCGTCTTGATGTGAATCGAGGCATTCGTACGGCTTGATACGGTGGAGGAAAGGAAGGCGGTAAGCTCAGAACCAAATTTACGTTGGGCCCTAAGAGAGTCGGCGCCGTCGTACTGGGTTGCAACTTTCTCGATAATACGGAAATTCTTCCCTGGTCTCGGATCAAGGTAATCTCGGTGAGGCTCGTCAATGTTGGTGACGAAACGTCCCAGCGTAATAGCAGATGGTGGTAGGAAGAACTGCGGGAGGAGAACGCTATTGCGCATTTCGAATCAAACGGAAAATTTGGCGTGGTATGAATGAGAGATAGCTGGCAACGTGGCAGAGTGGGCCAATTTCAATGCACAAGACGGAACCGTCTAAGAAAATGACTGACCAGTATATACTTTCATGGGCAGGGATTTGGTCAGGATAGAGAGGGTAACGTGGCAATATATGATTGGAAATCGATTGGTAATCTAAGAGGCCATCTTACTAGGTCGATTCATGCTTATGCAGGAAGCGACTGGCGATCGAGACCGCTGGCCTTGGTAGTCTGTGAGAACGTCACATGAGCTAGGCTACGGTGAAAGCACTAGTAGGGATCCAGCTGCGGCTGAGTCTGGGCGGTAAGGACTGATCCCCGGACGAAGCTGGTTATGCGTTTAAGGCAGCGCTTTTTCACGGATCTTGGCCGGATGAGTCTGGGCTGACAAAGTATATGCCATACAGGGAAATCGAAAACAGTTTCCCCTCGAGAGACAGCTCGGTTCGTACCCGAAGCACATATTGTCTCAGTTAGGACAAGCGGTAACCTGAAATCTACTTATACAGTGGTGTTCCATGAGTATTTGACCTTGGGTACATTGGGCCCAGGACCCACTTTTAGTACTGCCTGACAGAAACCTCGAAACTTGATTTCAAATTGATAGCTAGTATGCCATCCCTCATATTCAACAGCATCATCCATATTGATGTAGTAGGCGGTCTATACTAGCGGTCAGACCTTGAAGTGGGGCCCAATGTACCCAAGGTCAAATACTCATGGAACACTACTCTATGCAACCCCCATGCCAAGAGCTTCGAGGTCCTACAGAATCGAGGTTAGTCGATGCAGTTTGCCGTCTACACCACCAATTCCTGTATACAACCGCCAGCTTGTTGTATCACAGGAAGTGATTTCAATTCAGGCTGCATCCAGTGCTATCACCGCACTTTCAGCTTCTTTCTTTCTGTTTCCATTACAAATTGATAGATTCCAGGGAGAAGAAGAAGCCTATAGATATAGGCTTCTTTCTATGTATGAAGAGGTTAGACAGTTTTACAATTCCATTTCTGGCACTATATTCATAGTTCCATTTATCTTTGCAAGAGATACTCCATCTATTTTACATGCTGTATAGTCCCTCAGTGTACTATTTCAACAATCTGATGCCTACTATAGAATGGTAAATATATTCAACTATAGTTGGTAAGGCTAGATTGTATTAGTTACACGTAGAATATAGCACTTGGCTTCTGCTGAATACATGATTTTCATATATCCCTGCCTAACTTGCTGAGTCTCTTGCTTGCCAAGGCCCGGCAAGTATGGCTTTATTCACTTGCCGATCCTGTATCGGGGGATCCTCGGTGCATATCATTGAGGCTCTTAAAGATTATGTGATGGCAGTGCAGTGTGATGGCCCAATACGGCCAATTGCGCATGATCCGTCAGCCCCCTTAGGCATTCTTGGAAAAAGCAATGAGGGTTGCCCGAGAATATTCCAATTTCCGGCCTTACGGGTTGTTTATCATTGGTCAGCCAGGTGAACAGCGCAATCCAAAACACTAGTTTGGGAAATGACTGCGCTTGGGTCGACTAGAAATAGAATGATGTTGAAAGGAAGGTTTGTCCCATAAAAGCTACACTTACCTATATGGAGTACTCCCTACATATGTAGGTAAGAAGGCAAGGTTGTGCTCAAACAGACCTATTTGTCACGCAATTTTAAAATATGTGCTCAATATCCGCGAATTTTATGGACACTTACAAAAATATAATTACGGAGAATCTGGGGCTCGGGCCAACGCACGAGGGGAATTGAGCCGCACAGGTTGAATACAAATTGTACCTTACCTACCTCGACAACTTCAACCTAACAACAATCTACAATAGAGAGGGACTGATAGATATACGGGAAAGCAATCGGACACTCTGTCACACTCCTCGGCCACGCTATGTCGTCTTGCAGTTTCGATTGCTCAGCTCCCGCCCCCGCATTTTCTCCAAACAGCGATATCACTGGGATTGGGGTATGAATCTCCCCCCCATAGATCTTTCTTTCGTCGACCACGGGCGCATCTTACATTCTTAGATCATTATCAACAATATCGTGACTGCCGGCTTCGTTGTAGTCATCATTTGCCTTCACTATATCACCGTCCACGATCCAACCCGCCACCCATTTCGAAAAGATGGCCAAACTCCACCAATTCCGTTTCGACCTAACCCGATAGACGAACAAACCTTAGCTATGACGATAATACCATTTCGCGAACATATTGTCAGTAGAGGCACCGAAAAATTTGCAAACTTCTTACTTAAGGTGGGTCGATTCTTATAACATCGAGTGAATCAGAAATGGTGAAAATAATTTCGCAAAATAGTGTATCCGAGCATTCAGCGACATGCAAATAGTCACAGGGTTCTCTATCCTAATAAGCGGGTATCTCCAGCTCAGATGCGGCCTGTCAACCTACCATTGGATGGTCATCGTCCGACTAGCCTGGATTTCCTGTATCACTCAGTTATCTTGCCTAACGCTTCTGCGTGACCATCTGCGCATTCACCCTATTGAGCGAGTACTTAGGCTACTAGCAGTGGGTGCATTAGTGGCACTATTGCTCGTGGGGATCAGTTTCACCGGAAACTATCACTGGGCCTTTGACGCAGACAATACCGATCATCCGACTCTTAGTGACTCTGCAATCTGTTATATGCGCCCTCGTCCGGGGATAAATGCAGCGTTTTTGTCCATGCCTTACACGATGATCTTGTTAATCTTTGGATTTTCTTCGAGGGTGATTAACGTCTACGATACACTTTCAGTGGGGGTGGCTAGGCGAGCCAGAACCTTCCTTTCAAAACATGCACGAAGGTTGTTACGCATCGTATATGACTGGAGCATTGTGTATGGCCGGAGCAAAGTATCTGTCTCGCCACGGAGCCTAAAGATGACGGTTTGCTACCTTCCTCTCTTATCTGTCTACTTCACGTGTTGGGTGCTCTTAGATGTGTTAGATTCTGCTATTAAAGAGGTTAGTTATTATATATGGGACGTGTGTTGATTACGTCCTATTTTTCTAACTTGGCTTTAGGTTATCTGGACAATTATGGCCTTCACATTTGGTATTGTCCGATTGATAGCGACCATATATCGACCGGAGGAGATGGGCCTCGAGGCTCCGTTGACTGGTTTCAATGATTGGACGTTTGGCCAAGTTGCTTCTATGGTGTTACTAGCCGCACCGCTAATCACAATTATCGAATTCTTCCAGGAAGGTGAGTAAAATCTGGGGATCATTATCTAAGATCAACTAGGAGGTCTAATACTCGCGTAGAAGATGAGCCTCCCGCACAAGAGACGACTCCTACACAAGAGACGATTCCTGCGCAAGAGACGACTCCTGCACAAGAGATGATTCCTGCACAAGAGACGATTTCGGCACAAGAGACGACTCCTGCACAAGAGATGATTCCTGCACAAGAGACGATTTCGGCACAAGAGACGATTCCGGCACAAGAGATGATTACTGCACAAGATACCACTCCTACACAAGAGACGATTCCTACACAAGAGACGATTGCGGCACAACAGATGATTTCGGCACAAGAGACGACTCCTGCACAAGAGACGGCTCCTGCACAAGAGACGATTCCGTCACAAAACAGCACTCCTGCACAAGAGACGATTCCGGCACAAAACAGCACTCCCGCACAAGAGACGGCTCCTGCACAAGAGACGATTCCGGCACAAAACAGCACTCCCGCACAAGTGACGGCTCCTACACAAGAGACGGCTCCCGCAGAAGATGATAAGGTTTACCCACGATTTGGGGGCTTCAGCTTGTTATGGGGATTCTTCGTGTTCCCTTTGTTGACTATGTTGGCTGGGCAATTATTTGTCGCTACGCAGTCCTACATGGCTTTGGTTATGGTTTTAAATTGGATATTGATAACTTGGTGGGGTTCGAGGAAGAGTCAAACTCCCGCGCAAGAGACGACTCCTGCACAAGAGACGATTCCTACACAAGAGACGATTCCTACACAAGAGACGATTCCTACACAAGAGACGATTGCGGCACAAGAGATGATTCCGGCACAAAACAGCACTCCCGCACAAGATGAGACTCCCATAAAAGATGAAGAACCACCTCTCTCTGGCAACCAAACTGTGCCCCCGCCTGAAGCTCCTTCTATACAACACCCAAACACCATGGATCTTAACGACCCCGACAATGATTGGACCTCGCACCCCGCAATATCGAATCAGATCTACATATCTCTGGCACAGTTCGTCATTCTAGCTATTTTCTGGGCGGCAGATCCCAACCCGACGAACGTGTCGTTCCTAGGGGGTACTATCGGCTTTGAGGGTCTTTGGGTGTTCATACTCATTCTTTTCTCTTTGATATCGGAGACTTTATTTGCGGAAAGAGACCCGGAACTTAACAATCATCTACATTTTGCGGTAAAGGTATACAGCGTTGTTTATAGGAGTCTTTATATCTCCGTTTGGGCGAAGGCTGTTTATTGTCTCATGCCACTCCCCCTTCTCAGTGCTTTGGGGTACCTGCTTTGGGATTGAGAACCTGACACCAGGTGTGTCCTTTTCTTCAAGCCTGTATATATACAGGTCGATTTTACACTCACTATTCTCTCTGTCTCATTGGCCTATTCTCACTGCTTTCCACTCTTCTCATTCGCCCATGTTATTCACTTGCAAGTATGCCGTTCTCTACATCAAATATATCTTCAAGTCGGAAGGGATACGTTACAGCGTAGGGCGTTAAACCCAAAGGGCATCGGATAATGAAATAGGTCCGAATATCAAATGGTAAAAGAAACTGGAATTTACTTACAAAAGATCGCTCATTTTTACTATAATTTTTAAAATTTTGTCCGGTTACATTTATCTTATTCTCCAATGTCGGACGTTGCCCTTGTCCTTGACCCAGACTGTGAATAACTCAATACTCGGCTGTATAATATCGACAAAACCACTATTAGAATATGTTCCTCGAAGCCCAAATGGATCTACCATTATCACGAGTCAGACTAGAGAGGTTCCGTTGAGAATGGTCGATTATAAGTACCTTATTGAGGTTCAACCGATAGAAAGATCCTAGGTGCTGAAGCTTCTCTAGAGAAAGCTTGCACTACTAGAGGAAAGCTAAGAAAGCAGATAGTTAGTGGAAGAGCTCGAGTTTATACCGCTAGCGATCGTATAGGTTTTTTCGATCGGCAAGGGATTCCCGAGAACCTTCCCTGGCTCGAGGTGAAACCAATCGCAATCCTAATACGAGTTCAAAGCTTCCAGACGACTCTAGTGACAATAGGGAGATATCTATATCAGATATAGTCTCCGATTTTCAAGATAATATCATAATCCTAATAGATTATTTATTTATATCTGTCGGCGAGGAAACGACAAACTTCACGATATATCGGCTAGTGCAATTAACTATACGTATATAATTCTTATACGACTCGAGGAGGCCACCCTTTTCCACGTTGGTCACTAGGCGCCTTATATGGTGTGTTTTAAGTTGATAGTGCTTCTTTCCCATTAGGTCCAGCCAAATAGTAAGGGCCTAGATGGCACGAAAACGAATCGTATCGCATTAAATTATAGACGCTACGCCAGGTTGGTCTTTAACCGGAGGCCTCCTGTTCAGCATCTAGCTGTGCGCCTCGCTCATCCAGCGTCCTTCTTGTGACAGAAGATTTACCTCTTTTCTCCCCTTTCCGTCCGGCGGTTGGAGATTGGTGGTCCTCTACATAGCTGAAGCAAATATTCAGTCTCAGTTGCTTGCCTTGGCAGAACAGAGTCGACCATCTGTGGACTTGAAGAACGAAGGGAGGGAGCGGAAAACCACTGTGAAGGATGACGAGCCGAATTTCTACATAGGTAGCTCTAGCAACTTCCAATCTTCTCGTTGGACAATTCAGCTCTGTTTACCAAGTATCCAATTCTCTAGAAAAGAAAACCACCCCTGCCACTAATAGGCCTGCTTGGAAGGCGAAGGACAGTCCCGGGGGGATGAGAAATACCATTCTCATTTTGTAAAAATTGAACTGTATACAAGTGTTCACTGTCAGGATCGCCTGGTCCACCCATTCTCTCTCTCTGCCTTTTGCATCACCAAGGACCTGCCTGGTGATCTGGAAGCCGATTGCTTCAGTGACTGGGCACATGTTTGTTGATATGGTCTACCCGGCAGATGATCCATGTTGGCCATGTAGATGCCATGAACCGAGGAAGCTTGGGGCGGTCATAGCTAACAGACCAGATCGAGGAACGAGTTCTCCCAAGCAGATAGGTTATGACTGCAAGTTTTTCAAAGAAACCACGGCTGTGGAGCTTGATGCCAGAAGGGGGCTCCCATCCGCGCCTTCAGCCCACAGCCAATGCAACTGCCAGTAAAACGGAAGCGCATCTTCGGCTGGATTTGCTGACCCGGCTTCAGCCGCAGCAGTCCAGAATGAAGGAAAAAAAGTCTCTTCCTTCTCTAGTTACCATCTAGGCAAAAGAAAAGGCCAAAACCAGTCTCCAACTCAGACCACCGAACTCTGCTTTTCCCCAGGCTCCTTAATCCCACCACCAACATGTTCAATAACAGATGGATTCTCACCATCCTGCCCCTCATTCTCAACCTCAATATCCATCCCCATCCCCTCCTTCCACATATTCACCAAACTCGTCGCGCCCATGCGCCGATTTTCCTCCTGGATATTAAACTTGACGCCAGCGCCGATAGGATACTTCTTGCTCGAGAGTGTATCAGCCAGTTCTTTGAGCGGGATACCCGTTTCGTCGCTTATCAGATCTTCGTAAATGGGGTTGTTTTTGAAGAGGTTGTAGGTGGAGTAGAAGGGGCTGCGTTTGAGGGCGGAGGCGTGGTTGTGGCGCGAGTGTTGGATTTCGAAGATCAGTGAGCCGGGGGTATTTGATGGTGTATTGGTAGTTGATGTGAACGGAATAGAGCTTGACGGGTGATGTTTGGAGGTAGAGGTGGAGGGGGAGGTCGGTAGGGGAATGGTTATGGGCGAAGCTGCTATCGCGCGGTCTGCTGCGTCGGCTGTCTCGAAGATCGCGACGATGGGGCGATTAGGGTTTGGTGAGGTGTTTGTTGTGTCGTACTAAGGGAATTGTTAGATCAGTGCTTGTGTGAATAGTAATTGGGAGAGGGCGCCGTACCTTGAGGTTGCGGTATGTTATTACTTCTCCGAATTTCTGGAGGGCGGCCAGTAGCAGCTTGCTTTCGGATAGATTCTTTGGCATGGGAAGTCCGGTTATGTGAACCTGCGCGGTCATGCGCGCTAGAGTAGGGGACACCATTGTGAGATTTGTGTTACTGGGAAGTTGAAGTTGACGGAGACATTGGAGGTTGGAGAAAAATGGCGGATCGTCGAGATCGGCACTTCTTGGCGGAATTGTCTATCTACAACGGACTTGGATACTGCTACTCTGGCTAATATGAAAAATCTGAATATTTGAAATTGAAAATGGTATGTTTTTATTTAGTTTATCCAAGGCATAAAAATCGTCATAATATCGCGGAGAGTTTCCCCCACCAGACGCGGCGGACACGGGATTTCTTCCGTCTCCCGGGCTTTTGAGTCTGGACACGCTTAGAAGATGGGGATTCCAAGGCCGTACTAAAGCAAAAACAGTCAGTATTAATAGTCAATACTCCGCAGAAACCAAACTTACAGCAACGGGGTCGTTGAAACGAAGACCCTTGTCCAGACCGCTGATAGCCTCAAGCTCACTGGTCTCAAGGTCGAAGTCAGTGACGGTCAAGTTCTGAGCCAGACGAGTAGGGTCATTGCTCTTAGGAATAACAGCGACGTTGCGCTGAGTAGACCAGCGCAGCAGGACCTGGGCAGGGGTACGGCCGTGCTTCTCAGCAATGGCAGTGATAGTAGCATGCTCGAAAAGCAGCGGAGTATCCTTAGCGTGCTTAAGGTCAAGCTCAATGAAGCTGAGAGGGCCGAAAGAAGAGTAAGCAGTAACAGCGATGCCCTCCTTCTGGGCGTAGTCAACAAGACGGGTCTGGGTGAGGTAGGGGTGGTGCTCGATCTGGAGGGTGGCGGGGCGGACGCGGGCGTAGCGGAGCAGATCCATCAGCAGCTGGGCGCTGAAGTTGCTGACACCGATGCTGCGAGCCAGCTTCTTGTCAACGAGGGTCTCCATTGCGCCCCAGGTCTCGTGGATGGGTGCGTTGGCGAACTCGATCTTGCCCTCGGCAGTGGTCCAGCTGGGAGGGTAGCGCACTGAGGGGTCGAGGTACTTCAGGGCAATGGGGAAGTGCACGATGTACAGATCGAAGTAGTCGACGCCCCAATCGGCGAGCTGCTTGCGGGCAATGGGCTCGACCTTGTCGGCCTCGTGGAAGCTGTTCCAGAGCTTGGAGACGATGAAGAGCTCCTCGCGCTTGACGAGTCCGTCCTTAATGGCACGGGCGACACCCTGGCCGGCTTCGACTTCGTTGCCGTAGTCTGCAATCAATGGTGTTAGTGTCAATTGGAGCTTGATTTGGGGAGGGTGAAGTACCGCAGGCACCATCGAAGAGACGGTAGCCAGCCTTAATGGCGTTGTAGATCTGGTCGGCACAAGTGTCATTGTTGACCTTCCAGAGGCCGAAACCCACGAGGGGCATCTCGTAGCCGCTGCTAAGCTTGACAGTAGGGGCAACCATTGTGAATGTTAAAGAAATCTAAAGAGAATAAAATAAAACAAGGGATTGGGGAAGTAGAGGGGTATATAAACGACCCCGCCTGTTATTTAAAATATCACAAAATGTAAAGGTCCAGGCTAAATCGGCCCAATATACCTCAATTGGTCTCTCCCTTTGGCCCTTTGGCCTCCATTGCTGGAAATCCCCAGAATTGCCCCACTGTCTTGCGGCTAAAGTGGTTAATTGGGAAATTTTAGCCGGGAAAAAGGAAATATTAAAGGAAATATTATTGCATCGGAGAATATAATAGAATGTAATATAATAGCCAAATAGAAGTGAGTGATTGGTGTATTCCCATTATTCCAAGTGAATAGCAAAGTATTTTTTTCTCCAAACGCCACCTTAAGACATTCCCTGATATCCCCAAGTATCACCAAAAAAAAAAAGTAAAGAAAATCACAGAAAATCACAGAAAAATACAAAAGACCACTCCCAGAATGATTATCATTACTTAAGTTTTTGTAAAAGGTGACATTATACCGCATCCACCGTGGCATTATCATAGCCCGCGCTGGCATCGGGGCCAGCCCCATGCATGCTGGGACCATTGGACATGCGCCCGACGATCTTATCCATTAGGTCCTCCGACGGCAAGAGGCCGTCGAAATGGTGTTGTTGCTGCGACTCGCGCGACACAGGTCCATGGTGCTCCGCCTGGTAAGGGAGGTGGTAGCTTCCGGCGCCGACGTCTCCGGGAATGGAAGTGGAGTGCGCACCCCATGAGCCCTGGCCGTGACTGAGATCATCAAGTGGCTGAGTGTTAGAGCCGAAGAATCCGTGTAGCACGCTGTTGCTGTCGTGCATGTTTACGCTGTGCTGCTGAGATGGCACGTAGTGCGATGCTTCGTGGCCCATTGTGTAGCCCATCCCTGGGTGGGAGAGCGGCAGGTCGTGCACGTTCAGCATGACTGGTGCTCCGCTGGAGCCGTGGAGGCTTGTGGATGGGATGCTATCGGGTGCAAGGCTGGTGGAGAAAGAGTCCAGCCCGGAGGTGACGGCGGTTTTGTCATTGAGTCCGTCTTCGGCTTTGCTGATGGATGTCATGAAGTCGAGGTGGCCGGAAGGATTAAATAGATTAGCCACGTTGTCGTGGGGTGATTGGTACATAGGCCATTGCGAGTGGGATTGGCTCGGGTGGTGGATGAGGTCATGGGGCTGAGGGGCCTGGTATACACCCTGGTGGGATGGTTTGTTGAGCAGGATGGAATCCAGAGAGGAGGGGGAAGATCGACCCCGGAGGCTGGGCGCGGGCTGTTGGTTGTAGTCCGGTCCGGCGCCGGAATTAGTCGTCTCCAAGTAGTTGTGCCAACTTCGCCGGGCCGGGTTTGTCGGAACTTCCAGGCCAGAATAGCCATGCGCTTGCTCTCATCGCCGTGATGGCCTTGGTATTGGTTGGAAAGCCGGCGAGAGCTGGGCGTGGCACGGAGCTCCTGTACTGCAGACAAGGAGCGGAAGAAGTGACGGGTATGGTCGTCAGCGTCGCGAGCGGCCTGAGGGTTTCCTGAGTCCTCGGCCATGCGCTTCTCTTGAGTCAACTGAGTGAACAGCTTAGCCCACCAGGATGATTCAAAAAGAGGCTTGACCTTGGTGGACTGGGTTTTGGGTAGGTCGTGGTAAGTCTCTAGGAGCTTCTGGCTATCTTCATAGATATGCGTGCTGCAAGTCCAGTTGTCCATCTGGCTGACTCCCAACACATCACCAGCACTAGGGTGACCGAAGTCAAGGTCGAGCTGGATTCCAAGGCGTGATCCCGCAGGAGGGAAGTCGGTCATTAGCTCAAGATTCACTTCTAACAAGATAATATCGCAATCCAGGGGATTGTGCATGTCATCCACCATGGAAGCCAGTTGAGGGAAAGAGGACCGCCACCCGTTCACATGCTCGAGAGGCATGGGAGGTGCAACTGGGTGGTGCAGATCACCCTGCAGACGAGTGTATGCATGCAATGCCTTGTCGATGCGATTGGCCTGCTGAGGAGCGCTGACCCACATGTCGAAGCTGAAGCCATGAATGGTGCTAGCAGCAGCCTCCTGCATATTGGAGCCAAGGGTATAGTGTGGCGGCGGGAGATCTCCAGCATATGGTTGCATGGATCTCATATGGTCATGGTATGACGGGTGTGTGTGGCTGCCGTAGTGGCTGGAGGCCGAAGGGTGCTCCACTCCAGTTCTCCATTTGGGAGCTGGTGCTGAGCCATGCACACTCGATGATCGTTCTGGTGATGCCTCACGGACAAGTCGCTCCCCTGACATACTGTATTAGTAAAAACAAGGTGTAGAAATCCTTCATATTTGATAACTCACAATCGGGATCACCCTTCAGGAAAGAGTCGAGGACCTGCAGATGGCTTGACACCTGCTTGCGAGTCCTCCGCTTGCCGGTCAATTTGAAGATGTACTCGGCAATCAGCTCGTTACGGCCATACGACTTGCCCCGTTCGGACCACTTTCTCCGACCCATGGGAGGGTTTGCTTCGAGGGCTGGAATCAGTTGTTAGCTTCTGCCCAATGCATCGCTATAGTGGTATAAACTTACCTTGCTGGAAAGCGTCCTCCAACTCATCAGACCACACAGGCTCTCCGTCCTTCCCAGTGTCACGACGAGGGCGAGCACGGTATTCCAAGTACTTCTGGGACTTGAGGTAACTGCTCCGTGCCCGGCGAGACTGAGAGTTGGGTCCAATCGAGTGAAGTCTGCGAAGCTTCCGTTGATGGAGTTTAGCCGCTACATGCTGTTGATGCAACCCGGACGCCGACAAGGGTTGAGCAGGATGAGGAGCATGAGGATACTTGAAGCCAAGTTGATGTAGCTGATCCTCACGAGCAGAGATATCAGCATGAGTTAACTGATCCGAATAAGACTGGACATTCCCAGTGGTATTCTGAAGAGCTCGATCAGAATGAGCTCCAACAGGATCCAGTGACGGCTGGTTCTGAGTGACAAGGCACTCGGGTTGCCAGTCAGTAGCCATGGGGAGGGAACCAAGGACGGGCTTCTCGAAAAGAATGACAGATTCCGATAAGGAGGGGACTGAGAGGCACCGTCAAATGCTTACTGCCTGGCAAAGAACGCAGCTCAGTCACAAACAACGAACCAAGAACGCAAGATGTCAAGAGAATGTAAGTACCTGGGAAAGAGAATGTGAGAGCGAGCAAGATGGAGTTTATAGGGAACCATAACTCCCCTTTGGAGAGGGGTTCTGTAGCCCCAGTAGCAACATTTTCCGCCAGGTCTGCTTTGCCTGGCCTACGTCCCTCGAACGCCTTGTCCATACTCCTGGGCAGGTCCCGGTCCTGGCCTGCGCACATCCAGGCCGTGTGGAGAGCAGAGGACCAAAGGACGACGGTAAGCCGACCTTGCCGCAGCAAATCAGGAGTCAAGACAGGGCTCGATATGAAGGAAGTTGTTCAGGATGCAAGGGATGCTCAGCAACACGAACCAGTGATGAGTGGGTCGGAGATTTTGTTCAGCACGAAGTGACCTTCAAAATCCATCGCTCGGACCAGCATCAACAAAAAACCACAATAATCAGTGGTAATTATCGCGCCGCAGGAATGTTGATGGTCCAACGACATCGTCTTCTCGCACGGGACGTGGAATGCTCCATCACCGCCAGACATACCACCGGAATGCAGGCTTGGCTGATCTCTGTTGATGATAGTCCTGCGTACCATCAAAAGAATAAACTAAACTAGGTAGAATGACCCTGCAATCCAAAGCAAATTAGTTGAAGTTGTGGGGTAAAAAAGAAAGGTGTTGCACTGTAAGGTAAAGTAGGGTTACAGTTACGCCTGGATCAAGAGGGCACGAGACGCACGAGGACGGGACTGCAGGGTAATTGACAGCCGCAAAGAACGTGTTCAAAAGTATTCGGGGTATCTTTTTATTGCCATATTGTAGCTATGGTAGTATGCAAGTAATCGTACACGGTACATTAATCCACCTTTTCCCTGCAAGGGATGTTAACGAGCCAATCCATGGCCGTGTCCTTGTCAAAGGGAGAAGGGACGAGGGCTTCACTCTTCCTCCTGCCCTCCTACAGTGAATTTCTTGCGCCCGGCGCCAGAAGTAAGCTGTTGGAGTTTGACACGGTCCATCTGCTCTCCTACCTTCTTCTCTAGGCGCGCGAGCTCCTCCTCGGGATCGACGGCCTCCTCGTTCACAAACTCCAAAACCAATCGTCTCCCCAGGAGATGAGTGTTTTTCAACGCGTCCATGGCATTTTCCGCTTCGCGAGCGCTTACAAAGTCTGCAAAACCGAAACCACGAGCAGTGTGATCGAACTTCTGAGGAACCCGCACAGACCGAAGTTGTCCGTAGGCCCCAAAGAGCGATCGGATGTCCTTCTTCGTGGCCTGGAACGGCAAGTTCTTGATGATGATCTTGGTTCTCCGCGCCGCAACCTTCTTCGCGGTATCTTCGCGTCTCCGCTCCTCGGCGGCATCCTTGCCCTTGTGGGATGCGCGAATGAGAAGCTCGTGTTGATCCAACTTGTAGCCGTTCATAGCTGAAAGAGCAGCCTGGGCTTGACCCTTAGTTTTGAAATCCGCAAAGGCGAATCCCATGCTGAGGGTCTGTCCTGGTCGCTTGGGATCGGGTTTGGTCTTGATGCGACCGGTGATAAAGCCATCCAGAGATCGGAACACTTCCAAGAACTTCTCATTGGTGGTTGAGAAGTTGAGGTTCTTTACGAAGAGAGTTGTGGTTGCTACGCTGTCATCAGGCTCATCTGCGGCAAATGTGTCTGCAGTTGAGAATCCTTGATCCTTGCCCCGAGTCTCTGGAGCAAGTGTGGGTGGAGCTGCTGAACCATCGAACAAATTCTTCGGCGCCTTCTCCAGGAACAAGATGGAATCACCCATCTTGCGGTATGCCATGCCCTTGAAAGCCTTTTGGGCTTCGTCAGGTTGCGCAAACTGCACGATAGCAATAGTACCACTCGGTGGCATCAAGAGTCGGATGATCTTGCCATACGGGTCGAACAGAGTCCTGAGCTCCGCCGATGTGACACCATATGAGAAGTTCTTGACCAAAATAGCCGTATTCCCACGTTCACGCTCCTTGAAAGCATCAATATTTACCCCATTTGAGGCAAAGTAGGCTTTCGTTTCTTGAATCACATGCGTTTCAGCATGTGCTTGCTTAACGGCGGCTTCTGAAGAGGTGGGATCAAGCAGTTCAGATTTGGAGACTCCGAGCCTTCCGGCTACTGATGACATCACAGCATCGGCCTGTAACAAAAATTAGTCTCCATGTTTTCATTCATTGTAAAAGGCAAACTCACGTTCATGTATAGGGAGTTCCAGCTGAACGAGGACCCAGATGCGTTTTGTTTCCGCTTGATCTCCCTTTGCTTTTTGAGAGGAAGCTTTGACAATTCGTACTCGTCAATCTTGTATGTCTTCTTCGCCGAAGCAGGTAAGATATGGAGCAGACGACCCTGGAAATGCTTTCCATCAAGGGTCTGATAAGCATCAATGGCGGCATCGGCATGGGAGTATTGCACATAAGCAAAGCCTTTGCTGGTTGTGGAGCGGGTGTCAAAAGCAATATGAATCTATATCCAATTAGTACTCAAGGTCATTGAATATAATGTGTGAATGTGCAAAAATGGGTTGAGTTGGCTCTTTCAGATAGTCAAGAAGCATCTACTAAAATATCTTGTCCTTGTAACATCATTTGCAATTTGCATCGGATGTCCCTATCGGGAAAATCATCATACGAGCACTCGTGGCAAGCAGGCTGAAAGCCAGCTTGCCGGTGGGTGGGGAAAGTGGGGCAAGGTTGAAAAAGCAAAAAGGAAGAAAGTACTAACCTCTTCAATCTTTCCGAAGCGTTCAAAAATCGGTTGGAGATCCGATTCTGTTGTGTCGTATGCAAGATTTCTGAGGAACAAACGCGCGGAGTTCCGAATAAGATCAATATTCGGATCTTCCGGCGTTGCCTCGGTGATGCTGTCAACGTCAGTCGTGTTGGGCGCAATTTTCTCAATGGCCGCAGTGCGCGATTCCTCGTCGCGCTGCGGCGACTCATCACCAGAGGAAGGTGGTGAAACGGCTTTGGTCGGCGCAGTAGTCGGTGCGGCGACCTTGTGTTGATCAAACTCATCTTGCTCTTCCTCATCTAGAAGGCCCAACAGACGACTCGTCTTTGACCGTAGCCAATCTGCATCAGACACAGGTCCAGTTTCCACTTCAGGCTCCACAGAGTTGTCCTGTTCTGGTGTTTCTTGAGCCTTCTCTTCCTGACTCTTGTCAATCACCATGGGCTCAGGCTGCTCAGGCTCTGCTACCGTGGAAGGTTTTTCTGTCTTCGCCTTTTTCGGGTGTGAAGGCAACTCCTGAATATCCTCTTCTTCCTGCGCAGGTTGGTTAATAACAGGAACAGTGTCCGCAGACGGCTTGATCATCTCATCATCATTGGCCCATGTCCGAGTTTTTGATGATGATCCCATAAGAGAAAGGTACTCTTGTAGCTTAGGGTCCTGTGATTTGTTCTCGCCCTCCCTCTTGCGCTTGAGGTTGTTATCCAACGATGCATCATTATCATTCGTGGTATCACGTCTTCGTGTGGGGTGAGCATCTTCAGCGTCATTTGAATCAATCTGCAATAATACGGGTCAGTCTCAAGACCACCTTAATTGGTCAGCGTGCACAGGCGAGAGGGGAGTGGCTGAAGCAAAAGAGCTGGGAATTGACATACCGGACGAGCGATGTCTACAGCGATCTTTGACATCTTCATGTATGTCTTGTTGAAGTGCTTCACAGCTTGCTGGGCTGCTTCATGACTTTTGAAGCCGACGAACCCCATCCTACGTTTAGGTAGGACATGAGCATCGGTGACTTGGAAGCGAGTTGCAAAATGTTTCTTAAGCTGATCATTGGAGCATGTTGGTGGAAGACCACCCACGAACACTCTTGTGCTCTCCATTTTGGGATTTTGTGGTGAGTGTGAAGACTCGAAGTTTCTTTGGGAAAAACTTTTTTTTCTTCTTTCATAGTGCCGCGGGCGGTCTGGTGGGCAGGCGGTGTAGCTTGTCTACCGGCAATAAAGTTACCTTGGCTGCTTCACGTTATCTCGAGGATGCGCTACCGAGTCTCTTTTCTATCGCATCACCGAAACCCCCCTTCGAATTTTTTTGATACAGCAATTACTAACAATGGCGCTCCCCCCAGCCGAGAAGAAGGAGCCTATGGAGGGTAAGTTTGTCCTTCGTGAGTCCAGTGATTAAGTGCTAAATGCTCCGTGCAGCGCAGATTAAGTCTGTGGATATGGTAAGGACACTCATACCAAACAACGATAGTCAATTGATTCTGACACATTTTCTAGACCGAGGATATGCAGCAGGAGGCCATTGCCCTTGGTATGAAACATCGAGAGCGCCCTGGATAAACAAGGCTAACCTACCCCTCAGCCATTGAGGCCACGGAGAAGTTCAGAGTTGAAAAGGTATGCGCATTCCTCAACTACTGATACGAATATGATACTAACTATTTATAGGATATTGCCCAGTACATCAAGAAAGAGGTACGCCACTTCTACCCCGCCCCGATCGCATTTCTAACTCCATACATCAGTTCGACTCCCGCAAGGGCGCTACCTGGCACTGCGTGGTTGGTCGTAACTTTGGAAGCTTTGTTACCCATGGTTTGTGGATACTGGAACCCTTGTCTTCCTGACCAGACACTAATATTGTGCTCAACAGAGACCAAGCACTTCATCTACTTCTACCTCGGACACTGCGCAATTCTGCTCTTCAAGACCCAGTAAATGCGATTGATATGTCTAGGCTCGACGTGCTACACTGATGGGGAGGTGATGTCCGGAGAAATGCGTTTTCAAGCGACTCTTTTGTCTTCTAATATTTTGTCTATGGGGCTGTTATCCTATGGTGAACAGCCATTAGTGAATTAAGCGCATCTGCCCAAAATACGTAAAACAACCAAAAAAGCATTGCCAGTTTAGGGTCTCGGTAAAAGCTCCATACAGTTCACTAAGGGTACATGTATAATCGATGACAGTCTACGGGTCCCTGCTGGAATCGATGATCACATGTGCTTTTTTATACAGGGGGCGCTTGGCCAATCACACGCCACTATACATGGCATCACGTGCTGATTGCCAAGCCACAGCGCCACACCCCCAATGCCGCTGCCTTCGTCTTTGATCGACTTTCAATTCCGCAAATAGCTCTCAGCTCTCTGTTGATTCTCTTTAGTAGTTGTGTACCAACCTTTCCACATCTCTCAACTACCATGGCTTTTTGTATCACGTTTGGAACGCATGGTATGTCGTCTTGTTTTGATCCACGATCCAGAAACCAGAGTGGACCCCGTCCCTGAAGTTATGTCGAGTGACGGGTATCCATCCGTGTTGTCGACGCTGCGGATATACCCAATCGGATTGAACAAACTAACAATAAATACAGAGTTCTCCTCTCAGCTCGAGGGCTATGAGCACGTTCGCGCATACTGTTACAACTGTAAGTTCTGACGTCAGTGGTCTATTGACCCTGTTGTGGATGGTTTATTGATTCTCCGCATTTAGGCCAACATTGGAATGGTCACTGCATCACCCGATGGTATGTTTCTGCCCCGGAGTACCTGACCAGAATTTTGAACTTGACTAATACTTCTTGAAGGCCTTTTTTCACCATCTGCTTCATTGTAAGTTCATGCTCGCCTGAACATCGTCTTGAGAAAGAGCTCAAGATATCTAACTTTTACTTCGCTACAGCCATTGATTCCCCTTGCTATTCACAAGTACAAGGTAAGTACACTTTAATTAATCACGTCTTGACTCTGTTGTTAACGTACTATATAGGAGGTCCAATGTTACACATGCCGTTACACCCAAGACCTACGGTAGGCTCTACCCAGAAATAATCAAATCCTATCAGTCTGGTGGGATATACCGATATACTAATAATTGCATCAGTGACCGGCCTGACATCACGCCCGATACACGGCCTCCGGCAGGTATGCAATATGGCATCCAGCCCCCTCCCGGGCAGGCCCCAGGAGGCTGGCAGCAACAACCTCCTCTGCAGCAGCCGCCTCAAGCACAGGGTGGACTTGGATACAAATGAGTTTTCAAAGATGTTCGGATACCACTAGCATGAAGACGCAGCAATTGTTGCCGGGGTGTGAGGCAGAAAGAGGGTTTAACAGGAGACGCATGTTGCAGCTTAATATCGCGAATTTGCCCTTTGGCGTTGGGTAACTTTGTATTTTGTTTTTCTTTGCTTCAAATCTCGAAATTTTCATTTGGTTAGCATAGCATGTTTTGTTCCTCACAATGAATATACATGGTTGTTACAGAATGCTAGCTTGCTACCACAGACTATCTACCATGATCGGAACACATAATAATAAAGCGGATGAATTTCAATTTCAAATAAACTAGCAAGTAGGGGTATAAGTAGCCGTAAACAAGATATTAAACCAAAACCAAGGCGCGAATAAAGCACCCGTAAAGGTATCACCAACAAGAACCTCAAACCTCCCTCTCCAAGGCCTGCTTATCCTTTTCCCCAAGCGTCTCCGTCGGTGTCGCAACCCCAGAAGGCGTAGCCACATCATCAGCCCCAGCCTTCGTCCCACGATAAACCTTAGGCTTCTTCCCCACAAGATCAAGCGACATCATCCGCACAACACGAACAATACTCGCCCGTCCCTCATACAACGGGAACACCACAACACCAAACAGGGTAACGAACAACCAAATAATTCCAACAACAACCCACCCCGTGAAGAATTTCTTGCTGAACACATACGACGACCCGTACATCGGGATCGGCCAGAGAATAAGGAATGCAAATGCCATAAAGACTGTCAGCGTGCGCGCGTAGAGTGCCGAGCGGTTGAGCTGGCGTGTTTCTTCTTCGCTCTCATCTTCTGTGGGACCCATCTCGCCGGGAACGAGTTCGAGGTCAATGTGGGCGGCGGCGGCGACTTCTGTGTCGTCGACTTTGCGGATTGCGCGCATGGATTCGTAGTCATAGTTTTGTGGGCCGAAGATGTAGGTGAAGAGTGGGACGAAGACGACTGGGCTGAGAAGGGCGGCGACGTTGCCAGCGAGCATGGGGTAACTGGAGCGATTTGTTAGGTTTCGGTTTGTAGTATGGATGTTGGGAGCGGAGTGCTTACTTGGAGCCAGTGCTGTCGACGGTTAGGATTCCGTATTGCTTCTTTGCGGTCACTAGCCAGGCAATAAGAGAGACTGCCAAACCGAGGGGAGGGGATAAGGCTGCTGCGATACGGTTCTGGCCCTTCCAGAGGAGGGTCATGGCGCCTGGGAAGACGGCGGAAGAGATGATCACGCCCATCAGCAGGTAAAGATATCCCATGCCGATGCCGGCGTAGTAGAGACCCGTCGCAAAGCCCGCCATGATGATCGAGTAGACGATGCAAGACATGTGCGAAATCCAGACAAGTCTCTTGCCCTTGGCGCTTGGGTTGATATAGGCGGCGTAGATATCGTAGGTGAAGATCGAAGAAACGGCGATCAGCTGCGCCGAGAACGCGGATGTCACAGCCATAAAGATCATCAGTGTTGTGGCGACGGCGCCGCTATAGCCGAGCAGCTTGACAGCTGCGAAGGGGAGTACTAGTCCGGCAGTGACGTCGTCGGAGCTCATGCGTTGCGAGCCCTCTAGTGCCAGCGCAGAGAGGCCCATTGTGCTTGCGCACAGCCAGGGAATTGCGAACCAGCAGATGCCGCCAATCACGTATCCCGGGAATGCATGGACGGGGCTGGCGGCGATGGCCTTGTTGTAGTAGCCGTTGTCTAAGAAGACTGTGCCGAAGTTTCCAACTAGGTTGATGATCCAGAAGATGCCACCCTCCTTAGAGCGCATAGTTAGATAGCTGCCTTCTGCGTTACCCTCAACAGGGTGACGCTGGGAGGCTGCAACTAGCGCGTCATACACCTTTGATGGAGATCCTAGCTCGGCGTTTGTGGCATAGGCGGAGAAGGCGAAGAGGAAGATGACGACCAGGATTACCACGGTATGCAGGTAATCCGTGATAAAAGTAGCCTTGATACCACCGAAGAGAGTGTATAGTACCACGCCAATCGGGAGCAGGAAGCAAGCTGCCGCAGTGGGCACTCCAGTCAAGGATGTCATCACGGCCGATCCGCCGGTGAGCAGCATCGCAGTAACCAGAATGTTGGTCATCAAGCAGAAGACTATAAACACAATGTGCACAAGTGTTCCATAGCGAGCGCGGATGACTTCCAAGAAAGTGTGCGCGTTCGGCGCACGGCGTTTCAGCTCGATAGCTAGTGTTGCGAATAGGAGAATCTGGACAGTGGCACCTATTGATACACATCATGTCAGATATAGAGCTTTTCGGATAGTTCTTATATAGCCAGAACTAACCTGATGCATAGAAAAATGGACCCGAGACGCCGTATTTGTATGCGACTGCAGATGACTGGAGAAGTGTTGCAGCCCATGTCCAACTACTGACAACGGCGGCGGCAACCAGTCCTGATTTGACAGACCGGCCTGCTGTTGAGAACATCTCGGACGTTTGGACTTCATTCTGATAGCTGTATGGAAGTATTTTGTCAGCTTATGTGACTGATATCGATTGAGGTATAGAGACTCACCGTTTCAAAGCCCAGGTAATAAAGATCATCAGCAGGGCAAAGGCAAAGCCTAGTCCCAGGATGATTCCATATCCAAAGCTCTGCGACAAAGGTGCCGTGAAGATAACCCCGTCGGACGACATGTCGTAGACTTGAGTAACCAGGGACTCAAAAGGGTTTATAACCGGCAACAGAGGGATAAATGTAAAAGATGTTGGCAATGTGCCTCAAATTGGGAATCAGGGACTAATTCTCCAATTGATATAGAAAGTAATATTTAGCTTTCCAATATTGACTTGGCATATGGGATATCAGACGCGGAAGATAGCAACCTCATATAGGGCCGGAGGTACAGTATCAGATGCATGGTACGGACCCCAGCTCCGAATTCGCAGCACCTGGGGCACAGCATGATGATCCTTGATCTGAGCTTAGATAGGGATTCTCCATTTTGATTGCCAGATAAGGGCGACATACTCTCGTAATGCCATGGCGCGCAAGGCAGGGGTGTGGACCGTCTAGGTACGCCACTAGAATTAGAGAACCAACATCCCAATGGAGCACAACGCGGAGATTTCAAAAAGTCACTCTGATGTGAAGCAAGAGAAAAGGTTTCAACCGAGGGTATACGCATTGTCAGTCATTGGTTGGTGCTGGCTGTTATCAGTTACTCTTTAGGGTGCTGTGGGTGGGTGATTGTGATTGGCTGGAGGAGGTGTAAGATAAGACTTTACGAGTCGGCAAACTCGCGCTGGACACTAGACGTTTGAAATTTACCAGTGAGATTAACGTTGTCAATGGATTTGCCGATGTAGGTGGGAATATCGGAGTGTCCCGGTTCCAACGAATCTCTAGGGCTGATCAAGATATTCTTGGCAGAGTGAAGGTTACTCATTCGCATTACTCCGTATATTATTTTGAGATCCACTATCTCCCCACGTTCACTTCAAATTCTATTGAACAATACTCCGTATATTACCTAGATTAATCGGACAGTTCCACTTATGTTTTGCCTTGACCAAAGCGTCCGTGAATCAAGCCCGTTATCACATCCATCACCCTCCCGACCTTGGGAGGTCTGTAGGCTGCTTATCCTCGTAGATTGTGACACCAAGCTATAAATTTATTAAATGCACGCTTTTTATAATAATTGTTAAACTGTAAGAACTGAAAAATATACATATCTGTCTCTTTTTGGAGGATTTGTGTTTCCGTTCCACGTCCTTGAGCGCCTGGTATATATATGTAGGGTGTGAAGCTACCCACGAGGAATACCATTTGTATCCGATGAATTATAAGTATAAGAAGAAGGACTAGAATAGAGCTATATATATATTTATATCCTCCATAGTACAAGTTATATCCAACCTATGACATCGACAAAAAACCACTACACATATATGAAGAAAGTGGTGACCATATTCCAGCTCCACTCCGGAGTATATTGTAGCTTAATTCGAGATGACCCAAGGTACCCACTCGATATGCATTAGCCCCTAAAAGATATGTTTGTTATTGATTCTCAAACAAACCTAAATAGTCCGGGAGGCATGGGCTTGGCTCTCCCTTCGCAGGTCTTCCACTCGACAGCTACATTTGCTGCAACCATATCCCCACTAGAGTCTACAACTCGCTTTTGTATTCCAGACGGTTGAGCCCTACTCCGTACATAGTGGGAGGAAAGGGTATGATTTATCATGAAAAAGGTTAACGTAAGGGGTAGTTGTGCATTGACCACGGTTTTGTGGGTTGTTGGACTCCATAGATGAGTGCCTGATCTCTCACACCTCCGTTTGCATTTCTTTGTTAACTATCCCTATAAAAACCCAATGTTCCTCAGAATCTAAGCTCATCCCTGTCTTCTTCCCTCAACTTTATTTATACCCTTTGCTATAGAGTGTTATATCTCCATTCACCATCATTCTTAGCCACGACTTTCTTGCTTCAAATCACGTCACTTTCCTTGAATGGTCAAGTTATTGTGGGATATTCATTTTCTGGGACGCCCACTACGATACACAAAAAATGCCCATCCAAATGACCCAGCTAGCAGACTTGTCATACTAGCGGATATAGAACCTGGAGATGGAAATGGTCGATTCCACCGTTTAGAACCCGAATCTGATATGGCTCCACTGAAAATGAATCCGATTGTGGGGAGGAAGTTGCTGTTGTGAAGTAAGCTGCAACTCAACACCAAGTTGCTGATGGCTCGACTAAGCCCCTTACGAAGCTCCTTGGTGCCACTGCCTTCCGTCGTTTTAGTGGGCAGCTAGCCCTGGAGGCTTACACATGGTTCCCAAGAGTAACAAGTGATAAACGACTTCACGACGACATCTCGATGCTGCAGCTAATGATAAAGACATTGAATGATTCAAAAAGACAATTCCTTTCAATTGCAAGGATTTCAGGAAGCCAAAAAGATTCCTTGGAAGCAGTCTATCTTGGGGAAAGCATGGCATTTTTCTCAACTAGAAAGCGTATGCTGCAGAGATCATGAAGGCAGGGTTGCAGTCAGCAACACCGGTTTCAGAACCTGTCTATGAAAGCTTTATACAAATCTGCTGACATCACGAGTTTGAGGAAAGATAAAGATGTACGAGGAGAATCGCAGAATAAAATAGCACAACAGACAATCTTTGGCATTATTAGAAGTCAGAAGCTGTACCAAAGACATCGGAAAGCTTGATCACTGCCCAGGTGGCAGCCAAATTAGCCAGGAGGCTTGCTTCCTTTCCAACAGAACTCTCTCCCTCCTGCCTTTGGTGCTACTACCTAGTCCCAAGAGAATACATATATGGATATAACCCCAGGCACAGAGTATTTAGCGGTTCAACGGCAATGGATTGGTAGCTCGGGCTTTCTCTCACGGAGACAACATAGAGACTTCGGCTGAGTGTATGTTCGAGCCGTATGCGGAGTACTAGGGAACAGAGAGGTTGTGCTAGGTGCATTATCTCCCGCATTGGACGGAAAAGAGAGCCTATTCGCCATTCCATGTACTCAGAATCACTCGAAATCCAAGCATGTAGGTTGGGTAGAACCGACCAGATGCTTGGTAGGCTAAGAAGTTACTAGAAAAGCAAATTCAATGCCAGAAACATATTCAATCAAGTCTTTATATTGTACAGACAAACGTCCGGATATAACAAACACCACCATGTTTCAGTCCAAACTGCCACAGCCACAGCACATTCCAGCGCATGATATCGCCAGGAAACGAGCCAATGGACAGAACACAGACAAGTCAAGACGGATACACGAATAGGCTAGTTCTATCTAGAATGACCTATACAGCAGATAGGTCGATGAGTAACTCTTTTGCAACGCAAATGAAAACACCACACACATCAAAATGAAAACGGAAACGGAAACGGAATCACGCCAGTTGTTTCAGAAGGGTTGATTTGGTTCCAGCGCCACCAACGAGAAATGGCCCAAGGGTCACGGGGTATAGGAGTGGGTAAGTGAGGCGGTAGAAGGAGAGGAAGATTCGAGGTCGGGGAGCGCAGTCAACGCCCTGTTTAGACAGATAGTACACAACAATCTAACGGGATATCAACTGCGCAATTGAAGCTGATCAAGGGCTTAAGCAGAGAACTTGCGGGTGATCTTGGCGATGACTAGAGAGAATAAAGCAATTAGCAACCAATCCAACCACAACTCCAAACATCTATCTCGTCTCCAGTAATGAGTTCTTACCGTGCAGACCAACAACCGAGAAAATGAATCCCAGACTCAGGACCAGGACAACAACGGGGTCGACGCGCAGACCGGGGCTCTCGTCGGTGTACAGCTTGAGCATGGTTCCGGACGAGCCACCGGCGCCGGCGGAGCGGGTGGAGCTGGGACGGGCATTGCGAAGGGTCTCCTTGTGGTCGGCGGTGGCACGGCGGCGCATGGCAGCACGAGGACCGCCGGGGGTCGAGGGAGAGGAGGGACGGCCGACGGAGGTGCCGGTGGCTGCGGCGGCACCGGACTTTGAGTCAGGGCCGGACTCGGCGCCTGAGGCCAGGGGAGATGCTGGGCGGGGGGAGGCCTGGTGGTGCATTGTGTTAGTTGTGAGATTGAGGGATTGACTGGAGGGTTCGCAATGGGTTATTGCGTTGGTGGTGGATGGGGGTAAGCTGGCTTGATCGTCGGATGGTGGTTGATGGGGTTCGGGTCTGGTGTAGATGGACTTACCATTGTGATTAATTGAATGTGGGAGAGTGTAAAGGGGAAAAAATGTATTAAAAGAAAGATGGAATTGCAGTTCAAGAAGAAAGGGAAGGAGGAGCTTGAGAGGGTCTGAAAGGAGGTTTGCGGAGTTGAGGCCACGATCGCGGTTTCTTGGGTAATACCGTATTTGATCTGTCAACCCCGGCAGTTGGGGGCGATTTTGTTGATAATTACTGGTATTTACAATACAAAAAGATCCACCAATCAGAACGACTCGGCGCACATTGCTGCAATAGCACATCATCTACGAGACCTTCGTTAGCGAGTGAACAATTTGGCCTCAGTATAAGTCTATGAATATGTTACGATTTTTGACATGCAGACATGGCAGTGAATAGCAAGGCTCATTTTTCAATACCACCACTACTACTCTACGAAGTATGACACAGATGGAATCAATTCGATTAATATAGCAGCTACTTAAATACTATCCACGTGTCTAGTCCATTGAATTAATAAGAAAGACTAGCTCAAATTCATCGGAAAAAGCATTGATAGCTGTCGTAAGACATGGAGAACACCTCCGGGAATCAAATCATCCAGATAACGCCGTCGGTGCACTCGTGCAGGGGGGGTATGGGGTATGGATATAAACATGTAAAGGAAACCAAAGAAAGTAGAGTCACAGGAATTTTTTGACAGCTCGGAGCCAGAAAGAATGGGAGATGGTGGGCAGAGCAGATTCGACGGAGGTATCACACTGAGCCGAAAGCCCAGAAGCAAGAAAGCAAAATGCACAAAGATCAGGCTAAATTTCAAGGTGTCCACACAGACACGAAGTTCACAGATTAAAAGAAAGACACGACGCTCCAAAATTCAACGCCCCGGGAAATTACATATAGAAACATGTCGCAACCGGGTGATCAGTCGATCATCATCCGTGATGGTACTTGGGTAAGGTTCGAAGAGAGCTCGGTTGTCTTTTCTGCTTCCTTGTTCTTCTTTTTGTTGATGTGGGGCTTCAAACCGCGGTTGAAGTTGTGGACGCACAGGCAGGCGTTGATGATGGTGATCACAATCAAAACGATCGTGATGATGGCGAAGAAGGTCATCGATGGTCGGGCGGGTAGGTATTTGAAGTAAGTCAGCGGGGACCACATTCGGAACAGCTTGAAGCAGAAGTATCCCATCGCGGCGAATAAGAGGAGCTGGTAAAATAGTTAGAAGCTAAATCGACATTGCTGGCGTTGTTGACTTACAATGATGATGATCATGCCAACCATGGTTTCTCGTCGCACAAACCAGGCGCCACAGACCAGAATGATAATGGTCACAGGGATGGCAGCCACGGTAAGCGCAAATTCAGTGTCCATGGCGGTCGAGGAGACCAAGACAAGGAACTGGACAGTGAAGCCCAGGAAGAAGAAGAAATCGAATTTCAAGAGAGCGATATAAATCTGATTCGCGACCGGTTAGTTGTGTTGCTGATGATGGGGAGGTCGAACGAAACACAAACCTGGTAGGTAAGATAGCGACGCTTCATTTGCAGATCAGCACTGATATGCTTATAGATTGTCCATGCAAACTCGTCATAGAGCTTATAGGCGACAAAAGTCATCAATAATGTCCCCAATGCCACAATGCATGGAATGATGATCAGGAACGGCTCGGATTGAGCCCAGACAACCGGACTGATCATGTGCATCAAGGCTAAGGTGGAGACCGCCTCTCGAATTTGTTTCACTTGAACAGCGCCGTAAATCAGGAGGCCAACATTGCAGATACACAGTCCGATGACCTGAATCGTATTCTTCATGCGCAGAGCATCATATACCAGCACAAGTTCGTAGAGGAAACCGAAACCGTAGAGGGCGAGGAAAGTAGGGATAGTTTTCGAAGCGGGACTGTTGTTTGGGAGTTCTTGCATTTGGAAATTCGCGAAGATGTAACTAGAAAAACAGGGATGTTAATGTTGATTTCCGACGATCGCTTTGGCGGAGTTTCATACCTTTCAAGGCTGAGTGTTACGACTGTTTGGACGAGTGTGACGATCGCGAAGGACCACGTCCAATGTGTATTTGGGAGATACATCCTGGGGGTATGGGTCGCAGGAGTGACGTTAGAGTATCCCTCTCGTGCGCGGAACCCTCCTGCACCTCGTCGAAAGGCGGGATCGAAAGCCCCCCCCAAGAGAGAGGCGCGCGACCCGTGTGAAGGAATCTTGCCGAGAGGCTCCGTGGTGGAGCTCAAGTCAACGGAATGGTGAGGGAAAGACACGGTGACGGTGTGACCACCTGACGGTGGCTTTTCGCTTTATAAGACCGGTGGGAAATAGGCCCGACACGGAAAGAAAGGGCAGATTGAAACACCCGGAGGCTCGTGTGCTTCTGTGGCTTGGCAATTTAGTTGGCCTAAGCCGGGATTCGTCAGGAGACGTGATTAGACGCAGGGAAGCCTCAACAGGGGCATGCGACTGTCAGGCAAACTGCTCGAACCGGTTGAGTCGAATTAAAGATAGACGATGATTTCTCGTTTATTCCGTAGGTTGTTGTTGTTTTTTTTTATCCCGCGGTGTTCCGAACAGTCAGGTGGGGGAGGTAGAGGGAATGTGTTATGGCAGCGACCGTACAGTCCTGTCAATGCAACCCCTTGGAAAAAAAAAGAGGGAGTGAATAAGGAACGAGTGACAGAAAAGAAAAGTTGAGGAGGGAAAAAAAGGCCAGAGGATTCGAGACGGGAGAGAAAGTAGGGGCACATCTGGGGTTCAACCAGAGTTGTCCACATACCATGGGGCGGGTCACACATATTACGCAGTATGCAGGCTCCTACGATGTACGGCGGAGTACACATACGGAAAACATACCCCATAACAGTACTAGACAAGTTGGGACTGCTTACTACAAAGATTCTAGACGCACAGAGTCCCTGGAAAGTAGTTTCTCCAGCGACCCGAAGCCACACTATTTCTATATTTCAACGCCTTTTTCTCCTGAATCGCCCTGAATCGGCAGTGGAGTGGATCCATCGACCTGCGACAGGTACCAAACTTTAGTCGAGTCCAGACCTCTCTGTTATTTTCTTCTTTTCCAACATTCAAGTTGCTTTTGTGTGTCTTACGTACGGAGTATATAATCTTCTGGTTCGTCTAATTGATGAAGAGAGAACCCTTTTGTTGTTGAACTGATTCAACGCCTTGGGCTGTCCACGACACTCGGGCGGGCGCCCGCCGGGGCTGCCCACTGGTGGTGCCCACCCTGCGCAGGTGCCTAGCCCTGGAGGTGGTCCATTTAGCTTACTTAATCGTGTTAGTAGTGGGTTAGCCCTCCAGGGCTGGAGGTAAATTAATGCCAATCTGATCCCAGGGCAACTTAACTTGCGACACCTGTTAATTAGTCCAAGCCACATTGAGTCCATCCCCAGGCTGTGAAACATGTTGTAATAATATATGCGGAGCTGGAATGCGACCGTACCAATGTGGCTGAGACAGACTAGAGTGGCTGAGACCCGTGGACGGTTTAAAGGTTGTCCGAGCCATGGCCCCTGACCAAGTCATCCTTGGTTCATGCAGGTGTGTTTACAGCTGTACCTCGGTACTGAAATATAATTACATCATCCCCGTTTGGTCTTATTTTCATCTCCAAGGCCCTATTTTGGTCTATTCATCACCTCATCTTTACTCTCAGCCTAAAATGCCAAACCCAAGTGCTTTCGCATCTAAGACCCGGATCTTTGAAGCACCGCATCCGCCGGGATCGGCCCTAATGTGCAAATGATACCTTACGCCAAAAAGGTCCACTTTCATCCTGTTACAGCCAGCCAAAGGTTCCATCATTGTTCAAAATACTCAATTTCAGACCAGAGAACCTGTGTAAAGTCCGATAAATTATGTGTTAATCGACGCCGACAAATCACCAGCCCAATCGAAACATCCATACCGACCCGCGTCGATAACCATAGTCTAAAACATGATCATCTCCAATACCAACTCCAGAATTGCCCGACAACATCCATGGACATGAGTGTTTCCGACCTGGGTAGGGTACCGGTAGTATCTAGAAGAGAAACTAGTCAGCCCAATCACAAAGAGCCTTTGGAAGTGAGACATTTGATCGGCATCCGGCGTCGGATCCGATCAACAGAAAGGCCGCTGGAGCAGGGTATCTCGGCAAAGACAAGCCCGACAATGAAACTGATGAATGCCGGGTCTTGATTTTCTACTATTGAGGTCTTGTGTGCTAAGAATTCTATGATCATGATGGAGCATATCCAACTCGCCAAACTGACCTTGTCTTTCTAGGGCAGCAGCCCGTTTGCAATGTGTCTCGGGATAGCTACGAAGATCGTCACTATCTATAAACCAGATTTAGGAAGCCATTTACCATAGAAAAACCAGCTCACAACTAGCTTATATGCCTAAGCATAATACGTACCAACAACGTCTAGAAAAGTCAACCCTAGCTATAGCTTCTCCCTTAACCACACTGTTAGGCTAGTATTGTAACCGAACACACCGTCGATTGATTACTATATTATCATCATCCATGCAGCTTTTAACGACCAATGGAAAATACATTTGAATTTTTTCGTGGCTTGATCTTGGCTTCGGCTGCGGCCGTGGAATTTGTGTCCGAGAGGTTGTTTGACAACGTACATGGCAAGTTGTGCAGTGGATGAATCTTTGGATGAGTTACAGACATCCAACATCTAAAGTGATCGGTGATGCCCTAACTATCTTATTTCTTGCGTTCAACTTCCCTACTTACCCGGTCTGTTGTAGAAATAATCTCTATCTTCCCTGTGCCATGCATATTAGAGATGAACGCCAAGCGGGATCGAGACAGTGCTGAGTAGCGAGTAAACTGACATCCATTAGGAACAAATTTTTTTTCCTAGGGACCCTGTCATCTCCTCAGATTTCCCTTTTTGGTTTAAAGTCTAAAAGGTTATCGCAATCCAAACCCAGTCGCCTGTTCTCCTTCCCCCGCACTCCGATAGCGATGATATCGGCAAATCCTAACCGTTTGAGCATAGACTATCGAAATCTCCAAGTTTGTGTCTATTATCTAATGGAAATTGGAGAGATCCTTCAATCAGATCTATGGTATAAATAAGCGTAGAATTGCATGTTCGCCGTTCTTTAAGCGCAACCTTTCATCGTTCAGGAACTCGCTAATACGACAACAATATGCTGTCTCTGTGGGTTGGAGCTATCTTCCTTTGCGGGTATACTGTCATCCGCGGATTCATTTCGCCCTTGTCTACGATTCCAGGTCCGTGGTATACTCGATTTACAAGTTTGTGGATTAAATACCAGGAGTTTACTGCAAATCGACGAGAATCAATCCACCGTTTGCATAAGATCTATGGTCCTGTCGTCCGACTGGGCCCCAATGAAGTATCGTTCACCAGCCTGGATGCGATTAAAGAGATCTATGCTTCGGGGGAAGTGGGTATGACAAGACCGAGTACTATGATCTGTTCAGGCAGTTCAAGATCAAGTAAGCCGTTGCACCAGAAAAATAGCTTGCAGCTACTAATACAGATTTTAGGACGATGTTTTCTACCTTATTGAAAGACGAGGTACTTACTCCTAATAGAAATAAAATATTTGAATGCTAATATCCACCAGCACAGCAAAAGGAAACGCATCTTTGCCGACAGATACGCCATGACCAATATCATGAAAGAAAAACCCATGGCTGTTATACACGAACGGGCCATGACGTTTGTATCTAAGTGTGCCGAGGCTGGACAAAAGAGTGTGGATGTTTACGTGAGTTGTCTAAAACATTACAGCATCCAATATGAGAAACGCTAACCTTCCCAGTCCTTGCTTCACTGCTATGCCCTGGACTGCGTTACTCATTTCATGTTCAGCCCCGGCGGCCTCAGATCTCTGAACGTAACCGAAGACTTTGAAATCATGCACGAACTGACCTACCACCAAAGTCTCCAAAGTTCGCACTGCCCGCTTTCCATGTTCCAATGATAAATACTAAAAAGGGCAAACAGAAAACCTCCTGGAGTACTACCTCCCTTCATTAGCGCCCTATTTCCCAAAATTCCTCCACGCCCGCAGCGCCCCAAAAGCAAACCAATACGTGGTAGACATGGCCGCCCGACTCGAGCTCGACGGCCACTCCCTAATGGAAAAGCTCAAACGCAAAGAATCAAACCTGGAACTAATGCAAGCCGCTGCAGAATGCAAAGACCACATGGCCGCCGGCATCGACACAACAGGCGATGGTCTGTGTTTCTTAATGTGGGAGCTCTCACAGCCCCAGAACCTCTGTTTCCAGCACAGACTTTACGAAGAGCTCACCGCTGCGCCGGCTAATACACCCTTGGATAGTTATGTGTATCTCGACGCTGTCATTAAAGAGGCGCTGCGGTGTGCGCCGCCGATTCCGATGTCACTGCCTCGCTATGTACCTGCTGGTGGAAGGGAGATCGATGGGTTCCTTGTTCCGGAGCATACTATTGTTAGCTGCCAGCCTTATTCGGTGCATCGGATGAATGAGAGTGTCTTCCCTGAGCCTGATCGGTTCAATCCGGATCGGTGGCTTGTTGAGGAGGGGACTGCTGAGCGGAATCGGCTTTTCTTTTCATTTGCTACGGGTGGAAGGGGGTGTACGGGGAAAAAGTGAGTGGTTTCATCCTTCGTTCTGTGGTTTACGGGTGCTGATTGGTGATACTGTGTAGTCTTGCGCTTGTTGAGATGAAAATGCTGCTTCGGGAGGTGTATTCTCGTTATCGGACGATGGTGGCTTCAGATATGACTGCTTCAATGAAGCTGGATGATCAAATCATCTCTTCGAGGCCCAAGGGGCAGAGCTGTAAGCTGGTCTTTACGGCTATAGAGTGATATGGCTGTTTCGAAAATTTGCTATAAATTCAGAATGAAATGTGATAATCCATCGGACTTTGACAATAATTCCCAATATAATAACCAATGATAATTATTTGCAACGATAATGTCCGAGAGGAGAATAGGGGGATCTCAAGCCGATGCGGGGAGTGAGGGGAAGATAACCAGGTGGCTCTGCCAACTGCTTTGATAGGACAACCCTTCTCTTCAACATTCCCAATTCGGTTCTCTCACATACCTACGGGTAGTTCAGTACAGCTCATCTAATCGATTTCCCTAGCTTGAGGAGAACCGGCTACCACCTAGTCTATTCACACACAAACACTCGCTCCCCTAGCAATCCAACCACCATCCACCGAAATCATACTGCACCAAAATCCAACAATATGGCCATTATCAAACCCGACCAATCCAGATGTCGCTTCTCCAAGCGAATCTCGTTCCGATGGCTCACAACGCCCGCCGAGGAAACAACCGATACAATCGTGATGTCCGTGAAGGACTGGTACGTTGATCTGCGGATCGAAACGGCCACAGGCAAAATAGACTGGGCCATTGCTGGAGAGAGGATTGTGGAGAGCCAGGAGCCTTGTAAGTCACCTATATCTTAACTTGGAAATGCTGCATTGCATTCAGCGAAACAAATACGAACGTCCCCTAACCAACTCAATAGTGCGTGTGACCTTCTCTCATGAGCTTGACTCTCACAATGCATTTGAGACTATTGATTGTGGGACCTTTGTCCCCCTGCCGAACGGAGATGATCTCGAGATGGGATCTATGCCTCGTCATGATCTCCCTGGTGCACCCGACAAGGAGTATGAGGAGGTGTGGCGGGAGTTGCCATTTAGAGAGGGCCCCGAGGGGCCTGAAAAAGGTCTTTCGTGGATTCTAGAGTCCGATGATGGAGATCTCGACAGTGGAGAAGGCGAGGTGACTGTTACGAAGACTTTTATCGGTCGCATCTGGGGAACGTATTTGGCACTGCGCCAGACGCAGATTCACACGCGACAGAAGACTCCATCTGGTGACCTGGTTGTTAAGAAGTCTGGTGCTGATGTTAGTGCCAGAAGGGAAGAATGGGAATCGGGGTGGAAGGAGAAGTATTTGGTTGGCGAAGCTGCAGGTTCTTTGCCATCGATGGCGGTTGGGTTTGATGGGGAGGGAGTGGGAGCTTGGAGAATACCGGGGGAGAAGGTACAAGTTCAAGGAAAGACGTATATCGTTCGAGCTTTTGAGGAAATTTAGTAGCACCAGGGCTTTTTTTATCTATTACAACCGGCATTTGCATACATGTATTCAAGCACAGTTCTCGTGATATCGGATGATTATCATTGGACCTTTCATCTTCAATGGGTTTCACCATCTCGCTATTTGACAACGGATTTGATGAAAAGCACCAGACTGCTCTCAACATCCGGCCTTGTAACTACATCTGGATATGCAAGGTATGCACCAGGCGCCGAGCAGAGCGTTCGAGGCCTAACCTGAAAGTGTACACTAGAATTAGCTACGAATTGCCGAGAAGCAGCTTAGGCAATGCAAAAAGAAATCCTTGCATTCAATTTGACATAAAAATAAGCAGCACATGCAAATTCGTAGCACAACTAACCCAACTCAAAACCGTCTGCCCTATACCTTCCCAAACGGGCCAAGCGCACAGATGACTCATCACACGTGACAGCAATATAAAACCGTCCAACCGATCTCCACGCCCAATTTTCCTTCCTCAAGCGCCATCCCCACCAATGCTGCGTTTCTTTGCTACACACGGCGAGCCTCACAGCCCGTCCTCGCAGCTCTGGGTTCCGCCCAGAGCCGCGATACCCCTTGCAAATGAGAAATTCGGAGGAATCTTCAAACCACAACCCGCGCCGTCGTTCGTTCTCGCGCGTCGGCGCCGGTCCTGCCCGCGAGGGCCTGGTGTGATCCTAGAAGTGATCCTAGATCACTTCTTAGCCACACTTGCACTTGACATCAGAAACATCGGGCGGATGGGGCTTGCCCCGAACCCCTTGGGAGAGTCGGTGCGAAGATTGTGTGTGATGACACTTTAGTGCAATACGCAGCATACCTTGCTCTGTCTTCTTCGGAAGGCGGATGGTATCATTCGATTCCGATCATTCTGGTGGGGATGGCGCTTCCTCTTTTTTTCTCCGGTCAGTTCTTGTTTCCTCCCCTCGTTTTTTTTTTATTGGGGGTGCCTGGGAAGAGTTTTTTTGGCGACCTTGCTGATTAGTGGGGTTGTGGACCTTCCTTGCGAGGTTCCTTAGGATCCTTTACCTGCGGGCTCGTTGGGTTTCGGTCGCCGGGGTTGGCGTTGGGTTTGTGGGGGTTTTATTCTTATTCAGAGTGGTGGACGCAATAAAATACATCTACTCATGAAATATATCTTTCTGCTAGCCGAATGGCCTGTGCAATATCTTAAGAATGATCTTTTACTCGTAGCGATGGTGGAAATCCTTGTCTAGGTGAAGAATGCATGTTTTTTGGAAAAATCTGCGAGGTCGAAACCTCGACCGCTGAATGTGTAAATTATCGTGAACATCTTGTTAAAACCCCTGTTGTCAGGGATGTAGTGAAAGAACCTTTCCCTCCAAGTTCTCTCCATTATCATCGAGCTTCATTTTTAGCATTGCCCATATCCCCTCGAACCACTGGTTGGTTCGTTTACTCTTCGTCACCGATCTGTGTGTAAACCCCATGTTAGCTCGGTTTCCAATGATGTCGACCTCGGAAAAATCGAGAACTTACCTTAGGAGCGAGGTAGAACCGCAGGTGGCCACTTCCCAGACCGTACTCGACAAGCAGCGGCACTTCCTGGGAGAGGTGCAGCACGACAGATGAGGACAGGTTAGAGGCCTTGCAGAAGTTGACGAGGTACTTGAGGGAGAAGGTCAGGGCGACGGGTTCGGAGAGGTTGATCACGACGTTCTGGTCGGGCTTGTCGACGTTGGTGTGCTGGCGGATGGTGACGGATCCGTTACCGATATCACCCTGGCAGGAGAACTTGACACCCTCCTTGCTGGCCTCAATCACAACTAGGAAAAAAGTTAGCACGACCGGACTTCGGACTGCGGACTTGTGTCTGCCATTCGGCCTTGGGTATTGCTTCGAAAGCAAAGTTACTTACCAGACTCAGACAGCGCGTTGAGATCTCTGCAGATGCGCTGGAACTCAGAAGAAGGCATCTCAACGGTAGCGGCGTACTCAGTCTCAGGGATGGCCAGGTGCTCCTGGTCAATATCCATGAGCTTGATGTCATACTCGCTCAGTCGGTCTGTCTCCGCACTCTCGAACATGAGGTTGACGGCATCGGGCGAGTCCTCGGCCTTGAGGGTAAGGATGTCTTCATTCTGGGCGGCGCGGAGGACCTTGGTCAGGGAGAGCAGGTTGATGCCGAGAGCAATGTTACGGTCGCAGCGGTAGGGAGAGAAACCCTCGGCACGGAGCAGCATGGAAACCAGGGCAACGTGGGAGTTGTCCATAGCCTGGAGGGCGATTCCGGAGTCATTGCAATCGAAGTTGCAGTCCTGGACAAGATCCTTGATAGCGTCGACGACCTACACACAACAGTGTTAGTAATTTGTCCTTTGCTGAATTGGATGAGTGGTATAGATCACATACGCGCTTCAGAAGGCTTGCCTGTTCCAATCGTGCTTCCAACACTAGAGAGTGGGTTAATTGGCCGGTTCTTCGCACACAACAATCTTTTCGATTTGGGGGTTGGCTGACTTACTCTTGGTTGTGTGTGTATGTGTGTGTTTAAACTGGGTTGTAAGGAAATAGGAGGAGAGAGAGTGTCTTTTAGAAGTGAAGAAGGTGGTAGAGAGACGAGGATAGTGAATTGGGTATGTATTTGAAGGAAGATGAAAGAGGCAGCAGTAGAATATAAGGATCGCGTTCGGGGTGGGGAAGACGCGGGTCGCGTTTGGCGATATGTCCCTTTCGGGTTAAGTTGGATACCTCAGGCGGTAAGGCAACAAGGCCTCCTTCACACACATCCCCGTAAGGGTTTGCCGATATAATGATCAACAATTACTAGTAGGATGGATCTTGGAACGATGATTCATTGGCAGAAGAGCCAGCTGTAATGTACAAGTTGGAAAAAAACAACAAATTGAGGTTGATCCCCACACTCCACGGAGATGAATGAAAGAGCCACCATTCAAAACCACTTAAAGACAGACGAACAGATAATAATGGCACAAAAGAAATAAGAAATAAGTAAAGTATCAAGAAGCAAGAAGCAATAGCCCTCGAACAAAACACCGATGTCGCCGAGCCCCGTCTATATGTACATGTTGTGGGTATCAATTTGTGACTCCCAGCTGCTAGCGCTGGTTGAAGTCAAACCTGTGCCGGATGGCGCACTTGAAAATAGAAGGAATCTGTTGAATGCATCAAGCATGAGACAGAGATCCAAGCCTTGCCTTAGATGCTGGTAACTCGTTTTGCAGAGTTGTTCCCTGGTCGCTGCTTGATGACCATTTCCAGTTCCTTGAGCATGTTATTGCTGGCATCTACCTTTTCTCTGGCAGTCGCCTGTCTCGCACGGTCTTCTCGTACACGTGCAAGACGCTCGTCCCTTGTCAAAGACATCCTCTTGTTTCTCGAGGCCGGGAGTACAACAGCTTCGAAAATTTCCTCGTCATCATAGGTCTGGGTCAGATCCGGCCGGCCCTCGCCAGTTAAGGCTTTCAGTGCATCCGTTGGGCTGCCCTCGACCGCTGTAGACCCTCCAAGGCTGGGGGTGGGAGACATAGGTAACAAGAAAGTGCTTGGCGGTCGCGAGCGATCCCCGACACTAAGGCGATCGTGTTGGTTTGCCAATGCGGCTTTACCAGCTTCCCACTCTTGGAGAAGAGCTCTAAGATCACTGCCAACCGAGTCATATTGTGCAAGGAGGGTTACTTCAAACTCATCAGGGTCTGCGCGTTCTAGATTGGCATGTGACTCCTCGCTTGCAATATGCATTTTAGCATGCAAGGCACGGACCCCTTGTGACAAAGAGTTGAGCCGTCGAAATTGAGCGCGCATGTGGTCCTTGCTTGGTGAGGCGGAAGGTAAAGGGGATGGAGGAATGGCATCACCTGCGAATATTAGCCAACGTCTTTATGTCATAAAACAGGGATTAGCACTCACGGTCCTCCTCATTTAAAATTGTTGTCATTTTGAGCATGCTGTTGCCGGTCACCGTAGCGAGCTCACGCATTTCCTCGACAGCAGAACTCCACCGAGCAATATCGGAGCCACCACCATCGGCACTGAGGGCAAGCAAGCAGCACAGCACGCTTTTTCTCACACTGTACAGTTTTCCAAATAGATCTCTCAGAGAGCGCAATGAGTACTGATCTTCGTTGGCTCGCTGCGACAGGGACGCCTCAACCGCTTCGAGTTCTTCCAGTCCAATGTCGTAAATGTCGTAATATTTCGCAAGGTCGGCTTCATCGGTAAGTGGGCGTAATGTGTTCTGGGATTGAATATACCGCTCGAGCATGGAGTAGAAGCATTCTGAAACCGCTCGGCGCAATCTCAAGCAACGTCGCGTTTGTACTAGATCTTCCAACCGACTGATGGGTGGTAGAGGAGTGCTTCTGTGATGTCCGTTAGCTCCGTTACCATATTGAAAAAAAACGTCGCGTTCTTACATCCGATAACCTCTTGAGACAAGTTCAACCTCCTGAATGAAGACCACAGAAGCTGACGCAGCAGAATCAAATCCCTGGGCGTTTCCAATGAAAGCGCCAGCTGCCTCAACAGCCTGGTGCCGGAGATATTTCAACCATTGCCGCTTTGCGAAAGCATAGAAGAAGACACCGACAGCGGGAACAAGTATCAGGAGCACCCCAATTTTCTTGAGACTGAGTCCTGACCCAGTCCTTGCGCGGCTCCAATGTAATAACCAAGCGATAGAAAAGGATGTGGCGGCTGTGACAATGGCGCCTTGAATTCCAAAAGTTGTAGATAGGGATGGGAGAGCTGAGGGTTGTTTTGCAGATAGGACGTCTGCGGCGGATGTGTAGGAAGGAGCGCTGTGTTCATTTAATAGTTGCGATGCGACGATAACATAGCCAAATTGTTCCAAAAATCGTTCGTTGTCGCTTCGTGCTAATCGGACGTTCAGGGCGGACTAGACGAAGCAGTGTTAGTATGATCCCGTGCTATCGTAGACGAGGGGTCGTACCGAGCAAGCGCCATATAGTTTCCCGATCAGTTCCCCCTGCGGTGTGCCTCGTAGATTGAGAGGCTTCGGTAGCTTGTTTCGAACGCGATCCTGGAACTTGGAAGCCCCTCGAGGGGCAAAGTCGGAGGAACGGGTATGATCATCGTCGCTTTGATTCTCCTCCACGGGCCAACTCTCTTCGTTTCCACCCTCCCCTAGCACGGATGTCAGTGAGTTTAACTTCCTCGGGTATCTTAAACATAGCTAACCTTCCAAATAGTCAGCCAAAGGCGAGTTCTCATACACGATTGATTCCATGTTGCGGGATCATGCCGCGATGACAGGAGAGCGGAGAAGGTGGGCGAGTAGTGACGCAAAACAGGTGATAAGACAAGCGCTTACAGATCCATGTCGCAAAAGGATAGGCGCCGGGCAGAAAGAAAAGTACCGATCACTAAAGAATGTAAATGTTAAAGGTTGGAAATGCCTAGGGCCACGTTGAGGCACGTCCGGGGAAAGGAGGTCTCCCGGTCACGAGAGTCTAATTTAGACTTGACCCACTTACCTGTTCCTGTCGATGATGATTTTACAAGTAAGGGTTGTCGATTTAATTTAAAGGAGATTAGATACATAAAACTACGATGTACATGTACATGCCTACATATTTAGTTTCTAGCCAATCTGATTAATGGAAATCAACAAGGTTTACGATGTACATGATCTTGTTGAGCTGGCCGTAAGCTGCATACAAACGAGCCCTCCCGAGGTCTTGTCACAACTTTTATGCACATAATGCTGAGTCATCTGGCGTAATCGACGTGCCCATAGATGGCATCCACATGTATCTATTTTGGGGATATGATCACCATCCATGTCGCTTCTAGAATGACGATCATGCTTCTGTTTTATTTTATTTTAAAAAAATGAACGACGACCTCCTTCGGAGCAGCCACAATAGCCGAGTTCCGCATCATAACATTATATGTAAAAAGACAGCTATCTATAATACATATGAAACACAATGTCTCTGATATCGTCTCCAGCCAAATGAATAAGACAATCAAAGTTCTCGTTATGAATAGAGTCCATACAGAGGACTTTTTAGATAAGAGCGCAAGCAATCTTCAAAGAAGGGTGATGACGGCGGTGGCCCTAATGGTTGTCATGATTAGACCTTGAATACCGTCGTACTCCGTGCATAATGTACATCTGCATGTCAGTACAATGCTTCGTTGGCGTATTCCCATTATCAAGGACTAAATCGTTGATCAAAACCTGCGACTCTTCCGACATGACCGGGATGATGTTTCGCAGGTTATCGGCTGCCTGGTCATCCTCCTCACGCTGAATTGTCCGGAGGTAATAGAACTCAACCCCCAAGAGAGATTAGCAGGTGCGAATCTCCAGCAAGTAAGGGGTCGAAGATTTTGCCTTCCACTGGCTGCTCTGTTGAAAAGTTATGTACATGCCATGAACTTCATCTCTAGATTCCTGCAATATAACCAGACCGCCCAGGTCAGGGGTTTTTGAAGCGAGCAACCATGCCCAGGCAGACTGATAATCAATGTTGTCAACAAATACAAATGACGAAACACAAAGCTATTCATCCAAATCACATGGCATGCCACCTAGGCGTGCGTTTATAGACTGTCATTTCCATTATCCCCATGTTGGCAAGATCAAATCATCATGGGTTTGTGGCCCTGTGATTTCGGAGACTGCAATAAGGCCTCTGTTCGTATATACCGTTTAAAGGATGCTCCGGTCGGACCTAGGGGATATTCAGAAGAAAATTCAGATTCGGTCTTTTAAAAAGAAAATGCAATAGTAATTTTAAAAATTTATTGAAATTGACCAATGGTGATTTAAACTAGAAATCAACTCGCTGATCAGAAAGATTTCCACGTGTTGCTGTGATCACATCACACCAATACAAACATAGTTGTCCAGCCAAAGATTCTTGCAGTTCGTTCCAACAGCCATATTCCAGGTATAAAACTTGTTCAAGGTAATTCCCGCCGACTTGGCAATTGTCTCACAGGTGTCCTTACTCCCAACCTTCTGGAATTTATTGCAATTGCCCACCATTCCAGTTTGGATGGGCGTTGGCGTAGCTACCCCATTGCCCTTGGTAGTCGTTGAGGGCTTCGGATCGACACCGACAATTCTCACAATGCTTACACAAATATAATAATCAGCCCACAGTCCACTGCAAGTTGATCCAATCTCCGTGTTCCACTTGTACAGCTGATCTGTTGTGATGCCATGATCGGAGGCGATCTTGCCACACTCGTCACCCGACTTGACCATGTAGAAAGCATCGCAGTTGCCGACCATCCCTGCGCGCGTGGGGGTAGGGGTTGCGATACCACTTCCGGCGGTTGTTGTGGTTGTTACGGGCTTGGGATCGACGCCGATATTAGATACACAGACATAGTAGTCGGCCCAGAGGCTAGAGCAGTCCGCCTTAATCTCTGGATTCCATTGTGTGAACTAAGACATTGAGATTCCGTATCTGTGTGCAATATTGCCGCACTTATCGCCGTCAACAACCATATGGAACGCGTCACAGTTGTCTACCATACCCGGGCGGATCGGGGTGGGAGTAGTGACTCCATTAGTCGGGGTTGTGGGATTGGTTGTGGGCTTGGTTGTGGGCTTGGTCGTAGGCTTGGTTGTAGGCTTGGTTGTGGGCTTGGTTGTAGGCTTGGTTGTAGGCTTGGTTGTGGGCTTGGTTGTAGACTTGGTTGTGGGCTGGGTTGTGGGCTTGGTTGTGGTGGCGGTTGGGCCAACTCCAATGATAGAGACACAGATGTAATAGTCAGCCCAAAGACCGGAACAATCTGACTTGATCTCGGGGTTATATTCAACGAGCTGTACGAGGGAAATGCCAGCAGAGCGCGCGATACCGCTACAGGTGTCGCCGTCGACGACTTTGTGGAAAGAGTCGCAGTTGCCCACTATTCCTAGACGGGTAGGTGTGGGTGTCACAATCTCGTTCGTCGGGGTTGCTGTGGTGGGCGTTGAAACAGTGTTTGAAGGAGCGTGACCGATGATGGAGACGCAGACATAATAGTCCAGCCAGAGGGATGAACAGCCTACACCTACGCCAGTATTCCATTCTAGGAACTGTGCTTTGGTGATGCCATTTTTGGTAGCGACGGACGCGCAGTCATCTCCATCTTTGACCATGTAAAATGCATCGCAGTTTTCCACCATGCCAGGCTGGGTAGGACTTGGGGTTATTATGCCATTGGTTGCAGTTGGGCTGCCACTTGTGATTGTGCCTTTGTGCTTCCATACTTCGACTCCGGTACAGATCTGATATGAAAGGTCAGCAAAAGCGAAATAAATGAGTGGGGAAGGGGAAGAACTGACATAATAATCGACCCATAAGTACTGACACCTGTCTCCGATCTTTGTGTTCCAATCTACTAGATTCTGACGAGTGAGACCTGCGTACTTCTTGGTGAATGTATCGCACGTGTCGCCAGCTTTAACCATGTCCCATCTGTTGCACGTGTCTACCTGCCCTGGCTGAGCTGGGCCAGGTGGACGGGCAGACGTTGTTGTCGTGTTTGTTGGCTGAGGTTCAGGCTCTCCGACTGCTTCAACGCAGTATGAGTGGTCTTTTAGGAAGTTTCCGCAGGTCGCGATAATGGAAGGGTTCTGGTTCGGAAAAGGTAAGAGTTAATACAAACGGGGGGAATGGCTTTGATAAAATGTTCTTACCCATCTCAAGAAATCTTCCCTACTGATGCCCCATGCAGATGGCATGTCCTTACAAGCGACAGAGCCATCATTGTCCCACCACCATGAGCAGTACTTGGTAGCCGCTGAATCATGTGGGAACTGAGGTGTTTCATATCTCTTGAGTCTGTATGCCGGAGAAGCAAATGTACTCAAAATACCAAAGGCGCTTATGAGAGCGGCATACTTCTTGCCAAACATGCTGAAGACGATTTCCACACAGGAGAACTTGAACTTGGGAATTTCAGTCACTCTGACTGTAAGCAAGCAACTATTTATGTTTCTCAACTAATGCAATTCGTTTACGCCACATCTGTAGCGAAACCTGGACTGTAGCATTACATTGGAATTCACGCACTATGTTGTATTGCCAACGCCTCCTTCCGCCTCCCAGGATTTCTCCATATTCTTTCAAGGCTGGGGTATTCCAAGGTTTTCTCCCCCACTACTCTTCCTCCCTCGTGCGAATTCTCTGCAAAGAAGTTGATTCTCTGAAAGAAAGACCTCGCAAAGGGTAACCACTCTCCAGGATGCTAGACGAATTCGACATGGTGTCATTCGGCCATCTGCCATTCGATCTCTATGTCATGGTATGATCATATTCAGACTCATTCAGAATGAGAGCCTGTTAGTCATCAATCCCAGCTTATTGATACTAATTTCATACATAACAGGACAAATGGGACCCCGATTCACCGCTCACAAAAGCCCAACAATTCCGCGCCCTTGTTCATTCTTGGGTTCGGCTTGGTAAAAAAGGCCGCAATGTAACCTAAGTCCCGCCCTCTTTCTTGGCATGAACACTAACGCATAACAAATAGAAATACCCAGATGGCGACGATCTCTCTCCCGAGGAGATTCCTCCATATGTACCTCAAGATCTGATGTCCGATGAACATCGTGCAACGGATGGGCAGTCAGCGAGAGTACTCTGGATTCGGACGTGGTATGGGCGGGAAAACGACCCAACAAGTCAGAGTGCCGCCAATGCCGGATACAACCGTCTACGCTCAATTGTTGATGACAATGATATCGACGCAGGTCTAAATGAAGATAATTTCTTCGAAAATGAAGATGAATTTGGATCTGGTAGTTTCACTATACCTGAAGGGGAAACTGAATTTATCGATGGAGTCGCCTGCGGCACGCCAGGCTCTGTGCCTTCATACATGATCACGGCCTTAATGCGCAAAGCAGATACATTAGACGGCTTATCGGCGCGCGATTGGCCTGAAGAGCTCTACAAAAACGACCCTGACCCAGATATGATGCAGTGTCTCATGGTCGTTGTCGCTGATCGGAAAGCGTGTGAAGAAGGCTGGGTTTTGTTCTTGGCTGTGAATCATAAGGGAGAGATTCTTCCTTTCCGGATTCGTGAGAACGCTGACATGGCAACTCTACTGATATTTAATTGCATGGATGGACAGAGTTTGGACGAGAATACTCAGGATCCTAAAGAGGATATCGAATGTTACATACGCGAGGGCGATGGCTGGGCCTGCTGATGCTGCTCTTTGAAACAAGGGCTCCGAAATTGTCTGGTACCTAGTAGACCACGACATAAAATAAGTATGTTCTTTATGGAGAACAAATCAAGACATCCCACCCCGAAATTTTGCGTTTGTACAATGCATCTGTGAATGATAGTACCATAATTGATTGATTGTGATTTATCTTTGAGTACTGGAAGCGGTATGTGGTCCTCGCCAGCTAGAAGGCCTATCACCGTAGAGTTCATATTTAATTTATCTTTTAGGCATCCAAAAGTCTAGAAGACGCATGTATCCCGTGGGGCTCTAAGGACACCGTTATCGGCAACCTTCAATCATCTACAGATGATCGGCAACCGTCCGGCATGTATGGTTCATGTAGTTCTGCCCGCGCGAGATATTAATAGAAACGCTCTATCTGATCGAGTCATTTGAGCCGCTCAGAAGTGTTAAGTATCTCTAAGCAATTAAAACCAAGGTTAGTAAGTTTATCGAACCTTATTTTCATCGGATTTTTTGATATGACGGAAATAGAATGAAAAAATCATATAAACGTAGACAAATGCTTTTTGTGTAGTGCATGAGTCAAATCTGCTAGAAGTTTCTCGCCTCCCATCTATGCCTTCTGAAAAATCTCGTGAGCAGTCCTCACGTAATGAAGATCTCTCTGAAAATGCCATCACGCGACATGCGGGACGGAGAAAACGTACACGAAGTGTATCTACAGCCTGTGAGAAGGAAGATGGAAAGGTTTCTAAGGTTAGCGTGGAGTTAGTGAGCGAATTAGGGCGCTCAGATGATGATCGTGTTGGGATGGATGTTTAGTTAGCTAGGAACATTATTTGTTTGCATTCACAGCGTCATTTATTGCCCATATTTCACGACCTCGTTTGCAAATTTATTTCCTCAGGAAATATGGGACTTACCAATGCCATTTACGGGTGTCCATGTCCTACAAGTGATCAGGACATATTGACTTCATATGTACCTTCTTTTCAACGATCCTGTCTCCTTCCTATTAAGGCACTAGTCTAATGTACCCCTGAGGGCCTTTTTGAGGGCGTTTGCATTTGTACTAGCGGATTGCCTTACATCAGGATTGGCAAACAAATTATCCCCCTGAATAATAGGAGGCCTTAGTTATAGAGAGGTACTTGAAGGGTAAGGAGAGCGTCTGAACGTCGCGATGCTCTGAAGAAAATGAATGGTAGACTTCGTAAGTGGGATAATGTCACTCCTGCGAGCTGGCGGGGTTAACTGATCTCTCCCCCTTATCAGTCCAAGCAGAGGCTGCTTTAACCGCCCACGAGTCCAACAAAGAATTAAAAAGCCAAACGCCATTGCTTTCACATTCGATGACTTCGCGGGTTGCCGAGCGACTTCTACCCATATTCCTTTCTCCGATTGCCTCTTTTCAAAGTCTCGATGCCCTCAACTCACCATTATTGAGTAACAACTTCTCTATCGATCAGTCCGAATCTGCCCAGTTGTTTGGATCGTCGATACACCCTTCCTTCCCAGCCATGACAGATACCCTCCCTTCTGTGGGAGGGAAAGACTGGGAAATTCCGTCCAATAAATATTCTGGGAGCACTGGTTCAGTGCACAACTTCAACGCACCTGATAATTGTGCCGACTTTGACCAGCCAGCAGCCAACCCTATTGACCCGCGAACCGGTCTCCGTGAATTTAGCGTCGTTCGTGATATGCGTCAAAGTAGTCCGTGTGATTCCACAGATATACCAGCAGAGGTCATCTCAAATTTGTGGGTCCCAACTCAGCTTCTTCACCAGCCCCCTTTAGAAGGATCTTATGGGTGACCGTTGTAAAACAGGCAAGACCGCTACTTTGATACCGTGCATCTCGCATACCCGATGATTGACAAGTGGCGCTTCCTAGAAAGAATCAGTAGGAACAAAATCGACCCCGATATGACCTTTCTGCAACACGCTATGTGTGCGCATGCGGCAGCTCTTACTCGAGACCACGACCAGGCCGCAAATACATGCCACCAACACGCACGCAAATGTCTACACCAGATCCAACAGGACGGACTAAAAATTACTTTGCGCGGCCTCCCCAGTTTGCAGGCCTGTATCCTCGTAGCTCTTTATGAGGCCAAGCAGTTAAATTGCCACCGTGCAGTTTCTAGCATCAGGCTCGTCACTTCGCTTGTGAAACAGTTGTGGCTGCATGCCATTGATCGTAAGCCAAATAGTCGCCTGATCTCCCCATGTCGCACTGGTCTCAGCTCTACTAGTGACAAGGTCGAGCTGGAGGAGAGGAGGCGGACGTTCTGGGTTGCGTACAACATCGAGACTTTGGCAAATGTACTATATGGCTTGGGCGTGTCATTGGACCTTTCAGAGGTTAGTGAGCACAGTCAATATGACGGCCATTTAAAGGGGATTTACTGATGATGAAGTCACTTTCAGATCCAAACGCATCTACCGTACTTGAATCCACTCAACGACGCGACGATCCCGCTCTCCGGTCAGCCTTTTAGCCTAACGAATCCCCCAATTCTTGGTGAGGACATAACAACCTCTTCCTTCAATGCAGTCCTTCTCACTACCACCCTTGCCGCACATTGCCTGCGACACGATGGTCAAGCAAAGCGACAAGACTCTTCCGACGCCTCATTCAGCTACGCCTTTTGGTCTCAGCACTTCCGTATCGACGAAATAATCAGTAATATCTCAAACAATATACTCAGTCGGCTAAACCAGCCTCAATATGCAGTCGATGCCAATGCGTTCTTTGCCCTCATCACTCTCAAGGCAACTACTATCTTCCTGCACCAGGTCGCCCTCCGATATTCTCAAAAGAGTAGACTCATGGAGAAGTACGTGTTGGAAAGCCCCGAAAAATGCTTGAAAGCGGCTTTGGAAATCGGCGACGCTGTGCGACAAGCACGCAATTTTAACCCAGCAAAGGTAAAATCTTCCCCCGTATTTTCGAATAGTCACAAAATCTAAATCAAACGCAGATGAATCCATTCACCCCTTGGCCCATCTTCACTGCATCCCAGATTTTTGTCCGCGCTCTTCAACCATCGAACCCACTCTCCAATGTAGGCAACTTCGGACCGCAAGCACCCTCTTCGGGTGACTCCTCTAAGCCCTCGCGTGCGAGCTCGTATGGAAGCAATCCTATTTCTCCATCTGGGGGATATAATTTTACGGCCGATCAGACGCGGATTTGTCCTCCAATAACCACGCCATCTTCTTTATCTAGTGGGAGCAATACTCCACCGAGAGATATTGGGCTCTTGATGGACTCGCTGCAAGTAATTATGGTTTCGCTTTCCAGTATTAAGCTCCAAGGGGGCTTGGCAGCTGCTTGTTTGGCGCATCTCAATCATGAAATCAATGGCGGCGCACATGTCACGAACGAGAGTCCCGTCGGGCATATAGATTTTGAGTCTGCGCTTCCGGCAGTAATGGAGAGGTCACGGTCATGAACTAATAGTTAAGGGGAGTTAGAGGATGCCTTGTTTTTCTGTTTGGCCATGCTCGGGTAGATATGATCTTCACGTTCACGAGGCTGTTGCGGCTCCAGAGATCACCCAAGCTTCTGTATGGATTGATGCCTAGGTGTTATGGATGCGACTAAAGCATGATATTAATTGGCTTTGAATTTTACTCAAAACATATTGAAGAATACATTTGTCTATCTTACATGCGAATAGTTATAGTTCTGTCAGGTACATCGTAGACTTGGGGAGCTTCCCGTTCCAATATATACAACTCTTTATTGATCAGACTGGATCCACCATGCAGGCTGGACTAGGTAAATGAACTTCGCTGCTATTTTGGAGTACTGTTTAGAAAGGCGCTACGAAAAGCTCTAGGAATTACCAACGCAGGAATTACATGATCTTCCATGGGTTTGACTTTCTTTCATGCATGTTGTTCAACCAATTCAGTAATTGAATTGATCGTCGGGTGCTTCATCAGGCTCAGCAATCGAGCGGGGCTATTGATCAACCCTATTTCGGGGAGAAGAGATGTTACTTGCATCTAAAATTAACTTGCTGACCCATTATGCAAAAGGTACGCTGCCTAGCCCTAAATAAGAATAGACTCGGGCCGGGCCCGCGAACAGACTAATCCCAATACTGAGAAGTAGATTAGAGTGATCTTTTGTAAACGGAAATAAAAGAACAGCTCACAGTTCCTGGATTACCAACTCATGCCCGTACCGAATATTTGGGTATTACTGTTTTCAAGACTATAATGGGGACGGTGTATAGTAATGAGGCGATTTTGAAGCTGCAGGCTGTCTTTCCCAATGCGACCAAGGCGGATGTTTTGGACGCTTTGGCGGGGACTACTAGTGTTATTTTTGATAGATTGGATGAGGCTATTAGGAGTGGTGTTATGAGGGCGATTATTCAGGTTATCAACTCTAGCTTTCCCCTTTCCGATGTCAACCTCCGAACATGCTTCGGGTGAGAACCCCTAAACACCGCCCGATCTCTTCATCTGCCACACCTTTGGCTGACCGCAGCGTTCGTTAAGATACTAAGATCCAAATACTCATCTGGGACCAGGTCGGTTGCATGGTATGCCATCATGGTCATGTACTTCATGCCTTCTATACAATTCAGACCCGTGTTCGCTGCAAGGTCGGATCAGCTTCGAGCAGCATATTGACAATCCTATCACCCCCGTTCAGACGACGGCGAGGAAGTCCTTCGACAATTCGTAGTGCACTACGACCAGTTTCGTCGGTTACTTTTGCGCCGTGCTGCAGAAGCAGCTCGACATAAGGGGGTTCTGCCGTGACAGCGAGGTCCAGTGCTGTTTGTCCAGTCTCAGAATGCACATTGACGTCAACTCCCGAGGCGCACAACCTTTTCATAACGCCCAAAAGATTGAACTCCATGGCGACAATCAACCCGGTAGTGCGGGGAATGTATGTGTTTGTTCCGGTCATCCATCCCCTGCTATACGCATTCACTTGTGCCAAGTTCGCCACAAGTCCTTCATGAGACAGCACGCCTACAATATCATCTTCAATTTCGTTGTTTACCTGCTCCCAAGTCGATGTGAGCCCCCTAATTTCGCACCAATTACGCGCAGCATATTCGAGGAAGGGGAAAGATTCCAATCGTGCGTCCCATTCAGCCCTGCTTGTACATGCTCCAGCCTTAAATTCGTCTAAGCTCAGGTAGGCTAAGCATGCTCTGCAACGGTCCGCTTCAAGATTTGGAAATAAGTCTGGCTTTTTCCCGATGAGATACTCCTGGACGGTTGGATGCGTGAATGTGATAGTACCGCCGTTTTGATCGAGCGTGCACAATCCACCAGACAAACCCACAATATATCTGATCCGCAGCATATGCTCTTGCAATATCCGCAACGTTGTCGTTCTTCCGCACCGGATGGCAAGAGCATGGCGTAATTCTTGGATGGAGAGCGGTCCTCGTCTTTGTGTTGGGTGTATCCTTTCCCACTCCTCGAGGTCGGCAAAGTCAAGTGGCTTCGGGACAACTAGCAACCACGAAAGCAGACGGAGGACATCTTTGTCCTTGTTGATAATTGTGAGAGATTTCTCGTAAAACTCATCAAGTTTCAAACTCAAATTCGACAGCTCGTGATCCAAATCCCCCTTGCTGCCTGGTCGCAGACAATAGAGACTGTCAAGTTGCAGGCGACCTAAGATGAACCTGCATGGAAAGAGATTAGATTTGAACCAGAGGAATACACTTGGCGCTGAATGATAGATACCTGTTATCAGCCTTGTCCACAATTGTGTCGATAATTGTTTGTTCAGTTTGGTAATCCATGTCAAATAGTATGGGTTTCTTCCTACTTATCCGACCTTTGACATAAGCCGTCAGATCCGTGATAGGTGTTTTGATCTCAAGAGACCTATCATATCCCCTTCTTAGGCCGTGTCGGAGACAACTCTCTGGGCGCATGGTTGTTACAATGCTCAGTTTGTTAGACATTCGGCCGAGAAGACCATTCAGCGATTCGACAAATTGTTCCATATCCGAAAGTTCATCAAGAGCATCAACTAATATCAACAATTGAAACTCTTCTGGAACGCTCTGTTCGATAAAATCCATGAAATCTGTCAACTTAGGTGGACTCCCTTGATGTGTCTCCCGAAATGACAGAGCAGGTTGGTAAAGGTCGCCGAGCCTGCCCTCCACAACTTGGCAGGCAATGGATCCAAAGAGGGCCTCAGCATCTTGTCTCTGCTGGTCATTGATATCACAGAAAACGTAGGATAGAAGTTTCTTTCCAGCGTCACGGTTATCTCGAATTTGGTGTTCCAAGTTTCCCACCAGTGATGACCTAGCATCACAATGAGAGTATTGCTGGCGCAGCGGGACTGTGGATTACTTACATAAGAATCGTTTTGCCAACGCCAGCTGCGCACGTCTATCAGATTGTGGGGTTTGAAAGACGACAAGTTAATACTCACCGCGGCCTGTGCACCATAGCCACCGAAGCTTCCCTTCCATAAACTGCTGGACTTCATCGGACTCCAAGAACCATTCTCCGGTACCGTCACATCTTTCACTTCGATGCTTAGCTTGGATTTCCTTGAAGCTCAACTGACTGAACCACTTGAGTAATTCTTGCTGTTCATATCTTTCACCCGTTTCGAGGATGATTAAGTTGGCCGTTCTCTGTAATACTAGATCAAATTTCGCGAGCGCATCTTTGAGTGCAGTTCTACATTCATCGATTGCCCCGCCGCCAACAAGACCTCTCAGCAGATTATACATCAAAGATCTGGCCAAATACTGTAGGCTTGTCCGGAGAAAATTGTTCAGCGTAGCCAACAGTTGGAAGCACGCATCGACAAGATCTTTGTCCGGACATTTCTTGACTTTGATTATTTTCTCCACGTATCGCCGACTATACGAGAGATTGTTGAGCTGATTGACTATATCCTCGCCCCTTTCTTTTTCCTGAATCGCGTACTAAAAGTTGTCAGTAGGATTTTTCTTTCATTTTGGCATCTGGCGTACAGCAAGAACAGCTCCAAGCCCGGTAGCCACATGCCCCAAAGGTCCAATACCAGCCGCCTGCAAAAGATCAGTACTCTTCTTTTGATTCTAATATATCAAGTTGCTCACATCTCCAGCGGAACCAGTGATACCAAGAGCAATGCCAGCAATGGGAGCAATTCTGGCTAGACTAGAAGCGAACATGGACTGAAAAGTATTTCTTTTCTTGTCAATTCCTTGCATGGCACTTTCAACAACCTCTTGAAACCTTTCAGGCTCGCTGAAAGGATTGACATTCGCATTTGAAAGGGCAAGGGTCATATCCCCGCCCAGGTCAAGAAAATCTGGCTTTTTCAGCCTCAGTCCATCAATAGCAGTTTGAAGCTTGTGTAATGATTGCTCGTAGATCCGCCGACTATTGTTTGCTGAGTCTGGTGGCTCATTCGGTGTGCTAGAGACTACACCGATCTGGCAGCCCATATTGGCTAACAGATAGGAAGAAAGTGAATTCAATAATACAAGTTCGCAACCAGGACTTTCCCGCAAGCGAGAATTTGGTGACTTGAAGATCAAGTTGCGTGCCAACTATGAATTTCCAGCAGCAATATTCTGATGCTGAAAGACGAGGAGACGGCGAGAGATCAAGGAGCTTGAAAGTCCATGGGGATTGATTTCAGTCGCTCACATTCAGGTATCCTCCGAGGTTACATCATTGTGACTGGCCAGACTTGAATACGAGGACGTTGCCCTCGGCACTAGAGGTTGAATCATTTGTCCAGGATCAGCTGGCTGCCCCAAGCTGAATGCTCGCCGTCTGCAAGCCGTAGTCTCAGGCTAGAATCCTTGGGTTGGTTTTGTGGACTAGGCCTTGAGATCAGTGATCAATCTTATTGTTATTGCTGTGGGGCTTCTCGGTAGTAAAGCCTTAAACTTCCAAGGTTATTAATATCGAACGCCCAGAATTCCATATAGTGGGGCTGGGGGCTGGCTCATCATGACGTAGGCCAACCCCGGGCCGTTGGTCTGGACGCCTAGAATCTGTTTTGTGCACATGCAGATCATCAGATGGAGGATAGGTAAGCGCGTCCAAAACACATCTACTAGTCTGGGCTATCTGAATTGGCGTGATGACCACGAGAAGCTTCCATATCGGGACATTCAGTTGAGCTGGCTGGGCTCCGACGGTTCGTTCGCACGCTGAGACCGCGCAATGGGGACCTTGCGGTTGTTACTCCTCGAGGAAAATAATCTGCGCCATGGGGTGATCCCAGCTTTGTTCGGTTTCCTTTTGGGCAAGGATAGGTTGTTTGGTAAGAGAGGTGGTGAGACCCACGTTGAAGACTTCTGAGGGAGTTGTTTAGGGGAAGTTAAGAGATGCAGACTTTTAGGTGTTTTATAGTCTTCAAGTTTTCAGAACTTTGTAGTGGGTTAATTTGGACTTTCTTCTTACATTAGATAATTCAGGTATTCAGAATTTACAGTATATCAGAATTTCAACTATAATGGAGGGAACTTGGAAAAGAAAAAGGAAAGGTTCCGTAGCAAGGCAAGCTAAGAAGGAAGAATGGTCTCCATTCTAAACATGAGACGATGGGAGGACAGGGGCCCATCCTCCATTGAAACATTCTTAGAAGAATTCTTCGACGTGTAAGGGAACTGAGACCCCGCCTCTCTCATGATAAAGGCGAGCATACTCGTGATACTACTGTATCCCCCACTAGGCGCTTTTACCATAGAGTGTAATTGCAGGTTCCCTTTGCCTGGTATGCCTTTCCTCGGAGGGTGCATATACGAGAGGTCAAATGAGTCTCGGTCTGAAGGTTCAAAGGCCAGGTGCCGTGGTCTGGACAGGGGGCAAATTTAACAAGCATTGCTGTTATACCTTCTGATAGAAGATTGGGGAGAGAGAAGGAAGAAATTTTGATCATTCAAACTATGGAGAGTAGGGTATTTATACCTTGGAATCTAGCAAAAAAGACCACAAAAAAGACTACTAACACATGTAACACCACTTTTACAAACGTACTAAAATAAATTCACAGAAGCGATGCTCGTAATACTGTATATAGCACTGTTATTCAATTTTCTTGGCGGGTTTTGGCGAGGTCTATTACGCCTGAGGCCTGAGAAAGACTTGTTGGCAAACTTGAAGCCACCAAATATAAAACTGGCCTTCTAGCTGAAATCACACTCTACGTGCGCGTGAGTTTGACAGTAAATAGTTCTCTAGCAGTTTAAGCAGTAGTTCAGGGCCATGACCACTCACTGCAGGTTGTCAATGTACTTCAGGCTCAATATCAACGACACCATGAGTTCCCTCATATCCGCATACAGGTAATTCTGATCAGACGTAAGAATACTGGCGATCTCAATCAGCTGATTCACCACGTGTCGTAGAAAATGAACGTCAGCCCTAGTACTTTCGGTTTGCAGCGCATACTGGACAAGCCTGATTCCCTCCATTGCCCATATCTGTCGCTCGGCGACATCCAGGCGCTGCCTTCCCCACCACTGTACGAGGTCATGGACGGAATGGCCGCGGCTCGGTGTGCGCTGTATCAAACCATGGTTCAATAATGGGGCTAGAGCTTGCATGTAGGGTTCTGAATTCCACCTTCCATCCTCTGAAGATGCCAAGAGGCCTTTCAGTAGCCCTGGGCTTTCTGGAGGTAATCGAAAAAAGGAGCTAGGGCTGTCTTGTTCTTGCCAGAGGAACCCTAGTGCCAGGTATGAGACGGCGCCCCATATAGTGGCAGCGACGAGGAGTAGGATGAGTTTAAATCTTGAAGTGAGACGTTGACTCTCAGCATTTGGGAAGACTTTGTTCCATGGAGATACTTTGAATAACCCTCCAAGGTGCCCAATCTCAAACAGCCAGAGACAAAATGCTAGAAATGCAATCACCCCGAACACGAAACCAACATATACTCTGGTTATCACCAACGACCATTTTAGGAACCAGATGAAGGAGTGAGAGTTTGCGCCTTGAGCTTCTTCTTTGAGAAACTCGCTGATGGCTTCAACATGAGCCTTTCTCTCTTCTTCGATGTCGGATTTCCATATTAGATCTTTCACGACAGTGCTTGACTTGAAGAACTCAACGTCTGGTGTGTAAGACCGAAGGCTCGAAAGATCAGATCGGGAAATATATAGGCCCACTCCCGCGACTAGAATACCTGAAGCAACCGAGAGTAATAAAGTATCCGGAATCTGCAAGGATGACACAGTGTTGGCAGATCTGCGTATGGATACTTCGAAATCTCGCCTCAATCCCGCAGTACCTGATGGGAGTATCGCAGATAACCACAAGGAAATAAAAATAATGTAACTACCCAGCTCGAGATAGAACGAGGTCCCAGCATGAGAATCTTGAAGTTGTTCGGGTTTCGTTATTTTATCCCAGTAGTCTTCATCCCATTTTCTGAAGACGGCAAGGATGAGACTCATCAAAAAAAAATAGGAGAGTGGATGGACGGCCCATCCAATTGACTCTCTATACTGGGCTAGACTTGATCTTTTGCGGTAGACGAAAAACACGGCCATTATAGCAAGGCCTGGTAACAGCCAACATCGCGGCAGCCAGCATTGTGGTAGTAGCGATTGCGGTAGCAACCATTTCAAGTACGATCGCCCCCAATTCCAGTACCATCGGTACCAATTCCACGGACGTAGCAGAGCCAAGACAAAATGAAGTTGTTGTTTCCAAACCACCGGATCATTGTTCGCAATTGAGACTCCTGTACATGCCTCTGCAAATAGTCGATCCTCGATGTTTGCAGGGTTGAAAAAGGACAGTAGAAGTAGCAGATTGGCTGAAGTAGGATTGGTCCTGTTGATGGCACTGAAAGACAGCTCCCACACATTAGCGACAGTGAGCTGGTAGGTGTCCACGTTTTCTGGCCGGCTGGTCATTAGCACTTTCTGCGGGTTTCTCTCGAGAGCCTCCAGGAAGAGTGATAGATCTTCCTGCATGCTAGGGGCCTGGGAAATATAGTACCCCGCAAGGTCGATGGCGAGCGGAAAATATTCCAACTTATTGGCAATGGCAAGTGCATTTTCATACTGCTTGTCTCCTTGAAAGGTGTCACCCCTGGTATTATTCAACCAGGAGCCATCCAAGTCAGCACTCCGGGAGAGGAGCTCTACCGCTTCATTTTTCGTCATGCGGTCCACGGGAATAGCTTCATTGACGAGGGTCCCCACAAGCTTATTTCGGCTCGTGATGATAACAGATCCTCTATTTCCTCGGGGAATCAGCTGGCGCACCCAAGAGAGATCGTCGGCGTTATCGATGACGACAAGCCATTTAGTATGTTGTGGACCACGATTCTTTAACCAGTTGAGTACTGCCTTGACAATACGGTTTGTCCCTATCGATGCTGGGTCCATACCATCAGGCTCTTGGTCTTTGCGAAGTTGATCTATTAACTCGGAAGGGTACTCAAGATTGAGTTCTTCGAAAGCGTCGGAAAAGCTTTGTAGTGCGCTATTGGGATTATGTGCATCGATCCAAAGGACCGGGTCGTAATGGCTCCGATGAGTTTCGAAATATCGTAACGCAAGCTGGGACTTTCCTGAGCCGCCGCGACCCCACAAAGCAACAGATCGAGGAGGATCACGACGTGCATCTTCAGCATGGAGATTTTCTGCAAGTCGAGATAAGCAGGAGACGCGGTTTGTAAATGTTTTGACAGTCTGGTATGGAACGGTGTGCGCCATGGTGCCCAGAGAACTTGGTAACGCCGCAGCTTCTCCTCGATCACATCCTGCAATGATTAGTTATACCTTTCACAGCACACGATAGACGTGTTCCTGCTTGCCTTTTGTCTCTTTCCTCCTTTGGGAAGCGCCCTTGATCATAAATCGAAGGGTTTGAAGGATTTTCCTGTACCCTTCTTCATTCCGGGCACGGAATTTATTGAGGCCACTGTGGTCTGTATCGATAAGGTGATTTGTCGTGTTTGGAGCCTCAAATGTGGCTGAGTCTTTCTCCACTATCTGCACATTCAGGCATGTTAATTTGAGAGCTCCCTAATTACTTCCGATGCCCACTAACCATTATACGTAAGGGAAGCAAAGTGAGGGGGATTAACTTAGTTTCAAGCTTGCGAGTCTCAAAAAAATTGACCATATGCAAGCTCTTAAAAGATGTAATGAATAGTTGGTGTAGTTTTCTCAATGAGTCGGAATTCGTTTCTAGCGAAACGAATATGTCGGGATTCGAGCCCAAACGATTGAGATGTAGCGTCATCTCTTGTGCATATCTAGAATATTCAACTCCCTTATGTGGTGTACCCAGAAATATTATTCCGAAAATATTCGTCAAAAGGTCCCTGTTTTGTTCTGGGTTTGAATGCGCTTGAACCAGAGCCTGTAGCCAGTCAGCCATCTTGTAACGTTGGCCAGGAAAATATGGAATGAAATCACTTCTTTGACTACCAATCCACCATAGCTGTGAGACAAAAATATAATCGGCCGTGACTTCTCCTGCAACACAGTCAGTCCCAACAAGCATCTGGTAAGGATCATAATGAACACGGATTGAACTCTAACCTGCACTGTTGTTCTCAGTTGTGAAATCTGAAGGCTATACAGCAAGTCACCGGCCATATCGTGAAGATTCTTCTGCGGGGCGTCGTTATATGTGGTAGAGTCGTAATTATAGAAAAGAAGTCGAGCAGCAGGAAGGTCAGAAGGTAAAAGGTCCCGTATCCACGATATATTGGACTTTTCGTTGCCAGGGGATGCTGGACCCGCAGGGGGCTGTTTTTGCCATGTTGTGTCAGGAAAGGACCCAAGCCCATGGACGAATATCACACTGTTCAAGTCAGATCATCGGCGCAAGAAAGCAACAGATTGAGAATTTACTCAGCAGTCTTCGGGCCAAGGGTATCAATAGTGTCTACCAGTGATAATCCGTAAGGTAACTTGGGCGGTTTAGCACTTCGAGGTGGGTAAAACAGATCTCCAAAGATCGGAATAAAGAATCCCGGTAATAGCAAGACTAGAAGGAACAAAACGAAGACGGCATATGAGAAGAGACGCCATAGCTCGAGTATTTGTCCCGCACGATGTCTGAGACCAGGCTGAGTATTGTTCGGTGGCATTGAGAGGCAGGATCTCACTATTATTAGTTTCCTTGTAGAATCATTTGTATATTCACTGTGGTCACATAAGGAAGGTCTCTTGTAGGGCCGCAGATTATTGATCAGTTGAGGGCTTAAAGACGCGGTAAATTTAGCCCGATCAGCTGCACTTAGTCGTGAAAACATTATGATATCACTCACCTTCACTGTCATTTAGGTGGCCCATACTTGGCTAGGGAAGCGACGTGCGAAGAATGGCGGTTTTCCGGGGACATTTCCTCACCATTCTCTGGCACGGGTTGTCTGTGGGGTGTACCGCCTCCATGGATCATGGATCCATGGATGTCCGACAGATCATGCAACCTTGGAACGCCACGTCGGATGATCCTAGACCAACCATAATTAACTTCATCGTTTGTTTTAAATCTATGCAGTCAAGCTTCCAAAGATTTAACAAGGGTAGATCTCTAAGTAATTGATCGCCACAGGAGGACATTTTTAATACTACTTGTGCTCATAGTCTGCTAACTCAGCCACGTGTGTCCATGGGTCATCACCACCATTCTTATTAGGCCTACCAACCCATCTAGCCATCTAATGACATTGCATGACGTCTTTTATTGCTACGATACCGGCTTTGGTCACTCAGGCATAAATACGACCTCACGGTAGTAGTAAGGTCTCATTTATCATTCCGAGTCAGACGCTTCATTTCCATGGCTTCTGTACTATGTCGCAAGGCTCTGCATCATGATAGAGGTGCCCTTTACGGTAAAATCAGAGCTCATAGGCAAGCTTGGGATCGATGTCGCCCTTGAGGAATACTCGTCGGAGCCCAGAGGCACGGTCCCAAATGAGCCCTTCCTTTTCAACGCGAACGTTGAGGAAGTCGCCGAGTTCTTGCGACGAGAGTTATTCTGTTCAACACTCGAAGAGATACATCAGCACCTATCGTTCGTGGGTAAAAAGTCTGGGAGCCACATCGACCCACTGCACGTACATTTACTCAAGGGGCGAGAGGTAAAAATTGTCGAAGATCCGGATCTGCATCTCATCTGGTATTACAAGGATCTATACGTCAAGCCTCTACCACACTGCCTCCTCAGCTTCTCCTTCTGGAAGAAGCACTTGGTGGATTATTCGCCACCAGTACCCGATCAAGCGATCCTATATTCGGCAGCCTTAGGTTTCGTCCGTTCTTACGCCTTCCTCATCCGTCATGAATCAGATTTTCGCATTGCACAAGATAAGCACCTTGTCCCTCACAAGGTCTCATATCGCGACTTCCAGAGATATATTCGGCACTTCTGTGATGTCCGTGACAGTGAAGTATCCCCTCGCTGGGAATTTGGACAGCTACGTCTTACTCGCTTGAATTGGGCAGTCCGGCTTGTCCAACCGTCCTCAAGAAGAGGCAAGGGCTTCCTGCAGCGGATGTACTATCTACAAGTTTACTGGCAGACAGGACAATTCCTCGCGGTACTAGTGGCTCCGACACTGTTCATTTACGCGTCGATTTCTCTCTTGCTGTCTGCAATGTCGCTCACTCATGCTACGCGTTCTCCGAGATGGGATGCGCTTGAGAATGTCAGCTGGGGGTTTGCCTTGGCTGTGATCATCATGCTGGCAGTCTTGTGGTCATGTATCGCGGTTACTGTTGCGGGGATACTGCTCTCGCAGCTTGTATTTGCTCTCAAAAACAAGAGCAAGCCCAAATTAATACATAATAGCAGCTTCCCTAATTCTTAGAGTCTTGGAGTTGAATTCGTATTTTTTTGTTGCGGGCTACTGTGAGTGGAGGCTAAACTTCTTATATATTAGTATGAGAAGGGCTACTAACACTTAGCCACTAGGCTACTTTAGGTATGTCCACCGCTGGCCGCAGTCCACTTCTCAACCAGCTTATGTAATTTAGTGTGGTATTCCTAGTTAGTTATCTGCCTGCATATGCTCATCAAAATCCAAAGCCCCCCCCCCCCCCCCCCCCCCTTTCAATCCCAACACTGCTTACTCAAGTGGCAAAGTCTAACTAGGCATCTAGAGTCTATCAGCAAGAAACATGTCCACTCCGAGAGTATGGAAGGAGCCAGGGTGGCAGGAATATCTATCTGCTCGAAACGCTGGACTGCCATATCTCCCAGCTGTCGCAGAACTCAGCACAGAGGTGGTACGAATACTTGGCGGAAATCCAGGCGACATGCAACTACAAGGAACCAATACATATCTTGTCGGCAGTGGCCAGAAACGGATTTTGATAGATACAGGACACGTGAGTGATATTGACCATCTCAGTTCAGAACTTGGAAACTAAATAAGATGATCATGTCGACAGGGACGTCCAATCTGGCTTACCACTCTGGTCAACTACCTTGACAAACACCAGTTGAGCATCTCCCAGGTACTGCTGACCCACTGGCATCCCGATCATACCGGTGGTCTCCCGACGCTACTGGCTCAGTATCCACATCTGACCACGGCGGTCTACAAGGCCCACCCGGACCGGGGCCAACACTCCATTCGCGATGGACAGACTTTTACTGCTCAAGGAACTACGGTGCGAGCCTTGTTCACGCCCGGGCATAGTCAAGACCACATGTGCTTTGTCTTGGAAGAAAGCGGTGCCTTGTTCACAGGTGATAATGTGCTTGGACATGGAGGCAGTGTTGTTGTGGAAGACCTAGGACAATACATGAAGAGTTTGCAGGTTATGAGCCAAAGTGTGCGCAATGAAGAAATAACAGTTGGATACCCTGGGCATGGTGCCTTGATTGACGACCTACCAACCAAACTCATACACTGGAGCAGACACTGGGAAATGCGAGAAAAAAAGGTTTTATCGGCATTTATCGGGGGAAAGGCAAAGACAAGGGCATCCTTGACGACGCGGGAGATCACCATATGTCTCTATGGGCTTGAGATGGAGGCTATGGCGGGGCCATTCACCGCCCAGGTCCTATCGAAACTAGCCGGTGAGGGAAAAGTTGGACTTGCTGGCGCAGGGCAAGAGAAGAAGTGGTTTATTCTGTAGAGTAACTTTTTTTCATTGCTTATTTGCTTATTTGAAGTAGATTAGACCAATGCATATGACCAGCTAGACTAGGTACTCCTGATGCAGATGCTCGTTGAACCACTCAACTCCTTTTATAAAAGCATCAGATCTCTGTTTCATACAAATTCCTATCGCCGAGAAATTCCAATCCAGAAAATCCGAGTAGAGTAATTTCTACCATTTATTCGGAGCTCATTCATGGATCGCTCGATCTAGCAACCCCGTATGGAAGAAGACTAAAGGAATGTTTCCGTGAAATATTCCACGGAGATAAATGTCGGTCGAAGAGTGAATTAGATTAGTAGTTCGGGGATCATATGACAGCCGACAAAACAATTGACAAGCCTAGACCCGTGTTGGGATGGTGCGTTGTCAGAGGACATCTATTCATTGCCTAAACCCGAATTTGTAGGAATATAGGGACTATTATTTGTACTTAGATCTACAGGACTCCGCGTATTGATGGAGGTTTGCATTTCGGAGTGGGCCAAGCGCAGGAGCTGGACCTGCCATCACATGGTAAGAAAAGAAAAACAAACCAATTCCAAGATTTCTTGGCTGGGATGCGCCGTCGACTCTACAAACGCCAATGGCTAACACTGATGTGTGTGGTGCATCTCTCCAGTGGAGCCTGCAGATCTGTGTCCATTCGAGACCTCGGGAGCGCATCCACCTTGCAGCTCTCCCGAGAAGGCTTGATTGCGGAAGTCTCGGATTCGGATTTTAGAGGGTCCCTTGAGTATCATTTCTCGGCTCGGAATTCACTACTGATTTTGGGTTAGAGGCCATAAAAATGAACAGGGATTCCTTACCTAACAAATCCATCGAACTAGCTTCTCTACTGGAAAGTTTCTCCTTCCTTCACCATGTCAACACAACATCTAGAAAAAGCCGAGCCTGCACAGGCTACGGAGCCTACAGTCACGGAAAGGCCCCCGTCTAAGCAGTCGTTCATGTCAAAAGTTCGACTGCGCGAACCTGGCCCGACAGCCCTTTCACTCGCCCAGTCAGTCATTCTAAGTCCGCCGATGATACTGTTGTCGACTTTGACGTGCCTGATGATCCATATCGCCCGATCAACTGGAGTTTTAGGAAGAAGGCCCTCACCACCATTCTTTATGGCTTGAATAGCATGGGTAAGGTATTTGGAAATGCATTGTCTTTTTCTTTTGTTTAGTTACTGACTATCCTTGGACCTTAGGTGCCACTTGGGCAAGTTCAATGTAAGATACTCCTGTTGAAAGAGTTAAACCAGTGTTTCCCATGCTAATATTTTGCTAGACACTCGCCTGCCACCCCAAGCATCGAGAAAGAATTCCATCTGGGCTCCCGGGACTCTCTCGCCGCAAGGCGGGTGGGCCCCCGGGATGAAGATTCATTGAGCAAAAGACTCGAAGAATTTACACCTCGATTCACCTCTGTAAACAATTTGTTCATTGGCAATTCCGCTGTTCTGTCAAGTCCAGAGTTGCCTCTCAGCTGTGACGGCCAATAACTACCGAGATAAATGGATAGCCACGAAGACTTCCAAAGTATTTAGTTCAAATTATAGGTACTCGTGACCCATTATTCCCAATTGCAATACTCCGAAAGTGAGTGCGAAAAGCCCACATTGAAGAACGAGATCTAGATTTATCCAAGCCAATGAGTAGCGTCATTCGTGATTTGCTGCAACCTCTCACGCAAGAAAGTAGCCATTGCCGGCATGATGTCCGTTGGCAGCTCCGATCCATTTCCTAGACCATCCCAATTTAAAGCCCCACCCCCTTCATCATAGCGCTCGGTAAGCTGTAAAATGAGCCTGGCCAGCTCCGAAAGCTCCGTAAAAACCCGCATAGCCGTAGCCTCATGCGCAGGGGACCTAAGAGACGCGACACCGGGACTATCCCATGGCGTTGGCTGACTGAGTAGCCCAGCTGGAGGCTGATCTTCCGCAAAGTTTGAAATTGTCATGGCATGCATGTCGATGATGGACATGCAAATTGCGGAAACGAGCATCCCCACCTCCGCTCGCTCGGAGCAAGGGCAGATCAAAATCGTAGAGAGACGATGGAAGGTTGCTGAGATAGTTTGTGCGGTTGTGTTGAGAAGACTTGCGTCTACGGGTGGTCCTCGTCTGAATTGCTCTGCTGACGCTTCTAATTCGGAGAATATGTCCAGAACGACTAGCACGCAATCCGGATCGGAGGCTTCGTGGCTTTTTGCGGTATTGAGGTCTGGCTGTTCCGTTTCATTGGTGGACGGAATGGAATTTGAGGTTGAGATATTGGGTGTCACGTTGATGGGTGTAGAGCCATTGAAGCGGGAATATAGTCTAGCACTTTCGTCTACAAACTGGGTCGTTGTTATGTCTCTCGCAGAGAGTCGGTTTGATTCTTCGCTATTGCTTCCCGATGAAATCTCTTTTTTTGACCGGTAGGGCCGGCCAGCCCGTCTTGCTGGGCTGTAAAAGCATGTGTATCCGAGCTTATCGCAACGGGCACAGAAGGGTTTCTCTTTCGTACAACGTACTTTTGAGGCAGAGCATTTGTCGCAGGAATCTTTGAGTTTTTGGGGTTGTAACGAAGAGGTGGTATTCGGAAGAGTGGGTTTGGACGATCGTGAAGTTTGGATGCGATTGCTGCTCATGGCGTCGGCCCCTTGTCATGAAAAGATCACTCGGAAACAGAGGCCCTGCTGATATAAAGAATTCTCTTGTTAGCATTTTTTGGGCGTCTTTGACTAGCTTTTGTGTTCAACTTCCCTTACCTAGATAGCTTGGTCTTGGTCCCGCTTGCAACCCACTTCCGCCCCTCCTTGCCAAGATATAAGTATGCAAGCGAAGCTTTGGAGCAATTGACTTTGAGCATTATCCAAACAATGTTCCCGATACGACCTCGTCTTTGGAATTGTGGGATGCGTTCCAAGGTTAGAGACTGAGAGAGAAACTGATGTAGTGATGTAACCTCGTGTTCCTCGCCAAAACTTCGGCCGACGCTAGATTAAGCTAGAATAAACACTAGCCCAATCGGGTTAGGCCCCACTCGTCGGGCCGAGCATCGAAGCCAAGGTTGAGGCGCAGGGGAAAAGTACCATCGTGCGACGATGGAAGCCTCAACCCCTGATAATCCAAGCCTCCTCGAGAACTCGATGCCTCTTGAAAATGACGACTGGCAATCCATATTCGCCCAATGTACAGCCCATGACGATCTACTTCATCCATCTGTGGAGTCCGGTGATGGTCTATTCGCAGATGCATCCATAGACGACCTAGATCTCGATCTGAATGTCGATCTGAATGTCGATCTTGACCCCGCTATATACGTTGATACCTTTGCAGCGGCTCACTCCATTTCTTTTGGCGCTGTTCCCGACCTCTGCTCTGTTCCTATAGCTCGTGTGGACTCCGAACGATTTGACAATCATGATGGATCAACGCTGGATTGCACGCTTCCCGATCTCTCCACCCCACTATTCGCTGTCCCAGATTCAATCCTCACTCCATTCCAAACACCACCACCCCCAACTACAGCAGCTTCTTGTCTCGCACAACATCGCACCCCTTGCATAATAACTGCGACACAATCCCTTCGCTCACTCCACATCCCCCAGACCAGTTGCGTCTCCCGCCGAAGCGGCAGCAGCCATGATAGCAGTGGACTCGAGCCGCCACGCATGTCCGGCTCTGTTCTTAAAGCAAATAAAGATGCAGGCATGTCAGTCTGCCGCATGCTACAGTGCGCCTGTGCCCTCCGCCCACAGAACCAGCTGATCCTAGCAATTATTTGTTCCCGACTAGTTGCGTGGTACCGCGCGATGATCCGCGCATGCTTTGTGGATGGACCCAGCAGTTCCTCCGGGTACAGCGTGAACAGTGGACCCAACGAGGCAGGTTCCTCGTTGGAGAAGGTGGTTCATCAACCCGTCACGATCGGAGATCACTCGGTCGATGACCAGGCTCTGGGATTGACTATTCAGGCGCAAGTCACGCTAGGCGAATTACGACATATGCAGCGACTGGTCGAGACTCTATCGGCCCGCATGCGGGAGACCGCCAACTCATACCCGAAAGGGATGCATGGCTTTGGAGCCCCATCAGGCGGGCTCCCGGACATCGCGCATGACCAGCTGGTGGCGCACCTGATGGAGGAAGTCCATGCAGCGAAAGCTGATTTAATGACTGCTTGGGCGTTACCATGATCTAGATCCTCCCCGGCGATGTGATAAAAAGAAAGTACATATATTGGACTAGAGTCATATACGACTTGAACGATCTGCATTCGTAAGAGTACAGCAAGAGGAAGAAGACTTGAGAGTGTACTCTCGCATGAAGGACTTGGTGGGACTGCTGGTTTACAATGGAGAGAACATTCTATCTAGATCCGATATGCTCCTCCTAACCCTATTTCATCCGATATTTTGATACTGTCACGTGCTGACCCCCACGTGTTGCCCTGGACAACCCGTCCACAGGTCAACACGGGTCTCGTAGTAATCGACTGTTCCAGACACGCGATCTTCGATCTCTATTGATTTGATACTCCACTGCACAGTTGCCCGAGCTTGTTCACAACATCAAGTCTCGCCCCGCGTCTTCCCCGCGTTGGAGTCGATCCCTTGATTGACTTCACCGCTTCTCTGCACAACATTCCCGACACATTTTCTCACTGTCAGAATAATTGACCCAACTCTCGTCTCAGTATGAAACCTCACTTTTTGTTAGGGAGTCTCGACATCATGTCAGGTCTTCTCGGCGAAGGTCTGCCTCCCCGCTCGTCGAGACACGAGTCTTCAAAACAATGTGACGCAATATACATTCCGTCTGATGACCCTATCACCTCCACCGTCTTCATGGGTCTTTACAGTTTACCCAAGCGGCAAACCAGAGATTCCATTCCACATATCTCAGGTAAAACCGAGACCGGCAGCTTCAAGTCACGGCTTGCTAGACGCCAGCCACAAAAGCCGTTGGCAGGATCTACTCGAAGAGCTCCGCTCCAGCAAAACTTGAAAGTTCTCCAGGCAGGGGCGACAACTGTTGATGTCCATGGAAAAGGCGGCGGCAAAGAAAACATCCCTCCTGGGTTTTCCGTCATCACCAACAACAAAAGCAAATCAGAAATGCATTCACCAGTGTCCAAAATGGCCAGTCCAGCCGTACAAAACCCTACTCTCAGAATACGGATAACAACAAAACCCAAAGAAGCGCAAGTAGAGCCACTGAAGCGAGTGGCCCTGGGTGAGACTCTAGGCAATGACGTCAGGGTCAGAGTTCCCAAAAAGATAGAACATTCACCACCTGCTGAGAATCCTTCGGCCTCTGCCTTGAAGCATGGTCTCTCCGCCATCATCATTCAACGGGCATGGCGCTCATTTACAGAACGACGAAATAAACGTGTGTGTGCTGTCGCCGTGGCCAGGACGGAGTTGGCGTATGAGGTGATTACTCGATGGTGGCGCGGTGTCAAAGCCTGCAAGCTGCGAGAGCAGACAGAGCGGGTGAAGCTGATGGAGCGGACTGAACAAACGCCCCGACGCAAATCTGCTGGTCAGCGACCCTCTGCTCGGCAGAGCCACCACAGTTCTGGCCGCCGAGGCATTCGGCGCCTCTAATGCGGCCTTTCTTTTCCTTTCCTTTTTTCTTTCCATTTTTCTTTCTTTCTGACTTTTGTTTCTCATTATTCTTATTTCCTTTTCTTGTTTATGAAATGATACCCCTACCGCGTTTTGATTGGCGGGGCGTTTTGTCCCCGATTTTGTTTTTGGTCATCGAAGTGCTTTTGCCGTGTTTCTTTCAGCTCAGCTCGGTTTATAGAGACTGTTCTACGTGTTGCGTTGGTGAATGCTTGCGAAGTTCACCCAAAATTGACTATTCCGGAGCGAGAGATTCTGAAAAATAAATTCAACAACTCAGTCAGTGACATCTAGGTCTTGATTATCACATACGATCTAAGATCTCTCGGCCTCGATCTACATGAGGCGTGTAACTGCACCATCTTGACTGCGCCTGGGATTAGCTGAAGCCAGGAAGCACAGGCTACTGGTAGATGTCTTAGGGTAGCTTCCGTGGAGAGGACATCAGGAGAAGCAAGACACTGAACTCATTTCACAGATCTGTACAAAAATAGCTGCCCGCTCATGCCACTTTATTAGGTCTTTATGGTTGTCTTTTTGAGAGACTTTTTAGATGTCTTCTCAGATATTCCTTTTAGATGTCCATGTAAACATACACATGTATGTATGTAACCTTGATAATTAACCCGGGATGTTTGATTTTGGCTGGTTAGGGAAGGAACCTCTCACGTTCTTGCAATAGCCCTTTCCCAGAAGCAGCTGACTCGGAAGAGTAACTTGTCCTCATCAACACCCCATCTTTCTATTCTGTCTGTTCAAAGTTCGATGGCCATTCTGGCATAATGGCAGACGCTCAACCGCCACAGCCCCGTTCCCGTTCCCGTAAGACCATGCCTTGATATCCTTTGAAGGGATTTTATTGACTTGGAGCGTCACTGGTACAGACCAAGAAGCGCAAATCCCGCTGTGGCACAAAGGGCAACGTCCAACAAGAAGGGTATGTCCTGTTGTTTTGCTGAACTGGAGCACCCGGGCCATGAGACAATAATTTCCTCCCTTGCTGTTGCCGTGACCAGTCTTTGAGACAGACAACTGACGCTTATGATTAGCCAGGTCGGCCAAGAAGAACTTTGATGGGTACGCATGATATCCTAAGCGATTCTCTAGTGTGAGCGAGCAAAGTGCTGACACACATCGTCTACTTAGCGGCTGCCAAAGAAAAGGCCTCCTGAAAGAGGCAGAGGCTTCGGCCTATAGCGGAGAAGGTGAGTTATTTCTTATACCGAATATCGAGTCGATTTCATTCCCACAGGAACAGATGTTAATCAATATAAATTAGGCTCGGCCCCTCGCACTCCCCCAGCCGCTGAAGCTGGTAAGCCTTTACCTCTCTTTATCCCTCTGCCCTACTTTTATACCCCTCCATACTGGTGCCGCGTCTGTGTGCTGGTGCTGCGTGTGTGCTGGTGTTGCATGTGTCGCGGTGCTGCGTTTCTGCTGCTGCGTGCCTATTGCCTATTTTACTAGGCAAATATGCTAATCGTTAGTTAGGCCAAAATGACGATAACGCCGCGGGCGCCGCCCCCGAGGGGGAGAAGAAGGCCACCTAATAGGTCTCGTTAGAAGACCTGCGGGTCCCGGCGTGATGATTTGTATCCTTTTAGCCTCACCCTACCGACTCCATTGATTCGGTTTATTCACAACGCCTTCGCCGACCTTTTCATTTCCGAGAATCGAAGCCTTTCAATTCGTCCCTGTCGCACTGATGATAATTATCCACATCGCCGCCAACGCCATCACCCGCCAACGTCACTTGCAATTCCACGAGCCTAAGAACAGACACTCCACCGAGCAGTGCTCACCCAACCTGTCAAACAAGAGCAAGGAACATAACAAGGATAGAACTCTTCACTAGCTCGAGGTCGACGTTGTCCACTTTTACTACTCCGACGAGGAGGATAGTATGATTTACCTCAGCCAAACCCACGCCTGGTCATCACAACCGGCACACATACAAGGAGGCGGTCAGGCATCATGGGGATTCGCAATGTTTGAGGTCTCATGCGATCATGCTATGCTAGGGAGATTTGTATTTTGCATAGCTCTCCCATAACCCAGATTTCTTTATTCATAGTATGAATCTCGACATCAGTATATTCATGCACTATGATACCACTGTAGCAACCCAAGAGAACAATGAAAAGATATTGCTTGCTCTTTGCTATCCAAACGATCGAATTGAAGACCACAAGCTGTAGCAAAAAAAAGATATACACACCGATGACCCATCAAATGTCGATATAGGGCTAACAAAATACAGAGATATCGAAATGCATGATACTCAAAGTCAATACCAATTTACAGCTGTCGAACTACGAGGGCATAGATTTACCACATATCTACCGTTCTGGCTCTACAGCACAGAATTGTTTCAAACGGCCCCAAAGGGCAGGCGGAAGTAGTTTTCATTCTTAAAGGGCCGCAACCCAACAATATGGTCAAACCAAACGTTCGGGACCCAGTCAAGCGCCCGGATGGTTTATGGCAAGAGACAGGCGAGATGATTGCGTAGATCATGCACGACGACAAATACAGCCGAAAGTGCCACCCGAGTCGGTAAGTTTAATCAGACGGCACTATTAGGAACCATATTCTGACCGGCCTTAATAGACGTCTCCTTGTCTCACAGGATAATCGCGAGATTTTCCTACCATTGCCGACTACGATCATCAGTATCTCACGTACCGAAAAGACGGGGACACATCGAACCCCGGGTTCTAATGGGCCATTGCTGAAAATGCAAACATACCGCCCGAACATCGCTCATCCAACTCACATGGAAAACCTGGCTAGGTTTATCCTTTGTGTTGCTTTCGAGGTGACATACGAATAGCCTTTGTCGCTAATTCTCAACAGAACTAGTGCCATCCGCTGCTCTTCAAAGCAAAAAGGTACATGCCCTTGTGGCAGCCCCATGATTAAGACTTAGCACCTGTAATGGGTGAACGTCGAAAAGCTTGAGAACCTGAAATGGGTGAACGCCAAAAAGACCTGAGCACCCGTAATAGGTGACAGTTGATTCTTTCCCTGAGCATTGTCTGTCATTGAAAGACTTAAGCGTGCTCCCCAACAGCAACGAGCTTGGGCCTCTTCGTGGCGCTATTGACTGGTAGCCCATATACGGGGTGCAGCCAACACAAGCTCAAATCCCGGATAGTAAGGATGGAAGCCTGTGGTTGCGCTGACGAAGAACAGATGTTCAGAGCTCTGGCTCGATATAACAACTTGTTGGATTTGGTGCCTTAGGCCACAATTAGGTACCTCGGGTAGCAACCCTCAGTGTTCGGGAGCCTTTCCCAATACAAAACTCTCTCTCTCCGCTTCTGGTCCTACATACTGTAGCCCCAACACAGCTGATGTGAAAGGAATTTATTTCACTGTCAATCCTGCATCTCCTTCAAGCGTCAAGTTAGTTATTGGCGATATTCTGAAGTAGGGTTAAGCTTCATTTGCGTGCTTACACTTTCATGGATCCAAGGCATAGGGAGAGATAGAAGTCCTTTTTTAACAAACGAAGACTGTTTCGATACGAGATCTCTTCTCTTCACGACATTCTCTTCTTTTAATTATACAAGGCCAACAAGAGTATTCAAACGTATCATCTTAGAAGAGAACAAATTATTAGTAAGGCCTATGGTGTCAATGCTAGCGACGTACTATAATGCCTATGTGAAAACACCACGAGTGTTCGATTTCCGGCCTCGTCATATCATGGTCATTCCATCGTCACTGGCGTTTACACGATATCGGATTGTTATTGTTAGAAACCAATCTATATTTTAGGTATACAGCCACCGTGCCACCGAGCCACCCAATGATGTCATAGGGCGCACGCTCCAATATAACAATGCCCTTCTGCCACCTGTTTCATTTCAATACCTGTTTACCACAATCTATAATTCCCTACATCTCATACTCTTACGTTCATTCTGAAACTCGAGAAATTTTATTCGAACCCACTCAAATCTACCAAATTCAATCAAACCATCATGCCAATTGAATCCAATCAAGACAAAGGCGTCACCGGGGCCGCCAAATTCGTCACCTCCACACTTGGAAACACAGTCGGCGGTGTCACACGCACAGTGGGTGGAGTGGCAGGAACTGCCGGTCGAGGTATCGGCGATACCATCACAAGCGCGACGGGGAGTGCTGGCGAGCCGATTGGGAATGCGCTCGGTAGTGCGAGCTCAGGTCTTGAGAACGGGGCGAAACGGGTCGCCCAGGGAACGGAAGATGCTGGGAAATGGAAATGAGATCTTTTGTCTCTTCTTCCTTTCTCCAGAGTCATCATAATCAGCTAGATTATAGCGCTCGGGCTCTTTGCGAGGCCGAGGATTCAATACTGCCTGTAGCAGGTCCGAGTCCCTGCAGCTCTTTCTGCACCTTCTGACTAGATTTCTCCACGGCTTTTTCTTAGTGTATTTTTTTCTGTTCTTTCAAGTATTCCACTAGCGCAGAATTATCGCTGGCCTTGGTCCACTGCATCTGATTCCGTAATCGCGGCCTTTTTCAGACCTATGTAGACGATCGACTTCAACCTGAAGCCTTTGCATGAGTTTGATAATCAGTGACTGATAAGTCGCTTCTCGGGCATTCACGGCCAACATCAATGTAGCTTTGTGCCTGCTTATCGTTCCGGTATCGATGGAAGGTATCCTCGGTGTACACACGAAGAACCGTTAGATCAAAGCGTGACGTGATCTATAAAATGGAGTTAGTGTCTTACTTTTCCCTAATGGTTTCCAATGAATCTACCCAGAGGCATCTACCGGCTTCCTGACTCCAGTTAATTAGGCGCAAGTCAGGAATACACAGTTACAGGCCTCGTGTAGATTCAGAGCGAGCGATCCTAGATCATATGCTGTGATCAGGACCTGGAGGTCGCTCGCTGGGGTAAGGTGTAAATAAGATTCAAGTGAAGTAAAAGCGAGTGTAAAATGAGAACTTCAAATTTTATAGTTATATATAAAACAATGCTGATGTGGAGGCACACTACCAGGAGCAGGAGAGGAAGAAGAATATGTTGTTCATCTACCTACTGCCATGAAGCTATTTATGCTTCATAAGACAAAGGGAGGTCACAAAGCCTTGCTGCCTTGCTGCCTGGATGCCACTGCGTCAAAATTATCAATTTTAATGTTATTATTTAAAGATATGTGTTGAATTTCTCTCTCAAAATCTCTCACTCCGGAATAGTCAATTTTGAGTGAACAGCCCGAGCATTCACCAACGCAGCATGTAGAACAGTCTCCATGAACCAAGCCTTTAAGGGAACAGCGTCAATAATCAATATATTTTGGTGGTGCTTGAAGCCTGTAGGGTTCAGTGATTCCAATACCTTCTGTTGTAGAATCTGCTGGAAAATTGCCCGAAGGTCTAGCGAGCCATATAAAAGCTGACCCACTAGTTCTCGAGCTATTTGTAGTTTCCGGGAGGTCATGTCTTGAGCCTGTCTCAGGATCCATTCAGGCTGGGTACCCAGAGAACGCCGCTTGGTCGAATTGGACTTCTTGGCCTAGCCGCGGCTTTAAAGCAGGCAAGGATAATTGACATATTCAAAATGGCGAGTCGACGGAGATTCTCGGATCCGATCGTCTAGGAATCGCGATATAATGGAGATCCGTATGGAGAAACTGTGTATGCTGATTCCTATCAAAAGGAATGGACCGAGGAGAAGAAGGAGGGGGGAGAGAGAGAAAGATATAACTACTGCTCTCTAGGAAACAGATGCTGTCACCTGTGGCTTCCTAAGAGATCGCGAAGTGTTGGCTATGATTCTCTGGGTTTTATTTTGTGTATATGTATGCAGCTAGTGCGCTTCCGAATATCATCATCCACAGCCCAATATATATCATGGATATAGAAAGGTAGTTTCGCAGGTTTTGAGCTGTTTTCGCCGCCTATATTCAAGCTACAACACCAATACGGTGGGAAATGTCTACAAAGAAAGACACCTGAAAGACACCTGAAAAGACGCCTTAAAAGAATCCTGAAAATACATCGAAAAAGACTTTCAAAAAGGCTTTCAAAAAGATGTCACAAGGCCGCATATTCCAACTATTCTTGTTGGTGCTATTTCAGGAACTATATTAAGCTATCGTCTTCCGCTCCTTGCATTTTCTTGAAAATGCTCTCCCATACTTCTGCGGACGGTACCAAGCTATCATGGTCAGTGCCAGACACTACTGTTGAATTAAATTCAACTACACCCCTCGAGTCCCCATCATCCACTTGATGCCAGCATCTCTCAACATAAGCTTGACCCTTCTTGCCAATCATGCTATCAGACTCACCAAAGAACGCCTGAACTTTCAACGGCGCTCCATCTCGCCCTCTTTCACGCTCTACCAACTCACGCACAAAAACCTCATAGTCGTCACATTTGCCCCACGTGTTAGGCTCCTTCCGTAGACACTGCAGCGCCTCGCTATTAGAGCCAACCGTGTTCTCCTTGAACATGGACTGCATCATCAAAGCGTCTATCTCTTTCTGCTGCTCTAGGCTTAGTCCGTAGTTTTGCGCGATGTAGAGACGATTCTTTGCCTGGTCATCACCGCTCTTTGAGGGAAAGGAGGCAGTGAGATTGGCAATCATCTGTCCACTCGTCGCTGTTGCAGAACCATCATTGGCGAGAAAGAGACGCGGGATATGATGCCAGAGCTTGAATGCTGGGGTAGGGATATATTGGGCCATTTTCATGGATGTCATGCCTGATTTGGCGGGGTCGACAAATGGCGCTATCGTGCGGTTAGATCCCGAGCCTTTTTGTTGAAATATACCCATCCAATATGAACAATGTATACAAAAAGAACAGATTGATCTGCAGAAAATGCAACATACCTAGAATCGTGGCCATCGGTTTCTCAGGATACAGAATATCCCGACAGTGATATAGGGTGTTAAACAGATAGAAAGTGCCAGCACTATGCGACGCCAATGAAACATGCTGTATGCCTAAATGGGCCAAAAGCCGTGGGACGGTCTCAATCCAGGTGGACACTCGCTGCGTGAGCGGCACGTCGGTTGAATTCCCCATTCCGGGACTGCATGCGATATGGCCTTAGTTCATGTTAAATAAGAGGGCTGGGGTACACCTACCGATCAACAACCAAAACGCGCACGCCCCATTTCTCGGCAATCGTGTGTAGACAGATTCCAATGTACCGGGATGAAAACATGCCCGGCATAAATAGAAGTGTCGGAGTAGTTCCGTTCTCATCGGGCTTGCGGCCATAGTCGCCGTAAGTCACATTGAGAGGACCATGGGTAGGAGTTGGCTCGATGGTCAAGGATCGATGGAAGCGGGAGTTGGAAACATAAGAGGCGGCGAACGAGCCGGGGGACGCTGGGTCATATTCCATTTCTAAATAGTCGAAATAGAAAAATGGTTAGAGATAGAAAAGGTGAAGAGTTTTCACCTCGTATTGAGAGAGAGAATAGGCATCTGTCAACGGATAAGCCCAGATGTGGCGGCCTAAGGCTGATAATTATCTTTTAGTTAACCACCATTTTCTCTGTTTAATCTGTCTATATTACCCGATGGGTTTATGCTGGCCCATTTTGTCAGTATATTAATATATTACATCGTGCGATGGAATATCAATGGAATATCCAAAGGAGACTGGGGGTCGACAATGACCAAAGCGGGGAAGGTTCCGGGGCCACTTTCACCCCTCAGCGTGATGGAACATGTGCACGAAGCATGAAAAACATTTGATTCATTCTATTTGCCTCATATCCTCGGAATCTTCGGCCCTAAGTTCCGTAAGCGTGTCCTAATATGACCACTGTTTCTTTTGTTCGCACATACTGGCAAATGAAGGGCGAGGTGTACTACTGGCCGGGATACACGCAGCGACAGCCGCAACAGCAAGACAAACTAGGTAGAGTCATTGCTCCTGGAGTAGTAAGGGACCAGGTTGCTCCATATGTCAATATCTATTTAGCCAGGTTTCAATACCCCCAATGACCCGGTGAGCAAGTTGCTGTTGATGTTCGTAGGGCTCTATTGCTAGATCAAGAGGAGCAGCTCAAGCCTCGCTCTACATTGGCGATTTCAACTTAACTCGACCCTATCCTATATGGAATGGGCTTAACTATTAGGGCAAGTCTGGCTTCAGTTGTGACTGCTAAGGATCTAGTTGTTCTCAATGAGGGACAGTATACGATGATGATTAGTACCACCCAGAAATAGCGGATTGTCAAGCAAATGGCGTATATTCATTGCGTGCAATTTGTGAGTCAGATCAATAAGGTCATCCAGTTGCTAAGAGAATTCACTGGGAAGTTCGATAGAGGAGAGTGTTGAATATTGCTGCGTGTACGGAGTACCATGATGCAAATTGATATTGCAAATAGACATTCCACTCAGACACGAAATCTAGTTGTCCCGAGGTTGAGAGAGAGATGTACGACTCATGTAGTATCAAATCCGGGGGCAGGGCAGGTCAGTGAGACATGAATAGCAACCATTATAGTACTAGAGGGATTTGTTTTGGGTATAAACTCGTTTTACATGCAATAACATGAAAGGAAAATACATGAAAGAGTTCGATGATCCATACCAGCACGCATAGGTTGTATTTCGACTGTAACTTCGGTTGCCAGTTTAGAAAGTGAGACATACACTTGTGCTTCCCTACCTTCTGAGATATCGAATCAGAAGAAAGCAGTCTGAATATCATAATCCGATACTGAAGATCTAAAGCGTCACCATCATGCCCTATGATTACATCGACGAGATATCTCATATAGAACAATCCCTGCTAGTGCAGATATCGCATCATACAGCTGCCGCCTCAACATAGATCTCCCACGAAGGTCACCAACAATAAATGAAACCCCACATTATCTTGCCAATGAACACTTGGAGTCTTCATCGCACGGCCATCTGTAATCAATATGTTGTATACCAGCAGCCCTGCGTTGTACATCGTATAGGGCAAGCACTGACGTACAGTATAGATCGACGTAGAACCATCTCGAAAAGCACCGCACCGCTAGTACAGGTCACGATCAAAGCACAAGCTACCATAGCAACCAGCCACGCGTTCGATCACCGTGCGATGCCCATCCATCCGTGATGTCACCAGTGCGGAGGGGTCAAATGAGCATCTGAAAAGTATATTGTACGTTAGAAGTAAGTTAGAGGCTCAAGCACACATTTTTGAACCCATGGTAGAACCGAGCGCATCGCTGATATGATATAAACTTCATCTTCAGACCGATTAATCCCGCGCTCGTATTGTCGCAGCCGCTGGAATCGCCTTTCAAAGGCCCCAGCTCAAAACGAGCATAATATTGGCCAGGGATTGGCTGGCGCTCGAGCGAATGACGGCACGGTATATTGGAGGTTCTTGCGCGATTACGTAGGTCGGGCTTGGTCGCTACCTAGGTAGATACAACTCCCGCCGATAACGCCCATCCTCTCCTTATCTAGGTGATCATCGATGGATATTTCCGTGGTTGGAGGCTTTGTGGTTGGGGTTATTGCGATGGACATGAAACTGCTGGAACTGGCACTGTTTCGTTTGCCGCACGTCCATGATACGATGTACCCCCTGTGTATGCGGAATACAATATATTGGAATATGTAGGTTTGGTTCTGGTTCTGGTTTTGAATTCAATGTTCTGCTTCGCATGGGCGATACCGGAACGTGTTTCAGCTCCTGTTATCTCAGCGCCCTATTGAATATATCGTATGGAGATATAGAAAATTTCAATAATCATCGCCATGTCATGCGCGAAGTGAGTCAAATTGCATCATGGTCATTTGGGCTGTAGATGCGACCGCCATGATACCGGAGACTATCAGATGGTCATGTTAGTGGCTAGACGGTATCTCCCTGCTACATACACCCAGATGCGACCGTTCCGAATTCTTCTTTCCGTTCTGTGGTCTGCGGACTCACTCAAGGATTAATTCTCCGGTGCCCGATGCCGTGCTTTGGAACGCGCACGGGATTCCCATGTACTCCAAATGTTGAAACGATCATTAGCAAGTCGATTTCGCACCCGATGATCAAACGCGAGGTCCAACCATGTTCTGCCGAGAGGAGGTCCATGGGCAGGTGGGTTGATTATCAAGCGTTTCTAGAAGATTTGCACCTGCCATGTTGAACAGTGGCGATACGTTGTACGTCGAAATTGAAATGTCGGAAATTTTGGGGCAAGTATTCCGGTGCCTTGGACTTTGAAGAGTTCGGGCGCATCTGAGGTGGATTTGCAGGGATGAACTCTTTTAGCCATGGCAAGAACCGCGATATTGGGCAAAGTGGCGTGTGCCAAGGCGTAGCTCGGTGCTCTATGAGAGGTTGCTATATTTGTTCACGCAGGTCTCTAGAGAGTTACTCGGTGTCCCTGCAATAGAAGAGGTGAAGGAACGCCACCGTGTCGATCGTATCCTATTTCCAACGGTGAAGTGTACATCGTATATCGTACATCGTGCACATAACTATCTATAATTACCATGTACAATATACGGATCCAAGGGAGAATTCGTGTCAACCTACTAGGCACCCAGGTAACTAGAGGCAGTGCATAAACCTTCCAATACCCAGGCAGCTTACAGATCTCAATCGGACCGGACCGAGTCAAACGGCCAAGCCTGTAGCCCGTCGATCCCGAGCCAAAATAACAGAGCACTGCCACTGCAACCCCCTAACTCAACGCATTATTGTCACTCCGTGCGACGGCTTGGCACAAACAATAGCACGTAAATAGTCCAGACCGGTGCCAAGACAGTATTCACGCACGCTCACAATGTCGGCATGATCACCATGATCGCCCTTGGCGAGGCCATTCCCCCATACATTGCATTCAATAACCGCACTGCCGAGACCAGACGTGAATGAGCTCGTTTTTGAGAATTCGCTATGTGTATCACAGTGCTTGGCATCGAGAGGAAACCCTATCATGGAGCGGATGGTTATCGTAGGGGTTTAATGCCAAGATCTCTTCAAGAAAGGGGGTGTATCGATGCAAATAGATTCAATAATGAACCTGTACGGAGTACTCCGTACCCCCTTTGTGGAGACTCGACATTTTCTTTTCCTCTCCTCCCTTGCTCTTTCTACCCCGTATTGTCACCCCGGAAATACTTATCGTTCTTCAGAACAGTTCCATACCGCAGCTCACGTCGTACCGGGCGCATTCTGAAGGTTCAATGCCTAGGTCTTGGCAGTTTGCTTCACCACGCGCTGTCGCCAAGCATTCCTCCGGTATAGCCTAGAGCGACGGGCCATCTCCTTGCACTGTGCACCGCCGGGTAGATCATTGATCTGCCTGTTCGACCTGTCTTGCCGAGTAGGATTTCCGTGAACCCCCGGGTTTGTCTTGGCGGAGAGGTCATGAGGTTAGTGTTCAGGCTGTGACATTCCTCGGCGGGCATCTGCTCAATGGAACGGTGTTCTCAGTGTGAGGCACGGGGTGGACTTGGCATTGGCCATCCGAGTCCGATTCGACAGTCGATTCTTTGGTGCGGTGTAAGACCTGGGGGTACTGGGGTATGTATCGGGACCCGTGATGTGGTCTATGCTGGAGGTATCCTGCACAGACCAGCAATTAGTATGGTCTATTAGTCCTTGTGTATTGTCTTTGTGTGAAACATGTAGGGGAATTTCTTTGTCGGGGAAAATATCCATATCCACGATCTGCCAAGATCATAGTCACATTCCTGTGTTGTACGGAGAATTGATAGAACCAAGAGACATCAGGATCGCCTCTTTCCAAATTGGGATAGAAATTGAAATCAACCAGAAGTCAATTGAAGTTAACCTTGGAAGAACATGGATATATTATTTGAGACAAGAATATCAACAGTCAATTCGTTCTACGGAGTAGTAGAAACAATAGCAAACGCCGACATGGCTTTAGTACGTAACTGCATCTGGCACAGTGCAGTAGTCCCAAAGTGGAAGATGAAAATGCCTCATACATAGCTGTATCCTGTGGTAAATCCTCGGATTATTTCAACCCATTTACCCGTCCCGCTTATCGCGCATGCATTGCAGCTTGCATCTGTCCAATCTCTTTGCTTCTCGACGCTCCACTTCCCGGTTGTGTTCCCGGTCAACCATTCTGGTATTTTTATTATACACTTGAGCTTCAATTTGGAGTTCTAAGAGGATGATACGTTTTAAGGATGAAATAAACATCCCGCTCGTGCCATCATCTGCCCGGAGTCCGTATTCCCGCCTGCACAGTTCACACCTTATTGAGCTAGGCACACGTACTATACCTTCGTTTCCTTACACTTAGGGACTTGGAGACTTGGGGTAAGTACTATAGAGCGGGTCTTGCCAATTGTCAATTGAGTGACTGCCACGATGGTTGAGCGGAGAAATTCCCACAATTCTACAATCCCATCGTGCCACGAACACAGCGCTACCCCTTCACGTTAAACCATATTCCCATCGTATAGAATATCCCGTCGCACAAACTTCTCACTCCTTCCTAACTCCACTTTGGAGAACTTCTCCGAGGAATCAGGAGGGGTTTCCTTGGCCCATTCCACAATATCCCAACCATATGGTGAGCATTGCCGCCGAGGATTGGATCCCGTTTTAATTTCCCTTTCCCGTTTTTGTGGGAAAGGGAGAGCGCCCAAGCCCAAGCCCAAGTCCAAGAGTGAGGGGTGGCCAAGAAAACAGCCGTTTCTATTCCCGTCTGCGAGATCGCTGTCAGCGCGGGAACTTTTGTCCTGCATGTACAGAACGGAATGCGGAGGACTTTGTAGACAGCGAGTTCAGGTACATTCGTATCCTTGTACAATTATAGATACGATGTATATTTTCAAACCACTGTTTTGCGCCCCGGTTGCCTTCTCCCTATTGGGAAACTGAAAAGATGAAAAAAATACTAAAAAATACAGCGAATCGCCCTATATGCAAGACCGCCGCCCGTCCGTAAACAATTGTCCTTGTCCTTGTCCTAAGTACGTAAAAAGTACTGCGTAAACTAAATGACAAAGGAACAAAGGAAAAAAAAGAAAGAAATCAAAGCCCAACAGAGGGAAAATCGCAGCAACATGAATTCAATGGCTTTGATGCCAGATAATCCCCTCCGCAAGACCGTTGCGTTGCTAACAAGCTTCTTCCACAATTCGATTCCAAACTCAACTCATCTCCCACGGTCACCCGGCTCGAGGTCATGCAATCCAGTGAGATTGGATTGCGCTTACAGGGGTTATGCCTGCTCGAACAAATGGACTGTGGGGTGATCTCCTCGGATTCTGGAAGCTTGTCGCGATCTAAACGGGGGGTTCATGACCCTACAGGTTTAATGAGGGGGTTGTGGCTGCAGTCTGCATATCTCCGGGAACCAGTGTGAATGTCAGCATCGGTGATCCTTTTGGCTACTGGTGGAGTTTTCAAGTTTTTTTTTTTCTTTTTCTTTTGGCGGGAGTTTTTTATTGTCCGAGTTATGCGATATAGTTTGGAGATTGCACTGCGGGTTGCGATTTGCGCAGGGAAAATCTTGTCCGGTCAGCCGGTCTAGGGCTGATCGTGATCGCGGCTGACCGCTATTCTCTGTCAACGTGGGAATATTCGTAAGCTTTGATGCAGGTTACTCGTGCTTGTCTGTCATCGGGCATAGGGATTTTCCTTTATGGTTTCGGTGATTAGTTGTGTGGAGATGGATGACGATAAACAAAGTTGCCTGTTGAAACAACTCATTGTACTCCGCGAGCTGTACTGTAGATCGATTGTATGCCCAACTTGACGATCATGATAGCTTCGCCTCTGAATGACGAAACAGTTGAGGTCTAAATTTGGAGGTTCAAAGGAGGCCGTGCTGGCGAAAGGTTGAGCTGGGCATTCCTAGAAAATATGACTGCCTTTGGACTTGGCACTGGATGAGAGCCAATGGAGATAATCGTTTCTATCTACGGATTACAAATTACTGGGTGTACACCTGGGCAGCCTGTACTCCAGGGCTATGTGCTATGTTTATGTATACCAAGACTGATCTACCGGGAAGGAGCAGAGCCAAGAGTCCCCCTTTGAGGTGCAGTTCGGAGTCCAGTGGATACAACTTGGTGCGTAGTATCCATAACTATGTACTACATATTGGTACTTCTGTACGCAACCCGTACGGCGTATAGTATATTGTACAATATGCAACATTCAATTTATCCAAGACTCCTCCACCCGAGAAGCTCCGGCGGACTTGAGTAACGAGGGTTTTGAAATTGTGTGAGGCTAAGACGGGATAGTGAGTAAATGACTAATATACTCCGTGTCACTCTACGTCAGATGAGAGAAGTCTTCCGCATTTGGAGCAAGGGAAGAGAATCAATGAATACCACGCATTCAGGTATGATTCGAGAGCTCGGCGAAAACCGCCAAGAGCCTGTTGTAGACAATCAAAGTAGAAACCAGGAAGCGCGTACAGCGCGTTTATAGTTTCAGTTATCATTATCTCATTACGAGTTTCGGTCGAGTAAGAGAATTCAACCTGTTAACCCCGTTAGCTCTAGGGCAAGTTCGGCCAAGGCTGACGGCTCGGCAGCGTTCAGGCACCATAATCGGCGAGTGGTACTAGTATTTTTTTAAATACCGAGTTATACTATGGGAATGGCCTCTGTAACTGGGATATGACCATACGCATACGCCTCAAGTAGAAAAATTACATCGAAGAGGTCTACGATGTACATGATATAGAACGACAATATTACAATATACGGTGAGGATATCAAGGCAGATTTTTCTTCAGTACTCCGTACCAGAATTTCATTGTGTTGGCAAGTGGATTCGCACAGTCACGGCAAGTATTAAGAGAGGTCAGGTTCAACGGGGAGTTTTCAACAAGAGAAAAGGGACCCTGAAACGGGCTTAGTCTCAGCACAAAATCCCTCATAGCCAGCCCGCAACCACCTACTCAACAGACAATGGTCATCATGGTCCACTTGAATCAATTGACCTTGATACTCGAAATGAAACGCTTTATGCTACATTTAGTTTCTTTCTTTTTGAAACAAAGCAACTAATATATATATTTAGTTGTCTACCAGAATGAATATAGAACAGTAATATATAGTAATAAAGAAATAAAGAAAATATCTATAGAAATACAACCTAACGAAGTAGGTCGTAGCGCAGGAACCATGCCCAGTGGATAAGTGGCAAGACATACTTACAACGTTAGTCAGGGATGTTACAGTCTCCAGGGCTCAGGGCTATTACCACACCCTAGAGATCAAAGTACACTTGTAAGGCAAATTGAGAAAATGGGGGTGAATGGGGGTCATTGGGGGTTAAAAGAGGAAAAAGACCTAAAAAAAAAAACCGGAAATCCAAAAAGGTTAGGGAAATTAGAAAAATTACAAAAATAACGGAAATGGAAAATTTAAAAAAACGTGGGAAAAGAAAATTTAAAAAACCAAACTAGTCCTAAAACGACAGTGCCGGGCTGCCGTATCGTCACTCCCACTCTCTTCCCCCCTCCAAGAAATCGGAGACCCCTGCACCTTTTCTATGATCTTCTTATTCTGTTATTATTGTCAACCTTTCCCCAACTTCCCCTTCTTTTTTATTCCTCTTTATAATCTCCACTCCATTTTTCGTTTACATTCTCGACATTCCTGACCTTCCTTTTTTTCTTTATCGAGATCCCTCCGAAAGCACGGACCTGCAAGCCTAGAGGTATTCGAGAAATAGATCTAGCCTCCAGCTCCTCAACATTGAGTTGCCATTCTTAGGCACAATTATCGATCTTGGCGAATACCCTCCTTCGTCTCGATACCCCCTAGTCATGCGGTTTATATCATGACATTGGTCCTCGCTCGGGACATCTTGTTCTGCCCTCAAGGTCGATCGATTTAACATTGATCGATATCAAGGACAGCCTTTGTTGAATGAAAGACTTTGTTGAACCTTTCAAGCAACGTCCTAACCTCGCCTTCAACTCGATCCTACGCCACTCGCCTCACCCTCATTCTCCTTTCTATATCTTGGAACTATACCGCCAACCTTTTTCCTTTTGGAACCATGGCACAGTCTCAGGACAGAGAAAGAACGTTTTCTTTTCACAACCTATTGAAGATGCTCATCTCGCCCAACTCGTCCAGTAAGCCCGCCCACGGCGAGGCCGACTTGGCCGAAGACGTCGATGAACCCCCTGAACACGTCATGCACGCCACCTCGATGAACTCTGATCAGATCGTGCTTGCTCGGCCAACGGTGACCCGCAAGGAATCACTGCTCACGCGCGCGTTGAAGAGCAGCCCGGAGATGTCCCCAACCGATCCACACGCCCCCCACTACGACTCCTATATGTACCGATCCTACCCTCATAGCAACATCAGTGGCGTCTCGACCGCCGAATTGACCAGCGACGGCGGCCTCACAAGTCCATCCTTGTCTAATACTCCCAGCCCACCTTTACCACAGATGATGAAAAATGCCGCATTGATGGGGAAGAAGAATTTGACCCCTAAAGTGAAGGTCGCTGATACCAGTGAAACTTCCGTCGAGGCCAACCTTGGCCGCAAACGATGCATTAGCTTTGCATGTGGTCGTAAGACTGATGACAAGAATGAGCTGGGATCTCCCGTCTCACCCTCCGGGTCACAAGTGCTCCCACCCAAAGCCCAAACACCGAAGGAGCTTCCCACGGAGGAAGTCTCGATTCAACCCCTCAAGCGCAAAACCACACTTACTTTTGCGTGCCCTGGACGGGAGACTGTTTGCCAGAGAGAACGATCTCCGGCGCGCAAGACCTCCATCCGGCCGCGATGCCGTGGCTCCCCTGCACCTGCAGTTCGCAGAGCCTCTCCCATTTCGAAGGAAACCCCCAAGGAGATTCCCAATGATGAGGCTGTCTCTGCGTCTACAGACCGCAAGGGTGTCCCGACCAGTGGACTGGGCAAGTTCGAGGAATCCGAAGCTACCCGGTTCCACGAGTTTGCTAGCTCTATGGACGAAGACGATGAATGGGTGAACAGGGAGGCCGACTATACGCAAAAAATCACTTTGAACGACTGTATGAAGAAAGAAATGGCCATCCGACGGCTCGGTGAACAGGCAGAGGAAGAGGCTTTGGAGGAGGAAGAGGATATGGACGACCTTCCGGACGACGACGAGACTGTGCACGACTTCTCTTCAGACGACGGTAATGAATCGGACAACGAGGCTGGCTTCGCAGAGTCGGATGAGAGCGACGATGATGGCTCCGACGTCGAGTTCTGGGGATCATCACACCGTGTCCCAGAACCCTCCAGCCAAACCATCGATGCACGCCCCTCGACCATAGAACGCCGGGCCTCGAACACATCTTTCGACTCCATGACGGACGACCACTCGAACTGGCTTCCAGCCCCCGTACAAAGGATCAGTAGCCGTCGCGCTTCGAAGACCTCTCATAGCATCCGGATTCGTCCGAGGACCCCGAACCTTCCTGATAGTACCGACTTTGTTTGTGGAACTCTCGACGAGGATCGTCCCCTCGAACTCGCCTATAAAACTTGTCTCGAAGAACGGCGCCGCCTAAAAGAAGTTGTCATCCCGCAAGATATCGACCCCAGCTTCCCTACCAGCGATCCGGAGGACAATGAAGACCTCGAACCATCCGAAGAAGAGCTTTCCAGTGTGCCCTCCATCACAGGTCGCCGTGATGAAGCTACCCGAGGACGGCCAGAGGGCGAGGCCCGCAAGCACTCCCCCCGTCGTTCTCCCAGGCGTTTGATGTCCCCACCACCCCGTCGCGCTGGCCGTATCTCTCCCAAGCGTCTCAAGTCCCCACCCCCACCCATGAGAACGAAGTCGCCCACCCCAGCCACGTGGGAACTCACCGATGATATGCCCATCGTCGAGTCTCTCGGAGGTGTCAACATCAGCCACCTGGTTCAGCGCCGGCCTCTCGTCCGTACCAAGTCACTCCCCCGCGTCCCCAACCCTTTCTTCACCGGCCTGGACAAGGATCACCGTTGGCAAGGTATCCCGCCATTCTCTGAGTCGCCAGAGCACGAACACTCACGTACCCGTGAGCTACACACTCGTGGCCCAGTCGACATTGTCGAAGGGCTCGAGAAGAAGCGCCAGAAACGCAAAGAAAAGTTCTGGCGTCAACACTGCCGCAAAGCTGCCAAAGAGCAGTTAGGCAAACGGCCTGTTCCAGGCCATGGAGCCGAACGGATGAAGGAGCTTGGCCTCGAAGTTGCTGAGAGGTGCAGAGCTTACGGCGTCGGTCAAGACGCCCAGCTCGTCCTATCCGTTTAGGTGTCCCTACCTATGGAACTTGTATGAAAAAGTTTCACCCCTCCGTTTTTTTAACCTGTACATACCTACTTTTGTCACCTTTTTTGGTTTCGGGGGTTTTTTTTGTCTTACCCTGCTCGGTTAGCGATCCGAGTGCCTTTCGCTTTCTTACACATATTAGCCGACTTTGTGTTGTCCACATGAATGGTTTCTTCACCCTTATCCCTTTCCCCCCTTTTCTTCAATAATTCCTACACGGAGGTGGTTCTTTCTTTGCATTTTCTGTCGGAAGTATATCTATATCCTTTCCTTTCCCTCTTTTCTTATACGGCGGTCCTAAGGACTTGCTGGAGGTCGCTTCCTTTTTGTCTTGCATGGCTACGGTGCATATACCCCCTATCTGGCTTTTCTGCATTGTGAATAAAGAGATCCATCGATTTGATGGGAGTGAATATGAACTATATTTTAGATGAACCTTCTTCCTTTCCTCTGGTAGACGGTAACAGTAAGAAGACTAATGAGGCCGAGTAGTGGCGAGTCTTCGCCACAATGAAGATTTAGAGAGAAATACGCAATTATGATAAATATTTCGCGAGAAATCATAGCAGAATCTACAAAACCATCTGTATATACCCAAATCAGCCCAAATCCCCCAAGTCGTCCATGGGTAGCTTATCGCTGCGCGAGGATTCCGTCTTCCTGCCTAAGGCACCAAACCCGATCCCCGAAAACAACATCAAACCTGTCTTCTTTGCTTCTATCTCTTCCACCCCCGTCCATCCACCTTTTCCCAATCAGCTTGTCACTGATCTTAATCTGTGATCCCTGCTCGTCACCCTCTTTTCCATTACTTCCTGACTCCGGCCTTTCACCATGTGGATCGTCAACTGGTGTAAGTACCCTCCCGATACCATACCCGATCACCTGCAGCCATCGTCCGGGGCCGATCTTAAACACGGAGGAAGAGAGAATGAGATGTCTATCTGGACAGTTTAGCTGCGTTGCAACTCATCATGTCTTGATTCCGACTCCGACATCGAGTCATGCGACGGCTGTGCCGCGGTACCGGCTGCTTGTGATCGAGATGTGCGTCTCGAGGTACAAGGTTCAATTTGCTGATCTCGCTTCTTTGTCCTATAGTCTACGATGTTCTGGCCTCGCTGGGTCTCCTCAATAAGCACGCCAAGCTCCTGTTCCTCGGTCTGGACAATGCCGGCAAGACGACGCTGCTGCACATGTTGAAGGTGAGTTGAGCGTTGGTGTTTAGTTTGGGAACAGACGACCCAGTTCTTCGGTGTTCAATTCCACTGGCTACAAGGCCCTAGTCTGGTTGCGCTGGATTTCTGCACAGATCCGGGGGCTTGGATATTGCGCGGGAGATATATGAGAACTGGGCGTTGTATGGGACTTGTTTGCTGACAGGACATTCTACAGAACGACCGTGTTGCCGTCTTGCAACCTACCGCACACCCGACCTCCGAGGAGTTGGCCATCGGCAACAACCGCTTCACGACCTTCGATCTCGGTGGTCACCAGCAGGGTGAGTGACACTCTTGACGGGGAATCGTGATGTTGCGCAAGCATAATGCCAAGCAACATAACACACCTCCACGATGAATCTTGAGATTGAACATAACTAACGAACCTACCTTCTCCCTTCAGCCCGCCGTCTCTGGAAGGACTACTTCCCCGAAGTGAGCGGAATCGTCTTCCTGGTTGACGCCAAGGATTACGAGCGCTTCCCCGAATCCAAGGCCGAGCTCGACGCTCTTCTCGCCATGGAGGAGCTCTCTAAGGTTCCCTTCCTCGTTCTCGGAAACAAGATCGATCACCCCGATGCTGTCAGCGAGGATGAGCTGCGCCACCAGCTCGGTCTCTACCAGACTACTGGTAAGGGCAAGGTCCCTCTCGAGGGTATCCGGCCTATCGAGGTGTTCATGTGCAGTGTTGTTATGAGACAGGGTGAGTTTCATCGAGTCCCATGGAAATTAGATATACATTGAAACTATTATAACTAACCTTCTTTCTCCAACAGGATACGGCGAGGGCATCAGATGGTTGTCCCAATACGTTTAAACAGAGAGTTCTTCCCTGTTCCCCGACACAACCGATCCCCTCCCCAACCCGTCAACCCCAAATCCATATTCATTCCACTCGAGCAAAAGTCCAAGTGGAATGAAAATGGTTCTGGCTTTGGCTTCGGGCTTTCTCCGACATTCCTCTAAACCCGAAACCCCAGTCCCGTCCCATATCTAGCTACGCTACACACATCCCCTCCCACAAACCCGATCCAACTTTTTACCCCCGGACGTATCTGTACGTCTTGAATGTGTCACTCGACAACGCTGTACCTCATCTTGTCACGTTTATTCAATTCTTGCTTTTGTTCTGCGCTTTTTCTCGAGCTAGCTAGCTGGTTTTTCCTGGTTACTATAGTCTAAAGACTTGAATTTCTTTCTTCTTTCTTGGTATAAAGCATAGGATTGATGTGTTACATTTCGTCTATTGATTAGGGTCGCCAGGTTCTTCCGTCAATTGATACAGTTCCCTCCCGAATTGCGCACTGGGTCGATACTTTTCCCCAATAGTAGAGCTCTCAAGGAATTCGTTGGTTCCCATCCATATACCAATCACACCCAAGAGATCGTGAATCTCAGGATCCATACGACCTTCGCAAATGACGTTCGGGAACCATCTAAATAAAGCACATGCAAACTTCCAGACCGGGAAGCCTCCTCGTCCGCAAGGATAAGATACGTCCTCGTAGCACATGCATGGATTTTTGTAACCCTATCGCGAGGCTATCAATGATTATATCTCGGTTCTCGCGCCATGCTTCCGGGGCTTCTTCTTTTGGTTCGGCAATTTGCGTTGTAAGATCAGAACGGAAATTTATAAGGTATTCGGCTTTATAGGCGCGCGGAATCCTTGATATACTATCGACCTCGGGTTCAAGTGAGCCTGCAAGTTTAGGAAGAATCTCGTAAACACGCCGCCACTCCAAGTCAAAGTTCAAGCAGTAAATCTCGTCTCCAGTTAGTATGCGGAATTATCTATTTCATAAAGATATATATAGATCGATATAGAACGTAGGTAGCCTTAGAAACTATAGAGGGAAGCATTTACCATGCGTCAAGGCAAAATTGAAGGAAGATACATTCGAAGGAGTGGCCAATTTTTTACCATGATCGATACATAGTACTCTTGAGATCAACAGACAGCTCGATCCGTCGCTCTTGGATATTGACAAGCGTGCTTGTGCCCGAGAAGATTGTAATAATTAGTATCTAGCCCTAGAGTATTTCACTCTATAGGAGCTAGGTAGATCTATATAGATGTTAACTGATAGTTTGCTGTTGCTGATTGCTATCTCTACATAGAGTACCTCGGATATGCACTATCATACTATACCCTGTCTTGAATTGAAGAATATTCCAATTCCTCGATTGAAGTATGAATCTATTAGTTCGAGTATCAATGCAGCAGCGGAATTAACTACCCAATGAAAATATAACAGATATCTTAGCCTACATAAACTCAAATGTGATTCTCACAGCCCATATAACAAACAATCTAGACCTCCGAAGAAACGATCCCAAGGCCGAGCTAGATTCACAAAACACCCCTAACATAGACACCCATTCTAAGTCCGGTATACGATGCATCAGCAGGACAGAGAGAGGTAGAGGTACTACTACCGCCTCGTACGTGTCGGACTAGAAAAACGATTCGAAAAACGAATAGAATTCGATAAGAAAACAACAACACATGCGGTCAGAACACAGGACAATAAGAAGTAAGAAGAAAAAAAGAGAAAAGAGAAAAGATAACCAGTTTCCCTTCCCCGTTCCCAGGATGCCGAAAGGGAAAACATTCCATTCCAGATGATTAGAAACAGAGACAGGGAAGTCGAGAAACAACGAAGAAATAAGCATTGGAACTCTGCTCCGGAAGTACAGAGGGTCGCACGGGCCAGGAAATGATGGGGTGACTGTGTTTTTTATCGCATGTCGCACTGGGGAGAGAGAGAGCCCGGGGGTCTGGAGGTGGTTGAGAATGCTGTGATATTATCGGTGGAGTTGAAGAGGAATATCGGGCTGCCCTGGGTGCGGATGAGGGGTTCCTCGGTCGTTCATCGTTTTCGTGGATCCGGGGGGGACTCGCGGGGGTTGTAGGGAGGATGTCATGAGGGCGCTGTTAAAGAGATTTGTGAAAGGCTTATCTCCGCCCGAACCTGCTGCACATGGGGAAGCTCGTATTGATTCTTTTATTTCTTCTTTTGCTTTCGCGGAGGAGTGACGGGACCGCCGGCGCTCATGCCACCGTAAACGTACTTTTGCTTTTTCTCGGCTGGTTTCAGGATCTATCGGAAAAAGAAAAAAAAGTAAGTTAGGAACTGAAAATGATCTAGGGGGTGAAATTTTGTATAACTCACCTGGAAGGAGCAGAGCAGACTCTCGTCTACGCTCATCATGGCACCGGCATTATCGAATTCACCACAGTAGTTGGGTGCACTGAATAGTGTAACCAGCTGGCGCTTGGAGAAGAATTCGTATCCATCCTCAACAACTTGGTGTGCACGGCAGATCAGATCCATGTCGTGTTTTTGAAGGAAGCGCGAGACCACATCGGGGCCGAATGTGAATGAGACACCTCGGTCGTTTTCGCTCCAGCCGGTAATATCCTTATCGGGGTCGGACCACAGGAGATCGCACAGGAGACCGCAGTCGGGAATCTATTTCAGTCAGCGATGTTGGCCTTCAGCCGAACGAACCCACCACAATGCCACTTTTCTTTTCGCTGCCAATAGAACCACATCCAACGGGGAGGGGTGAAATCGGAGAAGGGGATAAACTTACATCCGTGGGGCGCATGACACGGCGAATTTGCTCCATCGAGTTGAGATCGGGGCTCAGACCACCGTGCATGGTGAAGATCTTCTCGTCAATGATGGCGGCAATGGGGAGGCAGTTGAAGCAGTCGGTGAAAGTCTTCCAGAGCTTGATGTTGTATCGGCGCTTGCACTCATCGTAGAAACCGTAGATACGGTTAATCGAGGCACACTCGTGGTTTCCACGCAGAATGAAGAAGTTCTCGGGGTACTTGATCTTGTACGCAAGGAGGAGGCAGATAGTCTCGAGGGACTGCTTGCCACGGTCGACGTAGTCACCGAGGAAGAGGTAGTTAGCCTCCGGGGGGAAACCGCCGTATTCGAAGAGACGCAGGAGGTCATAGTATTGGCCGTGGATATCACCGCAAATCTAGCGAGATACGCGTGTTAGACGGAGGCCGATTCCAACTCGAGGGACCGTTCGGACACAAAATTAAATCTTACCTTGATGGGCGCTTCCAATTCGAGAAGAATGGGCTGAGAGATGAAGATCTCACGAGCCTTAGTGCAGAGGAAACGGATCTCTGACTCGAGCAGCTGAACCTGCTTGCCAGGGCGGCTACCCCTCACCTCCAAGAGCCGGTCGATGATCGAGTCCAGATCCACTTCCTGATCGGCCATGGCGAATAATGTCTAACGAAAACACGAAAGAAAGAAAAAAATGGGTGGAAGGAAAAGAGAAGCGAAAGGTGGAAGAGAGACTTCCGGAGCGATCGGGTGAGAATAACAGAGATTTGATGACGCGGCGGCTATGTCCTGTTACTGTCAGAAAAACAAGTTAATATAGCGTCCCAGATTGAGATGAAGTGCAGTCTGCATTCGAAGCCCCAAGTTGAAGCGAAATTCACGAACGCGCTCGAAAATTTTCGTTGAATTTTCTCCCCCTTTGGCGGTCGGAGTCGTTGGGAGAAGCAGCAGCAGAGGAAAAGGGAATAGATGCCTACCAAACAGAATATTTCAAGACCAAACAGATCTAGAGAAGGGCCCCAACGGCCACGGGGAAAGAAGAAAAAAACAGTTCTGGCAGAGATGCCAGACGGGTGTGGACGGTGGTGCCTATCCGAGTTGTTGTGTACGCGCACGGTGGATAGAGGAGAGAATGGGCTCCTAGACGCCTCACAAGATAAACGAGGCTGAGCGAAAGAGCACTGGACTCTTAACGATTTGACTTGATGAGAGAAGTTGGATGAGTCGGGATGAATCGAGATGAGTATCGAGGGAAGGGAAATTTCAATCAAGGGAGAAAAATTTCTCGGTTGTATGGTTGGATGGATAGTCAGACCAGTTTGAATCTTCTCTTCAAAACATGAACTTAAACGTGACCGTGAGAGGTTGGGGTTGAAGGTTGAAGAGAAGAGAATTTGAAGAAAGCGGGAAGTTCCTGTTTTGTGTTTGCGCGTGTTTGATCTTCCTCAAGGAGGGGGATGATATTGTTATATATAGATCGCTTATAAGGGTAACCCCCTTCTACTTTTCATTCGATTATCCCTATTATTCTATTATTCTATTATTCTATTTAGTTAATTCTATTTCTTCTGTGTTACAAGAAGCGCTTTGATGCAAAAAAAATGCATAGAGGGGGTGTTCTAGGTCGAGACTCACAACGCCCTCGACGCCAAACGGGGTCCAAGCACGAAAGAAGAGGCTGATCTACTAAAGTAGTGCAGTTAGATAGTGCATCTAGACTGATATCACACCATTCTATAATGCCTTTGTCTCTCTATACCTACTATTAAATCCTATTGGATCTGTCTAGGACTGTGGAACGGATATCTAGATGCCTAGTAGAGAAGTAAAAAGTAGGAAACTTTCCAATATAATTGGCATTCTTCTCAAATGAGCTCTGAGCTCTATTCTCATACAATGCTGCTTTTGTCCAGAAGTAATGCAACATCACACAGAAAGGAATTGAAAACAACGAACAGGAAAAACCAAAGAAACAGAGGGGAATTAAACAAGTCAAAGATCCTTCCAACGCCAACATGCCCGAAATTCAGAATAATACAGTACAACGCTAGAACCGAAAACAAAAGATGTCTTTCACTGTGCCTTCCAAGATGACCGACCCCCAAAAACAAGGGCCATCGCAGGATGCGTTTTGGGAAAAAAGGGAAATGGAGACATGGAACAGTGAAAAGAAAGCAAACACGGCCGTAAATAGTTCATACATCCAACCCACCATGTCTCATAAGTCATCCAACGCCGAAAACAATGCATAGAATGATCAGCTGCTGGTGCTGGGAAATATGTTGTTCAAATGAGTCCCGAGGGACCGCATGAGGGGGGTTATGTCCCCGTAAATAAGAGGAAAAGAGATGGAAGAACCTGCTGGAGCAGGTAAACGTGGCATCCACGACGGAGAGACTCCGGGAGTCATGAGACGGAAACGTGAGAGGCGAACGGAGTCCCGGCAAGAGATGTCATGGGCCGAAAACTGTAAATAATAGAAGGGTATTTTTATCCGCTAAGCGCATGTCCGCTCAGAATCGCTTGGGTGTTCGAGCGGGTGATTGGGGGTGGGGAAATATGAGGGGAATGGTCCAAGCCCGCCCCAGAGCTGTGAGCGAAGT